GATGGAGCTGTTCATCCCCACCAGCGAAGATCTTGTCCCCCAATGGCAAGTCATTCGAAAAGACCGCTTGATGGGGAGCCATCTGATGTCCCTCCGCAACACCACCGGTATGCTCTCCTCCCATCGTCCACAAACCATTCGCCTGATCGCCCGCAACCAACGGATGATCGCTGTTCCCGAATTTCAAACCATCCACATGGCCGCCGAACAACTGTATGACCGGATCCAACTCATCATCGGCTACCTTTGCGCCACCTGCCTGCTCTCCCCGAATGCGGCTCTCGCGGTTGCTAGGCAGCTCATTGCGAATTACACTGTCGTGCCAACGTGGCCCCGCGACGTCACAAGGCTTCAGCTCCCAAGCGTGCCCATCCAGCAATCGGGTGACACGTCCAACTCCGTTGACATCGCCTTCTTGACCTCCATGGCGTTGAGTGATCCGTGGGCGCAGAGCGGATCCCAGGTGCGACAATTGCTGACTGAAGGTGCAACGGCGCACCGTCACCGGGAATCTGTTCGGAACCATATGGAAAGCGCTTTAGCCACGGGTGGTTATTACTTCATCATTGCTTACCCTCGATATGCTTGGGTTCCAAGTCGAATCGGCTTCGGTGTGGTATCAACGTTTTTGCCTCAGAACGTTGCCGGTCACTCGGAGCTGCACCAGACCTCCAGCTCGGCTCAGTTCTTCACTCAAGTCCTGATCCTTCAGCAACCCGTTGCTGGCAGAGTTAGCGGTGTCCTTATCTCTGCTCACGATCCCGCCGCTTTCTCCTTTGAAAGTGTTGCCCAAGTCCTGAGGACCGCCGCGTCCACATTGATCTGGTCAGGTGCTCAACCGCGCATAACCGACCGCAACATCACCTTCACAGCACCCATCCAGTGGAGCTCTCTGCCGGTCCCACTCTTCCGTTCAGATGGCGCTATGAATACCTGGACCTCGTCCAATCGCCTCGTTTCCGCCGTGCGCGCCATGCCTCCCATGGGAAATGTTGTTACGGACTCCGAGGCCCAGCGGAATGCGGCAGCACAACCCAGTCCGAGGACAGATGCCCTCGCACAAGCCCTGTCGCAGGCCTCAACCGTTATCCTGTACATCCGCGCGTCGACAATACTCCAAACGGAGGCCGGGCGAGGAGGTTTGGAACGGCAATTGGTCTCTATGGTCAACGCGATCAATGCTGTTGGATTGCCTACTCCACCCACGCGGGCCATCATAGCCGTTGAGTACTGTTCCACCAGTCAGCATCCATGGCGCGACCGTCGTCTTTTTCCACTGGTGACCCAGAGACTCTCTCAGGCTCCGACCGCTGGTGGTACTGTCCTCATGACGGTAAACCCGGATCGCCTCACCCGCCGCGGCGATGAATTCGAAGACATCTTCAGCGACCTCGTCGATGCCAACATCACCTGGGTTACCCAAGGCGTCGTGCCCGCGACGTCAACTTGGAGACAAGGACTTCCAGCGAGTCTCGATCTGATACATCAAGTCGCGCACGGCCGGGAGCTCGCGATCCAGCATGGCTTCTACAGTCGTTCGGTAGCAGCCCAAGTCCGCGTCATCACAAGCGACCAAGACGAGAGTGTGAAGCATATCCAAGAAGGGACAACGAGTTTGCTGAAGGGGTCAAAGTGGATCGTCATAGCCATTCTCCGCATCAGCCCACCTTTGTTCGTTAATCAAGGCCCGACTCCTCCGGGGAGCCTGGACCGACAACTGACTTTCCTGCAGTCCTTCTGCATCGAGCCCATCGAACATGTGCTTCGCCTAAGTGGAGTCTCAGCCTACAACGGTACCGCTGTCGAGCAGGTCCGCCTCCGCATCGCCACACTTCCCGCCAACCCCCCTGCACTTTGCCTCGTTGCTTCCGTTGACCGCCTCCTTCGACGGTCCTCTCAAGTCCAAGTTGCCGAACAACATCTCGCAGGTCGGCACAACATTATCTCCTTCTTGTGGTCATACGAGACAGTGGAATCCCTCCTAGATACCGACGAAGGCATGGCCTTCCTCTCGTCTGTGTGTGCAGATATACGCCCTTTCCTGGATCAGCTTGCCATGGGCAGTAACGCGCTCGCATTGCCGATCGTGTGGCCCATGCTCTGGTTCGATCACGACAACGGGCTCACAAACCCTGCCGTACTCCAAAGCGCCGGGAAGGCCGAGGACTTCTGTACGGGGTTCATAGCCTCACAGTGGCAAGGTGAGCCCAGCACCGAGTTGCCGCGGAACCTTCTCGATGTGGGTGATTCCGTCGCAAGGGGTTTCCATGACCAACGGCGCGCGGCCTGGGAATCATATGTCGAAGGAGCGCTACCCGATACCAATACGCAAATCATCAGTTTGCAAGGTACAGTACGGAATCCGTTTCCTCATGCAAACCAGAGACACGTACCATACTGATCTTCCTCTCCTCATCTCAATCTCACCAAGGAAAACAAGCGTGGGACTGCTCCTGTCCCGCCGCATCTCGGAATCAACCGCATTCAGAGGAGTGTGTCTGTGACTGCGCCCACTGCATGGAACAGAGATCTTCATCCTGCCCATGTAGCTATGACGACATTATCCGGATCACTCCTCGGACAAAGCAGGCGTCGTTATCCCCTGCGCTTTGCAGGTGCCATGCCTTGTGCACGTGCACATGCGTGTACTGCCACAAGCCTGGAAGTCGAACGCGGAGTAAGTATCGTTCCTGTATATGTGTAACTTCGTCTTGCCAACCTTTTCGCATGTTTTCTGCTTCCCTAGCCTTGAAACGGACTCGCTCTGACCTGACGGATCCTTCAAGCCAATCACAACAAAGTCAACTGACTCAATCCGCCTCCGGTTCACAACAGCAGGAAGGTCAACTGACTCAATCTGGGTCCGGGTCGCAATTGACGCCTCTCGTGTTTGCGGAAGTGGGAGAAGACCCAGCGAGTGACGTGAGCTTGCCGCCTCCAGCGGCCTCCACTTTGACTCCAGCGACTTTGGCAGCAACTGGCTCCGTGCTGTCGAAGTCGAAGTCAATGGAGTCGCCAGAGCCGCTGGAGTCTGGGAGTCCATTGACTTCGCCTTCGACAGCAACTCCAGTGACTGCAGCGACTCGACCAGCGCAAGCCGTTGGCCCCGCAACTGGCCGAGTACCCTTTCAGCGCATCCCGCGCATGACGGCACCGGTCAGGGCAGTTGATCCTAGAGAGCGCATTCGTGCTCCGATACGATCCCGGAGAGGATCCCCCCTTGCTGCAACGGTAACGACTTCTGTTCCCACCCCGCCTGCGACTCAAGCGCAGCATCCGCTGTTTAGTCTCCCGCCAACAGCAACTGGACCGGTTGGGAGCAGCACTTCCACTTCCGGATTGCTTCCTTTTGGCAGACTTCCGCCGGGAGTTCAGATGGGGGCCAGGCTTCCTCCGGGCGCCCCGCTGCCTGGGCCTGCACATAGGACGTGCGAGACACCCGGATGCTCAAATCCAGCTCCACTTGGAGGTGCCGGAGGCATGAAATGCCAACCTTGCTACAAGAGGTCCCTCCAAGATCGGAAGGCCGCCGCGGGGGACTCGATATGTGCACGTCCTGGCTGTGATAACCGTGTCACAAACAAGAAGGTCAGATACTGCAGTACCGCTTGCTACGAGCAAACGACAGCAAACCCAAAAGAAGTGCCCCACCTGCGGCAAGGTGGTTCTCCCAGGCCTGGGAAGATTTTGTGAGGCCCATGTTGTGCGAACCAAGAAACAGAGGAAGGAGTAGGAGCTGGTGGATTGTGCACAGTAGTGTGTTGAGGTGCTGTATATCGGGGCGGGATCAGTTTGTGAGGCCGCTTAGTGAGAATCGCGGCTTATGGGGATGCCGTCAATTTCGACGCGCCCGTCGTACCCTACATCCTACTGTACATATATGTAGGATACGTTGCTACAACGGCGTAGTCAGATTGGTAGCCGAAGAGAAGGTGTAAACATCAATAGCATCTTAACGTGCATTCCGGTGTATCAACGTTGAAATTTCAATGGAAAGTCCGCCGTCCCTCGTATTCACCACAACAAGCGTGTTCCCCACGAACACCTTCACTGTCACTGAAAACCGGGAGCACGGACAGTGGGACACCCAACGCTGGTCGTGCCATAGCACCGGAATTTGGTGGCGCCGAACGGGACTGTTGTATGTACTTGGAGCGGGCCCGTTGCAACCTCCAGAGGTCCCTGAACCTTCGCAGCAAACAACAGGTCACCTTCGAAGCGTGCACCTCCACCACGGACCACCAACGTGAAGATCGTCCCTAGCGGTGAGTTGCCTGCCACGGTGAACGTGGACCTAGAGAACGTGGAACGCTCCCTCACCGTTCTGAGGAGCGAACCGAGGTGGCAGGTGCTGAAGGACCGCACCAAGTTCATTCCAGTCTAAGTAATGGTCAACTATGTAATTGGCAGTCTGTCCACGTTAAAGCGCTTGCGAGGACGTAAGGACGTTAAAGCGCTTGCGAGAATATTATGTAAAGCGTCGTTGAAGTTGTGGATGGAAGTATTCGAGCGTGAAGCGGATGGTGGTTTCGCGTCGTTTTTAGGATAGGCTTTGAGGATTCTCAGGATGCACTAATACTACAACAACGCATGGCTCGGATGTTGATTTGGCTCGCAGAGAGAGAATGCGGGTGATGGAGTGCGAGAATGCGAGTGAGAGAGCGAGAAAGAAAGACGGAGTTGCGAATGAGAGAGCGAGAGTGAGAGTGACAGGAATCGAGGTCGATAGCTTGGATGTGGCGAGGAGACTATAGCGAGCAATCTAAACTTATTCATAACGTCCGAAGAAATTTGTCCGAAGAAAAAAAAAATTGTCCCTCCGAAGAGGGGATCCACTCTAGATATGCGTGTCATCCTTGCACAGGGGCCATGCTAATCTTCTCTGTATCGAAATCCAATATAGTAAGTGTCAGAGGGGTGTTGCCACCCTTGACATTTTATGAGATGAAGTTGGTGGGTGGCACGTTTGATTTGCAATGCCATAAACGAAGAATGGGTACGGAATTGAGCCTGCCCTCGCCCTTCCATCTGTTTCCAACAGGAGCTGTCCCCAGCGGAGGGCGGCAATGCAAATCCGGCAGTCGATTTCACCAGGCGCTACCCCGCAATGTTCTTTTCCGGTGTTTTTCCTGTCCGCATGGAGGTTTGAAGCGCTCGCCGCAAGCCCAGACTGACAGTATTTTAAACCTCAGGCGAGGTCTTCTTTTGACGGGATGTGACGCGTCGCGTTGGAACTTGGAAAGCGTGGGAACAATTCTGGCAAGAGGCCCCCTCCGGCAGGCGCATAAAACGAAGCTAAACCGTCTCCTCAGGGACCCCCATAAGTCATCGTTCGAAAGCATTGTCTCACTTACAAGTCCGAGAACCAACACCCAACCCGGACAGGTCGCACAAACAAAAGCAACGTCCGGCCATGACGGCTATACGCCACTCAGAAGAATGGAGAGCTACTCTGCCTTACAATATTGACGGCGATGGGGAGGCTATGCTAAGGGAGATAAAACAAGGCGTTGCAACCGCCGTAGCAGCGGCGGACTATGCTCCGGGCTGCTTCAGATGGTTCAAGAGGTTGAAGAGGTGGGTGATTGTGAGGGGAAAGGGCAGGGAGGAGGGGGGATTTTGCGGGCGTGGCGGTGATGGTGAGGGTATCGACCGGCGGTTGTCGCTAGCGGAGCCAGCAGGATTTCGTTGTGTCGGCTTGATCAAGATGGCTGCTGGCTACTGTGGATCTCAACCCACACGTTGTCTCCTCCCCACTCCCCATGAAAAATAGTTATCTGGAGCTGAAGTACCCATTGTCACTCGACGACCGCGCCAACTTTGCGCTGATCTTGAACGAACTGATATGTATACCGGAGATGGACCTGAACGTCGTAGGGTTCTTTGCCATACTATTGGCAAAGTTGATCAAGTAAGTGGTGCCTCTGATGATGTCCACTGACCGAGAATGCCTATCGACTGACCGAGCACCTTTTCCCGATCAGGCGAAAGGAGGACATTCCATCAGATCGTATCACCCTGAAATGGCGACCGCTATACAAGCGCATCAAAGATCTATCCACGCCAAAGGACATCTCACGAGTGTCCATGGGCAGCGCCGCAGTCGCTGGCGCCGTCGCATCCGTCGTTTCGCGCGGCAACCGCTTCTTCCCTCCAGAAGCAACCCAAGAAATTCTCGAAGAGCTTCTACCACGCATCAACGCGCACGAAACGGGATGGCTTGCGGTCGCCAAAGCTCTACTCGCAATGCTACTTCCCACCGAAAAGCCCCCTCCTCTTCCAGAGTCCCTCAAATCCACAGCCGGCGTCGCGCCATTCTTCTGGGTCCCGACCCTGTTCTCGCTATGGTCCCTCTCTCGCGGCTCAGGACCGGAGATTAGCATGTTCCTGGAGCTTCTGAGCCGACTGGTGGAAGACCAAGCGCCGTGTCCTTACAATGTTAATTTCTCTGAAGCCCAGGTTCGACAAGTCTTTGCCGCGGGATTGGGAACGCTGCAACTCCCCGTGGGAAGCGGCACAAACGCAAACACGGCTAGTGGCGGGCAGGGCGGCCGGATGGGGTCCATGATGATGAACCGCGCGAACGGCGGTGGAGCAGGTGGTGGTGCCGCGGCTGTGTTGGGGCAGAAGGCGACGGTTGATCCCTTCGCGGGCTTTGTCGTCTGGACTTTCTTTCCAAAGAATGCGCCTGGTGTTCAGTTCAACACTATGACGCATTTGAAGGAGATGATTCAGGCGATTGAGAGTTACTACCATCCGTCGAATTCGGGACAGTGGACGTATCCCCTTACAAGGATGCTTCAGATGCTCGGGTTTCAGTATCTGCGAAGATTACGCTATGGTGCGTGCGTTTGCGCTGTCAGGTTATGACCTGAAGACGTTCATGCTTACAATCTGTGCGTTTCAACAGAGGCACAGCCCGACTGCCCCGTTCCACCCGAATACCGCTTGACATCTGAAATGTCTCACGAATTTGTAACTCTCCTGCGTCCCATCGTTTTCCTCTCAATGTTTGGCAAAGACCAGCTATCTGTCCACTGCTCACATGCCGCACTCAAATACTTTGCCTGGATCCAACCTGCGGAGGTCTTGCCAGGGCTATTGGACCGCGTCTACCCAGCCCTGGAAACAGTCACGGAAAATCATCGGACGATCAGCTGCATCGGCGCATTGACGCAAGTCGCGCTACCGCTATTGAACAGGAAACATTATCCAGAGGGCGGTGCGCATATCCCCGCTTTGCTGGATCTGGTGTTACCCGGCATCGATCCCAACGACCATCAGAAGACGTTTGCGGCGCTGAATTTCATTCGACAGGCGCTTGTGTGCATCCCTCTCGTGGATTTGACAAAAAGCCCGGTGCCGGCAGAAGTCGCGGCGGAGCAAACCATCGAAGACGAGGAGTGTCGACTGGCCACGGCGGTGTTTGAGGACTGGGTCGTTCGGTTCCTCGACAGAGTGTTCCTGGTCTTTGAAAACTTGCCGCAGGAGCACGGCCACATCAAAAGCAAAAACTCGCTAGAATCCTCCATCATCCGCTTGATCAAAGTTACATGCCACCTCGTCTTTATGCAAATGTCGCCCGAGATCGAAGGCATCGCCGTGCGGAAGGTCGCCAATTTCGTCACCGAGAACGTCATTGCAAACGCCACGAAAGCCGTCGGCTCCCTTTGTGGGATGACCGGTACGCCCAAAACACGGTTGGCGACCTTCGTCCCGCTCTGCCACAAGCAAATCATGACTGAGCTGGAACACGGCGCGAGTTCGGATAGCGTCACGCGGTCGTCGTCGTTCCCGTTCGGGTTTGCGGCCATGTCGGACGCCCGCCTGCATTGGCATCAGTGTATCCTGTTCAACGTAGTTGCGCAGAGCGGCGCGGAGGTTCTGAATTGGAAGAAGGAGATCATGGAGGTCGCTGTGGCGAGTATCAAGGCGTGTAAAAGCCAGAGAGGGTGGAAGTGGGCGGGGAAATTGATCCGGCTGGTGGTCAGCAGTTCGTCTTCGACATATCCACTTGAGATGAGGAGCTTTGGGAGCACGGCGTGGAAAAACGAGGCGTTCGTTGCCGCGAGCCACATGCACTGGGGCGAACCCTCCGACCAGAAGAACTTGGATATCGACTGGCACTCCCCGAACGATGAGGAAAAGAAGCTTGCACTGGAAGTGGTGGATGAGCTTGTTCCGCAGGCGTTAGGGGAGCTGAAGCGGTTGTTGGGAGAAGTGCAGGATGGGACGCGGGTTGGCGATAAACGGGTGCATAGCAATGAGATTCAGAAGTGGACGTCGGTTCTGCATAACTGTCTGAGGGGGATGACGAACCTTATTGGACCGGAGGCTCCGCAATCAGAAGTGCACGGGCATTCATCCACTGCGAAGAGCACTGACGTCATGGAAATCGACCCACCACCGGGCGAAGAAGGCTCACACGACGTCGAAGCCGCGGATGAGGAGGAAGAGCGCATGCGAGATCCCCTATCCTGCCGCCTCCCGGTCGCCGCCGGCTACTGTTTCGAACCCGGCACCCCCCAACACGCCCGCGTCCAAGCCCTCCGCGACGAAATAACCCTCTACCTCGAACAAGCATCCCAGACTTTCCGAACCCACTCCGAAGACGACATCGAATCCACCATCCTCCTCATCCGCTGCACCATCACCCTCCTCAGCAACCGCGGGGTCCCACGCACCGTCTACGAGAGCCTTGTCCACGTGTACGCCTATCTGCGCATGATGCTGACGGAAGGCAAGGATGTACCGGACAAGATCGTCCCCCGGTACGTGCGCGTGTCGAAAGCCACGTTGCTGCATCTCGTGAGACTGGAGTATAACGCGGGCTGCGGGCCGGTTGTGGCGTCGCAGAAGCGGCTGGTGAGGGAGTTGGCGGAGTGGTGTGTATCGCGGTATGCGGTGGTGAGGAAGGAGGCGCAGAGGGCGGTTTCGACGGTGTTGCGGTGTTTTCCGGCGTCGGTGAGGAGGGCGGTGTTGAATGGCGCGGTTACGATTGTTGCGTCCGAGGGGAAGCAGAGGGGATGGCTGCCCGCGCCTGCCGCCAATTTAGCAGAGGGGTTGGATGCGAAACATGTGGCGGATATCGAGGCGGATCGGCTGAAAGGCGCGTTGTACCTCCTCAAAGCATCTGCGATGGTCGGGATGGCCGTCAAAGATTATCAACCGCTCAGGAAGGTCCTCGTCGCGCTCGCAAAAGCCTATACATCCGACAAAAAGTCGATCCAAAAACGCTGGGTGGTTCTGTCGAAAGAAATTCTGGGCAGGTATCAAGAAATCGCCATCGGGCTCCCCATCTCGGACGACGCGGTGGCCGCCTCTCGGAAGCTCGTGGACGTCAGTACCGTGGATCAAGGCCTCATAACGAGCAGCACAACACGCGCCAAATCACACGCGGAGAAGAACAGGGATGCGTACAATGGCATGATTGTAGATCTGATCCATATCCTGGAACGCCCGGGGATCCCGATCACGTACCGTTCGGTCCTCGTCAGCTGTGTCGAACTCGTGTTGCGGGAAGACGCACCCGTCCCCGGCGATGTTACGAAGTTTGCGTTGGAGAAGATCAACTCGGACGAGTTGTCGTTGAGGCAGGTCTCGATGCGGCTGTTGCATAAGGTCATGTACATCATCAAGCATCGGTCGAAGGTGTACAGCCCGGAGACATGCCCGGCTGTGCTGTGTACGACACACGAGATGGTGGATCCCCAGGCGGTGCTCAATGGCCCGGCGAAGCGGATCCAAAGTGCGGAGGAGTGGCGCACGACGGTATTTGTGGACGACATGAAACCAGGGTGGCTCTGCTGGCCTGCGAAGGTCAAAGTTCGGCGCGGTTACTCAGGAGCGGTTGCGTCTGATAGTTTCCAATTCAACGACCCGGAGTCGAGCGAGAGTATCCAGCACCTCACGACGCAGCTCACATCGAACGACTTCTGGACGTTATACTTTAAGTTCCGCTCGCTGGAGAATGCGGGAGGCGGCGGAGGAGCTGAGGCTGCCACCGCGGTAGGGAGCGCACCCGCCGAACGCTTCCAGAAATCTGCCGCTGCCGTCTACGCGTATGCATGCACCATCATCGGACCACGTGTACTTGAATCCGTGAAACCGTTCGTCACGCAACTCTCCGAGGCGCCAGTTACAGACAAAGCCGCGCAGCGGGCGATTATGGAGGTCGTCGCCGGCTGCCTGGCCGGGTCCAAGTACTGGCGGTTCGAGGACGTGCAGACGTGGGTGTGGACGTGGGCTACGGAGATTGTGCAGAAGGGCTTACAGATTGCGGACACGGAGACGTTCGCGCTGTGGGCCCCTGTGCTGCGATACGGATTGGCGCAACGAGATCCTAGCCGACATCTTCCGTTGATCACCAGCCTGCTCTCGCAAACCTTGGATCCGACATCGCAGTCGTTTTTCACGGAGTCGAAGAAATTGACTACTGCTCGCATGATACTTACGACTTACAACTGGCGGATTGTATCGCCGTCGGCGTCGACGTCGATGGTCACTGAGTCGCATGTAACGCTGCCATTACCATTGGGCGAGCTGCTGAAAACGTATCTGGCTGCCTTGGGACATCCGTACGAGCAAGTCCGTCAGAACCTCGGCGCGAATATTTCCGCTGCCGTTAGCGCCGCGTGGGCCATTCGGGCAAAGGACGTGGCGGCCGTATTTGATCTTTCTAGACCGCAAGTCACGGGAGCGAGTGGGCAAGCGTTCATGCCCACCGAGCTGGATGCGGTTAGCCGACCAGTTGTTGGAGACCTGGTTAGGCAGCTGGTCACGCTTCGAGAGAGACTAGCCACGAGTGGCGAGAAGGAGGGAACTAGTGAACAGGGTTTGGAGTATAAGAACGCTGGGATGACGGGTAAGCAGAAATTTCTTCTTCCAGGTGGCATCGATCCTTTCTAACTTCCCAACTCCATTACTGTAGTTCTATCCTGGCTCTCGAACTCCCTGATGTCACCAACAGTCGCCAGTCACTATGCCTACATTCCGCACCTGATGCCGGAAGTCCTGCAGATGCAAGTCTGGGGCGACCAAGACCTGCAACGTAGTGCTCAACTCATGTCGCAGCTGTACGTCAATCTTCCTCACCCCGACACGATGGTACCGGCAGCGCTGGATATGCTGCTCCGCACCAGCAGTCTGAATGCGCCAGCACCCGCGGACTCGACAATGGTGTTGAGTCCATCGCCAAGTCCTCTCGTACGATGGCAGCTCAGGTGGCGAGTCCTTCCACTGCTCCAAATCTTTTATTTCCGGCACTTGTTCTACATTCAATCCGATGTCGCCCTTCGGGTCGTGGAAGGCGTCGTAGATCTCCTGCTAGCCGACCCACATGTGGAAGTCCGCCAGCTGGCGTCAGTGACCCTCGCCGGTCTCATTCGATGTTCGCATCGAGACGCCGTGATGCGTTTGAAGAAGAAATTCGAGAAGCTCCTGAAGAGCGCGCCGTTGCCCTCCCGCCGTCGACGATCAGATGCATCGTCTCCAACGTCTCCTGAAGCCTCGGAAACGTATCAGCAGACTTTGCAAAGGCGCCATGCTGCTGTTCTTGGTCTGAACGCCCTGGTACAGGCCTTCCCTTATGAGGTTCCGCGGGATTGGATGCCCGACGTGCTGGTCACGTTGTCTATGTGCGTGGGAGACCCTGTTCCCGTTGGATCTGCCGTTCAGAAACTGTTTGCCGAGTTCAAGCGAACGCATCAGGATAAGTACGGATTCCTGCTCGTTTTACGTACTGCGTCCTGTCGTCCGCGTATTCTAACTGCTTCCCTCTTCCTACTTTATCAGCTGGCATGAAGATCTGGAAGCATTTGATGAAGATCAGAGGGAGCGCTTGGCTGATTTGTTGATTTCCCCTAGTTACTATGCTTGATTTTGGATGTAGCCGCTTTCTCCCCTCTCAAATAGTCCGCTCGCCAGTGGAAACTCCCTGCCGATAGATGTGCATACCTTGTATCTTATGAGCTAGACCAAATATCTGTGACTTAGCATTTGAGTTAGACGTGCCTAATTTCGCGCTGGGGTCCCCGTTTGATTTGCCTGCCAAAGTCTGGTTCTGCTACAGTGGACTGCGAATGGAGGTACATGTGTGTCGACATTGGGATGTCCGCTTCAAAAGAAAAATATGTATTCACGGGCGTTGACAACCGAGCACAAGATATCAAGTACATGGCGAGTGAGACCTCTTCCATTTCATGATCTAAGCTATCTTCCACGAGATTCATTGAGACTATATATGAGGATTCACCCATCAAGTCCGTCTACTGGAAGATGTGTACGCCGCTAGATGGTTTGCACTGGCCCAGATCAAACGAGGCCTTCCTTCCCGACTCATAAGTCACTTCAAACCTAGCTCCCGGAACAAAAAGCGGCCGGCCGCCGCTGTTGAACTGGAACCAAGCGCCGTTGGCCCACGTTCCTGCTACGCCGGCGAGGGTAGCTGATTTGGGAATTTCGGTGCCTGTGTTGAGCACCCCCAAGCTGTAATAGTACGGCGACCCACCGCCGCTGTTCGGGCGGGTATAGCACACGGGCCCGGCGCCCGCCAGCGGGTTCCTGCCTGACAGCTTGACCGAGCAATCAGCGACACCAGGCGGCTTCCCACCCGTCGCCGTCTTCCACGTCCTAGCGATCAAATCCACTCCACACGAGTCACTGCCCAGATTACAGGTGGATGCGATGACCGCGTCAACCGATTGACCGCCGCATTGGATCGTCAGCACTTTGCCGCACAGCCCGGGGCGGTAGATCAGCCCGCCGAGATCGCGGGATTGGCCGAGGGCCACGGCGTCGGGGATCGTGTAGGTGCCTTCGGGGACTTGACATCCGCCGCCGTCGGATTGGGTGGACCAGTAGGTGCCTCTAACGGCGGAGGCGGGACGGATGGTAGCGAGGGCGAAGAGGGCGAGGGCCGACAAATTGAGAGAGGCAAACATGTTGATGAGGGGTTGATCTGATGGGCCTTCGTTAAACTTGGTTTGATTCTACAATATGCGATGTATCAGGTAATGACAAGACCTGCGTGTGCCTTTGACCGAATAGCTAACGACGGACAGATGGACGGATAACGTAGATATCATTAATGGAAAATATCGGTGAACATTCCACCGCTCACCGCTTTTATAACCCCGCTGGTGGCGTCGACGGTCGCCCTCTTGGAAGTCCAAAAACGCTGTCAAGTGCTTTGTGATCTCGACACCCGGTGAAGTACCTTTGTTGCAGGTTCTTCCCACATCTAGCACTACCATTTTGCAGTATGTGTAGGCCCCCACATGGCCCGTGGGACCAATCCCAAGCTCCGTCTACGGTGAAGAACAACGGTAGTGGTCCAAATGTCGAAACCCACGCGCGTACTGTCAGGACGGTGGGCGTCGGCGACCGATGATCCCATGTTGTCGGGACCCTCGCGTGCGTCGCGCTGTCGAAACTCGTTATATTCCAATACTGAACAGAAGGCTCCGCGCAATTGTTTCGACAGCAATCGTTTATGAGGTGAAAAAAAAGCGGCGTATACAAAAGCACTATTAGGTAAATACTCCAGGATTAGACCGGGTGGGAATGTAGGCAAAAAACAAAGCACAAGAAGGGTTCAGAGGAAAAATGAATATACATGAGCATGTCTAAAAGGCGGGAAATGCAAAAGTGGTCGATGAAAAACGTATGTGGAGTGGAAACGGGAAGAGGTGCATCCGGGGAAGGGAAAGTAAGCCTGGGACGGTGATAGGCGATGATGGAGGGGGCATATACGTCGCGAGTAGAGCGGAAGATACGCGAGCACGTCCTGATATGGGCGTTCTTTACATGATAGTGCATCCCTTGCCCTTCTTCTTTTTGTCTTTGGGCGCTTTGCCGGGTTTCTTTCCCTTCGCAGGTTCTGGGGCCGGAACGGGGGCGGCGACGGTATCGGGTTCCGCTGCGGGTGCGACAGGCGTGGGTTGTGGTGGTGCAGTGACGGCGGCGGCGACCGCGGCACTGTCGGCTGGTGTGAGGGAGGTGCTGGTTTTCGGTGACCGGCTGAACCGCTTGTTCTTTTTGGCGGTCGACGTGGACGCCCGTGGTGTATATGCTGGATCTCCGTTTGCGAGTTGTATTGCGGCAACCTTCTCAGCGAGTTCTTTTACTTTTCCTTTGGCTTTCTCGTCACCCGCCGCCGCGGCACGTTCGTACCATTGTAGCGCAATCGGGATGTCGACATGTCGCGATGGAGCTGGGTCGGTACTCCTCTGTTGTTCATGCTCTGCGGAACCTTCGGGGAGGTCAGCCTTGTGTGCGTCTCCTTGTTGCTGCCGTTGTTGTTCTTCGGCCGGATATGTATCGCGGCCTATCCCCATTTCGCAAAAGTATCCCATCGCAAACATGGCCTTTGGCAGACCACCTTCCGCGGCGAGCGAAACCCATCGGTAGGCTTCGGCATCCGACTGTACGAGGGTGAAAGCTGTTGCTGGATCGGATACACCAGTGAGATACCAGCCTCCCAGCTCAAACATCGCCTGATTGATAGCAAAAGGAAACACTCGTAAGGAAGCTGTTCACGTTAACAAACCGGCAATCCAACAAACATACCTCCAGATTGCCATTCGCAGCTGCCAAACTGTAGTAGTAAACACTGCGTCCGGGGTCCACATTCACCGAGTAATAACCATACTCATAAGCCTCTCCCAACTTGAACTGGCACCCGCCATGTCCTAAAGCGGCACCCTGTGTCAACAGCTCCACCAGGTAGTCGTGATCTTGCCACACCACATTGTGAACGCCGCGATCGTGCAGGATGGCAAGCTCGTAGAGGGCTTGGGGGTATTTCTCGGTGGCGTACTTGGCGGCCAGCTTGAGCCACTTGACACCGTCACGAGGGTTTTTCGACTGGTTGAGTTCGCCGCGGAGGAGACACATGCCGAGACGGAACATTGCACCGGGGTGGTTACTGGAAATCAAAACAGGGACATGTTTAGTCACCAGCAAAGTTATGTCAATCACTTCCAGAATGTGATATGCTTACCTGACAGCGGCCTTGCGATAGTTGTGCAAGGCGCGGTTATTGCTCTGTCCCACTCCAGCTCCTTGCTCATAGCACAATCCAACGTGAAACAAAGCCTCAGGGTGGTCCTTCTTTGCTGCGGACAAGTACAACTGGAACGCTTTTGAGTAGTCGGCCTTGTGCTTTTCTTGGAAACCAGGGATACCGCTGATGTACAGGTTGGCGAGGAGATACTGGGAATCCACCAGGCCTGCAATTGAAAGCTTCTTCAACGTCTTGATGGCGAGTTCACATGTCAGCTTCTGCTCCTCCTTATCGATGAACTGCACATTGTCAACTATGAAACGAGCAGCCTCGAACGATTGTGCTTTGTCTTTCGATTTCTTTGCCTTCAGTTTCATGTACTCCATACGCTGAGGCAGGGAAGCGTTCGCGAAACCGCGCGAGATCTCTGACCCGATATCGGACTCAGCATCGGAGCTGGTACCGTCCACTACGCTGGAGTCGCCGATGGACATGCGACCGGGGTTTTCCGAGCCACTGTCGTCGCCGGAGAATAACGAAGGGACCAGGGACTGCCGACCCGTTGCGAGGAGTCTTCGAGGCGGGATGGCATCGGAGGACTCGACGCTAGATACAGATTCGGCATAATCGTCACCGCCTAGCATCTGGCGACCGTTCTCAACAGGGCTGTCACACATAGTATCCGATTGTGCGAGAATCTTTTGGCTCGACGGGGCAACTCTGCTTAATGCTTCGGAGGAGCTTTTCGCGCCAACTTTCTTCTGCGGTACAGAGAGCGGGGCCGGAGGCAGGGGGACCGAGAGGGGCTGCGGTAGGTTGCGATGTTCCGGAGCTGGATTTTCTACTCCCGCCACATGTGCTGTCAAACTCTGAGCCAAAGTTCCGGTGGGTACTGGAGTATCGATCGTTGGCGACCGTTCATGTTGGGATACGGGGTTTTGGCGTCCGTTCTGTGATGAGGAGGTGGTCGTACTCGGTATGCTAACCGTCTTGTCGGCCAGGGACGCATTGGACTGTGCTCCATCTCTTGACGAAGAGGTAAGCTGAATTTGACCATTCCTCACTTCAAGCAACAGTGGATTGGCGGACGTCGGTGAGGGAATAGGGCCGTTGGATGTCTGAGTGGCCGACCGCGGTCGAGGCGACACGAACTCGCTTTCCTGGCGAACTTCAGGATTGACGTCTCCATTTTCCGTTCGCACTTGGCTCTCCGGCGAACGGTTGTTACCGGATTCGTCACCGTCGAGAAGCGGCGTTTCCCTTAGCCACTTCTCCACGACCAATTTCGACTTTGTAGTCCTGGACCCTGTCGCTATTGGGACTGGGACAGCAGCTGCCGGCATTCTGACAAAGACTTTGTCGGTGAGGTATAGAGTTGTTTGACGCGGACTTTCGGCACAGAGAGCCTACGCGGTTCGGAAGGTTGGGAAAGGTTTTTCGAAGGTCTATCCAGGGAGTGTAAACACAACAGGGCAGCTCGTGCTTCCTAGGCGAAATTGAACTGGCGTCGGGCTTCTTTACTATGGCGACAAAGACGCAAAGCGAACGTCAGTACTTGCGAGCAGTAGCAATGCGAACTTGAAGGCCACAGCCTCGGCCGGCGATCCCTCACCTGCACAGTCGCAAGGTTTTCGACGTTACCTGAGAGAAGTCTCAAAGCCCAGTTGCTGGCGATGTGGCGTTTGGAGTTTGACGTGACAGAGAGGTATTAGGCTGGTGGTGGGAGTACCTCGGTTGACGGTATTTCATACACGGCTCAAAGGTAGCCGGATAGTGAATGGGTCTGGAGCGTAATTGAAGTGAAAGGACAGGAGGATAGCAGCCTGGCAAAGTTTTGTGTGCGGTGGTGAGTGGTGGGTTTTTTGCCGTTGCAAGTGGGAAAGAAGCGGGAAGCGAGTTCAATTCAAGCGACAGCAGGAAGAATTGCGCGACTCCCGTCTCGCTTTTCACAAGGCCCTTTGGCCGACAGCCGGGCGTCCTTCCACTTCATACTACAACATACGGATCCTCCTAATGAAAATCATACTGACGGGAGAGAGCCAGAACACATCATATCCGATAATATCGATATAGACACAGGCCGTTTCTGAGGTTCCCTGTCGTTGACGGTGGCCGTCGCCACGTTGTTGTTAATTGCCAACTGCGAGCTTCTGTTCAAAAACGCCAGCGAGCAAGAGAAGGAAAGAAGGCTGACGTGACGGCGGGTGCAAAAAGGGATTTGGCTGTCAGGGGCTACCTGGTTCCAGGCTTATTACACCAAGCAAGCACAGCAAGCAAGCACGTTTTGGCCTTTCCCTTTGTGAAGTAAGGGCTTAGGGCACATGGTTTGCATACCCATTATTCGGAGGTCGGAATGATGACCAAGCCCCGTTTCGACACGGCGACACGTCATAATCCGTCATTGTATACCACGATGTCTCACATTCCGACGGCGATCCTCGTTTGCTCTCCTTGTTCAAGTTGCCCCAGCTTGCGTGCCCGTCTCCGCGCATTCATGTTCACATGAAATCAAATGTCACTCTGCCCGCCAATCCACGGGCATTCAAAGGACATATGCCAGGAAGTGCGTGCAGCACATGCTCGCAGTGGTCCGTGATAAAATGCATGGGCTGGAGGAGCGTAACGTTAGAGTACGAAGGATGCAGACCTTACCTTTAGAGCGTTGACATACAGTATTTCGCCGCTTGGTCCGCAGCATCCTCGTGAATCCATCCTCGCTGATCTACTGCGTCGGCAACATCACCGTTTTCAAGAGGGAGGCGAGATGGTTCACTATTAGCCATCCTCCAAATCCATCCGCGTCCACATAACGAGCGCAAGGTATCGAAACTCGAAGGCCCCCAGATTCGGTATGATGATTTGGTTATATTACGGTAAAGCTTTCTCTGTGCTCAATTCGGTCGCTGGTCGCATCTACTTCTTGTTCTTCAACTCAGCCTCACGGTCGTGAATGTATCGGTTCTCAGACGCAGCTTCCCTCTTGCTGTGAGTAGATAAATCATATTAGCGAACACCCAACGAGATCGAGCATCTCAAATTGACAATGTACTCACGACAAAGCATCGGTTCCACTAGCACCAGTACCATAGACGTTCTTGTTGTCCTTGAGCTCCTTGTGGAACTCCGGGTCAACGTGAGGCGCGGCATCGAGCTTCTTCTTGGCCTCAGTTTCCTTCAGAGCCAGTTGCTCGCGCAACTTCTTGATGGTCGCTTTTTCTTGCTCCCATGCGTAACCTGGGACAGAGGAATAAGATCAGGATCAGGTTGGCTTTTATTGGTAGTGAGGGTGCGCAGAAATAAGGCATTTGATTGGCCCCGGTATCGGAACTCCTAAGACGCCGGCCATCGTCCCAACCATCGGCGATTCTCTACTCAGAACCCACTACATGGCACACTCGCCATCATCCATCGCCCTCCTCCTTCCCCCCGACGCCCGGTAAACCTACGTTCTTCCTACAAGACATAAACAAAATGTCAGGACCCAATCATTCAACCGTCAACTAAAAGCATAAGGGAAGATCACCAACCTCAGTAATTTCACGCTTAGCGAAACCGCCTCCTGCTGCCCTGACAGACATAGCGCGGACAGGTGTAGCGAGGTGGATAGCCAGCGGGGTGCGGAGAGTTGCGATGCGAGAGAAGGACATAATTATGGTTTGTGTTTTCTTGTTTGTGTGTGATGAGGTAGCTGGAGGTTTTGGCTGAGTTGCGTCGAACGGTCGTTCAAACGCAGGTCAAACGTCACCTCGGAGCTGCGTTCATTAAAAGAGCACGTGACACGGACCGCATGTTACCATGTTACAGTACCTCGCAAAAGGCTGTGCACCCGTGAAATAAATCAGCGACTACCGTAACGCCACATTCAAGTGAGGACCGCGACATTGATTTCAATTAGAGGGGGTGCACAGCTTTTTGCTAACTGACTGCACTGTACATATTTCGACTTGGACAAGCTCGACAAACTCTGGACGTCGCTTTTGGACATTGGGATTCCGTCGTAAGAGGTGGAGTGAAGCGGACCCTCGGTACACGGACGACGCTTCAACTGCTTGAACAGAACGCCCTCGAAACGAACCCCGTTGAAAACCTACGAGCATACTCACCGCATACCGCAGAATCTACGCAAAGCCCCTCGTGTCAGGAAAGAATTTGAAGATGGCGATTTCGGACACAACAACACGGCTGTTTATACAAGCCTACTTGCGGCACCGAATACTACCCGAGACGGCGGTAAAGGCGCTGCATGCGAAGGTCTGCGCCCTCAGTGAAGGTATCCTTCAGCATAGTCGCCTTTGCTTTGGCCACGAACTTAACCAAACTCCACCATGCAGACCAAGATGCCCTCGAAGACTTCCCGAGTTTCATAGGAGAACTCAACCGACGGGTGGATACATTTAACATGGAACTGCGGCGGGGGCATGAGGCGAGCACGGGAAAGCAATTCTACGCGCTGGTGAACACGAATGGGGACGAGCTAGCGCAACAGGCGACGGAGTGCTCGCCGGCGGAGATTGCGTATTTTAAGCATTTGGTAAGGAGGGTGCAGAGATGTTCAGCGGCTGAAGACTTCGGAGGGGAGCCGAGTGAGGAGGTGTATAGCCAGGTTGCTGACCCTGGGTATAAACCCGTAGGTGGATGTGATAATCAACGCCGACGACGACGTCTACGAACTGTCCTCCACAGCAGCACTGTCAGAAGCAAGCCAGATGACACCAGCAATGACGAAACGGGATGCGCAGGCCCTTATCGACCGCCTGATCGACAACCAGTGGCTGGTGAATAGGAATGGACTCTTGTCCCTGAGCTTACGGACGACGCTCGAGCTGCAGACGTATCTGAAGGAGGAATACCAGGACCGGATTCATGAGTGTACTATGTGCATGGAGATGGTGACGAGTGATGTAAGTGACAGATTTGAACGTCATGCGAACGATTTCGTTAGGACCCCGCCCATGCCTCCATTGGGCTAACCTCTCCCCGGCAGTACGAACGATGCACAGTAGCAAACTGCAAAGCCCGCCTACACGCCTACTGCTCACGAGTCTACTTTACGCGGCAAAAAGTCAAAAAATGCCCAACGTGCAAGTCACCGTGGCATGGTGATGCGTTGGGGACGGGCAGGCCCAGACCCAGCGGCAGCAGCACCAAGAGTGGACGACAGGCAACGAACGGGATCAAGAGGGACAGGGATGCGCTTGATGAGGAGGAGGGCGAGGAAGAAGAAGAGGGTGACGAGGATGCGATGGAGTGAAGTGCATGATACGGCGTGCGAGGGTTTGCATTCTAGACGGGGCACATGTGCTTGTAGATTTAAGCGTATTCTGTATATACGGCGTAGCCAGGCTTTCAGCCTGTCGACTCAATCGGTTGAATGGTAAATATCATATTACGATAACTACCATGAATTTCCGAGTCAGTGAGTGAGCAAATGGGTCATACTTGCAGGGCGCCTGCATGGATGTTCGTATTCACGAAAACGATTAGAAGCGATCAACCCGACCGGCAGTAAAACACATAGCTTCTAACGGGAGCTTCCGAGGCGAAACGAAGCAAGTGGCAAAAGGGTTAGGGAATGGGACAAATTCCAAAAATGAGATGTGGTGGGCCAGGATTCGATGTACAGTACGCCATGTCGACTCGTTTCCACAGCCAAATGTTGCCCTGTATGCAGAAACCTGAGGCAATCCCTTCAAATCAATCGCCATGATCGCCGGATGACTTGATGAGATCTACTCGCAGTGAGCCTATCTCGTTTCTGATTTGTAATGGAACAATGCGATTAGCGGTGGGCGTATATGTTTGGGCTGCCAGGGTGAGGTCACGAAGCAGTCAGGCGTACCTCTCCACAGCAATCTTCCGCCGGATCTCTTGCAGCTCCCGTCTCAATTGAGTTTCCGGCACGCTAACCCCCGGCAAAGCTTTCACTAGCTCATGCGCATCCTTGATCTTCTCCTTCAGAGTCCGTATCTGCCAGTGGAAAGGAACAACCCTCGGTCAAATCCCATCTCTGTCGTTTCGCAGGCGTCAGAGCTCCAAGTCAACGCACCAGTCTTTCCACCCGCGCAACCGAATCCCCTCCCGCCGCCGCCCCTTGCTGCCCGCCGTTCGCCAGCAACCCACGATGCATCTCCCGCATGGCCTGCACCACCATCGTCTCGAAATCGAACGCGTGTGGGTCGACCCCGGCGTGATGGGACGACGCCTCACTCTCGTCGCCCGATGTGTATTCCGACCCGCTATCTGATCCACCCGCGTCTTCCTCCGCCGTGTGTTTAGTTTTGGCCGTGGGAGTATCACCATACGCCCCTCCTGCTATCCTCGGTGACTGCACAGTCCCATTCGCGTTCGTTATTGATGGTGTGTTGGCCATCGGTGCTGGTGGTGGCGGAGGTGCGGGGAACCTGTATCCGACGACGTTGGTAGCTTGGGGTTCCTCCCCTTGCCCTGCTGGTTCGGGCATTCTATGAAGAGAGCGAGTAGCGCCGTGGCCGAGCATCCAAGCGGGGGATTCGTCCGGGCTATCTGTGACGGAAGAGCATAGGTGGCGGAGGCCAACGGAAACGGCAATGCGTGGCAGGAAAGGTCACCCGAGCCTTCCGAATTCCCCAGAACGTTGAACTCGTTGAATGCTTTCGTTTCGCTCTGAAGGGGAATGGACGAAAGTCTCGAAAGTTCTTGGAGGTGTTGGCGCAGGTTGGCGCGTCCTTAAGCCTTGAGGAGCTTGAGGCTTTCCCTGGACTATAGATTCGTGACCGGCCAGCGTTGAACAGCTTGAACCTCCTCCTGGCATCGCCGCTAACCCTACAGTCATGGTCCGCTTCAAGAACCGCTACCTTCTCGTCCAAATCCACTTCGACGACCAGCCGCAAACAAGCTGGTCCAACGCCAAAACAGCCGACACTTCCTTTGACGGGCGAACACTCCACTACGCCCTGAAAGACAGCCTCCTAACGAATTTCGGCGACCACGGCGCAGGAAAGACAGCAGCCTCCACCAACGTAAAATACTACTCGCCGCATACCACCACCGGGATCGTGCGGTGCGCTCGTGATGATCTAAGTTTTGTCTGGGCTGCGTTAACGTTGATGTCGAAAGTGAAGGGGCCTGGGAATAAGACCTATAGTGTTACTGTTAGGGTTATGCATGTTTCGGGGACTATCAAGTCTGCGCAGACAAAGGCTATCAAGTTTGATACGGAGCTGATAAGGGATATGGTGACCACGGGTGTTCTGCCAGGTACGTTCGTCAAATCTGCTCGGAATATATGAAAGGATTGCGTTTTGACTCTGCTTCGTCTATCCAACAGTGGCAGAGTCGCAGGAGCTGATGACGAGGGTGAAAAAGGAAATCGAGGCTTTGGAAATGTAGGCGCCAAAATAGTCGGCGTAGATTTCCATCATCGAGATCGCACGTATGAGGGTACGAACAAGGATGCCCAAAGTTGCGTTTCCATCGAAGGAGCGGCTGTCCTCGTTCCCATTCACGCTGAAGTCGAATAGACCCCGGGCACTCTAGTGCTAGAAACGAGGGGACGCGCTCCCACACACGACGGATGACGGACGACCGTTTCGGTGGTTATCGCTAGATTTCGCGTCCGTATGCCTTTCCTACGATTTTGGAACGAACGGGGCCCACCGGGTGGGAGCCACGTCTCCCAACCCCGTACAGGTGGAGGATTCGGATCGCAGTTTCGCCAGAAACTCCTCGGCGCGCGATGGCTTCGACTGGATGATTGGAGCCCTTGACCATTCTAGGTAGCGTGACAGGGAACTATCTGCATCCTCTCGCAAGTTCGAGCGAACGGAGCGTTGGGCATATTGCAGCTCGCCAGGCAAAGACCCCACTGGGCTATGCGAGAAGTGAGTGAAGCCTCAGCCATTTGCGAAACCGGTAAACCACAGTAGAGCAGTCGCATATCCCGTCCGCGCGCACCGGAATGCGACTCCCATAGAGTATATACATGATAGTGATTCAAACCCAATCTCGCCGTAAATACATGCATCGATACATGCAGATCCATATGTACAAAAACGTAAAGGCTTCTCAACTCTCTTCGTAGTGACAGGATGCCCTTTCAGTAGTGGGATGGGCTTTCTCACCCTCCTCTCCCGTCAGACAAACTAGATAAATTAGCCCAAAATCTACATGCATGGACGGGCGCCCGGCCTCGCAGGATCGCGGTCCGTACGTCGAAAAAAGGTCGGAGTCCGGATCGACAAGAGACGCGGCGCGGTAGCTCAAAGCATCGGACTCCCTCCATCCCCACTGCCCAGCATCGGGGTCTCCGGCAACGCACTCAAATCATACAACGACGAAAGCGGCGTCCCCGAATCCATCGTCATCGCCGAATCCGGCGCAAAATCCGAGTCCATCAGCGGCAATGAACTCAATGTCGATGTCGGGTCAGCCGCAACGGGCGGTGCGTTGTCGTCCACGTCATCCAAGTCGACGTCCCCACTTAAAAGTTTCAGGAGCTTCATCTTGATAGCTACCTTCTTCAGTTGCGCGTCGATAAGGGCTTTGACGAGTATGGAGATCTCGTCGTTCTCATATTTCGCGTAATCTTTTGCTCGTCGGCGGGCCGTGTCATGCATGCGTTGGACGGTTTTGGGGGATGGGGTATATGCATGTGAGGTGGAGGCTGGTGCGGGATTTCCTTCCACTTTTTCCACCTTGAGCACGTCTGTTCCGTTACTTTCGGCCGTCTTCACTACTTTTTCCGCTGAAATCTCCTCTCCAATTTCCCGCAGCACCATATGTGCACAGTCAGCAGCAATCCCAGGCGAAACGACGCTCGTCGTCGCAGCCAAGAACGCCATCACAGGATTCGCAGGGGTATGTTCAAAAACACGTCGCGCTTCCTCCCTTTGCTCCTCAGCGGACGCAGCCCCGCATTTAAGGAACTGTACGACGCACTCCTCCACCGGCCGTTTAAGATTCGCCGCGACGGCCGCCCACTTTGTTTCCGTGACGAGCTCGGAATGCGTGGAGAGGTGGTTGAGAAGCAGTAGGGATTCTTCCTGCGTCCAGGGCGTGCTTGGGGGATGCCGTGGGGATGGGCGATATCTCCGCCTGCCATCATCTTCTAGTCGCGCGGTGACATATGCTTCGGGTCGCCCCACGTTGTCAAACCCACCTCCGTCGAAGCAGCCATCGTCATCATCGTCTACGAGGGTGAAGTGGTCGCTGGGGAGATCGGAGGGGAATCGGCCGGTGAGGAAGCAGTCGACGCAAAGGGTGATATGTGGTCGGGCTTTTTGAACATAATGATAGGAAGGTTTTATGGGTTCATGGCAGGTTTCGCAACGCTGATCTGATGATGCCTTCCGGGTTTCTTCATCTTCCGTTTCGACCTCAGTAGCTTTACCGGGTATCGGAAAGAAGGTGTAAACAAAATCGGCGCTGACGCCGCCGTCAGTGTCATTGCGATCTTCTCCCCGTAGATAGCTTGCGTACACGGATCGCACGCCGGTGGGCGGCGACTCGGTCGTCTGAAGATTGATCAAACCCCAGTGTTCCAGAAACCGATGGACCGTGGACACATCTTCGATTGGTGCGGTGTGAAGGTGCCGAGCACATTCCATTATCGATAAATATTTCGAGGGATTCCTCCGATAGGCTATGATGATGCTATTTCGAAGGTACATATATGTTGTGTCGTCACGAACGTACTTGGATGGCGATTCGGAGTCCGAGTCAAGCCCGGACTCCCGCGTAGATCGTGACCACGGTTTGCCAGAGAAAAGTTCAAACAGGTTTGTGCGTTCGACCTCATGTATCGAGTCCAGTGAGAACCATGTGGCCTGATTGGGGTATCGCGAATCGTCAAACTCCGGTAGCGATTCTCCATTTATGTGAGGAGTCGAGTTTGCGATCGTATTTATTCGTGACACTGTAGATATACCGTTGGCGCCATCGCCCGAGGGCGTTGATGTTACGTCGACGTCCATATTAGTGAGGCTCTCGGCCTTCAAATGGGCGGGGTCTTGATCTGATTCCTCCACGTCCCCGTTGGCTGTTTGCGTTGGTTGTTCCTCCTCTTTCACCTCTTCCTCCACCCAAAACGACCATCGCTCCGCTTCTGAGAAATTGCCTTCGATCGACTGAGCAGTTCCACGCAACATCGGCATACACATGGTGTGCGATATGTTGTGTATCACACCTCCCACGTGTGGCCGATACTCGTACTTCTTCGCCCTGACCCCTTTCTGGTCCAGATCAAGTACATGCACATGTGGCACGGGAGCCGGCCCGAGATTCGTTCGCCATTCCGACCCCGTCACAGACATGAGATCGTCATCCTCATCAATATCGACCAAGTCTCCACCTATAGTGCTGGCGGCCGGTTCGGGGCTCCCAAGATAGGATCTCGATTTGAAGCTTTTGATGTCCTCATCAACGTCTTCTGATGCGTAGTCGTCGTTCCCATCCTCAGCTTCCCCGTCTACAGACTCCCCAGATAGATCATCTGCACCGGCGACGGGCTCATCCGCGGGCTCAGGATGCTCCGCTTCGTAGTCTTCTTCATTCTGGAGAGAGGCCGGGGACCGGCACGTTGAGAAACTGGAAACGTGATTGCAGAAGCATTGGTATATAATGACTCACCATCCACTCATTGTTTTCGTAGCTATCTCGTAACCATCGAACGGAAAGATGCCATGGCCCTTCGTGTTGTGGTGCTGGCTGCGCTTTCGGTCGTCAACACATGAAGAGCGCTGAAGGATCTCCGCAACGTGAGCCACTCACCTCTGGTTCTAGGTACTCTCCAGTGTCTGGAACCCAAACATCTGCAGAATCTGGCTTATACCTGTTGTGCAGCAACTATGTTACAATCCATGTGTCGGATCACAAACTTATAGGTCCATCGCTGGCTTCCAGAGAGCCATCAGACATCCAGCCGTACCAGTAATGGAGGAGGACGTGATCGTTCCGTTTGTCAAGGGTTCGGTACCATTCTTGCTCGGTGCTGTGTTGACTGCTTTGTCCACCCTCGTGCTCTCCAGCGTGCTGAAGTATATGAGTGACCTTGGAGGTCAGATGTGGTACCACTTTGGCTGGTGGGAAAATGTCAGATCGCCGGTCATATACTGTGCTCTTGCGCAAGGGGAATTCCAACCTTTGAGCGCGACAGCCAGCTCTTGAAGTTCAGCTCTTTCCTCGTCCTCTATTTTGCTGCTGAACGCAATAACTGGGTCTTTGAGCCACCCTTCCTTCCGCAGGGCGTCTACAATTGCAGCTATACAGCCCAGATGCAAGGCTTTTTTTGCCACGTTATCAAAGTCCCATTTCTTCATCTCGTGATCATGTTTGAAGTCATAAGCCGTCCTCAGCATCAGATAGAGGGGCCCGTCCGCAGCGTAGTTCTTGAACAAGCGAGCAGGAATCCGTGGGAAAACAGCTGCATCTTGGCCAGCAGCCCCGAGGGGCGGGGCCCGGCCGAGATGTGCCCGTTGGAACTGCTGCAGCTTGTTCACGCATTTAGCGAGGTCCTTTGTAGCGGGGGTGATGGACTGCCTGAGGACCTTTGCGAGTTGGGAGTGGATGCGGTCGAATAGCGAGTGGGTTGAAGCTTTGAAAGAAGCTCTGCTGCTGCTGCTTGAAGAAGTCTTTGTTGAAGCCATGCTCCCTTTCGGCCCGCACACACAGGTCCGTATTGCTTGTCCGTGTCGCGAGAGGGCCCTCTCAGTCCAGTCCCCACTGACTGACTGAGGGCGAGACCATAATGGCCGCGCATATGTATGCACAAGCCATCCTGCGCCTCTGCTGCGCCACGGGTTGGATTGAGTCAAGGACTTCGCGGTTCGCAGCTTCGTAAGGAGTCGTAAGGTGCATCCTGGGAAAGTCACTGAATCCAGCGACCATCTCTTGCGCGATTTTACCAATTTCCCACGCTGGATCCACAACGCCTTTCCACTGTGAGGGGCCTTATCTCTCTGTCCTGTATATTGGCAGTGAGCGCTGCACTATTTTTTGATACACTTTGGCTGGTCGGTCTCGCTGGGCTTTGGAACAAAAAAGGGGAGCTTGGTCCCCTTCCTTCCTGCCTTGTCGAGATCGGCGCCACAAACCACATACACTGCGCTTCGTTGGTAGCCAGAGGGCTCAGCGTCGCGTTCGCTCTTATACGAAGAGCCGTTTTGGTCGCTATGGAAAATAGCAAGATGGCTCTTGCAGCGCCTGAGGTAGTCTCCCATCCAAAAAAATCCCATCTTAAAACCTCTCTACAAAGTTCTGACACAAACCCTTCTTGCACCGAATCTCCTGCGGCATCGTCACATTCTTGCGATTCATGCAACTCTTCCAGTTCGCCGCCGAATAACACGGATGAGACTACCGGAAGCGATCACTATGACGAGTCCGCAGAGTCCGGGACTGATTCTGAGTCTTATGCGAACGTGACGGCGGCCCAAACGGTTCAATCGGTCGATTGGGCGACAAATGCCAGCCCAAGGCAGTTGAGGACGCCGGTAAGTGCCTGCTACTCGCCAGTTCTATCAAAGCCTGAAGGGGCCTGGTCATCCCTGTTTTCCTGGGAGGATAAGTTCTTTTCTGACTCGCTTTCTGCCGGTTCTCACATTTACAGTCTCCGGCCATTTACTACCCGGAAGCGGTGTCCTGTAACTCATCACTGCCCATGAACGATGGTGCGCCGCGGTCACAAGAACAGAATGGGAAGCAGACCTCGCCAACTGCTACTTCCATGCCCAGTCCGAACCGAAGTTCAACATTTTATACCTCTGAAGACGCAAACATACCATCGTCCCGGACCTTTTTGCCATCGCCCGATCGCACCGTACCGCCTTCGGTGGCATCAAGTCCTCAGTACATCGAAGACTTCATAATGGCCGAGTTCAAAACTCCGGAAAGTGACGCTGCGCCGCTAAATGTGGATCTCCTTGATCTGGTGACCGTATGTCAACCAACCGAAGTCAACCCATACTCGGAAACAGCCGAGCGGCCAGATCCCGACAACCAACTGATCTCACAGTTCTCCATGCTGGATCCCCAGCAAACTACAGAAGCGCTCGACTATCTGCAGTCGCTTTGGCTCGTTGAGACCTCCGATAACGCCCAATCATTCGAGGTAGCAGGTTCTTCTGCAGGAAATGGCTCGCGAGATTCTCCTGAGGGACCGAGTTCAGTCGACCTAGACGGAGTTTTGGCGGATCTGAACCCCTTTTTTGAAGAAGATGCAATGGCTACCGACCCCGACCCAAATCATTTATCCATGGCAGATGGCTGGCCTTGTGGTCAAGAAAGTCCTAGCTCGGAGTCTCGAACACGATCGACATATATGCACTCCCCTTCAGGGTCTACCTCGACGTACCCAGATTCGCCTGGGCAAACAGCGGCGTGCGCCTCAGCATCGTCTCCGCTTGGACCGCCCACACCCACGCCACCGACGAGCATGTCGATTATTTCTGACGATGAGTTGTCGGCCCTTTTCTCAGACAACGATCCTCTCTTTGAACCTTCCGTGTCGATGCCGTCTCCTCCGTCGGCCGCGCCCCGCCCTCCGGTTGGACAAGCTTATGATGTAGCTGGAAGAGTCTCGGGTTCCGTCCGCCCAAGTCACCCGACTTCGGTGATACCATTGTCGTCGTCAAATGGGCCGGCTTCCAATCCGACTTTCAACCCGTCGCCCTCCGCAAGAATCGGTATTCCCATGTCCGGTTCACTTGACGCGACCGCCTATTTGAACCAAAGCACAACGGTTCCCTCAAGCCCGTCTGTCGCATCTGCCGCATCTGTGCGGCTTCATCCGTATGCCCAAACCTTTGGCCAAGATCGCCGCGGAAGAGTCCGTATCCACCCTGAAATCACGAGATTGTTTTACCACCGCTTAAGGACGGCCGTGGTCGACCCTGATACTGGCCGAGTCTGTTGCCCGTACCCTACCTGCGACTCCACATTCAAAAATGTGCATTGTTTGCGAAGCCACTACAAAGCTCAGCATTTGGAGGTTCCCCCTGTGCTGGCCTGTACGAAATGCCCTGCCACGTTCACACTGATTGCGGGATTGCAGCGTCACGTTGAGAATGTACACCCCTCCCCTGACGTGGTCCAACTGGCGGCTCAATGCAAGATGTTATTCAACAGACTGACGCAGCTGAACGCGAGCAAACGAACCAGGGAGCTTGTAAGTCACACGGGACGACCGGACATGAGATTGGCTACGCCTTCAAGTAGACCCCCTTTGGCAGCTCCACTTATACCCGATGCCCAAATGCACAACACGGCTGTCGTGCCTCAGCGACACGATAATCCCCTGTCGATTAGTTCGAACAGAACTACCAGACCGCTGATACAGCTTGCCCCACGTTAGAGCAGATCGCTTCTGTATCCGATGTAGTTGTCATCCCTGTTCCCGGCGGAGGTGCTGTCTCACTGCTGTATATATTTGGATTTTTCTTGTATATAAAAGATCTTCGAGCCTTGAACCTTAGGCCCGCTAACCATGGACACTCTATGCTGGGTGGCCTAAGCCTTCCGCGCTACTACGCCATGGGTTACCGCTTTTGGGAGTTTCACTGTAGATATACAGTACTGTACGTGACTTTCTTGACGGAACCGGGCGATGAACATCCAACCTACAACATGCCTTGGGGCGCTCTATACTGGTCCGAAGCCCCACGTCTCCCGACTTGACAAACAGGGCAGAGAAAACCAAACCTACGACATGCCTTGGGGCGCTCTGGTCCGAGCCCCACGTCTCCCGACTTGACTCCAACTTGACTGAAGTTGACGCGTTGTAGTCAAACTTTTCGCGTCGTAGCCGGCTACGTAACATTCTAACAGACACAACGACCGACCACAACCAAAAAAAAGCTCAACTTTGCAAAAATTGTAGACTGTCCGGCCTACTACACAAACAGACACCTAGAAAAACTTTGACGAGAGTGGGATTTGAACCCACGCCTCCGGAGAGATCAGGGCCTTAACCTGACGCCTTAGACCAACTCGGCCATCTCGCCTTGATGAAATACCTAATCCAACAATCAAATTGCACCCTTTTTATGGCAAGTCCCCGAGCCTAATGCTTTAGATAAGGCGGCCATTATAGTCTATATTCCTGGATGTGGCAACACCCGCCTGATTCGTGTTTGAACGTTGACCTACAAGGTCCGGCGGGCAGAGCGCTTGAGACTTCGTCCGACGTTCTCTATCGCGATGCTTGTTCGTCGTGTGGCGCTGTAGATTGCGACGCAAACTCTGCTTCTGGCATTCCCACCTGGTCCGAAGCTTTTTGTCCCGCTATGGGACTCACAAAAAATCAAAAGGCAACGGCAGTGATCGAACACGGGGTGCCCTTCTAAGTCGTGTCATCCCCCGGGCTGTCCGCAAAGGCGCAGAAGGACGTGCTCCACGGAGACTTACTCGTTCAATGTCCAGTTTTTGGTGCTTTGCGGAGATGCGCTGGAGGCGGAGGCGGACGGTCAGATGATTGCGGCGGTGTCCGCTGTTGCACTTGCAGCCTTGGCAGCGTCGGCGGCATCGTTCATATCGGTGCCTAGGTTGGCTGCCGGAGACGCTGCCGAGATTGCATCAACAGACGACACCGGCGCTCGGCGTTGTCGACAGATGCGCCCCATGGGAGTCTGTGGCAAGGGAACGACCGGCTTGGCAGGCTTACATGTGGCCGGGCCATGGGATCATTGTCTCCCGTCGCCGCCTAGCGTCTCCGCCGCCACAGCCTTCGTCACCGCAGGCTTCGCTCTCTTACCGCCTCTTTGGCCGTGCCTTCGGCGAAGCAGCATGCTGGAGCATGCTTGCTTCGTTTGCGCGCCTTGATCTTCTTCTCAACCTCCGCACCTTCTGCCGTTGTGGTCTAGCTGCCAAGCCTTGCAGGCATGCATTGGCGTCATGAAACTCCTTCCATGACTGGCGGCGTCCCGGCTACCCTTCTCAGGGACGTGAGCCTCCGCTGGAGATGAGAGTGGGATTCCTTGAGCTTCCTCTGTCTGCGCGAGCAACCGATGGCTTCCTGACAGGCATGCATATCTTTGTACCCTCAATGGGCATGGGCACACCCAGCCTTGCTCACCGAGTCTTCGACCGCTCACTAACCTCAGCGAAGAGGATGTGCCGAGTTGATCAATGGCCGCGTTTTTAGCACTTCGATGTTGCTAAAGCGCCGGGCTCCTGCTCCCTCTTCAATCCATCCCTTGCATAAGCCCGCAGAGGAAACTCCTGGGGATTCGTGGAAAGATGTGCCCGGCAAGGGCAGCACAGTGCCTAGGCTTGCTCAGAGAGCTGGTCTAGACCTCCGCGTCGTTCAAGAGGCAAAGGTCCTCCATCTGCCATATTGCCGTCCTGGGTCCATCCGGCACTAATCCAACTGAAGCTCGTAGGTGGAGGATGTTGGCCGAACCTGCTGAAGAAGAATGCCCAAGAGAGTATACGGACGTTTGGAGGAAGCGGAAAACAGGTTTTCCCACGTACCTAGCGCCTTTTCTCCCGATGAAGTACGCCGTCATTATTGTCAACTTCCCCACCTCCAATGCCGATCACCGCGGCGGCTGCCTGATTTCAGTTTCAATGAATGTTTTTCGGACCTGACGTCTTGAAGGCGTTGCCTGACACGGACTCATACTTGGCCATCTTCTCTCAGCCCAACCGGAACCTGAACATGAATCTAAAAGTTGGAAAAAAAAAGGACGCGTAGATTCTCGGACGACGCGTCTGCTGATGTAATCGCCTGACGCGTTGGGTTAAAAGGAGCGAAGGGACTTGGTTGTTGCGGATCTTCTTAACATATCCCGAAATAGCCATCGCTATAGACCTTAAACACTGGTTGTCTTACCAGAAGTTAAATGAGCTAGCCGGTGCACTTTACCATATGCTCAAGGTTGACCCAGCGTTCACCCAGGAATTTCGTCTGCTCTCAGATTTCACCAATCACCGCTATACAGGATGCCACCAAAACAGGATGCGCTAGCCGTGAATACCACCCGCGCACGACCCCGCTCCGCCTCTCCCCGCTCAGGTCTGGGCAGCGCAAGCCATCGTCGTCTGACGGAGCTCATCCCACAAGCGTTTTCCAAAAACACCGAGGAGAGAGGCAGCGAGCGAATGCTAGGCGAGGTCCTCGAACAACTGTCGCCTGTCCTCGCACCGTCCTCCGGCCCATCTTCACCATCCCGAAGCAACACCCCAGTTCTGAAGAGCAGGAGCAGCGAGGAATGGGATGCGGCGTTGGGGGAGTACCGCATCCTGAGAACCATTGGAGAAGGCAGTTTTGGGAAAGTGAAGCTTGGTATCCACCGCGCGACGGGTGCATATGTCGCCATCAAAGTACTGCCGAATCTGTCTGTTCCCGGTGCATCCGCCAGCTCCAAGCCGCTATCGCAACAGGAACGAGACGCCAACACTCCGACGGAGACTGACCGCATCCTCCGCGAAATCCTGATCTTGTCGCATTTATCGCATCCGAATATATCGCGCTTGCTGCAGGTCGTTGCGGCGCCGGATGCGATCTTTCTGGTGCTGGAGTATGAGAGCGGAGGCGAGCTGTTCGATTATATCTGCAAGCAACCATCGGGGCGTTTACAGGAGACGGAAGCTCGGGGTTTCTTTAGGGAGTTATTGGGTGCGATACAGTATTGCCATGCAAACGGGATCGTACATAGGGATTTGAAGCCGGAAAACAGTAAGCTTTGTCACACATCATATGTAGTCGCAGCCGTTCAACACCAAAGCATTCTTTTGTAGTGCTATTATCGGAATCAGGGCATCTAAAACTGATAGACTATGGATTCACAAACGTCATCCGCCCCGATGGCCTATTGGAAACATTCTGCGGCTCCGTCTCCTACGCTGCGCCGGAGATGATCGCGCGAAAAAAATACACCGGCGCGGAGGCAGACGTCTGGTCTCTGGGGGTGATTCTATATGTGATGGTGTGCGGGGTAATGCCGTTCGACGACCGGCATATGGGAAGGATGTTTACGGCCATCATGAGTGGGAAATACAGAGCGCCCGAGGGGATCAGTGAAGGTAGTGTTGGTGCATCGCTTACGTTTTCACTGGGACCTATATGACTAAACATACGGCTTTTTCCAGAATGCAAAGATGTGATCAAAAAGATCCTGCAAGTGAAGCCCGCAGACCGGGCGACTCTCGCTGCTATTCGGGACCATCCCTGGACCACTGCGGACGGAACACTCCCGCCTATCCACTTCTACGCACCCCAGACCGCGAAAGGCGAGATTGGACCATACCAGTTCGAACAGAACTTGGATGCGAGTGTTATGCAGGAAATGGAGAAGTTGGGATACGAGGAGGAAGATGTGAGGGATGCGGTGGACAGTGGCGAGCCCGGCAGCATCTATGCGTGTTATTGGCTTTTGAAGCAACTGAATGCACGGGAAGGAACGAATGCAAAGCAGCAACAGAGCGCTGGCGTGAAAGGGGCGACGTCGCAAAATCAGATACCGGACGGAGAGGCCAATAGGCCTCTGCAGCTCGTGATTCCTGAGAGTCATAGTCCAACGTTCGCAATGACCCCGACGGCAGATGGCGCGTTGAAGGATGGCGGTCAGCGCCTCGAGTCTGCCGTACCCAATCCCTTCACCCCACGTACGGCGCAAGCCTTCTCCCTTTCCCCAGCAGAGGCCCTCTTCTCCCCTCCTTCCGCCGCCCCTACAACCTTCACAACCTCCTTTCAATCCTCCCTTCTCCCTCGCGCTGCCAAATACAACTACGACTCCCATCACGGTGGTGCTCCGTCCACGACCTCGTCCTCGTTGCTGTCACGGATACGGCAGCAGCCGCACGTCCAGCCACCCTCACGCACGACGCAGTCCCCAAGCGTCAGGGCCTCCGAGCCGCGGACCCTCCTCCTCCCAATCCGCATCCTCACGCAACTACGCAACAACCCCGCGATCACCATCGACCGACGATCGCCTACGGTGTATACCTGCACCGTTTCCCCAACGAATCAGAAGAGGGCGTCGGTGGGCAGCCCGCTGGATGCCGCGACGCCGGAGTTGGCGATGGATATGATTTTGGGCAATCTGGTGGCGGACGAGCTTGCAAAGGAAGACGCGGGGAGGAGGTTCGATGTGGAGATTGTCGACGAGCAGTGGTTGAAATGTAGGGAGGATAGTGGGGACTTGGACGGGAGAGGAGACTTTGAGGCGTTTTTGAATCTCTTGGTCGAGACATAGCGGACTTCCAAAAAAGAGATACTGCTGGTTTCTTCGGCTAGGACACAGTTGGTATCGGTTGACCATCTTCTTGATCAAATTTCCGCCGTTTGGGGCAATGATTGGCGTAATGGCCTTTGTCACCACACTACGAACCAGATAGCAAGGAAATTAGACTTATTTATACTTTCCCTTACGTTCCACCCGCCGGCCATGCAGCACATACCTTGAAACAAGTGACCTGATCCAGCGGCCGGAACGGGCGGTTGCCATCAGCGGCGAGCGTCTGGTTCATCTGCTGCGTCTGCTCCGTTTGGGCTCCCGCGCCAGCGCTGTTGTAGTTGGGAGGGTCAAATTTCGGATGACCGAGGTTGCATTCTGGGCCCCTCGGACAGAATCCGGTTAAGTAGTTTTGACATATGGCTTTCCGTACATGTTTCCCTTTGCAAGCAGGTCCTAAAATGCATATCCGAACCCAGTCAGATCCGTCCCAAACGTCATGTGATCTGATATCGAACCATACCTAGTTTGCAGAAACCCGACACATAGAACGGACAGTCCTTCAACTTTGTCTTTGGGTCGATGTGAAGGTACATGCATTCCGGATTGCTGCATTCACCATATTTGGCGTAAAACCAGCATTCCGGCATTTTTTTCAAATTGTACTCGTGCAGAAACTCACACAAATCCCCCTTCTTGCACAACCCCCGGAGCCAATGCTTGCACACGACCGTCTTTTCATTCCGCGAATGACGAAACTGGCATCCGGCGCCCTTGTGGCAGTGGCCCTTTGTGAAGTACTTGCAGATATCGGAGGAGGAAGAGGCTTTGTCGCGCGAAACGTCGAGGTTGAGATCAGATTTGAGAAAGGGTTCGAAATCGAAAACGATGTCTGCGGGGAGGTTGACAAAAGCGGTGAAGGGCAGCGGGTTGATGTCCTTTGGGGGGATCACTGCCGGGCCCGCCGGGTCGGACTCGATGCTTGCCGTTGCTGCCATGTTGGACAAAATTCTGCCACCTTCGCCGACGGAGGGGCCGGGTCGAAACAATTCGCAAGCAGAACAGTAAACCTGACAGTAAACTACGCTGCAAAGAAGAGGACGCTAAGCACTGAGAATCGTACTGTCTGCGACTCCGTCTGCTTGCATTTTTATGCGACTAGCGCTGGAATAGATCCGTTGTCAAAGAGGTGCGACCGACATCAAAGACGAATCAGTCACCGTCCAGTACAAATATAAGCGGAACTTGCCCGCCTGTCTGCCGTTCTGGGCCTTCCCCCAAAGCGTGCGGGGGTTGCGTGTAGAAACAAGGCTGGCCTGGGCGGCGTTGCCACTTCCATGTCCAGAAAAGACTTCAGACGCGCGGCCCACTAACTGGCAATCACTGCAACACCTGTACTGATGGCCAATCTGACCTCGACGCATTCACTGTGTTGAATCAGGTAACAACCGCAATTCCTCACCGTTCCCATTCATTACCACAGCACTGACGTGAGTTCTTTGACACACAGCTATCACGGCAATCACCTGCAACACCTGTACACACACCAGTTATCTCGGGTGGGCAATCTGACCTCAACGCATCCACTGTGGTTGAATCAGGTTGTTCTGCTAGAGTGGTCCTCAACCGACATCATCTCTAGCAGGCACGCAAAAGCCACACGCCCAGATCGGTACCCACTCATCAACATCAACACTTGACCATTCTACCGTCACGATGGCGTTCCAGTCAGAATGAGGTTGTCTGCAGCGAGTGTGTAACCGCACAGAAAGGTATCTTTTGCCACTATTACATGAATGTGTGGGGACTCAGTCACTCACATCAAACCTTCTCGGAATTGCCACATCGCTGTGGTCTGAAAGCGCTTGTGCCTCGAAACAGCCCTTGTGCCTCGAAACGGCCCTTGTGCCTGGGAGCGGCCCTTGCTTGGTGCATGCGGGACTTTTTCTGAGAAGGAAGCGCCTTTGGCAGTGCAGAGAATGCAAGCTACTCAGCACTCCTTCCCCAAGACCCACAGCCATTCTTGAGCTTGAAATTGCGTTGGGAATGCCTCACCATGGTGAAAGGAATGGTGGTAAGGCAAGCACCGCAGCGTCCGAGAGAGCGTCCGAGAGCGTGCGAAGCATTCCATCACGTGACTCAAACAAGTCTGATGACTTTCCAGCCGCGCCCTGTTTCTCGATATTTCTTTCGTGCTGCGTACTGCCAAAAAAATCCCACCGTCAAGAAACCACCGTCACCCGATGTCTCACCTCGTCTCTCAGGGACAGCCGCTTAGGGTGGCTTGGTCGGGTCCGGTTGCGACGCTTCCGCTGGAATTGCAGTCGGTCAGCCAGTGGACCAGCCTCTACAGCAACGCCCTTCACCACAATTGCTTTGGCGACGCTCCAATTGCACAGTGTGTCCCACAGGAGCACGTACCGTCTCCCCAAGGTATAGCTTCGTAATATACTTGGCTGTTTGAACTTTGGGAATTCATTGCTTCCTGCAACAGAAATTTCCTCCAGCAACCCAGTGTTTTTTCAATTGGACGTTGACGCGTCCGAGACTGGGAGCACGACGATCTCGATAGTCCGTACACCGCAAGTATATCTGCCGCAAAGAAGAGCGCCGCTGCCAGCTTTTACGAGCAGCTCCATACCGTCTTGCTGCGAGGGAGTCAGACCTCGCTCACAAGCACTGGCAGCGCGCGTTCTGATGTCTCTCACACAACGGAAGAGGTTAAGGCGGAAAACGCCTCCGAGACGCTGCTCAAACTGTTGATTGCTTTGTTCGTGCACGAAGAAAAGCAGGATTCGATCGATGGGCGCTTAGTCTTCAAGCTGCGGTAATTCGCCGTTGCCGTCGATTGGCTTTGCCTGGCTGCTCAGGAAGCTCACCGATTTCTTTTCCAGGGACGATCGACTGAGCGGAAACGTCTCTTTTTCCGGAAGGTCAGCTGCAGTGATCAACAACGGATACATCAATCTTCGGCGGCAGCGACATACTCGGAAATTCTACGATGTCGGGGGCCTGATCGTTGCCTTTCTTGAGGTTCGTACTTACTGCTGTAAGCGTCGTGCGCGGCTGTTGGTAAATGTCCAGCGGCGGTTCATCAGGCCAAGCGTCTGGAGCATAGGATGACGGAAGAACGGTTGTTTGCCCAACTTACTGGAGAAAGTCTGTGGACGGCGCAGGAAAACTTTACTGGGAATCGAAATCGAGGCGACCAGGAGGTATAATTATATTCAGATAAATAAACTCATTTTTGAAGTTTTCATTGACGAAACATTTGTTCGAAGGTTTTCGGCCTCGGAATTCACCACCGACACGCCCACATTACCCACGCTTTCTACCCGGCGCAATATCTGGAGAACGTACTAAATAACCAACCGTTGGGAGCACAGCAGGTCGAACTCAGGAAGAGTATCGGCTTCGACCTGGCAATTCCCCGCGAGCGACTTGAATATGTCCGTCAAGTTATCGGCATTCTCCGTTATGTTGGCAGTGGGCTTTCCTTTGTTGGAAAGATGAGGAACGACTCTCTGGTTGAGCATCTGATTTGAACCAGTTACAGTAGGATGCCAAAACGGACGTTACGACGGGCGCGTCGAAATTGACGGCATTTGGGCTACTACCTAGGTTAGTAGTCGCGGCTGGCCGGCCCCCGGTCAACCACGCAATGGCTAGACGGCAGCCGGTGACTTCTGCTGGCCACAAAGATTTATTGACCGCGTCCATGCCGTCGTAACGTCCGTTTTGGCATCCTACTGTACTTTATCGTCGCATAGCTTGTCATTGCATGTATAGCAGCGCCAGTTCGCCCAGGCGTATGAAGTGCATCAAAACCTATTCCTGCATCTTAAAGCTCTTATATGGCTTTTACGGTCTGCGTCGGCGGATTGCATTATTAAATGATTCGGCTCGATCTCAACAGGCGGTCATCAGAGAAGCGCTTCCCCCTGGACGCAGGTAAAAATCTCTGTGGCTCTCACGATAAACTGGCGGCGTAGCCGGACAGTGCTGCCACGCGGTGGCATCGTCGGTTCATTGAATGGATTAAGTCGATGGTTGCAAGGATTTTAACTGCGTCCAGGGAGAAGCAGTGGATGATGTGGATGAGGGAGTTATGGAATTTGTCAAGGTAGCGTGCCTTGAGGAGTTTGCCGGCGTCGGAGGTGTCGGGTCCCCAGAGCTTTGACGAGTGTTATCTGGTGACGCCTGGGACGCTTTCTCGCGGTGCAGGGCAGGGTGCAGGGATTGAGAGCTGGATTGAGAGGATTGTGGGGATGTGGCAGTGTTGGGCGGTATCACAGTGCACCCCCCTCGAAGCCAGACGACACTTCGTGTGATGTAACCCGGATGCTCTTTGATACCCCCAGTTCTTGTTCGTACCACGGGGTACTGAACGAAGTCCCGCAACAAGCCGTCAATCTTGACATCCTCAAACAGTACCACATCGCGGCCATCAAGCCCCAGATAGATCTCAAGTTTGACAAGAGTGCCAACCTTCCTTACACTCGGGTGAGCGGTACACCCGATCTCAGTGTTTACGAGAGGAGGCTAACTTTTTGCTCCTTCCACCGTCTTCTCAAGGACAGGTGACGCAAGAAATCTCGATGCCACGAGGATCCGAAGCAGGATCCGAAGCAACTATTATAAGTGTCTATGTACTGTAGACTAATCACGGGGAACCGTGAGAATTTCGAAATATTTGTATGCATGTGCCTACAGGGAGGCCGTGTATGCTGGCCATCATTCTGGTCTACTGTAAGGGAGGATACGCCTATGCCATCGATACCGATGAGAAAGTGTGGAGAGAACCGCGGCTGGCGTCTGTGCGAGGGCGATCTTACTTTCGCGAAGACGGCTACAATCGGCACATTCGCAGATGAGGCGACCTTCCGCAGCGTACGTGGTGGTCTCCCAGAATATGATGAGTTTCCTCGGATTTCTGCAACAATGTTTCCCGCAACCAAACTCTTCCCTATTCGGGCGAGATTCGTTGCCGCATAAGTTTCCTGCTCTAATTCCTAGCCTGCTTGTGGGTTTCGCCGGCCGCCATCTTCCGCGCCGTCGTTACTGAAACCGCTCAGAATCAAATTCGCGTCCTGTCCTTCTGACTGTGCTTGGAAGCCCTTCATACGTTCATCGCCTGGTGAACTACCTCTGGGTTGGCGTCGCAGGGCCACACCAACTCGTCGTGGCGAGCGTCCGGTGGTCGGTTGAGCGAGAATGACGGCTACGAAGTTGGTCCCGAGTGGCGAAACTGTCGTCCACAAATCTTGATTCTGCGACTAACGCGCTGCGGTAAAGTGACCTCACAGTAGAATTGCAGCTCCCTCGATTGCTCGTGCATCTCCCATGAAGGAGTCCCTCTGCTCTGTCATAAACTCCTGGGTAGTGCTCAAAACTGAGGCCGCCAGCTGCCTCGTTTCAGCTTTCGGTTCCGTTGCTAGGATATCTGGGGGGGACATTTAGCTCTAATCTCGAAAACACCTGCCACGAAAGCAGCACGAGGCGAGACATACCTAACAACCACCGCTGAACTTGCATGATTTCGGAAACGACGCCTTCGGTGCCATATCCGGCTCCTTCCCCGGCGTTCCCAAACTCGTCTCGAATCAAGAACGAAGGCAGGCTCACAAACAGCACCGACACGCCAAACAGGATTGCTTGGTGCAAACTGTCCGTGTTTCGCTTGGTATTCGCGAACTGATGTTGTTGCCCCGCTGCTGCTGCTATTTGCAACGGCGCATCAAGCAGCCTCAATGGCCAGAGGAAATTGAAAAACTGACGGGCTAAAGATCGCGAGTCGATGCTGTTGGCAGCGCTGTGCAGGATAATGCCTGCAGTGGTGATAAGCCTTGCGAGGAGTAAGCGGCCATGCGCGCCGCCGAATATGACGGCGGTACGAGTCGAGGAGTCGAATTTGCCTATCAGCGGGGAAAGGAAGTGAGCTGCGTGTGGTGCGAATGCGTTTTGCTTGGCGTGTGCCTTGGCTGTACGCGGGGCGGATCTCCGCGTGACGGTCCCGACTGTGGTCGATGGTTGGATCGGAAGCTCGTGTGTGCTGGCAGCCGGTAACATAGAAGCCGTGCCGCTGAAAGTAGAGAGTCCAACAGTTCCGAGCCCACTTAGCCGCATTGCGCCCATACAAATGCTGTTGAGTATGTCCATGCGATGTCTGAAACCGGTTGATTTCTCGTAGAACTTATCGATCAGATACGCCGCGCAAACTCTCGGTTGCCGGGAAATCAATGCAGCGATTGCAGCAATCTGAGTTTTCTCAAAATCCTTCGTATCGTAGTTATTTTGCAGGAAGAGCAGGCACGATAGTAAATCGATAGCGATCTCGTCAATTGCAGATTGGTGCGAGGTAGTGATGAGCGATTCAGCAGTGGCAAGGGACATCTCGAGTTTGTCGGGGTCCTCGTGGGAACGAAGACCCGCGAGGCATTCATGGATGTAAGCGGGCGGCCGAGCCTTTGGAGGATGGTCCGGATGGCGATTTGGGTCTGTTTCCTCCAGATTCAGCGGTACAAGGTCGTCGTCATCGTCTGAATCGCCAGATCCGGCGTCGGAGCTGTCGCCTGAGAGCTCAGTTATCCGTTCTTCCATAGACATCGACCGCAACGCTTCAATATTCGAAACGCCCGCGTTTTCAGTGCCGTGCACATCTTCAGCCTTCATTTCACCCTCTCCTCCGTCGACGAGTCCTCTCAGGAACCGGACCTCATCATCCACTTCCAGTTCAAAATCCAGTTTCGCCGAGCTACCCATCTTCTTTGAGAACTGCTCCGCCGTGATCATGCCCAAACATCGCACCCTTGGGTCCGTGCTCTCCAAATAGATTTGCATCCCCGGCAAGAACAGAGATACTAGATCCTGCTCGCTGATGTCATCCGCGGTTAATATGCCAAGGCACATGAGAATCACAGATGTGAGGCCTTTGTGCTGCTCGTAAGTGGCGTATTTGATGTAGGTTGGGTCTACCCACGTTTCAATCAACCAGCGGGAGGCGACCGGGACGGAAAGTGATGATGGGACGTGAAAACGTGCAATCATTCTGACTAGTATCCGAGAAACAGATATATCATAGTGCGAGTCGAGTAGGAGTTTGCGAAAGATTGCGAGGAAATGATCATTTTGCTCAATCGTTGCCTGTCCGATCCAGTCCAGTAACACTTTGCTTGCCTTTTCGCTGTTGCTTTTCAGTAGATTCCGCTCTGAAAGCCGTTGCAGACCCGCAATGAGGAGGTGTTCGCTTTCTGAATGAGAAAGTTGTGCGAACATGCGGTTCCATGCACGGCGCTCGGCGGGTTTTGCCAGCATTGGGATGATGGCCGGTAGCCAAATCTCGACTAGTGTTGCGGAGTACCCCAACCGGACCATCTTCGCTATCAGCAGTGCGAGGTACGATACGGTGCGCTCAAAATGTTCTGCATCCAGTTTCGCACACGCCGAGAAAGCAGCGATGAGATCTTTTCCCAAGCGGCCCATTAGTCGGCTGAGATTCGACATGTGAAGTGATATGTATTAAGCTTCCAGACATGCGAATCGGAGAGAAACATTGCTAAATGACATCTAACATACGTTCCAACGAAGAAATCCGGCGTTTTCTGGCCAAGGGCATTAGCCATCCTATCCGGTAAGAAACACACCGTCGCAACATATTGCTGCCAGTCTGCGCTCTGCGCTGCGGCGCTAGCCGGTCCCGTTGCCGTACATCGACCACAGATATTGAAGCAAAAATCCCAGACGGCCACGGCGGTCAGAAGCTTTTGTAACAGCCCCGTGGCCGTTTTCAGCACGTTTGTGTGCTCTTTCCAAGAGACCGCATCCGAAAGGAAACAGAGCGACGATAGGATAATCACTCTCACATCCGGATTCTGCAGTTGCTGTCCCGGGACAAAGTATGCGTCGAACAAGTCCTTCCTCTCACTCTTCGAAATTCGTCCCAAGAAATTCGGCGCAACGATCTTGAGGAGGAACTCATAGTGCTCGTTCAACAATTTCGTCACAAATATCTTTCGGTACTCCGGCAGCTCATCTTCACTGATACCACTGAGAAAACGGAATGTGTTGGGGCTACCCACTTCGCGTGGGAGGAGGAAAAGAGTGAAAGGTTCTTTGAGCGCCGATTTGACTTCTTCAGTGCTGTCGCTTCCTTGAACGAAAGAGTGTAGGGCCTCCAGTTGGCCCTTGAGCTTGCTCTTTATGCTTGCCATTCCTGTTTCTAAGGAAGGCTCCTTTGTGCCTTTGGGATTACCGCCGAGGTCATTGTCATTATGGACGCGACAAGGGTGGACCCGACTTGGACCGAGAGTTGGACCGACAGTCCCCCTTTTTACACTACATTTTGAGGCCCAGCGCGGACGTTTCGTCATGATTCATTCAGCACTACGGTACATAGATGCAGCAGCCGTACTATAAATATGCCTTTCGAAATACTATAAAAGCCTAATTCGACTTCTTCGTTGCGCGCTGCCCTGTTGAGTCTGTGTCAGCCCTGGCTCTCTTCAAGGACGACGATGACGATGAAGATGCCCCAGCTCCTGAAGATGAGCCCTTAGACGGGCTACCCGTATTCGCGCCCGACTTCGACAGTGGTTTGCCAGATCTCAGACCAAGCACCATATCCTCGCCACCTCCCGACTCCTGGGCCTCTTCTAGCAGTTCCTGCACTTCTCCCGCAATCTCATCTGCATCCAACTCTTCCTTATCTCCTTCCTCGTCATCACCATCCTCCTGCTGCTCGTCTTCATTCTTGTTGATGTTGGTAAAAGCCGCCTGCTTCCCGTTGGCTACAGCAGAACCAGAAGCCGTGCGCGGCGGCGCATCTTCGCCATCCTCGGAATCGTACACAATGTTATCGTCGGAATCCTCGCCTTCGTCATCATCTGATGCGTAGTCGTCATCTTCCTCATCGTCGTCGTCGCCAAAATCACCGTATAGCAGGGCAAGCGTATTGTCCTGATCTTCGTCAGGGTCTTCCACACTAGGCGCCTCGGCTATCCTTTTGCCTTTGTCCGCTTTACCCTCAGGGCTGGGGGGTGATACGGATTTGGAGGACATGCTTTCTGATAACTTTCGTGCTTCGAGGAAGCCGTGTGCGTTGTTGTGCTCGGGTCGGCCACAAATCTAGGGCACGCTGCAAGAATCTGGACCAGAACTGATCGCACTTGTCAGGCTCTGAGTGCGGAGAGGACTTTGAGATACGTTTATAGTCGTTGGGTGGCCGCTGTCCGAGGCTGCTGTGGGTTCTCAAATCTGGTCGCGGTTCCCCAATACAGATGGCCAGATCATCTGATCAGTGCGCAACTTGCCGTGGTCTCTCAGCGAGTTCTTGGAGTTCTGTTGCGCGAACAGGCGAACGCGTTACACGCTCTGACGCTCCGCAAGGTGTCAAAAAGTGTGGAGAGCCGCCGCTCAACATCTTTGAAAGGTTTCGATTTCAAACACAAGGTTTGGTTTTTTTATAAGTTGCGAGAATACATTCAATCAGGGGAGTTGATCGAAGAATAGACGAATCTCCGAATATGCTTTGAGAGCGTCAAACTGGAAAGTGACTGTAAGAATCGATTGACGGGTGTCGAGGCATGTTAACGAACTTGCACGAGAAAGACTGATCTGTGCTTTCAATGATCAAAAGCCCTGAGGCCATTCTGGACGAGCCATTTGGACCGATAACGAAGACGTTCAAGCCGGGATGCCGGATTTAAAGTCAAACCGTGAGTGCAGCAGATGTTGAGCGGACGGCGAGAGTTGGAAATATGGGCCGACCTAGTGTGTTGCAAAGTAGAGGGTGATCACTAACGTTAGACGCACATCTGCAGCCACCGCAATCAAAATCGGGGATGTGGACTACAGACTTGATTTTTCCCGCTTTCCATACTTCCAAGCGTTCGCCAGGTTCCAAAGCCAGGCTCAACCCGGTGCGGAGCTCGTGCACCCACCAATCCCCTTCTTCGATGTGGCTTTGAGAGGCATGCAGGACGGCTATCGACATTGCTTTCGCGCTATGCCTGTCGACTGTGAGCAGTTGCAACTTCTATGCCAGACGCTCAGCGTTTTGGGGGTATTTTCGAACGACCATGGGCTCGACATTGTGGAGGAGTTGAACACAGGCATCCTGGACTATGTGCTCAGAATTTGCGACAAGTCGATGGCACGAGATGCGGCCTTCAAGCTCTTTTATCACCTGCTCTTGGGGGATTTCTCGGAAGAGAGCAAGGTCAAAGACAAAGTCTGCAACGCTGTATCCATCGTCATCAAGTACCAACCTGAGGTGTTCAGCATGAAGGCCAAAAGAATGGTATGCGCGGCATATGAGCGGCGATATGTGCGCACAATCACCGAGCGTGCAGCTCTATACGAATGGGAGAAAGATGGGAATCAGTCCTCCTCCTTGGATAAAGATGAGGTGACGACAGACGAGGAAGAGATTCCATCTCTTCCGACGAAGAATAAATGGCAGACAAAGAGGAGGAGGAATAGTCCCAATCCTGAAAACAAGAAAAAACTGAGGAATAACAGAGGAGAAGGCGCGCTCGTTCCCAAAAAGGAGCCATGACGGGGAGAAGAGATGAGCTCTATGGGGAAAGGATCAAGGAGTAGGAATGAAGGAATGTTCTCTGGCATCCTGGGCGCAGGCGTATCGAATTCGCCATGTTCCTGTGCTACGTCACACTAGATAGCTAGTCTTGTGCAGATTATTTCATCCACCTACTAGAATGGCAGAACCAGTCGAAGATCCTACCTTCTCCTTCTGACCTTTATCTCGGTGTAACTGCCATGCCATTACAAAAGCAGAATCGTCGCCGTGGCAGAAGTACCTGAATTTGAGCACAAGTCATATCTTCTGCTGAAGCGATGCGCCTTGGTCACTTGGACTTGTGTTGGCGGGATCGGGATGTCCTGTCGTAATGAACGCTTGAACTAACAGTGAAGATTTTGACACTTGGAGGGTGACACGTCACCATGGTCTCGGACTGAGCGTTTTTGCCCTTGGCCCTTGGCCTTGACGAATTTCGTCCCTTCCATTGAAAGGCGACAGAGTGAAGATCACAGGGCTTGCTATTCCAACCACGAAGCTTCGGTACGTTCGAAAGGCCGCAAGGATCGAGTGCACGAGCTCGCATAGCGACGGTAAAACATGGTCGCCGCCATGTCAACAAGCGAGGTACCAAGACGGACGCTCAGAAGTTCGTTGTGCCCTCATATCCGACTCGAACTTATGGAACTTTTCTTTTGCAGCAGTCGGTTTCTGTCGGCGAAAATATACCCGGAAGCGTGTCTATTGTCTGTGTCGGCCAGCTTGCAAACCGAACCTTCGAGTTCATTGACCGGCTGGCACCGACGGTGAAGGCCACGCCACATACTTCCTCCTGTAAGTGAAGATCATAACTCTGTTGGACTCGCAGGATGAATTTCCTTAACCTAAACATTTGCAATAGTGCGCACGAGACCAAGAGTAGAGCTCGAGTTGCCGCAGCGTCAGGGCCACGTGCAGCTACACTTTATAAACGACGCAGATATCAGACATAATGGGGACAGCCCTGCTTTTGTGGAAGACTGGCCGGATATGGACGGTCGAATACTATGTTACGATGTTTCGAATCGGTCGTCGTTTTTGGACATGCTGGATCTGCTAGGTGAGACATGGAGAACTGTTTCGAATTCTCCTGTGCATTTGCGAAGGAATACTCACGTCCATTCGTTACCCTCGCAGCTGGTGACGATCAAACTCCTGCGGCTTTGGTTGGATGGGACTTTGAACGGCAACCACGTCAAGTGGAGCGAGAACTTGGGATCAAGCTGGCAAATGTCTTCCAATGCCTTTTCATCGAAAGAACGTGGAGGGAGGTCACAGCGGAGGATTTCATGTTCATCTTCAATCACTTGCGCAAGAGCTCTGCGAAGCAAGGTAGGACGTATTGAGTTACGAAGTTCTCACCATTTCTAGAGAGTGCGTCTAGATGCTGACATAACGGACAATGCTAGGTCCAAAAGATGATTCTGCGCCTGGGGAGCCCATCTATATGCACCTGAAGTCACAGCTTGCGCAAATGCGAGGGTCATCAACGTCGCTGCCTCTGAAAGTAGCTCAGGACTTTGGCGCGGCATCGGGCGAGTTCGGAGTATACCCAATGCCGCGACTGCAGATGCAGGAAGCGGAAGATAGCTCGCTCCTGAATGAGAATGGCGAAGACTCCAACAAAGGTGAGATGCGCTTTCAATTGTTCGTTTTCCGCTGGCGGTCTCTGACACGAAACGTCACCCGTAGAAACTATATCGCCCTCAGCGTCAAGCGAATCGATTGCTACCCGTGAGAATGCCGGGCATACCACGGAAAACTCTACATACCATTCGGTTTCAGAATCGGACGCGGAAGAGCGTAGGGAGTCCAGTACGCGGGACATACTGGATTTGCCGAGCGACAGCAGAGCGAGTGGAGCTCTTGGCGAGTCATTTGACGTATATAGTCCAGTGGATTGGCAAGCATTACGGTCTCCATCAGATGATGGTCAAGCAAGGTAAGTCTCTCATCACTTGTTAGTCAGGTTTCATCTAGAGTGGAGACTCACTATTGCTCTCTCTGTAGCGTAATCTCCAATGCGTCAACATCTAATGAACGCTTAGGTTTCACCATGGATGAGTTGATCGAGAGACTGGCGTCACCAACCGCACACGATATGGAGTTCACCAAGGTGTTTCTGATGCTGTACCGGAAGTTCCTAAGGCCCAGTGAGCTTCTTGACAGGCTTATGGATCGGTTTGATGCTTATGAGAACAAAGATACGGATGGGAATGCGAGAGGAGCGCCTATCAATGCAGTCCAATTACGGTACGCAAACTGGGGCTCCATATCCGCTCACCTCGAGAAAGCCCAAAACTGAGGACCTTCTGATTGCAGCGTTTGTAATATCCTTGTTCACTGGTGCGCGGAGTATTGGTGCGACTTTCATTCCGATATCATGCGCTTCACAATGCACGTGTTTCTTGAGATATGCTCCACCCGACCAGCTTATGCTGCAATCTGTCAGAAGCTGGGGAGCCTTGTGTTTCGAGACCCGCCCTCCGAAGCAGAAATGGAAGCACTGGATTGGGGACTACCCGACTTCAGCGATGACGAGGTTGACGAAAACAGCTCGGTCGCGCCTGCTTCGCTATCCGCAAATGATGTATCAGAGTTGAGAAATCAGAATCGAGACTCTACGCAGACGCAACTTTCGGATAGTGGGACGGATTACGGGCAAAGCAGTTCCTCGAATATCACAAGACGAGCCACATTTGGCAATGGAGGGGCTGGCCCTGACATTGCGCCTGCTGCAGATGGAGGAGCCGCCGGCGGCTTCGCTTCGGGCAGGACGGTCGATCGCCATTCTGCTGCATCCAATCACTCTGGAACATCTGATGGTTCGAGCGGATCGAGGAGGCGTGTGCATTCAGACCCACGGTTGGCAGATCCAAGGGGGATGCCGAGCACCACTACATCCAGCATGACGTTCCTGGAGCTGGATAATGAAGCCATCGCTCAGCAGCTGAACGTGTTGGAGAGTGAGATCTTCAGGAGGATCAAGGTGAGTCGCCGGACTCCCTTGTTCATTTGACTGGCTTGGTTACACTTTCTAGGAGATACTGATGTAGTTTTGTATCCCGCAGCCACGAGACCTTCTCCAACATATCTGGAGTCGAAGGTATAAAGGACGACACGCTCCCTCTGTCGCGGCCAGCATTGGGCATTTCAATTTTATCTCCTCATGGTTTGTGTCTCCTGTCGGCTGTACGCAATCCTGCTCAGAAAGGCCGTCTCACACTTCGCGTTTTAGGGTGACAACGCGAATCCTCTCCCAACGAAAGCTGAAAATCCGAGCGCAGGTTCTTGGCAAGTTCATGAAGATCGCGCAGGTGAATATACACCGTCTGCTTATGCAGCCATCTCAGTCTGGTCCCAGCAAAAAGGTCTAACCCGTCTTTTGAACTCGTTAGGCTCTCCGAAATAGTAACAACTACAACACGCTGATGGCTGTCTTGGCTGGCATCAACAGTGGTGCTATCCTCCGACTGGTGCACACGCGTAAGCTCCTGAAAGGCCGCCAATCATATCGCAACTATCAAGCGTTGGAGAAGCTGATGAGCTCGGAGCACGCGTTTGCTGCATACCGACAAGCGTTGAAGTATAGCGAGCTCCCGTGCATTCCATACCTGTAAGTCGCACGTTCGCTGAAATCTTGTCGTGCGATGACTCATGACTCATTTCACGTCACAGAGGCGTCTTCCTTCGCGATATGCTCTACATCGACGAAAGCAAAGACAAGCGCGCCGACGGAACAATCAACCTTCCCAAGTTCCTCCACATGGGCGACGTCATCCTCATGATCCAGAACTACCAGTCGAGAACCTACCACGTCCCACCGGATCCGTACATCACAACTCTGATCTTGAGTCAGCCTGTCATGACGGAAGAGCTGGCGTATGAACGGTCGTTCGAATTGGAGCCGAGAGTGAGCTCGTCCTCGCCCAAACGATCGTCCAAGTGAAGCGATGGGGTTGAAATCATGTACGTAGGCTAGATAGCGGAGACTCCAGCACAAGTTTAGCCGTATTTTCTGTGTTTTTGTCCTTTTTTTGGTTGTGCTTCCCTTTCGTCGTCGGCCCTTACGGCCTTCATGTTATCGTCGTGGAACGGACTGGCTCCAGAGGCGACGGAGATCAGCTTTTGCTTGGAATACCCGACCATTTTTTTCATGGCCATTTATTCTTCTTTGATGTACATCCCTTGACTTTCCCTCGTACATCTTTGGAGTGGTTAGACGAACTCACCTTCAGTGCCTGCCCTGATCAACAATTTTTTTTCGGAGATTACCATGACATCACTTCTTTAGGCCTTCTAAGGTAAATCAGTTATAGTGGTTACAACTCCAAGTGAAACTCTGGAGTCTGGGCAAATACAGGATAGCACGGGCAAAGGTGGAACCTCACAACCGAGCATCCCGAATTTTACTACGATGAATGGAGACCCTGACTCAAGAGCCAGCTAAGGCCAGAGCAGTTGACGGATGTGACACTTCTTTGGGCTTCCGCGTCAGTCCAGCGAATAGCAGGACCAGGAACCAGAAAATGACAGCCATTTGACGGAGGGCAGATCACGCATCCCTGCGTGGCTTTTCGCGCCCGCCGACGGCCAACTCGTAAAGTTCTCCCGAGTTCATGGCCGCACACGCACGGTCTCGAAGAAGGCTGAGAAGGTGTGGACGGGCTCAGGGAGTGTACAATACGTACTGTACAGTACTGTACAGTATGAGAGAACATGATAATAAAGCGAAGGGTATTACCGGGGACCGACAGCCTGTTGAGCAGATTCCCCAAAGTGAGGCTTGGCCCGCGATTGAAGTTGTGTTCTGCGTGTCGCCCCTCTCGCTTGTCTTGGCCAACTTCCGCCCGCAAGGGACCGCCTAGCCCTCGTTATTCCTTACGACCAAGGAGGCAACCGCCAGCCGTCTCCTTTATTCTTTTCACGAAGGCACAGCCAGGCGAGATACCGTTCGGCAGGTCAACACCTCTGGTTCATAAGCTTGCATGCAACCTGTCAGACTCTCCGAAGCGCATTTCACACTTCCGCCTCCAGCCTTCTTCGGAGTGTTCCCCGTTGGGCAACCACTACCATCGATATTCAACCATTACATTGCAGACTACCTTATCCCGCACATAGCTTCATTTTTTGAGAGAAGAACAGATAACAACGTCTTGGAAGCACGGAGACCGCTGATCTAGTATGAACCCTCCAGCGACTTTCGGGGAAGGTCGGCCCTCGCAGGATTTCAATGGGTATGAACGACCTCTACCCACCTTACCTCAAAACCAGTACCGGCCTTCACCACCAGGGAGCCCGATGCCGATACACTTTCCTGTTCCACCACCTCATATGCGCTTGCCCAACCCGAACGCCTCAACAAGCAAACCTCTGGCACCTCACGAAATGATTGCTTTGGCGAACACGAAGAATGCAAAGTCTGGGGGTGGCGGCTGGTTGAAGAAGGTCGTGGTCGGGTTTGGAAAGAAAGGGAAGCTGCAGGATGCTTTGGGCGGCGGAAGTGATACCGGCTCAAAGCCGACTGGAAACGCCCGAGCCTCGCCTTTGAGCTTGGCAAACTACCAGAACATGCCCGCGGCATCGAAACCCAGTACAGATCCACCCCCTCGCTCACGGCAGTCATTAGCATCAGATTTGAACGAGAGGTCTAGTTCGTCTTTGCGACCAACGATTGGATCTAGTGAAAGCAGTGGATTGGAGAATGTGCAAGGGGGGTTCCATTTGGCCACCGCCGCGGAGGACGTCCATGCACCTGCCACGTCCAGGGGAACCCCATCTTCCAATCCGTCTCATGTTCGGGACATTTCCTCATCTTCTGGCTCGACACCAGCGCTCGCAAAGAATCAGCCTCGGCCGCAGGGTCCGCGGCCATTAAGCGAAGCCCCTCTCCAGATGGTCGAAGCTGGTCCCCCAACTCGCCCAATTCCTGGAACGGCCAACACTACATCCCAGCACCCACCGCGGCACACAGGGCAATCACTGTCAGGAGGAAGCGGAATACCCACGCCAGTCTCAGGCGTTGATGGCGCGCATGTTCTGCAGTCCGGCGGTCCCATACCACCATTCCCTAGCCCGCCACTGGAGCTTGACGGACGGCAGCCTGCTGGGAGGCGGCATCCCAATTTACCACCCTTTGAATCTTTGAATGTGCAGGACGCAACCGGTGAAACTCCACCACGTTCACCAGACTTGCGAAAGGGAGGACTGCCACATCACGTAGATAATCGCCCCCCTTCACGCTTCAGTGACGAATCCGGACGCCGGCTGGTATCACGCGCAAGCTTGCCATCGCTTCAGAGCAGAGGAAGTGGATCGACGGGTTACCCGAAAAGCGACGTCTCCTCCTCGTCAGGGCCCGCCGAAGTTTCGCGAAATAGCGGGACATTTTGGACCGTGAAGCGATCTCCAGGATCCAGTGCTCCGCAATTGGCCGTAAAGGATTCGGACATTCTGTGCCCGAACTCGTTGATCAGCGAGTTGGCGCCTTGGGAAGCCTCGGAGATCTCGAAGGAGGAGTCGCTGGAGCACTCCATCCTTCAAGAAGTGTCCAACACGACTGCAGGAGACACTGGAGGAGGTGTTGGGGACGTTGGCGATGGCACAAAGAAGGTAGCACGGAACACAGGGAGCCCCCCAATACCGGCGAAGGACCGGGCCCCCGGAGGAGCAAGTCTTCCTGCAAGTATCCCACCTCGACGAACGGCGCAGCCTTTCGGCACCCCGACGGATAACTCAGTGGGCAGAGAACATGTGTCTCTCGCTGGCCCTCTAAATTCTGGCCCAAGTACCTACTCTCTCCCCGCCGACCGAGGTATCTCCAATCTCAATCACAAAGGTGACCCGTCGCTCGTCTCGCTCCCCAACATGCATACCGGAGGTCAACGAAGGATGAAGTCACCACCTCGCTGGGAAAGTTTGCTGGATGAACAAGCTGGAGAGCCCCTGGCGAATATGACGAGGACAGGCGCGAGCACAGAGAGAAGAGAGAGTACTGGAACGCCAGCGGAGCAGACGGAAACACTGCTGACTGCGCCAACGCCTGAGGTGCAAAACCGAAACAGCGTTCAAGCTCCAGAACCGAGGAATTCGCCGGCTGCCCACCAGCCTGCTGCAATTGCCTCACCTGCAACTGTTTCGGATGCTGAGCCAGACTTGAATAGGTCCGGTTCCGAGATTTCAGAATCTACCGCACCGCACTCCGAGATCGTCATGCAGCAGGTCACCGAACAAGGCCCCGTCACCACCGCTTCCTCCGTCTTGTCCAAGGTCGGCGCTGCGGCTGGAACCGTCATCGGAGCCGTTGCTGGCGGCGTCGTCGCTGCTACACAGGTTGCCACCGACGTTGCCTCGCTTGCCGTTGGCCGCCCTCACGAGCACAATACCCTCCCCGCCGAAGACCGCGGCGAAGAGGAAGCCCACAGCATTCCGCGATCTGACACCGCTGCACAGATATCCAAACCGAAGCCTGACATTGTTGCTGGAGATGATGTGGCACTGCCGCCGCGAGGAGACTCGTTGCGACCAGCCCCACTGGAATCATCCTTTCTCTCGTCCTCGTCGATGACGGGAAGCCCCTCGGAAGCCGCTCCGACAACCTCTGCGATAGAGGATAGCTTGGTTACTGCAGCTTCTGTCACTTCTCCGCAGCTCGGGTACAGCCCAGGGATTCCACACCGTGATGGCACCTTTGGCCAACAGGTTGGGTCCGCTCAGGCACCGATTGCGGAAGGGCATCTTCTTTCTGTCTCGGCCACACCAAACTTGCTTTCAGAGTCCCCAGAACTTGAGACTCCCATCTTGAGCCCCACAAGTCCCTTCTCGGCTATCTCCGATGGAACCACAGTCTTCGGTCATGACTCACTACATCGAGCGGCGGATTCCCTCGGAAGAAGCTCCCTTGCGAGTACCGAAAGTACAGCGGCAACCGACGCTCCATCTAGGGCTGGATTGTTTTCTGACCACGATCAAACGCCATCTCCAGTATCGCCTTTTGAGGAGACCTTATCGCCACCGGAGTTTGCTGGAGCCGAAATTTCAACAGATTTGGGCTTCTTGAACCCGACAGGTTCTACCGGCGCAAACAGCCAAAGCTCGGAGACTCTGGCAGTACCTGCTGTACCGCTTCTTTTCAGGGCCATGGAAACCCCGCAGGCGACACCTCCAACTCCCTCCCCTGCGTCTTCGTCACACGAAGACGAACAAGCGCTTCCGGGAGCGGCCGGTTTGAGACCTAGCGCCACTGCACGATTACGGGACCGCGTCAAGAACGTCATGGCCAAGCATCGTCCATCGTTAGACGGGCAAAGGCCGAGTGCCGCGGATTTGAATGGAGTCAATGGGCCGTCTGTTGCCGCTGCTCCCCGGTCGGCACCGATTCTGGGCGTGGATGATACCAAACCTGCCACAGGCCAAACTCTCCGGAATATTGCATCGAATGAATCCATTGGGGACAAGCGACGATCCTGGGGACACCCGAAACTAAGCATTGTCACTCAAGGTCTACTTCAACCCTCACTGATCCATCACCAACAAGATCCGCATGTTATTCAGCATGCGCAACCCGACAAGCGCGCTTCTTATAGAAGCGGGAGCACAGCGTCCATATCCTCCGCGTCATCCACGACAGCCAGACAGTCAGTCCGCCCCGCCGCACCTACCCGCACCGTATCCCAAGCCCCTAGTCACGGTTCTTCGGACGGACCGTCAGAGACGAATGTATACCCAGCTCGAGGCGCTAGCCTTCAAACGTCCGTGGTACGGCTCCTGCCCATTGTCGACACGACCTTACCGTCACCTCCTGTTCACGTGTATAGCGATATGACCGATGCGTACGCAGATGATGGAGACGTTTCACCAGAGACCATGGCGCCGCGTCGAGTAGTGCAGTCACCCGTGAACGAAGGCGGCGCGGAATCGGAGTTCTTCATTTCACCAACCGGTGGCTCTTACTCATCCGCGCCCGTCGTTCTGCCTGCTACGCCCATTGAGCCAACCTTCCCAGTCGAGGACTATGCGGCCCAGCCGTCTCCATCCACCAGTGCTGACGGACCCTCCACTCCGCGATCACTCACAGCAAGCGTGGAGGCGGTTGAGAACGGAGCCTTCGTACCGAACAGAAGGTCGTTGCAGGTCAATGGAGCTATTCAACATGCGTACCAGAGGGTCTTGAGGAAGTATGCCAGTTTTTCGATTCCCGCGCATGCCAATCCAAGTCTGGCTTCGATCATAGAACAGAATGAGGCGGAAGCTGCGAAGGACGGCCCCGGCGACGAGCAGTGGAGGCCAAGAGATGGCTCGATGAACGGACACTTGATGGTTGAAACTGTCAGTGGTAGAGCTGAGCACTCTTTGAACGGCATGGCCCGCGAGACCCACTTTGACGAGGAGCAAGAAGCAACCGAGCAGGACCGCATCAGTGATGGTTCCCTGCATTCGTTTCAAGACTCAATCTCCGGAGATACGATCTCTGGGTTGGACAGTCCTGCGGAAACAGGAAATGCTGATCGCCGAAGTATCGGAGAAGGAGATTGCTTGCAACATCAGCATATTGGAGCTGAAGCTGAAGAGGACCCACTGCCTCCGCGAACAACGTCGCAATTGGCGTTGAACGCGCCGCCCGTCAATGGCCACCACTTTGACGGACCAAGCGAAGTGAACCTTACTGACGCTAGGGCAAATCGAGGGCCTTACAAGGCGCATTCGTCTATCAACCTCGGGGCTGCGTACAGGGGAGCTCAACAAGAACCCCCGCAACAAGATCTGGACAAAAACCGTCACCTGCAACACTCTATTTCTATGCTCGATATGCAAAGTAGCAGCAGCCCACGGGATCTTGACATTCCGATGGACGTCCCTTCTTCGGCTGCTCAGGCATTCTTTGACAGGTTGGCCCTTTCGAGAAATCAGCAGCAGCAATCACATCAATCTGGTCACGGCAACGCCTCTTCGTCCGGATTCTTGGCGCCGGGACCCATGCGCCAACCGCATTCGCCGTCTCCAAGTTCCCCAGCATCTAATCAACGCTGGGAGTTGGAACCTCCTGCCGTATCATCGGATCCGGACGTTACGTACGCGGACTCGGATGATGGCCACGGCCAGGATGTGAACTCAAGCCCGCAGATTCCGGACAGGCCCGGGTCGCCGTACTCGTTTGTGTCCGGTGCTTCCATCAGGTTGACCAGGAATCATCCCCGGTTTGCGAACCGTCCGGGTGGAGCTGGTTCAGTGACGGCGGGGGGTGTTGGAAGGAAGTCTGTGGAGGCTTTGGCTAATGCGCGATCAAGGGACAATATGAAAGGCATGAGGCCGTCACCACAGCCTGAGCAGCCGCAGCAGCCGCAGCAACAACAGCAGCAGCAGCAGCAGCGGGATAGGCGCGAATCGGCAGCTTCGGGCGCATCGACGACTCCGTCCGCACCATCTGGGGCAGCACCACATGCCCCTTCCTCGTCGACCTCCTCCGTGCAGCTGCATGGCAAGCAATCCGGCAAGGATGGTTCAACCCAGCAACTTGACCAGGCGTTACCTCCGCGCCGGGACTCCGCGGACGTGAGGGGAGGTCAAATGGCACCACCACATGCTTATCACCAGCAACACCGTCAGCTACATCCGGCACACGGCCCAGCGGGATCTCATGCGTCACTACTCTTCGATCCAAGTCTTCATGCTCCCCATCATCACTACCCAACCTATTACGACCCGCACGTCGTCGGCCCAGACGGTCGAAGCTCGTACCTCGGCCACCCGCACTACCCTTACGGCCCGCACGCCTCGGCTTACCTTGCGCCAGCTGCTGGACCGCCACCACCGGGCTTATACGCTGGCCAGCCAATGGTACCCACAGGTTACGGTCCTGATGGATATGCCACATTCGATTACAACTATACGTATCCGCAAGTAATGCCGCCACCCCAGCCAGGATACCGTGTCCCACAATTGCAGCATCACGCGTCCATGAGCATGATGCGACCCGTTGGGACACCACCCTCAGGAATGATGTACGGCCAACACCCACCCTCTTCGCCTCATAGCGTGCATCGCCATTCTGAAGGCTACGATCGTGCTTCAGGCGCTGCGTTTGCGTGGCCGCCACCGCCGCATCTCATGGCAGGTGGGACGCTGAACCGATCCCCAGGAGGACAGAGGGGCATGGCCCAGCCGGCGCCATTGGCAGGCGCAAATGGCCAGTCCGTCGCACAGCCGCACCCAGGGACCGTGATGGCACCGAACGGACTCCGGAACCCGAACGCGATGGAGCTGTCGCCTGCCGGAACAAAAGCGACCCCGTCAACGCAGAAGCAAGGAAAAGGTGGCCAGTCTCCACCAAACGGGAAGGCGGACGGGGATAAGGACAAGGAGAAGGACAAGAAGAAGGGTGGCTGGAAGGGCATATTCAGATAGACTTTTCTTCACTTCAAGTTTTGTTAGCAGCAGCAGCGAGTTGGACTTTTAGAGCGCGGTTCTAACATTTTTGCTGAACGTTTATTTTTGAGATCGTCGTACATAGAGGATTCAAGGACTGTTGGACAACATTGTAGTTATGGATGGTTTTACATTCGTCTTGTTTTATATATCTCTGTGTCCAGTTTTGTTATTCATTTCTCGAGTGGACTTTTTCCTAGTACAGTATAAGGTGTTGTTCAAGCTCAAGCCACAGGGGACTACGGGGGATTTGAAGTGCGAAAACGCGGTCGCCGACAAAGTCGACTAGAGAACAGACCGGGAAGGGGGGAACGCAACACAGCACTCGAGTTCACCTTCCAGCGAAGAGCAGAGATCACCCCCCTCGTCATCTCAACCTCACACAACCACACCCGCCACCGCCCTCCGAAGCAATGCCTGGACGTGTGATACGATGGCGGGTACGTTTTGTGACTTGCCGTCGGCTTGTTCGTGGTCATGTCGCTCGATCACAGAGCGTATTCTGCCCAGTGGGTCCCCAATTCCGCCACTGATGTCGTCTTCTACAGGTTAAGGACCCTTTTGACCCTAACCGGGCGCTTATCCGCATGTCCTGGAACAAATACAACCTCTACGCACTCGCCACACGCAACCGCCCCGAAGACTTGACCCGCAAATCAGTGTACCAGCAGAAATGGACCGCCAAGCGAGAATTGCGTGCCTACCACGTCCCGAACATCACAGAGAGGCAGCTGATTCAGCGCCACTGGTCTGCACGGCTGCCGCTGCAACAGCTGACGCAGGCGGAGAAGGATGCTCTGCCGCCTGTGCAAGCGCTCGCTTTTGCGGAGACTGAGAGGAGACTGGACGTGGTGGTGTTTAGGAGTCACTTTGCGAGCAGCATTTGGAATGCGAGGACTGCTGTTGTGCAAGGGCATGTGAAGGTCAATGGGGTACCGGTAAGCTTTTACTTCGGTCTGGTCTTTGGAATGGGGCTGCGGCCTTCCGGGACCGTATCTTTCTCACACACTTACGCACCTCCCCCTAAAAAAGTGCGCTTACCCAGCCCGCCGCCTGGAAGATGGAGATCTTATCACAGTATCCCCACGAGTGATCCCAACCTTGACCGGGCCAGTAAAAGAAACCCGAGAGTTCAAACGGAAGGAGTACATGGCACCATGGATGTTCATCCCATCCTACCTCGAGGTCGACTACAACACCTGCTCGACCGTATTCCTCCGCACACCGTTACCACAACCCAACGAAGTCGAGATCCCATCCCCGTTCCCTCCAGCCTGGCATCAACTAGTCTACGAGTGGTATTCTTCCATCTATAAGAAGAAGGAGAGCATTCGCACGAAGGAAACGCTGAAGAAGCCCGTCGTGGTGGAAGGGCAGACGGTCAGGTTGAAGAAAAAGTTTGCTCAGCTGAGGAGGAAGGATGACCAGGAGAGGATCGCGGAGAAGAAGAAGTTGAAGGAGGCGAGGGGATTGAGGGAACGGGAGGGCCAGGAGCAGGAGAGAAGGGAGGCTGCGCCTCTGTAGTTCATGGGACTGGTAGAATCTTCTGGGGGTGCACGGGTACATCATAGGATCTAATGTACATAGTACTGCATTTTCTCACCGCACCTTCTTTAAAGAATATTTATAGATCATATGAGGCATTAAAATGCACATTGTTGCGAACTTTTGAGTGGCGCTCAATTGGGCACGGGCGCGAACTCTCGTTTCCACCAAATCATGAAGGAAATTTGCGGCAGCCAACGACTTCAGTTGATCATCAATACGTTGCGATTGCTTAATTTGTCACGGCATGTTGACGAGGCAGGCGCCCGTTTATCAGTGCAAACCATTGCAGGATATCCAAATCATGAATCGATACGATTATACGAATTAGATATTATTCCAGCGAAAAAAACGCCCAGAATCGTGATTACATCCGGGCTCAAAAGCCCCTCATCCAAAAGTCAAGCCAATCCATTCAAACTCGAAATGACATCCCACAACTCATCCTCAAATTCCCCTTCCACTGCCCGGTGCCCTTCAATCACTCCACCGCCGCCTTCTCCACCCCGTGGGCCACAGTTCCCGCCACTCCCACTCCCCGCAACCTTAGCCACCCGTCTTCTACCAGTTTTCTTCCCCTTCCTTTCAGCTGATTTATCCGAATGGTGAGACGTGTCGGTCGAGTTGGCTTCGATGTCGGAGAGGACGTCGACGAGGGATTTAATCATGGAGGTATCGTTAGGGAAGAGGAGGGAGGCGTCGGGTTGGTTTGCTGGTGCGGATAGGGGGCGGGAGAAAGGGGGTGCGGGCGGATTTGCAGGGTAAGGGACGGGAGGAGAATGTGTTGTCTGCTGCTGGGGGGGTGGTGGAGGATGGGGCGAGAACTGGGGCGCCTGCTGGGTTGACACTGGCGGCGTTTGGGCTTGGTCGGACTGCATGAATGAAACCGTTGGCTGCGTCCGCGTCTGGGTCTGATATGCATCAGGTTGGGCGGCTTGTTGTGCTGGTGCTGCGCGTAGATCGGTCCTTTGTGGCGATATCTGCGTCGCCTGTGAAAGGGTCCGCGGCTGGGGAGGGCATAGCGGACATACTGGCACTGGATGTGTGCTATTGCTTCGTTGGTTGGGAGAACAGAGTGGACAGATGGTTGAAACCTTGGGTGCTGGTGGGTCTACGTTGGAGCGGATATAGGTGTGAGGGTAATGTGGCCATGATTGAGAGAAGGAGGCTGGCTGCGGTGCGGTGGACTGCGGGTGTGGTATAGGCGCAAAAGCCGGTGCATTGCGCTGCCCCGACGACCCATGAGGGGCCGCAGGAGGTGCCTGTCGAGGGTTTATGTGTGGCACGGAAGTTGACCGTGGGGCGTTCATCTGGTGATCAAAAGTCCCCGGCCGCCATCTCTGAGGGGGCGATTCAGGCCGTGGTGGTGGATCCGGCGACCGCGTGGTATATCCGTCAGCACCCACATTGCTCGAATAACCAGACGCGTAATACGACGTGTCCCGAGAAATCTGCAGGGATTGTGATTGGGACAGCGAGGCATCCTGGGATATTTGCAAGGATTGCGAATGGGATATAGAGGATGGTGCCATTGACGTTGAAGAGTCGTTCTGGAGCGGTATGGAGATGCGCACGAATTCGGCTGGGCTCGATGATGTTGACAGATACGCAGAAGACTGATTGGACGGAATGTCCCGCGCGTGGACGTCCTCACTCAGTCGTGGAGGAGGTGCATAGGTCGTTCTGGATGTGGTGAAGGGTATAGGGGACGTTGCCCGATCCGTCACTTTGATGACAACGCGGGTGGGATGGTTATGACTGTGCGTGGGGTGATGGCTCTTCTGATGGGGCATCCTACTCAGTTCGGGTTCGTTGGATTTGCCCGAGGACCGTCTGTGCGCAGCGGAATCTGCTGCATTATGGCTTTTTGTTTCCGCTGACGGCTCGAAACGCACACTAGAGCTTGGTGCTGCCTGAGCGCTCAGAAAACGCTCTAACGCCTCCGCCATATCCACTGCAGCTTTCTCCTGTGTCGGGACTTTCTGAGGTTGTGGAATTGGTCGGGTGTTTTCATTTGCCTCTCTCGTTCTTTCACTCGCTCTATTTCCAGTTAGTGATCGTTCTTTTCGAACCTTCCCATGGGGTCTTGGTGGCTTTGCGTTTGCGACAGTCGCGATAGAGGGGTGCGGTATCCAGGGTTCGGTTTGTGAATGGGAATTCATACTGGCGTTGCTGGGTCGATCATCGCCCACCGTGATGTTCGTCTCCACCAAAGAGCACGTTGATAGAGATCCAGAGGAGTTCAGCGGCATAGAGCCCAATCCAGAATCACGTTGCTCAGTATCATGTTCCCTTCTGGCATTGTGTGCGGAAGTGACATTGAAGCGTTGTACCGGACCTTCTGCAGTCGCCGGGCCTTTGAAGACATGTTGAGTAGCTGTTGTTGCATTTGGTGCTTCAGTAAGCATCCGAGTGAGTTTCGCAACTTCGCCCTGTTCGCAATGAGAGATACTTCATTAGTTACGATGACGCCGGTCCTCCTCCCAGACATCGACTTTCATGGACAACGCACGTGGAGTTTTTGGAGCACTTCCAGCTCCAAATGGGAAGCAGAACGATCCGAGCTCTCCCCACTAGCGCTCGGCTTCTGCAGTCCTATTACTTCGGCTCTCGTGTGATCGATCTGCACTTCATACTGTCGCAACAATTCCTCCGCCTTCTGCAGCCTCTTCGCTATCGACCTGTTTTTCTTCACAACGTCCAGCTTCTCAGCCTCTGTTTTTGCCAGTTCGTCTTTGCAAGCATCCAAACCGTCTCGCACTTGCTCTACTTCGTTCTCGAGTTGCGCCTTCTGGTCTTCCGCGATGGCTAACTGCGTGACAAGCGTAGCGAGCTTTAGACGGTCCTCCTCACAAAGCGCCGACAGCGTGGCACCGCCACGTTGGAGCTGCGGAGGTAGGAATACGCCAGCGCTTGGTTTGCTGTTGTCTGGTTGTTGATACTGTAGCGGCTTTCGTATATGATGTGATCTTGTCGGCTGCGGTGCCTTACGCGTCCGCGCAGGAGGACCTGGAGGTTGCACTATTTCTTTTGGCGGAGGCTGGAAGAAGGTGTTTGTCGGGAGCTGCTCCCAGTGCGGTGCGGCGACTACTGGATGGCACTCGCACTGATGTAAAGGCCTGTGGCATCCAGAGAATTTACCCTTCAAAGTAAGTCCGGTGCCTAATGTTCCTCCCCTTTGCTGACGACTCCTCGCGGCCGTCATCGTACTGCAGTCACCCCGATGACACGCCCCTTGCCCGCGATCTCGCCTATGCAGCTGTCGCTCCCTGGACTATTCAGCTGCCCAAAAGCTCGTCTGCTATGCCCACAGGGGCTGGTGGGATCTTTAAACAGCGTTGTAGGAAACTTCCTCACGTTTTGAGACCCATCTTTTGGCTCAGATTTCACGCGCCTGCACATGCATGCATCACGCGTCAGCTTTAGAGCAATGGAGAGCTGGATGTGAGAGTTGGAACTTGTGGACACTGGACACACTCCCGACTCTGAACCCTGATGGGCATTTCACAGCAACGACGCTATATTCGCTACCATGTGCGGTCGCAGAACACATCTCGGGAATGTGGAAGATGCATCCATGGTGAGCTGGGCCCCAGTGTGAAGGTGATTTCTTGTTCCAAGAGACGGAACGCGTGAAGTTTAAGTCCCCGCACGTGACAGCCACCCGCCGCATTACAATCTCTGGCATCACTCGCGGGCGGTGTCGGGTCGACTTCGTCGTCGTCGGCAAAGCACTTGTAACCACTTGCCTCTTCGTTTTTCCCCAACGCTCACCCACGTACCTTATCTTGAAGCGACACGACGATGGCGTCCAGGCTCTCTAACGTTGCTCGGCTCGTGGCCGCTCGCAGGACTACCTCTGTGGCGGCAAAGGTAAGCAGCGCAGCTCGTACAAAAGTTTCCCGCCAGGTCTGCATGAATTGAGCGGAATACGACACGGGTGAAAACGAAGCCTGGGGGTTGCAAACGCTTCTGGTAGAGCGGCCACTTCCGGAATAGTGGTACTCATAGATAAAGGAATCGGGACTATACCGACGAAATAGGACGACGACAGGATTACTGTCTGTCTCCAGGGTCGTGCGCGACCTGCTCGATCGCGCATGTGAATGGAAGGGTGTGGGAGAACGGGCTACGGTGGTAGTTACTCTCAACCAAGAAGCTAGGCCGACCTAGGTCTTGTGAGACTCCACCGACTGATGGAGATAGTTGACCTCACGATGATGGGCCCTTGAGAAGACGGAAGTGATGTGCCACGACTGCGTCTAACGCAACGAATTTTTCCTCATCAAAAGCCTGTGGCAACTGCTACCCCGATCGCGCACGGTCACTCTTTGGTCGTTCCATACGTGCACAACCCCCTCACGGATTTCAAGAACGGCGTGCCTGAATCACAAGTTCGGGAGCTGAGGCCACAGGAGAAGAAATGGGACTTCTGGACGACCTCGGAAGCTTTCCTGGAGAACAAGCCCAAGTTTGGCGTACGTACTATTTCCCGACGTGATGAGGGATTTTTCTAGTTTTTGTTCGTCTTCGATTTGGCTAACCGATGCTGGAAACGCACAACAGGGTCTCAGCTGGGTTCCTGCCGGTGACATCTGGGTCATTTCGCGTGCTGGAAAGTACCACAAGACTTGTGAAGCTGGAACACACTTCCTGATCCCTGGACTGGACAAGATCAAGGCGGTCAAGTCTGCTCACCCAATCGCCATGGGAGTTGTGACACCTGGTGCCGCCACTAAGGGTGAGGAATTGCTGTGTATATGGAATATCTGCTGAGAAAAGCATTCTTATGATTCACGATTTAATAGGAGGAAAGCAGGTTGACGCTTACGCCGTTGTGTACCTTAAGGTCACCAACCCCGCTGCCGTAAGTGCTTGTAACGCAAACTTGGATTTATCTCGCCAGCACCCAACGATTGACTTGCGCTTGCCCACCCTTACAGTCTGCTTTCTACGTCGATACTGAGAGCAACACCTTCGACTCGGAGCGCGCCGCCGCCAAGGTTGTTCGCCGCGTTCTGGAAAGGGAAATTGCCAACGCCCAGGTTGGCTCCGACGGCGAACTGTCAGCATCCGACAAGTCCAACATCATCAACAAAATCACCGCCACGCTGAACGCGCAAAGCGACGATTTCGGTCTTGAGGTTGTGCGTGCTGAGGTCCGCGGCGCCTTCCCCACCGACGCCAACATCCCCGACAAGCTTCGCGCTCTAGACCCCCCGATTCGTGACGCCGACGAGGTCGGTCACGGCCTCAGCGCCGACTACTGGTCCGAGGTCTTGACACCACCCTTCTTCGAGAAGCGCACTTTCGGAAGCAACAAGGAGATCCGTACCCCCGCCACTGTTTCTCTGGAATGGTGTATCCCATCTCCTCCCGACTACCATCACTTCAACGAGGTATGCCAGGTGTTCCGTGTTTCCCTTCCCACATTCAAGATGAATTCGCTAATCAAATTTGTCTCCATTCAATCAGCCCGCGAGGATGGTCGCTTCCGCTCCGGGAGCCCCTGCGAAAGCGCACTAAAGATAACCGAAAACTATTGTTTAACCGGAACAGAGGAGGGAAAGACATTGACCATCGTGAAGAAGACGGGGGCCGCATACCCAGAGATTTAGACGTGATGTGTCGGGTCTCTCCAGCTTTTTTTCCCTTGTCCATGCAGAAAATATACACTCATATTGACTCTTATGCGATGTCAGAATCATGACTTCATGTGATGGATTTGGCGAACGGACATACCTTCTCTCCGGGGTAATATGGAGTGGGATTGTTTTCTGGAGGGGCGGAGCAGCGATGTCGAGATGTCCGCGGGCCGCTGTCAACACGGCGCCAACTGTCAGTCACGTCTCCCGCTCAACATGTTTTTGCATATTATCTGACATATCTGGCGTGTATTGCACAAGACATGTCCTTGCCTGCGGCAAAACCCCCAGTCGCTGAAAAGATTATATAGGACGGAACGGGTTGCAAATTTCCTGCTGCGATTATAGCCCGCAAAGGTCCGCGTAGAAAGCTAGCGGTGAAAGGCTACCGCGAACATTCCCTAACGTCTGTCCGACGAACACAGAAAGAATGTCTCAACAAGCTCAAGAAGAAACCTTCCTCGTTCGCAACGGCAGCCTGCGCATCGCCGCCAAGCGTTGGGGTCCGGCAAACGGCTACCCTATCCTTGCATTGCACGGGGTAATTGTCTCGCCTCAGTCGCGGTGCCCTCCGTGGCTTACGTCTCACCTCATTACTCACTTGTCGTCGCTTTTTCTAGTGGCTGGATAATGCGAACACATGGGACGAACTGGTTCCAAAAGTCATGAGCCAGCATGACGGCCCGCTGCAGGTTGTTGCGCCTGACTTTGCTGGACACGGGCGGTCGGAATATAGACATGTTACGACAGATTATGGGCCGAATAAGTTCGTGGCGGATATTTTGATGGTTGTTGAGCAGTTGGGTGAGTTGAGAGTTTGATGCGGCATGCTTGGAATGATCCGATGGTGTCCTTCGCGTCATCATGGAGCTTAGTGGCTGGCAATGGAGCTTGGTGCTCAAGAACCCTTCCTTCAATGTAGGCTGGTCCAGCTTCGCCCTCCTCGGCCACTCAATGGGCGGCGCAATGGCCACGCTAGTCGCCGGCCTCCTCAAAACCCGCATCACCCACATGATCCTCATCGACAACCTCGGCCCGCCCTTCCCGCCCTCCTCCGCCGCGGACTTTGCCAAATTCTGGGCTCAATCCCTCAAAGTCCAAGCCTTGCCCACGAAACCCAGCAAACTGCTCCCTTCGCTCGAAGCTTGCGTACGAGTACGCGCTAGCGGAACAGAGGATATGACCATGTCCATCGAAGCGGCGAGAACACTGATGGGAAGGGGCGCGGAGGCCGTGTCGTCACCAGACGGGGCTACGATTCAGTACCGGTTTACCGTCGACCCGCGCGTCCGTTTCATCCATTTCGATCTGGAAATACCCGGCAATGTCGTCGACCATTTCCTCGCGTCGACTAAGTGCCCCGTGTTGGTGTTGATGGGACAGAATGGCGCGCCGTACGCCAAAACGATGGTCGAGGAGCGGGCGAAGCTGGTTAAGACGCTGCGGGTCGTTACGGTGAAGGGATACCATCACCCGCATTTGGATGTGGGCGTGGATGAGTGTGTCGCGGAGACATTGAAGTGGTTGAGTGATTATCCCCTGGTTCCCGCGGCGGCGTCGGCGGGAACGCAGAGGACTTTGAGGTCTGCTTCGATATCCGCCAAGCCCAAGAACAAGCTATGAGCGGTGGTGGGTCGTGAGCGAGCGGAATGATAGACTCCATGTTTCGTTTTAGATAGAACAGTGTAGGCGTAATTAGAAATGCGGCAGGACACACATTTGGCGAGATGACATTTTGCGGATCGCGGTTCTTTGCTCCTTTACATAGCTCCGCTTTCATTTCATTTAATCAGGATTGATTCCAGAGAGTTCTTGGTGCAACCTAGTTTACGCCGCTCCAAATAGCTTGTTCAGATTGGGTACCGATGATTATTTTACATACACACGCCGGAGAACAACTCGCTACCTACTCGCAAACTAACTACGACCTACGAAGCGGCAACCTCCACCTCAACGCCTTCCATCGCATCCTCGTCACCACCAGCATCCTCTTTTACCTCCTCGGAAGCGCCATCGACAGGCGCAGCAGCCTCCTTCTGCTTCCTCAGGTACTCAATCTGCTGCTTGACCATATCCGCGACGTATTCGCCCATATGCTGCACGTCCTCAATCTTCGCCACCTCGCCTTTCGCGTGGGGTTCCGGCCGCCAGCCCTTCTTCGGGTGTTCGACGACAGCAGTCTCATCCACAGTGCGGGTGAATGTCCCATCGACGTAGGATTCTCCGTTCCTGAGCCATAAGGCATCGGTGGGTCGTTGCAGCAGGGTCTTGAACACCGGTTGGAGCTCGTAGCTGCCTTGAAAGAGCGGCACGCGGCAAAAGACGTACAAGCCGAGTCTGGCGCGAGACATGGCGACGATCAGACGTCGAACGTCACGCAGGTGTCCGACCGTCTTGGTGCGGACGAGGGACAGGAGCACGTAATCGTTCTGCTGGCCCTGGTATTTGTCGACGGTAGCGACGCGGTGTGGGTTGCCAAACAGCGGGTTCCATGCGCATCGCGTCTCCAGCACGTCGCGGATCAGCTCCTTTTGGCCGTTATAGGTTGTCAGGATCGAGATGCGTTCCGCGGGGTAGCCCAGTAACCGCATGTATTGGTATGTGGCCACCACGTACTCAGCCTCGCCCAAGTTCTGTACGAAATGAGGTCGCGGTTCGGTTTCTCCCTGGCCCATGAAGTTGGGCACGTTTATCACTTGGTAGTCGAATGCAAAACCGGGGTTGCCGAGGTTGAACTCAGGCCGTTCCTGGACATTCGGCAGGTCTTTCAGGTTCTGGTATTTCCATCGGAACAGCTCGGCGAGAGAGCTCCGCGACCGACCCTGCGCGTCAAGCTGGATGACTGGGACGCCCAACCTGACAAAACGGGCGAATAGGCTCTGTTCCATGTTGCCGTAACGCTGGAAAGCCATATTCTTCACGACCGGCGGTAACTGGTTATGATCACCAATCATGACGACGCGCTTGAGCCTGCTTGCTCCGGTGTCCGGATCCGGATTTTGTAACAGCAATGGAATGAAGGTCTCAACTTCCAGAATCTGACCGGCTTCCTCCATGACGACGCTATCATACTTGAACCCAAGGCGGACAAACTCTTTGCGTTTGAGTGCCGCGTGTGTGCACGTCATGGCAATGATCTTGGCCTCCTTGACGAGCAGGTAGTTGGACCTATCGTAGCCTGAACGCAGGAGCTCAAAGGCGCGGATCTCTTCAAGCTCGTCAAAGACGTTCTGGATATGACGCCAGCAGCCTTCGAGGGTTTCCAGCCTCTCATCGTACGTCGCGTCGTCAGGGAGTAATGGCTGAGGCGCATCCGCGAAGAAGGCCTGGAACGGGAACAGAGAGAAGACATCCTCCCGTTCCTCCGCGGCCTTGTCCCGCAGCTGGTAAAGTCGGCGAATATAAGGGTCCCAGAGACTCTTCACATGGTACGTGTAGAAGTACCCGGCCGTTTCGCAGGTATATCCATGCGCACCGGGTATCTCCAAACATTGGGCCAACCGATCGACCTCTCCCAGTAGCTGCACTCGTTTCTCCAGGAACGCGTTTACACGGCCGTATTTGCCCCAGCTGTTCGCGTCCGCTAGGTCGAGGTCTTCTTGTCCGTGTCCCAAACGCAAGATGTGCCTGGGGTCAATATCGAGGGCAGCGATCTTCTCGAAGAGTTGATTCAGGGCGGTGTTGCTGTGAGTGATGATCAGCGTGTTTTGTTCCGGGTAGTTATGGTAAAGATTGGAGATGATCTGAACAGCCACATCTGTTTTTCCTGTACCGGGAGGCCCAACGACCAACGTCAGCCCCGGTGATGTTCCGGCATGAATGGCTTCCACTAAATAAACAGAAACACGTAAGAATTTATCCCAGCAATGACACAAGACGCGAATCAAAGCCTGAAGTTTTATATACCTTGTGTTACCGTGAATCGAACAGCGTTCTTCTTTGGCAGGTCTTCCGGATAAGGGCCGTTGTTAACGGGCGTATATGTCCGCACCAAGATAGCGTCATCCCCCTCGTCCAAATCATCGTCGACCGCGTCCAGCTTTCGCTTGACGCCGGAAGATACCGTGGCTTGCACGTTAGACCCACCTTCCCCGCTCAATGCTTCAAAAGTCGACTTCGGGAAGGTCAGCACGTAAGGTGGTGAAATGTCTTCACCACCATCGGGGCCACGGATCAATCGCTAGTGAAGTGAAAAGCAAATGGTTAGCCGCCGAACCGCGTAGCGGTAATGGCCGTCCTGCTATGGACTAACCTTGCCAGGAAAGCTCTCGGACAGATGCTCCCAGTCAAGGAACGTGTCCTGGAAATCCAGCGTCCGGACTGGCTGGGGGATGCTGGTGTAGTGGGCACTATTCCGGTCTCCATATCCCAGGAAGACATTGTGCAACCAATCAGGGACCACCAAGTCGCTCTGCATTAGGTCCCTGATGGTACCCAGCACTGCCTTGAAGTTGTTTTCCTGGGATTTCCGCCGCACCAGAACGTTGAACGTTGGGTAGACATCCTCTTCCTTCCGTTCCACGGCGTCCATGTCCGACTGATACTGATTGGGATCAAGCAACAACCGGAACCGGCGTCTGAACCCCGTAACCCGTGGTCTCCCCCCATCACTTGAGTTTTTGGCGGAAGTAAAGTCCTCCACAGGATGGCTGTCGTCGCCAAGCAGATCCGAGATTTCGCAACCGCGGACATACTTTAGTCCGAATTTTCTGCGGAAGTTTGTAACTGGCGTTTCACCGGCTTGCTTCTCCTTCTGCGCCTCGAATTGTGCCCATCCAGGCTCAGCAGGTTCCATGCGGATAGTCAGCAGGAACATAATATCGTGCGATTTCAAGGATTCCCACTCTCTGCGTATTGAATCCGTGAACTTTTGAATGTTGATGGTAACATCCGCTTTCACGAAACTGGGTCTGTTCGCTCCTAGTCTTGGCGGGCCGACATCCACAATTTGAAACTGGACATTGATACGCATTAGCGCATGCCTTATTGACGCAAGCTCGGAGACTTGTGCGCCCACTTACGTTGTCAATAGGAGATGCCATCCTCGCCCATCCTCCAAAAACAGTCTCATCGTCCCCACTACTCCTGTCAACATTGTGCCTAGGTTGCAAACGGTGCACGACATCTTCAATGTCCTGTCGTATTTCGTAGGTACTTTCCAGCCTGAACAGCGTGAAGTTGCGGAGCAAGTAGTCGTGAATAGTCAGGTATTGAAGATTCAGCTTCGGAATGGCAAGGCAGTGGGTGTTTGAGAACTGCTGTGATGCCGGTACCGCAGTTTCATCGAAGAGGGCGTTCTCGTCGGGATAGAGGGAAAGAGCATTTATGGCGTCAATCTGACTCGGGCGTTTGGCATACATTGCCGCCAGTAAATCAATCATAAACGCTTTGCTGAAAGGACGGTCATCATCTGCGTCGAACGGATGCGTCCGTATTCCAACTTCGGCACAGAGCGCACGGATGGTGGTTTCTTCCACTTTCTCAAAGCAGCGTCGAAAGCTTCTTTTACTTTCGATACTGCCAATGTTCGTCAGCGCAAAGTCTTCCAACGTGTCGCGGAATTTTATAAAAGCAATCTTTTGTAATCTTCGAAGATTGCCGTAGTGGAGACGACTAGTCTCAGCGAGTGTCAACGCTGCGCCGGTGAAGTCATTGATTTCGAATCTCGCGTAAAAGTGCAGTCGATCCAGGAGCTGTACAAAGAGCATCCCACTCCCCAACTCTCCTCCACTGGCTTTTGCCAAAGAAATGTCCCTGGTTTGCGACAAAACGTTCCGGCCTCGCTTTGCCAGATTGCTCGAGTCACATATTGGGACAACCAGATGATCGTGGAGAAGAAGGTTGAAATGTCTCCGTGTTGGAAGCTGTGCTTCCAGATCGATGAGAAGCTCCAGGAACCTCTCACAGTATAGAACAACATCAACTGGCGGGGGGCCATCCTCGGGAACGGAGCTCAACACGTTGAAAAATGACTTGATGAGAGTCGAGAAAAACGCTCTGTCGAAACGCATTTTCTCTTTCGCAGCGGCTTTTGCTGTCACATTGGTTAAATATAGCGTCCCTGAACAGTCTGAAACAAAGAGTAATGGCTTACTTGTTGCATCAAACTTGGCCTCAGCCTTTTCCCACAAAGCGCGACGCTCTGGGTACATATTCAGCTCTCTTTCCCTTCTCCTCTCCACCACGCAATCCCACATTGCGATGTTGACCAATCGCAAACATTCTGCCCGAACCAGTGGGTGTTCCAGCGACTGGAACATGTTTATCAGGAAGATCAACAGAAACCGCCTCAGCTCAAGATCGAGGTGTATCTGTCCATCGTGCATTTCCGAGTTTGATGATATCAACAATTCTAAAATCCTGGAGACTAATCCGGAAAATCTCGATGCATCACCTCCGAAGATATCCCATACACCCACGATGCGTTGTCGGAACTTCTCGTTGACCAGGACAACTATTGAGAGCACATGATCCAGGGCAGATTTACTCTTTCCTTTTTTGCTCTTGGCGATGAAGGTGGGCCACAGAAACTTTTCCAAAAACTGACTGTACTCGAGAAGCATCACTTTCCTCAACGAGAATTGCGACCCCTGTAGATGCTGATTCCATACTTTGCTGACAGTCGCTGCGTCGTCAGCGCTAGTCTCAGCAACCATCTCGGGCCAGGCTGCCTGTGCAAGCTTTGTAATTTCATCCTGCGTGATCTCGTCAACTGTTGGCGCGAACTGCTCGACGAGCGCTTCGGGGCCAGTCTTTATCGATTGGGAGGTGGTCAAAACCGACCTTGCCGGAGTTTCGGGAGCTACCGGAGTGCTGTCTGACTCTATTTGCTGGCCTACAGCGGGTGCTTGCGCCTCAACGCTCTGTAGGATTGGTTCAGCCGGGACCACTTTGAAGAAGCCTAGGTCCACTGCGGCGGGAGCACGCGGCATGGTGTTCGACAATTTAGGGGCTGATCGAGCAGTTAGGACAGGGCATGGGAAGGAGGGCGGAGAGCAAGCTTGCGAGGGTTCTCTTCCACTTGCGTCGGAGCCTGCAGTCTGTGGTCTCCCAACTTGGCCAGTTGGCCATAGTTCAATTCGGGTCACGTGGCTTGGAAGGACATCCCCCATACAACTATTTCTCCTCCTTTATTTAAAGTCCGTCCCAGACTCCCAGCCCTCCAAGGAGTCCAGGCCCGTCCCAAACCTCCGGTTCGACATGACGGCAGCCATCTTGGAGGCATCTTCTACGGTGACGTTCAAGACTTCCAGAAATACATACGAGCGTCACGGCTCTCGGAGAAACGAGGCCTCGGCGTCTTCGGCCCTCCGAGTCGAGCTGGCCGAAACACGTGCGGAGCGTACGTTGCTTGATGGCCTACGGCAACGACCTGAGCACAAGGCGAAGGAGAAGCGCAACTTTAATTGTCGGCCAAGGAATTCGAAGAGGGTCCAGACCGTCTCAGCCGCTATGCGCTCGTTCCTCTACCGGGCCGGCTCACGCGTCGCAGAAACCAACATCTCATTAACGTTGAGCTTGTCCACTTGCCACCTCCACCACGTCATGTGACCGTACTTCTTCCCGGTCCGGAAGCTATCAACCACGGTTTGAGGTGAACTTCCCTCGCTGCCGTTTGTCTCGATAACGTTTACCTTCGTCCCGCTTTCCCTGAGTCTGGGAGACAGACTACGAACTCGGGGCAGGGAGAGCATATGAGAACCAGGAGTTGTTTGCGGGACACTTGAAGAGCTTTGCACAGTGACGGGAGACTTCTCAAAATCTAGGAAGCGGGGAACCCACTCCCGTTCCTACATGATAAAAGGGTCCCTGAGCAACGACAACACATCCCGTTTTGGCGCGAGTTGCCGTCGTCGCTCCATTTTTCCGTCATGAGCGCAGATTTGAACCCCATCGACCTTGACGCGACCCTTGAGGATGTAGCGCACGGCAACTCATCGTCACTAGCATCAAAGCCGCCGCTCGGCGCCGGGGCGGCCACGGCGGCATACGAGCGAGACCTCGAAAAAGGAGCTTTGGCGCCCACCTCGATGAACCACGTGAGACGGGATTCAAGCACAACCTCAAGTTCGTTTTACAGCCGCAACGTACGCTATTATTACATGTGGAAAGGCCTTCTTCTGGCCGCTTGGCTAGGCCTGTTCGCTGCCCTAGCTTTTCTTCGATTGTACACGATGCTCTCCAGGGTTCCAGTGATAATCCCGACACCGGCCGCTGTAGCCGCAGCATTTATGAAAACGAAAGGGATCTTCCGGATATGTTTAGGAGTTTGCGCTCTGCTAGAGCTCGCAGGACTCGCCACTTACGTTTACTCCTTGCGATCCGCTGTCTGCATGGCGGCCATAACTATGTGCTCATCAGTTTTTCTTTCTGCGGCGTTGACAAAATTGACCCCCGACATAGCGAAAGGAATGCATAATGTGAAGTGCACGTTGATCCTGCTTCTGTTCTCCATACTTGCTAGTATCAATGAAGCTGTCGGGAAGGCTTATCTCTTGGCAGCAATGGACGAAGTACTGAGCCCGACGGGGGTCGGAGACACGCTTTTATACTTCTTCGTGGCAGACCTCCTGGGCATGTTGATTTTGTCTCCTATATTATTATCGATCGACCGAGACACCATCACACAGCTGATTTACGAGAAGTCGCACTGCGTCCGCTGGCGGCAGACGACGGTACTTGTCGCGATCTGGGTCTTTGTTGGCTCAATCCCGTTCGCTTTCAAGGGTATGGATGATGATCAGTATACGGCAACATTCTTCATCATCTTGCTTCCGGCCCTTCTGTCAGCCATGCTGGCGGGCAACAACGGGGTGTGCATTACGGTAGCCATCGGTTACGCCGCTTTTTTGGGAGTGGATGTTCTTTTTCGCCAAGCAGCGAATGCTCGAAAAAAACGGCCCAGCATATTGTTGCCCCTTCAGTTTTGGTGCATCAGTCTCCTTTTGTGCTCCTTCTTGATGATTGCGGCTTATGCTGAGCGAGAGTCTTACCGGAGCGCTTATCGGCGGCTGAAACGAGAATCTCAGAGGAAACAACCTCGCGGGGAGCCGGGTCGGAGCCCGGGGACAGTGGCAGGACAGGAATGTGCCTTGATTTTGGGGTATATCTGGAGTGAAACGCGGAAGCCTTTGGAGAAGATGACGGACCTCTGCAACTCGATGATGGAGCCTGACTTTCTGAATTCTGAGGATGTGGAATCCATTACGGCCTCAGCATCCCTTGCTGCCATGGCCATTAAGAGATCAGTCCGCCGGGTGCAAGGTCTCCTGACCGATGCAAATGATATATCAGACATTAATAGTGGGCGACTGATTCTCAAACCGAAACCGAGCAATCTGTATCACTTCTTGGATGACGTGTGCCGAAAATTAAATCTCGAGCTGGGCGACAGGGAAATCTCGGTCGCGGTGAGATTGATGCCAAGACTACCAGAATGGGTACGGATGGATGAAAGCCGGCTGTCGACCATCATCGAACGCTTGGTCCTGAACGCTGCGGAGGTATGAGTTATAAAGACGTTGCTACCATCTTTGCGCTTGAACAGACGGCTCACGCGTGATTGTCACTCAGCATACAGCATCTCAAACTGAAATTGTTCTGGAAGGTGCCGGGTCTTCGCCGTACTCCCCGTCGCAGAATGGTCAAGTTACGGTCGATGTGAACTTTACCCTCAACATCCCAGACTGGGTGTGCGACCCTGACGAGTATGCGGTTGTTCTTCGCCCCTACGCGTACCCAGCGTCTTCAAACAACGACGCAGGCCCACTATCGCTTGCTCGTGCAAATGCGATCGCACGGCTCATGGGAGGCCAGGTGCTGGTCTTCGGACAGCGAAATAGGGGAACGGTCATAAGCTGCAAAGTTGCCTTGGAGGTAGTGAGCACGTCCACAAAGTTTTCGGGGAATGGGCCACCGATCGGCCCTCCATCAGCGACAGTGAAACCGCAGCCCTTGCCCTCCGCAATTGCAAAATCAATGCATCGCCAGGTCTCCGCTGCCATGTTGGAGGCCACCAGGAACATGGGGGATAAACTGGGAAGCGTCGTCAGTCTACGACGAAGGTCTAGGGACGCGTCGCATATATTGGGAGATAAGCCTTCAACTCTCTCCTCGACGCCTTCCTCTCCGCTGCTACCACTGGAAGCCTCAGGGCAGATTGGCAGCAAGGTTGGATGCAAAACGGAGGGAGCGCGCGGGAAGCCTCTCCGCTTGCCTTCAGAAATGGGGCCTGGGCAAAAGTTGGTGCTAGTCGCGGATGACTCGCGCGTCAATCGAATGATTATGAGCCGGATACTGAAAAAATATCCGCAAGTCGAAGTGCATGAGGCTACCAACGGCCTGCATGCGTTGGAGCTATGCCAAGCTTTCAAATACGACATTGTGGGTGTCAAGTAAATGGACTTGGAGTGCATTTCTGCTTATATCTAATCCCATCATCAAACCCTCTTTCTCTCTAGGTCTTTATGGACATCTGGATGCCACATCTTGACGGATACGTAAGTCAACCGTCAGCATGGGTTACTTAGGATTATCTCTCATACTTACGACGCAACCTTCTGCAGCAAGCGTCGTTTCGTATGCGTCACGGCAACTCCTATCTGGGACCTATAATCCTGATGACGGCGGACGCGGAACAGTTAGACAGTACCATTAAGAACGGCGTGAACGATATGCTCTACAAGCCCATCCAAAAAGGAGACATTGACAGAACGCTGAAAACGTACGGCATTGTGCCCGGCGGCCAAGTCCCGGCCACTCCGCTTAGCACCGTTCAAACGATTAGCAGTGTTGGGTCCCCTGAAGCCCCGACGCAATCTGACGTCATGGACAGGAAATCGGGGTATTTTGACTACCCAGGACCTTTTTCGTCGCATGGATCACCTCCGGAAGGGGCATCGTCGAGCAACTCCAGAAAGAGCAGAGACATGGCATCCTCCATCTCTTCGATCTCTTCGATTAGCGCCACTTCTGGAAGATCACATCCGAGAAGCAGTTTACAAAGGCCGATTCAGGTGGATCCGATCTTGATCGTGGATGACAACGCACAAAGTCGGTGGACGCTGAGGGATCTGCTGAAGCAGCTCGCCCCACATCGGGCTGTCATGGAGGCGGAGGATGGGGCCAAGGCTGTGGCGCTTTGCACTTCGGGAATCATGTTTGCGCTCATATTTACGGGTAAGGACATGCCGATAATGACGAGGGTGATGATTCCTTATTCACGAACAATTCCTTTTCATTATTCAGAGTTAACTATGCCAGGGATGGATGGAGATGTAAGCAGCTCTTCGAAATTGTGAAAGTCATATGCCTTCATGTCTCATCATGCATTGAAATCAGGTTGCCGCGACAAAGATCAGAAACATGAGAGCGATTGGTGGTGGGCCGCCGTAAGTTGACAATTGCTTGTGATTAAGGTTTTCGGGGCATAACATTTTTTGGTTTTTGCAGCATTATCGCTATCAGTCGCCACTCTCTAGATGCCGAATCATTTGCTGCCCTTCGTGCAGCAGGAATCAACGATGCAACATCCAAACCGGTATCAAGGGAGAATCTGAGTAATATCCTCAAAACATACGGCGTGTTGGCCAAGAACACACCGGACGATGCGAGGTCAGCTTCTGTGTCCGAGATTGATTTGGAAGTGGTTGGATCCTCGCGCAAAAGTCGTGCTCCACACAAGGACCTATATCGGAGTTCCCTGAATCGATCCAGAAGCCGATCGCCGGACGGAAATTTTCGGAGACCGTCTGACGGTGCCCGGAGGAAACGGTACAAAGACCCTGAGGTGGAACCACCAGGAACTCCCGCGGGTTTGTGGCTGCTGCGACAATCGACCGAGTCCGCGCCCGGAACACCGACGTCCCAACGATCTCAACGTCCCGGAACAACGACAGTCGAAACAGATACTGTCTGAATACTTGCGTCCGTGGGCCTGGTCATTGTTCCATGTCGGACATCTGTTATCTACATCAATATATCTTTTGATATCCAAATGCTATACATCCTTTTGCGGTGGATCATCAATCATCCAATGAATATCATATGGGACAGGACACAAGCGCTTGTCTAGCGGGTTTTCACGGCTTGTATGTGCAATGCATGTACACCATAGTTTTTCCAAGCATTTGTTATGCACACGGGAGATCCTGGCCGTGGTGATATATGTCCATGTTCAAGCACAAGCTCCATCTCGCCCTACCCTACTACGCCGCTATGAATGATTTTTACGTCCGTAACCCAAGATTCTGCCGGACCGAAAAAAGACGCCGAGCAGGTATACCCTTAGACAAGAGCGACTGCCTCAATCTCTACCAATGCGTCGCGAGGTAAACGGGCCGCTGTTCCCGTAAGCCAGGTTAGTCCATGACTTTCACAAAATGTAACCAAAGATCATAGCGCGGTACCTTGCACAGCTGAACGAGCAGGCCTAGCAGATCCAAACGCCTTTGTGTACTCTTCGTTCATCGCGTTGAAATCGTTCATGTCCTACGGAATTGGGAGAGAAGTTGAGAAATTCCCCCTACATCCCCTGGCCCTCTTTGCGATGAGCAACATACCTTGAGGAAAACGGTTGTCTTGACCACCTTGTCTACAGAGGTGCCAGCAGCCTCCAAAATGGCCTTCAAGTTCTTCAAAGCCTGCTCCGTTTGTTCTTTGATACCTCCTGCTACAAAGTCCATCTTCTTCGGATCTAAAGGAGTTCTATGCTTAGAAAAAGAGTTGAAATACAGGCTAATATCTCACCTCCTCACCAAAACCAAGCTGTCCGGCAGTGTAAAGGAAGCCGTTCGCGACTACAGCCTGGGAGTAAGGCCCAATGGCAGCGGGAGCGTTGGGAGTCTGGATGGTCTTGATGGACGACATTGCGCGTTGACACTGGAGTAGACACGGAGTAGCAGTGATGAGATGGGAGCGCAGGAGAGAGGTCCTGAGAGCTGGTCGCAGCACAGCGTTGGTTAACATGGACTGGGGGGTGGCAGATGGACGACCGTACTGTATGTACTGTATGGACTGTTCGATGCAGAAGTGAAGTTTACAGTACCGCTGGCAGCCCGAGAAATAACGGGAGGGGTCGCGTTCGAGTCAGGCGAGCGTCATGAACGCGGCGGAAGACATTCAATTGCTGCCTGATCACGTGCAAAAGATACCCTGCAGATTCAAGTGAGTGCGCGGCCCGGCGATGTCCCGGGTGCGCGGCCAATGCACCGCAATGTCATAGCTGGCCAAGTACAGTATTAGCTCGTCTCGGCATCCCAAATTGAAGCTGCAACCATCTCTCGTCGAGTTCACAGCAGCACCCTTGTAAGTAGTGCCCAGGCAAGTCAATAAGTGCTTCTGGCTCCCTACTAATATCGGCTGTACGGACGCCCCTTGTCTCAACAGTCTCACGACGACCACCCACGCACAAAGCTCTCCGCCAGCCATCTGAAATGCTCATCGATCTGAATCCCGCCAACAAGATTCTTGAGGAATCCCTCAGGGATAGGTTCGCCGGGTGCGTTGACGATTGCGTGAAGGACCGAGGTGGGACGGGGGAATCAGCATGCCGTAGCCGCCTGGTTTGAACTACGCGCATCCTGTCGACGGATGCCTTTCGGAAGACTGTGATGGGAATTCATACGGCTTTTGAGGAGGCATCCACCGCACTTCGGAAGCTGGGCTTACATTCCTCGCAAACTTTCAGGAGCTTAGACAAATCGCAGTCGAAGGTGGCGGATTTCGATGGTGTCACATACAAAATCTCGTCACCGGATGCCAAAACCGCGTTGCACATCAGCATGTCACTGAAGTGCTTCCCAGAACTTCAGAAGTATGGTGCGGATTCGGTGCTGAAAAGAATATATGGGGACCAGCTGCAAGATACCCCTGAGGATGGGTACGATGTCACGCTAAGATTGGATTTGGAGAATTTGCCAGAAGACAAAGGTGGGAGTGGAGACGGTCTGGCACATTCAACACATGGTGGGACTAACGGTCGATTTGATGGCGTAGAATCATTGATTCGCGAAGTTTCATTGTTGAAGCGGAATGCTCTTGCCGCCCCTTTCGAACGGGCATTTGCGGCCCAATTGGAAGGCAATGACTCGGAACTGATGACGATCACATACCGCGCCGATGAAGCATTTTACGTCAAGGCACAACACGACCGTGTAACTGTCATCTTCTCTACGGTCTTCACAGAGGAGACCGATCGGATTTTTGGGAAGGTCTTCTTGCAGGTATGACTTTCCCTGTATCATGCCTCTGTCCTGCATGTAACGCTGGGCTGACGTCGGCGTCTCACACCCTTAGGAATTCGTTGACGCCCGCCGAAGTCCCGCAACCCAAAACGCACCACAAGTGCTCTACAGCCACCGCGAGCCACCAATGGAACTTCGCGGCGTCTCAGGGGTCCATGAGAGCGAAAACATCGGCTATATCACCTTTGTCCTCTTCCCACGACACTTTACAGGCAAAGACGCCGCCGAAGGTTGCATTTCCCGCATCCAGCTCTTCCGCGACTACCTGCACTACCACATCAAAGCTTCCAAAGCCTACATGCACTCGCGTATGCGCACGAGAGTCGGCTCGTTCCTCAAAGTGCTGAATCGCGCGAAGCCAGAGCAGCCGGAGGACAAGGAGAAGAAGACGTCGAGGTATGTTCTCTTGTCGCCGCGATTGTAGGCCTTCGGGTGCCATTTTGGACGCTCACAATGTCTCACGCGTTCTCTCCTTGCAGCGGTAAAACCTTCAAACGCTCATAACCTAATCATATCACACCGGTGCCGGGCTGGCGAGTCAACTGTCTCTTGGCTCGATCTACCCCATCCCGCGCTCTATAAATCTGGTTGACCCTCTGAGAACTCCACTTGTATTATATCATCGGAATAGGAGTGCCCAATCCTTGATGTTCTCCTCCTTGCCATGTCCGTCTTACCCGTTGCCACCGTCAGAGGGCGTCGTGAATGTGTTGGCTTACCGGCCAACGGGGATTGACTATGGGCAGTAGTAGGACCCCGGCGATACGATGGAGGATCATTCTGCAACAGCACGATGCCACCCAGCGCCTTGCTGCTCAGCGTCGCAGGTTTGGGAGGTATACTCCAAAGCGGAGGAGTCCACCAGGGAATGTCCGTGACGTCTACCCCATTCGGCGTTTGCCACTCCTCACTCCTTTTAAGACTCACTCTCGCTGCCATCCATCACGGCGCATAAAACACCGCAAAGAACTTGGCTGTCGTCTTAACGTTCTTCTTCAGAACCGCATTCAGCGTCGCCACAGACTGCTCCCACTTGGCCAACTCATCCTTGCCCAGCGGTTGTTGCTGTTGCTGCTGTGACTGCCCTGGTTCAGCGACTGCCACAGGGCCCTGCTTTGTGATTCGCTCGACGTTCAGCTCAACAAAGTCCCAGAAGAGCCCTAGGAGGGTTGCGACGTCGGTGGCGGGGATCAGGTGGAGGATGAGGGAGCTGTCGGAGAGGGGAGGTGGGAGAATGCGAGCCTGATATATGGAAAAGCTGCATCAGATATCACACCATCCCAAGGGGACAGAGGCATTGCGATCACCTCTACTGTCCTAATGTTTTCCAATGGAAAAGTGTGGTACATACTTTTGCGAGCGCACGGGTGACTCTGATAGCAATATCGACCTCTTTCCGGAACGCTTCGCCCGCAGGTCTTGTAGAGGCTCGTGTTTTCGTTTGTCTCCAGAACCCCAGTGCCGCCGAATGGATAGCACGGATGATATCCACAACCAGAATCAAGGATGTATAGTCTGCGGTGTGGGCATTGAAAAGTAAGCACCCAAGAAACCCCTGCAATCAAACTCAATGTGTATATATTCCAAGCGTTACCCGAGACCAGGTTCTCCAAAATATCCCATAGGGTGGGTTTCTCGATGAAAATATCCACGACGCGAGCGGGTGGAACGCGCACGAAACGTCGCATAAGCATGCGGGCCACGTTTCTCTTTTCCAGTATCCCGTTCTCGGCATTGAACGCAATTTCCATCCAGTCGGGCAGGTGATTTAACCATGGTTGACGCGCTGTTTGGAGTTTCTGGGTTGGGATGATGATGGGTATCGCTTGTAGTGGTTCAGATTTCTGTGGTGCGGCTGCAGGTCGTAGTTCCCCTCGGCGCGCGTTTGTTGAGATTTTACCACTCTCATTGATCTGGTCCAGGAGGGACACCACAGATGGCTTCCTGAATGCAGGCGTATTCGTCAATTCATTGTCGGCACTCTCACCGACCTTCTTTTGAACCGTGCCGGCAGTGCCAGAATCAAGCAGTCGGCTAACGGGAACGACAATAGCCGACGGGAGCATCGCAAAAATGGCCTGGATCGCTTGGTTGTCAAAAGAGGCGTGTTCCCCGCTGCCCGGCCAATCCGCCCAAGTTAACGAACTTTCCAGAAATGAAAGAGCCGCAAGCGTGTTGGGTTTATTCGATGTCATGTCGTCCAAGATGATATCGCCACAGCACGATAGCAAGGACAGGTCGCCCGGAGATGCGGCAGACGAGCCCGAATGTTGCGACGCTTGTAGTGAATCGAAAAGCTCGTTCACGATCGCCTTCCTCTCCGACTTTCCGACACAAGGAAGGAGCGCCGGTAAGCTTTTAAAGAAACCGTTCCGAGTAGCCTCCGATTCAACCTGTACTGCATCCAGAAGATTCAGCAAGGTCGTCCCAAGCAGACGTGGCATTTTGCCCTGCAAGGTGCTGTTGAGATCCTTGACCAGCTCCACAAGTCCGGCCTGTCCGTCTGGTGTGAGGGTCGCAGGATTGAGAAGGAGGGTGCTGAACACGGTTGCTGGGTCCGATGCGCGAGCAAGGCACGAGCAGAGTAGCGTAAACACCGCGTCGCTTTTATCAAGGGTCTTATGAGACGCATAATCGCGGAGCACCTTGGCCAGAGCGACAGCCCTCGCATCCATCGCTGAGGATGGGTCTGTTGGTGTCGATGTCGATAATGGCTTTGTCAGCACGGTTATCTGTATCTGGAAGTGTGACAAGTTAAGTACAGCTATGAGCACAGTCACCGACAGCGAACTTCGTCATGCTTTGAGCGTACTTTATTGACGACGATCCACATCAGGTCGTTGGCCTGCTTCTGCACGGCTCCTATCGCATCTGGTAGCCGACTTTTCTGGAACTTGGCCTGCATCTGGGAGACTCGACCGCTGTAGACCAATTCCGCAAGAAGGAAAAGGTCCACCAGGTCTTCTGGCCCGAGGGATTCTACGGTTTGCACAAGGTATGTGAGCCACGAGGCTGCGACGTTCGCTGTTGGGTCCTTTTCCCTGTACGGAAGTATCAGTGGCAATAATCTTGCAATGGGAGCCGTGACTCAGAGAAGCTAACCCTTGCTGCCTGGAGTATTCGCTGAGCCCACTGAACGCCTCGAAAATACATATGTCTGCAATGTTTTCTTGACGAACTCTTTGCAGGACGTCGCTGAAGAAAGCTAGAAAGCACTTGTCTTAATACGCCTCGCCTGCGATCAAACAGAACCGGTTTAGAATCGGTACCTTGTAGAACAACCGGGCACGTCACCGCCAAGGTGAAAAGATAGGACAAAACATAGCGTCGCCAAGGATCTGAAGGGAACGGAGCGGTTCAGTATACATTGCGCCTGACAGGGTGGGAGCTTTCAGTGCGGCTCTACCTGCAGTGAGCACATCTACTGTTCGAGTCATCTCAAAATAGGCCCGGAGGAGCTCCATGATACTGTCCAACAGAGGGGTACGGGAAATTTGCAGCAACTGCGCAACAATGCTGCTGATCGTGCGGTCCATCTTCGTCAGCTTTCTGCAATCGTGATGAGATGGATTTCAGTTTTTGGATACGGTCGAATCAGTGTGCTGCTGGTACTCAGTGCTCACATTGGGGTGTTCGTGCTCAGACTACTAAGCACCGAATTCCCAGATTTTAGTATCATGTCGATGGCAGAGACATGGAACGTGTGAATGAGTTTTGGTCTTTGAGAGAGAATGTGGAGCACCAGTACGGTATGGAAGGACGTTCGATCCATAGCTAGCTGAAGGGAATTTCAGGCATTAGGACCCTCCGGGTACTTGTGATCGCTAGTATACATTCGTCAGCCTACCTTCAGTAATGGACCGATGACCTTCTCCCTATGACTAAGTGCGCGGATAGGACGAAAGTTTCAAAACCTAGTGATTTTCCTTTTCCCATTCCAACTTCAGGGGTACCTCTCCGGGCAAGCGTCAATAGCGATGTACAAAAGACCCAGCACAGCGCCCGGCACAGGCTCTTGGCTCAGCCGGGCAATGACATTCAACTGATCCTGTGTCGTCCCTTGTGCCGATGCTACATCGCAACAAGAGCAGGACATTACTTCATCCGGCCCGGGTGGATACGGCCGTGGGAACTGATATACAAACCTATAAATTCCGCGAATACGGCATACGACCACTTCAGAGAGATAGAAAAAAGTCAATGTATATACTCTCAGGAAGCCAATGCAAACCATCTAGCTTACATTGAGGCCATCAACCGGCGTAACCGAGCTGCCGTCTCCAACCAAGTCCCCGAGCCTCCTAACGGCCTTCAACAAGTCAATCTTCCGCTCTTCATGCGGACTTCCTCTTGTCAGACGTAACCACTCCGTGAGCTGCGGCAGGACCTGCGGAGCTGGAGCTTCGTATGCCTCTAGTAGCTTGACAAGCTCAAGAGGTAAGGGTCCCCCGTTCCTTCTCCGGTGGGGAAGGCCATATGGATATCCGCCGCCTGCGGGAGGTCCGCCATTCCCACCGCCCCGGCCACCGCCTCGCCCTGCTTTGGAAGCTTTGTTTGCTTTTGGCATTGTCCTGGAGGGTTTTTCTAGCAGCTTGCATCTGTTGTAATTCGCTGGGAATGCCGAGGTAACAGAGAAAGGAAACTGCATGCGGACGCGACCCAATCTTTCGATTCCAACACTGGGATCCAGTGCCTTGACTTAGAGGCCTTCAGCGCTGCACAAAACTGCTACATGAACCGCATTTGCAATACGCCGCAGTCTTCGAACTTCTTCATAAGATTAAAAGGTATGTACAGTTTTGATAGACTATCATTACTCCGCGTTCTAGGGTTGCATCCCAGACATGATATCATCGCTCGGCCCCCCTGCACATTCCAATTTATGGGATAGTTTCGCCATGCATCGTACGAGAAGAGCATCGAACTGGAATGTTGGCGGTGCGTTCATCGGCCTGCACCCCATTGAGGTGGTGGTGGTGGAAAATTCCCCTGGAATCCATGTTGCGGTGGAAACGCTTGCCCTGGGAATGGTGGCGGAGGCATACCAGGGCGTCCAGCGAACTGAGGAGGTGCGGGCGGCGGGGCTGCGGAAACACAAAACAGATCGATCAGCGGAGAGAAACTGAGCGTTGCAAGTCAAGGAAGTAGTGCGACTTACGCATGGACGGGAACTGTCCCATTGGTGGCTGAAATCCGGGTCGAGGTGGAGGCGGTTGGAACCCACCAGGAGGAGGGCCGGGGTGAAAGCCTCCCATGGGTAGAGCGGGCGGTCTTCCCATACCTGCGGCCACTGGCATACCAGGATTGATCATCGGAGGTGGAGGCATGCCGCCTACTGGTGGCATTCCAGGACGCGGGCGTGCGGGAATATCCGCGAAGAACCGATTTGGCATATGTGCCGGCTGATTCTTTCGAGATTGTGCTGCCAATAACCTCTCCGCTGCGCTTCCGTGACGCTCTCCCTTTCCATCCTTCTTGAAAGCATACGACACCGTGATGGGTTTGTTCATCAGATACTGTCCATTCATAGCTTCGATCGCAGCATCTGACGATTCGAAATTATCGAACGCAACAAATCCATAACCCTTCGAGTTCCCAGTATCTGGATCCCTGGCGACTTTCGGTGTTTGGACTATTACACCAAATGCCGAGAAGGTGTCGTAAAGAAGCTTTTCCTCGACGTCTGGGTCCAGATTTCCGATGAACAAAGATGCCCCCACATCCAGGTTCTTCTTATCCGAAGTCGCTTTATTGACGCGGATGGGCTTCCCATATAATTTTATCATGTTCATGATCTGGACGTAGCTGGTTAGCATGGTAAGCATTTAACAACGCTGCCACGCTCAACTGAAGCCTCACCTTGATTGAATAATCGGCATCCTCTTCCGTCATGTATTCCACAAACCCATATCCTTGATGCTGCTGTGTCACACGGTCTTTGGGTAGGTGCACATTGACTGGAGAACCAAAAAGGCGGTCAGGAAACAGGTTCCAGTCTTTTCAGACAGCAATTGAGGCAAGCCTTACCTACCGGGCCGCCTTGCAACATAAGCTCCCAGAGAAGCCCCTCTGATACTCGATCGTCGACGTTACCCACGTAGACTGTGGCGTCCTGGTTGCGCTCCTCCGGCCTGTTGGACATGCTGGTTGTCTTCTCCGCGGGACAGTTTACACTATTTACTCAAAATAAGAGTGCCAAGATCCCTAGTTTAGCACGGGGTGACTGAGTGGATACGATGGAGCTTCAATGGGTGTGATCCGGAGACTGCTCTCTGAGAGTTGCCAAGTCGAGCGTTTTTCGTCCGGGCTCCTCCTGCTGCGACTGCGAGGCAGTGCGTAATCGAGCGCGCTTTTTGATTAGCCATTCTGTTTTCAAAAGGAGTTGAAGCTAATCACAACTCTAATCTTACGCGCCCGCCAAATGCGTAATGACCGACACGTACGAAGTTGTTCTCCAGTGGCAATTTTGCCTGTCTTGCACATGAGGCATCGAAAATACTGTCAGTCAGCGGCCAGGTTCAGAGAGACTCCCCTGGCCTCAAGGTATGGCTGTGGGGATAGACGTCTCAGGCTGGGCTCAATACAACTTCACCGCCCGCTACAACCCCTAGAAATCCACCAACGCCTCCCTACCCACCAGCACAGACTCTCACGTCCTGGTCTAGGCCTGCCTCGATCGCTTCGGTTCCTGCTGATAAGCTTCGCTTCCCAAGTGGCGGCCCCACTCACCTACGAGACACGATAATTGTGGGAAACTTGCGATTTCGGAACTCCTCGACAAACCACTCTCCCCTACTCCCCAACAACGAGCACACATGGCAGACCTGCGTCGGAAATTGGTTATCGTCGGTGACGGTGCCTGCGGTAAAACCTGTCTACTGATCGTCTTCTCGAAAGGCACATTCCCTGACGTAAGTTACGTCCATCCCGTCTTCCGCGCATTACGCCCTGCATTGTTGCCTTGTTACGTTTCTCCTTGTTGGGGTTCCACCGTACAAACGGGAGACGCTCTGGTTTGGCTCTTATCTGACATTACTCTGTGCTTGTCTCACAGGTGTACGTCCCCACGGTGTTTGAGAACTACGTCGCGGACGTTGAGGTGGACGGAAGGCGTGTGGAACTGGCGTTGTGGGATACTGCTGGTCAAGAAGACTACGATCGACTGCGTCCTTTGTCATACCCAGACTCCCATGTCATTTTGATCTGTTTTGCGATTGATTCGCCGGATTCGCTTGACAACGTTCAAGAAAAGGTGCGGTTTGTCATGTGTCCGTCCTTCCACGATGCGAACCTGTTGGTTGACTTTCTGTGCTTCTTATCTTACAATAGTGGATATCCGAAGTACTACATTTTTGCGCAGGCTTGCCAATCATCTTGGTGGGATGCAAGAAGGATCTGAGGCATGACCCCAAAACAATCGAAGAGCTCCGCAAAACGCATCAATCCCCCGTCACCCCCGATGAGGTAGAGCTCACCATCTATTTATATCCATCGTGAGTTCCCACCTCTTAACCATTGGAATGGCTTCTATAGGGACATGCCGTTGCCCAGAAGATCTCTGCTTGGAAATACCTTGAATGCAGTGCGCGAACGAACGAGGGCGTGAGGGAAGTATTCGAGCACGCAACACGGGCTGCCCTCACAATGACTCGGGGTCGGAAGAAGCCTGGATCTGGATCGAACAAGTGTCAGCTTCTTTAAGGCGATGAGGGCAAACGTCCTTTCCTCCAATCTCCAACCCAAACGTTGTCCTCCCTTACCTTTAGATTCACCTCATCTGCCCTCCCTTGATCATTGTTTTTTGCCACTGTTTACATCTGTTCCTTTCTTCGTTTATTCTCTTTGTATCTTTTCGTTCATTCCAATATTTTTGTGTCCCCATATATCTATGTCTTGATGCATAGTTTTGTGCGATGGTAATTGAGCACGCCGCTCTCCGTGTCATTAGGAACGCAAAATTCAGGAGGCCTCGAGTGGAAACCCTACTCCATAAATTAAATACATCGCGCTGTCGTTTTGACAAATGACAGGATCTCGACCTTCCCGACGCCCATCGTCCGAACACTACACTACGTAAATGCTCAACCTTGACCATTCGTCCCCCAATTGAAGCAGCTTACTCTCCCTCTTCAGTATGCCACATCACCAGCCCGCGAACCCACCAGCGCTACCGGGCGTTGAGGAAGGATCAGAAATAGCAGAGGAAGATGAGCAGGCAGTGAGGTCTCATCAATTGCCCAATCCGCGCGCATCGTCGTCTAGTGCAGGCAGAGACGCTAAACGTGATGGGAGGGGGATGACATCTGGTATGTTGGCGTTGTTGGGTGGAGGGACAATTTATCATTTACGAGAAGGGCCTGCCGTTATGAATTGCGACCCCTACGGATCTGATTTTCTGTTCCTTCCATCCATCTATCAACAGACTCCGACGACTCCGACGCACTTCCACCGTCAAAAAACCTTCCCCCAAAACGCAAACCGGCACCACCCACCACCAAACCCAAACCCAAGCCCCGCCGACCCGCATCGAACAAACCCTTTCAGACGAACACCGCAACCGACACAAAGACCACCGCGGACACCACCGATTTCATCGACCCCAAAGCTCCCGCCGCCCACCAAACCCTGCTCGTGACCCCGGCGCCGGGATTCTACGACCCGTACCCGACGACATGGCCCAGCAAATCGGACATCAAGGCGCAACGGAAGCATGCGGGGCGGGTGGATGTGGATAAGGATGATTGGACGAAGATGCCGGAGCGATTTGTGAGGAAGAAGAAGGTATATTGATTGACAGATTATGCGTTGGCTATAGCCTGTGCTGAGGGAGATGGACTCATCCGGACTCTGCACGGATCCCATGCACGAACCCCAAGAGTAAAATTGGACCTGGGTATTATGCGCTGGAACGAAGAGGCACGAGAGATCACCACGTCCCCGCCGTTCACGTCAGCTCTGTGCCGAGGTTTCCGAAACTGACGCAGAATCCTAGAGTTGGGCCGGGCGTGTATGCAGTAAGTACCTTTGTGGCTTCACTCAGACGATGCCTAGCGTCTTGGCCAACCATTTCACACACTTTCAGGTGGAAATGGTAAAGATCGAGCACTGCTTCAAACCGTGGATCACGACGCTAGTCCCGCGCGACTGGGTCCCGCCGTCGAAGATGCCGAGTGCGGATGAAGCGGCGCGGCAGGCGGAGTTGCTGGATATGGCGGGTGCGCGGCGGGTGTTTTTGGCAAGTTGGAATTTTCGGGGTTCCTGATCTTTGGGATGGAACGTGGTATCAGGTGTCCTGATCCTGTGGCGGATTCAACAGAAATCCCTCGCGGCGGGAGAAGAGCCGGCCGCCCCGACGACGCCATCGCAGGTCGTGCCCACGGAACCCGCGAAACAGCAGCCGGTGGTGCGAACGGAACCACATGCGAAGGCTTTGCACATTTTTAGTCCCGTAAGCAATGATACGGTGTAGTGTCATGTCCCTTGGATATATGCTTACCCGTCCTTACTGCAGGACTTCTTCATCTCGGCCCCTCTCCCTCTCCCGACCTCTGCCACGACGAAAACATGACATTCTCGCCAAGGCCGCTCGAAAATCGAACTCCTACCTTGATGGGATATACAACACACGATGATATATTCACGACGAAACGTAAGGCAGGTAGCAGTCTAGATATGTAGTAATAATGTAGTAGGGGAAGAAAATAGTCTAGAAAAATACATCAGAGAGGAACACATGGCTCGCCCAAAAAAGAAAAAGCGACAGTGAAGTCGAAACGCCTGCCGCCTATGCCCTGAGTAGGTGTCATTGGACGACGACATCACAACTCGCTAAGACGTGGACTATGGTGATGGGCTTGGACGACGTTACGCGCGCTGAGACGCGGGCTATGGGCTGCGGACCGGCTTTCGAGCGATGGGAGGACGGACATCATTGATTTGGGGGAGGGTGGTGGGGCGCTGGGAATGCGGCGGAGGGCGATGTCTTCTTCGCGGGGGACGGGGATCAACTCGACCCTGCGGAAGCGTAATGAAGCGGTTAGGTTTGCGCTTCATTCCAACGTGCAATCTGAAAAGAGCAAAACTCACCTGAACGGTAAAGGGACCTCAGCAACAGCTCTGAATTTTCCAATGTTGTTGGTATGTTCGTTCTCCATCCGCAGCACGCTCCATACGAAGCGTCTGAACAGCTCCACGAGAGCTTGCAGATAGACCAGCACCCGTGCGTCTTGGAACAGACCCCAGTTGTTGGGAGAGAGGAGGAAGACCCAGGAGAGACGGAGGACGAAGTTCAGGCTGTCGAGCGATGCACGAGGGCGGTTAACACTCATAAGTCCCGCGAACAGCGAATAGCAACGCGAAACGTACCCAATAGCCGAAACATAAACCCACTTCGGATAAACCAACACATTCCTCAACCACCTATTCTTGCCATGCCGCTGCAACAATCCCCAATCAAACAAGACATCCCACGAGTACGCATACATCGACGCAAAGATGGCGGATATGATCCAGAAGATGCGTGCGGCGTCGCTGCCTGTGATGCGCGCCGCGGCGGAGAAGAAGATGACGGAGAGGGAGAGGCAGTATTTCAAGGCGTTGCTGATGTGCGGGTGGAGGAGTTTGCTGTCGTAGTAACCTGGGGGATGTCGGTTGATGCGTGTGCTAAGATATCGGTGAGGGTGGAGCGGAGCGGTGGGATGGCAGACTTACGGCGAATACATTGCAGCAGGCGCCAGAGCGCAGGCAAGGCTGTGATGAACGGGACTACCCATGACGTTGAAAAACTACAGTCCCTTTCTATAATACACCCCGTTAAAACGTCAGCTAACCTTCCCGTCGTGGCTGCGTATTTGGCACCCCAAATCTTACCAAGGTCATCCAAGTCGTGAACGGCCGAACAAACGAGCGTTTGCATCGAAACGAACATATACGTCTATGAAGTGGCAGGTGTTAGGGTCAGATATCGACTGCATCTTCCATCTCTAGTTACCGCGCACATACCATAGAGCTCAAAAGATCGGTAATGAAGAAATCGCGAAACTGGACGGTGTACACTCCGGACACGATAATACGAAACTGCCGAGTGCGTGGATGTTAGAACTACGGTATGCGATGACGTACAGGGCAGATCTCAGCGGCCCGTACCAGTGTCTTCGCAAACCAAGCCCGCGAGGAGCGGTAGAATACGTCGAAAGGATTCAGAAGAATAAATAGAATGATGAATAGAAGGATCTATTTCGGAGAGGACAGGGTATGTAAGCGGTTCGCGGGGTGAAATGACAGATTGGTTTGCATCTTGGTGGACTTACCGATGGGTACCATTTGGTGGAGATGAAACTAAGTAAGTTCTCGGTCATGGCGAGATACATTGTGTAGGAGAATAATAGCAGGAGGACAGAGGCAAAGTCTGACACCGCTTCGGCGGGCATATAGTCTGGCAACCACCACAAGCGAGTCAACTTAGCCGCCCATTCATGCTGTTTTCGTCACTCAACAGACGACTCGAGTAAACTCACCACGCGGATCCAGTTCGAACACCAGAACCCAATTTACATGATATCTTTGCCAAATGACAAGGAGGAGCGCGTACATGAACAAAAACAGGATAGGGATGCTGTGCCGGGAATCACGTCAGACATCGGTTGCGTTCAACCAACCAATACATCGATCAGTATTCACCTGAAACCCGCGAAAACCAGAAAGATCAGCTGAACGTTCTTGTCTGGGAACCCGTTGCCGAAAATATGTCGTAGGGATGATACGATAGCGGGGATAGAGAGACCGATCAGGAGTCCGGTACGCCAGTTCTTCAGCCCGAGGTCGGCTTTTACGTCGGGGATGCGAAGACTTCGCATCGCTTTGTGACTGTAAGCGCAGAAGTAATCGATCAGCTCACGTTTCTGTCGAGGCAATTGGTACAGTTGCCCAAGGTGCTATACCGATTGCCCGCAGCGAAGTTCGCCGTGTATAGAGTTTCACTGAGCGTGATCATCTCCTCGATCCGTCTCGATTTGAAGATGTGCAGTTCCTTCGCTCGCGCAGAGTACCAATCTCCATTGGTCCCGGTGGTCTTCTCGAACTTTTTCAGAATCTTGGCTAAAGACGTCTGGTTGATGATTCGGAAGTTCTTTAAGAGCTCTAGCAACCTATAGAACTGATACGGCAATGACATGGTGATAAGCGGGTTGACCATTGCGCGACGGCGATATTGTCCAGTCGCACCTCTAGGAATGCCTTTTGCAGCCGTTGTTTAGGGTTCTTAGCAACGGGCGTGAAGTTTTCAGCTTCCCGACTATTTGGATCCTCGTCGGACGCTTCAGGCTCTTGTTCTGTGATCTGATACCGTGCGTTGGTTTCGTTCCGATCCTTCCCGTCCTGCATCAAGTTCCCTTCACCATCGACGGGAGACGATTCGAGCCGTATCACTCCTTGCTCCTGAAATCGCAGTGATTTCTGTGAGTAGGAGCCACTTTTGCAAAGATCAGAGCTGTGGCGCAAACTAACCCCCAATGCAACTCCGATCTGATTATTATGCGACAATATATCGCACTGCCGACTGAGATCCTCCAAGCGCTTCCATGCTTGCTCTTCCCTGACTAGGAAAATCCGCATCAGAGATCGTCGAGTCGCTTTGGCATCCTGAGATGCTGACGGCCCCAGCCAGCGCCACAAACCATTGAAGAACTTATCAGCCTTCCGCAGTTCAAAATCCAGCCGCTTAAAGAAATCCATCTCCTCGCCAGTAAGCTGGTTCTCTTCCAGCGCCATCAAGAAGTCCTGTTCTTCTTTTATGCGTTCATCGGACGCGGATTTTGTCGACAGGGATGAACGGGAACGCAACTTCAACGACGAGGGTTGATGGTAGAGGACTTCATCCGAGCCTGATGATTACCATAGTTTCCGTTAATCTTTGCAAATCGTCAGATCACGATGAGAATGACCGTTCGCTGGGCCCTCCATCAACCATCAACCATCATCAAGCACGTGGCATGTGTAGAAGACGTTCGCTGTCGCTAACACTAACAACGATGTGAGGGGAGTATTGCACCCTCACGCGCAACGTGGTGCTCGCTTCGCTCGCTGAGGCTCGCTAAGCGCCATGGTTACGGGAGTATTGCGCCTTTAGCGCAATAGGGCTCGGGATCCTCAAGCATTCGTAGACCTGAAGCATCTCCTCGCTACGCTCCGCCTTACTCCGCTCGCACTGCGTACTCTCCGCTCGCGTTCCGCACCCCCTTCCATACCATAAGGCGGGTTATCGTCTGTCTCCTCCTCCTTCTCCTTGTTCTCATCGTCCTCCAGTATAGGAACCGATACTTTTGGTTGCTTTTCGCGGTGACGGGCCTTTACGACCTGCTTTATGAGCTTTTTCAGCTGGCGGTAGTCCACATATTGTGATCTCCATTCTACAATTGCAAGCGGAGTTGGTTATGAGTTTCGGATATTTGACGGGCGGACGTATCGCACTGGAACACACCAGGGACGCTGTTTTCTTCCAAGTACTTTGCGAACTTCATAGCTTCTCATGGGTAAAGGCGGTGGCTCCTCGAAGGATGATTAGCCTTCGAAGGGCGCCAACAGAGGTCGTGGGGGGCAATTGAGCAAGACAAGACAAGGCAGGCGGGATAGCTACTTTTCAAGCGACATGCCGTCCAGCTAGCTGTTGCGGAGTCTTATTATACGATCGTACCGCCTTTGGAGGAAAAGGCTCGAATCCGTCACAGCGACTTTTCATACGAGCTCGATTGTGGAAGTTTCGATCAGGAACGTGTGGGGAAAACCGGTGGACGGGCGAGACGACGGTCGTGCTCCCGCTGGTTCGGCGCCCGGGTTGGGAGTGAGAACCGGCGGATGTCCATCGGTGAGTTGGGCACAAGAGTCACATGGCTCATGCTCGCCATCTCGCGCGTTCGTAACCGCTTTCTCACAATGCTGTAATTTCGGGCCTTCCCGCTGCTTCCCGCTGCCCTTGCCCTTGCTGCTTCCCTTTTTGTCCCCGGCTGCATTTGGGTTTCCGCCAACCTCGCTCAACCCCCCCCCCCCCCCCCCCCCCCCCGCTCCCCATTTTCCCCCCCGCAGTCGGCACAGCCAACTCACTCACACAATGCTCATCGCAAACGCAGCAACTCGCGCCGTGTCGTCGGTGGGATTCCGCGCTGTGCGAATCCCCGCCGCAAAGGTGGTGGTCGGCGCGCGCTTTGGATCTCTCTGGACGAACGTGACCATGGGTCCTCCCGACCCGATCCTGGGAGTCACCGAAGCCTTCAAGGCCGACAAGAACCCAAACAAGATGAACTTGGGCGTCGGAGCCTACCGTGACGACGCTGGTCGTCCCTATGTGTTGAGCTCCGTCCGCAAGGCCGAGAGGAGCATCCACGATCTCGCCCTCGACAAGGAATACATTCCAATCACCGGTGTGCCCGAGTACAACAAGCTCGCCGCTGAGCTTGCTTACGGAGATGCGGCGGTTCTGAAGGAAGGACGGGTCGCGACCGCTCAGTCCCTGTCTGGAACGGGTGCCTTGCGGTTGGGAGGAGAGTTCCTGGCGAGGTGGTACAAGGGCGCTGGCGGCAAGAAGATCTACCTGCCCACGCCAAGTTGGGGAAATCACACGCCCATCTTCCGTGACGCGGGTCTGGAGGTCAAGCAGTACACGTACTTTGACAAAAAGACCAACGGCCTGGACTTTGACGGCATGATCAAGGATCTGAAGAGCATCCCTGATGAGTCGGTCGTCCTGCTGCACGCCTGCGCCCACAACCCCACCGGTGTGGACCCCACGCCAGAGCAATGGAAGGAAATCTGCCACATCGTCAAGCAAAAGAAACACCTCCCCTTCTTCGACATGGCCTACCAAGGCTTCGCATCCGGCGACACATCCCGCGACGCGTTCGCCCTCCGCCACTTCGTCAAAGAAGGCCACCAAGTCCTCCTCGCGCAGTCCTTCGCCAAGAACATGGGCATGTACGGCGAGCGCGTCGGCCTCTTCTCCATCGTCACTGCCTCCGCCGAAGAAACCCGCCGCGTCGACTCCCAAGTCAAGATCCTCATCCGCCCCCTGTACTCCAGCCCACCACTCAGCGGCCCCCGCATCGTGAAACAGGTCCTGGCCGACCCCACGCTCAGGACCGAGTGGCTCGCAGAAGTCAAGACCATGGCTGACCGGATCATCACCATGCGTGCGAGCTTGCGCGGACACTTGGAGAACACATACAAATCGCAGTTGCCTTGGGAGCACATTACGTCGCAGATTGGAATGTTTTGCTACTCGGGCTTGTCGCCGGAGCAGGTGGACAAGCTAAGGTCGCAGGCTTCCGTGTACCTTACGCGTGATGGCCGGATCTCGATTGCTGGTATCACGAGCAAGAATGTCGAGTACCTGGCAAAGTCGATTCATGACGTTACAATGATGGCCGGATCTCGATTGCTGGTATCACGAGCAAGAATGTCGAGTACCTGGCAAAGTCGATTCATGACGTTACAAAGTAGATAGGAAAGTTTATCCCTCCTGTTCGGTAGTCTAGATGTACGTTCGTGTATCTACAAGCAGGATTACGCCTACGGCTTGACTGAACACAGCGGGCGTAGAGTTCTTAGCGACCTTTTCTTTGCTCATCATTGCGTCCCTTCCAATACATTTTGAATCCCGATCACTGCGATATTGGGCTTGCATTCGGGAATCTCTGTCACTAAATCTATCGACTGCACAGAACTATATATATATAGTACTTTTGCGCCGGATTCAGGCGCGGTGACATCTCCCAAACTTTACGCCGCCAGCCCGATGAATGTGGTACCGGCATACAGCCATACGTTACGCCCCAAGCCGTAATCGAATAACCGTCGGCCACCCCTACGCGTCAAGAGTCTCCTTAATCCCCCCAATACAGATGTACTTGATTTCCATGTAGTCATCCATCCCATATTTTGAACCCTCCCGCCCCAAGCCGGACTCCTTGATGCCTCCGAACGGAGCAACTTCCGTTGATACAATGCCTGTGTAAGCGAAGAGGTTAACGAAGTACGGGTACGGATGGCCCAAACTTCATGCTAGTGTCGCGACGGTGGTGACTTCTTACCCTCGTTGACGCCGACGATACCGTATTCGAGCGCCTCGGATAGCCGGAAGATCCGGCCGGCGTCTTTTGTGTAGAAGTAGGCTGCTAGGCCGAACGGGGTGTCGTTGGCCGCCTTTGTTACTGTCGTGCGTACGCGGGTTAGATTTGTTGAGCAGAGTTCCAGTGGGTTAGCAGCAAATAGAACCAACCTTCAGACTCCGTCTCGAACCGGATCAACCCCGCAACCGGCCCAAACGTCTCCTCCCTCGCCAACAACATCTCGTTCGTGACGCCCGTCAAAACCGTCGGCTCATAAAAGTTGCCTCCAAGCCCATGCGGTTTCCCGCCCAACAACACCTTCGCGCCCTTCCCCACCGCATCCTCTACATGCCTCACGACCTTATCGAACGCGTCGGAGGTGATCAATGGTCCGAATTGGTTGCCGGGCTCCAACCCGTGTCCGACCTCCATCTCGCGGATCTTGGCGCTGAGCTTGGCGGCGAAGGTGTCGTAGATTTTGGAGTGGACGAAGACGCGGTTGGCACAGACGCATGTTTGGCCTGTGTTGCGGAATTTGGAGGCGATGCAGCCTGTTACGGCGGCGTCGATGTCTGCATCGTCTGGTGGGAGCTGGGTCAGTCGATTTTTAGCACACATCTGCGGTACGGGGGGGGTCATACTGTGCTAACCAAAAACGATGAACGGTGCGTTCCCTCCGAGTTCCATGGACACCTTCTTCATGGTGCTCGCCGCTTGTTTCGACAGCAGCTTTCCGACCGCAGTCTGCGGGGGGTGGACATTCCGTAAGTGCTGTATACATGCATACCACCATCAGCGACAAGCCTCCACCTTACCGATCCAGTGAAGGTAATCTTCCTTACGAGCGCATTCTCCGTCATCTCATTCCCAATCCTCTTCGCACTGCCCTTAGACGCCGTCACAACATTGAATACGCCGGGCGGCAGACCCGCCTCCTCGCCCAGATACGCCATCGCCAGCGCCGACAACGGCGTCTCAGCACTCGGTTTCACAATAATCGAGCAGCCGGCAGCGATCGCGGGCGCCACCTTCCTCGCAATCATCGCGTTCGGGAAATTCCACGGCGTAATGGCCGCCACGACCCCCACCGGCTGCTTGATCGCCAACAACCTCCTCCCCTTCGCGTTCTCGGGGATGACGTCCCCGTACGCCCTCGACGCCTCTTCCGCGAACCATCTTAGAAACGATGACCCATACGCGACCTCGCCCATCGACTCCGCCAGCGGCTTGCCACACTCGATCGTCATGATCTTGGCGAGGTCAGACTGGTTGTGCATGCAGAGCTGGTACCATTTATGGAGCACGGTGGCGCGCTCGCGGGCTGTTTTGCGTGCCCAGTGCTTTTGGGCGGTGTGGGCGAGGGATATGGCTTGTTTGACGTCGGGGGTGTCCATGTCCGGGACCGACGCGACGGGTTTGAGGTGTGCCGGGTCGATCACGGAGTAGGTGTCGCCTGATTGAGCTTTGATCCAGCGGCCGCCGATGACGGCGCTATTCCGGAGGAGGTCGGGCTGGGGAGAGGGTTAGAGTATAGCTTGAGAGGACTGTAAGATGACATCCAGTACATACTCGCTTCAGACTGCTCAGGCCACTGGATGAGGTGGCATATTGACGGCGTGCGAGGCATCGAGCGGACACCAGAGGTAACTGACGTGTGAATGTACCCGACATCGTTTGCGGCTTGCGAGCGGCTGCGGAAGATGGATGTCAAAAGACGTAGAGGCAGCTGCTGCAAATGGAGCCTTGGGCTCTGAAGCGAGAATAGAAGCGACAGCCGACGCGCGACCTACAGTATCTGCATCCCGTCATGATCCCGTCACCACCTTTGACGCGCAAGCCTCGTTCGGCTATAGACATGGGCGGGCCACACCAGTACGTACTGTATGTACTGTACATATTTTCTCTTTTCAGGTATGCCAAACAGCCATCGGATTCCCAAATATAATAGTAAATAGAAGAGAAATCCCCCATATGTACAAGAAACCCCCAACTCGCGGTCCAGGTTCGTAGCCTCGCCCCCACCCTCACTCACACCACAACCCCATCCCCCTCCTCACCCTCCCCCAACACACACTCATCATGTATAGCCCTCAACGCCACATCCGCACTCTCCTCCTCAATCACACAGCTGATATTGATCTCACTAGCCCCCTGCGAGATCATCTCGATGTTGACCGAGTGCCGCGCGAGGGTGCGGAACATGAGGCCCGCGACGCCGACCATGTTGCGCATTTGGCGCCCGACGAGGGAGAGAATGGCCATGTTGCGGATTACGTCCACCTAGGAAGAATCACATAGGGATATGTGGGTGAGCCGGGCAAACAAACACAGACAGACACACGAAACAGGCAGAGGGCAACTTACCGTCCCATAAGTCCTCAACTCAGCCAACGCCTTCCCCAACCGCTCCTCATTCACATTCCCACCAAGCGCCATAGAGACATGCACCTGCGACGTAGATATCAAATCGACGACGACTCCGTGACGGTCAAGCGCGAGGAAGATATGCGCGAAAAAGCCGTGCGCGACCGATTTACGGTTAGAGTGGACGTTGAGGACGATCGCGTTTTCTTTAATTGTTACTGCTGTCGGGCGTTTCGGTGATGGTGATGATGAGGAGGTGGAGGAGTTTTGCGGGGCGTCCCGGGGTAGACGTGTGCCGTTGGGGGTGACGACCTCGATCGCGTCCGAGTGTTGTGGGTGGCGCCACCCATCCGGTACAATCACCGTGCCGTTGCCGTCGGGCTTGAACGCGTTCTTGATGCGGATGGGGATGCTGGCGCGGATAACCTGCTCCATGGTGAAAGGGTGGATGACCTCGCTTCCATAGTAGGTGAGCTCGGCGGCTTCTTCGGGGGATATGCTGGGCAGCAGTCTCGCTCGGGGCGCTTTCCGCGGGTCGGCGGTGAAGATGCCGTCCACCTCTTTCCATATCTGCAATTCGCGCGCTTTGAGGGCGACTGCGACGAGGGCCGCGGTCAGGTCCGTGTACCCGCGGCCGATGGTGGAGAGGATACCCCCGGGGACAGGGCCGAGGTAGCCTGTGACGACAGGGATCTGCTGTGGGGTGAAGGCGGCAAAAATGGTGGAAAGCCGCTGCACGAGGTAGTCGTAGAAGGACTGGTCGATGCGTTTCTCGTCAAATTTGGCGTCGATGAGTTTTGAGAGATCGACGTAGACGGCGTTGTGGCCTTGGGATTGGAGGAGGGCGGTGAAGATGCGGGCGGAGAGCTTCTCGCCTGTGCTAATGATTACGTCGCGGGATCGGGGCGATATTTCGTCGATTACTTCGGCTGCGGCCATGAAGGAGCGTAGCCGCTGGCATTCGGCGCGGATGTCTGCTTCTGCCGATGCTTGAATGGGGCCAATGTTCTCGGATGAGACGCTGCTGCCCTGTTGTATAGACTTGCGGATGGTTTCTAGATGTCCTTCCTCCACAATGTCGATGATGTCCAGATACCGCTGCGAGTTGGGCTTCAGCACCTCCGTCACTGCTTCCAGTAGTCTAGAATGAAGGGAGTGTGTGAGTGATGTGTTGAATATGAACCTTGCTGCCCGACTGTTGAGAGAGCGGCATTCTACTTTGATCCTCGTTTGGTAAGCGGTAGAAGCGGGAAGGATGTTCCTCCACCGAGAACTCTCGTAAACTCCAATCCTCGCTGACGCTCGTGGCTTCGACGCAAAGTCGCTGACAGTCGCTCGCCAATCCTCCAGCATTCTCCCCACGTAGTTGCGCCACCATTCCCTCTTGCCTCTCTCGTTCCCTACCCACCTGCTTGTAGTCCCCTCAGACTTTTTCTGACTGCTCATAGCCGATAATACAACAACGACCCTATTCTGCAGCACGCTCCCCCTGAAAAGAACAATGAGCGTGAGCATTCACATTCGTTTGACAAAATCGCAATTACTCCCACTCCCACCTACCTGACGATATTCGCAACCTGAAGCATGCGTTCCGCGTTCCCAACACTAGTCCCGCCATACTTCTGCACGACGAGCGGGAGGAGTGCGTCGGCTGCCATTGCTTTGCTTTTGCAGACTTGTCGGCGGTCTTGGAGAGTGCGGTGGTATATGCGATAGAGTCTTCTCTATTGTTATTCTATAACCTGCGGAGAGTGCAGGGTCTATAATATGTATGCCGTCTTTTCGTAGCGGAGGTGTCGATGCCCTGAGCCTGTCTGTCTGTATATGTATATGTATTCAAGGTGGCCAGGCCCTTCTGAATAATACAGGCAGGAGTTTGACGCGTTGGGGCCTCCTCGCTCAGCCATGGAGGGGCCCCCGAGGCATATGCCAGTGAGTCAGTACTTATCAAGCAAGAATCAGAGATCGCGACATCTCCCCTCACTTATCAAGCAAAAACAACCACAGCAATTCACGTGTATAAATTTAAGGGAATCAAAGACCCGTACCGACTCAGTACGTACACACAAACACCGGACGGCCGCCAGCCAACGGCGGAGAGCAGAAACCCGGCTTACTGCGTTTGAGAGAAAGATGCTGCTCCACTCGGCCCCAGTGCTCACCCCTCCCTAAGACATGTTTGGTTTGGCCGACATCTATCCCACATCATCTCCCTTCCTGGGCGGACCGCCACATCCTCTCCCACCTCCTCTAAATTTCCCAAACTAATCCCTCCCCCAACACCTCCCTCCTTCCTAAAATTACCCACCATCCCTAACCCACATCTTAAATCCGCGAAACAACACTCTCATAAGTTGGCACCATGTACTTGATGTTGATGAACGCATCCTCGCCACCGGTGACCTCAAACTTTTCGAGCGTTTCCTGGATGAGGTCACCGATGTTTTCGCGTTTTTGTTGCGAGTAGTAGATTCCGTCTCCAAGGTTCACTGATGGGAGATAGAGAGGGAGGGGGGTTAGTGGGATGTGTCAATTTGCGCGGGTGGTGTTGTCCGTCAGTCGGTCTGCACCATGTAGTGTCCCCCCACTGCAGGATGAACACCTCCCCAATACTCTCACCAAAACTCACCATTCTTATTCTTGAACAGATTGAAGATGGGCAAAATCTGCCTGTAATACGGCACGAGCGCTTCGCCGACCATCTCCGCCGACTCAACAAGGTGCTGCAGCACTTTCAGCGTGGTCGTAATGACATGGATGTTGCGTGTGTTCAATGCCTCTAAAAAGAAGGTCACAGATAAAAATATCCGTAAGCAAATGCATCCCACCCGCTTTCCCCCGTCTGTTCGCCCCCGAACCTACTCTTGATAGGAATGATCAACTGCGGCACAACCGGCAACACCTTATTCCCCCCTTTGTCCAAAAGATCATGAATGCCCTGCCTCGCCAAGAATGCATACGGCTCCTCGGTCTCGCAGAGGCCGGAGAAGAAGAGCGGCAGGTAGTGGTGGTAGTCGAGCTTGTCGATGTCGACTTTCCAGTTGATTTTATTGCCGTTGGGGGAGTGGTTGACTGCGATGGGAAAGTCGCCGCGGTCGTAGAGTTTGCGGAAGCCTAGATGTCAGATTGTGCGCGGTTAGGATGGTGGGCAGTGAGATAGCATAACGGTGATGATGAGGCAGCTACTTACTGGTAACATCCCGCCTCTCACTCCCACCCCCCGAAAACGGATCCCCCTTCTTCACGCGCTCTCCTCCTCCCAACTTTGCCCCTCCATGCCCTCCACCATTCTTCACCCCGGCCCCTTCATCCGCCCCGCTCCTCGCATGAAAAGCCCCAGCCTTCGGCGGCGACGTGCCGCGCGCTGCAAAGAAGCCGCCGGCCGGGGACGTGGTGGTGGTCGTTGTGGATGTGGTGGTGCGTTTGTGGGCGCGTTCGTGGGAGGGGTGGGTCGCGGGGTGGGCGGATTTGGGGGAGAAGTCTTGGGCGTACGGAGTCGGGAGGGTAGGTGGTTGGCGCATTTTAGCGAATGTGGACTGTGTATGTGTGTCCGGTGTCGAGAGTTGGTCTCGCTACTTCGCTGCGTAACCCGGACTACCGAACAGGTCCCAACTCAAACGTTCAGTCGTCGTGCGCGGGTGAATGGTGCTTTTATTTATATCTCCTGTTTCGATGCTTCGGGACGATACGTTCAGAGAACGAGTATCAAAGTCGTCTCGTCTCGTCTGTCCTGCTCACTCCTCGTCCGTCTCGTCCACGCCTGTCGCTGGTTGTGGGGGCGGTGTGTGTAATGAGTCGCTCGCTGATGATGATGTGATGGGGAACTCGGCGATACGAAAACGGAAGATGCTCGTTGTTTTCTATTTTGCTTACGCGTGTTTTTTGGACGGTGGACGGATACTTTGAATGGTTTTGTTCATGCCCTTGGATTTGGATTTGGTAAGCGGGAAAAGGCGGCCTGGGCCTGTACTGTACAGGGCGACATCTATACTAACGGTGCTGTAGTAGTGCCTGGAAACGCCTTCTACGGGCCATATGTCGGACTTGGACTTGGAGTGACGGGAATCAACAGCGCGGGGGGCTCGGTTACGTAAGTGTGGCTGGGGCACTCGCGTCTAATGCCACGGTAAGGGATCTGGTGGTTAGGACAACGAAACTTGCTAGTATAGTATTCCTATTTCCGCCAATACAAATCGCCAAAAAAAAAACCCGCAACAAAAGTGGGATGCAGATTACCCAGAAAGACATAGAAACCATGCAACAACCGCCCAATCCCCTGATGCGCAAGAATCAGAACCACCCCGCCATCTTTTGCTCAACCAACCGCATCGGCACATCAATGGCTCACTTTATCCACCTCCGCCTTGGCTTCCTGCCACGCCCGAGCCCCCCTATGAAAAAACTCCCGCTGCGCCTGCGCATAGCCCAACAGCATGTTCCTCAGATCCTTCAACTTGTCCAACTGGAACCGATCCAGATCCTTCTGTATCTCCTCATTCGCGCCCTCCAGCTCGGCGCGGCATATCTCCCGTTGTTGCGCTATCGTCGCAATCTGGTCTTTTGTTCGCGAGATGTTGTTCCGGCGTGTCAGAGCGGGGTCGTTGTCGATGAGGGAATTCAGAGTAGCCATGATGCCGCCACCGGTGCTGTTCCGTCGTACGTGGCCCGTGGCGCCCTCGGCGCGGAGGACGGCGGAGAGCCGCTGAGCCTCGGCTTCGGAAGCTTCGAGTTTCTGTAAACTGGCTTGTTTGCTGATCAAGCTGTCTGAAAGGGTTTCGTACTCAACGTGTTTCTTGCGTCGCCATTTGAGAAGCTTGTCAACTGCTTTGGAGTACTGTATGTATTCCTGCAGCAATGCGCCAAAGGTGGCATCAAGGCCTTGCGCTAGTTGAGAAGTCGCGCTGACCGTCGAATCCACTGCCTGCCCAACTTGCTCGATCGCGTGGGCTAGCTGGTTCTCGGACAGTGACCAGCCGTTGTACGCGGCGCCCAAGTCAGCATACGTCGCAGACATGTCAATCTCCGTCTTTAGCATACTCCGATGCACAGCGTGTGAGTGAGAGACTTGTGATGCGAATCGCGCGGTATAGTCCTCTGCCGCGGTGAAGTGCGGGTCGGGTCTCCTCAGATGACCTTTATCGCTTACTTTCACAGCCGTGTCCTTCTTCTTCAGGTAGTGGCTCAAACCCGACGCACCCAGAATCTCAGACCACGGCGCCTCCCCTTCCAAGAACCGATGAAAGACATGCTCCTCACGTAGTACGGGATGAGCCGCTACGCGATTCAGGAACGACTGAAGCATGCGTTTCCGAACTTCGATGATGTGCGGATCTTCCTTTGCCTTGTTCGGCTTGGTTGCGTAATCCGCAACCGAGTGCTTTGCTGGAATGGGCGGCACAACGGATGTCGGATGGAGTTTCGTCAGAAACTTTCGAAACCCTTCAAACTCGGAATAACGGTGATTGGCTTGATACCGCGGCAAACCACCGGGGAAGTTGGTCACTATGTGGTACGTGATGTACGGCGTAGATGAGTGGTCCGTGCTTTTTCGAGCCTCGACAATTGTGATTATCGGATTGTTGGAGTCTGCGTCAGAGGAAGTCAACAGTGGTAGGAACGCACTCGGTGGATGTGCGTGGAGGGCGCCATCTAATTTGCAGCAGGGGCCAACTTTCTTTCGCTGTTCTTCTTGACGGCCGAAGAGGTTGGCGGGGTCGAGAGAGGGGGATGGCTCCGTTGTAGGCTGGCGGGAGCGGGTTCCCTCTTCGTTGGGGGCTGCCGAAGTGAACTCCGCAGGGACCTCGCCGTTCTGCGAGTCATCGTCCATGGTTTCTGGTAGTTCCTTGAGCGCGGCGGTATGAGGAGGTTGAGACCCGGTTTATCCTGCGATTGTGTTGTCAATACAGGACTACACGATAGAGAAAAGCTGGGTAGAGGCGACGAAGACTCTATTTGATATGCAGCGGGAGTGCAAGGTGGGTGTATTTTGGGATGGGATGGAGATGGGCCGGAGTGGAGTTGGGACGCCCGAGCCAACTTCGCTGCCAAGCCCCAATGCCCAACGTCATGGCGTGTTGCAGGGCGTGTTGTGGAGAAGGACAAAACCCTCCGAAACGTTCATCTCCTTTTGACACTTGACTTTGCAAACGCTTTTCCCAGGACTTCCCACCAGGCAAGTCTCCAATATACAAGGTGAGACTGGCTGGCAAAAATACCGACCCACAGCGCGTACGGACCGTTACCGCCCTGGTTCCCTTCAGACGTCAATTCTCCAAAAGATACGAAGACTATCGCCCACATTGCGAGGCGAGGCACTCCAGCGTCGTCCCAGAACTAGTCTCGACGTTGTTGAGGGTTGGCAGGATAGTGAGTGGGCATTCCGGGGCGTTTGAAAACGTATGGGACCTGCCCAGGCCACGGCCTGCCCCACTCCAGGTCTGGTAGTCCAAGCGGAATGGACATGGTTAGAGCCAGGCCTGGGTGAGGCAAGGAAGTGAAAGATCGAGAGTTCGGAATGACACGGGAGGGGGTTTCCGGTGCTACTGGTCATCAACGAGAAGAGGGAGATCAGCGGATGTCGCAGAACCTTGATTCGCAGTTCTCCTGATCCTTCACCGACTGTTTTTAGGTTGAACACTTGAGACTAGGCTGCCTGGCTTTCGACCACCATGTACGTCTTTCCCGCTCGTCTTGCATTCACTTAATCATACCGTCCTGACTAACAGGCTGTGCTTTAAGGGGACGGATTTGCCAACTAGTAATGGGACCGGCCGGATCCGGCAAATCCACATACTGCTCTACGATCATCACACACGCCCAGACCACCAAACGAACAATACATCTGGTCAACCTGGACCCCGCGGCCGACAAATTTGAGTATCAGCCAGCTGTGGACATTCGGGATCTTATCAGTGTCGATGATGTGCAGGAGGAGTTGGGATATGGACCCAATGGGGCTATGATCTACTGTTTGGAGTACTTGATACAAAATATCGACTTCCTGGAAGAAGGTAGGCGGGATGTAGCGTGTATACCTCTCCAACCTCAATTTTTCGGTGCGGTTAACTGATAGCCTCTCTGTCATCTATCTGTTGTCTGGAACAGAGCTAGGGAATCAGGAAGATGACTACCTCCTCCTAGATCTCCCCGGCCAAATCGAACTCTACACCGCGCACCCCATCATCCCCTCCCTCGTGAGCACACTCCACCGCCTCGACTACCGCGTATGCGGCGTCTACCTCCTCGACTCGACCTTCATCGACTCCCCGCCCAAATTCTTCTCCGGCGTCCTCTCCGCCATGTCCGCCATGGTCCAGCTCGAAATCCCGCATATCAACGTGCTCTCCAAAGTCGACCTGCTGCCACCACAGGCCAAAAAGTCGCTCGACAAGTACCTCAACCCTGACAGGGAGCTGCTTGTGGGCGATATCACCGCCACGACCCGCCCGAAGTTTCACGCATTGAACGAGGCGCTGGTGCAGCTGATTGAGGAGTACAACATGGTCTCGTTCATTCCGATGAATATTCAGGATGAGGATAGTATTGAGTTGGTGCTGAGTTGTGTTGATAATGCGGTGCAGTATGGGGAGGATTTGGAACCCAAGGAACCGGTGGATGAGTGGGAGCAGGAGGAGGATGGGTCGGAGGAGTATTAGGCCCTTGGCCTTACGGATGCCCGTCCCGCTAATCTAGGGATGTAGGGTTGTTACCATAGAATGTACATATTTCGTTATTATTATTATCAACTGTGTCCTTTGCTACGCAACGTTCGATTCTCCAAATGGTGTGGTTGGCGTCGGCGTTGGGATCCGTGCCATGCACGCAGGTCCGAGGGACACAAATGATCCGGCATGGTGTATGGAGTTCGGGCGAGCGATGCCTCGAGTTTCAGGGAAATCATGTTCACAACCCAAACGGAAGTATGAATCCTATTTACATCTCCTAATTCTCTCGCTGCATGCGCTCATATGGCAAGAAGAAAAGGCTAATTACCGTCCTCTTCCTACGCCCGAATCCGTGATCAAACTACGTATAGAGTCTAGCGACGTCCTAGACATGGTCTGTAACAGGATAAGCACTTCTTACAGCTCGTACCCTTCCTCACATACAATAATGTCCCCTCCCTTTGCTGTCCGCAACGCATGAGCCGCGCGCCGAGCGTCGCGGCGAAACACATCTGAACCGCATAGGAACACGAGGGTTCGTCCGGAAGGCGCAACGTGAGATTCAAGGAGATCTGTTTCATATAGCGTGTGACGAGATGGTTAGTGAAGCTTCCCTACAAGTTCGTAAATAAAGCGCGATGGACGAACGAGCTTACCTGAAAACACCATCCGACCTTGGTGAGGCAGCGGCAGCGGTGTGCTGTGCACCACATCGGCTTTGGCATCTTGAGCTGTCTCCGCTGATGCGATGTTAGTTTGGATCATATCGGTGTTGATGGTTGTTGCGCCCGTGTGGTAAAGATGAACATCTGCGCCTTCCTGGTTCAACTCTATAAAACGGATTGGAGAATGGAGATGAGTTCAATCTTATGTCAAGGATGAGAAAGTATGTATAGAATGCTGAATGCAAACCTTCCACGAGCGAGACACGCTCAGACCCTTCCTCTCGTGAACTCCAGAACAGCTTGACGGAGGGCACGCCAGCTTTCAGCGCCCCGCGCGCGACACCCATGCCCGGTGCGAGACCGGTGCCGCCGACAAAGCACAGCACAGCTGCGCACCTTTCCATCGCTTCGAGGGGTGTCCCGAAGGGCCCATCAATGCGAAAAGTTACGTTCGGCGACGCGATTTTGGCTCCGCCGTGTTCTACATCCGAAGCGCCGAAGAGCCGAGCCGCCAACGCGTTCTCGAATTCCTTTGTTTTCCCTTCCTTTGGTCTGAACATGATAGTCGCCGTTTCCGATCCGGGCGCCTGAGCCATCGAGTACGGGTGCCATTCGAGCTTGGACACCGCGGGACAATTGACAAACACCCACTGGCCCGGTTTGCAGGCACCAAAGACTTCTGTGGGCCACGCAAAATCCACGCGGACGTGACCGGTCGGCTCACGCGTGACGTGCCGTATATCGACGGGACGTACGAACCGGCCGAGACGGAGGAAGAGGTCGACAAAGTAGAGGCCTAGACCGGGGATCATGTAGTAGAAGTCGGAGGCCGCGTGGAGCCATGCAAAAAGCATGGAGGGGAAGACAAGGAAGTGAGAGTAGTAGAAGAGGTTGAAAAAGGCGCGGCGGACGGGGGGGAGGGAGGTGAAGAAGACGGGAGCTAGGATGAGGGTGGAATAGGTGCCCATTGTTGTCATCCAGCTGGTGGAGGGAGTACCGGGCGATTGTGTCAGTTCGGGCGGCCAGCGAGAAGATGTATTTGAAAACGGAAAAACAACGTACTTTCCCTCGCCCCACCCAAGAGGATGATCGTGGGTCGCCGATTTCTGACTCCCGTAGAACAAGACAGAGAGGAGATCCTCTCGCGTGCGATACTGTGCAGTATAAACCACATACAGAATAGTATGCATAGCCACTGCGAGCACGAGGAAGTATCCCATGAACCGATGGACACGTATGCTCTTCTCATATGATACTCCCAGCAGGGTCTGCAATGCAGTGTTCTTTGCACTGAACAGCATGGTGACACCCAAGGCGACATCGGTCAGCTTTCCGGTAAACATGGCGGAGAAGAAAGCCTTGCGGCGCGCCGGCACGAGTTTACGTTTCAAGTAGGCTGGCGACGACAGGAGGTCCTCGACTTTGAACCAGAAGTAGACAAAGTTGAAGAGTAGGAGCATGGCGAGGGACGTGAAGGTGAGGACTTCGCCGACACTGGTGCCTGCTATTGGACGGCGGAGGAAGGCGTGCAAATACGGTTTCTTGCGGGCCTATACAGAAAACGAACATCGCGGATGTGAGCACCGGGCAAAATCTTCCCCCTTGGAGGAACTTGCACTCGTCACTTACACAAGCCATGATCAAGATCAGTGTCGCCATCCACGCGTAGAAGACCCCCAGGGCGACTTGAGAGTGGGTCTTGGCCATCGGCTGAACATGTTCAATGCAAAAGTCAGCGTAGCAGGGTATCTCCATGAGGACATAGCCAAGTATGGCGCTCAGGGGGACTACATGTAGATGGTAGGCGAAGGGAAGTAGACGTCAGATATTCCCTGTTTTTTAGACAGCTGACGACTAGCGCCACCCAAACCTCGAACCGCTAGACGAGTCACTTACCTATGGCTATGGCGGCCACTGAAGCGACGACAGCCGCAGGGGAGTCGAGGCCATAGTGGCGTGCTCTCTCCATGAACATTACTAGTAGCGACCTGTGCGGTGGGAGTGAAGTTCAACGCGAGACTGACACGCTGTATTTTTGCCCACCGAGACAGTTTTGCCCTCTTTGCGAAAAGGAAGAGCGAAAGGACTCTCCAGGTCACGTGAACGGCAGACCAACCGACCCGTCCTGGGACCCGTCGGAAACATCATGCGAGCATCCACCCCAAACATTCCCGTCGCCATCTCAACATCGCACATCCGGACTGCACTCGCATAACTAGCCATCCACACCGCTGGCCTTACGAATACTGCACAGGCTACGTTGTATTACATACGCTCCTCCTTCTTGTGTCTACACCTCCCCCGCCGACTGAATAAATGGCTCCTCCAAAAGCGAAGCCATACGTCCTTCCCACCGACTTTAACCTTCCCGCGTCGCCGGCGCCGTTCGACGCTTCTCCCGTTGTCGGCGAAAGTCCGGCAAGAGCAGCATCCGTCTCTTCACCGCGCCGAACAAGGGCCGTACAGGGGTCCTCTCTGGGAGGGCTAACGTTTATCACGCTGCGAGCTGCTGACCCAGTGATACAGTACCTCATCTACAAGCAGGGTATGTTGCGTCGCGACTGAAATCGTGCTTCAAGAACAGAAGACGTTTGATAAGGACGGATACTGATTACGATATTTTGTGATTGCAGGGTGGGGCCACGCTGTATTTGGACTCTTTGGGCTGACCGCCGCGACCCCACATATCGGCATATTATCGCCACGGCAAAAGCTTTTTGTGGGCTTTGCAGCTGTGGGCGCTGCTAGACATGTAAGCCCTATGCGTGTGTCTCTGCACCGTTTACCTGAGGACCGTGCTCACGCCGATTTTTCATCTCGAAGGTCTTCTGGTTCCTTTCCATCCGCGAATCACCCATGTCGGCTCTCAACGCAATCCACGTCACCGTGTTCAACCTCATCGCCGATACATCTAACACCTTACTCTCTCTAGCAATACCAGGGTGGCATCTGTCCACCTACCAGCTCATCGGGTCAGCTATGTTTGCCATCGGGTCAGCCATAGAAACCCTATCCGAGCTGCAACGGAAATGGTTCCGACGAAAACCCGAAAACCGGAATGCGATTGTCGATGTCGGGCTGTGGAGGGTAGCGAGGCATATAAACTATGCGGGATACGTGCTGTGGAGGGGCGGCTATGCGGTTTCCACGGCAAACTTGTACGCTGCATGGAACCCGCTCATGCATCTGTGGGATTTCTCGGTGCGGGGAATACCGGTACTCGAGCATTACATGGCTTTGAAGCATAAGGAGAAGTGGGTGGAGCACAAGCAGACCGTCCCATACAAGCTGATACCCTTCATCTGGTGATAAGGTCTTTTTCCACTCGGGGGGCATATATGTAGGATTCCACCCTGGTGCTCGGCGCTCTCTGCGGCTTCATGGTTTGATCGATTCCGAAAAGCCTTGCGGCATAATGTCACGTCCGACGACTTCATCAACTCCACAATCTCTTGTCTTTTTGGGATCCTTTTGCACACGAGTTGTGATTTCCAGTATTTTCGGGGTCCGGGAAAGTAAGGGGCCATCTCAAGCGGTATGAGAGAATCAAGCACAGGCTCCTGCCAGGTGCCCCACACGCGTGCAACTCTAAAGTGCCACTTGATGTGTTCACACAAGCGGTTGTAGATCTCAAGATCGAGCCCATTGGCAGTCCAGCTTGGGATCAGTCCAAGAATCCTCGCTTGCAGCTCCGTGAATGTCCGTACAATTAATGCCATGTATCGCCGTTGTATAGTCTCATCCGCAAACTCTGTCCCTTTGCCCTTGATGCTATTAGGTTTGAAGTTTTTCATAATACCATCAATGTGCATAACATCGGGCATCTGATAATGCGACTCTGCTTCGCTCCATCCTTGCACTCGTTTGACAACGTTGCCGTTCGAACTTGAATGTTCAGAGCTTCACACTTCACCACCAATCAATGCCTTCACATTCTCCAACGGCCGGCCAACAACAGCCTTCCCGTTAGCCCAATCGACCACCAATGGCCTCTGCAGCCTCTTCCTCACGTCCTGCATCACGACGCGTACGATAGCGTCCACATCCTCGTCTGATACATTAGCGCCTTCTCCATCGACCTCATCCCATCGCACGACTTCTTTCCTGTGTCCTACGGGCATGAGACTGCAAACTTTTGTCAATTCATCGAGTGCCGGGAGGGTGGAGGTGTAGTCTACAATGTGGAGGGTGGATGGCGAGAGTACAGAGTTGAGGAAGGTGAGCGTCGCGTTGGACTTTGAGCACGAGGGATTGTGATAGAGGGTGAAGCGAGGAGCAGAGCTTGTTGTGGAGGACATTGTGCAGACAGTGAGGGCGGTTGGTCGGAGGAGGAGAAGGCGGGCCGTAAGAGGATGGCGGAGGTAAGACAAGAACGGTGATGGAGGTGTGCGCGCGGACGGTTTGAGCAGCATTCACGAGGAGGAAACTTGTACAGAACTTTATACTTTGTTCCTCAACCTGCAGTGGCTATATGGACTCGGAGGGTTTCAAAAGTGTGTTCCGAGACGTTATTCGGAGACTGATAAATGTGCTGGATTCTTGGTCGTTGAGAACCTTTGGAGAATGTCGGGAGGGGAGCCATTCTCAGAGCCATCCGACGGGAGCGTGAAATAAGATTCATTTGGACGTCCTCTTCGAGCCCTCTTTTCGTGCCCCGCCGAACGTGGGGAATTCTCAAACAGTGATGCGACATTGGAGCCACCCAACAGCAACACCCTCAACAAGCCTCGCAGCGGCTCCTCGAAGGCTCATCATATCCCCCCGCCGTTTACCGTTTACTGGAGAGATTCCGAGTTCGCTTCGGTGTCAGGAACGCCATTGGAAATTGCGAACTCACAACTCGCCCCTTGTTCCCAGCAACTCGAGCTCGTGGGAACATTCACTCTGCAATCATCTCCATTGAAGGCGCTGCTTACAAAGGATATCAACCGCTAACTCGCTACTTCAAAGAAAAGGGCGGGAGTGGTTGTTGGCTCGTCGTCGGTACCCATCATTGAGGACGGAATGGCGGGTGGAGCCCCGGAGGCAGGAGGAAATGACGAGGACATTGTCACCGACGATAACGGTGACGATAAGCCGACTACGACGATAATAGTAACGAATGCCACCGAAGACCCTTTGCGGCTCGAAACCCCGGGGACCGCTCACCCGAAATTGATTGAAAGCCTTGTGCACGATTCAAATACGAGCACTCCCACGACTTTGTCTGAAACCACGTGCACGTCAAGTGCATCCTCCTCCTCCTGCGACTGTTCCACATGCTCCTCTGCTCGCTCCTCTCCAGGGCCTTCGCGTCCCCGCAGCGCGGTGTCGTTGCGGCTCGAGAACAATGTCGAGCTTTCGGCTCGACCATCGCGACATTCCCACGACGATGACCGCTGTTCCTCGTCATCGTCGTCCAACGTGGAAAATGATGCCCTTCATAACCAGCACTCGCATAATACCCACAGCGCACCCGTATCTCCGTCTCCGCTCGCAGGCCTCATGCCGGGAACGAATCTCAGTGCGGAACGTCGAAAAGCAGCACGCGAAAGGTTGCGGTCCGCCATGGCCGCTGTATCGACGGTGTCTATGAAGGAAAAGGAACGGCAATTACAACAACAACAACAACAGCAGGGTGACCGTGGCAGCAGCCGGGATTGGATTGGTGGTTTAAGCCCTGGGAGGGGACATAGCAAACGACCGAGTACGGATAGCACGGCGAGTCAACGTGAATCGACGGGTGGACGATCTGACACGCCGCAGATTGGGCCACCATCACCAAATATATCCACCCCTGCATCGACACCGACGCCTGCGCCGAATTTGGAGGAGATGGACGCAAAGAACAAAACCAGTCAACTGGGAACTCTCAGTGTCATTGCCGCCGCATCAGGTTCGTTTGTCCAGTCTGGCCTTTTGTCTTCCCTGAGTGTAGTTTGCTCAATTTGGTCATTTCAGGCTGGGACATCAGACTTCGTGAACTCGTCATGCGCGAAGCGAAGCATGGTGAAGCCTCCGAACCACCATCACCAATACCACTGCGTGGAAAACTGAGCACTCGCGTCCGTTCCTTCACCACCTCAGCTCCCACCACCCCCACAAATCCGACGCCCTCGAAAAGCGCAGACGGCAGTACAGACGACCTCACGGCAAATCCACTCCGTCGGAGAAGCTCAGTAGTCTCGCGTTACTCTGCCCTGTCGGGCTCGTGGGTGAGCATGGGCAGGAATAACTCGGAGTACTCGAGAACGAGATCGAAGGATGAAAGCTCGTTCCAACGCAGGAACTCGCATAGCCATTCGCCATTGCATGGCCGGTCTCCCAGTAGATCCGCGCCGGATGTCACAGTGTCCGCAAACCCCAGAACTGGCGAGGACGGCGATACAACCCAACAAGGCAATCAAATCCCTGCCGAAGACCAGGACCTCGAAGACTCCACCTTCACGCACGAAGAAGGCGACATCCAACGCTCCCGCCACATCCGCCGCCGCACCACTGAATACACAACCATCGCCAACGCATTCGACGAACGGCTCCGCGAAATCGTCCTCGAAGCAGCCGGCGGCCTCGAAAAAACCCGCCAGGCCGCTCGGTCCCGTAATAGCATCTCCTCCTCCGCTTCCCAATCGCACGATACCCCCCTCACACACCGACGACCCCTGTCACTCAACATCCAACGCCCGCGGACGCGATCGATGAGCGGGTCACATTTGGACGACCGGGATGAGCGATCGATACGCGTACGCACCGCCCCGACGACGCCGCTGACGAGGCTTTCGAACTCGGCGCAGGATGTGTTGAGGAGAAGGAATGATGTTATTCCGTATCGGATGTCGCCGGGGGTGGCGGATGGGGATGGTGGTAGGGATTATATGGAGGGTGGGGAGGCGGGGAAGGCAAGGAAAGGGAGGTTTCAGGCGGCGTTGCAGTATGTGCCGGCGTCGCCTGTTACGCCGACGGGGGTTGAGTTGGACGGAGGTCGGGACACGGATATCAAAGTGGGATCGGCAGACACACTTATCACTAATCAGGCACTGATGTCTGGGGTGATGTCTGGGGTGATGTCTGGGGCCAGTTGCGACGCTGGCCCAGGGACGATTAGGAAGGCAAATCAATCGGAGCCGCCGGACGGACGAGGCGATTGCTCATCGCAGACCACACCGCTATCACCCCCAACTGTCCAACAACCTCCAACCTCTGCCTCGCCCACACCCGCCAACCGCCCAAAACCACCAACCCACATCCCGACCCCAATCGTCGCCCTCTCACCACCACCCTCCTCAACCATCACCTTCAGCATTCCACATGTGCCGCAATCTCTAACGGCCGCAGCCGCGGAAGCACAACCTGGACTTCATGACCCTAAGGTAGAGATCTCCCAGCCGGCGGAGATCACACCCACATCATCACCACCATCAAGGGAACAAGGCAGAGAGAAGGATGTAGATACATATACCCCTCCCTCTTTTACGGCCGAATATACACCACCAGCACCTGCAGCTGAAGAACAACTACATCCCTCACCAAGCCCCGCATCGGAATCACACCCTTTCGATATACCCCCCGCCACGATCACACCCATGACGATCATAGCGCCCGCAAAGGGCGATTCGGCGGTGCATCTTCCGGACCCGTCAGCACCATCCGAACAAGCAGACCCCGGTGTCGGCGTCGGCGTGGAGACGTCTTGGCGGTTTGTGCGACACACGGAAGTGAAAGTTCCGGAGGCTGTGGTTGGGGAGGTGAATATGAGCACTACCAGCGTTAGCACGGACATTTCGAAAGACATCTCTCAGATCCTGAAGACGGGAATGTATGAACAAGTGCATGAGGAAAAGACACAGGAGACTGTGGTGGAAGGATGGGATCTGTTGGATGAGGAGATGTTTATCAATTACCTTTGAGCACCTGCAGACGTACGATGAGAAAGCGCGAAATCCTTTCCATTCCCACCCGCTTATATAGCTGTGCTTTCTTATACCCCCACTCGTTTCGGCGCATATCACATAATGATACATACATTCAATACATACATACATAGAGGTAATATATTCACGTCCCAAAAAGTATGTACACCCTCTCTCGATGCCCATCACTCAAATCCCGGCACACTCCGAATAAACCGTCCCAAATGCCCCTTGAAAAGCTCACTCTGCACCGGCTCAACCCCCTGCGCCCTCAACGCCTCCGCGAGCGGGTTACGCGTAACATACTCGACGTAGATCTGGGCATAGATCGTGCGGAGGGTTTCCTTCATTGCGGCAGAGTCGAGCGTCGGGTCGGTGTTGAGAACGAATTTGAGGCCCGTGGGGGTTTCGAAGTAGTGCAGTTTATAGGTGCTGGTGCGGTAGGAGAGGAAGCCTTCCGAGCTGGAGGGTTGGGAGATAGGTGAAATGAGCGAGATGTCGTCCGGTTCGACACGAATGCTCGGTGCACACTCTCTGGTGCCCACTATTCCTCGGTTCGCTCGCTGGCAAAATCAAGCGGTGCCACGCTCACGACCGCAGCTCATATCTCTCCTCGGCACTCTCCTTCAAATTAAAGGACCCGCTCCCCCCGCTTCCCTCTCTTCCCTCTCTCCACATACATACCCAGCCTTCGCGCTCAACCGATTCACCAAATTCTTCAATGAAAACACAACCCCGTACACCAGTTTCGCCTCCTCCTCTAGACTCATCCCCGTCGCGCCCAACGTATCCTTCATCGACTGTGGTTTCGTCTCCGACGGCGTTACCGATGGTTGGGATTGTGATGATGGTGGGTTTTGTGATACGGGTGTTTTTGTCCAGGGGGCGAAGAAGACGCAGCGGCAGTGCCGGTCGAAGATGTAGAGATTGTAAATCTGTAGGGATGGGAGGGGGGAGGGGATGAATGGCGGTGATGTGGGGGGTAACACAACTCGCTGGGAGTTACCGTCATTGTTTACGAAGTTGAGGGACGGAGCGACAACGGTAAGGAGGGAGAGGGCCGAGAGTACCCAAGGGTATTCAGAGTGTATGGGGAGGCGTGAGGGTCAAGTGTTCAGGTGGCCGATGTGTGTGCGAGACAGAGTTGCGGTGATGCCGCTGCGACACTTGCCGGAGAAGTAACTGCTTCAACGCGTGGGAATTTCAGCATCACTCCATTAGCATGGCCAGACAGCAATGACAACCGCCCAAGAGCAACACATACAGCGACAGGGAGAGGAAGCAGCACGAACACAAGGTCAAGCGAAAGAAGGAGGAAGCACGCCCATAGCACCCGACGTCCTCGACGCTTCACATGCCCTGCTCTCCCTTGCTCGCCCACTCACAGACCCAGTACCGGAAGTCGTGGCCGGAGGTGGAAATGGTATAGTGATCGACATGCAGCAACAGCAGCCGTCAAGCCGGGGAACGGGTCCGCGGGGCAAGCGGAAGGTCGGAGAGGAGGGAGGAGATGACATGCTGACTGGGGCACAGAAACGGAAACGGAAACGGAAACGTCCCACGCGAGAGAGTGGGGAAGTGACAGAGACGGCAGCGACAGGCCTCACTCACCAAGCTGACGGAAATGCGCTTGTGGAGGCGGCGATACCGAGCGAATTTGGAGGGCCGTATACGGGTAGTGAGAACGACACGATGGCCGAGGTGCTGGATTCCGCCGACAATGAAGCAGGAGATACGACGGATGGGGAAGAAACTCCATTGTCGGATACTGGTTCGACATTGGACGGCCATCTAAGCGTTGGTCAAGGCGTCGTCGGAGGACCCGGCGGTGGTGTTCCCGTCCATATTCCCATCCTCCCATCATCGATCAGCCGACAAGTACCAGAATCCATCACATTACCTCACGAATCCATACCTACCACCACTCCAGCACCGACCATCCGCCGCCAATCCGGTCCCCCAGCACCACCTCCCACCCCCGTCACCCTTCACCACCTCTACGACTCCATTCTCACGCAACCCCCCTCCCCCACCACAACCCGCTTCCACTGCCCCTTCCCCACCTGCCCGCGCACCTTCTCCAAGCGCTACAATCTGCGCCAACACTTCTCCTCCATCCACGCACGCACCCAAGACCGACGGTACAAATGCACCCAGTGCGACATGGATTTCAGCAGGAAATACGATCTGCAGCGACATGTGGGGAACCTACACCCAAGTGAGCGGTTGGTGAAGCTGGCGAGGGACTGTTGGGGCTTGGTGGAAAGGTTGAGGCATTTGACGGCGGTCAGGGAGACAGTTGCTATGGCGTATTCGGCCTTTGAGGGTGGGGTCGACGGGGAAAGCGGGTATGATGATGATGGTGCGAATACGTTGGATGGGCTGGATGAAGGGAGCGATGATGTTACTTCCTCGGACGCAGAACCATCACCATCAATGCTCGCTGCTGCTGCCGCCGCCGCCGCTGCACTCGCGCTGGCTTTCTCTCGCTAGTCCAGAATAATGCCTACCGCGAACTTCCATCAACATCCCTGTGTCGAGATCACGTTCGCAGTCAAGTTGCAAAGAAACACCTATTTCCCCGTGCCTCAAAATCCTTGAATGTATTCTGTACAACTGATACCCACTTTTCTTTGGTGAGGATTTGGGGCGGCGGACAATATATACCCGTGTGCTATACTCCATACGATGGACCTCAAATGCGCATTTGATATCGTGGCCTAAATCGATTTGTCTTTTCACGTTGTTACTGTACATTTACAGTGCCAAGCTCAGCGCGGAGACACCGAGGCCGTGGCCGTATCTGCATTTTATGCTACTGGCTCCCTGTTCATCAGAACCACCCAATCCACCCCTACCACCTATTTATACATCATCCATCAACTGAGCACGCCCCCCGACCCTCGGGTAGTGATGCAACGAGTTATGGTCCTTTCCGGACATTGCGGTGTCCATACGCCGTCGCAAAACATCAGCACGCCAAAACACGCAGGTATAGTACATTCGCCATCTCTACGCCCTTCGCACCAAACGCCCCAGCGGCTCGAACGCAAACGGTGTCGGCGTCGATTCTTCAGCACACCGATTTCTAAACCTCCCAGAGCATAACCCGTAGCGGATCGGTGACTCTGTTCCATTTAGGTAGTCGTAGTGGGGCAACGCGTGGCGTGTTGCGCGTTCATTGATCGCAAGGTCCGTAGGTGATGTAAGCGGGTGTCGGCGAGCTCACAGGTCAGGTGTAGGTTTGCAGGGGTTCGCAGCCGGATTTCGCCGGGGAGGGTGTCGCTTCGGGTTTCGCAAGTGTTGTGGAGGGGCTGCGTCGTCCGATCCAACGCTTTTGTTCCATCTGCGCGGTTTGTTTTCCGTTTCCTTTCGCACCATGTGCTGTCCCTCCAACGCGCCCATTTCCTTTCCACCGGGGGTTACCCCTTCCATCAGATTCTACTGCCTCCACAACCCAACCACCCCATCGTCACACCACACCGCAGCGACGTTCGCCGCCGGATGCCCCACAGCGCCAATCACCTCCGCCCCCTCTGCACACACCTTCCACCCGCTGACCAGCTTCCCGCTCTCGGAGTGGAACGCGTACACGTGGCCGTCTTCGGCCGCGAGGAGGATGTACTCGCCTTTGGGTGTGGTGGTTGCGTGAATGAAGGAGGGAGCTGTTGGGCGTGTGTCCGACAGGAGGGTTAGGGTTTTTTGGATCTGCAATGGGGGGTGTACGAGTTAGAGGGTGTGACGGTGGGGCGGAATACATGGACGCAAAACATACCTTCCCGCGCCCATCGACGACATACGCATACGGGCTCTTGTTACACACAACAATATGGTCCAAATTCCGGGGCGAGATGCAAAGATTGTTGATCGTCGGGGTGTTCACACCGCTCGAGACCGCTTTCCCCTCATGCAGGGTAACTGTACCCACACATTCGGTCGTCTTGACGTCCCAGATCTTGCAGGTCCCGTCCGAGCTTCCACTCATCACCTTGGTCCAGTCCATCAGGAATATAGCGTGGTTGACGAACGACGTGTGGCCGCGAAACTCTTTGACCAGTTTGCCTGATTTCAGGCCGTGTAAGCGGATGGTCATGTCGAAGCTCGAGCTGAGTAGCTGCGTCCCGTCTGCCGAGAACGCGACGGAAGTGACACCCTGTGCGTGGGCGGGGACAAGACGGCGAGTACATTGCCCCGTCGCGACTTTCCACACCTTAATCCGCCCATCCTGCCCGCCACTCGCAAGCGTCTCGCTGTCCCTGCTGAACGCAAGACACAGCACAGCCGATTCCATCAGCATCGGGTTATCAGCCGCCTGGTACGGTAGGTCTTTCCGCAATTTCCCCGTCATGTAGTTCCAAATCTCAATGAACCCGTCCATGCTCCCCGTCGCGAGGTAATGCCCACCGGGTGAGAACGCCACACACTCCGCCATCTGCTTCTTCGGAAACTTGATCGTATTATAGCAATCCTCGGGTATCGCGTCCTCCTCCGCGGTCGCCATCGGCGCCGCCCCGCGAAACATGTCGTACGCCGTGTCGGTGGGTAACAATCCCTGCGAGTTCTGCCATTTGAGCGCCTGCCCTAGCAATGCCAGCAACCGTGCGGGAGCGACAACGGAGACCTCCCCCGCCAACGCCTGCGCGATCACCTGCCGCCGTTTGGATTTACTCCCATCGTGCGGGTACGCCTCCTTCTCATCGAACATCGTCATGCTGAGCAGATGCTCAAGGTGCAGGTACCGATCCGGGTAATGGTCTTTACAGAACTGCATCGGGTCCGTCTGCCTCAACAGCGATCTCGCCGCGCCCAGTTCCCGCATCTCCAGCAACTCCAGAGTGATCTGCTCATAGAGGTCAACCAGTTTCCGCTGTGGGATTTTCAGTTGGGAGATGGTTTTGAGGACTACATCCCACCGCCCGGCGAGGATATCGGCTGTGAAGGTGTCCACGCTGTCGACGGTGTTGAGCGAGACGCTGGTTTCGGATTGGAGGGCGGCGAGGGTGCGGGGGAGGTTGTTTTCCTTGAGGAATTGGTGGATGAGGCGGATGACGTCCGCGGCTTCGATGTCGAAGGACATGCCTCTCTGATATGTATTCTATGCTTGCTGAAGGGAGGGAGTATTTAGATTCTCTGGTTGAGAAGGGCTGTTGAATTGTCGGCTGTTGAGATTGCCTGGGGTTTGCATGCTGTTTTTCAGTCGAGGTTCCAGGAAAGTCTGCGCGCGCCGGAATCCCTCAAACACACATTGGATATCCCACCGTGGAATCCATATTAAGGCCGATCGTAGTAAGCGGTTTTGAAGTTTTATTTACAAGTGCGGTTGTGAGATAGATGATGGCTGCCTCAGCTATCTCCTACTCTGCGGAGGGATCTGCTCTGATGGGAGTGCGGGGTGCGCTAACATGAATAAATATGGTCAGAGGGTTGTTGCTAGATCTGATCTTCGGAGAGCTGAATATGGTGGTAAGGTGGGCAGAATCGGCGGTCCGCTCATTCCGCCCTCGGCACCTTCGTAGCCGGTGCACCCGCCGCACCATCCTCCGCCTTCCGCTTCTCTCCTCCCGGGGCAGCGGCCCCACCCGACGAAATCATCGGCGGCTTGTTCCTATCCCGCGAGTTCCGATCCGCGCCAAACCCACCGGGCGCACCACCCCGGGGTCCACCCCTGAACCCGCCCCGTCCTCCACGACCACGACCACCGCCCCGGTTCCCATCCCTGTTCCCACCGAACCCGCCATTACGACCTCCACCTCGGTTGTTGTTCGTGACGGTGTTGTTACCAGGCGGGCCGCGGTTCTTCTTACGCGTCATCTCAGCGAAGTTATCCCAGTGCGTGTCGGCTTCCTCTGGCGTCGCCACGCGGAAGACGGTGCGTGATTCGGCGATGCCGTTGGGGGCTTCGACGACGCCTTCGGGGGACGCGTTGATTTTGGTGAGGAAGGCGGGGGCGGTGTTGGGGTTGGCGAAGACGACGTAGCCGGTGGGGTCGCCGGAGTTGTACCGGAGGAAGCGGACGCGCTCGAAGCCGGCGAAGAATTGCTGAGGGGGACCATTTGATGTGAGTGAAATGACCTTTGAACTACACTTGTGCAGGCGCGACAAGCACATACCTTGACATCCTCGAAAAGCGCAAGAGGGCCCGCCCCATCAAAGTGAATGATGCAGTTCTCGACCCGATGTGATGTGTTGTTCTGGTGCTCGCGCGCAAGAGCTGTGCCCTGCACAGACCCCGTCCCGCGGCGTGCTTCGAAGGGCTTCAGGTAGTTCAGCTGGGGGAGGCCATCCGCTTCTGGCTGGTGCATCTTTTCGCCGTACTCTTTTTGCTTGATTTCGATGTACTCGTCCCTGGGTTAGGTGAGAGGTGTGTCATGCTGTCAGCTTCCAAACAGATTTGACGGAACTTTGAAGTTTGCATCGCTGGTCGTACTTCATATACATGAGCAGTGGGGTCTCCTTGTACGAGATTGTCATGTCGCGGACCTTCGTGGCCTCGTCCTCGGTTTCAAATTCGACAAAGACGGACCCCTGACAGATGCACATGTATTAGCGGCAAGCAAAAGGGTAAAAGCATCGTCCGTAAACGGGAGTCATCCATTACACACCTTGAACTTCGCCGCATACCCGCCCTTTTCGCGCCGCGCCCTTACGTTGCGAACTCGACCATATGCAGTGAAGAACTTCCGAACCTCGGCGGGCACATCCTTCATGTCCACAGGGAATCCTTTCTAGAAATCCAAGGGTCAGCTCTTTCCTCCATAAGGATTTCACTCTTCCGCGCCCCCTCTGTCTCTTCCTCCAATCATCCCACTCCCAAAACGTACAGCGTAAATCGACTTCCTGTTTGCAGGGTGAACAGGCCTGATCTGCGTCAACCGGCGCACTTGCGTGCTGTCCGGCGAGACCTGTAGCATTTGCGGGCTGTGCTTCAGAGCTTTTGCGACGAGTTCCACGTCGGTTGTGAGCTCCTTCAGCTTGTTGAATGTGAGGAGGACTGTGATGTTGACCCAGCCTTCGGGGCTGTTGTTGATGGTCTCCAGGAGGAATCTATCCCGGGGGAGGTTGACATCTGGAAAGCATGACAACTATGAGCTTCCCACATGTGCATCAATGAGGGGATCCCAGATTCCATCGTCTCCACAGTTTTTGTCCGTTTGACGCTTACAAGCCCGTACCACTGAAGTAATATTCGACCTGCTTGAGAATTTTGGCATACAGCTCCCTCTTCTCAGGGTCCTCAGGCAGTGGATGGGATGGCGCCAAGCCAATCCTCTGCATAGGAGCCGAGGTGGGAGCTACTGGGGCCGTAGGTTGTTCCGCTGACTGATCATCGGCCGGAGTGATCTTTGTATCAGACGTTTCCTGCTTCACCGGGATCTCACTGATGGTGTCCTCGACCTTCACCTCCGCCTCCTCGGTGGTGGCGACTTTGCTCTTCAGCTGCGTTGCATACATGTTATTTCGGGAGGCCAAGTGACATTGAACACCTCGCGTAACCAACGAATACCTCTTCGGCTTTCACCTCGGGGGCGACAAGCTCCTCCTTGACCTCCTGTTTGATGGCTTCGGTGGTCATCTTTGCGGCGTTCCTGTCGTGGTCGTCGTCGAGATATGTGGTGTATGAACGGTTCAAACTGACCGTTTGAAGAACGAGGAAAAGAAGGCGGACTTTCGAGGTCAAAAAGCGGAAAGTGGAAAGCGAGCTGAGTCACGTGACACCCACGCTGTCGAGATTGCGTTGACTTGCGCGTTTGACAGTTTTCTTGAGGAAGACTTGTATGACTTGTATGACCAGGATGAGCGAAGCGTTCTCTTTCCAACGGACACATATTGACAAGATAGGGAGGTGCTGGTTTCTTCGCGGATGGGGCAGTAAAGTGAACCGACTTCGACCTCTGAATGATGCCAATCTTGGCATCAAATCGATGTGGGTGGACCTCCCGCGAGAAGGCATGCCTGATGAGATGTCGGCGCCATCATCAAAAACATCTCTGGGGATCTCGGCCAGCAGCAGTACATAGATACCAGCAGCGGTGCAACTGCGTACAGTACTGTAGGATGTAGAGGATGCCACCAGCCTCATGTATTGCGCGGGGGACCCTGTGGCCACCTGTCTGTGCGCGCACACGCGAATTTCATTTTGGCGAAGTTGGCAACACCCGCGCGTACGAGAGCGGAAATTGGAACCGTGCACAAAAGTAATATATGGATAGCCGCTGTTCGTTTTTCATTGCTATGGGCATTGACTCTTGAGGCATCCCTAATGAATGCTTGAGGAAGAGCGAGACATAGCCTCATTTGGTGCTTCGTCACCGGTTTCACAAGGATCATCTTCCAGTATCTCTCCCGACGAAGCCATCCTCACGTACGCGTCGAGGCTGGTCGTACTCCACCGCGGAACTTCGACGCCCATAGAGTCTATTGCGCTCTAGCCGCCATTCGTGATCACTATTGCCTGCTGGAGAATGAAATGTGGCTCCGCCATGCACATTGCAATGTATGCCGGGATAGCTTGATACATGTCCGATGTACTGTGCTTGCCACTTTGGTACATTGTGACGACCTACACTTCTGTGATGCCGTACATAGTGGGCAAACCGTATCATGCGGACATCGCTAGGGGCAAGATATGTGGGGTAGTGCCGCAGGGAATGAGCTAGTGATGGTTGCTCGAGCTCGTCGGTGTCTGCGATGCGGCTGTTGCAGAGGGGCCTCGGTCTATAAAAGAGGATGTTAGGCAGGCACCTCATCCTCAACAAAGCAGCACATCTCGCATCACATATTCCCTTCCACCCCGCAAAACACAGCAATGTACCTCCAACCCACGCTCCTCGCCCTCCTCGGCACCGCGCTCGTCTCTTCCTCCCTCGTCGCCGCAGCACCCGCCGCTGCCGCCAATGCCCCCGTCGACGGCTGGCGCTGGGACACCGTCCCCGCCACGGCCCCCACCGACGGCTGGCGATGGGTCCAAGTCCCCGCCGACAAGCCCGAGGACGGCTGGAGATGGATCCAGGTTCCCGCCCTTTCCAAGCGCGCTGGGCCCACTGACGGATGGTGGTTCGACACCGTGCCCGCTGACAAGCCCGCCGATGGCTGGAGATGGGTGCAAGTCCCCGCCGACAAGCCCGAGGACGGATGGAGGTGGAAGCAGGAGCCTATCGTCAACAAGCTCGATGCTCCCGTTGGGTGGAGATGTCCTCCGGGTTGTCAGATAGATGGACCCACGAAGCGCGAAGTGACGCTTGACGCGCGCAAGGCTCCCGTCTCTGACTGCCCGTACGTATGCTTCATTTTCCGTCCTTAAAGCCATCCCATCGCTGATTTCTGGGCCTTTGCTCTCATAGGTGGGACGACATCACGGCCTCAGCAAAATCCGGCTCCTGCCTCGGCGGCAAGCTGCGTCTCTGCTGGCCCGACGCCAATGACATTCCGAGGTGGGTCTCGCTCGGCGAGTCGGACAAGTGCAAGACGAGCGGGAACTACTGCTTCACGGCTGAGGGACAGCAGGTAAGGTTCTGAGTGCATCGCGTTGATATCGATGCTGAAATGTTGTTCGCTGACCCAAGACGGATTTACCGTTCTGTAGTGCAAATGAACGCCCCTAACCGTCGCCCAACGTCGGCAGGGACCGTCTTGATCCACCGCCCGAAGAAAGATGGGAATGCATCTCCCACGTCAAATGTGGAACCTTCGTGAGGTCAAACAGGATGGAAACCACTCGAGATCCTCGATTAGCATATCCTTTCCAGCGATACAATCACTCCCATAGACTTGCATCAGTCCTCCCGTAGCCGGGCATCTCGTACACTTTTTTCTGTAACCGTTTCCAATCTTCGTTGGTAGAGTCATAACAAACAAATCATACATGCCTAAGGTGCTTTACTGAAAATGAGGGGGAACGGGGGCGGGTGATCATGACAGAACTCTTGCCGTGCATGGCTCCCTTCAGCCGTGCTCGGAGAGCCTGAAACCGCTGTTCTCAGCCAGACAAGCGACGAGGGACCTGTCGCACCCTGAACGCAACACCCTGCTCTCATGTCCATCGGAGTTCTAGAGCCGGAAGCCACCACTTCCTCGGACAAAACCAATCCTGATACCAGCCCCGCCGTCGAAACTCCATCCCGCGCGCCCGGCACGATTCGCAGCGGCTGAGTTCCCAATGAGGTCATGCACATAGAGGTCATGCACATTGTCGAGGACTGCATACTTGAAGTTGGGTACGGGAAAAAGTTTCTCGTCGAGGAGAGTGATGGCGAAGTGTGAAAAAATTAGGAAGTTTGCGATGCCGCGCCTGTGCGGCTACATACTTTGCCTGCGCTTGCTCTGAATCGGTGATAGGTTCGACCTGCCGAGCAGGACGAAGATTGCAATAGACAGGGCAAACACTGTGTCTCCGACCGTAATTTCGATGTCGGCATCGTCGAAATCGTACGAAGTGTGCCTTTTGGTTGCAACACGATTGGCGTTGGCTATCTGACCGTGTGCGTCCGCCGGTGTGTCTGTGGACACACTTTTGGTGTCGGAGAAGAGGGAGTAGTCGGTGGTCATCTTGCACTGTTGCACACGTTAGATGAGTTTGCCTATACCAGCGGAGGCCTAGATTTGTCAAGCTTGGTGGCTCTCACCCGGCTGGCAGACAGGACGGCTGTGATGAGGAAGCCTAGATGGAGTTGGGAAGAGTCGTACATAGTGTCAGTCGTGCTGAGGAAGAAGTCATAGGTATCTCAAAGAACATCTTCTGCCCGTCTCCAGTCCTTCTCCCTTATGTCAGGATGGATGGCACACTCTCACCACTCGGCAGGAAGATAGGATGGCTGCGATAATCTACCTATAGGGGTGTTTGCCCAGAATGTCAGTTGTCGTAGTTGGTAAGCTCAAGGTGAAGACGCCATCTCCATCTTTTGTGAGACCGGCCGTTCTTGAACGAGCGTTTGGAGGGTTGTGTGCAGGGTTGTGTGTTCAAGGTAGAAACTCGACAGCGCGAAACCTGTCATTCCATGCCTAACAGGTACTAAGCTGTTAGTCGCAGGACTCTGCTCTTCGACCCCGATGTCGTCGCATCTTCACCGTCCCTGTCTGATGCATCTACGCACACTTCCAACCCACACGCACTCCTCGTTACTCCGCCTTGCCAGTCCTTTCGGGCCTCTCTCTCAGTCGTACCCCCTCCGGCTCCAACCCCACCACTGTCATCTCGCCCAAAAGTCCTCCCACGCGAATCACGCCTCCCGCTCCGCATTCGCACTTGTGCCTTCGTCCAATTCACCAGCTACAGTCATGTCCGTCGGCTCCACCACCTCCTCGCAACCAACAACAACAGCGCTGCCACCGCCATCCTTCCCGTCCCCATCCCGCCAAAAAGAGCTAGGAGAAATGTGGGAGCGCGCGGTGCAGTGTATTCGCGTTCCGCTTCAGGACTGTGGAGGTGGGGAGGAGGTGGAGGACGTGTTCATCCAGGGCTTGGAATATATCCAGGGAAGGAGAGAGGCAATGAAGGAATGGCCGGAGATATTGCGAGAGGGTGTTTGGTGAGTTGATTGCTGGTGTGTAGTGTGTTTGGATACGCTAACAAGGCAGGATGGGTGTGATCGCATTCACTTCAACCAACACAATGGGAACCAACCAACCAGGTACATGATAACCGCCTGGAACTCCATGGGCGCCACCCAACCCGCTCACATCAACCAGGCCGCCAACGAGCTACTACATTCACGCTTGTCGGAGGTATTCCCGTCAAAGGCATCACCACGCATATTAGAAGCATACGGCACGGACGACACGGAGGCGTGGCGGGAGGATGGGTTTGCTGTTCATGTCAGCACATCTACAATTCAGGATCAGTCACACGCGAGTGAGGAAGAAGTGATTTTAGGGCTGGGGAGGGAGTTTGGGCAGGTTGCGCTGTATCGGCTTGAATGGGTATCTGATGCGGGCGGGGAGGGGAAGGAAGTGCGGGGAAGGATGATACAGAGGGTTGTGGCGTGCTATGAGGAGATGAGGGGGGTTGAGTCGGATATTGAGGTGGGGAGGAGGTAGACGTGGGATATGGGATGTAGCTTGGATTAGCGGAAGGAAGCAGAGCTGAGGGTTGATTATGATTCTCCATGTACATACATACTGCCGCGCAGGCTTCTGATGCAGTTGTTGAATGCATCCGCTACGTACATATGATTTCAGTAAATCGATGTCTGGAAAGGTGAGGGATGTCTGCGGACTCCAGTGAGGCATGGTTACTGTACTGTATATATGCGCGTCCCGCCCGCGAAGAAGCACGTCGCCGAAGTCGCAGCCCCCAGGGTTTGGCTCTCACTTCTCCCACCACCCCCAGCAGCCTGTGCAGCAGCCTCAGCGACGCAACACAACAACAGCCCCTATCCCCCAAAACACCCTCCCCCCAAAGGAAGCTTCTCCCCCCCACCACCATGTCGCTCACTCCGCCCGCCTCTCCTCCGTCCAGTCCACGCCCACAGTTCCCCCAAATATCGCGACAAAACTCCGCTGTCCGCCAACGGCCACCGCCAAAGCACCCAGACGACATCATCCCCACCTCCGCCTCCCAAACAACCCCCCTCTGGTCCGTCTTCTCCCTCAACCCCGCCTCCTCCTTCGCCCTTACCGCCCCACGCGGCGAACCCACCCGCCCTTGGCCAACCCTGTTCCCGCTCTACCCTCACCTCGGCATCCCGCTTCTCATTGTCACACTCATCGTCAGTCTGCCCATCCTCTCATTCACATGGCCGATTGTACTCGCCCTGTACCCGCTATATTACCTCCTCACCTACGTCTGGCGCGCAAACCACTACGGACATACCCTCCACCCGGTCCCCTGGAACGAGGCGTGGAAGGTTCTCCCGCCCGCCAACGCAAAGAACGCCCCCGGGCTCCCGCCGAGTCTCTACGGAGTCTGGCAGATGAGTGGCAACCCGTTGCCGGATGCGTTGATGACGTTTGCGGGGGGCGTGCCGAGTGTGGTCGAGTTGGGTGAGGATGACGTGGGGATCCATGAGGGACCGAAAAGGAAGAGGGCGAGGAGGATGCAGAGGAGGTATACCTTGAAGGTGTATGAGCAGAATACTTGGACTTGGCATGGAGATATCTTTGGGACGGCGCTTTATCATGAGGTTAAGAGGAATCGACTGAGATATGAGGGGAGGTTTAGTGAGGTGAGTGACGTGAAGCGATAGCGAGCGAGCGAGGACGAATGCAGTGAGTGCATGCGAAGCGAGTCCCTTGCGCCGAAGGCGCAATACCCCTGACACGCTATTTAGCGAGCACTGGCGAGCGTCAGATCTTTTGCGAGCGAAGCGAGCACGCTCCGCCCATCGCAACCCAACCTCCTCGTTGTGAGCGGAGCGAGCAGGATGTCATCAATCAAACATCAATAAACCATCAACCATGGCTCACTTTCACATCCGCTCATCAAACCCATCCCTCCCTCAATCTTAGGACCTGAAATACGCGCAAATCTACCCAATAGTAACCATCCCCTTCGTCGACCAAGACGTCGTAGTCCCGCCCTACCTCGCCTGCTTCACTCTCCGAGAGGTCGGCGAAGGCCACTGGATCCGCGAGAGTTGGTTCTTTTGCATCCGGATGCTCGATTACCATTTCGTGAGGGTTGTGGATGAGAAGGGGAGGAGGGATGAGGAGAGGTGGGATATGTGTAGTCGGAGTCGGGTGCCGGGGCGCACGATGTTGGTTGCGAAGAGTGTGCCTTCGACAGAGAGCGTGGGTAAGAGTAGGGCGAAAGGCAGGACGACCGACGGAGGGAGGAAGTGAGGAAGGATATATTTGTTGAGACGATAAGCTTTTATTTTTGGACTTTCTTATGCCGTTGTGTACTGTACATCGTTCGACGCTTTAGAGGGAACTGGAGAAGGTACAGTTCTCGACGGACCACACATTCACATTCCCGACGTTCATATCCTTATTCATGTTTAATACGTTTAATGGCATCTCATAACATATCACATTTCATCGCTTCATCACTACGTATCATTCTCAAATTCATCTTCACATCACACCAATAGGACCAGGGTGGAGCGCTCAGCGCTTGAACTATGCGAGTCTCTCTCTCTCAGGACCACCTTTGCGGAGTTGAAGATCTCCTTGCAGGGTTGCTCGCTCACCTCGTCACATCTGCATGTGCAACGGCGCATGAGTTGGCTTCATGTAAATACATACATGCGTATGACTCCGCTCAAACACACATTCATAAAATGTCCCTTCCCATCCAGACACACATCCTCACATAACCGGTAACAGTTATCAGGTTCCATACGGCAACCCATACTAAGCGATGCTGACATAAGACGGAAGGGCTTTTAACAAAATGACTGTTGCACACTTTTACGACCCGGTGACCCTTGTAGGAAGGTCCCGCACATCCGAAGGAGGCAAGGAGGGTTGTGGGTGAAAAGAGTATGCGTTTTGGGACCGGGGAAAAGGGGAGGCATCGAGCTTTCGGGACGAAGGGCGATGAGGGGCGGGTTCGTGCGGAAAGGGGGATGCGGTCGCTGGGTATGATGAGGTTGATGAGGGTGTTGGTGGGCTGTGGCAGATGGCCTGATGCAAGATTGCGGTCGGCCAGATGTCCAATCCGTTTGGGGGAACAAACGGGGCGACGAAAGAGAAAACGCAAGTGGGAAGTCCCTGCGCCACACCCGCCTGCGCCACAGACTGACAGGATGGACGCTGTCACTCGCATTCTCGACAGTCCAAAAGAAATGCACCCAATGGAGGCTCCGGATGTTGCTCGCATCCCTTGGATTTGTGAAAAGGACAGAACGTCTATGGGAACGTGTGTCTAGGTAGACGATATGTCTGTATTACGCCAGGGATGTACACTACTCTATATGTCCCGGTGACATGGTTCGGGTTACGCTGACACTTTCGCAGGGGCCGCCTAGATGCACTTCTTGCCGTTGGGCGCACACTTGTATTGGAAAGCAGCGCCGGGCTTCGAGTATTCCTGGATGATCGGAGAACAGACGAAATTAGCGTCAGGAAAGGGCATCGGCGAGCAAACATAAAGACAAAGCGATAAACGTACCGAAGTGCAACACTTGCTCTTACAATCCGAGCTCTTCGCGCACTTCTCCCAATCACCCGCTCCTCCGCTACCACCACCACCACCACCACCACCCCCACCATACTTGTCAATGTTTTCCTGAATCCACCCTTTGTAAGCCCCCACCCTCGTGTAAATCCCCGGGTTATCCTTCCTCGCACACCCAATTCCCCAACTCACAATCCCATACAGCATAGGCTTCGCTCCCTTCACATACAACGGGCCGCCCGAATCGCCCTGGCAAGAATCCTTCCCTTCCTTCCCCGCGCATATCACATTCGCGATGTAGGGAGCTGCACCGGACACTTGTCTAGCGCAAGTGGCAGCGTCTACGGCCGGGAGATCGACCTCCTGCAGCACCTGCGCAGTGTTCCCACCCTCCGTCAACGCTCCCCACCCAGTCGCCGAGTACACCCCAACATCCCAGGCCACATTGCCCGCCGTCCTACTCCCCACCCAATCCGCAAACGTGTTCTGCTGCTTCCCGAAGTTACTAGCCTGCTGCACAGCAACAATCGCCACATCGTTCGCGCTGTCCGCTTTATTGTACCCCGGATGCGCCACCACCGCCGTCGCCTTCCACTGGATCGCGCCCTCGGCGTCGGGGGTAACGGCGAGATTGTACCGGTACGAGGTGAACTTGACTTGCGCGGGCGTCGCGAGCTTGTCCTGCCAGACGCAGTGCGCGGCGGTGAGGACGATCCCGGGGGCGATGAGACTGCCTCCACACCACCACCCAGCGCCAGATGCATCTTGGATTTCAAGGAGACCCATCCAGTCGTGATGCGAGGAGGTTTGGCCGCCGACGATGGGGGGTACGGACTCGGTGGGTGGGTGCGGGATGGACGCGGAGAGGACGCCCGGTGCGAGAAGGGCGCCGGCGGTGGCGAGGAGTGTTAGGCGGACCATGGTGGGTGGTTGGGGGCGGGTGGAAGGAGGTGGGGTGGGATGCGGGAAACAGTGATGCCGAAGCCGTAACCCTCTCCCTTATACTCCTTCCGCCTGCATCATATCTCCTCCATCCTCGTCCCCCTTCAATACGGCACGCTCGGTCGATTGGAGACGGGGTCCCGTCACATTTCGACTCGGAATACGATCGGCCCCGGCCCGTCTCACATGCCTCCACCCCGTCCTACATCGCACTTGGAAGTTGGCCGTACGTCAATCATTGCGTTACATTGCATTCCGGATATCTCGACGGCCACCAAATGCGGCGTGATGTGGTGTACTGTACGTGTTAGCGCGACGGGGAAGGCTTACCGGTGCGGTGTCTGCGGCGTGTCTGTTGCAGGCTTGCACCTTCAAGTTGCCGCGCAATGCATAGTGGACTGTACTATAGCTACTGTACATGTACCAACAACGCAATAGGACAGTACAGTACATCCGCGGATGCTACTATTGCCGTTCACTAAAGGGCGCCTGTGCAAGTGGCTGGTGACGCACCTGCACGACAGTACACCAGATTACCTTTGTGACTTTTATGGTTGTTCCTTGCAATAAACGGTGGGGTAATCTCATTATTGTGCAGAATTCCGACCGACCGACTCGTCACCGAACGCACGCCGAATTTGGACCGCACTTGGGACAACCAGGATACGTGATTCCCGAAGCCCACTGCACCCGCAAGATCGTCGATGTCATACCGCCGTCGGAAAGTACATTATATGGGTTTGGCGTCCGATGTCCGCTGCTGACTTCGCCGTTGTGCGCGTTGCCGAAATGTCATTTCGGAGTTGACTTACGCGTACCACCTCAGCTGTGGCCACAACGTTGTCAAATTGGCGAGTTGCGTTATGAAATATTGGGAAGTACTGTATGTTAAGTTGGGCGGCCATCATAAATATCATCGTCGGAGTTTGCAATGTGACGTCCCGCGTACAGGTGTCCCCACTTTCCCAGTATTGCATTTCGCCCGGTGCGACCCCAGTTCGTCACATCCAAAACGGCGGTGCCTTCAACTCATAGCTCACAATAATAAGCAAATGTGAAATCAAAGTATGCAGTAGGGTCGTCCGCGGGCACTATGTATGCCACTTCTGTATTGCATTTCGTCCAGCGCCTAGTGTCCCCCAGGCGCCCTGCGTTCCATTATTGTTTCCTGGGGATCTCGGGGACGACGCCACCCATCTGATCGAAGTGTGCTTGCCGTCTCATAAGCGGGAAGGCGTCTAGATAGGTAGGTAGTCGGACAACGCAATGAACGGGTGTTTCGCCAAGGCCGGGTGGTGAAACCCGTGTGATGCAAAGCGCCGCTTATCTCCCAATTTCGCCCAACGTCCGCCTTCCTGATGTCTCGCGCTGCTGCTCTGCTACAGGGGTCGTGCAGTAGCGATACACATCACATAACGGACGGATAGGATGATGGCTCCATATAAAAAGAGAGAGCTGCAGTCCCCGTCCCCTCCCTGGTTACCCATCCATCACCCCCACATCTGCGCTCCAACATGTTACGCCTCTCCTCCCTCGCCCTAGCGGCCACCCTCCTCTCCGCCACAACTCTCTCTTCCCTCGCCGCACCCACCCCTCCCTCCTCCGCCGGCCTCACCGCCTTCCGTCGCCAGCCCACTTTCACCACCCTCGGGCTCGGCGATCCCGTCACCGCCTCCCTCCGCGCCAACGACACCTCGGCCGGCGATGATGACACTGCTGCGGCATTGAAGTACCTGGCCGAGAAGACGGGCGTGGCTGTGGAGCAACTGGACGTCGTGGAGACGTATGTGGGGAGTAATGGGGTTCGGCATGTTTATGTGAAGGGTGTTGTTGGTGGTGTTCGCGTACGTACCATTTGCGTCTCCTTCTTGCGCAAGAGGGGATACTGATTCTCTGGATTGGTATGTGTGCAGGTTGGCAACCAAGACGCGAATGTGTCGATTAAGGACGGCAAGGTGCTTTCGTGGGGGAGTTCGTTGCCCACCGGGCAGACTCTGCTTCCCGCCAAGGTCGACGAACCCGCGAACGGTGGGGTCAGTGAAGAGGACGCCATCACCACCGCCGAACGCACCCTGGGTCTCAAGAGGACCACCACACCCACCACCCACCAGTATGTGGAGACAGGCGAGGGCCGCTACGAGTACACCCACACCTTCCAGCTCCGCTCCGCCCCCGACGCGCCCAAGCTCGAGTGGGTTGAGGTCGACGTCTCAACCACGACCGGAAAGATCGTCAGCGTGACCTCCTGGGTCGCGAGTGCAAAGTACACCGTTGCCAATATCAGAGGCGCGGGGAACCCGGAGACGGAGATTCTGGTCAAGAACGATCCTGCTAGGCAGGGGCCGAGTCCGTTGGGGTGGCATAACGACGGGAAGGCCAGTTATACGGTCACGAAGGGGAACAATGCGTATTCCCAGAAGGAGGGGGGACAGCCCGTCAGCGGCGGCGCCAACAACGAGTACACCAAAACCTACAGCTCTAAACAAGCCCCGGACTCGCAGAACAACGTGGAAGCGGCGGTAACCAACGGGTTCTATGTTGCGAACGCGATGCATGATCTGTTCTGGTTCTATGGGTTTGATGAGAAGGCCGGGAACTTTCAGGCCACGAATAGGGACGGTGGGAAGGGGGGCGATCCGGTTAAGGTTGTTGTGCAGGGGAAGGCGATGACGTCTAATGCGAATTTCGGGACGCCGCCCGATGGGCTGGAGCCTGTGGTGAGTGTTTCGTTTTGAGGATTCAACAACGTACAAGTTTTCCCCTCGCTAACCGCTCGTGGCTTTCGCCCCGCCTCCCCCCTCGCGTACAGCTCACCACATTCGTCTTCACCGACACCCAACCCGGCCGCGACCCGGCGATGGAAACCGACATCATGATCCACGAATACGGCCACGGGATCTCCACGCGTCTCACGGGCGGCCCGGCCAACTCCAACTGCCTCGCCTCCGGCGAAGGTGCGGGCCTGGGCGAAGGGTGGTCCGACAGCCTCGCGATGTTCATTCAACGTAAAGCGTCGCACACTCGCAACACGGATCTCGTCATTGGCGCGTGGGCGACGAATAACCCGAAGGGGGTGCGGTCGTACCCGTACTCGACGGATAAGGGGCGGAACCCGTTGATGTATGGGACGTTGGGCGAGCCCGGGAAGAATGAGGCGCATGCGATGGGGGAGGTGTGGGCCACCATGTGGAATGAGGTTTATTGGAATCTCGTGGATAAGGCTGGGTTCTATGACGATATCTATAACGCCGGGCTGGAGAAGGGGAATATTGTCGCGATGCATATTTTGATAGATGGACTGGCGCTGCAGCCGTGTAATCCGACGTTTGTGGCGGCGAGGGATGCGGTGCTGCAGGCGGAGATGACGAGGTATGGCGGGAAGTATCGATGTGCGGTTTGGAAGGGGTTTGCGAAGAGAGGGTTGGGGGTTAGCGCGAAGGCGGGCGTTTTCGTGAATAAGGTGGATGTGCCTCAGGGGTGTTAGATGTGGGATAGAAGGTGACGTTTCCGTAGATGTTGGACGCCATACACGTAGAGCTTATGAGAGGGGCGGCGTACGTTCTTCACTAGATGCCACGGGTAGATAGATACCGTACGATGCTGTACAAATACAAATACAATGCTTTAAACTTCTTAACGTGAATGTTCACTGGATGAACCTATTCAGAGATCTTGCCGATGCATTCGCGACCCCTCACAAATGCTGTTAAATGTCGCCGTCCGTCGATGCCCCTCATACTCTCACACCCCGTTGTTGTGATCTCAAAAAACTCGGCCATTGCAAGAGACGCCGTCCCGTTGTGGAGCACTCTCATTTCTCATCGCCGGAGCTCCTTCTGCGGATTCCAAAGCCGAAGGACTCTGTGAGCTCCGGAGGGACGCATTGGAAGTCACAAGTCGTATGCCCGGAAAAGACGCGTGCGATTGGGGAAGTCACCTCCCTCCCTCTTGGTGTGACATGTCCGAAAGCCGCTCCCTCTCCTCCGCTCTTCCCTTCCGCTGCCGTCGCTCCCGTCGCTCCAACAACAACAACCACTGTCCTCCTACGCCAACTCGCTCACCCTTTCCAGGCTGTCTCAGGCTCCCGCTCCCGTGAAGGCTCTCCTCCGCTCGGAGCACTTGCACTCTCGTCTCCTTCTTGAGGATAACACAGAGTTGCGTTACCCTCCGGCTCCGGCAGCTGGTCACTTGACCAACCAACCCCCACCAGCCCCTCCGCCGCAGGGGTCACTTCTCACAACCCAACAGCAACGACAACCTTCAGAGATTCAAATCCCCCCTGCTAGCTACCTCTGCCTCCCTGGACTCCGGCTCCGGCTCCGCTGAACAAATCTCCACTCTGACGATCAATCTAGCACTTTGCATTCCACAACTCCCGAGCACAAAAGACTGCCTCCTCCGCTCCGGCTCCGATATCTGTTTTAATCAGCACTAATAACGTTCTCTCCGGCAAAGGCTCAAACGGTCCCCGCTTCTGAATCCCCCGGCTAGAAAAGCCCCGCACCTCACACCGTTCCCCCGCCCCACTTCGAGACGTCATCGGTCTTGAAGCGAGCGGACAATATATATATCCCATGTTGCGATCTTCACGGCGCTGTTTGCTGGTAAAGCCAAAGCCACCTGCACTGTTCACCTCGCACGTTCAATATCTCTACTCGATCTCAAGCCGGCAACCATCATCTTCATCGTTCCGAATCAGACGCTCAATACCCAAGCCTTCTTCATCATTCCCAACCTTTCGACTCGCATCAACCGCAACATCACAAGCCATGCCCATCGCCACTCCCACTCCCACTCCCACTCCCACCCCCTCATCTTCCGCCACATCCGAACAAACCCTCCACTCCCTCCTTACACTCAACCATACATCCCACCACATCGAATACAGAGGATATCTATCAAACCATCTCGTTCATCATCTATCGGCATTGTACTTTTTGGGTGCGACGAGTGAGAGGTTGAGGGAGGTTTATGATTGGCATACGGAGTTGGAGGGATGTACGAGGGAGGAGGAAGAGGTGGGGGAGGGGAATTGGAGGCGGTTTTTGGGGCTGAGGAGGTAAGCGTAAAGATGAGCGAAGCGAGGCGCGGGGATGATTGATGCAGGCGAACCACGAGGCGAGCGCGAGCGGAGTGAGCAACATTGCGCCGGAGGCGCTATACTCCCCTCATCACGGTATTTGCGAGCACCGGCGAGCGTCAGATCTTGAAGCGAGCGAAGCGAGCTTCGCCTCCGCCCACTATCCTCGCCGCGACCGGAGCGAGCAGGGTATCGTTCAACCAACCAACCAACCAATCATCGCGCCAACCATCAATCGCATGACTGACACTGGACTTCTATCTGTCTTTTGAAGGAACTATGCAGGCCTTCTCGCGCATTTCACCCGCGAACTCGATCGACACCCTCTTGACCACGTCCTAGCAACCTACCTCCCCGTTCTGATCCCGGGCATGCACGGCTCGGCCCTCCACCCACTCATTCACCTCGGCTACGCATGCGAGCTCGATTCACAACTCATATTCGCTGAAGCGCTCGCTTATTGCACGTTTTCTTACCTCCCCGTCGAAAAGAGGGATCACAATACCCTCAATGGGACGTCGGGGGATTTGGGGATTGAAGAGGTGCTGGAACGTGTTAGGACGGATGAACGGTTGGGTGAGGAAAAGCTGTTTGGGAAGAAGGGAAGGAATGGGCAGTTTCAGGAGAAGGTGGCGGATGTTGTTGGGAAGGCCGGGGGTGTGCTTGGGGAGTATGCGGGGATGTGGAGGCAAGGTGCGTTTTCAAACCCTCACATTCCACATGTCGGCGGACAACTTACGAAAGTCACTTTACGATTATTCTCTTCTGCGCAGACCCCGACCCTTCACGAGCACTGAACGACCTCCAGAAAACAGCAACAGCCCTCCTCTCCACCTTCAAAGAGGTCTCCACCACCTCGTCACATTCAGCTACACCGAAACTCGACTTTTTCCTCCTCCACCTCCTCACATCCACCCACGCCGTCCTGCAGATCCTCACGCACCCTGCCCTCAAGTCCCTCCACACCTCTCACCCCAATCTCGCCACCTCTCTCATTCACAATCAGTATCTGAGCATCCTTGTGGTTTATATCACCCAGGGACGGCCTGTGATGACACCGGACCGGGTGGCGGACCGATATAGGGGTGTGATACCCCCTGGGGATGCACAGGGTGTTTGGAAGGGCTTGAGGGTGAGTGCGGTGGGGACGGGGGATGAGCACGCCACGAAGGCGGTTTGGACGCTGTGGAGGTGGTATGAGGAAACGAAGAGCGAGAAAGGGGATGATGAGGAGGAGAGAAGGGGGTATCTTTTGGCGGCGATGGCGGTGAGGGAGATGGTGATGGGGCCCGAGAGGGAGGGGAGGGATAATTGGGAGTATCGCGGGGTTGGGTGGTGAGATTTTCGAGGGGGAGGCGATGGGGTGTGTTTTTTGTTTTAGTTTTTTGAAATTTAGGTTTTTTTGGTTTGTCAACGGGAATCAGATTTTGCGCATCTAGGTTGCTTTTTTTTTGGCGTTGGGAGAGCAGTCTCATACCTGATCGATCTGCTTTACGACCGTAACGTCGAGATCAGACGGAGATGTGTCTTGTCAGGTGGTAGGGGGGCAACTCTCCAAGTCCAGTGTGACCTTCGTTTCACCCATTCCTTCATTCTTACGCACAAGCATTTATCATACAGAAATTCCCACGCTATGTACACTCTAGTCTCCTCCCTTATCATACCGAAAATCCCTACGCTTCGGTCTCCCAATGCACATTCGAGATCTCGCAAAGAGGGTGTCCAGATTTTATCTCCGACCGCTCCAGCTTTTCGCCGCCTGGCGGGTCGGTCGCGAGGGGGTTGCTGCTGGCTCTGCCGTCTTCACCCGCTTGGACTGCGTAACAGAGGCGTAAGGTATCAGCAAAAACATCCGATATGGGAACAGGAAAGATGGTCATATTACCTGACGCGAAGCACGGATAGCCTCGCCACCCTCCGAATCGTACCCACTGCCATAATCGCTGCCCGGCTCCTCCTCCTCTTCATCACCATCATCGTCGCTCCGCTGCTGCTCTTCGGTAGTGAACTCCGCCTCGTCCTCGTTTTCCTCCACCTCCGATTCAGATGCCTGTTCCTCTTCGTCCGTCGCATCACCGCTCACTACGCTGTCGCTAGGATCATCAACTTCCGGGTCAGAGAGTGAGCTGGACTCAGACGAATCGTTGGCGGCCTCCTCATTGTCTTCATCCTCGTCAGTCAATTCAGGGGTAAACAGCGCGCCAACCTTCTCCTTCGACGAGCCATTCTTCGTCCCGCCCTTCTTATTCAACGCAGACAACCTCGCACCTCCCTGTCCCTCATCACGCGTCAAATCATCCTCACCGGCCTCCTCCTCCTCCTCATCCTGATCCGAGCCACCCCGCCTACGATCCGGCGCAGCTTGTCCATCGCTAGCAGGAGATGGATGCATCCCACCTTTCTTCGACAACCGCCCGGAGCGGGTAACGATGGGCCCACCTGACGATCCCTCCGCGCCGCGAGCCTTCTTCGTCTTGACAGAATCCTGCTCCTCACCCTCCACCTCTCTCAACAGCGCATCGAAATCCGCCTCGGAGATCTGTTGGGTAATATGGGGAGTTTCGCGCACACAGCGACCGGATCGCGTGCGATGGGTACTGGACGGATCACGGTTCTCGTGCTCGTGGTCGTCCCCGTCGTCATCTGCGTTGCGGCGACGGGAGTGCTGGGCGTCTGTGTCCGAGTCGGAGACGGGGTGGGCGCGGGTGGAGAGTTGCAGTGCGCGGAGTTCGCGGCTGATATGCTTTCCCTTGCGTATTTTTTCGTCAGATTGAGACTTTCCATTCTCTTGCTTCGGGTCGGACTCGGGGGGTGGTACGGGTCGTAGTATGATAAGAGCGTCCTCACACCAGGCTATCAGGCTCACCACGCCTCCCAGGTTTTCGACGTGCTCTATGTCCGCGTAGCTGTCTTGATCGACGGGAATCAGTGCTTGCTCATGCTGAGCAGCCCAAGTGGCAAGCAGTGTTTTGAACGCCGCCAGCTCGTCTTGTTCGCGAGTCGGCTTGATTGCGTCGATTGAAGCCGCAGAATCTTTGATCTTCAAAGCTGTTCCCACTTCCTTGACCTTCTCGCGCAGTTGGCTCAGCGACTCCGACGTCATCTCATCATTTGCCGCCAGCTCCATGAGGGCCTCCCCTCGTTTCTGCATCCAATTCTCAAATCCGGCAAAGACTACCTGGATAGCTTGGTGCGACGACCCTGGGAGTTTACATCCAATCTCCGCCAAAGAAGCAGTCAACGCATGCCTCAACTCTCGCTCCCGTGCACCGCGATCGTTGCACGCACGGAACAACTTGGAAATCGAGGCCAAACTATCCAGGTACCAAAAGCGGCTGGAAGACTCGACACGCATGGCCCGTTTGGCTTCGTTGTTCGGCGGGGTATAATAGTCGTCGGCCTGTTCTCCGTTGGCTGGTGCTTTGCCTTTGCCCTTGCGATCTACTTTGGAAGGCGCTGGGGGTGGGAGACGTGCGTCGGAATATGTGTACTTGAGCGCCTCGACGATGATGCCGTAGACGGCCGGGTTGCCTCCTGGCTCGTTTGCGGCGGCGACTACCTGTAATGCTCTCGTGGCCAAAATCTTTTCGGGCGTGGGTATCTCTGTCTCCCCATCCTGAGGTGGGGAAGCAGATGGCGGTGGGACCGATCTAATCGGGAGCAACCAGTAGTGCCGGCCAAACCGGTCTTCTCCCAACTTGCAGTTTCTTGCCCGCACAAGCTCCTCCAATGCATGGTACCGCGCATCCCAGGTTTTCTCCTCCTGTTCATGAGCAGCATACTTCTTCTCCAGCTTAGTAATCTTATTCCCAATGGTCGTGGCCTCGCGAACCAAGAAGATCTGCCTTCCCCTCAACGACTTGATTTCTCTCTGCTTGTATGCGAGCCGATCTCGCGAAACCAAGCGCTTCAATGCCCGTGTCTTCCCCGCTCCCTCCAGCTCGTCGGTTACGCTGTCGTCTTCCGAGGCGTTATCCGAGGCCTCTGGCTTTTTCAACTCCTCCAACTCCTTCTCAATCTTATCGATTTCCGCTTGAGTAGCCTGGGCAGTGGCCTCTAGCTTCTCGTGCTCCTCTTTCATTTGTTTCTTCTCACATGCAATCGACCATTTTGAGGTTCGCATTTCTTGCAGCCGATCCTGGCTCTCCCGAATTTTGTTCCTGAATTCTTCGCTACTCAGGACTCTGCCCACAAGGTAGTGAAGGCATGCGGCGTGAGCAGGGGGTGGCAGATGCGAGAGCGGCGTTGACAAAAAGGCGCCGCCTAGTCTTTGCTGAGATGGTTCGGATGCCAATAAGCGTCCTATGCGGTAACCGATCGTGAGATCCCAAGCCGAAGTGCTCCACAAAACGGCGCTGTAAAGGCTGGTATAGATAATAGTCAGTTCTTTAATATACTGTGAACCTTCACCGATGTAGCGTTCAAATGCGTCTGCACGTGTGGTAGTGTTAGCAACGGAGCCTATTCTGTGAATACGTTTGCGCTCAGTGAACTCACCCAGCTCATATTCCAATCCGGTATCGGGGGTGAGCTCGAGATATTCGACCGCAAACGTCTTCATAAACTTGACAACGACAGCGAACGACATGCTCTCAGCGATATTCAACCGTCTCCACTCGAGGATGTCGCCTGAAGACTCGGGGCATTCCTTCATCTTCGGCAGGTCGTGACTAAACGGCAGCATTTCTGGCGCAAGATCCTCCATGGTCTTTTTCGGTTTCTTGCCGAGGATCATCGGCTTCGTCGGAATATGCACCTCGATTGACTTTGAAGCAGACGAGGATGAGCCTGCCACCGCAGACGAGGGGTCAACTGGCTTTACCGCGAAGGCTAGGTGTCCCTGTTTGAATCCCTTTCCTTCCATTTTCCCAGTCTAAGAATGGTGTGTCAGACATATGCACAAGTAGCGTTCAGACGGCATCGCTAAGACGAAACATACGCGTTCAGGTGCTACCGAAGAAGAGGCAGACGCTTTCGCGCTCTTGCCCGCGGATGCTCTCTTCTTCGACTTTCCCTTGTGTTCTTTCTTGCCAGTCTCAGGCTCATTCACGTCCATAGGCTCCACATTATCCTAGTAGTCACGCCGTTGAGAGAATATCGTCGATCGATCCGAAATCTCACAACAGGGCGCTCACCGTGGCAGACTCAGTTTTCTGATCCCCGAAGCTCAATCTCATTTGTTTCTTGTATCTCTTGTCCTCGACGCGAACATCCAAGCTTTTCCGCTTCTGAGCAGTCTGTCCCAGTGGTACTCGCTTTGCTTTTTTGGCAGAGCTCTCTTTCGAGGTCGCTGTGCCCTTGGATAAGCCGTTCGCGGTGGTCTGCACTTTGACCGGAGGTTCGACGGAGATAGCAGGCTTTTTGGACAATAAGGAGCTTTCTGATGGCAGACCTGGATGATTCCTTTTCTTGGATGTAGATGAAGCGGCTTTGGAGGATGGCACCTCGATGACCACCGTGGGCTGTGACCTTGCCTGCACAGGGCGACCTGGCGAACTAGCTCGTTTGCTTGCCTTTCCTGGTTGACCATTCCTCGGCGTTGCCTCCCCGTCTTCCCCGCCGCTCTTCTGCCGCTCTTCTGGCTTGACGCCGAGCCATGCTGTTAGGCTAGGGCCTTTCGTTGAACCAGCCATATCAAGCGATGATGCGTCCTAAATTGCGGTCAGAAAGGTCAGAGGACGAAGTGACGACATTCAAAGACGTCACTTGAGTGAGATATTCACCTTGCGAAGGGAGGTAGTTTTTGCAGGAGGAAGAAGTTAGAGAAGGCTAGTGTCTATGCCTGTATGTGGACGCCGTATGTATGTTGGGAGTAGATGGACGTTTTGTTTTTGGAGGGGACGTTGGCAGCAATAAGCGCCAGAACTTCGAGGGCGTATTGACAGTGGTTCTCACGCTTTGAGGGCGAATGGGCGATGTCCGAAAGCTCGCGGCCTCGTTACCAGAAACCGCACTCCTGGGAACCGCACTCCTGGGAACCGGATCTCGGCATTCGCATGTTCCAGGTCTTTCCCTTTCTCGCCCGCCGTGCTATGATAGCATCATGCCTTTTGACTTTGGAGGCCCGCTCGCTGCTTGCCTTCCACTTTCACACCCACCAACAAAACAGGGAAATACGACAAAGTGTGGACAGCATATATATAAAGCACCACTCCCAGCTCATCTTAGGGACCCTGGACCGAACCTCCTCCTGGCAGCTCAATATCAAGCTGGAACGCAACTACTTCTGACCTCCAGTCGCATCCACCGACAGAAAGTCCTCCCGAGTCAAACGAACGGCGGAAGTTGAACGGTGCAACACTTTCCGATAGCGCGAAAACAAATTACTCTCGAGCACAGCGTAGACGCCTCCTTCTTTTTGTATCACCTATTTTCGATAGTCGGTCCGACCTTGTTTGCCTAGCTGGCGCATATACCTCCAAACAGCATGAGAGTGGCTGGTGGCTCTACACGCCGGACACCTCGTCTCTGGGACGACGCCTCCTCCGACGACGAGCATTACTCCTACCGGGAACAAAGGAACCCCTACCTCGAGAACCCCTGGGTGCCCGAAGCGGCCGCTACCAGCAACGGCAGTGCACCGGCGACAGTAGAAGGGGGGAAGAAGTCCCTACCAACACTCCCGCCACGACTATCCTCATTGCCGACGCCGCCGCCGGGGAGTCCGGATAGGGCGGAAGTGTCGGCAAGCGCAAAGCTAAGGGGTAGATGGGCGGAGGATGCGTTTGTGGAGGATGATGGTGAGGGAGATATTGGGGTGACGGAATTTAGACCACAGCGGGATGGGGATCGGGAGGACGTTGATGCGAGTGATTTGCTAGACGCGGGACGGACGAAACAATGGACAGCAGCGAATATGACTGCTGAACCCGAGTCTAGCGAGAGGGCGAGCCCTATTCTACCCGTCGGTTTCCAGGCGTCGTTTACAAAAACATCCACGAACTCCGGTAGCGCTGTTGCACCAGCAGATCCATGGGATTCTCTCCTCACTGCATCATCAACGGCCTCGTCCCGATCGTCACAACAGAAGCAACAACCCACAGAATCCTTCCATCTGGGCAACACGGACGCATTAGAAGCATTCCTCCTAGGAACCCCACCACCACAGACCGCGGAGATCCCTCGGATAAAGGAAGTCGCACGATCTCCGCTAGTGGATCTCCAGCCTGATGTGGCCGTGAATATGGTGGAGGACGTAGTCCCACAAGCTGCTGAACCTGCCGAGACGCGGCATGACTTTCCTGACATTGATCCGGAAAAGGCTGCTTTGATGAAGTATGCGTCAGTGCTAGAAGTTTATCTTTTATGCCGAAGGAAGTGATTATCTCACACAAACAAAATCTCAACTTGCAGACAAATAATAGAACTCCAACGCACTCTCCGCCCCAAAATCGCGCGCGTCACCCAAGCCCGCATCGACCACGCTAAGCAAACCAACGAAACGCAGCTGCTGCATCAATATATGACGAATCTCATGGCCGCGTCAAGGAAGATGGAGAAGGAGAAGGATATGACGAAAGTGGATAAGCCTGCTAGGAAGAGTAGATGGTTTTCTCGCTGATGAAGGGAGGAGTTGGGGACCGGGGGATTGTATAGAGTGTATCGATGTAGCATAATTTTTGGCTGAGGCGGTGTCAGTTGAAAGAGAAAATGGATCACCTCATCTTTTTGCTGTTAGCTTCTCCAAGTTGCATCGTTGAGTCTGACAAGCGCACATGCCTCATTGCTGGACATGATGGCTTCGGAGGTGACCTCCTCTTCGCCAGAGCCTTTGAACGCTCAGTCACATCTTCTCTCCACGCTATATTGACGTACAATCAAGCTGAGCTCCTCCAAAATCGATAGCAGTAACGCAGCAAAAAAGAAAATTTTCGGATGAAAAGGTTTCCCCTCCAAATGTGTATTTGAAAGAGAACAGCCCATCGATCCCAATCCTCCGCAACAATCGTCCCAACTACAGAAAAGAAACGACAACCCTTCCTCCAGATTCACATTGACTGAGTTCCTGGTTTTCCCTCCAACTCGCTATCTCGGCAAATCTAAACTGTTTCGTCTGTGCATGTCGATCGAATGGAGTACGGTGGCGATCCTCGTTTGCAGCTGGGTGTAATTGTTGCCTCCTGCAAGGAATTTAACGGTACTGGTGGAGGAAAGATGGCTGTGAGTTGTACGCGCGATATTTCTGGGAAACACGGTTTCCCTTTCCCGTCGTACGCCCTCAATTTCTTCCTAATCTTGAAAACGCAGGTCTCTCTTCCACGCATCCTATCCAGCATTCGCAACAGCTCATGCAACCCACGCGGGCTGCTCCCTTCCTTCCATGTTCCGCCGGCCCTAACCGGCCCGCTCTCCTCGACGGCTTTTGCCACCCTGTCCGCTGTCCGGTGCCCTCTCTCGCTCTCTCTCCTTCCTAGCTACTGAAATCCCGGTCAAACGTTTCTCACCTTGATGAAACCGATGTCCTTGGAGTATTCGCGGAAGCACTGACGGCAGATGTTCAAGTTGTACTTGCGGATCAAACCAGCCTGGTGAGCGCAGACGCGGCTGTTTCGGGATAGGAGGTGGAAATGGGGATGTCAACGTGCTGGCCTGGGTACACAATTGAGGTTCCTTTCCTCCGCTCAACTTCCAGTTTTCCCAAAGTAAGAATCCCGTTTAAAATCTCTCCTTTCCTCTTCTACTCCGGAGTTTCGTCCCCGCCCTCTACGCCAGAGGATCGTTCCCGCCTCCAAATGTGCGGTCCTTCTACCACCTCGACCGTCTACTGTTCCCCTTCGACAATTTCGTCAACAAAATCCCATAGAAACATACCACTGGCGAGAGCCCTTCCCGTACTTGCGGGGGTGGGAGAACCAAACAGCGGAGTGAGCCATTTCGACGGTGTTTGCTGGTTGCTGCTGAGCGTTGACGAGGCTGCTTGCAGGGGCGAAAGAGGGAGAAACAGCAAGCCATGCTCCACAGCGATATTGATATGCATGGAGTGCAATGTGGCTTAGCATCTTGGCGTTTAATAGAGTACTCACGTGCTTCGCAGGGCTATTGTATTCTCCTGACTATTGAGACCATTACACGCGGCGAGGACTGCAGGTTTAGACCTTTAAGACTATCCCTGCCACAGACGTTCGGTGCAAGATGCTCTCCAGGTCCTGTCAACCTCTGGCAAAGGCCGCCTTGGCAGCAGGCGCCGTCCCATCGGTATGTCCGCTGTTCAGGTTCCGGTCAATTCTGTTAATATTCCTCAGACTTTTTCGCTCCTCCAGCGGCAATACCACGAAATCGTGAAGCGCACCAACACCAACCAAGTATTCACACAGAGGGGTCCCGGAGGACGCTCGTCAGTTTCGGGACATGTCGCTACCGTTATGGGATGTACCGGCTTTCTCGGCCGTTATGTTGTCAACAACTTAGGTGGGCGCCTTTGGAGGGGTGGGAACGCGATGTTCGTTGGTGGATTGTGGGCTCAACATGAGATTCGAATGCAGGGAAGCGTGGAACACAGGTTATCACTCCATACCGAGGAACAGACGACGACAGGAGGCACTTGAGGCTTATGGGTGATCTGGGTCAGATTGTCCCTCTGGTATGGTTCTGGACAGGTTATGGTTCGCGGGGGGACTCCTCACTGACAGAACTCCACCGTTTAAAAGCGATTCGACATTCGTAACGAGGAGCAGATTCGGGAATCTGTCCGTCACGCTGATACCGTCTACAATCTGATCGGGAAGGACTGGGCTACCAAGTACGTTGGAGAGAGAAAGCAGAAGCTGGACCTCATTTGGCGGGTGATTGACGACAGGGTTCGCATTCACCAGGAACTTCACTTTCGAGCAAGTGCACATCGACGGCGCTGCCCGCCTTGCCAGGATTGCGAAAGAGGAAGGCGTCTCTAGGTTCATTCATGTCTCTGCTTTGAACGCCGATGTCAACTCGAATTCGCATTTCCTGCGGACAAAGGCGTTGGGAGAGCAGGCTGTCAAAGCTGAGTTCCCCGACGCCGTTATTGTCCGTCCAGGCATACTATACGGTCACGAGGATCGGTTTTACAACCGCTTGGGATGTGAGTGGTCTGAATCGATATGGACGATTGGGACTGGGCTCTGACTGATCAGCGCGACTTGGGCATCAGGGTATGTGAAGTGGCTACCTGTCGGCATCCCCATGGTCAACGGCGGCAAGACTCGTGTGAGGCCTGTGTACGTTGGTGATGTTGCCCACGTTCTCGCCAAGCTCCAGTACGATGATCGTGCTGTGGGCAAGATTGTGGAACTTTACGGGTACGTTTCGAATTTCGATCTCCTTACTCCACCTGCCATTCTTACCCTCGCCGCTGCACAGCCCGAAGGAATACCATTATGCGGCATTGGTTGAGTTCTTTCTCGACATTACACGCCGTGAGAAGTCTGCTATTCCCGTACCAAAAGTCATTGCCAAGGCCATCGCAGCCGCTTCCAACGCCGTCATGGCTTTCCCGGTTATCTCCCCGGATGAAGTCGAGAGGGTGAGCTTTTCCATGGACATCCCATTGATCATACCGTTTGGATTGCATGCTCACTGTGCTCTCTCCCGTCCAGCTCTTCGTTGACGACACACCCACCCCCGGCGCCCTGACCTTTGACGACTTCAACGTCAAGCCATTCACAGTCGAAGACCAGATCATCCGTTTCGCTGGCCTGTACCGATCGGCGGAGTTCCAGCGTGCGCCATACGAGACCATTCTGCGCAAATATACCACAGACGATGTCAAATTGTGAATACATTGTCTCTCCTCCACGTTTCGAACACCCTCGTCTCCTTTTTTGATAGTCTGAATATATACAAATGACCAGCGGAAACTTTGCCTCATATGCGCAGGTGCCGTAACTTGGTATATTTACATGGTTCGGTATCAGGTTGGTGTGCATGCGGAAGCACTAAGGTACCAATGCGTGCTGCTATCCCTGTCATGCAACACCCTCCTCCAAATCATTCAATCTCTGCAGCTCAATGCTATCCGCCGTATTCCCACTCGGCCCCGGCCCGCCAGGGTACGTGCTCCCCGCTCGCTTCAACGTCCCCGCGATCGCAATGGGCTCCATCTCCTTCTGCATGCACAGGTGCTCGCCGCCCATCGCCATGATGAGCAGCGTGCAAATGACGGTGAGCCACCATAGAAATGACCGTGGCAGGGAGCCTGTGTAGAGTGATGTGATGACGAGGTGCAGGAAATGCAGCGTTGTCGAGAAGTCCAGACATAGTTTGGCGCGTTGGACTAGGAAGAGTTGGCTGTAACATCTGCGGGAACCCACATATCCAACGTCAGCCGGATGTGCCCCTCTCCCTACAGCAGATACAGCAGATCGACCTAAACTCACCCTATCCCCGCATTTATCACAAACGCCAAAAACAAACTCCAGCCCACCACCGTGTCCGTCCGCAGCTCCGTCCACGATATTATCTGGGCCAGCGACACTGGCGACCCCGTCAACAGGTCAATGAAGAATATGACTAGTGATGCCGATAGGTAATATGAGGTCTGTAGTGCCACTGCCGTCAGGAAGGGTGAGCAATTTGAAGAGAAGAGGTGGAGTGGAGGCGGGATAATCGGCTCTCACCTATTTGCGCTGCTATGAGGATGGGGTCGAAGGTATTTGTGCGAAAACCGGATGACATGCTGGGTCGGGTCGTTTTCGCGATTTGGTGCGAGTGGCAATGGTGCGGAGCTCTCGGGAAGACCGGCCGCCAAAGGGAAAGATGCCGGTAGGCTTGTGTCGTGGAAGATGCGGTGTGGGTTGATGCTAATATTCATACGCCCGTTAGAGAGGTCTTTGCCGTTGATAGGCGGTTTAGCGGAAGGGCAGAGCGGGCAGGACGCTGGGCAGGACGCGACGTGGAAATGGCGTCCACACCCCATTATGGTCAGCTTCCCCTCGAGTACATCATCCTCGCCGCCCACATCCTCCGCCGGTAGCATCAGTGTTACCGCCGTCCGCTCGTCCATTCTATTCAACTCGCCGGCTCTCTTCGAATCCCACATAATGGTAACGGCCACAAAGACCGGTTGCCCGCTATCCTCATCCTCTTCGGCTCGCGCAATGTCGACCGCGACGGTAATGTCAAGCTCTGGCTTACGGGTAGACGCTGAGCATCTAAACCCGATTGGCGGAGAGTCTGATCACCGTTTCCGGATTCATTACCTTATGCTTTGACCAGCGCGGTTGTGGGAAGTCCCACGTTGAACAAGCACGATGCGAACGCTTTCTTCCGGGCAGGTGAGTTGTTGAACTCCGCGAGTCATCTATCCGTTCGGCATTACATCTCATATCGGCGCCTTCACCTTCCACGCTCGTCGACCCACTCCGCATCTACATCCTAGGCTACAGCAAACGCCCTCTTCTCCCGAGCCACCCCCCCACGAGCAGGCATCATGTGTCTCTCCGGTTTCGGCCAAAGCCTCCCAGAAAGCACAGCCCACCAACCCGCACTCCTCCGCGACGAAATCCAATACGCGACGGGTCTCAAAGGTTTCATCCTCCCCTTAATCCGCCCCCAAGAGCCTTGTGGACATCAAGCAGCAGTACGCTGTCGGCGCGCATCAGCCGGTTGACGAGCGGCTTGAAGTCGCGAACCTCAACTGTGGGAACCGCCGCTTTCTTGAGCGAATGAGAGTAGGTCATCTAGGTACAATTATGGCGTAAATTCAGAGTATTGCGGGAGGAGGCGTGATCGTGCTACGTAGAAAGTAAGGAGAGGAGAAGCTCTGTGCCGAGGACTTGAGTTCATTCATATAACCCAGAGGCCTCCATCGAACAAAAACGGCATGCGCAATTCCTATTCCATGTGTCAATTGTTTTCACCGCACGAATGATCGAACATACAGTTGTATCTTGCCGGATTAGCTTTGTGAACCCACTTGTTGAGCGTAGGTTAGAGCTAGGCCGTGCAAAAGCACGCTATCGTCACATCTCTCATCCCTGAGTGGACATCAAAGGCGGCCGTTAAAACATAGATCTCGCCGCAATAGATCTTGATGCACTGAGAGTTGTGACTCGGTATACGCTGCCGCCTAGAAGCAATTGTGGTACTGGCACGGCGGGACGAGAACAGGGACCGAAGACGTGCCACACGCACTTGCGGTCGCCCGACCAAATTTACGACATCTATGCACAAAAGACCGTTTGAAGCACCAGGAGTACCGAGCATGAAGAATTCTGTTCTTATATACAGGATTATGGGAAGACCTCAACCGGGATGTAGGAATTCGTGGTGTGATTTGTTTCGCCACCGCCGCAACTTCCAGACTCGTCCCGACTACAAGAGCAATCCAGATTGGTTTAGCCCGTAGTTGCTTCTTCAGCTACACGAAGGCACCCGAACGCGACGGCCGTTGACTTTGAGTGTCACCATTTGAGGTGATTTTCGGTTCGCTTGCTGGTCGAGGGTGGACGCGAAGGTATTCCGCGCACTCGTACATGGTTGAGAAGTTCACAATGATGTGATGATCGGCGTACTACTTCTATTTGAACCGAGAAGCGGTGTTAATAGAGGAGACATTTGTTGCGGAGTTCTGCAGGTCTTTATCGTGTCTTACTCTGATAGGCATCGACAAAACGAACCGATTTCCGAGTTTCGCAATAATCGGATTGACGGATGTCGCGCACGTTGGGAGCATAGCGCTGCGGAGCTCTAAGTGTCCTAAGACTTGAGGGTTATGTTGATGAATAGTGAGGTTGTCCCGCGGATAGCTTCATTCGGGCGATATTGGGGTTGCGAGTGGTCTGTGCTGGCGGGGATATCCTGACGAGTAGCCCTCGGCAAGGGAGAGTGGAAGAGAGAAAGGTTTGAGTATTTGGACAACTAATACGCATTTTCGAATGCTCTCTCCATACAAGGGCGTGGGTATGGAGACGCACTGCATACCCCGAACCCCCTCCTGCGGAATCTGAACATCTTGGCCATCGTTCATGTCGCCTCAACAGCAGCAGAGCGAATGCCAATGCAGACTCCGCCGCGGCAAAGGCCGTTTGGACACTGGTTTGGACAGACGCCGGTGACGTCGCGACCGGAAACGCAGAACCAGATGTCTCACCTCAACAAAGGATTTTGCCCTTTTCTTTACGTGCTTTGACGGACTGACCTCCCCTAAAGACCACGACGCCAAATCTCGTCGTACGTCTTCATACTGGTCCTCGGTGAGGAAGGGTCGGTACTCGTTCGGGAGGTTCGGGAGCCTATCGTCTATCAGGAGACACGACCTGGTAGCACTAGACTCACCAGAATCAGCGAGTTTTTCATCAGACAGACAGACAGACAGACAGACAGACAGACAGAGAGAGAGATAAGCGACATCAGATATCCGACTTACAGAACGAGGGGCGCATTGCGCATCAGGTTTCCGGACGGTATAGGACGTTTCTCAGAGAGAATGGCTCGCTGGATCTTAAGGAGGACTCGGTGCGGGTCAACGCCATTGAAGAGGACATGATCCTGTTGAGATTTTTTGCGTTGGCAGCCTTTCAGATTGCCGCAGCTTCATCGAACATTGCAGCCACCGAAATGTAAACGTACCGCAACGTCAACGTTACTCAGCTGAGCAATACTTTTGGTCAACAATGCAGACGGCAATTTACGCCCGCTTTCGACGTCCGGGGCCGATACTTCATCATCGATTGATGAAGAAACGCTTTCCGCTCTTTCGGCTTCCCGAACAAAGGGAGCGAATTTTCGGGGTTTCAGAGGCGTCTCTTTTGGCTGCTGTAGCTTTTGCTTGGTTCGCCGCATCTCATCGCGTGCGTCCTCCATGATCTCTTCCGCGCCAACCTCAACCCATTCGAGGCCTTGCCGCTTTCGCTTCCTTTGGCCTTCACTCCGAGAACCTTTTGAGTATATTGCTCCCAATGTGACACCCACTCGAGATCGGCTTCATATCTCTAATTCGCCGCGTTGCGTTCGACCGCCGCCCCTATCTGTTCGAAGCGTTTCGATATCGCTTTGATGCGTCTGATGCATGACTCCTCTGTCGTGAACGTCGCACTTTGGACAAATTTCACCGGAGAGAAGTTGCCTGACTTCATCTGCGACTTAACAAATCCCACTGGGATTTCGGGAACGGCTGGCGACCACGAGTCAGTAACCACGTATCGTCGCCCGATCCATCCTGAGGCGGTGGTCCACGCGTCTTACCTTCATCCTGTGCTCTCGCGTGGACTAACTGAAGTTTGGCAGCGCTGGCTCTAGAAGGACGCCTAATGGAACTTGGAGACGCGTACTGTACGTACGAGCCCAACCAAAAGAAAAAGTGCAAGATGAGGGGTGGAGAAAACTCAAATTGGATGTCCGATCGGAGCAAGGGTCTCGTAAGCGTCTATTGCTGACTCAGCGATTTCGGGTCGATGTCGGGTCGTTTAAATCCCGCTGGGATTTCGGGAACAGCTGGCGACAGTACGCGTCTCCAAGTTCCATTAGGCGTCCTTCTAGATGTGGCGCCAAACATGCGGATTCCGCGTGTTGCCCATCCCAGTCTGCGGCGACACAGGTGGCGGGGGTCCTGCCCCTTCTAATTGAATTCCGAGGGGTAGTTGTGTGGATGATTGTGACTGCATGAGCGTCTGTGGCTGTTGATGATTCAGTCGTGCCACTGGGGATGTGAGATCCGGTGGCTGCAGCATCTCCGGCCATCAGGGAGTTTGTCCGTCAGCCGCGCATTCCACTGTTTACAGTTCGGTGTCATCCGTTCACTGCTGCACCGGTGTTAACGACCGGTCTTTGCGTGGCGACTAGGCGAAGCGAAGAAAAGATGCATTCAGGTGCGAAATCCGAGCCGAGGGGCCAGATGAATATCGTCAAGCTGTCAACGAAGCTACGTTGTTGGATACCTTGTGAGTAACATCGGTGCTTCCAGTCATACGTGAACGTGCTTGCTGAGTGATGTGCGACTCCTGACAGATTTCCCAGCCGCTTCCAACATCGGAGGCTACGTTCACCACCCGATACGTGTGGCCGTGGCTGGGCTTGATCAAGAAAGGCGCTTTGCAAATAGAGCTGTAGGTTACTCTCTCAGTCGAGTTTCCATGAGACTTCTCGCTGATGTTGATGCAGGGATGTGCTGATTGAGAACGGCGTGCATCGCCCAGACGTGCACATCTCGCAGACAAGAAGGTATCTGCAACAAACTTTAGTTCAGGCGGAAATCAAGACGAAGACGGCGCCCGAAGCAGAAAAACAGAAGGAAACGGCCCGAGTCATCGAAAAGGTTATGCAATCATACCGGTCCGAGGTTGAGTACAGCTACAATGGTCTCGAGGCCCCAAAACTCGCCATCTGCATTCAAGGTACTCGTCGTAAGCGTACAAAGCGGAAAGACCAACCAAGGATGGTGGCATTGATGAATTTCTCGGTTTCTTACCCAGACACCCAAGTCAAAGTATACCATGTCTTTTCATTCGCAAAGATGTTCGTGTCGTACTTTGCAGGATCATTGCAAATCATGACCCAGGTTCCTGAGGGCGACAAGGGGTATCGAAGGATAATCAAGTGCGTATCGCAATGGAAAGGGTTAGCTGTAAGTTGCTTCAGCAAAGGCTGCTTTACAGTCTCACAATACTGAAGCCCGTGAGTGACCTTCGCACTTTGTGGGTTGAATCGGAGATTGCTGAAGATCATATATCCATCGTCGCACTCTGCAAATGAAAGCTGGTTGGATTTGGCAGATGTTACCTTGAGTGTCGTCTCTTCCTGCGGCTTTATGCAATGTATGCAGCATCGTCCGCACTTCGAAGTTAGCACCCTAAGAAAGGCTGAAGAGTTGGAGCGAAAAGCTTGCTACTGAATACTATGCAAGGCGTATTGTATCTAGAGAGTCTATGGCTTCTACCATCTAGTCTAGTTTAAAGATACGGTTCTTCCCCACAATAAGAACTGCATGATATTCCATCCCGACAACAGCTCAATCATCACCACCAAAGCTAAAGAGCGGCGCGCTTTCGCCTTCCAGCTCATTCATAATACTCCAAAGCGACGACGGTTTAGGTATTTCATCCGTCGATGCCTTGGGTGCATCACGCATGTCAGCTTTCTTCATCAAATCCGCGATCACGCCAGGATGTGCGGCCTCGAACGCCTCCGTGAACTTCTCATACAGACTCTCCCCATCACAGAATCCGCTCACTTGCTCCCGGCGACAACGCAAGAACTGTAGGACTTCGCGCAGGTTTTCCGATGATACGAAGTTCTGCGTTAGGGCGATCGAGGGTTCGAGGTTCATGACGGCGTGCCACCAGCCTAGAATTGGGAAGGGGAGGAGAAGATTGATATATGTTTCATACGTTGGGGAGGGGAATGCTTTTGGACATACCACGCGGCACGAACAGAATCTCTCCCGCTCGGCAGACTCCTTCGATGGGTGCCGATGGACCGGATTTCGTTTGCTCGTAAAAACTCAGAAACCTGAGGGAACAGTGTTTGGTGAATAGCGAGAACCGAGTAGATCCTCAAAAAATCCTGGCTACTCACCACTCAGGCAACGACAAGGGCGCCGTCACCTCACTCCCATCCGGCGAGGGAAACACTCCCGGAGGAATGACTTCCGGCGGATACATTATCCACTTCTTGGCTCCGCTGATGACGGCATTCCAAGCACTAGCTGCTGACTAGTGAGACGGACTTTCACGCAAGACAATGAAGAGCATTCTCTCTCACTTACTGGAGTTGGGATCCACGTGAAACGTGCTACCGCTCCTAGCGGGTCCTATGATGAGCCACCTATAATCCGGTCGTTGCTCTCCAAGCACGCCAAAGAAATCTTCCTTGAAGTATTCTGGGACAGTGTAATCTTCCGACAAGCTCGTCCCTTCCGCGAACCGCTTGTCGAACAAGTATAGGGGTGCCTCGTCCTGTGTGCAGTTCTGCGAGTAACTGAGGTAATCCCGGAAAGGTATCCGCACAGCTTCGGCGGTGAACATCTTATTTCCATAATGTTCAAGCAGATAGTCTTCGCTCCATTTCTCATATGCCGGCCACTGGGAGACGACATCAGTGAGGATCACCGGTTTATTTGGCTTCGCGTACTCGACGACGAATTCGCGATAACTGAGATTGGAGCGACGCTCGATATTGTCGATGCTGGCGCCACATAGCGCATCCAAAGGAACGGAGGCGCAGCGAAAGCTTGTGAACAGGAAATCTGAGTAAATCCCTTCCACAACTATCGGGACGTCCGGAAGATACGCAGCTGGCCGTCCCGCATCGACGCAATTGCGATATTTATACGTGTTCCTCCACGTATTCTGGAAAACACCCCATCCTCCGGTCCCAAACTCGTTGATAGTCAAAGCCCTCCAGAGGTCGTCGTGATAGGTGAAAACGTAGAGAGCTTGAGAACACCGCGCCAGCCGCGAGAGGTCGGCCGCCTCCAACTGCCCGAGCAAGTCAAGGAGAAGTTCGTCCGGGAGATATGCTAGATAGCCAAGCCCGCCCTTTCGACAGTCCCGCACACCTCGCGCCGAGTCAAATAGATAGTTTCCAGCTGGCTTTATGCCCCGCGGATGTTTCCCGGACGGCAAAAGAAACTGAGTAGACGGCCGGGTCGACGTTTTAACGCGCTTTTTGACGGTCGCGGCAGCTCGAGAGGCGGCGCATGACGGGCCCGCTACGTCCGCCCGTTTTCTTTTGTAAGCTTGGAGAGGGGTGTCCAACAGTTCGCGAGCCATTGCGCACTTGTGGTAGTATGCAGCAGAAGAAGTTGCAGTTGCAAAAGGCAGCTTCTGACGGCTATTATAATTTACGCGCGCATCACGTGCTCCATTGTATTTTCCAAACCGTCTCCTCGCGGGTTTGTCGCTTCCACTTCTCGTTCCGCCTCATACAGTAAAACTGCCAATATTGGCATGGGGAAGTCTATCGAACCCATATACGTATAAATACTCCCGATTTGTTTCGCAACGCAGTCGCTGCTTTATCCTTTCTTTTGCGCACGCTCCTTGCCGTCACTTCCTCCTCACTCGATGTGACCTTGCCCCTCTCACGATACCTCTCATGTTGATGCGTGGGAGACTCAGCGGTAGTCGAGATCAAGTCTCTGAAAATTTGAAAAGTTCGAGGAGTTGGAGACCAGGTCTTCATTCACATCGCCGTTCTTCAATGCCCTGGAGAGCTCCTCTGCCACACTGCAATCCGTTGACAGTTCCACAGCAGGCATATGCCGCAGCCCGATACCGCAGGGTACAACCGTAGGTGATAGACAACGCCGGAGCCGTATGTCTAGCGGCGTAAACCGGCCGTCCACCAGGTGCTTGCATGCCCCTGGCATCCATCTCCGCACACCTCCCAATCACACAGCCGACTGAAGTGAAATGAGATGAAGCAACGCACATGCCTGGTTGATCTTGAGCGCGCTTGAAGTATCTCCGGCCAATGGCTTCATATGGGGACAACCGACGCGTGCACCGATTATATTATCACATCGATGCTGACTCACATCATTCGGAATCAGCACAGTAAATGGCGGTTTTACAACTGTGCGTTCTGGAAGCCCCACCCAGGGGGAGCGAGGAGATGGGGCGCATCCCGAAAACGCCCTTATCGCGTGGGAATATTTGTACCCAACTCCTCCATCCCAGCTGCCCCATCCTTCCCATCTCATCAGCCCTCAAACCCCCCCAAAGCCGATTCCTATCCGCATCATCGTCTCAACTCTTCCCGGACTTCATCAACCTACCACCGCCTTCCATCATGAGCCAAACTGCCCGCATCTCAGCCGTCCAGGATGCCGTTCAAAGGAGCGGACGTTCAGTCGCCTGGCCTGAGCACGGCAACCGCCCCGCTTACGTCTCCGAGATCTTTGGTCAGAATGTCTTTGACCTTAAGACGCTCCAGCAGACTCTCCCCAAGCCTGTCTTTGCTCGTTTCGTTCAGCAGATTAAGGTACGTACGACAAGCCCAGTTTGAGATCGACCCACTTCGCGATGTTCCCAGTGGACCACCTCGACTGAGCGTGACCTGTCAATCGTAGGGTCGTCAATCTCTCGACCGTCCTACAGCCGATGCCGTTGCGCACGCTGTCAAGGTCTGGGCTATGGACCGGTAAGCTTTCACGTCCGGGGGAATGGTCGAGATCGAGGGGCAAAGCGCAGCAGCCTTTCGCGAACCATCTTCGCGTCTTTCCTCCATTCTTGCCTTGGGATTCTGCGAACTTCGGTGTTTTTGCGAGCTCCCTTTTTCACCCTTCAAATGTCAATCTTTCTCACGCATGGTACTTTCTTATTCACAGTGGTGCCACACACTTCACTCACTGGTTCCAGCCTCAAACCGGTACCACCGCCGAGAAGCATGACAGTTTCCTGACTCTGAGGACGGTCATCTCCAACGGCATGGAGGAGACCACAGCAATTGATGCGTTTTCTGGCTCCCAATTGCTTCAGTCTGAGCCTGATGCCTCTTCTTTCCCCAACGGTGGTATGCGTTCCACCTTCGAGGCCCGTGGTTACACCATTTGGGACACTACAAGGTATGTTTGAGCTCTGTTCCCTGATCGTCCTTCTCGACACGAGACCCTTTTCCTAATCGTTTTTCCTGTTCTTAGTCCCATGTTCCTGCGGAAAGGTCCTCACGACACTTCCATTCTCTACGTCCCATCCGTCTTCATCTCCTACAACGGTGAGGCGCTGGACGAGAAGACCATCCTTTTGCGTTCTTCAGAAGTCCTTTCGACGGCCGCTGTGAACCTCTTGAACTTGCTGGGTGATAAGGAAACCAAGCGTGTCTACGCCACCCTCGGAACAGAACAGGAGTTCTTCTTGATTGACCGTGCGCTGTACAACCTCCGTCCCGATCTGAAAATCACCGGCAGGACGTTGGTCGGAACTGTGCCTCCCAAGCACCAGCAGCTCGAGGACCATTACTTCGGCCAGATCCCCAGCCGTGTTCTTGCGGCCATCAGCGAGGCGGAACTGGAGCTATACCGTCTCGGTGTGCCCTTGAAGACTCGCCACAACGAGGTCGCCCCTAACCAGTTCGAAGTTGCCCCCATCTTCGAGGAGGCAAGCGTTGCGGTTGACCATAACTTGGTCCTCATGGAGACCCTCCACCAAGTCGCTCACCGTCACAAGTTGAAGGTGCTCTTCCACGAGAAGCCTTTTAAGGGTGTCAACGGAAGCGGAAAGCACTGCAACTGGTCTCTGTCGACCGATCAAGGCGATAATTTGCTCGAGCCCACCATCAAGCCTGAGGTCAACTACCGCTTCCTTCTCTTCTTGGTCGCCACTCTGGACGCTGTCTACAAGCACGCTGGTCTACTCCGCGCGTCGATTGCCAGTGCATCTAACGAGCACCGTCTCGGTGCTAATGAGGCCCCACCAGGAATCGTGTCTGCTTTCTTGGGAGAGCATTTGACTGAGGTTCTCAACGCTGTCGAGGAGAAGCGGGAAGTCCGCAACTTCTCCCAGCCCCATCTGCAGACGGTCAAGGTTGGAGGAACCGTCCTCGACCTCAAGGTCTCGACATTACCTCAGATTGCTCGGGATTTGACGGACCGTAACCGCACGTCTCCTTTCGCCTTCACCGGTAACAAGTTCGAATTCCGTGCCGTCGGATCCAAGCAATCGCCTTCCTTCCCCACCGTCCTTTTGAACGCCGCCGTTGCTGCCTCCATCACCGAAATCACCGCTGCTCTTACTAAGCAGAAGGGCAACAAGCCCGAACCCTCCGTGGATGACATCCTCGCGGTTGTTCGTGCTTACATCACGTCCAGCAAGAAGATTCGCTTTGAGGGCAACAACTACTCTGACGACTGGGTCAAGGAGGCTGAGAAGCGCGGTCTTCCCAACATCAGGCAATGCCCCGTTGCTTTCCGCCAGCTCCTTGCGGACGAGCACTCCAACCTCCTCACTTCTCTTGGCATCATGACGGAGGGAGAAATCCACTCTCGTTTCCACATTCTCATGGAGAAGTATGCCAAGGACCTGATCATCGAGTCCAACACCCTGAAGAACATGATCAACCAAGGCGTCCTCCCCGCGGCCTTCGCTTTCAAGAAAGAGCTCAGCGATCTCGTCCTTGCATCGAAGAACCTCGCGCTGGAGTACAACGACATCCCCGAAATGCGTCTGCTCAAGAAGGTCACCGCTTTGACCACGGCTCTCCAAGCCAGCACCGAGAAGCTTTCTGAGACCATCGACCGCGTCAACGCTCTCGAAGGTGAGGCTCAAGGCGACCTGGCCGGTAACGAGCTGACGGTCCTCCTCGAGGAGGTCAGGAAGGCCAGCGATGAGCTTGAGCTGTACGTCAGCGACAAGCAATGGCCTTACCCCAAGTACACCGAACTGTTGTTCTAAAGCTCTACCCCTTCCACCCCTGGGTGTCATTTCCTGAATCTTGCAACATTATTCCCCAAAACTCCCATGTCAGCGGGAGTCGTAGTAAAGCACTAGACTAGCTCTGGAGATCTCTGATAAGCCTGTTATAACACTGTAAAGCCCAAAAAAAATAACCAATGAACTGATTCGTGGACATTAAGGCCGGTGGGGTGCGTCCCACTGCATTGGTCGCACGGAGCTTTGGAAGCATGAGCATACACACTTGGAAGTCAAGCGCAAAGCACCATAAGGATCCTCAGAAGTCTTGCATGACGAGGGAGATCCTTCGCAGATTTCCGATCAAGTGGACAGAGACACAAGAACAGATTTTATTTCATGTGAAGGTATATATAGTATGCAGATCTGCGGAGTGACATCGACATAGAGCTCCTTCTATTGTCCCCAGCTGTAGCAGTGGTACTTCGCTAGGGCGATCCCGCTCGAAGGCCTCAGAGAGGAGCCGCGCTCCATCAACAGGTCGCCGCGGTTGCGGTCAGACCCGACCGCTGAGGAGGTCGAAGCGGTCGACCGCCCGCGACTCGTGCCTCTTGTAGGCCTGGAGCAGTCAGCCAAGATAACAGAGGGGACAGACAACGGCAATTGAACAAAAGACGACCAAAAGCATAACGGTGAAACTTTACCGATTCCCTTGCTGCAGCTCGCAGCTCCATGTACGACAAGCTCTCGAGCACTGCCACCTGTCCCGTGAGCTTGAGGACCCGGCTGTCTTGGGCAGCGGCGGCCGACGGAGGACTCACGAGGGCTTTCACCTCCTCCTGGACTCAAAGATCGAGGAACATGGTGGTTGGTGCTCAGTGGTGATGATTGCTGATTGATGGTAGTGCCAAAGATGAGGCCGCGATTTACGAGGGGACCGCCACTCCGCAGCGACGATGCTGGCAGAACGTTCACAGGTACGAAATGATTTGCTCCGGCGATAGGTCTTCCAACGCGGGAGCATGAAGTTTCCGACGGCCGTACGGTTCTGCTGAGCGGATGCACGTACGACAGGAGCAAGCGAGGGGTATCAACGCGTCTCCACTCCTGCAGGAGCACGTACGGGGTAGTTACGAATCAACACTCCTATTATGCCCCTGCAGGAGACGGCGAGGAGAATGATGTATGGATGTCATTCCTGTGCAGGAGGCAGCACGGAGCCGTCCAACCGCTTGTCACTGTCAAGACACCGTCAGACGCCGGGGGGAGGGCGCCGTTTGCACCCTGTTTACCTTACGATTACGCGTAAGCCTTATTGCCTCCATCCATCTGGATAGGCACAAGTGCAAAGCAACGCCCCCTTCCGTTTGTTCCTTCCCCACAAACCCCCTTCGACGCTCAATTCTTCCTGCCTAATCGGCATACCGCAGGTTTCAAATTCAAGCCATACTCGACTTCTCCGTCCAAGCACTGTTCCTTGTTCCAGCCTCGTCGAACTTTCCGTCAACGTCAGACCCATTCCGCATCCACTTTCCCACGGCCTTGATATGAGCGACACGACACCTGCACCGACCGTGGGAGCTCCAAGCGGTGACCAGGTGGTGATCGAGCAAGTGGACGCCGCCCCAGAGACCAGCTCGCAGCAACCACCACCGCAGGAAACCGGAGATGGGCCCCCAGCGGCCGACGAGGCTCCCGCAGATGCAGCTCCTGCTCCCGCCGAAGTTCCTCAGAACACTCGCCCACCAAAAGGCACTGACCTGGGAATTCTGGTGACTCCCGCACAAGCAGTAGAACTGCATCGCCGTGCCGAGGAAATAAAAAATGGATACGCGCTCTTGGCGATGAAACGACTTGAAAATGTCTTTGCGGGAATGGACACTGAAGATGCAGACGGTGCCGAGCAGCAGGAGGGCGATGAGACCGTCAACATGCAACTGGAAGAAGAAAAACTGAAGTAAGCATGCTTCAACGCTCATGCAGTGTTCAGATGCTGGTGGACATCATCGTCTGCTCAAGTCTATGGACGCGTTCGACGGCTTCCTCCGTTCGGTCAACTTACACAATATCGTTTCCCCGCACAGCGCCGCTCTAGCTTCGTATCAAACGCACTTGGGAGAAGTCGGCATTCAGAGTGGAACTCCTGAATACGATGCCGCGATGGTTGCTTTGGGAATGTCGGGAGCTGAGGAAGAGGAGGAACCCGAAGCTGCTGCGGCGCCTGAAGTGACGCCAACCGTGGAGCCGGCCGTCAAATTGGTGGTGGAGGAGAAACCTTTGCCGTATCACGACGTGTGGAAGGATGGGAATGGACCTGCTGAACAGAGACGAACTGCGATAACCCAGGAAGCACCTGCGCCGACTGAGGATGTGGCAACCGACACAGCTGCCCCGGCCGTGGAAGCCGTCAGCGTATCAGCGGAGCCGACGCCGGTCGCTGATGTCAAGGTGGAGGCCAAGAACGTAGCGGAGGAAGAACCGGAACAGAAACCAACAACACCAGCCGCTCCGGCGAAGGCTGCGTCGAAGAAGCTGCCTCCTGTGGTTCGTCCTGTGCGTGGTGGCCGGGCTGGTGCTGGAGCCAGTAGACAGCAGTTGGCACCGAAGCAAGCTCTGGCTCCTCGTACGCTGGCGTTAAACTTTAGCAGTTTTGGTGCGGGCCTCCCAGGCGATGGGCTCAAAGCAGGCCAGACAGCAGCTAAGCCAGCGTTCAGCGGTCCATCGGGAAATGCCTTGATTGCCAACTTTGTGCCGCACGCTATCCAGAGTGCCATCAGTCAGATCCCAGCAGATGCCAATGTATTACGCGGAATACACCCGACCGCCTCTACCACCCGCGCTCACTATCAGCCCGGCAACGGAGCCTCTCCTTTGACGAATTTCGGTGGAGGGCCAGCAATGCGAATCGGAGGCGCGCCGGGTGGGATGGTAGTCGCCGCCGCACCCGGTTCCAACATTGGAAAATTCAACTGGCACTCTTCCCAACAGTCCCAGTCGCAATACGAACAATCCCGGAAACGTGCGAGTGTTCCTTATACGGCGGGGTTGGGCACGGGTTTGGCGCCAGGGGGTCAACGAGCGCGCAGCGGGAATTCACCGAACGCGGATTCTAGTATTCCCAGAAATACGTCTCGACCGTTTGGGGCGGATGCGGCGGTTGGAGCGGGGCAGCCGCAAATGCCGTCGCCCGCTGATGGGCAGCTGCCACCGTTGAAAAGCGCGGGCGGCATGAAGATTACGTTGCAAGCTGGGGCTGCTATGCGTCGGACGAACAACATTCATTGAAGAGTTCCGAATGCATGTTGGGGTTCACACGTGCGATAGACCGAGTCTTGAGGAATTTTTGGGTCTTGGGGTAATGAAGTTTTGCTGCATCGCGCGGAGGGTCTCAGCCATTCTTGGGATGTCTGCGGGATGCCTCGAAAGTTTATGTAGATCCCCTAGATCTAGCCGGCCCTTTCGTCGTAGTTATGCTAGAGGACGGGGGAAATTTTGGCACAGTAGCAGACTAGTTCTTAATCATACCGACATCTCACCGACGGAAGTGCAGAATTCACGGGCACGACTTTGATTCACGTTCAGGGTAAGGGGTTGTAGGAAAGCTTAGGTGCCGCCAGCAAGAAAGCGGGTGATTGACAAACTGCTATGCTGCCACTAATCGAAATATACACATATCGAAAAAAAAGGAGGTCACACAACCACTCTAAAAGCCACTGAAACGTCAACCAATCCCTTCAAAACTCCAACGCATGCCCAGGTGGCGGCGAAACAGCCGTCCACCCACTCTCCCCCGAGAACACCGACTCTTTCTCCTCCGCGACACGCCCGGCGTCCTCATCACTTGCCTCGGCGAGCTCCTCGACGTGGCCCACGTGGCTGAAATCCATGAACTGCACTTCTGCGAGAGAGTGCATATCAAGCGTGGGGGGGAGTGTGGTGCGATGGTGGTGGCTGCTCGGGATTGAGGGAGAGGAGGCGGAGAGGGATTGGAGGTAGATGATGTTCGAGGATGGTGAGGTAGCCGGGTGGTCGGGTGATAGTACGGTGGCAGGGTGATCCGGATATGAGACTGCGGCGACGGCGTCTACCGGCCTGTGTTCAGTGGTGCGGTGAGATGCGTCCAGGTCTTCCAAAATGATCTCCGAATTCCGCATCTCAGCAGCCTGCTTCAACAGATGGACAGACGCCAACGGACCGACATTCTGAGGAGCCATAGTGAACACGCTCGCTTCGCCGTCCTCCTCGCGTTTCTTCTGTGCCGCCAAATGATGGTCACTACCAGCAGCAGTAGCACCTTGCAAACCGACCAAAGTGCGGAATTGCTCCTCTGTCCACCCGACATCTGCCAACTCTTGCTGCAGTTTTGTCTTGCGGGCCCGGAGTTGCTCTTCGAGGGTTTCCACGTCGTCCTGGAGGGCTTTCAGGCTGTCGGTGCCGGCGTCGGCTTCACTGACGCATGGGATCGGCGCAGTCACGTCGGCGACGTTGGAGGGTTGGTCGGTTGGGACGGAGGGTTGAGGAGCAATGTCCTGCGGTTCTTCGGTGGTGGGCGTGGGTATCTCGGGTAAGTTATCGGTTACCCCAAGGATCGTGTCATCCGCGACGGAAACAGGAGCCTTCTCTTGTGCGCTTTCCACCTCTTCCTCTACTTTCGGAATCTCCGCCTCGGCTGCTGACAAGCCGAGTAGATCCCCGTCTTGGCCTTTCTGGCCCCCAACTTCGGGGACAGTGGAACTACCCGAGTTCTCAACGGGCGCCTCTCCCCAGAATTCCTTGATCCTATCACCAATAGCCTTCTCGAATGAACCGTCATCCTTCTGTCCGTCGTTCGATTTTCCACTGACCCGCAAATCAATCAGCTCCACCGATACGCCTTGGTCAGCCTTCTCCTTCGCGCCGGGCTTCCCATCTACAACAACGGTAACATCATCCTCTCCTTCCGCAGTCCGCCCACGCCGTTTATGTAGTCCTTCAGCGTCTGCTGCTGCCGGACTGTCTTCCTTCTGTCCACGTTTTGCTGTGCCTGAGGTGGGGGCTTCGGGCCTGGGAGGAGCCCGACTGGAGGTCCGCTGAGGTTGGCCACCCCCGCTGCTGCTGTGTCCCTGCGCATGAGCGTTCCCGGGCCTGTTGACAAAGATAGCGACTGCAACGGTGATCAACGAGACAACGCCTACGGCGGCCATTAGAGCTACGCGAAGCGACATTGTGGAGATGGCAGGTCCGTCGTGAGGATGCGACTGCTTTGCAAAATCTAGGAGTCACTCTATCCGCATCACTAGCTTCACCCTATGCTCAATATGTCGCTGCTGGGAAGACACAGTGGCCGGCTCTCTAGAGTTGTGAATGCGGGGAAGCTGGTTGCCTTTCAAGGGGGTGCTTTTATATAGGCGTGCACTCGTTGAGACTTGGCGTTTGTGACAAATCCCCAGCACGCGTCTGGCAGACTTGGATTTGACTTGCATCAGACTTGGATTCGCAAATTCACACCCAACTCTAATACTGTACGCAGCTCTCACCCAAGAGACGTTCAATATGTCCTACGATTTCGCAGGGGGCTCTTTGAAGCTCAAGGGGCTGGACTCGGGAAAGATAAAAAAGTAAGTTCTTCTCAGCCGCTTTGGGGTCTTCGCTCGAGCACAATGTGCTCTGGCAAGCAACCATTGCCTTTTCTGATGTGCGTGGTCGGACATTGCTAATGGCAGCTCTCGCACCTTTAGGAAATCCAAAAAGTCCAAAAAGGACAAAGAGAAGCTCTCCGCCGCCCTCTCAGCCTCGATTACATCATCCTCCGACCCCATCTTCTCATCAGATTCCACCACAGCATCCAGTTCCCAAACCTCCAGTCTACCACCACCGCGTACCAAAACAGCCGCCGAAGTGAAGTTTGAGGAGATTCAGAAACAAAGGCAGCGGGATCGGATAGCTAAGACGGCGTCGCAGAGTCATAAGGAGCGGGTGGCGGTGAGTGACGCCTGGATCACGGGGAGTGGAGGGACGGAAACGGGGCACATTTAGGGGACATCGATACTGATGGCGGCTGATTTCTACAGGAGTTCAACAGATATTTGGAGAACTTGTCGGAACACTACGATATCCCGAAAGTTGGACCTGGATGAGACGAGAAGGACGTGCAAGCTGCAGTTTTGGGAAAACACCGAGTTGGGAGAACTTATATATAGGGTGATGGGTGACGACTAGGATTGTCGTTAACTTCACTCAAAAGGACCGACGCATCAGAAACGATATCCGACAACATACTCGACGCGGCAACATCCACAGGAGGACTCAAAGGATATGAGAGGAGCGGTTCATTGGGAAACACTCGAATAGGTCGGATGGCACAGCAATTCAGAGTCCCAGAATCATAGGATGGCATAGCACAGGATCATGGAGATGGGTTTAAATTAGTTCCTATGCATCTATGTTGATTTCTATCTGTGGATACCGAAACCCCTTGCAAATCCATTCTGAATATATGGTGACTGCAAAAGTAAAATATTGGGATCGCTCTGAACGAGAAACTGGAATGCCATAGAAGGGAATGGAAACGAGCGCACGCCTTTTGGTCCGAATCCCTTACCAAGCCGGAGCAGGGGTCTCCCTTACTCTCACACGCACCACACCGCCGTCTCTGAACCCCGCGACCCCAAACCACTGCTTCATCTCCCGCTCAAGCTCCTCATCGACGTCCGCAATCTTCCACCGCTCAACGTCAGAAGGTCCCTTACGGATCTCCACCTCTGTGCCCATAATGCTGACCTGCCCAATGCCAGCAATGAGCATGGTCGCGAACGGAACTTGCGGGGTGAGGGATTCGGGGGCGCGAGACATCCAGGTGTTAATCTGGTCCACGGCGGCCGGGTCAGCCGCGGTGGCGCTGAAGCGGTAGTAAGACTTCCATGGGACGCTGGGGTCGCTGGGGGTCTTGATCTGCAGGATCCAGGTCGGGTCGGCGTCGGATGGGTTCGTGGCGAGACGCAGGCGGAACTGTTTGCCCATGATGCCTGCGCCGAGCGCCTTGTCTTGGATCAGGATTGGCTCCGTGAGCGAGTACTTTGCCAGGCCAATATCGACGAGATATGAGTCTTCCATGGCAGTTGACGAAACGAGGAGCAGCGTGTGGGTAGGCCAGGCTTGAGCTTCCAAAGCGCTCGATAAGTCATCCTCAGCGTCCTCGTTCTCGGCCTCGCTCCGCTGCGTGTTGCTGTTGCTCTCAACCGCAGCGTCGTAGACTACAGCGGCGGTGCATACGGTGACCTGGAAACCCAGCGCCCGGAGCGCACGTGCCAACAACCCATTCAGCTCCAAGCAGTAGCCACCCCGAGTCCCACCCAGACACATCTTCTCCACCAAGTCGGCAGGCGCCAAGCTACACGCAGCGCCGCCAATGGCCTCCGGCATACGCCAGTGCAGCGAAAGGTTCTCGTAGGGGATAGAATGTAACTGCAGGTGCTGCACACGCTCCAAGGTCTCTAGGGTCGGAAGCGCGGCGGAGGCGTCATTGCTGGCGGACTTGAACCCGATGCGGGCAAGATAGGAGGACAGTTGGGCCGGGGTTAGCGTATCAGCGTTGGCGGTTTGAGTCATGACTATCTGTATCTCTATGTCTAAGATCTGGTAACTTGGGGGATGCTTTGGATAACCCACCAGCGATCGAGTTAGTTAAGCCGTGGGTCGGAGTCTCGGAGAGCTGGTCTAGCTGGTGGAAGGCGGCGACGCGAGCGAAGCCACGCCGCTTGCGATTTCGAAGTTGCGAGAGGTGAAGGTTTCGCTGCCGATGCACTTAGGGTTAGGGTTCGGGTGAATTGCATATTGGAGGGCTAGTTGGAGGGTGAATCTGGAGAACATCACGGCGTCACCCGCTCTTTCCCAGCCGACGAGAATGTCAGTTTTTAGGTCCATAGCAGTGCTCATCGCAGCACTGCTCTGCATAATACCAACGCTAGCCACTTCACTAAGTTCGAAAATCGAAGGACTCGATGGGAAGCTGGATCGCAAAGCCGCCATAAAGTTCAACACCGCCGACTTTATGGCATTCACAGAGGCGCCGAGGAATTACTCGCTATTCGTCTGCTTGACGGCCTTGGCGCCGGAAATGAGCTGCTTGCCTTGCAGGTCAGCTCAGCAATTGGCGTGAATTGTGGCGTTGGTGATATGTGCTCTGATATGCGGCTCGTGCTTTGGACTATATACTCGCACACAATAGCCAGTTCGAAAGGGAGTACAACTTGGTGGCGAAATCATGGCATAAGGCCGGTGTGCCGCATTCACTGTACTTTGCGCAACTAGACTTTTCTGCTGGTCGGGAAATCTTCGATCAGGTATGCCGGGGGGTGGATGTACATGAGCGCTGGACGTTGTTTCACGGGTAATCCAGCTCACCTCATGTAATACATCAGTTCCATGTGAAAACTGTGCCCATGGTACTGCACTATCCACCGACTGAAGGGCCGCTAGCAACTGATGATAGCTCTACTAGCGATGAGCCTGAACATTACAATTTAAATAGACAGTAAGGCACCGATGATATACTCTGTTTCTTAAGATTGTGGAGCTTACACGCGGAACATGTATTCCAGGGGCTTCAAAGCAGAAGCACTTGCTCGATACGCCTCTGATATAGTGAAGCATGAGGTGAAGTCGCGTAGCATCGCACGTGGCAGCATCGACCACCAATTCTGACTCGATTGTATAGTTCATCATCAAGAGACCAATGAATTGGGAAATATACGGAACCATGGTAGGATCGTTCATCCTGCTCGCATTCTTCATTGCGCTTGCGTGGCCTGCGATTGTGGCAGGTGTACAGAGCCGCAAAGTCTGGTCCACAGTGTTGATTGTGAGTATAGACTCGGATGCGTCATGGGCACGTTCGGATGAGCTAACGAGACTCCTGTTGCAATAGGCGTGGGTTGTGATCATGAGTTCTGGCCATATGTGGAATTCTATCCGTGGGCCGCCGTACACAGGAACGCGGGATAAGCAGCCGGAATTTATCTCTCCGGGATTTCAGAACCAGTACATCCTTGAAACGCATATCATTGCAGTGCTTTGTGAGGCCTATTCTGGGTGTTCGCACGTTGTTGTGCCAGGACTAATCGGATGCGTGATTTGCAGACGCAGCATGTTCAATATCTTTCGTGGCGCTGGTAACCAGAATCCCCACTATTTCGCACCCCGCGTCCCAACGGTCGGCCGCGTACGCATGCGCGGCGGGTTTTGTCATTGTTTATTCCCTTGCACTGAGGCTTTTCCGAGCAAAGAACGGGTCGTACCCTTACAAACTGGTAGGCGAAGATGGAGTTCATTGATGTGATGATGCAACCAGTGGAAACTCATTATGTTCTTCGACAGCTATTCTGAAGGCGGTTTGCATGCTATTGGTGCGAGCGCCTTGGGATGCATGTACACTAGATTTTAGAGTAGAACCAGACCGGGAGACTTCATCGCCCTCCCTATATCTACCTGTTCGCCAGAGACGGTGTAGGCCTCGCTGGTTTCCTGAACCGATATATAGTACCACGAAGCGCACAAGCTCGACCCAAGCACATTGGCCGGCAGAAGAAATCAAAACAAGCTTTCCTAGAGAGATGATCATTCAACCAAAAAAAAACGTGCAACGGGGACGTCTACAGAAACGCGTAGACTGTCGGACAATGTACGCCATGATGCCCATGAAGAGTCGGCACCAATGATGCCGTCGCCATCTCACAGGGCATTCCCCAACCCGGACCGTCTTCCCCTCACAATCACATCGACCGGATTGATCAGACCGTTTCCACTCTCAGTGCCGCCCCTAGCACCCAGCGCCTGCCCCGGCGCCCAACCAAGCGCCTTCAACATCCGGTGTCCCACGTTGCTTTCCCCAATAGGCGCGCTACCCTCACCCACCGTAGTCCCAATACGCGGTTGGGCGGGATTCGGCGCCGACCCAGCATTGCCTGTGCCTGGTGCGCGAGAGCCCGACTTGTTGCCCTTCCCACCCTTCCCACGGCCCGATGCGGGCGTCTTCCTACCGCCGCCACCTTTGTTCTGCAGGCGGGTGGTAACAGTCGTCCCCGCCTTGCTCTGCTTCTGTTTCCTATGCCTCTTATCCGGAAAACCCCTATCAAACCGATCAGCAGGCCGCGCGTTGCCTTTCAATCTGCCCCCAGACTCGCTAATGACGCTTCTGATCAGGTCTTCGGTGGGTATGTGTGTCCCAGAGGATGGGGCGACGGGTATTCGGGTCTGCTTTGTGCGAGCGAGGACGCTGTGTTTGGTCGCGCCTTTGCCTTTGCTTGTGACTGTGAGCTGGTACCGCGAGGCCAGCAGGCCGACGAGACGGCGGATGGCGCTGGGCATCGGCGCTAGGTCGATGCAGTCGGCAGATCGGATCCTGGGGAAGTCGAAGTGAGATGTCTCTTCCATCGAGCCTTCTTCCTCCTCGACCCCGGACACAAATGACCGAATCTTCCTATCCACATGACGGAGATAGGAAGACACCTGTCCGCTGATTTCAGCTCCGTGGCCTTTCGCAAGCCCACCGGACAAGTGAGCTCGGAGGGCACGTACAGCAGCATCTGAGCCCAGCTGCTTTCGATCGACTTTGCGCTGTTTTTTAGCTTCGACGGCCTGCCGATTCCTTGCCTTCCGCAGTTGCGTTCGACTAGGATTTGGGGTGTGAGGAGAAGTTGGCTGGAAGTCACCCTTCAGAATCTGCATTAATCGGATTTCTTCCGCCGTTGCTCGAGGGTACCGCGAGCCGGGCAGACCTTCCCCGCCTTCTTCATCAGATGAATCCGTGTCTCCCCATGTCGATTTGCCACCCTCGAAATCGCGCTTCAAGTAAGTATCATCGTCTTCGTCACTTCCGCTAAGGATGTCTATGACCTCCCCATCCGATGACGACGAATCCTCTGCATCACTCTCCACATACTCAATCAAGTCGCCATCGATATCCATATCGGCCACGCCGTCATCGAGCCCAGTAAGCATCTCTTCAAACAACCCCGCCTCCGCGCCGTCCATCCATGCGTCGGGTTTCCCAATCGAGTAGGACAAGGCGCCCAGAGACGAGATGTCGTTGATCATGGTTGATAGGTCGGCTAACCCGCCCACCGACGCGTTTTGGAGGTAGTCGAGAGCGACCGCCATCTCCTCCGGATTCATGTCCACATCCTCGCCTCCGGCACCATCTTCTGACTCCTCCTCCTCGTCGTCGTCGACTTCCATGTCTGGCCAAGCCTTGCCCTGCGGCGTTGCAAAGTACTTTTCCTGCACCCACTTGTCCTTTACCACAGGTTTTACACTCCGCGGGCTTTGTTTTTTCCCGTCCTTCCTCCTCCTTTGTCGCTCTTTCTTTGTAACGTGCAAGCTGATAAAGTCGCTCTGTAACTCAGTCACGCCTGGTGATGGTGACAAGTTTGGTGGCGGAGGTGAGACGCTTAGAACTGGCAGTGACTCGAGAGTTGTGATGAGAGAAGCGTCGCCGCGCTTGTCGACGAAGAACAACCCGGCAGAGTCTGAGTCCTCGGCACCGAATCCTCTTCTGGCAGCAGCGGCTGAGGTTCGCCTTTTCGGCATAGCGGCTGAGGTTAAGGGGAAGACCTGTTTTCAAGACGAATTTTGCCACAACTTGGCAGAACGAAGCCGACAACGGAAATACAGTAGGTCGCTTTTCGCGATGTCTTTTTGCGGTCAACCTTTGGTAACGTTCGTTGGCGGAAAGGAACGGCTCCTGCTTCAGTACAAACGAGCTTGGTCGTTATGGTGGTTTTCGAGTTGGCCAATTGAGAGCAGAATTGAGAGGAGCGTTGAGTGAATTTCCGCCAACACGACGCGCAGCTGGAACTCAGCTCGAACCTCTCAAACCTGCTCTCAAACTGGCAATTGCAACGTCGTCCTCCACAGCCCCCTTAGCGACCAAACATCACAAGCATATCGCAAGGCTGCCATTACCTATAGAAGAATGTCGTCGACAAATGAAGACTTAGATGTCCACCTGGACAGGTTCGCGGAGCGCTGTCCCGTTTATCAATCTGTTGCGAAATTCTCTCTGACCCTTGCCAACTCTCTCCATATAGCTTGCCTTACATCGACGGAGCTGTCCCCCCCGATCGTACGTCTGTTATTTGATATTCAGCTGAGCAGGCTGAACCGCTTACGAGTCCTTGCATTCGGATCTTAGTTGCGGAGGTAGTCGACAATCTGATAGCAGAGGAGCTAGCGCGGGGACCGAAACCAACGGACATCCTGCTCCCACCAGAGATCACACTGTTCGAGGTAAATAGGAGACCCTGCGGACCATTGTAGGGGCTTTTCCATGCCTGTGCTGACGCTCATCTCATACGTTTTCTATCTGTAGTCCAATCCACTTCTCGCCGCGGACCTAGAACGTGTAGCCAACACCTCCAAACCAACAACCCTCATCAATACTACCCGCTTCCGACTTGAACCACCACCACAAAAGTCGTCACTCGAAACATGGGAGAAGGCAGTCGAGAACGCGCAGGCACAGCTGGAACACCAATCCAATCGGTTGATCAACCTAGAACTAGTCAATTCATTTGGGTCGAATGCGTGGAAGGTACATTGTCATCAGCTGGAGTGGTTGAACAAGAGCTTGGCAAAGGAGGTGGAGGAGATCAAGAAAGAGGTGGTGGATATAAACAAGGACAGGAAAGTTGAGCAGGTACTTAGTCATGAGGCATATCCATTGCGTTAGAAGCAAGCATGTGACACTGACCCCCATATCTCATCGCAGCTCAAAGTCGGTCAAACGCTTCAGCAATTGTCGTACCGGTATTCGATGATGCTGCATCAGACGCTGCAAGTTGACGCAGCGACCAATGCTTTAGAGAGAGAGGTGGAAGCGTTACGGGCTCAGAAGGAGCAACTTTCGCAGGCTTAGATGTGTGAAGAGCCGGATGCTTGGACGAAAAGGAAACGGCGTACCTGCGATTGGAGCCCCGGGCCGCGATACCACACGCAGTTGCGGGCGTGGACGACATCGGGTATGTAGGGCAATTCATGAAGCAGGTTGACCAGGTTCCGAGGAACCGTTCCGCGGTCCTCCGAGGCACCAAGATGTGAAGGCACAACCTTCATCTGGAATCGAGCTGGGATATGAATCGCACCGAGAATATTTACATGAAGACGCATAAAACGTGCAAAGGAGTTGCGACCTTGCAGATGGCGAGAAAACCTAGCTTCATAGTTCACCTTCTTTTCTTGACATGGGGAATACAGTCATGTACATACATACACCGGTAGCACAAAATGGATGTGTTGAAAGCCGCATTTCAATCATACCTCCGAAGAGCAAAGTTTGAGAGATCGGCATTCGGTTTCGATAAAGGGAGTCCAAAAGCGCTGGAACAGGACGACATTTTGCGCTTGAAGCACAATATTCGCAGTATTCAAGGAGTACGTGTCCTCCACGTTATTCGCTGACTGATGTTATTCACTGAAGACTAGAGAAGGCATTTTGTATGTACGCCATTTTGATGACTACAATGATGGTATTGAATGGACTACTGCTGCAGTCATAGATCTAGCACTTTGTCACCTCCGTATACTGATGAGGATCCCCATCGTTAAGAAACGTCGCCAATACGATGCTTAGCGCAATGTTATGGCGGGCATTGATGATGGTCTGAGGATCATCGGCCCATGATTCCGTGACCTCACCCACAGCACCACGGGCAATGGCATCAGCCATCATGCACACAAACGTACCGCAGTTCTCGTCATCCGTCTGTCGAGGGGAGAATAGGGCGGAAGCATTGCCAGTAATATTCAGTGACGGAGGGTTGAGGGGGTCGCTAGTCGCCGTGATGTACCACTTCCACAAGATGGATCCGATGTTGGCCATCTTAGCAACGTAGCCCTTGTCGTTCGGGTGAGGCTTTGAGTCGAATAAAACGAGGGAGACATCTTTCCATCTGGTTAATGGCGAACCAGGGCGCAGCGGTTTGGCGGACTTGGGGATGGGTACTGCCTTGAGTATTGCAAACAGGACCCAGTGCAGATTGTCTGGGTTTGTTGGGAATAGCAGTATGTTGTACTCTGCGACGTTGACAGACCGCTTAACAAAAACCAAGAAACAGAAGTTAGTTCAAGCGCAGGACAGTGAAGAAAACAAAGTCAAGAACTTTACTTACCCGAACAAACGGAAGAGGGACCTTAATTTCCCTTCATTTCTGATATTTTGGAGCCAACTCGATCCAACCGCTAGCAGTGGTGGATAAATGGTCGGGTGCCGTGACGACCTGGACTGTAACAACGCACACCACCTAAACAGAGCAGTGATGTGTGATAAGCATCAGTGAGAGACAACAACGACACGCGCGCATTTGAAGAAAGAACACACCTGTTGACAGCTTGATCGTTCAGCCACTTATCGGGTTTGACAATCTTCCGAATGGTAGCGGGTGCTATAATCGACGACACTGTCGGTATCTCCAGGTCTCCTTCTCCTTCCTTTTTATCACACCCGAGAGCCCACTGGCCCACCGGCATAATCGTGCTACTGATTACGCGCTCAAGGAAGGCGATATGCTTTTCATCCACCTCTGGCCACGGCTCGCCTTTCCACATTGCCGGCCCGGGAGAGGAGGAGGTCGTTGGTAGTTCGACAATCTCCGCGTCGTCCACACCTTCCGTTACTCCTTCCACGCAGTTGGCGTCCTCGAGTTCGACTTCCTCGAGTCCGATGTCCAGAGGAGTAACCTCAACGTCTATGCTTATTGCCGAGAGGTCAGGGGTGAGCTCTTCGTTGTTGATGTTGTAGGTAGTGTTCGCACCGTCAACCGTCTTGTCAATCTGTCGCCCGGCGTCCTCGTCAGCTCCCTCAACTCCCCCGCCGCGCTCTGCCACGATCTCAACCCCGCCGCCGCGCTCTGCCACGATCTCAACCCCGCCGCCGCTGTCTGCCACGACATCAACCCCGCCGCCGCGCTCTGCAATGACATCCACTCCCCCGAAAGCAAAACCAATGTTGAGGGTTGAGATGGCGCTGGGTGTGGTAGTGCGGGTTGGGCCGGGTGTTGTGGGCTGGTGACCTCCTTCCCGGTTCTGTGCCCATGCAGCCCCGTCGACAAACTGGTGGATACGCGCGCCGGGCCGCTTTGCGAGGGGGTCATTCGGGAGAACCGGAGCAAAAATGTCATCTAAAATACATGGGTGAGTGTGCGGTCAATGCCAGAGGGATCGGTCGCCTTACCTAGAGACAGCTTCTGCCCCTTTTTACGCCACTTGAATTCCAGGGAAGGTGCGTACATTCCCCACATGTCTCGCTGACCTTCATCCATTTTTGCTTTTGCCAGCGCGGCAAAATATGGATGATATGGTGGACACCCGCTCGCAAAAGGGTATCGCTCATGGAAGGCTGATATCTCCCTAAAACGTGTTCTCTGACACTCCTTCACGAATGCCTGATTGTAGCGTTCTTTGACAAACGCGACGACATCCTCCCTGGAGGTAAAGTACATGCGGCGTTTGGGGCATGTTTCTATAATACCACACATTAGTGGCCGACGACATGAGGACAACGGCAACTGAACCATTTGTAACTTACGTGCAAGTGTGCGAAAATGGGTCTCGATCCGCTGATAAACATTATCAGCATTAGCCGACCCGTCACTAAGCATCGCAGACAGCATCGGAGACGTCCCTGTTGCTGTTGCACGCTCCGTAGTGTGATCAAAGGTAAACAACCCAAATTCGATACTGGGGTCGGCGTAGGTGAGCAGACGTTTCGCGGCACTCAATAACGCGTCGAGGGCATCGGCCGCATCGCCCGGAGTTGGAGGAGTTGGGGACAACGGAATCCCTTCGATCGCATCCTTCTCTCCCGCTCCAAGCTGGTCAAATAGATGTTTTCGTCGGGCGGTTACCCAATGGAGACGGTTGTTGGGGTGTGCAATTGTGGTGGCACATTCCTCCGCGGATTCGACGTTGAGGCTGAATCGTGAGATGATTCCGACTTCATCTTGCTTCAGAAGTGTATTAAAACGACTGAATCCGTGTACCGGTGCCGCAAGCTTTGCCCGTTTCCCCTCCGTTTCCCCTTCAGATTCGTTTCGTCGCTTAGTCTGTAAAACAAGAGACATAAAAGCGTGAACATGTGCCAAGCGGGAACAGCAGGTGCGAGTGAGAGTGTTCTGCAAATGCGGGCAAGTCCTGCCATCTACGCCTTTCCTCTCGCGCGTGCCATCACTCTCTGCGGCAGTCCCTCCCACCAGTCCCTCACGTTATTATCGGACGGACGCCTGCAGCAACGAGGTGGGACTTCCGCACTTCCGTCTCCCGTCTCCATTGTCTCCATCCCGTCATCCCGTTGCCTGTCCATTGAACTCATGAACTACGTTCCTCGTCCAGAGCATAGTCCAGGGAGTCCCCCTTGCGACTCGCGCGACTCGCGAGGCACTTTGATGTGAAAACACTGTTGGGAACATTGTTTGTCTGTGGGGGGCGATGACGACGACGGCCTCCCTCTCCCTCCTGCTCTCCCTCCTACTCCTACTCCAGGACTCCTACTTCCGCTCACGACGAAGAGAACTCCCACCTCCCAACTACACTACACTCTCTCTCAGCACACACCAAAGCGACATGCAAAAGTATCAACGGAACCTCGCCCTCGTATACCCCCTCACCGTCGCCGTAGGCTCCGCTATTCATACCACCATCCAAGTCCCGTATACCATCTTTGCCGACAGAAGGAACCCCCTAAACACCGTCTTTGCCAAGAGGGGATGGGTACGTGACCACAACGAGCGGCGGGTTTCGAGTTTCCCAGAGAGGGCTGGAAGAATACATTTCCGTCTCACACTCACTTTCTTCCCCATCATGCAGTTCTGGACAGGCACGACGTTATTTTTGTTCCTGCTACTTTCATCCACGGATCGAAAAAGGGCACCCATCATCCGCTGGGCACTCGCTACACTGTACTGGGTCATTTTCGCGCAATGGGCATTTGGACACTCGGTGTTTGATCGTGTTTTGACCATGAGTGGAACTTGCTCGATCGAGGAACATGGACATCCCGCTATTTGTAGGAAGAATGGCGGCGAGTGGCTTGGGTTCGATGTTTCCGGGCATTGCTTGTGAGTTGGGATTTTTTCGCTTGGAGGATGCGTGCATCCGCAAACCCCCTACTCACATTCTCTCTTTCTCCCTATAGCCTTCTGATCCACATGTCACTCTTCATCTTTGAAGAACTCCAAATCCTCATCGCTCCATCGGCATCGACATCGGCATCGGCATCCACGACATCATCCCAACAAAAGCCCACCCCCGACGCCGTAGATTACTCAACCGACACCTCCGTCTCCTCCACCGACGGCGCCACCCTCCCCTCCATCCCCGTCACCCCCTCCACCACCCCCCTCACAACCCTCCGCTCGCGCCTCCCCCACCCCACATCAACCGCCATCCTCTCCTCGATCCTCATCTTCCTGCTGATGCTCTGGTACTGCATGTTGATCGCCACGTCGCTGTATTTCCACTCGTGGCAGGAAAAGGTGATGGGCACGGTTGCGGGGATGGCGTATTGGGTGGTCATGTATGTCGTGGTGTGGCCAAAGTGGTTTCCGGGGATGGCGCCGGGGTTGCCCAAGGGAAAGGAGATTTATGGGGGGAGCGGGATTGGAGGTGGGAAGAAAAGGGCCGCGGCGATGAGGGTTAAGCGGCAGTGAGGGATGAGCACACGGACGTAGTGGATCGTAGAATTTAGGATGATAGGACGTAATGGGGCGTTTTTCCCCGCTGTGTAGACGGACCCGAAGGGTGGGAGCGCTGGAGAAAGGATTCGTCTGTATCTAGTGGCATAAAGGTTTGAAATAACCAAAATCAAGAAGACCAAGCTCGAATGCCCCCGGGCTTTAAAGAACATTTCGTGCACCAACAGTTTAATCACCCCATCACCGCCCGAAGAATAGCGTCAACACCATCCTCACCAGCCGGTCCCCTCCCAACTACCGTCTTCACCGCCTCCTCAACATCCCTCCAACTCTCCACAATGTCCACCGCGCCCACCTCCTTCAACTTCCTTCCAATCACTTCCCTCCGCCGTTCCTCAACAAGCCCCACGAACCCAATGACCGCCACGCCGGCCCCTACGGTGGTTGAGCGAGAGATTCTTGATTCCCAACGAGCGAAGCGAGGACATATGCAGCTCAGGCCGGACGAGCTACCTGAACATATCTCCAGTCCCCGCCCCCAACTGCTCCCAAATGCCCTCCAACCTCTTCCCCGTCAAATGCGCATCCCCCTCGAAATCCCTCCTCTCCACTTCCCCAGCCGCACCCTCAACCTGACTCTCCATCCTACAAAACACCTCCCTGTTCACCCCAATTGTCAGATGAATCCCCGCCCTGGGCTTTGCAACCACTGCAGACGCCAGTTCGTTCTGCGAGAGACTGGTGATGTTGGAGACGAGGACGTCGATTTGCGGGATGGCGGCTTTCACAGTTTTGATACGCAGGATGTCGTTGATGTCCCCGACGCAGAAGATGTGGGGGTGCGTTGGGACTTGCAGGGTCGGGAGGACGTGCACTGTGCCGTCGGGATTGATATGCTGTGGTACGAGGTGTGCAATGGGGCCGGAGTTGAAGGTTTGTCCGGTGCATGTAAGCGCGAGGTCGACGTCGGGGATGGATGTGCCGTCGGATAAGGTTATGGTGAAAGGGTGCTGGCCGTTGGGAAAACCGCCCTGTGGGATTGTGGCGCGGGAGTTGAGGTGGGTGTGGATACCGTATTCGATGCAGGTGTCAAGGACGGTTTTGTGCAGGTCGGGATGGAAGCGGTTGAGGAGGGTTGCCCGGGAATGGACGATGTGGACTTCTTTTTCGGGCATGTATGTCTTCAAATCGGTGGCGATTTGCACGCCGACGGCTCCACCACCGATACAGACGATGCGTTTCGCTTTCGCGGCTTGGACTTGGATGCCGCGGAAGTAGGCGATCCCCTCCTGTTTCCCCTCCCCGGGTACATTCCCCGGCGGCGAGAGCCGTGAGCCCGTCGCATACACAAGAAACTCATACGGAACAGTGGTCCCAAACTCCGCAACCTCCCTATCCAACTCAACATGCCCCTCCGCGACCTTTGTGACAGCAGCGCGAACAATCCCGCTTTGGCAGACGGCATCACGGAAGAGATTGTCAAAGGGGATCAATGCTTTGTGCTCGTAGCCGGGGATGATGCTGATGCGAGGGAATTGGAAGAGATGGGAGAAGTGGGAGTTGCGTTCGATGAGGATTATGCGGTGCGCGGCGGAGAGGGCTTGACTGGCGGCGAGGGCTGTGGCGGCTCGTTTGCCGAGGTAGGAGGCGCCGACGATGACGATGTTTTTAAGTGATTTGGTCATGGTTGATGGTATTCTTTACTGATTGCGAGCGGCGAAGTTGAAGAACACTCTGGGAGGTGCTTTCCCCGCCAACGCTTTTATAGGCGGCGGGCAATGAGCCCTGTGTCGAACCCTACACCGTCCCCGGGCCTGAAAGCGGAAGCATATCTACTGTACGCGCTGCAGTTCCTTGCCAAGGGCTGCAGCCAGTATTGTATGAAGCACCCACTATATGCCCGGGAGTGGTCCTTACAGGTATGTGTTTCCGAGTGGTAGTCCGTTCCGGCCGACATGTGGGCGAGTTCCGGGATGGCCGCCATTTGGAATTCCGACAACGACTTCCCCTCCCGGAACGACCCAACACGGAACGAGGAGCGCCGCTAGCAGCGTACGTACGCACACTTACGGTACTGTTGTGGGACTTCTTCTCTCGCTCTTGCTGTATGTACATATGTGTGTTTTGCGGGAGTCTTGCCTGTTCAGCCATGATTGGAACACTTCCGATCGGAATGTTCATCCCTGTGAGAGAAGCATCCCATCATCCCATCCCCATCCCATGCGTCCACGTGACCCTACTACAGTTTATTGTTTCCTTCCCTACATGTCGGAGTACGCTGGACCTTGTTCTTCTCTTTTTAGTCTTCATCCTGAATGGAGCTTGATAAACGTTGACAATAGATACATCATAGAGCTTTCTCTTACATGGTAGCATCCACCAAAGGCAACAACACCGACCAACGAGCAGACCACCTACGTACGAGCCCATCGTTGTCCCAGCGCTTTGAGTTGATCAGTCGACCACGTTCCCACGCTATTCCGTGAGAACTTAGCACATTTCATAAGTAAACCCGGCGACACACGGAAACCCATCCATCCATCCCGTCCCGCCAACAATCCATCCATCCGACGACGATCGAACCATCTCCGCACGACCAATCACCTTCCCTACTGTTCTCCGACGCTACAGAATGACCAAACTCGGCAAGACAAGGTCCCGCACCGTTGTGGTACGTGGTGAAGCCTCCGACGGGCGCCAATTCGAACGTGTAGAAGAGGACGTCGAACGCACGGAGAGGTCTGGCCTCGACGAGGAAACAGATCTCAGCCGTGCAAACCAGGCGCACGAGGAAGCTATCCCGGAAGAGGACCAGGAAGTCCAGCCGGAGGAAGTCGAGATCGAGGGCCCTCCCACCCCGCCGGATGATCAGGCAGACGACTCCGACGATAATGACCCGGAACTGCCCACCCGCGCCGAACTCGCCCAACTGTCCAAGCGCCTCTTTCAGCAGAACCAAGAAATCATGGCCTTGCTCCGACGTCAGACCACGGACGCCAAGATCGCCGCGCAGCCAGTGCTCCCGCCCCGCCCGTATCCGAACCGCACCCTGCGCATCGACCCCCAGACCCAGCTTCCTTCGCCGGTCACCCCTGAATCCTTTATCATCCCCGAAACCGCCGTAGCTAAGGATCTGCGCAAGAGTCTACACCGCTACGACGGCACACGCGACATCGCTAAATGCAACCAATTCCTCGCTGCGTTCGAACGTTACTTCCGCGCCGCTCCTCCAATGACCGACGTCGGCAAGATCGAGATGGCTGCGGGCCGTCTAGACGGCCTCGCCGCCACATGGTTCGATCAGGTCGGCTGTCGCGTAGTCGTCACTTGGCAAGATTTCGCAGCGGCGGTCCGAACTCGTTTTGTCCCCAGCGGTGCAACTGATCAGGCCCGCGACGCTCTCGAGACCCTGAAGCAGTTAACCTCAGTGGACGCTTACTACAAGGAATTCCAGAAGCTCCACCTGTCCTGCCCCCAGGTCAGTGACGCGGACGCCGCCAGATACTTTATCCGCGGCCTCAAGGACAAGATTGCAGAGCACATTCTCGCCCAATCAAATGTCAAGACACTTTCCGTGGATGAGGTCTACGACATCGCCGACCGTCTCGACCGCGCTAGCTACCGCGCCTTCTTGGCCAAGAAAGCAAAACAAGACCAGGATCCCCGGAACCAAGCCAACCCCTTCGCTTCAAGTGGCACGCCGACCTCCAACTGGCCAGCGAAGCGCGCCTTTCCCCCTGGTGCGGCTGTTGCCCAGGCCGAAACAAAGAAGAGCCGCTTCGCCAATTGGCCGGCCGCGAAACTAGAACGGTTGACCCCTGAAGAGCGCGCCCGCTGCCTCCGAGAAGGACTATGCCTAAGGTGCCGTCAACACGGGCACGTCGGATACCTCTGCCCCAACATGCCGCCGCGCCCAGTCGCTGTTCAGAACCTCGAAACCTCGGATGTCCAAGACCACCACACGACCGAGGGCGATATGATCCATCCCGACCGCCAGATCCCGACGGGTTTTTAAAGCGTCCCAGAGCGACGGCCACGCTCTCGGGACCTAACCTTGGTCGACCCCCTGATTCGATCCCTGTGGGAAGCGGCGAAGCAACCGCACCTAAGAAACGACGCCGTGTTCATTTCTTCGCCGACACAACACAATTCCAAAAACCTACCACACTATCCACCGCAAATCGTACTCCCCTCAAACCCAGGAAGGACCCAGCTCCAGTACAACCGATCCTGCACACGAAACGTTCCGTAGACCCTGCAGCATTCCGACATGCGCCTCTCCAATCCGTGTCCCTCCCTGTCTCCGACAGTGACCTTGATACCCCAATGGTGCTGAACTTGGCAAAACCTCTTTCCGTACTCCACGGTGACCACGACCCTAGCCCCATCGTCCACGATGGTGACCCCAGACCTAAGAGCCCGTCTCCAACGGTGACCCAGATACTCAGCCCGTTGGCCGCAACGGTGACCCGCGATCCCAGACCCCCCCGGAAACCCCCCAAACCCAATTCGACACAGACCCCACACTCAAAACTGCCCACCGACGCCACCGACCCCTCCCCGTTGTCCATTGCGAAAGACCCAAGCACATCGCAAGCTCTAGTCCACGTCCAACGAAAGCTGAAGGCCATCGGCGGCACGCTTGACGCCCGACAGGAACAAGCCGCGTGGATCGAAACGCTGCAAGAGTACGACGTCAAGATCCAATATGTCCCTGGCGAGGCCAACACGCTCGCAGATCTGCTGTCCCGACGCGCCGACTACGCACCTAAGTGCTCCAAGTGTTCAAATATTGCCGCAATCTCGACCATCGTGACCACATCCACCGACTTACACGACATCGTGCGTGCGGCGCTACCCAAAGACCCTCTCGCGCACAGCATACGCGCCGCCCTCCAGCGACCTATAACCGCCCAAAGTCAGAAGGAGCGACGCTACACCGATGAAGACGGCCTCCTCTTCTACGAACACCGCCTATACGTACCAGATATCCCGCTCCGGCTACAACTGCTTCACGACGCTCATACCGCGGGCGCCGCCGGTCATCCCGGATGGTTTCGCACCTGGGAGAAACTGGTCCGACATTTCTACTGGCCACGAATGGAGCGCGCCGTAAAAGCCTACGTCAACGGATGCGACAGCTGTCTCCGCGCGAAGACCGGCCGACGTCGCCATGGACTACTCCAACCGCTACCCGTCCCAAACGCCCGTTGGTCGGATGTCACACTCGATTTCGCTTTCCTCCCCAAGGACGCCAAAGGCCGGGATCTTCTGATGATCGTAGTGGACCGCCTCACGAAACGGGTGCACTTGATTCCAACCCATCGCGAGGTCACGGCCGAGGAAATCGGAGAACTCTTCTGCGAACACATCATCAAATTGCACGGCATCCCATCCACTCTGGTAACCGACCGCGATACCAAGTTCACGGCCACCGTCTGGCGCACCATCTCCGAATACCTCGGCTTCGAGACAGCCATCGCGACCGCTGCCCATCAACAGACCGACGGACAGACAGAGCGGGCGATCCAGACGCTAAAGGACATGCTGGCAGCCACCCCCGATTTAACCGGTCGAAACTGGTCAAGGTACCTCGTGGCCCTCGAATTCGCCTACAATGACTCCATCAACGCCTCCACCGGAATGACGCCATTCGAGGCAGATCTCGGCTATCACCCGCAAACACCGCGCAGCATAGGCACAGAGACCAATCAGCCCACCGAACAGACAGTATGGGCCAGCCGGATGGGCGACATTGTTGTTCTCCTCAAAGAGCGGCTCCGCGAAGCCCAAGACCGATTCGCCGCTTACGCCGACGCTCGCCGAGTTCCCCAGGATTCCCGCCTCGGCCCCGGCACGCATGTACTAGTGCACCGCAATGCCATCACCGTCCCCGAATATCGCAACCTGCCGAACGCCAATCTCAAGATCCTACCCCAATTTCTCGGTCCGTACCCGGTTGTCAAGCTCGGCCCTCAACCCAATACATACGAGGTCAAACTACCCCCAATCCTCGCCCGACAACATCCGGTATTTCACTGCGATGTCCTACGACTCTACACCGCAGAGAAACCCCCACTGTACACAGTCAGCGCGGACGGCCACCCATATGCGGAGATCTTACGGGAACGCAAGACATACGGGAGGATGCTTTACCTCGCTCGCCGATCAGGAGAACCCCCACACACCGCAGATTGGGTACCCCTCCACGCCGTCGCCAAATCCGTTGCCTTCATTGCATACCAGAATAACTGGCCGACCCGTACTACTGTCCACCAGCACGACCCCCTTCCACCGACCCCCACCGCCGACGACCCATCCACCGCAAGCGACCAACAATGAGACACCGGTCCTCTGCCGTCCCCACTTCCTCGGAAGTTTAGGCATCACCACCGTCACCCCGCGACGACAACCACCGAATCCTTCCTCCCCATTCCCATCCCATCCCCATCCCCGTCTTCTATGCTTCTCTGTAAAACTCTTCGAGTTTTAAGGGGGGTGTGAGAGAAGCATCCCATCATCCCATCCCCATCCCATGCGTCCACGTGACCCTACTACAGTTTATTGTTTCCTTCCCTACATGTCGGAGTACGCTGGACCTTGTTCTTCTCTTTTTAGTCTTCATCCTGAATGGAGCTTGATAAACGTTGACAATAGATACATCATAGAGCTTTCTCTTACAATCCCGGAATGTTCGCTGTCAAATGCAGTTCGCTTTCCGCGCCCACGGCCGGGAGCTTCCCAAATCCCAATTCAGGCCGTAACTCCATCAAGTTCCATGCCACACGACGGATCGAGCGTACGGCGACTTGTCTGTGGAATCGTCGTCTGACCCTAGCATCCAACTTCATCCACCTTCTTCGCATCGTAATGCCCACCAAAGACAACCTGACGCCCAAATACCTGTTTCGATGGATATGAACTATTCAGTGCAGGAGGGGCCCCGGAACCAACGACGCGCTCCTTGTATGTACATGGTCAACCTCCAAGCGACAAAATTAACACGGCTCCCCCCTCAGCTACCGTCAACTGTGCCGGGCAGGTGGTCTCCAAGACTGTGGACGACGTGGATGACGTCTAGCTCCAGTACGATGTTTACGATAAAGTCTCCAAGAGTCTGAAAGAGCGCTGGTTCAAGTGCCGTATTGTCAGACTCATATTGGGATGCAAGGAAGGCTACCGTTCTTGTCGGCAAGGCCAAGCGGCTTGCTCGCCGATGAAAGGCAACGGGCTCATGTTCGGCCTCCTGGGTGCAGAACAAAAGGCTCTGGTCAATACGGAATCCCCTTCGCCACGAGATAGCTGAAATAAGTTCATCACGTGACGATCCGCAGGCTATTGCGTTACACCTGCGTTACACCACGTTGTACGGGGGTAGACGGGGGTAGTTAGTCACAGACTCACAGTACATACATCCTCCCCTAGAACCTTGGCTTCCCCTAACCTGCAGATCCCATTTGACAGAGCGACTGGACCAACGTACGAACCATGCCACAACCTCTCAATCGAAGCGACTGCATCCTGGTGTCTCGAATTGAGAGCGACGTCGAATTTCAGCAACCACGGAGGCTTATCGATCGTCGCGTATACTCGGGTGCACAAGGAACAGTGTGTCAAGTGATTCGAACAGTGGAAGGCGCCGAAAGGGAGCTTGCAGCCCGCAAAAACCTTCATCATCACTTGCAAAGCGTTGCCGCTTCCAATGACGGGAAGGTGCTCATCGTTGTAGAAATGGAATTGTTAAAGGCGGCATCGGGAATGCCGCATATGCCGGACTTCTTAGGGGCCGCACAAGCGGAAGCAGACGACACTGTTTACCTTTTTTATCAGCCATGGTGCGAATTCACTCTGGCTCGCTGGCTTGCGGCACCTCTAAGTACGGACATTGACGGCCCATCCACGCCTTCGAAGAGGAAGCAGTTGGGATTGCAGTGGATGGTATGCATGGCAGCAGCAATTTACGGACTCCATGCTGCACAAAGCCCAATCATCCATCGCGATCTCAAACCGACGAATATCTGCATCACGGGGACCGGCCATTTGTGCTTCGTTGATTTCGGGGTGGCACGCTTGTGCAAAGACGACACTGTCTGTTCTACATATGTGGGAACTGAGGAATACATGGCCCCTGAAGTTGGACGCGCTTCTCACTATGGTCGCACTTCAGAGGTCGTCTCCTTAGCTTGCATTTACAGTGAGATCTTGACAGTCGTCGCTGGATACAACGTCGACACTGGGCTCCGTGCCTGTCGTAGAAATCAGCCATATGCGCGCACTGTAAAGAAGACACTGACGTTTCTCAAACGGTGCAAGCCAGAAGACGGATCACTTGACGAGTTCATAACCTTAGTGGAAGAAATGTTTGCCCTCAAACCCCTCGATCGGCCGACTCTCTGGGAAGTTCACGGTCGGCTTCTGGACATAGCCGGCCGCCTCAATTTCCAGCTTAGGTGCTGCGCGACACCGTTAGGCTATGAAGACGACAAGGTTCCCGACGTATCCACGCCGCCCTCGACCGATGAACTCACAACAGAGTTCCTCGCTCAATGCAGGCTGCAACAGTGACGTCGCGGGTGCCGTCAGGCGGCCGAATCTCATTGCTAACATCAGCACATTTGGTAGTGATTTGTCACAAAACACTATCAGCACATTTGGTAGTGATTTGTCACAAAACACTATCAGCACATTTGGTAGTGATTTGTCACAAAACACTCTTTTGTTCCGCATTGTCGTAATCAAGCCCTCCATCTGCGAATTTCCTGAATTGCGCAAGGATGGGACCGTGGTTGCCCATATCGGTCGCCGACGAGATAGACCTGATGATCTGTTTGCGGATCTCTTTGAACTGTGCCGGCGGGACGTTGGACAAGATGTTTGTAGCTGGTTCTTTAAGATGCGGAAGAGCGTAGCGGGATGGTGCATTGCGAGCGGGGATTGGTCGTTGTAGATAATGGCTAGATCCGTTCGGGAAACATCACCGGGCATACTGAAGATGTGAACACCATTGCCCTTCCATCAGACGGCAAGTAGCTGTTTAGTGGGGGCGTCGACAACACCATTAAGCAGTAGGACTTGTCATCCTTCGTTGTCACTACACATAAAAGTACAACAGTCATTTACAGTATATACTGTACATTCAAAGCTGCATACGGAGGTTCCGGTAGCGGCATCCACTACGTATCGTGTGACATGCAACTTATCGTGTCTTGACGAATACATTGCATGTACACAATGAACAGGAATCTCGGGATTTTGACGCTGATCATAGTGATCGTTTGTTTAAGTGAACTTCCAGCCTTGCCTACACACTGCGAAGGAAGCCCTCTGCAACGACGACTACGACTTCGGCGACGACGACGCCGTTCACGTCCCCTGACCCCACTAGCACGTGCACGACGACCGCATCATCTACTACCTATCCGACAACCACGTCGCAAGCACCTGTTGCAAGATCTCACCATGTGGATATCATGATCTACACGGATCCGCCCGGCGATCCCTTGAACCTGGCGTAGAATACTGTACATGGGTTCCCACCTCATGATACCATGAGGTAGACCGGTGGAGCGTACACCATGTACATGACGCTGAAACGGAGGCCGGAGGTCGTGCCGCGAGAAGCGTACACAAACGCTTTCCTTGGACGTCGTCATCCGCCTACTTCGGATCCTGCGGATGCCCAAAAACCCTCAAGTTCCCTTCCGGTTGCGACGCTGTCACGTCATCTCCTGCGTATGCGAGAAGGTGTCTCGTTGGATGCCATGCTATGCTATTCGTTGCGGCGGTCGTCTGTATCGTATGCATCGTTTGGCCTGTCTCCACGGCAGACTGTCGAGATCAAAACGAGGAACATTAGCGTTCGTGACAATGCAAGAATGGCAGAAAGGATGCCTTACGATATCTACTATCCTGTCCTCTGATTCTGACGCAATGACCTCGCCATCGTGGCTGAAGCTGATTGTTCGCACGGGCCACCTGAATCCTCAATGAGTAACGGCGTAAAGAGGATGCCACGCAACAGAGTTACTTACTCGAGTTCGCCAATGAGCGTACGCATATCACCTCATCGATGTCCTATCAGCATACTAATGCATCGGCGCTGCCGGTCGCAAAGTATCTGAGCCGTCATCTGCGAAGTTAGAGGGTTGCCTGGCTGTGAAGGCTGCATCGTCTTATCACGTTCACATACCTGCCCTTCGGGTCGAATTCCAGGGAGTACAGATTTGCGGTATGTGCGAACAGATCAAGAGCTGGCTGAAAACTCGGGAACTCCAGAATGCGCACAGTTCCTACACACCTTCAGTACTAGTTTGACGTGGTGAGGTGAGGACAGCCTCTATGCTTGCTTTCTTACCTTGCCCAGTTGTCATGCCCAGCGTAACTGGCCGTACATATCTTCCATGCCACACGACAGATTCAGCGTACGGCGACTTGTTTGTGGAATCGTCGTCTGACCCTAACATCCAATTTCATCGCATCATAATGTCCACCAAAGACGCTAGTGCCCTTCTCCATGATTACGAGCGGCGCGCTACTGTCAACGCCCGAGAATCGATTTGGATTATCCGACTGGAGGTAGACCGGATCTTGGGCCAGCCTGCGGGTGAAGCTGACACTCGAACGCCGGGCGATTCAAGTTGTCAAAAGCGGATGTTTTACAATGTCAATACTGTCGTCCTCACTGAGAATTTGGAAAAGCCCGATGCTGTTGCGATGGTAGAAGGTATGTTTTGTATTGAGAACGTATGTACATATAGGGAGAACAACGGAAAGGGATGAACGTTTCGGGAAAAGAGAAAACAAGAGTAACAAAGAAGCTAGAGTTCTGTGTGCCCCTTGCCGGACATAACATCGTGCGCGGACGGTGAATTTGTACGCACCCTAGCATGGGCGGTTGTCCGCCGGAGAGGAGCGGGGCCATGCCATTTCTGGTGTCGGAGATTGAGGTTGGCTTCCCATTGTGAAGTACGGGAATCCATCCAAACGGGCAGGGCTCTGTCGCCAGTTTCGCAGCCCGCTCCAACCAGTTCTCTCGAGGTATCGCTTGCAGCTGGTCTGTGACGTTTCCAGGAAGACAATGTACTTGATCTCTTCACGGCAATCAGTCGAAGGAGTTCCATGGCCGTGGATGCGGACATTTTCGCGGCGTCCGCCTCAAGGCTGCCCTTGACCGTGCCAACTTCGGACCATTGCGCTCGAAGAAAGAGGAAGGAATGGAGAAAAAGGGTTACATCGGTATCAAGTTTTGAACCTTTGTACGCGAAGAAGTGCACAACCCAAGCAGAGTAAGCTGGGACTGGATACCAGGTGCGAGCAGCCAGCTCACAGTCGGAGCCCCGGAGGATGTGCGCGTGCCAAAAGCAGGCGCCATCCTCGCACGAGAGGACGGCAGATGACTGAGGCCCTCACGCCATATTTTACGCAGCTTACACGCTTGCACCTTGGAAGGCAATATGATGTATGTGCCATGGAGCAGTCACCAACGGCGCCTTCCGAGACTCGTGTCCGAGACTCGGCGATTCCCAGCCACGGATTACATAATACGCGTCACCCGCGCGTTTTCACTCCGTCCGACTGTGGTCCCCGCTAGTCCAGGAGATGGCTACCAGGGGATTTGCAACGAGTCGGCTCGCAAGAACGAGAATGTGACGAGAAGGAAACTCGAGGCGATAACAAACTCTCTGATACATACATTCCTTCCATCACACCCGCCCCTTTTCGCACCCCTATTGCACAACCACGTATTCTTCGAATTCAAATCACCCGCTTCCGTCACCTTCCTACCCCACTTCCTTCCAACACTCGCCCTCTTTCTCCTTTTTGCCCTCCACTATATACCGCAAAATACTCCCCATACCCAAAAGCTCTTACTAAAATGCTCAACCCACCTACTCAAAACACTTAGCCTTTTCCCGCCTCACCATCTCCTCAAACTCGCTCGTATCCGCCCCGTCCTCACTCTCCTCGCCCTCCTCCTCCTCACTCTCCCCATCTCCCTCCTCCTCGGGCGCCCAAAACCTCTCCAACAACTCCTTCGCCAATTCCCTCTTCGGATCCACGACTGTACGCTCATAAACCTTCATCTCCCCCTGCTCATCACACACAAACGCCAACTTCCTCCCCGTCTTCATCTCTGCCAAAACAGCTTTCAACCCCTTCATCGCCTCCTCCGCGGTCTTGGACTGCTTCTTAGCAATCTCCGTCACATGGATCTGCTCAATCGTACCAAACGTGCCCCGCTGGTGTAGACCGAGCACAAGCATTGGGGTGCCGCTCAGCAGAAGCTGCGGGTAGATCTCGTCCCAGTCCAGCGAGTCACGCTTCCATTCCGCTCGGGTCTTGATCTCCATCAACTTCCACGCTTCCACAACCGGAGGGCCGGTTTTGATGTAGCTTAACTGCGAGGGCGGGTTGGAAAAGGCGGTGAGGTTAACGGAGAGGTCTTCGAACCGCAACGTGAGGTCCTCAACGGCGGCGGGGCCGGGCGGGGCGTCCATGGCGTCGATGTGGGAGCGGACGAGCATTGCCAGATTCCCAAAGTCGTAGCTGACGATGCGGTGGTGGGCGGCCGAGGCTTTGCATCCGGGGGGGGTAGGTTGTGCACCTCTTTGCGAAATTGTGGCCGAAGCCTCTGAACCTGGCCTCCAGATCCACGTCCCGCTCCTCACGCCTCGTCAGGAGCACCGTGCCCTTGCCCGCCAGCTCCGCGTCTATTCGGAATGGTGTGAGGTCGTGCGCGCGCGAGAGCCAGCGGAGGAGTTTACGCAGGTTGTTGCGGTCGGTTACGATGTCGACCTGATGGAGGGGATAGGTTGGGGATGTGAGCTGGAGGGCGCGGAGGAGGGGTTCGAAGGCCGACGAGGGGGATTTGGCGCCGTTGAGGTTGATGTATTCCGGGTCGGTGTCGTCGCCGACGGTGAAGGGGAGCTGGGTGGGTTTCCAGTGGGGAGGCGAGCCTGAGGCAACGAAGGGGTGTGAATGAGACTGCGTCGTATTTGTTTCACACCTCGGAGGATTTTCGGCGTACCTGGAACGATGATTACGGGATTCTTCCCCTCCTTCCAATTGTACGACGCGACAGCCTTCATTCCTGAGATCTTTGGAACGGGGCCGGGGCGGGGCTCCGGGATCGAGAGCCGGTCAAGCAGTGCGCCTTGGCCGCCGTTCATCTCTGCGGTTCTAGTAGGCATGATTGAGATGTTGTTTGAGATGTATATTTGTTTCTGTCTGGGTAGTGGTGGGTTCCAGAAACCTTGAGCATAGAGGGATGCAAGGGAGGAGGTTCACCAGCCACGGCCACTTCTTATGAGCTGTCTTAGACTGACACCCCTAATACCAGAATGTGGAGAGAGACCTTCACCTGTGCAACTTTCAGAGCCCGTTCACATGTGCTTCGACTCGGAGAGGGATGCCGTTTTGACAGCTCCTGACAGTATGACTGTATGCCGTCAAATTCAACCCCTTCCAAAAACTCCCCCAATCCGGGTATTGTCGGAACATCGCAGTACGCTGCAGCAGAAAAGGACCATTTTATCCATCCCGGGACCGAAAGTTTGTATTCACTCTTCACACCCATTCAAGATTTTCCAAAATGTACAGCAGGGTACAAAGACATGCATCAAAACGCCGAAACCCAGGCCATCACATGTCAATCGGGGACCCGCCTAAAATACTCCTCCCCGCACCGCACCACCATCACACCGTATATGACCCCCCCTCAAACAACACCCCCGCTCTCCCCCCCACCCAGCTCCGTCCCCTTCGTCTCCGGCACCGCCCACCACGTCACCACCGCGCCCAAAAACATCGCGCCTGCCAGCACTCCGATCGTCCCGTTGACCCCGATCGCAGCCGTCACGGGCGTGAACCCATAACTCGCGATGAACGCGCCAACTGCCCAAAACAAGAAGAGACCAATCAATCAATGATCGATAAATGATGTACCAAAAGGGGATGACGTTACTTTTGCCACACGCGGCGGAGATGCCGTGGGCAGTCGCCCTCCACTCGGTCGGGAAACATTCCCCGGGTACGATGAACGTCGTGACGTTGGGCCCGAAGTTGATGAAGAATTGGGCGAGTGTGTAGAGGACGATGAAGAGGGTTGTGGAGGTGGCGAGGATCTGATGGTAGAAGATGGCTATTATCGCCTGTTTGGGGGGGTGTGGTGTGTTAGTCGGTGGGTGAGGGGGAGCGAGGGGGAGAAAAGGGGACGACGCTTACGTAGAAGACGGTCAGAGCGCTGAACCCGATCAACTGCAACCTCCTCCGGCCGATTTTATCTATCGTAGCCGCCGCGACGAAGTAGCCCGGCACTGTAGAAAAACAGGCGTGGATTAGGTGTGTCTTGTCTATCCGGTAGGGGGTATGAAGAGAGGGACCGTACGATTCCCCAGGAGGGCGATGATGAGGTTCCCCAACACGATCTTGAGCATAGAATCATACACATTATCCCCGGACGCGAACCCGATCTTGGACAGGATGATGCTGTTGTTGAGGCCGAGGCCGTAGAGGGCCACATCAATCAAAAACTGTATAGCGGAAAAAAAAACACACCACGCGCGGGTTAGGAATCCAGGTAGATCTGCCAGGACATACGGAGAACAGGGAAAGCATACCCAACTCGCACTCGTCCCAAATAACAACTTCGCATTCCTCCACACCCCAAAAAACCGTTTGAGATTCGCCCAGGAGTGGTCATACTTCTTCGGGGTCTCGACCACCTCCGTCGCCGCATCATCATCCCCATGGCCGGTAAGTTCCACAACCGTCTCCTCATGCTGCAAAAACTTGTTGGCGTCTTTCATCGCCTGCGCCTTGTCGCCGGAGATGTCGGTCGTGTAGCGCGGGGATTCCGGGATGGTGAGGCGGGAGTAGAGGGCGAGGAAGGCCGGGAGGAGGCCTACGACCTACACAACCGGAACGAAGCGATTGCTGTTAATGCGATGTGTGAGGATGGCATGATATGCGATGGATGCACACATACGAGGAGTATGCGCCAGACGTGGTCCAGCGCCTTGACATCACTCTCGATAGCGGAATGAAACGCGGGCAGAACGATCAGGGCGACGATGACGCCGAAGAGAAGTCCGAACCCTTGCATCGAGAAGACGGCGGCCATCATCATCCCGCGGTTTTTGATGTTGGCAAACTCCGCCGCGATCGTCGCTGCAAAAATGATATCACACATCCCCCACCAAACAGGTCAGGTCAATCCCCTGCCCCCACAAGCCCAGGCCATCCATCAAGACCGTATGGGGACAGGACAGTACATACCCGACATGGGATAATCAGCCCCGATCCCGACCCCCTGCACAAACCGACACATGCCCAACGTCGCGACAACGCTCAAATACGGACTCTCGCCCGCGATCGTTCCGGCAAGCGTTCCGACGATGATGATCATCAACTCGGTCCCATACATGCGTTTCCGGCCGAATTTGTCGGCGAGGAACCCGAATGAGAATTGCCCGATGACGGCGCCGAAGTTGACGGCGGAGGTGAGGAGGGATTTTTGGGTGTCCGGGATGGTGGAGTGGTTGGAGGAGAAGTAGACGTAGCCGATCATTGGGACGATGAGGTTTCTGTGGACGAGAAAACGGCCATCAACCACCTCCCCTTCTTGAAAGGCGCGATAAACGTTACACCCTTTTCGGGAGAGATAACGTACATGATGAAAAGATCATACTGATCAGCCAAGAACCCGACACCCGCCACGACGACCGCTTTGACATGGTGTTTCGTGAACCCGGCCTCGTCCAGTTTGGAAGCCGCGAGCTTGCTTGTGCGTGGAGTGGTTGTCATCGTGTTGGGATGTTGGATTGAGATGGGCTTTTCCAACGAGGGTTAGATACAGAGTGGGTATCTAGAGATTATGGCAGATCAAAACACGATGCTTGTCGAGACGCAGTATATAGGTGTCGGCCGACGATATGGGAAGTGTCGTAGAACGGACAATAAATGCTCCAATGTACTTCCTGTAGATCGTATATTTCGAGATTTCCAAAACGACGGGGATTCTTCTTTCTGGCTGCTCTTTTTTAAAGCACTGGTTGTGCCGGAGGACCTCTGACATCTGTGTTTCTAAACTGTGGGCCGTATGCACGTTCTTTCTACCACCTGCAGATCTCACGACACAATCAGCATTTAGGCTGTGCCGCAGCCCGGTCATCACGCTGAAGGGACTAGTCATATCTCAAAGTCGATCCCCCCAATCCCAGTTCCCCACAGAAACACATGGGGCGCGTTGGAGAATGGCTGGATATCGGGGGGCTGGGGGATGGTATGGATGGCATGGAGAATGATGTCAGTGGGGGGCGGATTGATACGTAGCGCACAACTCTAAACGAGCCGAATCTCCCTCGTCGGACGGAGCCAGAGAATGCAGTCCTTTCTCTCTCTGAGTACTTTGTTTTCGTCCCGGGACTTTCTTCTTCTCTGTGTTCAATTTGCGGTAGTCGAAGCGAGGTGATGAGTGTCCGATGACGAAGAATGTTTCCATGTTCCACCCATTCATTCCTTCCTTTCTCGGATTGTTCCAATCAGTCTCCCCTCAACTTCATCCGCCCCTCTTCCTTCGCACGTGCGTAAACGAATGGGCAGCTTTAATGTGTACATGTGTACAAAATCTGAAGGCACAACCTGCATCTGGAATCGAGCTGGGATGGGAATCGCACCGAGAACGTTTACATGAAGACGCATAAAACGTGCAAAGGAGTTGGGACCTCGCAGATGGCGAGAAAACCTAGCTTCGTAGTTCACCTTCTTTTCTTGACATGGGGCATACAGTCATGTACATACATACACCGGTAGCACAAAATGGATGTGTTGAAAGCCGCGTTTCAATCATACCTCCGAAGAGCAAAGTTTGAGAGATCGGCGATCGGTTTCAATAAAGGGAGTCCAAAAGCGCTGGAACAGGACCACGTTTTGCGCTTGAAGCACATCATTGTGATTAAAGCAATGTACAGTTGTTGTATGAGATACATCGAGTGGAAATAAAGAGACAACGCCGTTCCGCTCAATGGCCACCAGAAGAATGCATGAATAAATAGATAACACCGCAACAGCATGTAGCTTTCTTCATTCTCCCATCGCATTGTCGGGGCTGAAGAATCGAGCAGTAGTAAGCATGGCCATCCCACCTTTACGCCCCAAAACAGCTTGTCGACTTACAGTTCGCTAGGTTTCAGTAATCCAGGTACTTGTAATGCCTTATCCCGTTCTTGTTTGATTCTCGCTTCAGCTTCTGCCTCGCGCTCTGCACGGTACAACTCGCTGTTGTCGTCTCCGGTGAACTCCTTTGATGTGAAGGCGCAAAGAGAAGGATTTAGCACTCCGCTAACGAGGAAGGTCAAACTCGACTGGCATGTACCTTCAGAGTCACAAGGAAATCCCGCAAATGGGTTTTGAACTGAGCCTCATCTTCGCAGGTCGTGAACAGGGCAAGGACGACGTTTCGGATTTGCGCACTACAATAGGAGAACAATAACCAATGTGCAAAAAGGAGCGTTTAGAAATGTGATCCCTCTGAGATAGTCACCGCTCGCGGACACAAACCTTTGCAAATGAGGGAAAGCCCTTTGTAACAAGTCCATGACATACTGGCTGACGAAGCCCTCGTTCGTCATGGTCATATCTGGTACTTGCGACGGGTCAAAGAGCGGTACAGTAAGTTTTCCAGGCGTGCGTACGAGTGTGAACATATCTCTCAAGATCATGGATTGGAGTTTGAACCCTGGCAACGCGAAGGTATGAGCGCAGGACTCGATGTGCATATTGATGTGACACTCACCAGACTTGTGGAACGGGTTTGTCAGGACAAAGAATATATCTTGGAGGAGACTGAGGAAGTATGTCTGGTAGAATTGATTGGCGATGGCCCGATCCACCTCGCTGAAGTTTGTGAGCATCTCGAGGATAATCGAGAGCCCCGTGTCATTGATATCTCGCATCGTGTGTTTGAAGGCCCAGACAATGCTGTCGAGGAATAATCGGAACTGTGGTGGTGGCAAACGCAGGAGAGCTGTACAAAGCGGTTAGGCCAATAAATCTGCTTTTCATTCAGAAATGTAGAAAATACCTTGGAAAGAGTTCTTGTTGATAGTTCGCATCAGGTTGAAGAATCCCACACGATGTTCGGGATAGTCCTCGAAGTTCTTGTTGACCATATTCAGAGTGCATTCAAAGACGGCGTCCAGAATAGCGGGCACTTGGTCATTCATCAGGGGCTGCAGACGGGGGCTCTGATGTAAGGAACAAACCACGTCTTCGGAGATAACGCGGCAGGACGTACCCCAACTCGATCGTCCATGATGCGCGACAACACATGCAAAACAACTGCATCCTTGGCGGGCTCAACGCTGCGCGCATAATCACCAAGGACCGTGTCAAGCAATGGCGGTATCAAAGTTTGCACAACGGTCTGTGGATCGTCTGCTTTGTGAATGTACGTTTCGATCAGTCGCAGGACATCCTTCTTGATGGTTCTCAGGGCTCGAACAGTCGGTGTAACCGTCGCGATCAATCCTGCAGGGAGGGAAGGTTAGAGTCTGAAGCATGCAACCAGAGGCAGGACTGCGTACAACATACCCTTAGTCTGCACATGCTGCCCAATCAACTCGCCTACGGCGACGTATAAGGCCAATAGGTCAAGGTAGTTTCGTGCAATCTGAACGTAGAACGAGGGCCCTATCGATGTGCACGCGGAGATATTTGTCTTGATAATATTAGAAAGCAGCTTCACTGTCTCTGGTGTTTCAAGGCATGTCGGATTTTGCCGTGCTTGCGCGATATAGTCGTCCCACTAGACGACATTTTCGAGGTTACTGATGATAACCGGCCGCAAAGAGAGTGTCTGCCATGAATACATACTGCTTTATTTGCCGCATCCATGAAAGTATTGATCAGCCTTTCCTGATCTGGTCGTCTTGTTTGCGCGGAAATAATGTAACCAACGGCTTCGTAGAACGTGTGGAGCTAAGCGCAAGTCAGTTCTTTCCGGCATGGGCCTTGCGTCTGTGCATGTCCGATTTAAACGTACCTGAGGCGTTGCCAAATCCATGGTTATCTGTCCCATCCCTTCCAGGATGTCGTCGATGTATGGGCGAGGCTCTTGATGCTGTGTGATAACAAAAAGACGTTTGCACTTTTGGGCGATCTTGATGAACGTATCACACGCCATTTCCTGAACACCTGTAATCGAAAAGATGTTTAACAGATCGATTATGAGCGACAGACCAAAGAAAGAAGCCTACCTTCATGTCTTTCATGCATAAATTCAAAGAGTTTGTTGACCACAGTTTTGAGGAACTTCCAATGCGCTTTCAAGAAGCGTGGATACTGCCCAACAATGTACATGATGTTTGATGCCACGATCGCCTTGTTGTCTTTGCCCTTCTTGAGTTCGACAAGACTGAGCAATTCTTTGATGACCGTCACTAAGAACCTCTTTTCCATGTCTTCCTCCATCGCCCCACTGATGGATCCGATAGCCCAGCATAGTTTGTTCAGGTTTCCCCACGACCATTCGGAGCCGTCGGACTGTGTTGGATTGAGTGGTCAGAGCATGTCCCCCTCTGTTTCCAAGGCATAACAACCAAGTTACCTGTCGTCGCAATTTCCCTGACATAATCCTCTCCATATCCTCGCAGTCGAGGTGAGTGGAGTAGACTAGTGTTTCGCGCATGCTTTTGTACAGCACGATGGTGTCGCTCTCTTTCAAGGATTCACGGACGACTTCCCCTTCATCGTTTTCCACCACGATGACCTCCTCAGGCTTCACCATTTGCTCAATCATGATCGTACGCAGGCGAGACAAGGCATCGGCATACAAGTGCTTGCGTAGTGGGTTGTTGTTGCCGAAAGGGGTGCGAATACCGGAAAGATTGAGAAGCGGAGGATCGTACGTTCTGAGGGACTCCTGGAACAGTTCTCCCACCTACATATCGTGAAGTGATCAACACGGGAAATGGGCGTGAATATCAGAACAACGTAGCCACCAACCAGCTTGGTCCAATATTCCAGGCAGATTTTGAAAAGCTCTCTGTCATCCACAGCTGTGATTGCGAGCAAATATTGATGGCCAAGGTACAGACGGGCCTTTCGACTCGGATCTACGCACAGAACCTCAACTTCCTGCAAATACGTTAGCATGACGTGCGGGGACGAGACAATCAAAGGAACACTACCTTGCCATGGATACTGAAAAAAGTTGTAAAGAAAAGTGCGAGGTTTTGCACGAACTGCTGGTCATTGTCCGCTAACAGGTCCCAGGTGCCCTTCAAATCTGCATGGAGGGAAACTCAGTCACCGAAATGCGATTCATTTCGTTCTTGAGATTATCACTCACCAGTCTCAACAGGTAGCATGGCGGGTATGCTGTCAATTGTGACTGTGTAAAGTTCAACAAACTTTGCTTGGTAATTGGATTCCTGAACTGTCAACGAGGCTACTTCGGTCAAGCACTTCAATGACACATTCCGGAATTCGGGCATGATGAAGAACTTTGGAAGATGATTCCAACACAGATGGGTCAGCGTCAAATGGAATACGCTCCGTACATCGCACACGAAATATGCTTACGCGCTTCATGAGAATGTCGACTAGGTTCGTCTCGAAAATGTAGCCCAAGGGGATCCAGTTGAGAAACCTCAGCAATGTTTCTAATGTTGCATTGATCAAGCTGGGCTTTCGTGCCTTCTCGAGAACCTCAAGGCAGATCTGAAAAATCTCCGAAAACTCTGCTCCCATGGTGTCCTTCAAGTTCTTGGCTTTCGTAGAGGTCATCTGTTCCGCCGAGAAGTCGAAAATTTCCTCGCTAAGGTGGGAGAGATTGATGAGTCTTACTGTATCCCATCCAAGTTTGCGTAGGGTCTCACCTCAGCAGCTTCAAGATGTTCATATTGTTCTCGCACAGAGAAAGGTTCGTTTTGCTTGAGCTAACAAGTTCCGGGATGAACGTAGGCCAGTTGTGCGGCCATTCTTGTTTCAGTATCTGCAGGTGCAGTTAGACCTTCCTAGTGGTTCGTTGAGAAATACGAAGGTTGAGTAAATGCAACGTACTTGCACCAAGACGATGTTGAGCTTTCCAAGTAGCAGCCGATTCTTTTCAAGAGTTTCATCATCGGACGAGTTTTTGATGATGAAGGCAACGACAAAGTTCTTTATCCCTGCAAAACTTCGCGTAAAGAGATGGATAATGATGATCTCACCGAGTGAGTTGACTGGCATACCTGCTCTTTGGTCTTCTGGCAGAATCCTCCACATGCTCTTTATCAAGGTCTCAAGTATGGACAAGGCTATGTACTGCGAAAGATCGGTCAGCAGTGTTTTCCGGTTATGTTCGCCATTGCTCAAACAAACCTTCGATTGCAGGACTTGGGAGCGCTCCAAAATCGCGTCAACTCTCTTCCATGCGTCCGGATGCTGCCTAAATTGCTCTAGCACCGTGTTGGCGACAGTTTGCTGGATACGGCGGTCAATAAAAGTGAGCCAACGCGCAAAGGTCGCAATGCTCGTGCGAAGCGACTCGAAAATATCCAACCTCAGGCCCATAAACAAACATGGCATTGACCACGCGGTCGAAGAGACCTATATCCAAGTCTCCGCTGAAGTCCAGGATGCCCTCCATTGTGACTCTCGGCAACGATGGCGAATTTCGCACGGCGCGTAAAGAGTTCTTTTCGAAATGCAGCCTCTATAGAGAGCAACTATTATCCTCCTATGGTATTGACCCTACAGCTTCGCGAGCACTATGCGTATTCGATGTCCTACGCCGTCGAGGCTTATCAGAATGTGTTCGAGTAGGTTCCTGCTCGACGGTTGTGCAGCGAAATGTTAAGCGCTATGGCATGGTGAGAATGACCAAGCCCCAATCGGCACTTCTTGCCCGGCGACCACTTGGAGACTTACTTGCGAAGCGTTTCCCCTACGACACCAGCTGGCAAGAAGGTCGAGTTGATGGGGAAATGGGGGTGGGGTAAGCAGCTGATCTATGCAAAAGCCACTGTCCGAAAGCAAAAGGCGGGGATCAACTCGACGCAAAGCCAGCGCAAAGCGTGATGTGGACGCGCTGCGAGTTAGGGTTAACGAGCGTCAACCATTCCATCCACTCCTTCCACTCCCCACAGCAGCGGCTTTTCCAGCTGCTGATAGGCCTGGGAACGAGGGCACAGCAGTGTGTCGAGCGCTAAAAGGTCCTCTTTCGAAGTTCTGAAATGGCTGCTCGCTCGAAAGCCGTCTCGGAAGCTCAGTCTTCGTTACAAGATCAGTTCTGCCCTTTTAGCTTCAGCTCCATCCCTGTTCTGCAGGCTCTACCCACAAACCCAAAGACCCTCCAATCTACTTTCCAGAGGTATGGCGCTCAACTAGCCGCCAGAGTTTCTACAGACGAGGACGAAGCAGCTGTACGAAGCCATGAGCTGTCTTTCAAGTCGAAAACTTCCCGGAAGCTCACAGTACCCCCCTTTCGCAGTCGCAAGCGGAATATGCAAATACCCTCATAATACACGCAGGCTCTCGGTATCTGCGTATCGGCCGTGCATCCGATACATTTCCGAAGGAAGTGCCGCACGTCATACTCCGGAAGGTGGATGCTGAGCAGGGAAAACTTTCAACTTCCTCCTCCCGTGGACGGTTCGGGAGCCCTCTGAAAGAACAAGCGGAGCCGTATTCACAGCTCCAGGATGATCTGAACGAGCGGTTACGAGAGAAAAAGGTTCGCGTTGTGACGAATGCACGAGCGCAGGTGCTTGCATTCAACGCGCAGGCGGAGCCTCAGGCGATTGCAGACCATAATGATCCATATAGGATTGAGTGGTCGCAAGTACCGGACGGCATCGGCCACGCCGTGGGTCTCAAGGTCAGTAGCTAGGTTGCTATTCACTCTGAGCTGTTGGCCGGTGCTTAACGAGTCCATTTTGCGGGATAGGCTCTACATGTAGCAACCCTGCCAAAGCTCAACCATGAAGATGGAGACCGGTCCTATCGACGATTGTATCCCATCCAGCATGGGATACTCAATATATCAGATTACTCATCCGCGAGGCAGTGCCTGGCGGACATGAGAGTGATATGGACAGAGAGCATTGAGAAGGAGCTGGACATTTCCCGGGATGCATTTGGAAGCTTCAACGTAGTTTGGATCGTTCCGAATCTGTTCAACAAAGTCCATGTCCGAGAAACCATTGAGATGCTGTTGAATGACATGGGTTTCATGGCTGTTGCCCTTCTACAGGTAACACGTGCCCAAACGTATGCCGGTTCTGAGCGTCGGCTAACGAAATGGCCCAGGAATCCGTAGCTGCGTCGTATGGAGCAGGAATCACCTCAGCGTGCGTGGTGGACATTGGGGCACAAAAGATAAGCATTGCATGCGTTGAGGATGGCATGTGTGTCGGCAAAACGAGGTGAGGATAGCGGGATCAACTGGAGAGTACGAGTTTCGTTTGTTGAACTCGAGACATGTTTCAGACTCCAGTTGATGTATGGAAGTGACGATGTATCCGCGTTACTCATGAAGCTCCTATTGGGGAGCGGATTTCCGTACAAGAGTTTTGATGCTGGACAGCATGCCCATGACTGGGTTTTGGCGGACGAGTTAAAGGAAAAGCTTTGCACCTTCGAAGAAGTGAGTCGCACTCATACTTTGTTGCAAATGCTCGCCAAAACTGAAGGCCTTCTAGTCCCAGCTTATTGTAAATCTGTGTGACTTCTATGTCCGGGCCCCGAATCAGCCGACACTGTCATATAGGATGAAAGTGTATGATGAAGTAGGGGTCGCTCCCTTGGTAAGCGCGACACAGCTTCAACGTGTACGCTTACACGGCTCTGAAGCTTACGATATTGAATGTCCTAGCTTCTGCTGAACCCGCAAGCGATTGACTTCGAGGAGAAGCTGAAGTCCATGGCCCTCGGTCAAAACTATCTGGATGTTAATGCTGAAGATGAAACTCATGAAGAAGAAGGGGGTGCCGCCAAAACCACAGCGCCGATACAAACCGGTGGTCTCAAACGGACAAGGGATGGAGTGCCGAAGGAAGAGTCAAACTTCAAGGCGTTCAAGGCTCCCTTGGGCGTTGGCAGCGATGTCACAGAGGATGGTCACTCGGACCTCGATCCGCCGTCAACGGATGCTGTCGAAACATCAACACCATCGTCAAATATGGAACAAAAACTACGAGAGAGCCAGCTATTGGGAACGATCTCACAAATCACGTCTCCGCTAGACACAGCTATCGCTCAATCAATGGCGCATTTTGCTAGCACCTGCTCCGATCTTCGAGTAACCGAGCTGGAAACGCGGCTCCGGAAGGTCGCATCCGCTATACTCCTGATCGGCGGGGGAAGCCTGATACCTGGGCTCGGCCCACTTCTTGAGGAGCGCCTTGCCAAGAAGTGTCAAGAACCTTGGTTCCGAGAAGCGTTACCGGGAGCATCGACCTTGGCCATCGCGCCACAAGTGATGCAGAACCCAAGGGAGATTGATTCGCGAGTACTGGTGTGGACGGGGGGCGCGGTGTTTGGGAGGTTGGACATGATCAGTGATTTGTGGCTTACGAATAAGGAGTGGAAAGCGAGAGGGATACCGGGCTTGTCGAACAAGTTGATGTTCATCTGGGATTGAAGTAGATGGGAGATAGAGCCTATGGGTCGTTTCCATGGTCATTTTTGTACATGAATCATACACATTTCTTGGACATGCGATGGCATTTTGGGCCTGACACCATGCTGTGCTCGATGCTATAAAACGGCCCTGGTTCGATGTCGGTACTCATAAGTTGAACCATACGTAGTGTACAGCATGTGGTTGACATGGGAAAGCGCGTCCGAGAAGGCTTCAGACCCTTCCGCGTCCGAAATGCCCCTCTGACGCGCTCTCGAGTCTCCACGAAGAGACCCTCCCGGAATCTTGCGCAAGTTTGCTCGCCCACTACCACACCATCATGCCACCAAAACGAGCGACCCGAAAGAAGAAAGCGCCAGCGACCTCCGCCCAGTCAGCAGGCGCCTCAGCCTCCTCCGACGATCTAGCACAAGCCAAGCTACTGCCACTGTTCGCGCACAACCAATCGCATTTCACTCAAGTCTTCAACTCAGGCATCGCAGCTTCCCAATCCGATATCAACACCCATGTCCAGTTTCTGTTCGACTACTGGAAGGATATCCTCCACGGTGATGTGCACGAAAATCCCCAGCAAATGCTGAAGACACCTGGCAAAGGACGACGGTTCAAGAACTATGCCGCGTCGCCATCGGGAACGGCAAGGAAGATCAGCGGACGCGATAAGCCGACTGGGCAAGTCGACCTGGATGACAGGCCGATACTGAAGCTTAACAAACCGGAGAAGAGGAAGCACGGCAAAGTCCGGGTGGAGATTCCAATGACGAAGGGGGAAAGGCAAAGTACGGAGTTGATGGATAACGGAGGGCATAGCAACTCAAAGCGACCGCGCGTGAGAGGAGTTGGTTCGTTCGAAAAGGGCGTTCATGTGGGAAATAATCGAAGCGAAGCCGGGGAAGAGCCGAATGCGGGTGCTTCGCTGGCCGAGGCAGGCAACGACACTAGGGAGAACCTTGATCTGAGTTTCACGAGCCGGTCTGTTGACGATGCCATTGAGGAGAGTGTGAATGGGGATGCGGAGAATATTGCAGATTCTTCGATGGTAACGACGATTCTCGAGCCGGCTACAAAACCTGCTGGTCGTACCCGCGTGGTGGAAGCAGTGCCTGAGGCCCAAGTTCCCCCGGTCCGCGCTAGCAAACGCCTTGAGCAGAGAAAGCCGGAGGCCGCGGAAGTTGACGATTCTCGATTTGCGAAAGAGAAGAATATCTCCAATGGGAACAGCGCTAGTCAGTGCAACGAGGCCGGTGTAGAGGACATTTCGGAGTCAACTGAAGCTGGTGGCAGCGCGGGAGCGCAGCGAGCCGGATCGTTGCGACGAACCAACAGCGCCGGTTCTGAAAAATCATCCGGGAGCACTCGATTGAAGGTTGTCAGGCCAGGGAAAGTATCTGATCAGATCCGCAAGATTGAAAGTGAGGAAATGCGTCGCCGTGAGATTCAACAGGTTGAGTCTCGTAAAAGCGATGCGGATGCCACAGCATCGACTGTTCCCAAAAGGAGCCTGGGACTCCGCAGCTCCTCAGCATCGCTTGCAGGTCGACAAGTTCGCGTTCCCACCCTGAACAGGCTCGTCGCTGCATCCCAATTTGCTGACAGCTCCGATGAAGAGGATGCGTCGTTCTCCGCCATTTTCCCCGCGGGACAGACCAGGTCTGGCTTTGCTATGTCAAGTCCTGCTGGTTCGAAAGCAGGCGCAGATTCCGCTGCCGCGGAGGAAAGCGTTTGGGAAGACGTCACCGTGCAGCTGTGTGAGGAAACGCCTCGGCCACCAAAGCCTGGGAACAAAACGCAAGGTTCTGGGCCTCGGCAAAGAAGCATGGACGACATGCTTTTAGATACTCCGAACGTCAACCCGACCGAAGAGGACACCGGCGATGTAACGGATATGTCAATAGACGCCTCCGAAACTCCTCGTCCACCCTCGACGCTTGCCGTGCCAACAGAGCTGGTTCGCAGATCGGACCCGAGTCCCATCCGACCGGCGCTGGTGGCTGAAAGCACACATCCAGCCTCTCCCAATGACAGACCCGCCTCCCTGTATGCCCGCATCGCCACACAGGCAGATCAGGATCGCCGTTCGAGGGAGCAACTCTGGGGTAAGACAATATTCCAATCCGAAGAATTCAAGAAAGTGAAGCAAGGGCTAGAGGAGAAGCGTCGTCGGTTATCCGCTGCCCGTGCGGCGGCTGGTGACACTGCTGCAACTTCAACTTCGACGCTTCGAAGTCCTGTCACGCGACCCGCTCACAAAGTCAGCACACCGCGGTCGATATTGAAGAAGCGATCGTCGGAGGTCTCTCAGACCAAATTCCCATCTCGGACCAATTCACTTGCTCCGTCTGAACTTGGAAGTCAACAAGAGTGGTTCGAGGCACAAGAACCTCGGCCTTCTCAAGATGTGGCTGATAAATCCGCCGAATCCCGATCTCCACAGAATGTCCGGCTGCCCACTGCCTTTCAGCGCAGCATTTCGGGAGAATCAAAGGACTCGGACACTCAGGGTTCGGCTGACGAAGATAACGGGCGCATTAGTGGGGAGAAGAGTGTCACTTTCCAGCTTCCGGAGCAATCCGATAGCGATGAGGAAAGCCAGAGTAGGATGGTGGAAGGGGATAGCGATGTTGAAGACGTAACAGTTACCGTCGCAAACAATGAGCGGAGAGACGATGATACGCGGCAAAGCATGGCCAACTCCGTAGATGGGGATATCGACACGGAGAGGAGTTCGGGGTTGCCCAGCGACAGACGCTCCTTCGGTAGTCAGGAGCAGGAACTTCTGGACAATGCGCGTGACAGCGTTGCTGGAGCCGCTGAGCATGAGATTATAAAGCTTGTCGAATCACCACCACCAGCGAGACCTAGGTTTGCCGCCAGTATCTTGGGAGCTATCGTAAGTGCCGTTTTTGTGACTATCGGCCTGACGCATTCACTGATTCTTTTCACGACATTGCAGAGATCATCATTGAACAAGGTTGCTGGAACGACCTTTATTCCGCAACCGCAAGCTATCAGGACGGCTACAAACAAAGCGAACCCCGACATGAAAAGCTTGAACGCTGCTGCTGCCGTGAAGAAGGTATGCACTGCAATTGGGCGCTTTGTCGCTCATGACAGTCACTCAGCCGCATTGATTTGACAGCTGCAAGCGGACCGGGACCGCCGCCCCATTCAATCCACCGTAGACTCCCGCTTGGAAAACGCTAAACAGAAGCAGCAGCGACTTCAAGAGGAGGAGGCGAAGCGGATAGAAGAGCTTGCGCGACGAGAGGAAGAGAAGACGCGGAAGGCTGAAGAAAAGAAGTTGGAGAAACTCAGGGTAATGCGGCGCAGAGCTTGCAAGGATTGTCATTACTTTAGCTGACCAGGACTGCCATGACAGGAGCAAGAAGCCATAAAACGAAAAGCAGCCGAGCGCCAACAAGCTGCTGCCGAAAAACGTGCCATGGACAGCAAAGAGAAGAAGCAGGTACGTCGTCCAGATTCCGGTCCTGTAACCATTGCATGACAGTCCACTCATTCACGGCTGCATCTAGGTCAAAGTGATGCTGAAGCTTCCCGCAAAAGGGGCCGCAGCGTCTTCGCACACGCAGGCACAATCTTCATCAAGCAACGAGCTTGTGCGCGAAACGGTTACGCACACCGAAAGGATGACTATGCAGCAAAGGGTGTCACAATATCAGACAGGGCCAACCACGATCGTTGACGAGAATGGAAACCTACCAGAGCCTCCCTCAGAGTAAGTTCGGATTACGTGTCATCTGCTGCAAGAGGAAAGAAATTAATCGTCCACCTCCATCCTCCAAAGTTACGACTCGGAAGACCTACAAAGTAGCGATGACGAAGTATACAGTGGCAGTAGCAAAAGCGGCAATGTTGTCGGCACGCCGGAGAGCTCAACGCCGAACCCCAAGAAACGCAAGGCGGACGAACCGGAATGGGTGAACACCCCGGAGCTAATGAAGCTGATACACGCGCACGAGCGAACAGATCCGGATGCAGTGTTTGGAGGTGCCCGCCCTCCTTTGGAAGGTATGAACCGTCACCGCATTGAGCGTACACTGCTCCCAGACCATGTTATGACCACTAATCTTTATCCATCGTCGCAGATGTCTTCAAGGAGGGCATGAAGCGGAAACCGTTTCGTGCTCGCGCCAGTTCGGCCTGGACGGGGCAGGACGTGCTTACTGCGTCGGAGGATATGGAGTATAAAAAGTCGATGGGTTATCTCTGAAGTCTCTGCGTAGGGAACGCGAGCCGGTTCATTCTGTAGCTTCGTATGCAATTAAATGCCGCCGATTGCCAATTGCAACACCGTCTAATATAATATTGCAATCAAAAGTTTTGGCAATTTTTGGCGAAGCTTTGACCGAGTTTTGGCGAACAGGACGAACCCCGAAGAAAGGCGACCCGCAGGAGTCTGACCAAAAAGCTGATATTCATTCCGCCCCACATGCATTATCTACAATATCCGTGGGGGCAGCTACACGAGAAGTATGTACACGCGGCGCCGAACAGAAGGGAGTCCAGGGTTCCCCTATGACTCCTCCGCTATCGAGACACACTCTCAAGATCTACATTCTCCGGCGAGAGGTCGTCAAGCGTCAGAGGGTCAGAGTCCGATCTAGTTGATGGTGGGGCAGGTGGTGGCTGGAGATGTTTGAAGAAGGGATGTGTAAGCGCTGTCGTGGCTCCGATGCGCTTGTGCATGTCGTAACAGAGCATTGCCTGGTCATAGATTCAAAAGGTGAGTAACTAGATCTAAACCAATATCCGAGGATTTCACCTACCTCCAGCAGATTGATCCCGTCATCGGGCAAAGGGCTGCGGAACTGATGCGCTCCGGCATTGCTCACATAGGGAGCCAGGGATCTGCGTGGGGCAGGCAGGTTGGTTGCGGATTTTGATGTTTTGTAGACGCCGGGGAAGGCGAAGTTTTCTGGAAAGTCTGTTGGGCGCGGGTCGCCGAGTTTTCTGGGAGACAAAAAAACAGTCGACGGTCACCAATGCAAGCCTCGCCATGCCCCCACGTTTCGTGACTGTGCAGTTACCGTCTTATGTCCATCATGATCGACGCTTCACTTCCTCCTTGGAACATCGGCCTCCCTCTCACCATCTCTGTTGGGTACATCTCAAAGGTCAGCACCGAAGACGTTAGGATATGCGCAACAAGGTGAGGTTTTTACCTGCAAACACGCATCCCGCACTCCACATGTCGACTGCCACTGTGTAATGCCGATAATTCGTGAAGATCTCCGGAGCACGGTATGATATGGTTGTAGTCTGAAGAGAGTGTTATGAGCTCGTCCAACCGTAGCGTGGCTCTCAAGCAAGCACCAACGAACCACCGGACTCAGAGCTTTGGCGGGACAGGTAATGACTCGGCCGAGGCCAAAGTCGGCTACCTTGATGGTATCGTCGTCTGTGATGAGGATGTTTTCTGGAGTCCGGGAGTCAGAGCGGTTAGATGGATGATGACCGTCTGAGGACGACATGCACACCGCATCTCACCAGGTTTCAGATCCCGATGTGCAACTTTGTTCCCATGGCAATATCTCAGTCCTTCCAAAATTTGATAGATATACCTCTAGAGATGGTTTCGGCATGGTAGGTTGAGACAATATTTCTTGATCCGGCAATCAGACGTGCAAGACATACCCTGGTCCTTTCGACCTCGAATCCCTGTGGCTCCTCCCTCAGAGCTCTTTGTAATGTTGTCGGACAATATTCCATAACCATATATGCTTTCGACTTTCCCATATCGTGAAACACATCCACAAGACTACAGTCGCATGATATGAACAGGAGGATGTATTAAGAGACCTCTACTTGCTATTCTGCTGTCGTTGGAGGCACCAAGTGCCATACTATGCGCGGTGTTCTTACCTGATAAGATTGACGTGTCGCAGACTTTTCAATAGGGTGAGCTCTCTTATAACATCCAGTGCGTAGCCTTCACATACAGACGGCATGGTTCGGTACGCTGACAGCATTCTGTTCTGAGCCGTCAAGGGCCGGTGATTTTCCTTGTCGTCGTCGGGATAAGACTTGAGGCCGGGTGGAATTGAGGGCGGGGACTTGACGGTTTTGATAGCGACCAGGAACCCGTCGCTTCGACGTTGCGCTTTGTAGACGTCGCCATAGGCTCCGCTGCCGAGATGCCCCAGTCGCTCGTACCTATCCCATACTGAGTACGCAGGTTCGGCAGACCTCGACTTGTATTCAAACATATCTTGATACGAATTCTGCGAAACGGACATGGCTACTCAATGACAAAGGAACAGAGGGGAGGGTAAGGAAAGAAAAACTGATATGAAGGAAATGGATGGTATTCTATACAGCAGCCAAGAGGACGACGCAAGGCGAAGGAAGTGTATAGGCGGCAGATGGTGCAAGCCAAGATAGGGGCAAGATGGGGGCCAAGATGGATAGGAACCAATTGAGCTTTTTGTTTGAGTTTTATGCTAAGGTGTTTCCGGACATCAATTTGCATCGCGCTGGAAGTCATCACTTTGTGCCAATCCGGACATCAGGGGGACGTGTTCTTCAGCGCACAGAACAAGCACAGGCAGTCTACAGGTCATTGCAAAATGGTAAAATCGCCTTCCCTCCACTCTTGTGTCTCAGATATGAAGTATTTAAGGTAGCTCAGGTTTTTCTATCATCCAGATAACCCAAACAATACGCCTGGGCTCCGTACAACCAAATTCCTTGGGTCATCTCTCACAGGGTTAATCTGGACCTACGCCTTCAAAACGCCATCACAAAAAACGTCATCACAACTTCAAATTCACGCGTGTTGTTCGCTGGACATAACAACACGGTCCTACGCTTTTGGGCTACTCATGCTGGACAGGAGGAGCAGTTTTCGAATTAGTTCCAGCTGAGCTATGCGCATTTTTCAATACGTTGGGAAAGCGCGGACATTTCTCACTTTTGTCATATTCACGTTGCAAACGCCACAATGCGATTCACATATCACGCAAGATCATCAAACGGAGATTGCCATGGCTGCAACAGCCCGTCTAAATGACCAATTGCAAAATTTGGTCGCGGCTTATGAGGGCATCGTACAGGGTTTCACAGGCAGGAGGGAGAAGGATGAAAGGAGGGAGGAAGACGAAAGTAGCTTGAGAAATGCAAGAGGTGGTTGGATCGCGGCATTACGCGCAAGGGAGTTTATCCAACAACCGAAGGAGTGGGATCTAGCAAAGAGAATGGACCTGGCAAAACTGGAGAAGCGAGATGGTATGGATGATGTTCGATCAATTGGACGGACACGATTCACAGGACGTACATTTGCGATGTGAAAACTGAAGTTCGCCTCTAGGTACTTGTAACTGGGGTGTCAGCAAGATGGCAACACCTTCGTTGCCTTTGGTAGGTATAGAATGCACTTCAAAGTTGCTTGCATATGACCTTCCATCTTACGCACACTGAGACTTCCCAATATCACTAGTACAACTGTCCTAAAATGACTTTGAGTAATGCCCAATACCACTCCCGACCTGCAAATAGCCTTTGTTCAGCGTGCGTATCGACCGACCTCGAGTGCACTGCGACATGTTGCACGGAGATTACCTTCGTAAGTTCAAGCTGCCTCGGCGTGGATCTGACGAGTATCCTCCATCTCATGTTGCGGCTCTCAGGGGAATCACTGCGTATGCCCTGTCGACATCATAGGACCGACATGCACTCTTTGGAACACATTTCATTGTACGCCCACCCTCCTGTCACCTAAGCTAACAAAAGCATCTTGCGATGGACAGCCGAGCACAACCATCTCCGTCGCACAGGCAGACGGCAGCACAGCCGCGACGATCGTGCCTTGTCCACAAGTCTTCAATGTATCGAATGTTGTGGATTTCAGATTTACATTAGCGTGTGAGCAGGACTCACCGCTAAACGTGAAGTTGAATCGCACCAGCACAACGACCTACACTGATGGGGAGTTCATGTATACAATCGGCAACGGCGATAAGGTGATGCCCATCCCTCATAAAGCATCTCCGCTTTCTCGAGTTAGACCCTTGACTAAATGCCTGTTTGCAGTTTGCATACACGCAAGCCCTTTCGTCAAATTTTCTCTTTCGCCTCAAGTTCGCCAATTTATTCCGACTATCCCCCAACGCAGCGCAATCCTATTATGCGCCCATAACGCCTATTCCCGACGCATTCGTGGGGAACACGACCTTGAGCATCAGAGTCAATTTGTCATTGGTGCTGGACGGCCGGGATGGTCAGGAAGGTCTTGGAGGACGCGCAACGACTGCCTCGTCACCTGAGGCTAGTGCCACTAGCAGTGCATCAGCCAGCGCTGGCCAGTTCGCTGCTGGAGGAAGGCTGTATTTTGAGGGTGGTACGTTGGCAATGATGAGGGGATCAGCCCTCGGAGTTTTTGAAGGTGACGATCGCTAAAATGCCTGCTCAATCCGGTCGCCAGCTCTGTACAATCCAGGTTACGCATCCGTCCCGGGTATCTCCGGAAATAAGAGGTAAGGGAGACATCACCCTGATATGTTGATATCTCCAGACGCAATCGCTTGTGACCCTGACCCTGACCCTCCCGCAAGCATCCTGGGCTTCATAGATTTCACGTCCCCCAAACCACGTTCCTCTAACTTCTATGCGCCGACAAAGGAAAGTCCTGCGCTAAGCATTGCCCAGATTGTGGGGATCTGTATGTGTGGCGTCGTGTAGGTACCACCAATCAGTGACGCATCAACCTACATGCCCTTGACCTGACACTTTCAGTTGTCCCATAGATTGGTAGCTGCGGTCGCTCAGTGTTGCATCAAGGATAAGCGTAGGCGGCAGAAAGCAGCGTAGCTGAATGAAGTACGTACGTTCACTTAGAGTGGAAATGGAACATTTGCATGTACGTTGGACATGTACATATGTGAAATCGATTGCCTTCTGGATCTAAGACCGCTCCACGGGAGTCCTCTCTGCATAATGTGACTGAGCGGCGTTCCCATGTATTCCGTAACTTTGTTACAAGAAGAGAGACGTAAAACAACAAACTCTTGGGGGTACGACAAACTTTGCCTAAACTGTCCATCATTGAAAATTCCTAAAATCCAAAAAACAAAACAATAACACACAAAATTGTCCGCGAATCCAAGATGTCCCCTCGAGATGTCTATCTACTCCCATGCATTCTTCTCTTCCGCCCACGGATCGCTTATGGCGCCAGCTGGCGGCGGAGGGAGCGTACTCCCCTGCCCGGGGAGCACCGGCAAATCTTTTGTGGGCGTGCTCAGTATATCCGGCGTCGGGATAGAGCCAGCCGTCGCCGAGAAACCGCTGTGCTTTCTGGGCTGCTCGGCGGACGCCTGAGATCGGTTTGTGCCGCCGTCTTCCCATCCCGTGGATCGCCAGGATGCGGAATCTTGTTTGTCCAGATGTGTTAGCCGCAGTGTTGTGACGATGTGCACGTAGTCGGAGGATTCAGTGGATTTAGCGATGGCTAGGTCAATCGGCAACTGGGGTGAGGGAAGACGCCAAGTGAGCACATTCGTATTCATGGACGTACGGAAACACGACCGTAACCATAAACCGGCAGTGCCTTACCTTCCCATCCTTGTCCGTCACATCTGTGCGCGGGGTTCTGCGAAGAATGGCCGTGACGGCTTTTGCATTCCCTGCATCTGCGGCGCAGTGTAAGGGAGCTACAAATGATGATCTGATTAGCCGAGCCCATCTACTTCCTGAGTGTCTTCAACCCTTTGAACATACTCCATCCTTTCTCGTCCACAGCATCAAAGTCGGCATTCCACAGCAGCAGGAACTCCACAACGCTTGCATCAACGCTCGCCGCTTTATGCAGCAAGGTCTGCCCATTGAGATCTTTTTCGTTGACATTAGAGCCATGCGCGATACTGGCAAGCAGCTCAAGGAGGTAATCATGTGTTAATGGCGGAGTAGAGAAGGGTGTAGTGGCGGGTCGTAGGAATGCCTGGTTAAGCAATGACGCGTAAGTGGAGTTGCACCGGTTGCGGTTTGGCTGGCCGAGCGTACCTTCGCATTGTACTTCTGTACCGAGTACTTCTGCTTCTTCGCCCTATTGACATCAACAGTAAGTATGGGGTTCCAAGTAAACAGAAGAGGTATTGGAAGTTCTCGCCTATCGTCATCTGGCTTTGGCTTGCCGTCTTCATCTTTGAGATTGCCTTCGAATAGCTCGTTGACTCGTTTGTTCCCCAAAGTAAGGAGGATATCTCCCTCCAGCTGATCCCAACGATCGAGGGACAGTGATTTGACCTGGAAGAGAGAAAGGATTGAGTATTCGGTACCGCGTTTGTACATATTCAGCCGCAAAGACGACGTGTAGCTCACCTTGGAGACGTGCCTCCCTAAACCCCGATGTATTCCAGAGCAAGTGATACACACTATGATGCCCAAGTTACAACTCGCCCATTCCACGTCCTGATCCGACCCGCAGTCAGCACAGGTATCATTGCCGGGTACCGAGCGTACACGCTCGAGTAGGTCTGCTGCCTTTTGAGGAGCATTTAATGCAGAGGTCCCGCCCTGCAGGTGTGATGTGGTGTTTGTGGGGTCCGCGAAGGACGGTTTCTGCGATCGAGAATGTTAGGCTGCTGCAAAGACACTCCCCTCAGCTTTCAGGCGGACATACCACCCCGGGATTGCCAGCACCTTCATCGGAGATAGAACGCGAGATGGCGGCCTGCAACGCGCTAATCCAATCCTTCAGCTGGGCTTCGTTCTGCGCTTGAAGCGTGAGAGTTCTGGAATGCACCTATCAGCTGATTATCAGACTTCGGGTGCGAGACCCGGCTGCAGGCTCACTTTGTGGGAGACACCAAGTCGAAGCAGAACCGCCGTTCAGGTGTGGGCGTCTCTTTGACCATGCATATCCTTAGATCAACGGTCGTCTTCGCCTCATCCTGCGGTTCTTCTATGTCAGCTTCGTACGTACTGTACACTCCATTTCACCGGCTGCAATGCTCACTACCGACCTTGCCCTCTATCGAAAAGTACCCCAGGTACCAGTTCCCCAACTCGAAGAACCTCCGATGCCACACTGTCCGCATCTTGCTTGAGCTCTTCTTGTAAAGATAGCCAGCCTTGTAAATGGTAGAGGACGTCCGCGTTGATTTCGTTTCCGACACGGATGACGCTGGGTCGTAGTATTCCGGCGGCAGGAGGAGGGAGTTCGCCTGTGGCGCCGGTTGACGGGCATGCTCCATCCGGCTCTTTTGCAGAAGGCCTGTGAGCTCCCGCATAGACGGCTCAAGATCCTTCAGGGCATCATAAGCTTGGTGGAAGAACGAGAAATTCGTATACACGAGAGCCACAACGTTCTCAACGAGCTCGAACTTTCTTTTCACATTGACTTCATTCAGCTTGATGCCGTATTCCACTGTCTTCATGTGGAAGTGTCTCCGCGATTCAGCAGCGTCGCGTGCGCTCTCCTCGATGCCCTTGTCTTGCGGACGCTTCCCCATGTACTTTCCCATAGCATTGAGGAAGTGGTCCTGCGATTGCAAGAAGTCTTTCCCAGCTCTTTTGGCGGGCGCAATTTCGGTGGTGCCAAAATTGTTCAGCGGTTCTATGAAGACATCTTTGTATTGGCTGGCGGCTATCATCCGGCTCCTTTCGATGTCTTTGAAAACCTGCGCGAACTTCAAGAGCTGCAGTCCGATAAGCTCATAGGAAGGGTCGTCCTCGAACCCAGCTAGGCTCTGAATCTCCTCCGCAAGCGCTTGATATTTTGCAGAGTAGTCCTTTGTCATGTCAGTGATTTTCTCAGCAATCGTAGCCATCTTGCGAATGGACCCGTCCACGAAGTTAAGAGAGGTCTCGCTCTCCTGTAGCGATGCACGGAAAACAGGGGAGTCCCCGAAGGCCTCCTCCAGCAGGACCGGCTTCATGGCGTATTGATACTGTAGAACTGAGGATGGTTCGGCTGGCCGGAATGTGCGCTGGCCTGGCCTGCTGAGGGACGCAGTTTCTATGGTACTGTATGTAACTTGTTTGAGAAATTCCCCAGACGCGTTAGAGACAACCAGGTATGTAATTTGTGACAGGCCCCGCGTTGGACCGTCAAGATACTTTTGCGTTCTAAGGTTTCGATTAATGTATTGTAAGAAAGTCCCAAAAATGTAGCTAATTCACCATCCCAACGACTTCACCCGTGCCGCGGGCGAAGGTTGATGAGCGTTTTGCATCCCCTTCGACCCCGGTATCTGACTCCCGCCCTCCTTCGCTGTTGGATTGAACACCAATCCCGAAGCATTAGATCCCTTCATCCCTACTCCTCTGCGTAACATCGCAGGGCTATTCGAGGCAGAGCCCCTCCCAGAAGATGTTCGAGATGCAGAATTCAGAGCTCCAGCTGTTGCCGAAACATCTCGCCTGCTCGCCCCGGCCAGATGAGCAACGCAATTCATCAATTTCAATCGTCCTTCCCACTCGTAATCGAGATCAACTGCGAACACTTTGCTGATCACGAACCGATACACGGCTGTGTTCTTGGGGAAGCCCGGGAGCAAAGCGCAGTCTACACGGAAGTTGAGGTCATCGAGAAGATGCTCCATGAGGCGTTGAATCCACCCGCCATGTGTGATGACAAGGATATTGATTTGTCGCATTCGGGGTGGTCGTGGGGCAAAGGTTTGTCGCGTTTTCGTCACTACGGTTCCGGGGCCCGTTGCGCCTGATGTTGCTGCTTGATTTGCGGATGCTTCTTTCGTTTCGCTCGGTTGTCCTGACGGCTGTTGCGTGCTGTTCGATGCATCACCCTGACTTTGCGTTTGCTCGGGCCTTCGCTCTTGCGTGGCGATACCCGATGCCTCAACTGTATCAATCGACCCCAGCCCAGTTCGCTGGGAGGCGGCGCCTTGCAATAGGGAGTCGGTTGACGTCGCGCGCAACATTTGCGTGTGTGGTTGCAAAAGATGCGTCTCGATCAAATCCGTGTAAAAGTCGATGACACGCTCTTTGAATGCACGATTGCTTTCGCCCTTCTCCGCAATGTGATCGTCGAACGAGCGATCTTCTTCCTTCAATATCTGCTTCGCGTCGGGCCACGAGAGCCCTGTGAGATCTCCAAGATCTTGCTCTCGCAGGCGTTTATCTTTGCTCAGCGGAGTTTCGGAATGATGCTTTGCAACCTCGTAGGATGTCTGAAGGTATCAAGAGGTCAAGGTTGGTTTCCAGTTCCCACATTCACAATGCGCGACAGACCCACGAGTGTCCCTACCTGCTTTGCCCGTAGCAAGTCGCTGGTATATATGTGGTCGAAGGTCTCCTTCTTGAGTCTCCAAGACAAAGATTCTGCCTGCTTCATTCCCACGACGTTTATGGCGGATTCTGCAAACCATCGAAAGTCAGTAAGATTCTGAGCACCGACTCGTTGAACAGGCGGAGACTCTTACCTGACTGTCCCTGGAGTACACGAGGCACCATGGCGTTCTGATCCGTTTCCGCACTACAAACAAACACCGCTCAGCAATGTGACCTGGGTCTGCGACGTTCTCCACGGATATCAGAGTAGTATTTCTTTTGGCTGAAACACGCCTCCTGCATGCGTCGTTCTCCTTCCGTTCACCCGCGGTGGACGCATTTTTTTTGCATATACCACCACCAAAACCCAGCTTCCAGTGGAAACCCTCGTGCCTGACTCTCATCCTTGCTATACCAATTGTTTGCACGTACTGGCGCACTACGGTCACTTCCAGACAAATGTTTCGACGCGACATAGTTCTTCGAGCAAGAGGCACCTGTAGGAAGGATATGCGGGCCGACAAGTTCCTGTATCCAGCCTAGCTTGGACTACTGCTTGACTATAACGGAGCTCTGGTTTGCAGGCAGATGGGAGAGGTGCTGGCTGGTGGAAATGGGCGACGACTTCGAAGGTGGCGGTAAGTGGGATTTTTTGGTGACTAACGCGTTCCTTCCTTCTTCCTTCTGCCGGTTCGGCCTCGGTTCCCCCTCCGCCATCCTATTCTACAGTATGTCTGGATGCCACATCATTATCTATCCGATGCATGGCGAGCGACAGGAGCTTTTAGGGCAGTTGATAGGAGGGAAGGGAATGGGCCAGTTCGGAGTGGTTGTAGTATGGGAGAGTCAGGGGGCGAGGGTGACAGGAAGGCGGTACACACCGCTCACATACAGTACATCAGTCGAAGCTCTTCGTTTCTGGATCTCCCCATTTCTGCGTCTTTCTTAAAATTTCGGGGAATGGAAGCATATACGCTTCTCCGATATCTGGTTCTATATATATATATATATAGTGCCCAGGACTGCACATCGCGCTACTCGTCGGAGGGGCGCTTCGGCGCATGAGCCATGCAAAAGTCTTGAAATATCCGCAAAATGCTGGGAGCCTTTTCTGCTCTATGCACCAAAGAGTCGACCTGTAACATAGGGCATTGCCGCATAGCTACTACCGGTACAATATAATATTGCGGACTCCTTACTAGTCACGACAGCAGTACCAATTCTGATAACGTAGACTAACTGCTTCCGGACACTCGGTCGCGTTGAAAAAGCGAGCCATCTTGCTTACAGTACATCTCGGGCTGAATTTGAAAAAGGAACGCGAGAACGCCGACGACGTCGGCACATCCTTGGAACGAGATGGCTCAAAATCCTCCACTGCTTGTTTCCGGAGGAGCCTTGGCCCGTGGCTGGCACATAGAGCTCCCCACAACCCTCGCTTCCGCAAAGGCCGCCACAACGATTTCCCACCACCAATCCTCACTTTTTGTACCTTCCAAGGATACGAAGATAACGTCTTTATGCTGGAGTGCAGAGGGATTGTTGCTAGCTGTGATTACCTCCAAGGGGCTGTTCCTTGTCAGTGCGAAAGGCGAGATTCTGAAGTCGATACCGAGTGGCAACGAGCATCAAATTCGGACTGCAGCGTTTCTGAAAGCGAGCCCTCGGTACTTGACTTTTGGTGGGACGGAGAAGTCGGTCAGATTTTGGGACGCAAAGAAGGATGAAGCGATTCGGATGTTGAAGGTTGGTCCCCAGTGACAACCAAAGGCCGGTTGCAAAACCACGAGCCCTGATGGATCCGGTTGTTTGTAGGGTCACAGCGGGACTGTTAACTCGATCGACATATCTGGGGATGACCGCCGGTGTGCTGTTGGAACATCTTCGGGCGGTGTTGGGGTGTACTCTATGAAGGATGGTGTCTACACGTCTCTTGCGAGCCCTTTCAAGGAGGTAAACCGTCGGAACGTTCTAATGCCATTAGTTAAATATGTGGCTAAACTTGGACCGCCTCCAGAGTGTGAACAAGGTTGCCTTCTCGCCAATTCGAAAATCTATGCTCTTTGCTGTCGGCGACGAAGGATTCGTGGTCCTGTGGGATGTTGACAGGAAGGCGGAGCCGTTACAAATTCACAAGCCAGCTCATGCAGGTCCTGTGCGTGGGCTTGAGCTGACGAGAGCGAATATCATGTGCACCGTGGGGCTAGACAAGATGGCGCAGTTCTATGACATCGCCCTAAAGAGGTATTTTAGATGCTTATCGTCGCACGCGCGAGGCAACATCAGTCTTACACGTTACTCCAGAATTGTCCATTCCGTCAATTTGAAGGCGCCGGTAATGTCCTGCACAAGTCTGGGAGGCCATATATTTGCCTTCGGGTTGGCGAATGGTGAGTCATCTACTGTTGTGCCTATGCAAAGTGCGTGTCTAATGTAAGTTGGGTGGATAGGGGTGATTGTGATATACGATATTAGGCTCCGAAAACACATCGACACACTGCAAAGCTCCTCCGAGCAGAGCCCAATAGAAGCCCTGGCCTTTCAGCCGTCCCTCGTAAGTTCGCATCCTTGATTTGTTGTCGGATGGTATATGATAACGAATCCGCTATCCAGGACGGAGAATCCAAGCCGTCCAAAGAGTCCATTTTTGGCTCCCGCTCTAAGGACGCTGCGTCAACGACTGGAGGAAATCCGAAGACCACAGTATCAACGGATAGGACTCGGCGGGCCCTCTCTACAAGAGATGCAGAAAACCCACCTCCGGTTAGCAACCTCAAGACCAACGAACTAATGAGCATGTTCAGTCCTGTTAAAAGCGTGACGCGAAATGGTGGGTGGGCTACTTTATGAACGGCAGTATATAGGGCGGGAAACTTAATCCCACTGCGTTCGGCAGAGCCTACGCGTTCACATCCGGTTGACTCAACAGACAAGCTTCAAGCCTCGCGAGCCATATCGGCTTTGACAAATCGATCCACCACAGGCACCACGGGCTCGGAAAAACCTGCAAGGCGGGCGGTCTCCGCAACAGCTGAGGCGCTCCTCGCGGAGGCTCGTTCAAAGGTTCAAAGCGCTCGGACCACGAAGAATGAGCAGTTGCAGGACAGCAGAAACCTGGAGAATAAGCAAAGCACGTCCCCACAGCGTCGGGCGCCACCTTCGCAAACGAACAGTAACAGAGGTCCATCTCCACCATCGGAGAAATCCCCCCCGCGTGTGACATCAACTGGAACGGGTTCGAGGTTCTCTGCTGGGACTAGTTCATCAAAGAACGAAGACTTGGAGAGCAAGCTGGCAAGGCTTCAGGCGAGTATGACTCCGGGACAAAATGACGAAGGTAAACCTTCGTAAGAAGCTTTATGATAGGTCGCTGTCCACTGATTCCTACTTCACTTGTAGTCATGAACATGTTCTCTCCTATCGCTGCAAAGTCTCAACATTCTACATCTCGGAGAGCTACTCCGGAATCAACCAGCCGATCGCCACCAGCGTCGAGTTTGCATCCAAATTCTCATATCTCAGGCAGTCTTGCGGAGAAGGATACTCAACGATTGCCCTTGGCATCGACGACCGTCCCTCAGCCAGGACACGTACAAGACCCCTTTGCAGTCGGCCACGATTCAAACGGTTCTTCAGAAGCGCGGAGAAGCGCGACGCTACTCCGAGGAGAGACTGGGGCGAAATGGGCAGAACTGAAGGTCGACCCAGCGTCGATTTCCCAGTATGACTTGCAACGGTTTCCGAGTAACAATGAGGGTCGGCCGGTTCATAACCGCCCGGAGATTCCGGACGAATTCCGGGAAATGTCGAATGCAAAGAGAGTCGAACCAAGTCCAGAGCCGCAGGTCCCTTTAGGCAGGAATCAACCGAATCGGGAAGGTCCTGCTGCTCGGTTCCCGACGTCGGATGTCTTTGAGGATGGTAGGATAGCCAAAGACAGTTTGCGAGACCAACCCAGGCGTCCGACATCGGTAGGGGAGCCGAGCACTGGCCGCCATCAGGATAGGGATCTCAGGCGAGCAACTGGGAGTCCGCCGGTAGGAAACAACCCTGAGGTCGCCAAATTTGCAGGCTCAACAAAGGGCCGGCCACATTCTGGCTCATCTGATGAACACCTGCCTGACGCGCGGACGACCACTACAGCAGACTTCTGCGGTTGGGTTCAACGAGAAGCGCTGGACAGTGTACGAATATTGTCCAACTCAGATGCAGCCCTACGCTCAAAGAGCCCTCCAGCCGCAGTCCCTTATCGCTCCGTTCCCCTCGGTAACTACCACCCGCATAGAGTGGAGGATGCTATAGCGAAACGGGGAAGTTCAAGCCTGACGCCCACAACAAAATCGCCCGTTAGGCAACCGCCGGCGGTGTCGGCACCTCCCAGCTTTCAACATCAGATGCTGCAGAGCATTGTCAATGACTGTTTGGAGGACTTCCGGGAGCAGCTGCGAGCAGATGTGCGAAACATGCATGTGGATTTGTTGAGACAGTTTTGGATACAGAAGGTGAGCGGCACCACATTTCAAAGCTTGTCCGATATCACCAAGAAGCTCAACTGGCACCCCTTGTTTGTTACAGACCGAAGTGGAGGACCTCTTCCGTCGCTACTCACCGAACGAGACGCTGTTACAAGAAAACCGGAGACTGAGGGAGGACAACGAGAGACTCCGGTGTACTTATTGATGTGGGCAGTTTACGCATGGCTAGCCAGCTAGCTTACAGTAAAGTGTACATGTAGAATAGTGTCTTGGAACCGCAATGAACATTCTGGTGAACACCGGGACGTTGAGCCCACCGCATAAATGGTTTCCCTGTCCGCGAAACATCGTCAAATCTACGCAGTTTCCTGATCTATACCCCACTCTGTCCCCTCCCCGATGTCGTCGGTTTCCCCACGGCCAACGACAGAGTGTTTGCATCCCAGCTGGTCAACCTCCTCATATCCACTAACCCCCAATCCCTCCCCGCCGTAATAATACATGTTCCCGTCTTGGGATCCAGCATCCTACAACTTCGTTTGGTTGACAGTCCATTGCCACCTGGGGTGAATGGAGCCCCGTACGATTGCACCGCGCCGCGTGCGCCAGCGCTCGCAGCGGGGTCGGATGAGTCTCTGTCGAGGTGCGAGTTGGATGAACTTGATGGCGTGTCTCGCGAGAGTTGAGAGACTCGGTTGGAGAGGATACGGTGTTCCATTAATGGGATTGGTGTGGAGACAGCGTACACGAGGAAGATGCCTGGGCGAATGTATCCATGCATTAGCAATCATCCGACGTAAGATCGATGACGATGGGAATTGTTTACCATCGGATGTATATGCCATCAAATACTGCCTGAACGGCGCCCCATCGATCCTCAGATTCGCCACGTCCGCCCAGACCAACACCGGCTCGGTGGCGAGGCCATGTGAATCCTTGTCTTGGTCGGCGTAGGTGTAAACGACGGGCGTGGCCGTGGCAAGGCCGCCTTCCATGGCATACATGCGAAGGGATCCGTCGGTGCAGCAGAGAAGGAGATATGGCTTCTTGGTTTCCGTGTGGAGGAAGGTTCTGATGTGTTTGGCCTGCAAAAATGTGAGAAGGTGATATAAAAATGCGAATAAGGCAGGAGTTGTCATCACCAAGATCTCTGGGCCGGTGCGGAAAGAATAGAATGCTTTTCCCGGGCTACGCTGCTGGCCTTCCTCGTCGGACTTGCCTGGTGGGCGCACGGGGCTGAGAGATGTTGTTGGCAGCGGTTGAATCTATAGAACAAGGACTATCAATAAATTGCACATTTGCGATGAAGCAAGCGTTAGGAAGGGATCGGAGTTGTCAACTCACATCTAAACACCAAGCGACAAAGAGATCCTTCCGCGCTGGCGGAGGCACGTACTCCATCGTCACACTCGCTCGTCGCCCGGCCAGGGAAGGTGGTTCACCGCTGAAGCTTGACCTCCGACTCCCTATTCCCATGGGAGGCTTCTCGGGCTCTAAGGTAGTGGTGTCTTTTTCCCGGTCTCGGCCTGTTACGCCGCCGATGACTGTTTCACAATTAAGACGCAGGAGTGCTCCGGATTTCATGGCTATCAGCAGGTATCGTTGCACGCTGTCGGCGCAAAAGGCTGTGATGAAGGAATCATCCAGCTGTACAAGCAAGGGACAATGATGGATAAGCCAGAGACCATAAACCACATATGGGACTCGCCCCATCCACACATCCCAAGCCAGCGCTTACATTTGCCGTCGGCCGGTCGTCCTCCAGCCCCAGACTCTCTCTCACGGACTCCAACCGCGTCTGCGCAATGACTTTGAGTTGCTTGTCTTTAGCGATATACTTCAGCACATCGCCTTTGCATTGCCACTCATCCTCCAGATCAAGGTTGTACGCCGCGAGGATCTGATCGCTTCCGGTGTGCGACACGAGGCAGACGACAACATCGTCGTAATCCACAAAGCAGCAACTTCGGATCGCTGCCCTCGAGAGGCGACGTTGATTGTGAACATTGCAGGTATACGTCTGCGCTGTCCCAGATCAGCTTTGAAATGAACGATCGCGCAACGCCGTTGGGAATTGCTTAGCTTACCAGAGTATCCGCTGCTCGGTCGAACACGACCTCGATGGTCAATAAAACCCCTGCACCCGTTGCACATCCCAAAAAGAAGACATGCTTTGACAAAGTGAACGGCATTGACTCGGCAGGCTCAAGCGTCTCTGGCTCTTCCTGTGCGAGTTCGGTCCCGGAGCCCAGATTTGCGTCTTCAGCTTTGTCATCGGAGTTTTCCTCGTCGTCTTCTTCTTCATCCTCCTCAAGAACGTTTCCGATCACTCGTCGCCTAGCGGAAGGTGCTCGCGAGGCGGCGGTTGAGGGTCCCCAAAGTCGGGTTTTGCTTCCCTTATCTTCTTTTGCCACGGCGCCGCCTGTGGGCGCTGGTTGAGATGGTTTCTGTGACTCACGTAAGGACTTGATCGTCATTTTTAATGGTGGCGGAGGTGGGGAAACGACACGAGATGCCCTCTGCGACGACACTGAGAGCCGAATGGGTTCATCGTCGTTGACGTCGATTGAATCAGCATCTCCGCTACTTGAGCCAGAAATGTCTAGCTCTTCCGCTGTTTGCGCCGATTTCTCGTGAGTGAAGAGATGCAAGACGGAGGTGATGGCATCCGTAGGAAGGTCTTGGATGACGTTGCGGAGCGTCGGCTGCGTGGAGCCGGGTGCGAATTCCCAGAACTCTATAAAGACGTTTAGACTCTTGATTTGACATCAAGGCCGAATCAAACTCTACGTACCGAGCCATGTATTGGATGCGAAGGCCACATACAGCCGGGAAGTGAGACCGTGCACGTGAAGGACTGGACCATATGTGCAGCAAAAGTGATGGACAAACTTTGGGCCCGCTAGAGATGTTTCATCAGCTCTTCCTGATACGCTTGGATGAAATCTCACTTGCAGATGTTACCTTCGAGCAGCGATTTCTTTGCCTGAAACTTTCTCCGGGTAGTGGCGACCTTGAGCCTGAGCTGTTCCTCCGAGTCCAGCTTTTGATTGGCCTACAGTCAATAGATCATCAATTCAGATAGGTATCTAGCATCACCGGCCCTATCGTTGCGGTGCATTGGCCGTTTTGCGAGAGTTCCCCTTGTAGATAGCGTACATGCTCCTCCTCCAGCTTCTTTTTTTGGCCACTCTGCCGCAACAATGCATCCTTAGCTCTCAAGATCATTTCATTGGCATAGTCCTCGTCGCTCGTCATGGATGTGGTGGGCACTTCTGCGGAGAATATCGCATACGGTTGGAACTGGGCTCGCTTGAAGGTCAAGCTCTCCCGAAAGGCTTTCTCGTACGTCTGAACATTCGGGAGAATGGAAAGCCACAAATAAGTAACGAGCTTAGATAGCTGACACACAGGACATGCAGACGAGACGTACACATGTGCATCGCTTCATGTATCATAGATGACTTGGAGCAGCAGCGAGGATGACATACCTCGACGCCGGTCCTGGCATTTGTGATTTGATTTTTGGTTTGATTCAACTCATTAGGGACGTTCAAAGGCTTTGGGGCGGCAGGCAATCCCGCCGGCAAAGCCTGTGATACTCGGGACATGTTTTTTTCCGTTGCATCTAGCCTTTGGATATCGCCGACCACAGGACAAATCCCTCCGTAGTATGTCACGGACGGAAAACCAAAAAAACTTCGAGGACGCGTTAGGATGTTCCTCTTCCTGACGCGTGGGGACCGTGCGTGAGTCAAGTCTCTGCGATTCTCTCACTTCCCACTTGCTTCCCACTCCCGGGCAGACTCCCGGGCGCCCCCATTGCTTGGTTTCTTCACTCGAAAACCCATACGTAAATAACCCCATGGCTCGCCCAGCAGCAACGCCCTCTGCAGAAACACCTTCAGGAGCAAGGCAACAGCCTACGCCCTCGGTAGAAACTCCAGGAAATGTGAGCCCAATAGCTAGGGAAGTAATTCCCTTGCAACCTTCAACTCAGGACATCCCAGAACTCCGGAGTGGTCTGAGGAATAATGTCAAACAATGCAGAGAGCGCGGACTGCACTTCGCAGCCAAATGGTATGCCCGTCTTCTGCGGCAGCGTTGACGCCCTTCCCAAGTAACGCGTCGTCCGCAACAGGTCGGCAGATCAGCTACGATGCCTTGTACCGAACCCCACCTCGACCGACTCTATGGACGAGACTGTGGCTTCAGCGGCAATCGCGACGGAGGAGGAGCCGATCGTCTCGGAAACTGAGGAGGAAGCTTGCTCACTTGCTTTGTCTTTCATCAACCTGCGAGACTACGAACGTACAGCGTGGTGTTTGCGACCGCCAAGCACTGTGGCTGGTCTGGCCATGGAAACGAAGCGACAGGCTCCAAGGGCGTTGTTCCTGAGGCTGTATGCGAAATACCTCGTGAGTATGGGTCTCTGAGGGAGGAAGTCGCTCAACGAAGTGAAGTTTGACCACAAACCGTCCTGTAGGCCGGTGAAAACCGTCAAGCGTTGCAACAACTGGAAACTGAGAGTTCGTCATGGATCAGCAAGCAAAGGCAAACGCAGGCAATCTCTGACATTGCTCCCTTTTTAGTCATCGTGGAAAGCACAAAGGCGCCCAACCCCTACCTGCACGAGATTCAACTGGAACTGAAACGAAATGATGGCCATCTGGATAGTTTCTGTCTTTGGCTGTACGTTAAACCGCTTTGCACTCCTTTTAACACACACTAACGTTGGACCCATTAGCCGTGGTTTGGTATACCGGAAAGTGAAGCGCTACGATCTGGCAAAAGAGGCTTTGGTACAAGCGATAACCTTAAATCCATACAACTGGAATGCCTGGGAGGAGGCCGCCGAGCTTGTGGCGAATCCAGAGGAGGTATGAATAACGCTTCGAAACTCTCCATATTGACGTGGGTGAACGGACGACTGACAACATCGCAATCTGTAAAGCTGAATACGCTGCTCACCGAGTTACCCGATGGGTACATGCGACGATTCTTCGTTCTTCACATGGTGGCGCAGCATGGCATTGGGGCGGATCTATATTCCCAAGCTTCTGCAGACCTCTCAGTGGTCTTTCCCAATAGCTCTTACCTGAGACTGCAAGATGCCTTGGCTCACTACCAACAAGGGAGTAGGTTGCCAGCCAGGATCATCAGCGGTTTCCGTCACGCACGGAAAAGCTGACATCATTTCCCCAGAGTATCGAAGAGCGCTGGACTATTTCGAGGAATACCGAGAGCTGGAGCCCTACTCGGTAGAGCAGATAGACATCCACTCTCATATCCTGTTCACTATGAATGATGAGGTCAAACTGTCTGTTTTGACGCGAAATGCGCTGAGCATCGACAAATACCGCCTCGAAACCTGCATTGTTGCAGGTAGGTTGCGCGATTCCGTATAGCCTTCCCATCTGACGGGGTTTGACCTGAAACCCGCTTGTAGGCAATTTCTTCAGTCTCCGTCGAGAACACGGGCAAGCAATCGACTATTTTGGTAGAGCGTTGAAACTGCAACCTGGCCACGTGGAGGCTCTAATCATGATGGGAGACGAATATGTGGAGCTCAAGAACTCAAATGCTGCCTTGGAGGCATATCGTCGGGCAGCTGGTGAGCTGGTCACGCGATACCATCTTTTCCAATCTTTCGCATTGTTGATGGATACCTTGCAGACGTGGCGCCAACCGATTTCCGGACATGGTTTGGGGTCGGGAAAGCATTCGATATGCTCGCTCTTCCAGATCATGCCATTACATACTTCAGCAAGGCGGCTACGTGCAAGTAAGCCAATCTAGCCTTCACGGCTGTCTCCCTAACTCCCATGTTGACACATATCTAAATGCTGCAGGCCAGACCACGCGCTAACATGGACATGCATGGGCCAAGCATACGAAGGCGTCAACAAGAACCACCAAGCCCTTCAATGCTACCGACGTGCGTTACTATGCCCCGAAAGGGGCAGTGCTTTGTTTTACTATATTGCCCACATATTTGAAAGGGCGCCGGAGATGGACGACCCTGCTCAAGCGGCGTTCTACTATAAATGCTGGATAGAGGAGTACCATAAAGGTGCTGTGGATAAGGTATGCCCGTGTTCTATTGGAAACGCACGCCCGGGGAAAGATTCGTACAAATTCATCTGACTGATGCCTTCCTTTCAAAATAGCGCGCGAACGAGGAGAGACACGAGCATGCGATAACGTATCTGGCGGACTACTACTGCGCGAAAGGCGACTATGCCAATTCGGAGCTGTTTGCAAACCAGATACAACATACGGAGGTACGCATATCTTTCTATATTCGACGCGTAGGTGACCCGGACTGTGTGCATCTGACACACTCATATTTCCCTACTGCCTTTTCCTACGATAATTTTCAGCGAGGAAAGTCGCTTCTCCGCGAAATCCGACGTTTGCGCACCCATAAGTCAATATACGCAGATCGGAACGGAGCGCACCAATACCTGCCACCATCCTGGACCGACACGACCCCCATGCGGGAAGGCAGCGGGATGACCGGCCACGACACGACATCTCAAATGAGCAGCGGGCGGTCCAGCGGCATCATGGGTACACCCTCGCAATTCGGGTCCACACGTGAATCACTCGTTGGGCATCGCCTGCCAATTGCGTCGCCTTGGTATACCTCGGAAGAGTCGTCGATCCATTCGACACCGGGGGATAATGCGGCGGGTCGTCTTTTGCCGGGGTCGGCGCTACCGTCGGCGCGACAGGGGAGGGAAGTCAATAGTTCGTCGGGGTCGTCCTCTGTTGGTGGCGGGCCGCAGAGTGCGAGGACGAGTAGGATGGGATCGAGAACTGGGTCTTGGTCGAGTTCGCCTGCTGTCGATGATGCGCGGTGATTTGGCAGCTATCAGTAACCCGCAAGTTGCTGCTAAGACTATATATTCTGGCGCTGGGGAAGCTGTTCTGCCTGAAGGCGGAGCCAGCACAAGCAAGCAATACGATACGAGAGCGCCGGCGAACAACTTCGCCCGTAACCAGTCCTTCAAATAACAGAAGGTCTAGTGTCAAACGAGCACAAGCGAATGACGAAACTGCGTAGAACGTCACGATTGTTCATCCTCGGCGTATGTGATCCCATGTTACTACTAGGCGAGTGTCTGGGCGCAGCGCTTTTTTTTGGTATATATAGGCTCCCCAGCTATACACGAAAACATATGATTTCCAAAAAAAGAACGTGTCTGTATTCTCTATAACATACTTTGATGCCGCTTCAGTATCGACAAAGCGTATCACGAAAATACGCCGCTAGGGACAGTACAGCCGGCATCCCTAGTTGGAGACACCGGCCCACTGCGGACTCCTTTTTTCATTGCGCTATATATATATATACACACATCACGGCTGTCCGGACCCTTTCCAGAGTGGACCGCCGCCGAGACCAGATCCCCTCCTTCGCCTGGGACCTTGTGGACCGCCCATTTTCCACTAAAGTCGTGGCGTCCCCATACCCGCCACTGATACGGGTATCAACACAGAATCACATCGGGTGAGGGGTCGGTGTGTAGGTATCTACCCCCGTACCGACCCCCGACACCCGACGGGCGACCCCCGACACCCGCCACGGGTCGGTGTGTAGGAAACGCACGCGCGTCCGTAGGCGTTTGCATGGGGACTTTCGAATTCTCAGTGCATAGTATGGGGACTACGTTTGCTCGGAGATACGCAGTACTGATGAAGTACACCTGGTGATCACCACTCCGGAGGTGATCACCCCTTCCGGCAGATATCAAATCAAAGCCTTGCCTCGGAGAGGTCGTTGCAACCTCGGGCAACGACCTCTCCGTGGCAAGGCGTTGGTTTGATTTCTGCCTGAACCTTACATCCCCACCGAAGAACGAGTCAACAAATCGACTGTACAGTTGACGGGTATATGACATTTCTGACATACAGTACTCTCCCCGTCCACGGTTCCCAGATCAGCTACACTTTTCATGATCATCAACAGCGTCCAAAGTATGTCCTGCGGGACCCAGCTACCGATGTCGGGTTTGTTCTGCGTCTTGCTATGGAACGCCTCCACTGCGCCGGTCAATTTGCTTACAGATTCGATGTGTGCAAGTGACGCTGCCGGAGAGGGGTTTCAATAACTCTTCCAATAGGATGGCCGTTGCCGCCTGAACTTCGGTGGGAAGCTTCCAAAACGGCCCGTCCCACTTTTCTAAGAGAACCCGCCAGCGGCAATTCAATTCTTCCAACTCCACGAACCAGTTCGTTTGCGAAGTGTCGGTGAAGGGCGGCGGGAGGGGAAACTTGCGAAGTTCCTTGGCAAAATATAGGTCCAAGCTTGGGAAAGTCGCATAGTAGATGGTAGAGTTGTCGGGAAGGCTGACGAGGTGAGCGTCCGTTTCGATCTCCTCCCCCTCGCTGGTAAAGTAGTAGAAAGTCGGTCGACTGTCCCCGGCGGTGACGTTGTTGGACTGCCGAAATTGTTCAACGGCCTTGAACTGCATGATCTTATCGAGGGCCTTCATACATGCAACGCTCGACAGGCTGAGAGGGCTCTTGTAAGAGAATGCTCGATAGTGTGTATATTCAACGTCTATCAAAGCTCTATCCCCGGATAAGGAAGGAAGAAAGGAAGCTACAGCTCCGACATGTAGCGGGACGTGCTTCTCTCACACCCCCCTTAAAACTGAGTTTTACAGAGAAGCACAGAGGGTTAATGTCGTTCCAAACCCAGGCTTCCGACCTTTGCCCACGGACACACCGAGTATAGCTACGATGACCACTATGTCGATCAAGTGGGCGAAGCTCGCGAGCAAGTACAGAGAAAACGATCACGCCGGCCTGCAGGTCACCGACTCCCCTGACGTCGACCTACAACCCAACGTCCCAGCATTGCGTCACTCTCTACAGGTTGCCCTCGGAATTTACTCCACCGAACTGGCTATGCAGACGATTGCCGATTCGTTTGTAGATGACATCTCCTACGACGACATCACCAAAGCCGTTGGGGAGATCGAGGTATACGTTTGTCTGTGGGCGAAGAACACACTGCATGGACTCCACATTGACCGCGAGCATTGCCCGCCCGGCGTGGCGTGCGGCAACGTTTTCCTAAACGAATTGGTATGTAGGGATTTGAGCTCTTTACCCAACCGGTAATCTCACTCTTAGATCTCACCGTTTCTTTTTCACTAAACTCAGGATGTAAAAGTTCTGCCGACCACGGCCATCCACCAGTGGACACACGAAGAAAGAGCGTTCGTGATGTTGCTGGTCTGGTTTCTAGTCCATGAGATGGCTCATGCTCTGGTTTCGGTTTTGGAGCGCGACGGAAAGATCACCAGTTCCTCAACGCCATCAACAGCGACTGGCTTTGTTCATGAGGAAAGAGTCCTAAGGCAATACCAGGGCACAAGTCCGGAAGGATACGTAACAGGGGAAAGGGGGTGGTTTTTAGAAGACAGGCTGGGTGGACACTTGAAACTTCTGGTATATGTATTGTGTTGGTCAAGGGATCCTTTCATATCACACCGGACGGCTAACAATCAATACAGGAGAAAACCTTCGCGTTGTACATTCAACGCCCAGAGTTAAAGAAATACTGGAGAGTGGGTGCAGACGTCGTTGAGAAGATACTAAATTTCGGTGGGTGGTTCTCTTGTCAATCTTCAGCTCCTTTCAATCTTCATTCACCGTTCATGCGCTGATATATCTAATGCTCACTCTCAGACTATTCGGTGTTGCCCCTTGCCCGCTCGGGTCTGGGCGAATCCATGTCTCTCGCGACCGAAGCTTATATGAAAGGGAGATTAGTCGACGATCAGGATGACGAAGGTCATCACAAGGCTGGCATGAAAACCTAGATCCGTTTCTTTGTGCAACTCGCGCTATCGAAATGGTCGTGGGGCATCTATTACTATTATTTGGCCTTACATAGCCAATTGTGTTATGGAAGTAGTGCTTCCCCCAGTATGAACAACAAAAATCTACCTGCCGTCCTACCCGGCTTTGACGAGCATTACAAAATATGCGTAGACAACTTCAAATATGATGTCGCGAACTCAGTTGATTGATTGATAGTTCCCTCCCTCGTGGACACCCTCTTTATATACACAGTGTCCTTTTCTTCTAGAAGGAAAGGAGAGGGAAAGACGAAGTAGCTCGAGAGAACGACATCGGAAATAGATATCTATGTATAATAAATAACACATAAACACTGTTTGAGGTGTGTTTCATATCGGTGCGTACGATCCAAATAACCATGGCTCTCCGTTCAGATCACGCTCCTCTTTCACGTTCAAACCTTTTTTCGACCCCGCCTCCTGCCCCGCCTCCACTCTTGGATTAGATTTTGAGTAACCCTGTCTGCTGCTTACTCTGTGCTTCTAGAGGCTATGTTAGAATTCTGCCGCTTGAAATAAGCTTCGAATGTCTACCTCTGGTTCTCGACAGAGACCTTCTGTCCTTCACAAAGCAGGATGCAAGCGTCTCTTCATGCGGTGTCGGCGCCTACCCCTTCAAGACTCTGCCTTTTGTGCGCCGTCTTTTGTTGGCATGGGTGTCATGACTGCTCCTGCCCTGCAGCCGGCGAAGTCGCACGCGAAGGGGCGAGAAGTTCCAAGGTCCCTCCACAGCCCTCCACTTCCAGGTCCTCCGCGTCCAGCAGATGGTGGGAAAGCAGTTGGGAAAGCAGGTAGGAAGAGGCGCAAGGCGTCGGAAGTCGCAGCCATTGCATTCCCACAAGTCCACACCGTCCAGGGCTGTCCACTCGTCTGCAAGCACTGGGCAGGTGGCCTTCTCCCCCCACAACGCAATGCCGGCACTCCAGCAGCTCTTCAGCCTGCCCCCGCACGTGTTGCAGACGATTGCGCTGCACCTGCCCTCGCTCGCCGATTTCCACGCGTTCTGGTCCGCGCATCCCACTCTACGGAGGGTCATTGCAAGCTCCCCATCCTTTTACACAGCGTGCATCACAGCCCTCACCGCCGCCCGCCCGCAAGGGGACAACGACTTCTACAGAACGGAGATTATCATTGCTGAAGACTTTGGCAATCCCACTCCAACGCCTCCCACCGTCAATTTCGGTGCTTACATTTACGCCCTGACGGGCTTCTCATGTTTGCGACCGCGCCCCGTGCTCCCACTGGACTTGCATAAGGATTCTGAGGGGAACGGCGCGGATGATGGGCATGAAGGGAAGGGCTCGCATTATTTTAAGTGTGTCATCAATCAACTCCGAGAAAAAGCCGACCCGGACCTCGTCCCCGATTCCTCCAGCGCCAGATGGATCCTCGTTTCGGCTCTTTTGCATGGTCTTCTGCCCACTGTACAGTACCTGTGGGGCAGAGGTGTCAACCTTAGTCATGCATGTACGGTGATGGACCGGCCACCCGGAAACGCATTGGATTGTGCTCTCAGATCTCGCAGCGTGTCCACCGTTGAGTACGTGCTGACTACTGGCATGGAAACAAGGGCGGATACCTTTTTCAACCCAAGCGTACTGGAAATGCGGAATGATAATGATTGGAAGATATTTGACATTCTCGTCAAGGAGGTATGAGCTGCAATTTCACGCAGTGGGAAGTGGCCCCGGCCTCCACCCCTCGACGGTGAACTTACTCTTTGATTTCACGCTTTTCACGCGTGTTGCATGCTACTATTACCTTCATCGATCATCGTAAAGTGATATCACATCCGGAGAGATTGACCCTTCTTAGCGGTATCCTCACCGTTCACGAAGACAAGGAATATTTTATCGAACGCCTCGCCGAACTGGCTGGAGAGCGAAGGGACTCGGGGATCATTCGATTTCTCATCGATAACAAATGTGATGTGTCTCCAGCGCTCGTCGGCGTATTGGCACCCGCATCGCAAGAGTCAACATGCCAATCAATGGACGATCCCTTTCTGGCAATGCTATTGGCAAAGATACCGCAGGAAGGACCTTCATGGCAACAGGCGGTTCTGAAATCTCTTTGCAGAGCTCTCGTCCGCGGGAATGAAGAGCTGATCTACTTTCTGATTGACAAGGGAGCAAAGGTCCCCGTTGCATGGATAACGTCCTTCAATCCTACGTCAAGCGATTCTACGACCCGCAAGATGCATCTGTTGAGAGAAACTTCATTCGAGCGGTTGAGAAATACGGAAATCAGATTCCGGACATTACCTCTCCCCAAGTTGTCAGCGAGATTACACAGCGTCGGAATCCGCAGTTCGCACAAAGTTTACGAAAGTTCGCACCCATCTGATGCGGAGTAATTGGGAAAATATACTGTACAAAGATCCAGAAGCCAGTACATCCCTACTCACATACTGTACGTTGCGATGGGCATGAGGGAAAAAGCGTACCGATAGCAAGGCACCGGCGGTTCGGGAGCGCGAGCTCGTGTCGCAGCTAAAACAGCCCTTACACTCGGGGGTTTCATGCAGCAGAGCGGGGCCAAAGATATTGCTGATCCATGACCAGATGACTGCGTACGTAGAAAGAGACGTCGCAAGACTATGTGGAATTTTTCCAAGACAGGACATGGTCTACGTATCGCTATAAGAGCAAGTCCGCGAACATCCGATGCGGGCCTACATGTTGTCCCCAAGCCCGTTCCAGGCGTATCAGACAAGGCTGCATTACCTTCAAGCCTCTAGGAATCTGTCTGGCGTGCGGGTCCACATGTTATCCACAAGCTCTTTCCCGGTGTGTCAGACCCCGCGCTGCATTGCGGCGGTCTTCAGAGGCGAGGGGGTTCCGGCCGGCGCATTCGCACTACCTTTGCCTACCCTGCGAGCCACGGTTCCCTCAAGCATTTTCGAAGCCGTTCCCTTCGATGCATTAGAATTCAAAGCTTGCTGTAGGTTGGAACGCATAAGGCTAAGCCAATAACGGCGTTCGACCTCCCCGAACATACCTTGCATGTCTTGCACCGCAGGCAAGACTCCTCCCCAGATTCGCCTCCAGGACCGCTAACGCTTTCGGTGTGCTGGGTGTCAGTCCCTGCCGCGCTGGCATGTCGAATCATCCAAAACTTCGTTCCAATAACAGCTATCAACATCGTGTACAGAGACATCTCCACAACCAGGCAGGATAGCGTATCAACGACTGGCGGGCTGCGAAGATAACGGGTGTCAGTGAGTTCATAGTTCGTCCTAAAGTCCGCACATGGTAAGCCTTGGATGCGAACTGCATGATCCATACCTGGAGAGGAACGCAAGCAGCGGCAAGATGATAATGGCCGAGACGGTCACAGCGTAAGCGGAGTACCCGATGTAGATCGTCTCGTTGTATTTCTGCCACACGTTGCGAGTCTTGAAGGACATGTACGATAGCGCAACGAGGAAGACCAGGATGATGCCGATGAGGCCAAAGCCGAGCGACTGAAAGTGGTCGCCCGTTCCTCGAATCCAGTCGCTGGCCCCGTCAGCTACAAGTTCTTCTCGGATGGGCCACACCGTTGTCCAGACTATGATATAAATCTGCAAACGATGATGGGCAAGATGTTATCGATACCTGATCATTGTGCAGAGCTTTGCATGATCCAGGCAAAGCGCGGTGCACTTACCCAAACCACGGCACAGATGGCAGTCGCGCGAAGAAGTAAAACACTTTGCGGAAGGTTGATGCGGATTTTCGAGTTGAAGATCCGGTAGATTCTGCGTAACATTCGTTAGTTGAGGCCTGCAGTCCTCTGAGAAGGGTTTTGATGCCCAAGATGCAACGAACCTGTGGGTCTTCACGAACATGGCCGCGAAAGACATAATAAACCCTGTGGACATCAACCAGATGGTTGCGGTGAGACCGGTCTTGGTTGCGCCGATATTTACGTGAGTGAAAACGGACAGGTGGCCCAAGAGGATACCCAATGTCGTAAGGACAGCAAAGGCAGGCGACGCCGAGGCAACGACTGGATGTTTTCTAAACATGATAAGCCCGATCATCGACGCAACCGTGGCTAAACTTCCGAAAGATGCTAAAAGGTTCAGAACGGCAACCATTGCAACGTTCAGTTTGACAATGGGCCTGGTATACTATGATTAGTTTATGCGCGCTGTACCAAGGGAACTCCTTAAATGTTACCTTGGCGGCACTTCGTCCAAAGGCTGGGACAAGTAGAATGCGTTTGTGGCACCGTATCCTGCGATCAAAGCCGCAGTAAGACTATCATTCAACGAAACCTTGGCGCTGAGACACAGCCTCCCTCACCTTGTTGGGACCCGCCGAACACAAACACCAACGGCTTGGTGCTTGGCTTGCATAGTAACGCATCGGGTAGTTCACTGGCAACGCACGCATTTGCCGCTTCGGCTTGTACAAGCGTCATAGCGGCTGGTGAGTTGGTGCCCAGCGGTAGTTTCCCGGACTCGGTGAAGACCCATTTTCCTTGGACAGTGTTGTAAAAGAACGTGTCGGGACTCGCCGAGTTGGCCGTGCGACCGCCGATGTACAGGATACGGTGGGGATCCACAAGGACTGCAGCATGTCCTTCGATAGCGGGGGCTACACCAGCCGGATTGACGGGGATCCACTCCTTCCCTTCGATTGCGTAGATGTGTAAACTGTTGGTTAGGCCGCTCGCTATACCACCTAGCGCGAACATAATGTCAGGATGTGCCGCAAGTCAAGACATGATACGCATTACTAAGACTTTTCATACCCCCAAACAGCGCCATGTGAGTGCTATTGATAGCTGTCAATGTCGCCTGTTGCCGACCCTCGGGCCACAAAACCTTAGCGGAAGCCGGCAAGACAGTAGTGAGAGATCCGTCGGCGAAGCTGTGCTGGTAGAGGTCGGAGGACAGCTTCTGATCTGCCGTCACACCACCGAACATGTACAGCTTGTTTTCGACAAGGGCACCAGCATGGCCGGAGAGACGGAGATCCATCGACAATTTGGTCCAAGTTTTTGTGACTATATCAAGAGTCCACATGTCGCCCAGGGTAGCGTTCGATCCTAAGCCAGCCCTGCCACCTTGTACGAAAATGGTTTTCGAATCCAACGCAGCGGTAACGTGTTGGATTCGAGGTACGGGTTTGGTGCTGCTGGCCACAGTAGCATCTGAAATCACGCTCCACTGCCGGTAGTCAAAGTCAAAGAGATACGTGAAAGCGTTTAGGGCTCCTGTGCCGTCCGCTCCGCCGTACAAAACAGCTTTGTTCGTTCCGGGAAGCCTGATGAAGGTGGCACCTTCCAGGTCCGGCGGGGACATGCCGAATACGCCACTTAATTCAACCCAGGTTCCGGGTGTTTGTGACAACGTCGCGGAGGATGTAGCCGTGAAAAGGCCTGTCGAGCTGATCTTGGTGGAAATTGCTTTCCCTTGCAATTGTTGTTTGATTGACGCAAGATGGTCCGCACTGGAAGGAAGGAGAAGAAGCATGAGCATCCGTCAACTACGGGCAGCATTGACAACACGAAGTACTGACCAGGTTCGATAGGTCGTGATAGGGCATGAATTATTGCTGCCACGCATGATCAAAGGGACAGTGCGTGCCATCAATGCCGAAGCTTCGGCCGATCTCCATGCAGCTAAGCTCACGCCGCCGGCAGTAGCATCCATGATGCGATTGGTCTGAGCAAAGTTGCCGGCGAAGCGGTCCTTCAGGCTAAGCAATACCGACTGGTCAACCCGCTTCATTGCGGAACTGAGGATGTATCGGCTGGCAATGTCGCTGGTGTTGGTAAACGGTAAGGCTAGCCCTTCATCACTGTCAACTCCGATTACGAAGACACCTTTCCGGGCGGCATACTGGATGCCCGCAGAGCCAGTACTGCCACCGGCGCCGAAAATGATGTCTGCTCCCAACGCTATGAACTCTGGAGAGGTGCAATGAGATCAATACGCTGAACACTTCACTGCTTGGCAAATCGTTGAATGCATTAGAGTAATCCTACCTGCAGCGATTGCTTGTCCCTCAGAGGTGCTCGTAAACGACGTGGCATATTTGCGGAGAACACGGCAGCTAGGGCATGTGATCCCCACACCCATCACATAGCCGTTGGTATACTTTAGCACTGCGGTATTGGGCTGTCCACCTTAGGATACCAAATGAATCGAGTCATTGTCAGCACGAAATATGGTTTAAATGATGTGAAGTGGGAAGAAGTGCATGCCATACCAATGACTCCAACGATCCTGGATGTGCTGCTGAGTCCTGCAAGGGCTCCAGCCAAGAAGCCGGACTCATCTTCGGAGAAGATTGCGCCCTACAGGAAGCGAGTTTCGTAAGTCAGCCCTTGAGTATAGGGTATGCACGAGTTCATGAGACTCTTCCCGGCGTACCTGCACATTCGCATAGTCGGAGGTGGCTGGGTAGCTGACTGACGAGGTCGAGATCTTAACATTCGGGAACTCCTTGATGCCTATTGTATTAAGGTTATACTTGTGCCCGCTCCGCGCAAGATAGCAATGCCGCACTTACAGCCGGGAAGTTGCTTGGCGTACTTTGACGAGATGAGAACGTAATGATCGTAAGTACCACCGCCGTACGTGCCATCTGATTGTTTATTCAATATAATCGTAAGCGCAAACGTTCTTAGTGGAGATCTCAAGCGCAAACGTTCGCACTCAAGTAGCCTCGCAAATTGTTGAGAAAGCCAGCATCACTGCTGGCACTCTTGTAATCGTAAGTACAGCTATCGGTTGCTGGGTTTCCGTATGCCGCGATGGCCGATGGACATCCGCTCCACGCGAGTTCGACATACGGCTGCGTTGCTATACATTGTTCATGAAGTGAGTATTAATTGATCACACCCGTGGATGCAAGCAAGGCGATACAAACATTTATCTCCATCTCCTATCACCAGGATTCGCAATGCATGGGCATTGACACAGCAAAACACAATTGAAAGCAACCAGCTGAATCGCACACGGTTCATCATTGACCAGTTGTGCATCAAACAAGAACTTAGGGATATATGACGCAGGTCAGAGCACTCGATTTTGTGTTGACAAAACCGGGGGTATTGAACGAATAAGTGAAGGAAGTGAAAGCCACACCAGCGCCTTTTAAACGCTTGTCACAAGAGGCCAGAGCCCGTCCTGCGGCGCCATATGGAAGAGGCGAACCATCGGCGAATTGTGGTAGCTGAAAATGGACAAACTCTAATGAGAAGCTTCCGCAGACGAATGCCCGGAAACATTCTAGAAGCTCTGTCGTTGGCGATACGCTTTCTGCTCAGGCTGCAGCGATTCCAACTTTGAATCTAGGAGGGTCCTTATGTTATTAGCTGAGAGGATCGGACAATCCCCATTCAAGAAGCTTTTCCGTACTCAAAAAGTCCGACTCCGAGTGACAAACAACATTCGAGAACCCTCCTGTCTGCTCAGCTCGCGAGCGATGCCAAATATAACTTCAAATATCGACGGTGGCTGTGTTTTTCAATGGCCAGAATGCCGGGCATTGCGTCCTCATCCGTTATCGGGATTGTCTCCCAACTTCCAGAAGAAGTTCGATTTACAGTAAATTCGCGTCTCTCAAAGCCGAACTCCGATTGCTTACGGCATGCTCCAACTTGACGCCACAAATCTGAGTTAACAGTGTATCTCAACATGACGGCAATCAACCGCCGCCCCCCGACTTCCTCTTGGAGCCTGGCAGCTGCCAGTCCCCCCCCCCCCCCCCCGCCCCCCCGCCCGCCACCCCGCCACCCTCACTACAACACACCGTCAGTCCCCCATCGGATGCGATCGCTTTCCTGGTTATTCGGTTAACCAGGATGGATCTCGCCGCCGTGTGGAGCGGTTACCCCGACTGGGTTACCCTAACCCTAACCCTAACCCTACCATACCAACGCTGTCCACCGACCTGGACCCGAGCTCTGTGCCCCGACACGCTCGCGGGAAACGCCAGGCACAGGCCGCCTGCATACCGCGAGTCGAGCGGCCTTTGTTTCGATCTTTGCTCGAAGTATCTCTTCTTGTTGCTTTCGCATTTGACGCTGCCTTTCCTCCCTCTCGCGGGGCTCTTGCTCTGCTTTCTCGAGTGCTTTCTAGCGCGCAATTCTCCTCTCCTCTTCGATGCCCTCCTTGTTTTGCCAGGTAGTACTCTTTCCTCCTCGCGCTTCCTCTTCCACGTCTGCCGAGCTCGCTCTGCCTCTGCCTGCTGGCGTCCCGCATGCTCGGTGTGCACTCAAGTGGTGAGTTCCGAGAGGAAGACGTGATGCTCGAGCGGAATAGCGGTGCCCTTAGCGGACGGTTTGTATGGGATGGTGCGATAGCCGGTGTTGATGGAATAGCTCAACAAGCGGTCCGGCATATCGTCCATGCCCTCGGAGCAGTTGGTAGTGACAAAGTGTGTCAGAGAATTGTGCTCGACCGACAACGAGCGCGGAGGAAAGGCATGGAGTGCTGCGCCACTGACAGTGTTTTGACAGCATTTCACGCTTCCCGCTCAGCGGTCATCAAGCCCCCAGCACTCCCCAACACTGACACGCCGCCAGATCGCACGAAAAGAGCCCCCTCGCCTACCTCGCCACAACGGGGTCTTCCATCACGCAAGTAATCCCCGCCGCCCACCGCGGCCATCGCTGATACCCGCCTCGTCTTCGTCCATCTTCGGGATTTCTCCGTATGAAGCCGTTCCAAGCGCCGCTCTTGCAATGAAGCTGCCACCGCATGATTGCCGGCGATGTCGATACCTAAGTACTGAATTGACGGCGTGCATTTATGCTGTGTGTTGTTCTAGATTAGTACGCAGCGGGAGTTTACGGTTTCACTCCCTAGACTCCGCAAGATACGTTGCAATCTCGTGAGCTGCGGTATTATGTGACGGGGTTTTTGGGATATGCCATATATTTCGAAGCAGAATGATACAGAGGGAGGCTGCTATACAATCGTTCATGATCTACTAGTCATCTACATCCTTCATGCGGTCGAACGATGGTGGTGCACGCAACGTTGCCACATTGTTATGAAGTCTTGGGTCGGGGGAGACTGTGAACGGCAAGACGAGAGAAGTCAGATTCCGACACAGGTCATCATTCTCGAGACAACGACACGTTGGCGCTTTTGTGCATACCCCAGAGCAGTCTACATCATTCACAAGCAATCCGACTCGCACTCCTGTTTTCCCTGCGCTGCATTCCAGTGGCAGCAAGTCCAGCAATAGCCGTATCGCCTGCAGCCTTGGATCGTGGCGCCCTCAGGCGCGCGGACGCCGTGCATGTCTTTAGCCTTGGCGGGAGTGGCGGCGGGAGCGGCGGCGGGAGCGGCCGCGACCATTTGGAGCGTCGCGAGGACGGTGAGGGCGATGATGGCTGTGAACTTCATTTTGGCGGCGGAGGGTGTTTTGTGGCAGGTTTCGGATGCGGGTTTTGGGGCGATGTGTGTGCGGTTGGTGAGAGGAGGATGAGGAGAGACGGATGGGGGCTCGCACTCGGTCCTTAAATACTCCATGGCCGAGGTGCCCCGCTCGCCGACCTTCCTGAGAACAGTCCATCCCCCACAGTCCTCGTCTTTCTCCCACCATGCCCGTTCCGCCCGCATTGATCATGCCCGGGTCCTCAAAGACCCGTCCGCAGCCCATTTCGCCCGATCAGCAATACCAGGTTGGGCGTCGTAGACCTCTATTGAAACACTTCTGTGCATCGTCCAACGGGCGTCGTCCTTCAGAGAGCTCGTCCGCAGCCCATTTCGCCCGATCATCAATGTCCATTCTGGGCGTCGTCGACCCCTATCAAAACAACTCTATGCATCGTCCAATGGGCGGGTTTTGAGGGCGCACATTGCCCAGAGGATGGGATCAAGCGCCTGTTCGGTTAAGACAATTTGGACGTTCGGATGATGCTGTTGTAAACCTCGCAATTGAGAGTGGCAATACATGGTTCTCGGCGTCATTCATCCAACATCCCCTTCGTTCAATGGTCTCTCGCAGATATCAGGCTGGTCTGTGTACACTACCGGGTGGTGCTGTTTGGGTGCATGAGTTCATGACCAACGACATTCACATCCAATATCGGTCGGGTCCCAATGGCCCCTCGGAGAGATTCCTACTGTACTGTGTGGTGGGTGTGCACTACTGAACACAAACGGATGGCAACGACCGCGAGACAGAGCAAGCAGAGTCTATTTGAACACAACAAACATCCCCCCACAACGCCCCCACAGCCCTCGGGTGATCAGGCGTACCACAATGTTTTTGACGCATTCACCAAACGTCGGTCTAGTCTGTCAACGGTCTCTGAGCTCTTGGAGAGATCTGGTGTGTGTACAGTCAGTGTACAGTGAACGGACAAAATGCTGTGCATCCCCCTGAAATAAATCAGCGACTGCCGCAGCGCCAAATTCACGTGAGTGACCGACTTTGATTTCAATTAGAGGGGGTGCACAGGTTTATGTCCGTTGACTGTACACTATTGCCCAAGAACAAACGCCCTGCCCAACGATCCAAGGCTGCAAGCGGAGTTGCCCTTAGTCATTCGCGTGCCCCATACAAATAATTTGATCGGTGGTCACCCGAATGTTTTCCGTGCAAGACATCTGAATTCAGAAATGTTTGACTGCAGTGACGGCCGTTTGTGACGGTTGTGGATCCGAGGACTGTTGTATGTATGTTGGCGCAGGCGATGTGCCGTCGACGAGTCCGTTGAACCGAGGTGAAGGTTGGCGGGGACTGGAACCCCTACAGTAGGAGTCCATTACGGAGGTACAGTGCATGGGTCCGCGACGACGCCCGTGGTCGGTTAGGTTCACCCTCCGTACACCGTGGCTATGTATTCTGAAGCATTCGTATGTTGACGCGGGCGGGGAGGGCAATATGCAACATGCACCCTGTGAAAAACTCTGCGACGGTTAGAGGTTTGGAACTTGGAAAGCTTATTACGGTAGGTAGGTCCGCCACGACGCCCGTGATCGGACAGGTTGATCAGGCCTACGTCGTAGCGTACATATACCGTGCGTTATTTGGATGGGGTCTCCAAACAGACGGGGCTCATCCATTGGCCATGATATAATACCATCCAACATGCATCAAATTCGCATTTGGTCGCATTTGCCCAGCTGTACTGCTTGCCTGATTGCCCGAACACTCCTCGCAGCCGCATCCATGCCCTTGCCGAGATGGCACCCCATTCTTCATTCGGAACGACCGGAATCTCAGTGTGTCCCACTTTCCCAATATGATGAGCGAAGTGTCCCATTTGAGCGCTCTTCCCCACCTGGAAAGTGACTATAGAATGATTGAATGCGCATGTGCGAAAGTATGTCTTACCTGCCCTGCTACTGCTATGCGGACATGCTACGGAAAGTCGTGTAAACCGAGGTCGCTCATGCACTGGGGATGACAACCTACCCCGACTCTAACCGGAAACTACAAACCCTACACAAAAAGTCCTAAATCTCTACCTAGCATCCCATCCAGCTATCCAGCCCACCAACCTCCCCTCACACATCATCCGGGCCCTGCCCAGCTTCCTCCAACTTCTCCCCCTGATGAGTGCCGCCATGCCGTAGCAGGTGGGACACGTGGACGTACGCTGAAGACGAGACCCAGTCAAACGCTGGGAGCTAAACCTTTGCCGCTGCTGATTACATCAAAGACACTTGACCATGGGCTCACGGGGTAGCCGCTCCACTCATGTCACTTTTCAACCTTGCCGGCCTTGCCAACTCCTTCTTGACCAAAATCCGCGGACTCTCTGCTGTTGGTATGATGCACCGCGTGTAAGGGCATCAACTCCAACTACCGCACAGTGGAATTCCCAAAGGACCGCACTGAGGTGTACGTTGTGCAATTGTCGGATGAGCAGCACATGGAAGATTCCTGTTCCTGCCGTCATGCGTGCACGCTTACTGCTGCTGTCCGTGTTGCCGTGGGCTCGTTGGTGTCTGCTTTGTCCTGCTGTCTGCGATAGGCAAGGATATGCGCGTGGTCTCCTGCCTCCAGCGCTAAATCCGCCCGTGGGTTGCCTAGGGCCGCAGGGTGGACCCCAGCAAAAGGATGGGATTGGCGAGACATTTGCGAGGAATCTCTGACCTCCTGCGTAACACTTGCATGCATCTCACGCTGCCCTCAACGCCCCCCGCCCGCCGCAGTATGCATGAGTTTTTGCGCTCATCTTTCGATGACCTTTTGCCCGAGCATCCCGAAAGGCCCAGGAAATTTGACTCTCTCGAATGCTCTTGCATCAAGCTCATGCACGTTGCATTCAGAAGTCTCATTATCAACTTGAAGAAGCCCATTCAACCCTCGCCGAATCAGGAATCAGTTGTGATGAACTTTCCCCTGTGCATCGCCCTATTGTGCATATTCATGGATCCCACCGGCCTCGATGATTGCGTAAACTCTTCCCCGCCCTACGCAGTGGCACCCCCTTCCAACACCATCATCTATTCTTCTTCCCAAGCCCAATACGCTCATCCTCCTCCCAGCGAGCGAGTACCAAATTGGCCAACGCTACCACAACAGGAACCCCCATAACCCCCACCGTAACCAACCGCAACTCCTCAAACGGCGCAATCCTGCACAACCATACCGCATTCATCGCATACGCGACCACCGGCGCAGCCTCAAAGACCCATCCCCCACGGGCTCGTCCCACCCCACCCAACAACCGCACGACGAAAAACGTCGGGAAATTGACAATCAACCACCCGTAGTAGTTCTTCACAGGAACGCCGAAATACGCGCCATGCACAAACGCCGACCGATCCCATTTCCACATCCCGTCCGCCGGTCCGAGGGGGTCGATGCACAGGTCGTAGGCTGTGAAGATAAGTGTGTCGATTGCAGCCGATGCGAGGGCGGTGATCACCCGTGATGCTTTTCGAGAGGTGCGTTTCCCGGGGAGGAGGAGGAGGTTGGTCACCCCCGTCGAGGCATACATGACGGGGTACATCCCGATTAGTACTCCCATGGGCACGCCCAGAACCGCATGTTCCGCTAACGCGTCTCCGAATGCATGCACGCCGAAGAACCAGCCGCGTTGCAGTACCACATCCATGTAAGTCGTCAGACCCCACCCCACGGCTTGCATGACCAGCAAAAGCGTGGGCAGCGCGATGGAGCTGGAGGCATGGGTGTGGTGGGTGAAGGAGAAGAGGAGCGAGGAGAAGAGGTTGATTGCGCCGATGAGCGGGTTGCCGGAGAGAGAGGTGGCGGTGAGGGAGTGGTGTGTGAGACAGAGCAGGTGGAGGGCGAGGGTAGCCCATAGGAGGGGGGTTTTCGTGGGCATTATTTTCGGCTTGGTGGGGGGGGGGGGATGTCGAGAGATGTCGACACCACGACCGACCGACTGTTGGGGGGGTGTGCCGTTATCCATTGGCTCCAGCTCTCTCCCGTGGGCAGGTCAAACCTTCAAACTTAAAGAGCTCAGGAAACTCGACAGCGCGTATTCAGTTTGTAGTTTTTACAGTGCCAAGTCCCCTGTGGTCTTGGTCGCTCAAACCCCGCTGCCCCTCAACGACTCTCCAAACTCCCCACGTACTGTACTGTACTGTCTATATATATATATATATATCAGCTCAAGGAACTCCTCCTACCCGCCCAACCCACGACCATACAACCCAAACTTCAACCTCACCGTCAAAAAAAATGCCAATCCTCTCAACCCTCCCCCTCCAACCCCCCGGCCGCTTCGACGCCACCTACTCCCTCCAACTCAACAATCTAATGTCGCGGCAGGTGTTTGATGAGCGTGTAAAGGCGTTCAATGCGGCGATTGAGCCGTCTGTGAGGGATGCGAGGACGTGTTCGGTGAGATGGGTGGTGCCCTTGCTTTTGATTGCTGCTTGGTATGTATCGCGAGAACTGTCCTAAGAGGGGGTGATGGGAGCACGACGCGCGAGCAGTACATATGCTGCGCTGCAGCGGATGGCTGGTTTTGTTATGAGTTGAACCATTCGACCATCCGCTGCTTCGCTTATCAATTTCTCATTAAGTGTTCTTCGGTTTCGGATAGGTTGCCGGTCAACATCCTTCTCCCGAAAGCCGTCCTCCCGGACACATGCAAAGACTCTGGATCATCCAGCCCCTTTTCCGATTTCGACAACTTTCGGGAGTGTGGTCATAAGGAGACTGTCAGGTGAGTTCCTTTCAGCAAATCGATGTTCCCCTCATGCCGTCTCCATTCACCAGCAACCTTCTTCTCACCCCCACTCTGTCTATACCGTCATATCCCCGCCCCCCAGCCACGTAATAATCGCCGTCGTGAGCATGGTCACTCTCGTCATCGCCGTCATCTGGGCCACACGCGCCGCCGCCCGTAAACACGAGCGTCTCTCACTCCAAATGGAAGAATCATGCCGCCGAGTCGCTGCGGCGCATAACCGGAGTGATAACCCAAAAGGACTGAATTGGATGGTGCGGATGGTGCAGGAGGAATACACGTATTCGGCTAGCAGTGATAATGGGATGAGTAGCACGCGGACGGGGACGAGGATGAGATTGGTGAGTCGGGGGCGAGTCGGGGAAATCGAGTTTGCCCAAAAAAAAAATGACGACGCAAATCCTCATCGCCATTCTTTGGAACCTGTCTGTATATGTAGACGGTAGAACTCGAACACGTCCAACCGTCAAATGTACCCACAATGACCACGCAATCGCAACCCCCGTTCTATCCGCCCTACCCTACGCCCACACCCAACATCCGCGCCGTACATCCGACCACCGACGACACCGCCGCGGCGCCAACCTTTCATGTCGTCGATGTCGTTCAATCTCCAACGCCGGGGACGTCCTCATCAGCTCTTCTAGGCGGCGATAGAGACTATGGGGAGGGACCGAGTGCGCTGCCGCCGCCGTATAGCGCGGCACCAGCGGCTCCGACGAAAGATGGCGAGTAGTAGGGGTTAGATGCGTTAGGTAGAGGGTGGATGTATGTATATATACAGGACCCATTTTTTTGGGGGGAGATGGGAATCGATGCGGTGATGCTCGATAACATGATTTACTGGTTCTTAGTAATGCGGATATTGGGACACCGTTCGGAGGTTGTGAAGCTGTGTTAGATAGTACTGTACAGTACGTAGTAGATATGGATTTGGCTGTGGACAAGTGGTGGTGAGTGCGATCGGAGTCCGAGGACGGAGAAGGGCGACGCGTTTGTAATAGAGCCCGATCGTGCTGTCGGGTGACGTGGCAGCCTTCCCGTCCTCTGCACTCCCTCCCCGCTCATCCAGCACACTCCCGCCCCACCCCATCGCAAGCTTGCAAAGGGTCCCCGTGCATATAAATAGGACGCACCCGCCAGCCCCCTGCTACAACCAACGCAGCTCCCCCCCGCTTCCCGCCTTCCGAACTATCCTCGACAACTTCCGTCCTCGTACTCACCACCACCACCACAATGTCCACCCCGAAAACCATCCTCGTCACAGGCGCCAACAAAGGAATAGGCTACGAGGCTGTCAACCTGCTGTCCCAGAAGCTTCCCACCAGCACTATCCTTCTTGGAACACGATCGGTGGAGAATGGTCAGAATGCGATCAGGAAGATGAGGGAGGCGAGCGGAGGGAAGGGGTTTGAGAATGTTACATCTATTCAACTGGACGTTGATAGCAGGGAGTCGGTGGAGAACGCGGTGAAGAAGGTGAGCGAGGGAGAGCGAGCAATTGCTTGAGGGTTCCGAGCGTAGCGACAAGATTGCGAGCGATAGCGACCCCGGACTGGACTTTTTCGGAGGCCCCGGATGGCGGATAGCACACCAGCCCAGGCCTCCTCCTCGCGAGCGGAGCGTGCAGGTTATTGTTCAACCATCAATCAACCATCCAACTATTAACAAACCAACCATAGCTTCCCTCGCACAAACTGACTGGACCTCTCTCTCGTTCCCCAGGTCAAGGCGGACTATGGCAAACTCGATGTTCTTCTACACAACAGTGGAATCGCGAACGTCGGTGGTGACGCGTACGCCAAAGGAGTCTTTGACGTCAACGTAACCGGGACCAAAACAGTCGTCGACGCCTTCCTCCCGCTCATCCCCACCACCGGCCAGATCATCGTCGTCTCCTCCGAGGTTGGCACGTGGATGATGGGCGCCGTGTCCAAAATCGCCAAACCCATCACCGACACCCTTGACGACCCCTCCCGCGTCACCTGGGATTACATCCAGCACCTCGCGGACGATTTTCAGGCTCATGCGACCAGTCAACCCGCCAAGGAAAACTGGCCCGCGACGTCCCGGTTTGTATCCAACTACTGCATCAGCAAGATGCTGCAGACGGCGTGGGTGCGTGCGTTCGCACGGCAGCATCCGGAGTTGAAGGTGGCGTTGGTGTGCCCCGGCTACTGCGCGACGGAGCTGAATGGGTTCTCGGGGCCACGGTCGGCGGCGCAGGGAGGGGAGAGTGTGACATGGCCGGTGTTTCATGAGTTTGAGAATGGGAGGTTGTATCAGGATGGGAAGGTGTTGCCTTTTACGGCACCTGTGCCGGAGGATTTGTTCAAGTAGGGAGTAGGTCTGGATTGTAGGAAATGCGGTAGTTATTGTATTGGACTTGTGCCACATGTGGCTGTATAGCTAGACGATGCATTCGAATATGAATGTTCTGCCACTCTCAGCTTCATGCACGTAACAGTTGTCACGGCAGATGGAACGGCCGTCATTGAGCGTCCTTGCGCTGTCCGTGTCCAATGTCCATCGAAGCCGGTTGTGACCCAGATCACCGCGAACTTCGACAAGCCAGCCACGCTCGAAGCCAGCCACGTTCGGACAAGGCTCGATGGCACACTGCAAATACTGTATCACACAAACGTCCTGCCCAGTCCTGCCCGATGGCCAGCTCTATGACTGTATGACCCAATATCCCGCCCTCTGGCGTGCCCGATGTCAGTTTGTTTTTGACCTCTCGGTTTCACTTTGACTTCGGTCTTGACCTATGGCCCGCCCTATGGCAACTTGACCGTATGGTCCCCGCTCTATGGCGCACTGACCCTAAGGTTCCGCCCTATGGCTGGGCGGTCTTTGACGGTCCGGTTTGACTTCGGTCTTGACTTTGGTCCCGCCCTATGGCAACCTCTGATTCTATGGTCCCGCTCCAAGGCCAACCCGTCCGATGTCTGTTTCTCTGACCTCTCGGTTCTGTTAAACTCTCGGAAAAGGTCACTCGGCTGCTGGTGCTGACTTTTTTGTTGACGTCCACACTTCCTTCGGTTTTGACTTCCGTGTTTCAATAACCGTCCACTGCAGCTCCAAACCTCGCGTTTTCATGCGGCAAGCGGGGAGTTGACGTGTTGACGAATGAGTGTTGTGTGGATTGTCTGTCGTTTTGCTTGAGGCTACTGGGACAGGACACGGTTATTGAACCTGTGCCTTCTTGTGCAGTGAACCCATGAACAGGGGTGACAGTCAAGATGGCCGGACAAGTTCCCCCAACCGATCAGGACCGGTACATGGTATGGAGGCCCTTGTCGTTGTTGTTTCAATGATATGGACAACGCGGCCTACATATCTTTTGCGACCAAACATGAACGACAAGGACTTCCCCAACGGCGCGCCGTGTTCCGGCACCCGCAAGCCAGAGCCTCGCTTTGACGGATACCAAAGCACCAAAATACCGCCAAACGAAACCTGCATCGCCAGCTGCATTCTCATGTTGTCATTACAAATCATCATGTTCAAAAGAAAAATCATATACATAAATTACGGAATAGTCCCGGATTGTAAAAAGTGGTGCATCTACATATATTTACGGGGAAGATGCGGTCGTGTGTGCAATATGTCCTGGGTGGAGTCTGAAAGACTCTTGTGGGTTGTGGGCCGGGAGTGGGTGGTTGCTTTTCTGCCTCACTTTGTACTTTGTTGTATGAGAAGAGCTGATGGGTGTGTTGATGTCGGGGGCGTTGGTGATGCGTCGACGCAACCCGGTGGTATGCGATTGTTATCCCGCAAGTCCCTTCCCCATAGGGCCAAGTTTTCACAGCCGATTCCTGCAGTGGGAGCTCCTTCCCAGTCGCCGCCACCATCCGGCCAATCCTCCTCAACCTCCCAATCTCTACAAATACGAAACCAAATTCTCCACATCATCCTCATCAAAGTCCGCATGCGCATCCTCATCCTCATCCTCATCCTCCCCAACCACATTGTTCACATCATGCTGCAAACTGTCCTCCTCATCGTCCTCCCCAAAATCAAGCGCCTCTTCCTCGGTCATGGCCATCGGATAGTGGTATTCTGCCGGCGCGTGTGCGACTTCTTCTTCCTCTTCGAATTCTTGGGTCGCTTCTTCTTCTTCAGGTTCTGAGATGGCTTCCGGGGCGGCTACATGCACAGTGTCGGGGGTAAGGAGTTGTTTCCTATACGGAAAATGGAGATATCAGCTTTCCTGCTACTTTCGCCACTGCAGTTTACGAAGTCGAGGGTTGTCACACCTCAATCGAAATTCCTCCAATATAGCCTCCCGCTCCTTCTGGAACGCTCTCGGCTTCTTCCCGACCAGCTCTCCCGCAGCTGAGTCGAGGGCGTCGGCGGCGAGTGTTATCCCGTAGGTCATTTGTTTCCATTTTTCCTAGAGGCGGGGGGTGAGCGTGACATAGTGGGAAAGGACGGGATGTGGAGGTGACTTACTTCTGAGCCTTCGGAAGGGGCTGCTCGTTTGGGCGGCATGTTGGGAGATGTGGAGTGCGGGTGGGTGGGTTGGTGGATGCTGGCAGGGGGGACAGTGAGCGCAACAGGCTCGGCAACAGCGTCTTGTTCCAATGTTGAAAGTGTGTTGAACGGCTGCGGAGCTTCTCTCGCTTCCAGTCTCGCTTCTCCGCCGTCACTCGTGAGCTCAATTCACACGAGAGAGAGAAGCCGCTGTGAACCTATCCTGTCCTCGGAAGCAGGGTCACATATACACGGACAGGGACAGGGACAGGCAGGCGGTCTCGCCCTCCAACACAGCCTATCGCAGGTGTGCCTTCGAAACCGCCAGCCCTTCTCGCTCTGTGTACGCTTTTCGTGAGAAGCAATGGACTTCCAAAGCAACGAACGTCCACGTCCACAGGCTACCGACCTCAAACATGAGGAACGCCCAACGACACCTTCGCAACCCGAGCCGGAGAAAGAGAAATCAACTGATTCGAACACGCCCTGTCCGGAGAAAGAGGTTGCTACACCCGCGGAGGAACAAAAAAGTCGAACCGCCGACTCCTCAGAAGCGCCTCAGCGCAACGGACCAGCCAATAAAATCTGGAAGTATGCAACGTACACGGGCGTTGCCGTTGTCGGAGCCGTCGGTGCGCCGTTTCTCGTCACGGGTGCAGTCGCAGCAGCCGGGTTCGGTGGCGCCGGGATCGTGGCTGGAAGCTGGGCAGCGGGGTTTATGGCGTCGTATGGGGGTGCTGTCGCCACTGGGAGTGCGTGCGCAGTGTTGCAGTCCGTTGGGGCGGCGGGCTTGGCAGCTTCCACGACTGCTGTGACCTCCACGGTGGGTGCTGTGGGTGCAGCTTTGGCTGTCAAGGCGGTCGATCGGTCGAATTCCAAGAAGCTGTGATTGCTTGGAGGACGGGGGTTGGTACAAGTGCGTCTTCTCCCCCATTGGACTTCATTATCCTGTGGCTCGATAGCTAACATCCGTCCCTCCTCCTTTTATAGAATCCCGGCAGCACTTAGCCAAGCCACGATAGTTCAAAGTCGGAACGATTTGATAGCGGAATGATTGGAGTGCCGTGCAGGAGCCTGTATATGCGCACAAGGGCATCTAGGTCATTTGAATCCAGCGCTTAGGACTGCGCGAAAACCGGGCGCTTCTGTGGTTGATAGCGCTCATTTCTCTGGCCACCCTCGCCCAGCAACAACAGCTTCTCTGATGAGACTCTTGAATGACTCGGGACCCAAGTCGCTTGCTTGCAGTCCAGCCTGACCCTTCAGACGAGAAGTTTGGAAGAATCTATGTATGCAAGAAGAACGAGCGCTGTTCCAAGGGAGCGTAATGAGTGCATGTGCGGCGTTGCATTCAATGGCAAGTATGCTGTTTTGGCCCGGGTCTGACAGGAGAACCTTAGCATTTAGATTAGCATTCCGACCGCATAGGGCGAGACGTGGCAAAGAACATGGAGCCAGGAAATTGCCTCCCTAATCCATATGTACTGTACTTTTACCGGTTCCACATCAATAGCCTATGAGCTCAACGTTCGTGAGATGTGATCGTGTTGTCATCTCATGTCCTCGGCAAAATATCGAATTGAAAGGGCGAGACGGAGGCGGCTTTGAGCCGCAAGCTTCCGCGAACTCGGCAAACGAGCTGTACCCGAGCTGGGATAGTGCATCGCAAAAATCCTCTTGCTGCTGAAGGAAGTACGTAAGGAAAGGTAACTTCACGTTGATTACAGCACCTCAAGAACACCAAAACGAGTGGCATCTCAGTGTCTGCTGTAATCCCAATCGGGAACCACATCTGATTGAACTTAAAACAAATATACACCAAAAGATACTGGATGTACAATGTAATAGGACGGGGGACGGCCGCTTGCCGATAACGGCGGGATATATACACGGTGCGACCGTCCCCCACTACCTATAATAGGACTCTTACACTTGCGAGTCCGATTCCGGGCGTTCGCCCGTCCCCAAGGGAGTGCCCGTCTCGCTGCCCATCGCGAGCGTCCGGTCCGACACGGTGTCGAATGGCGTCGTCGGCGCGTCGATGCTCCTGGTCGGTCGCCAGAGCGACGACGGACCCTTGTCGCGGGTGCCGTTCTGGATGTGGGAGGAGTAGGCCGTCACCATAGCCTTGGTGTGCACGAACGAGAATTGCACAAAGGTGGTGAGTTGCCATCCGAGCCACATGCTGCGCGCGCCGGTGTAGGTTAGGGACGTCCAGAACATTGGCTTGTTGATCTGGGCGACTGTCAGCTGTGATTGAGGAAAGAAAAGAGAGTGAATCCCAGATTCGGAATGATCATGCACGGCGTGTGGGATAACTTACGATTGCCAAGAGGATCTGAAATGGGCGACGGAAGTAGGTAAAGGTAAGAAATCGGATTCATTAGACTCGCCGGTTTCGAAACAGATAGAGAAAGGAAGGACTCACGTTTACGATGAAGCGAAGAACAATGCTGGACTGGAACATGCGTGCGACGATGGATCTGGGAAAACAGTCGACACGGGTCAATCTCACACATCCCGCATTGACTCTGTACTTTGAGATGCTGGCATGCTTACCGGTTGAAATCCATCTTGTGAAGGAGGTACCAAATGAAGAGGACGTCTCCGGCCGCTACACGAAAAAGAACGTTGATCAAACAACTCCTCTTTTTTCCTGGGAAACCACACAGTCCACTCACTCTCGACAGAGAACGCGACCACAGCATCCACCATAAGCATAACATTGAAGATGTTGTCCACCCGTGGCGAGATGCGCACACCCGCCAACCACAATGCGCTAGGCAAGATCTCCGCAACAACGTGGAACAAACACGCCAGGCCCGTAACGACACAGAACGCCAGCGCCATCTTGTTCTGCCGGGGGAGCATGATCCGTGCCCTGACCGCCGCGACGACCTCAAACGCGCACTGGGCAATAACGAACAGACACACCCAAATGAAAGAAGCCACGGCGGGGTTTCGTACGAAAGCCAGCCCATAAAGCTGGGTCAGATCAATCGCGAACGACTGCCGGAAATCTGTGAAGAACATGACCCCGATCTGCAGGTTGTACACCATGGAGGCGATGGCGAAGAGGCAGGAGACCGTGCAAGCCGACCAGACGAACTTCCGGTACTGTTTACGGTGGTCCCATAGCGTTGGGATGGCTATGAAGAGGATTTGCGTGAGCCCGATCATGATGAGCGGGACGGCTATTCCCGCTGTGGCCTTTATGAGGATAGACAGAATGTGAGCGGACGAATCATGTAGAAAGGATTTGATCAGATCCTCACCGTCTTTGCCAGCTGAACAGGCAAGAAGGTCTTCACAATGGCCGAACATTGCAACGGCGTGATGCCTATGGAGTCGAATGTCGGCGGAACTGGAGTTTGGGCACTCATGATGACTTGACTTGTCCGGGTATGAAGTTGAAGTTGTTTTCGTGCCAGCGGCGAGCGTGAAGGTCAGGATTGCGGGATAGGTTGAAGTTCTGACCACCAAGGTTATAACTGCCAGGCGGGCGGGCGACGATGTCGGCCATGTTTAGCCTTTATGTCGATTTCGTTCGGGCGACTTTCTTCCCAGCGGAGTTTCAAGTTTTTGGAGGAACCGCCGTGAGTACCCCTCCTGTTTCACAACGGTCAAATGTAAATGTTGTTCGCTGGTATTCCCATCAGTATTCCAAGAAGCCAAGAACCTAAAAAGAAAGGCGATTGTCGGTGCACAACGACCAAATTGTTCAAAGAACAAAGGCCGAATTGTCCCAACCACGCTTGAGGTGCCGACTCCGACCATGGTCGCTTTATGTAGTTTTTCTCCCCTGCGGAAATATTTATAAGTTCTCGAGTAGCGCCACCCGGCCGGTCGCCACCCTCCCGTTTCGCAAGGCTATTGCTGTGGCTGTATCCGGGATCCCATTCTCTAGGCGATACCGACGGCGCTTATACTCATACGGGCGGGGGTACCGAGGCCGTAAACAAAAGGAAACGCGGCTGCCGAATGTTTGTTCGAGTTACGAGTTTCGAGTTGGCAGATGAAAAGAAAGGCATTGTTCTATAATGGATTTTCTGAAAAGAAGGTTGCAAGGTTTTCGGTGGACCCACGGTACCGGCACAAACAGCTTCAAGACGCTTTCGATTCTCGTAGCCAACTTCGAAGCGTGACATGCGAGGAGAAAGCACAACACAAGGCGGATGCTTCTGAAGGCTGCAACCGAGAAAGTGGCAATTCCAGCTTATGTGTCAATGGTATATGGTTTACATTCCAGGAGAGTGTTTCTGCCAGTGCTCCCGTCAACAATCTACAAGCAACACAACCATGATACGCCAACTTTCCCCAACAGCGCCATCAGGAAGTAGGTATAATCTCCGAGGCTAAAAAGGAAACGCAGATGCTCTCGGATCAAGCTGCATCGAGCTTCTGTGTGCAGCTATCCTGGTATGTTATAGAGATGAAAGGGAATCGAGCGGAGGAGCGGATGTGTCCCCCCTGAAATAAATCAGCGACCGCCGCGACGCCAAATTCACGTGAGTGACCAATATTGATTCAATTACAGGGGGGCACAGCTTTTTGCGGGGTGACTGTACGCTTCCGCGGCAGGTTATTATTAATTGCGGGGCCCGCCAGTTGTTTTCCACAGACAGTAGATTTAAAATACCTCCAGAGAATCGGCCTTCCTCGCCTTCTCAAATTCTCTACCCACCTGTGTTTTTCTCGACTATACTCTTGCACCCCAGCTCATAATTAGGTATTCCAGTCATAATGGGGTCCGTTAAGCTAGATATCGAGCTTTTCCTCGCTCATAACCTAAAGACGAGAGACTCGTCGAAAGAGGTGCCGGACTCCGACCCCCCCCCCCCCCCCCCCCCCTGACATATGCGCAATACGCTGATAAACACCTCCCCCGAACCGTCCAAATCATCGCACTGATTCCACCGCCAACCCTATTGCGACGAATCCTTACCGCCTTTATCGAAATTAACTGCAGCGATGCGGGCCTTCCCCACACTGCTGACGCTGTCAAAGACATCCTTGCCCTTCCACTCGACCAATCCAAATACCTCGCCGCTCAGACTCGGTTTTTAGTGGACGATATCCGTATGGGCACCCACCGTGACTTTAGTCCAGGGGAGTTTGTGCCTTATCAACCCGTCAAAGATGGCCCCTTTGGAAGAGGAGGATTTGGCACCGTTCTGACAAATTGTACTTTGACGACGGTGCCAAATCCTCCTCTTCCAGAGATCCATCTATCGTGTATGCGTGCAAGGAGCTACGCTTGGACTTGAAGGAGCAGACCGAAGGTGCATGGGGTTATGCAGCGGAGTTGGAGAATCTTGGTGGTCTAGACCATCCCCATCTCGTCAAGCTCAGATGCTCTTACACCCAAAACCACAAAGCCTATATCATTATGTCGCCCTACGCCCCACTCACCTTGCTATCGTTCATGAAGAACCCCGACGCCTGCGCTTGGTACGTAGCGCAAACTTCGCCTCAACGCCGGGAGATGACCCTTGGTTGGATGTCTTGCATGTCATCAGCTTTAGTCTATCTCCACGATGCGGAAATGAAACACAAAGACATCAAACCTGACAATATTCTCATCGACTGCGACCACTGCCACCACGAAAACTACCCGTTACCCGTTCTTACCGACTTTGGCATCTCTAAGAAGTTCTCCCTCTCGCAGGGCAGTGATAGTAGAGGACAGTCTGGGACTTTCTTCTGGCAAGCCCCGGAACATATGCGGAGTGAGCCGGCGGGACGAGCTGCGGACGTGTTTGCGTTAGGCGGGATATTCTTGCTCTTGCTGGCTTTAGGACATGGGAACACTACGGAGACGATCATTGCAGCATTGCGAGGGGAAACCATACCGGCATCGGGGTTTGCCGCAAAGCTTGACGAGTTCGTAGTGCCATACATCGATGACGTGTCGAAAACGTCGGATGATAGCAAATCTGCGTGGTATCTTGTAAAAGAGATGCTTGCGTCGACGCCCTCCGAGAGGCCTACTGCAAGAAATGTTTGGACGGCGTTGAAAGGGATCATGGAAGAGTCGGGATTTAGACCGCACTGTTCTGCTTTGCCGCGTACGCCCAAAACTTCGCACGAATCCCCTGAGAGATCCGTTGGCGGTGACGATATACTGGATACCACTACAGTGCTGGCAAGGCTTAAGCTGGAGAGGCAAAGTAGTAACACAAAGTCTTGGTAGAGGGCAGGAAGACGGATTTTCTAATTGTTTATAATTGAAACGCTTGCGTTCCGGAAACTTTTGTCAGGGTACTGTGTATGCTTGTTTGCATCTGTTTGGCAAGCCCCTATGGCGGATGGCAGCTCGGAGGAGGGCAAATCACTTTCTTAATAGCCTTGAGAATCGCCAAATCCTCGCCAACATCGCCACAATCATTAGCGCAAGAGCCCCCCGCACCTCCATGAGATCCTTCAAATCGACGGGATGGCTGTCGCTTTCAACGAAGCGAGCCTGCATCAAGGTCGTGTACAAATGCTTTTCCTCATCGATCAGCTGTTCCGCCAAGTATGTGTCCAATGTGGGTAGAACTGTGCATCTCTCGGCGTAGGCGATGAGCCTGGAGGGCAGACCGGTGATGTTGCGCGTATCAAGTGACATTGTTGTTTCTCCGACCGAGGACCCTAGTGACAACGCGAGGCAGGTTTGGCGAGTTTGTGGGCAGGGTGATCCTGAGGGGGTGTGTAGTTCTGATGGCCGACCGGAAAGGCGCCGTCAGGTTCTACTCTCAAAGTGGGACCTTGTTGGTCGGGCCGTATTTGGGAAGGGTGTTGTGCTATGAACCGGTGTGTCCTTTGCGGCGAGGAGGTGCAAAGGAAGACGAATGCTTCCTTTGGTGACCGGATTATAATCCGCTAGTAGACACATGGTGGTGGTGGTTGTCGGGACGGCTTTCCAGAATGAGGTTTAAGAGCAGTCAGTACTTATGGGAAAGTAGGAATTCAACGGTCAAGGTTCACTTCTTGTTCCCGCGGGTTCACACCATCGTTAATGTTAGGCGAGAAACGTGCCTTCATTCCGGGCTCCTGTGGCTCCACCACGTCGACTCCGTCCTCGTCCACGTAGTCGAAATTCAGGCCCCAGTAAAGGGCAATCGCAATCGCCAAATGGCGTTCCGCCTTCAGGAGCGTCGCAGGGATGTGGAGGATGTCGTTCTCTATGGTCACCTCCTTGTGAATTGTGCCAGATAGGGTTTCAAGCCAACAAATGGTTCAGCTTTTGGGTGGTGGTTCCCAAGTTGACGCCTAGACATGATGGGGGACGGGCCCCGCCCTTTGAGTGCCTATCGTCAACCTCCCTCGCTAGGCGCTCTGAATGCGGGAATGATTTGAGAAAGAATGGACGCAAGTAACGTGAAATGGATTTTAGGGATTCTTACCAAGGAGCGCCCGGCAACTGGAGATTGCCAGCTTGAATCTCATCCTGGCGGCCTTGGTCTGCCATTCAGCCTTCTCCGCATCATGCTGCTGCTTCAGCACGGCCATTTCCTTCAGGAGAACATCCATCTTGGCCGACTTCTCGGTGGCAAACTTGTCTTGCAAGGCCAGTATGTGGTCATTGTGGGCCGATAGCAATCCAGGCCATCGCGCAAAGGGAGTTTGTTTCGCTCGCCCACTTCTTGAACCAATTCTTTGAACGACGACATTTTCAATGACGAACCTGGCGAGCGCTAACCAAATCGATTGTGATTTGGCCGAGAATCGAATACGCCTTTGTTCCACCGCGCGAAGATGCGAAAGAGGTTCCAAATGAAGTGTCGTCGGGAAGCTCCAGTAAACATCGCCGGCCCAAAGCACTGAGAAGAGCATCTTCCGCTTGCTTCAAGTAGCAGCCGCTGTGCGAGCAGGCCATGATGATATCGACCAACCCGAGATCCGGCATGCGTCTCTGATTGACTACAAAGCGACGGCAGTCGTCTATTCCAACATTTCGAGGGGAGCAATTCCTCTCGCTAACCTCGTCTGTCTCTACCCACTGCTTCGCCCCCATGACTACACTTGCGAGCACCCGCGAAACGGTTGCGAAGGAACTCTCAGCCTCGATCTGCCCGGAATACAACAACATAATCGCGTTAGTGAGAGATATTAGAATCCGGTGCCCTCGAGCGCTCTCCGTCCGTCCGACGGACCGGCCAAACACCTCCGGCAGCACGCGTGGGGCCGATGCTATTAGGGCTAATTCATCAATTGAAATCCCGGTACTTTTGCGCTCTTGCGGGCGGGAGCCAATGAGCTATGTTTTGACTGTTGGATTGGCAATCGTGCTATTGCATTCAGGGCGGATCGAGGCTGAGAAGCGGTGCGCCCTTTCCTGTGCTGTACATGTACACCGGTGCCATGTTCTGCTGTCGCCGCAGTTGGAAAGCATTCTGCAACCGTCGGAGCCACAAGTGCGCACACAGTGCGTCTTCCCAAAAAGCTTATCAAGTCGAAACCGCCACCATTATGTAAGCGTGCTTCACGCTACCTCCTGGCAAAACTTGGAAGTCCCTTTGCAGAATTCCGCTTACCCTATCATCCTTCAGTTCGCCGCGAGTCCCGATGCAGCCCGATGCCGGTCGTGCAGGATATGTTGTGCGGGAGACACTTTTCGTACGGACTTCCGGGCGGCCGCGGTCGAGACTGGTCGAGAGCGCCAATTTTCGAGTCACACAGACAGACAGACGAACGGGAGGCCGCAGCGGGATTATCCACGTTTTTACTCACAGACCTACTGTGTGTACCAGGAGATATGAGTATACAGGAAGTTAGTAGATTCATTCCCCTTCTACGGACGGAGTTATCCAAAGCCACTGCTTCCTTTCGTGTCCGAGACGGCTAAGCTTGCGAGGAACACTGATAATGCAGTCGGGCAAGGACGGCTTCCTTGCAGAAGCCCCTTGGCTCTCGGTTAGTTCCTCTGTTGTTGTCCTCTGTTGTTGCACGACGCTCACATGTTCCTTCGGCAGACGGAGATGTCATCTATGAGCCGTGAAAACTGCGTAGGACACGGCATGCCTCGCTCCTATTCTGGCACTTCAGCAAGCCGGGGTAGAGAAGCAGGATTCGGCATGTCAAGTCGGAGCTTTCGATTCTCCACCAGCAGGACAGCACGGACACCCAATGCGATGAAGTCTATCCAACATTACTTCAATCCTTCCTTCGCAGATGAGGAGGTAGAGGATAAATACCTACAGCAGGTGCGTCCATCCGTTTGACTGTCGTTCTCGAGTTTTTCGGGTACGTTTTTCTGAATAAAGTCAAAAGATGTGGTTCTATCGCAAGAAGCAGATGCAGATGGCCGCTATATTTATGTTGATCACATGGGTGCTCGTGGTTATTTGTCTACCTCGTCCCTGGGGCATCTACGAAAGTTGGACCATCTTTGGCGTCATCGGGCCTTTCTCCATCGCCATCCCTATTCTCGCTACCTTGAATTATCCCATGCGCCATCACTTTCTGTGGCAAATATCCTTGATCGGTGCCATATGGAGTACGCCCATCTCCTTTTTGTATCAAATGTATGACTGTGGTTGGTACACCAGGCCTTCGCTCGGCGGTTTTGGAGGCGGCGCTTGTGGGAACAGAGACTTTGCATCTCTGCTTTTCTATGCAGCCGCATATCCCGTTCTCGGTCTCTTCGTCATGAGGCAAACGAGATTATGGGCTCTTGTCTCTTCTACGGCCTTCTGCGCGCTTCTCGCAGTGTTTGTTCTCCCACGAAGAATCAGTTGGATACGGAACTTTCTCGTATTTGCTACGTTCAGCTTGTTGAGCAATCTTTTGAGCTACACACAAGAAATGGTGCGTTGAGCTCATTCACATTTGTGTCGTAGATGTCGATTTCATTCTTCTTTTTTACTCAGGCTGACAGGAAAACTTTTCTTATCGGTGAACAATTGAAAGTACAAATCCGCGCTACGGAAAGGGCACAACATCTCGAACGCGAAGCCGCGGCCAGCAAAAAACGCTTTATAGCATATATCTTCCACGAAGTTCGCGTCCCACTGAACACTGCATTGCTCGCCGTTCAAGCGCTAGCCGGAGAGGGTGTGTTCAATAACTGCGACAGCAGCCAAAAGGAAATTGTCGAAGCGCTGTCGGGGGGTTTGGGAATGATGGGGACAGTCTTGAATGATGTCCTTGATTTCAATCGCATGGAGGAAGGAAAATTCGTATGCGCCAACGATCCGCTCGACTTCCACGCTGTGATTCGGTCGCTTTTGGTCTCGGCTCGTGCGTTGGCAGCAAACAAAGGCATCGAGCTTCAGATGGATCTGGATGAACAGATAGACAGAGTATCTGAGCGTAAGATCATGACAGGCGATCCAATGCGGTTGCGTCAAGTGATGTCCAATTTGATTTCGAACGCTTGCAAGTTTACCTCGGAAGGCACAATTAAAGTGTCCACCCGGCTCATACGTCCTACCGATGGGGAATTTCTCGTTGTTCCCTCGGATCAAGGCAAAACGCGGACGATGGCAAAAAGCGGTGACCAATGTATGGACATTCACGTCATCGACATACAATGTCCAGAACCGTCACACGACCCGAATGTTGCCCTCATTCGTAAGTGGCTTGTTTTCTACCTTGTCACTTCTCGGTCGCACCCTCAACATCTTTTTGGTTTAGGCATAGAAGTCGAAGACTCGGGAATTGGAATTCACCCTTCCGACCTGCTGGAGAATCGACTTTTCTCTCCTTACGTACAAACCGATGAAGGGCGCCGACAAGGTGGAAAGGGCACGGGACTGGGACTGGCCATTGTCCGGCATATTGTGCAATTATCTGGCGGGAGAGTGGGTGTGCGCAGCAAACCGGGTGTCGGTAGCACATTCTGGATCGAACTGCCATTCGCATTACAGAACAGAGAGGATGTCTCAGAGGATTTTTCAAAGGAGCGTCAGGACATGATGACGCCCGTCAGCGTGCGATCGTCTACCAATTCGATGCCTGAGCCATATCTACCTGCCTTGGCTGGGATGAATAGGCGTGCGGACTCGGATGTCGAGACGGATACCAGTGATATACATGACGATAGAACCCCAGAAGAGGCAACTGGCCGGGTACGAAATGCGCAACATGACCGACCGAGACCCGGAGTCAGTGCAGTCGCCGAAGCAAAAAACATGGCGAAAACACAAGTAGTCCCGCAGGATCAGCCACCAGGACGGCCATTACCATTGCAAACGAGCGACAGCACCCTGTCAGGAGGCGCCAGTACCTCTCGAGACTGTCCAGGATCGCACCCGCCAATGTCCATCCCAATCCCACCCGCCTCTATTCAACTCCTATACCCAACCCCGCCAATCTCGGTTACGCCAACGTTAGCAATCAGCCGCCAGACACTCAGCATTCTTGTCGTGGACGACGACAAAATCACCCGTCTCCTCATGTCACGGATACTGAGCCGTCTAGGCCACAAAGTAACTTCGGCATCGGACGGGAGCATGGCGCTGTCCCTCATGAAGGAGAGCACGTATGATTTGCTTTTTTTGGACAATCAGATGCCTGTGATGACTGGTATCGAGTGCATTCAGCGGATACGGGAAGAAGGGAATAGTGTGTGGGCATGTGGGGTAACGGGGAACGCGATGAAAGAGGATCAGAATGAGTTCAAGGACGCCGGCGTTGATCGGTTGGTATTGTTCCGCTCATTTTCGCTTGCTTCATTTGTTATTTATCCATCATTTTGTTTATCTTTCCTGTCAGGGTCTTGACAAAGCCGGTCGCCGAATCGGACCTCAAAGTCGTAATTGCCCTGGTACTTGAACAACGAGAGCGGTCCAACGGGCGACATCGATAACAGCCCAAGTCCTACGAATCGACCAAGTTCGTCGGAATGCGTGACTTTCTGTCTGTACCTACGTTCTTTTGTGCAGAGTACTCGGGGCTGGTACCCGATCATGTCCCCGGACTGTAAGTCCCTTAGATTTTGGGTAGGGATATAATTAGAAGCTTGTTCTGGGTCTTTGGGCCTTTTTTTGGGAGGAAAGTTATATTGTTTCCCAGCGGCGTACCGGTGGGTTGAATAAACATGGCGGCATACGTTTGCTGCGGACGGTCTACCGCAGACGACAACGGTTTCTCGAGTTGTGCACTACATGCACCTACGACTTTATCCAGTTGCATTCGGAGAGTAGCCTCATCGCTGGAGGCTGCAGAGGCCGTTGGTGGTCGATTGGACTAACGGGAAGGCTGTTGTTGGCCGGCCGTTGGAGAATGTGAAGGCATTGATTGGTGGTGAAGTGTGAAACTCTGAACATTCAAGTTCGAACGGCAACGTTGTCAAACGAGTGCAAGGATGGAGCAAAGCAGAGTCGCATTTTTACGGAGTCTAATCTGCGGGAGCCATCTATGTACAAAGCTAAATGTGCAATGCTAGCAAGACGAGTGAGCACTCCGATGCTCTCTCCGCTCACCCCACATACGGCGGCAAGGCCTCCCCACTCGCTTCCCCCCTCGCCCTCGCCGGCTCCTCCACCAAATACACATAACAAGGCCCCTTATAGTCCTTTGTCTTAAGCGCATAGGTGCTAGTCAAAACAGCCCCATTCCGCTCAAAGAATCCGAGCAAATCCATGATCTTGGGGGACTCGTATGGTTGGTAGCTTTGCGGTCTGTCGCCTCTAACGAGCAGGCGGTGCCAGCCGGTCCGGATCTGGCAGGACAGGGTGGGCTCCTGGACGGTCCAGGCGGGCGGGAGGAAAGTGAGCATGTGTGGTGCGCAACGGATGAAGACGAGTTCTTGGTTATGGTGTTCAAGGATTTGGATGTAGGGCATTGTGATGTGAGGAAGATTTCCAGGCAGAATGCGGTTGAAGTAGAGCGGACGAAGACGGACGTCGTAGCACGATCGGTTTTGAAACCTGTAAATGAGGAGAGAACACAACCGACTCGGAGTTAGCGAGGTGACCGGAAATCAACTACTGTACAGTACCAGTATAGTAGCCCTGGAAATGTTCGATCGTGCCGGTCATGCAGCCGCTTGCGGTCAAGCCTCGAATTTTTGCCTCTGGACAAAGATCCCGGCGTGCTGTCAACCACCGTTCACGACCTGTCAGAAACCTCTCTGACATTTTTACCTATTGACAGTTTGCGCGCTGTCGATCGACATCAGAACCAGCCAACTATAACTGCTGTCCGGAAGAGGAATTTGCTGTCTCTGCAGCTTTGAGTGAAACAATCGATCTTTCGACTAGTAGGATGTAGCCTCACCATCCTTTCAAATTTACGAGGATGCTAGCAGTATGCTGGGCCGATGGGCCCGTTTTTGTGGGTATTATTTGCAAAGTGTATGCTATGTGTACTGAATTATGAAAGAACACGAGAAGTGTCTCCGCTCTGATGCCAAAAATGTCAAACGCTATCCCTAATCTACCTATGCGCAAGCTACCCCTAAAAACTACCTAAGTACGATTTCGGGCGCACCCAATTACCAAAAGAAGGTATCAGTACAAAAGCATGTCCCCAACACGTCTCTAATACTCTATCATCCCAGTGTCTTCGTACAGCGGGTTCTCATGCATGCCTTCCGGGGCGGTATAGAGTGGATTCACATAGTTGAACGCCCGGTCCCGCGTCTGGTGCTGCAGTGCGGCCCGTTCACGCAATTGGGCTCCGCGACGACGGCGGCCGACGAAAACCGCGGCCGAAACGGCTCCTAATGCCGCGATCCCGCCACCTATGCTAGCAGCTGCGGCGGTGGTGGACGAGGAGCCGGTGCCAGTGCCGCTGGGTGTAGCGGTGACTGTTGTCGTTGTGGTGGACGTGCTGGTTTCCGTGGTGGTTTTCGTGCGAGTGGTGGTTTCGGTGGTGGTGGATGTGCTAGTGTCGGTTTTGGTGCGGGTGGTGGTGGCCGTGGTGGTGCTGAACGAGGTCACCGTGGCCGGGGATACCGAGACCGTCGTGGTCTTCACCTGCGTCTCCGTCACAAAGGCTGTCTGATGCTGGGTGACTGTCTCTGGCGCTGCCGTAGAAACCACTGTCGTTGTTTCGGTCGTAGTTTGCGTTACGGTGGCCTTGGCGGCAGTTGTGGTGGAAACTACGGTCTCCCGCTCGGTAGCTGTGCTGGTAATGTACGAAGTTGATGCCGATTCGGTGACTGTCATCCAAGAAACCGGGGCATGTTCAGTTACGGTTTCCGTGGCCGTGGTCGTGGCCGTCGTTGTTGTAGCGGGTGCTGCGGTGGACTGAGTTACAGTCACCGTCTGGGTCTGCGTACTAGCTGACGCAGTAACCGTTACCGTCTCGGTTTGAGTCGCCGCAGAGGCCGTAACCGTCACCGTCTGAGTCTGCGTACTAGCAGATGCAGTAACCGTCACCGTCTCGGTTTGAGTAGCCGCAGAGGCCGTAGTCGTCTCCGTCACGGTAGAAACACTTCCAGTCTGAGTTGTCGTCGCGGTAGTGGTCGCAGTCTCCGTGTCGATCTCGGTGGAGATCGCAGTTGTGGTGCTTGTAACCGTGCTCGCAGCCCCGACGCTGACAGACGTGACCGTCGAGTAGCTCGTGTAGTAAAAGTTATCCACTTCAGTCGAGACAGCCGTGGTGGTGGCTGTAGCGGTGACCGTTTTTCCCTCCGCAGTGGTGGTCGCTGTCTCCGTGTCGATTTCAGTTGAGACCTCGGTCGTGGTGCTCGTAACAGTGCTAGCGGGACGCACGCTGACAGACGTGACCGTCGAGTAGCTCGTGTAGTAAACGTTATCCACCTCAGTCGAGACAGCCGTGGTGGTGGCTGTAGCGGTGACCGTTTTTCCCTCCGCAGTGATGGTCGCTGTCTCCGTGTCGACTTCAGTCGAGACCTCGGTCGTGGTGCTCGTAACCGTGCTAGCGGGACGCACGCTGATGGACGTGAGGGTTGAATAGCTTGTGTAGTAGAAGTTATCCACCTCGGTCGAGACAGTCGTGGTGGTCGACAGAGCCGTAGTTGTTTCAGTTTCGGTGGCCGTCTGAGTTTGTATCGATGTCTGCGTCTGGGTCTGAGTAGCCGTACTAGTCGCCGTCGCGGTGGCCGTCTGAGTTTGAATCGATGTCTGCGTCTGCGTCTGAGTTGCCGTGGCCGTCTCAGTGAAACTTCTTGTTTGGGTATCAGTGGCAGTCGTCGTCTGCGTATTCGTCGTGGTCGACAAGGAGACAATTGTGACCGCAGCTTCCGTTGTCGTCACGGTTTGACTCAATGTATTGGTTTTGGTGCTGACCACACTCGAGGTGACGGTAGCCGTATCCGTCTTGGTGCTTAGCACGCTGGAAATCACGGTAGCCGTATCGGTCTTCGTGCTAAGCACGCTAGAAATCAGAGTGCTGGTGGCCGTGGCCGTGGCCGTAGTGGTCTGGGTTTCCGTGTTGGTCTGTGTGGCCGTCGCCGTGGCCGTTCGGGTGCTGTAGATACTAGAGGTGACAGTGGCCGTATCAGTCTTGGTGCTGAGCACACTTAGAGTGCTGGTCGCCGTGGCCGTCGTCGTGGTGGTCTGGGTACTCAGAACGCTGGTGGTTGACACAACTGTCGTCCCGGGCGCAGTCGAAACAGTTGTAACGGTAGAAGTAGATGCAGGCTGTGTTGTCGTAGTGGTTGTGGTCAACGCAGGCTGTGTTGTTACGACCGTTTTAGTACTAAGAACGCTCGAGATCAGAGTACTGGTGGCCGTGGCCGTGGCCGTGGCCGTGGTGGTCTGAGTACTCAGAACGCTGGAGGTTGATGTCACTGTCGTCCCGGGCGCAGTCGAAACACTTGTAACGGTAGACGTAGATGCAGGCTGAGTTGCCGTGGTGGTCGTGGTCGAAGCTGGTTGCGTCGTTACAACCGTCTGAGTACTCAGGACGCTCGAGGTTGACACCACGGTCGTCCCAGGCGCAGTCGAGACAACGGTGGACGTCTGAGTGGCAGTGGACGTGGCCGTGGCAGTAGAAATGGCCGTGGCGGTAGTAGTCGTCGTGGTTCCGGCAAGCGTGGAAGTCACCGTTGCCGTACCTTTTACTAGCACACTCGCAGTCGAAACGCTCGTAACGGTAGAAGTAGATGTCGCCGTTGCCGTAGATGTTGAAGTGGCGGTCGCTGTGGTGGTTTTAGTAGTTCCGGCAAGCGTGGAAACCACAGTCGTCCCTGGAGCTGTGGAGACACTGGTAACCGTAGACATTTGGGTAGCTGTGGAAATGCTCGTGATGCGGGAAGTTGATACCGAAAGTACTGTACTAAGCGACGTCGCAGTAGTTGTGGCTGTCGCAGTGGAGATCGTAGTAGAAACCGCCGTTGTGGTCGAAGTGGCAGTAGAAGTAGCCGTGGCAGTTGTGACGCTTGTGATGCGGGAAGTTGATACTGAAACTACTGTGCTCAGGGAGGTCGCAGTAGCCGTTGCTGTAGAAATTTTAGTAGAAATCGCCGTCGCTGTAGTGGTCGAAGTGGCCGTGGCTGTTGCCGTGGATGTTGCCGTCGCCGTTGTGCGGTAAGTGGATACCGTTGTAGCCGTCGAAAGTGAAATCGCCGTTGTCGTGGAAGTGGCGGTTGCAGTAGTGCGGTAAGTGGACACACTCGTAGCCGTCGAAAGTGAAATCGCCGTCGTTGTGGAAGTGGCGGTTGCGGTTGTGCGGTAAGTGGACACACTAGTAGCCGTTGAAAGTGAAATCGCCGTTGTTGTGGAAGTGGCGGTTGCGGTTGTGCGGTAAGTGGACACACTAGTAGCTGTCGAGAGTGAAATCGCCGTTGTCGTCGATGTTGCAGTGGCCGTTGTGCGATAGGTCGACACACTAGTAGCTGTTGCAGTCGTTGTGGAAGTGGCCGTGGCGGTCGTCCGCTGCGTGGAAACGCTCGTAGCGGTGGCCGTGGTGGTCGAGGTGGCGGTGGCTGTCGCCGTCGTGCGCTGCGTGGTCGTAACCGTGGACGTCGTGCGCTGTGTGGAAATGGATGTCGTAGTCGTTCCGCCAGCAGGCGTGGGAGAGTACACCTTGAAGTAAACTTTTCGAGGGAGAGGAGTTAGCCCATACATCCGCCATCGAAACGCAGCAAGACAAACTCACCTCCTCCCGAGATATCTTTATTGCCAGAAACATTCGAGTCCAGCAAGTAGAAGTCTACGGTGGTATCGGCGGTGGAGGTGATATAAACGATGTACTCGCGTGTAGCGCTACATTGCCACGGAAAGGAAGCCATTAGCCGGGAGGCGCTCGATAACTCCGGAGTGCTTGAAGCGGGGAACTTACAGGCCACCCGTTGGGCAGTAGCTATTTCCGTTCGTCCAGAAAGCCAGAGGCTTGGTGGCCGCGCAAGTAACGCCGAGGGCGGTGGAGAAGAATCCCGCATTTGGACCCCATCCGTTTGCATCACACCCTGTCCCGCCGTCCGCGGTGGATGAGGTGTAAATGCAAATAGGATCGACCGAATTTCCGTAGTGATCGTACAACCCAGTTCCGATAAGCTTATAGGTCACTGCGAATGGAACGTCGTATTACAAGTAGTCTCAGTGAGGCGTTGGGCCAAATACTCCCAACTTACCTCCTGCCTTGAGCGTATTGGTATATTGCGGCACGTTATTCTTGGTGACATCCATATGGATTGAGCTATGCAGTGTGTCCCAATCGTATCCCGCCGGGGCATTGAAAGTACGAGTAATGGCGGCATACACAGGTGCGAGCAACAGCGAGGCCATCGCCATCGCCAATTTCAACGGGGACCTCATGCTGAACTGCTTGGGTATCTGGGGTATTGACAACTTTCGACGAACTCAACGGAAGTTGACAAAGAACTCTACTCTGGAGAAAAGTTTCGGGCAAAGTGTTTCGTCTATAGTGTGAAGGCCAGGGCGCCGCTGGACAGTTTTCCAACATATATCCTGTTGAGCCGGAATGCAGGCAGGATGCATCCCTGGCTCAGAGTTTGAGCCATACTCGTTTGGTCAACATTCCTTTGCCGGAAAACGTGCCAAATTTAGAGACCTGCCTGTCCGGTTGATGAGCGTAAACAAATGACATAACCGCCAGATTGTGTCCCTCTATCCTCAGTGTCGCAGCTCGATTGTAATATGGAGTTGCTTGTAGCATTTTGCCGATGCGATCGAGCTTTGTTTGCTGGGTTCGTGCAAAGCCACGACTTTTTTCATCGGATTGTAGATTGTGTTCATCGCATATTACCCTTCGGCAGGCGTGTCCGTCGTTCATGTCGGCCGCACCCGCGTGGTTCCGCAACCTGCTAAATCCGGTATGGGAAGGGTTTTGTTCGTCTTCTTTCAGTGATGTGCTTTGCCAATGGAGCGGAGGCGGGGTTTCTTCAAGCCACACGTGGATACATTTCGACAGCGCGCCTACCCGTCATTGTTTTCCTGCCAGTTGGCATGACAGTGCTTTCCTATCACCTCCTTTCCTGCCGCTCTTCCGCAGCGGTCCTGCATGCTAGCCGCATCATCCCTTCGGCCGCTCGCAAAGGATCGAACAAAGAACTACCCGCTATTTAGCTCCGAAGAAACAGAAATTCAGGATGCTGTGACTACCATGGCACACGCTGTGATCATAATAGACAGAGCGGACAGTTCATTCTCGAGAACTTTGGGAGAGGGGTGCGGATGATACAAAAAGGAGAGATCTGGTTCGAGCAAGCGGGGATATGAAGCAATTTGAAGACATCAAGCAGCATGAGGCAAAGATTGACGAAGAGAGCTGAGCCTCGATTCAAATAGAATTCGAGGGATGGGACGAAAGTCATCAAAAACACAAAGATGTTGGGAGGGCGGATTGAGATCAAAACCTACAAAAAGGGGAGGGAGAAGTGCTCCATGTCGAATACGCCGTGATACAAAAAGCAGAGGAGGGAAATAGAACTGATATGCTGAATCAGTGTGCGGGGGTGGGAGGGGATTGGGCGAAGTGGGTGTGTGTACAAAAAAACTATGTGCAGGTAGGTGGATCTACAGACCCAAACAACTTGTGCTGGCGGGTGCTGGGCAGCGGTCTTAAATCGCCATACAGATGGCGGAAATGGTGGAGACAGAGTGGACGAAAGTAGGTACACAAGAGGAAATGTCGAAAACGGATCGGAGTCGTAATGTCGGGTGTTGCGGGAGTTTCAATGGTGATACGAAAGCGCCCATGCCCCGCCTCTCTGTTGTCCCGGCTCTGGAGCCAACTGGGGATGTTGCGCCATATCAAACTGCGCGAAAGTGTCTAGCACAGGCGGGATAGCCGACCTCGCCTTGCTGATCAGATTCGCGCTCTGACGGGCCGTTTCCGCCAGCTTTGCACCGAGGGAGCATCCGCCGCCGCCGGGCTCTCCTGGGGGTATCCCTCCCACCGGCCCCATAGCCAATCTACTCCGCTTCCGCGGAAGCGTCCCGTTGAGAACCCGCATGCCAGCCTTGGCTTTCGCGCGGGCCTGCAGCTCGCCGGTGATGCATTCGTCTCCGTGGCTGGTATGTCTCTTCAGCGCGTCGCTTCTCGCGAAGCCTTTACCGCATAATGGGCACACGTACGGCCGCTCGTTGTTGTGCAGGCGCATGTGTCGCTTCAGGTCGTGATTACGGCGAAAACAGAGGTGGCAGTCTGGGCACGGGTGTGGTTTGCCTGCGTTGTGGCCGGCGATGTGCGCTTCCTGGTCGGCTTTGCTGGCGAAGGACTCGATGCAGCCGGAGAACGGGCACGTCAGGCGTGTTGATATCCCTACAGTACCACCACCACCACCACCTACACCTCCGCTCTCCTCCTCTCCTTCCAGCCTGTTGTAGGAGCCGTTCTCCCAAGTAGATGACTGCTGCTCGTCCCATTCGAGGGTCATATCCCGCGAGTTCGCTAACGACCCATCCTCCGACATCGCAGGATGCTGATACGTCATGTGCGGCGGAAGCCGCGGGCTCGCAAACGGGTCCTGCGAGTCATATCCCATGGTATAGTCGCCATACCCATCCGCGGTATGCGTCGACATGTTGTCCAACGAATAGCTGCTGGCGACTGAAGGTGCACCGCGATCACTGTAAACACTTGCTGTATCGTGCATGGAGACAAACTCGTCTCCAAACGGGTTCTGTAGCGCTTCCTGGTAGCTATTGAATGGGTTCTCCAAATACATCAGCGGGTTGCCGTAGACGGGGTTGGTGTCGGCAAGCACCGGTGTCTCCGTTCCCATGAGATCGTCTCCCGGCGGTAGGGCCATGTCGATGAGCTGAGTATACGTGTTGTAGGGGTAGGCGGGGTTGATGTGCGCGTTCGGAGCTCTGGCGGCCATCTGGTTAGGTTCGGCCGCCACTGCGAGGCCGTTGAAGTCCATGAGGTCGCCCATCGAATCGTTGTTGCCGGGCCTGAATGACGCTGGGGTTTGCATGAGATCGACGTAGTACTGGGGATTGGACATGCCGGCGACAATAGCGTCGTCACCTGGGTTGGCGGGCATTGAGGGAAGTACCGGCGGAATGCACTCTGGGGCGGCGATGATACTCGATTGTCGTTGTTGTGCTGCTTGAGGAGGCTGGGGGAGTGGGGTTGCGTTGACGGGGGCATAGAGCTGCACATGCGATGAGAACTGTCTGGGAGGTAGGTGAGTTGATTCGGCGGAATGAGGCGAATGAGTATGGGAAGCACATTCCCAACAGTGTTGTCCATTGGAGTGTGAGCCGCCACATCGAGGTGTGGGAGGCTTCGGAGGGGCAGACTGGGAGGGTACGAACGACGCATCGACATGGCCGAATAATCTAGGTTTGATCGTCTGCGTCAGGTTGGGGACCGGCGCCCTGGCGGATTGGAGGTCCGACGGAGCGCTTCGGTGCTTGACGAGGGGATTGATCTGGCGTTCGATCGTTGGCGTGCCATACTGATGAGGTGCGCCGAATTGCGGTAGGCCGAACTGCGGTACGACCGGGAAATGCAGGAAAAGGGGTGCTGGATGCCCACTTGCCTGTTTCACTTGTTGTTTGGCGGTGGTCTCCTTCGGTTTGGGCCTTGGGGCAAACTCTGGAGGTAATCGTGTGGTGGAGTCGAGGTTAGAGAGGGAGAGCGTAGTGTGTGAGCGTGAGCGGTACATGTTGAGGAAGTTGATGTGGAAATTGAATGGAAGAATGTGCGAGGGGTTTCGGCTCTAGGGCCTTCGTTGGCGAGAGTAATCCCGTATGTAGCAGCTAGGAGATAACGGTGTGTCGACGAGAATGCTGTAAGGTCGACGCAAGGCTTCAGATGCAAGCATTTTCCGGCCAACGTAGGCTGCGAAGACCTTTTTTTTTCCTTTCCGAAGGAGCAGCTCCGAATCAAGATCTGTGCTGAGAAGTGTGATATCAGAGGACCAGAATCGGTTGATGCGTTGTTGGTGGAACGAGGAACTTGATGAACTTTATTCCTTCGGGGCGGTACAAGAGGTTCAACACCAAAACTTTTCCGGGGCGCTCGGGCTGAGACGAGGGTAGATATGTACAAGACGGCAAAAGGGTTGGACAAGTTTGAGGGGGGACAGACGCCGGATCTCAAGCTCAACTTTCCGGCGGTCGGTTGGATCGGCAAGGACGGCAGGTTTGTAACTCTTGGTGCCGTGGGTGTCGTCGGATTGACGCACAATTTACCTCGCAAAAAAAGGGATAGCGAGGGGTTGTATGGAAACTTCTCCGGGAGACGAGAGCAACGGGAAAAGACGAGGGTCGCACCGATATCGCTCTTCACCCTCCTTGGTCCAAAATTGAAAGATCCTTCGCTTCTTTCAAATTTTGAATATCGTGGGGATTCTTCTAGCGTCCAAAAGCAATGGCCCATGAACGAGTGAGCAATACGGTGTACGTTGCCATACACCTCGGAGTAGTGGTCCTACGACCTGTCGCGCCGGTCGCCTAAATCACGTCTGCTTATCGAGCATCGCCCCAAAGTATCCTCCGTTTGCCTAAACGTCTTCTGCCGAGGCTTGCGCCGGGTATTGGTTCACCAGCTTATCGACATCGCCCACTGGCCCATGTGAAGCGATGGTTTTTTCGCGGAAATCCTACACTTTTTGCGCATTCCATCGCAAAGCCGGGTTGTTCCAGGCACATACGCCGCTAAGAGACTCCCATACCCGGGCCCCGCTTCCGCGAGAGCGGATCTCTGCATAGCCTCTGTCGAGAGCGCGATACGATATCAATACCGCACACCTCCGTCACATACAGTCGTTCATGGGACGCCCTGCCTCAGCATCAGCGACCACAGAACCAAACCGTAAATCGACGGTGTGTGTGACCCAGCGACTCGGTTTCCAGGTACGAAGTTAGGACCGAGTTGGTGTGATTACGACATGCGCCGTCGGTGCGACGGATCCCTGCGAAGATCGCTCTATAGTAGTTCGTATTGGTTTTGGAGCTGGTTGTGCATGTAAAATAAAGAACGTATTATTGGACGTTTTGGGGCTATCGGGGGTGGGTTGTATGCCTTGCGGCCTGGCAAAATCCACGGAGGGTGTGAAAATACATAAACCACGGAAGCAACGCGTTGAACCATTTGCGTTGCAGATTCCATTTCAACAAACCCCATTGCAGCGATAGACCAGAACGGTCGACCTGCGAACCCCACTGTTACGCTGCTTTTCTGCGCGTAGATTACCCAGCATCCACGGCGACGAAGAAAGGATCTGTCAAATTGATGCGAGATTCACGTTCGGAAAAAACTCAGGGTTCTTGGCACGAACGGTATGTCATGGACAAAAGTCTCGCAGGCTAAATTATCATGGACATGTGAACGTGCACCGGCGGAACCATGTTAACCAACCAGGGGCATCGCGTATGGGCCTCGAGAAGTGGGGCTGCGTGCGGTGCGGCTCGTGCGGGCGTTGTCAAAGGAGATGAGGCTTTCGCTACGTACGGTCAGCGCGAGCAGCAACGCAATCGCCGCGTTCCTTGCAAATATGCGCAAATGGCCCTGATATCAATTTGAGATGCCTCCGAAGCCTCCATTCGTTCGAATATTGACCTGCACCCCTGAACACGTCCACGACGTTCGCTAACCTTGAAACGATGTTAGGACTCAACGCTCTTCGCGTTCTTCAAATTTGACACGGCAGAGATACGATAACGATGTACTGTACTGTACAGTACGTGATTCTGTTCGGGGCGCAGTTCACACGCATACCATAGCGCGCGCATTCTGCCGTTCTACCGACGATGCTGTGATTAAAAAGTTGAGGGAGCATGCTTGGATGTGCTATAGATGAAGAGATCCTCGCAGAACTGACTGCCATGGCGACCTCGACGGCATCTCATCATATTCAAACTTTGCAAACCACTCGACACTGCAGGGCTCCATCCTTCGAGGACAAAAAGGACACTGCTGTTACGAACAGGTTAAGACACAATGCGATATTTTAGAAATTTCCACAATTTGCGATGCACCAAGCAGAAGCGTCAGGGTCGTGTAACCTTGCAGCCGCGCGCGCGGGAAACTGTGAAATTAAAACAATGCCACAATGGGAGACGGCGGCAGGTTGGAGCCATATAATGTCATTACCGTGACCGTGGATTAGAGACTGATCGCCGATCTGGGAAACAGAGCTAAGCCTCGACGATGGTGGGCGTTCTATCACATGAGGCAATGCGGCCGCTACTTTTAGTGGAAACTCATATCGATGGTTGTCAAGTTGTCGGTACGTGTAGCAAATGAGAGGTTGCCAAGTTGCAGCCACCATGACCCGGACGACGTTGAATCCACCCGGCGCATCCGTCCAACTGACGCAACCGCCTCCAAGGACTCGAGACCCTCTGTACTGTAGTACATGTACTGTACAAAGCACAGGGCTTTGCGATCATCCATCAAGATTACACAGGGCGTCGGCCGACGGTTTTCCCTCGCATATTTGGCTGTGACTGCGAATGTGATAGCATCATGCGCATGTCAGGAGCTTGCGGTATTGTTGATCATGCAGCAGCTACGACGCGTAGCGCGCGACTTGGATTTTGTCACCTCTGAATCTCTGATCGACAGCGCCCGAGTCACCAACTCCGCTCGGTGCTTGCAGAGTTGCGCCCAGGGCTGGTGTATACAGTACGTAGGGCAGGATCAAAAACTCCTCGTCGGAGTCGTCTGGATGACAGGATTAAGTATTTAACTCCTGATCAAGTGGTGGTGATTCGTGAAGCATCCAAAGGACCCGAACGACGTTGCGACATCTCGGAGGATGACTCAATAGTACAAGCCTTCATGTTACATTTCTGTGGCCTGTATGTGTCATCGACAGATAAGTCACCCTGAATCTGAACGTTGGACGAGGAAGATTGAGGCTGACGGTCATCACTGACTTCTCAGAACACCCCGTCTGCAATGGCTCTGTGGCAGAGGCACACTTCAAAATCGCAATGTACAGTCAGGCACAATAAAGCTGGTTATCCCCGTACTAAGTCAGTGCACACGCGTCGCGCCGCCGGCCCAGCCGTGGATAACGAGCTTTATTGTGCCTGACTGTATGTGACAGAGCTTGTGCAAGTTGCATGTGTTTCGTGCAGCATTTCGCGAGCCCGAAACCGCAATGCCACGTCGGAGGATTGGGATGCTGGTGGGGGCTGGAGTTAACTTGTGCATCACCTCACACTGACGAAAGCCCGCTCTAGTACGACTGGGACAGTTGAGATCAAGATCCCGCGTTGCTGGAATCATTGAACAGTATGCGTCGCACCATACCATACTACCTCACAAAGTGCTGGGCGTCGACCTGCGCTTCCTCAGCCTGTTGCTCCGAAATCCGACGTTCCAATCGTTCCATTGGTGCAGGCAAGTTACGAACGAGTCGCACGCAACTGTTTATGGAGACTATACAGTTGATTTTATTCCGAATCACGTGATGAGCTCTCCACATCTCAGAAGAGACGAGATCTATTCGCAAAGTAAGCATCAACGATGGTTCAGAAAGGAACTACGTGGGTATTATCTTCTGGGGTGCGACTGCCGGGTCGTTGAATGAGTTTCACTGATTGACGGTTCCTTCGATATAGGGCGGACTCGTTTCTGGGGTTTCAGAGGATTCCCACGATTCCTACGGATAAGAAGGCGACAACAACACTCCACAGATATGACGAACTAGCTATCTACAGAACACAGCGGAAATCTTCCTTGAGGAGCCTAACCTTCGCTGGCAACTGAGCGGTTACCGGACCTCACCCCCTTCTCTTCTGGCGCCGACGGACTTCGTGTCACAGACCCCATAGTGAGCCGGGACGCAGTACAATCTGTACAAGGCATTCATATCGGTAGCGTTGGATGTCCGACTGCCGAGGTGGGGTTGTTGACTTAAAGGGCCTGAAGTCGTGAGGTTGGTTGACGTATGGCGGGAAACCCACAATCGATGGTTATTGGCCAAGCAAAACATCGACGACCCAGTTCAAACGGTCGCCAAGCGACAGCGCAGCCTTGCGATGGACGAGATCCGGGTGCCTCGAGAGTACATAAAGCGGCATCACGTGAGACCCTTGATATGATCAATAAGATGCGAGAGCACCTTGAAAAAAGGTTCGGGTGCTCAGGCTCCAAGCCATCGGACAGGGGAACAAGTTCCATCAGGATCGCAAGAAGATAACTGAGCTCTCCGAGGAGCATTTGAACTGCGCCATCGATGCGCTTCCTTGGGCGAGAATGCCGTCAGAGCGCGAGCCCCTTTCGTTGGTGCACCGCAGCTAGCTTAGACCAGGCTTCCCAAGCCGTCTGAGCTGTATGCACATGCATAAGCTGCGCCGAGCACATTTTGGAAGCATCGCGTTGAGCCCGTTGCCGGAAAGGGCGGCCATCGACGAAACTATGGTGGAGAATGGTTCGCCGTGCTTGGGTGCCTCCCCCGCTCCTTCCGGCGCGGAAGCTACACTAAGGCTGTTCATCACCGAACACCCTATGAAGGAGATTTAGGAAGCATCGCCGCAACTGGGCACAGCGTTCGCGACTGGACTAGCTATGGAGGCGTATGATGATTAAGCGGCTTTCCAAAACCTTGGACAAGTCCCATCAACGCTAAGGACCTGCAGAAGAATCGAGGAACTTCCGAGGAACCACCTTACCGGACTTGTGTGTTCTGAACGCAAATTTGCGTCAAAGGAAATCTCCCACGCTGTACAGTCGCTACCCGCCGTCCGTCGGGATGGGATCGTTCACATCTTCTATGAACGCAACAAGCGCTGGGTCCCGCGTGCTCGAGCTGGGAGCCGATATCCGAAACCTGAGACCACTCACTTGATCTGAAGATCCTATTATGGCCGGGTACTTGCAAATGTCTTGAAAGCAGTTCGGTATGAAGATAACACGGCAGCACCACAAGCCCCGCAAGCTCTTCCTGGTGGGATCCTTGTCTTCCCCCCTGCAAAAGAATTCTGGTGGAGCTTCTTGGCGGCAAGGAGGATTGGGACGTGTGGGACGACCTGCTTTTCAGCCACCCGGTGTTCCTGCAGATGCCAGTGAGCCTGAACGCTTGTTCTACAAGATGATTCGAGGGAGCCTGTGGCAAGCTTGGGAGAAGCTTATGCCACGAACGCAGGTAACCGCAGACAACCACGAGCGGTCGGCGTGGGTTGATCACGTCGTTGGCTGGTTCTCCCCTTTGCGATTCACGAAGCTTGTCAATTGGCGTTGGTGCGAATTCAAGTATCGATCGCGAGACGTCGCTATCCACACCGATCAGGGATACACCGTAGATCGCATGTAGGCGGATGTCTACCAAATACAACAATTACCACCATGCTCTGCTTTGCGACAGAGCAAGTCCTCATAAATGAGGCACAGGAAGACCCGCTTCTGTCGAATATGCCGCAATCGTGGTGGACGAGGCGCATATGCGCACACTAGTTGTAGACCCGTCTCACGGCTGCACTGTGCATCGCCATCACGATGTAGTTCAACCCACAGCGCCAAGAGATCAACGTCGTTCTCCCTGACGCGATTTACTGAACGGCCTCGCCGAGGACGTGAACGCCAAAAGTTGTTGCGATTGTCGTTGCGTATGCCTAGACGTACCGCGCGAGCTTCATCCAGATTATGGCCTACAATGGCAAAGGATGGGCGTGTCTGTAATTGTCGGGGTACGGGATGACAGATATACAGATCCGGCTGTCGAACAACTACCAATCACACCTAAAGATAGTCGAGACTTCTCCCACTGCTTTGTACGACGCTTTTTTTGGTGGGCAAGGGCCTGGCGTCGAGCACCACCGAAGAAACTCGATGTTCCCGTCCATTTCATCAAGGTGCGGCGAAGCAGCACAGCAAGGGTGCGAGAGCTGCAATGACCGCAGAAGTAAAGGTAGCGGCACGCTGGGCGAGGGTGCTGGGTTAATGATGGTATGCACCCGGGGAGATTGACATCATCACCCCCATATCGAGCACAACCCGATATTATCCGGTCGAAGTCCGCCGTGCCCGCCGCGAACAGGGCGAAGTTCGTTGCGATTCGCCAAACTCCCCCGCGAACTCGAAGAAGAAGCCAGTGTCATTCGCAGTTCGTTTGACACTCGTTTTTGGGATGGAGAATCCCGCAAAAACTTGAGGACCTCGTTTTTGGGATGGAGAATCCTGCAGAAAACCCCCACAGCGGCAGTGGTCCCGACCACCCAAATGCCAGGGGCGCAGTAGGCATCGTTTCTGTTGATTGGGTTCGAAGGCATCGAGAAGACGGTCACGATCATCAGCATCGTTCCGACCGACTGCCTCTCAATGTTCAGAGGATGGCCCGAGGCAGAACTTGGTTTTGTGTGTGCAGGGGAAATGGTCGTTGGGAACACCATTTGCGTTGACCAAAAGTAGCCGATGCGTTTCACTGACGAAGCTGAGGTGACCGTCGTACAGTAGCTACCGCACACGGCAACTTGGGAACACCTGCACGCGCAGGTCACTGGCGTATCATAATGACTGCAACTCGGATCGCACAGGAAGCAGGCGGGATAACCGCAGGTGGACAAGAAGGGACCAAACGGCCTCATACGGGCACGTATTTGAACAACGAAACGACAACGACAGAGGACAAGTCGCGACATGGGGAACCAGCACACCTCTCTCCCCACTTTTCCTCGATCGTTGTTCGTTTTCAGTTGTTGGAACACCCCAAAATCGATGGAAGGCGGCTACCGTCAGGTAGACGAGACAGAACATCGAGACCCTCAACGGAAAGGCATTCAATGTCGGATCCATCTCATCGTCACATCCTTTTTCTCTTTCTCTCATCACAATCGAACACACACAAGGTTGGGTCCAATACCCTCCGCAACCTGCTTTCCATCCGCTTTTCCATTCCGTTGAGATACGCTGCCCCTTCCGCTCACCAGCCTATGTATTCCGGAGCAAGCGCATCAGTTGCCCAATAAAAGTGACCGACAAGACGTCAGGCGACAAGCCAATTCATCAGGATCCGAATTTCCCTTCGTTTACGATCGATCTGAAGCGATACACGCTGTGGAAAGACGGGCTCATACCCGCCGACGCCATCTGGGATTCGGAAAATGATCTGCGGGAAAACGAATAGGTCGAGGAGGCATTAGGTGCGTCCATGGAGCCATCGGGATGTGCCGGGACTCATCGTCCACGTATACAAGGTTTGAAAAACGCTTCGCTTTTTTCAGATTTCCATCGCGCAGGGATGTGGGACAGGGATGTAGGGCCCCGTTCTGCTCGCCCCACCTGTATTCCGGAACGAGGACATTTGGTGCCACTTTTTACGGAGGTCAGAGAACCCAGGTTGCTCTCCGGGATGGGGGTGTTGGCGGGAGGGTTATGATTATGGCATCGCTGGCATTCTCCATATGTTCCGCGAAATCTCCGAACCTGGGGAAGATGACGGAACGATTAGCCGGGCAGCCGAAGCCATTGGGTGAACACCACCATGGCCGGATGGACGACCTTGAAGAAAGGTTCTCGCCTGGCAAACCCTTTGAGAGGGGTGGAAGGATTTCACACGGAGGTCTTCGTATCCGATGCAGGTGGTTCGGACACGAATGCCCATCGTTGTTTTACAAGCATCCAAGGAATATCGAACGGGTGTTCCACAGCACACAGACGGAAACATGTAGCCATCTCCGTCCAACATCACATTTGGGAGACATACACCCAGATCTGTCGTTTTCTTCCTGTGCCCTCGACCACGTTGGATGTGGTCCGCGGTCGTGGGTGTCCATCCGCTTCAGGCTAGCTGGCGTTACAGCTGTTGGCGGTATGCTCACAATACAGGAGAAGGTTGCACGCCGTGGGGCATCAACGCCCGACATCCATCTTGATCCCCCGGCTGGGTCATCAGATTCTATGCCCGCAACTCAAAGCGCCTCGACGGATGGTTCACAGCGTAGTGTTGATGTCTCAATCGGGCATGTATTCATCAAACACATGGGGTGGTTTGGCCGTTGAGTGTCTACAGTAGTACCCATCTATTCTCTTGCTTTGGACCGATTCCCCAGTTCCAAACCCGCTCTGAGCTCAGGTGCAGTCTCTAATTCCCCCCCCCCCGCCCCCCCCCCCCCCCCCCCCCCAAAAAAAAAAAAAATGGACAGTCCCTCCTTTCATCTTCCGTCAACACTGCTCGAAAAGTCCACCTCCCACATCAGACCCCGGCACCCCTCACAACCTCCCCCCTGACCTCGTCCACAAACCGCCTCAACCCCTCCTTCACAGGGCCCATATGCCTCATCAACGCCGGCATCAGCTCCACGCCAAACTGCAACACGTCCCCATTGCCAACCATCATCCGTTTCACATCCCTCTCCGCTTCCTCGCTTAACCGGCCATCACCGCCCCGTTTATCGCCCGCCGGACCGGTGACCAACATCTCGCAAAGGAGCGACATGTCGTGGTCGGTGGGCGTGAGTTTGTCCACCCCGTCGTCGGCGTAGGATCCGAGGGCGATGAGGAGGTGCGCGCGGGCGAAGGTGGGGGCGTACGGCTTTTGGAGGTGGGAGAGGGTGCGGGCAGGGAGGGCGGAGGAGATGTCGAGGGCGTCGTTGAGGAGGAGTTTTAGGTCTATTTTTGTGTGAGGCGGGGGGGTTAACAGTGAATGTGTGCGGGGAAGATTGGGAACACGATGGGGGATATGGGTTTACCTTCGATGTGTAGGGCGAATTTTTTGAGGTTGATGGCGTCGGATTTGAGGTGGGATTGGAGATCGCGGACGGTGTCTGGGATCCTCAACGCGGTTTCTGCGTCTGCGTCGGTGTTATCAAAATCCGCGTCCCAGCTTTCTAGATTCCCCTGTTTCTCCTCATCCTCCTCGTCATTCGCGCCGACCATTCCCCCACCTCGTCCCGCAGCCGACCCAAGTTGTCGCGACGCTTTGGCTTTGACAGAGGCCACGAACCATCTGTCCTCGTCCCAGTCGTCGTCCTCATCGTTCGTGTCGAGGAGGAGGGAGTCGTCCTGTAAGGCTAAGGAGGCGGTTGGGGCGGATTGGATGCGACGGCGGGGAGAGATTTTGCGGTCGGCTGCTTTTGGTTGTGAGGGATTCTTTGGGGTACGCATCTCGAGGGGTGGGTGGGGGGTAAGTGGGGGTGTGAGGAGCATGGGAGGGTCGGCGAATTTGAGAGGGGTGGGGGTGGAGATGTCTGTGAAGCCGAATTCGGCGTCGAAGTCGAGGTCGTCTGAGTCTGAGGTTGTGGGGGTGGGGTGGGGTGGGTCTCCGGATTTGGCGATGGCTAGCATCCGCGACGGTGGTGCATTATGCGGTGAATCGCTGGACGTCGCAGCAGCGGGTATGGATGGATTTGACGCGTGCGTTGTCTCGGCATTTGATATGGTCTCCGTCCCCACGACGTTAGGCTTCGCCTTGATTTCGTCTGCAATCCCACTCCTTCCCGGCGCAGGCAGCCCTCTCGCCCCGTCCGGAACACTCCTGCCCACATCCATGACGGCCTTCTCCGTCGCCAGCACACTCATGCTATGCGCTCTCCTATTCGCTCCCAGCGGCTGTACATTCGTTCCCCTTTGCTGCTGCTGCTGTTGCTGTTGATGCTGGTGTTGGGATATACTGGTCGGATTAAACACCACGGGCTGACTGTCGGCTTTGGTGCGAGGCCGGAGGTGCATTTTGATGGTTTGGAAGAAGGAGGGGAAGGAGGGGGTTGCTAGCGTTCCGGACGCTAGGATGAGCTGTGTGGGAGAAGAAACACGATTCCGAGGTCAATTCACGAATTGAGTTGCATATTGGCGAAAAAGAAGAAGCAAACCCACAGCGTTGATAGATTTCTTTGCCTTTGCTGCCTTTCCCGAGGGCTGGGAGCCGGGTTTGTCCTTTTTCTTGCCCAACATGCTTGCGAAGATGCCTGGGCGGAGTGCGGCGTGTGCGTGATGGAGTGGGTAGTGGTGGCCCGCAGCCAGACAGAAGCCGGCGACCCTGCTACTTGGCTATAGGGTTCTGTGATAGCGCCGGGAGTATCTGTGCGTGGGAATATGCGTTTGCTGCTGAGGCCGTCTGCGTTGGGGAAGACTGGGCGACGCGTTCGTTGACCCTCGTATGCACGCGTCCTCCGTGACTGCCATGGATGCACAGACGGACCCTTCCAGACTCCACTCTCCCCTCAAAAGGCCACCACCCAAAAGCACAAAAGAACAACCCACCCCGCATCTCGCACGCCCACATCCCACCAAACTGTCCACCCATCCCACCACCACCCAACAACCCACCAACCCCCTCGCAACCCAACCCATAACCTCCACCCCACCCGCCATCGCCTTCGACACCACAACCATCGCCGCAGCCTGGGACGCCACCCTCGCCGCGTACGCGGAACACGACCCTGCCAAGCGGGACGCCGAGAAGAATCAGCAGGCGGGGATCAGAAAGGGTGCGGAGGGCACGTTGACGCCAAATCTGGTCAAGGAGAATGGGCTGTGAGGGACGATATACGTTTTTGTAATTTCTTTTTTTTTGCCTGATCTGGGGGGAGGGGCCGGCGCAAACGAGAGCAGTTTTCTTTTTGGGGAGGCCATTCCCGTTGTACATAATCGAACTGCAGTGGGCATGAGGAGTTACCTCATCATTCCGCGGGTACATGAGTGGGACGTACCCACGAACAGGTACGTCCCTCATTTATAAACGAATTGCTGATCGTCCTGCTCAGGGCGGGTGGGTTCTGAGAGCCCAAGCATCGGGCTACCATGAATTCCGAATTCGCGAAACAGGATTTCGATCGGAGACGATGAAGGACAAGTTCTCCATCGCCATGGCTTTGCAGTGCGCGCAATAGAGTAGACTTTACATATGTACGTGTTTGTTGGATCCTTGGGGCCTTTAAGTAGCTGCGTCTCGGCTTTAGGTTGCTCAAGGAATAATACATCAATCAATCAATCACTCACCACTCATCACACACACCATTCACCCATGCAATCTCCTCGTCCCCGTCCCACTCCGGGTGCCCTTTGCGGCGTGCCTTCAACCGCAAAATGCGGTGCTTGCCCCACACTCTATTGCTCCAAAGACCACCAAAGGCAACACTGGAAGACGCATAAACTCACCTGTCCGGCAGCCGCCCGAACTCAGACCCACCCTCCACCACCACCTTTCGTCGCCGCCTTGACGCCCGCAGTCCGCCGCTTCAACTCTCTTGGACGACATCCTCTGGCTCCGTCGGGTTTGGTTCCCAACCATTGGCACTTCTCTATTCGACGCATCACCCTTCCCCCGGCGTCGGACGTACTGCTACTCGTATCGCCCCCATCCCGCTACATGCACATCGAGCGCCCCACGACCCCAACATTTATCTCGTCTCTCGATCCGGACGCTCGTGCAGCCGTGATCGTGCCGATGCTGCTCAAGGGCTTCAATTCCGGCTTGGGCGGCCCGGAGACTCGCGCGCCGTTCACGTGGGCGACGAATGACGTCGAGACGGCTAGGGCTGTGGAGCGAGAGCTGGCAACAGTGGGCGTGAGGAGGATCTGCGGGTCGTGCAGACGGGCAACAGGGCGGAAGACGATATTGCCGATGAAGGGTGGAATGACATGATGAAGACATTCCTTGAGGTGATGCATAGGAGCCCATAAAGCCAACAACGTTTGTGGCCCTGTGAGGTGCAATGTGAGGATAGTGAGAATGTGAGGTGCAATATGAACAGCAATATGAATGACAATATGAGCGGCCATGTGAGCAGCAATGTGAACGCGAGCATCTGATCTTTTTCTTGTTCAGAGATCTGTTCAAACGGTAGGTGAGTTGGGTAACGCTCCATCGTAGCGTTCAAGGTCTTCACACACTACGATAGTCAGCAGTGCAACTCATGATCGGTACCCTCGAACTGTCCAACATAAGGTACAGTACGTGCTGTTCCAGCGCGTAGATACATCCTTAGGAATTCTTCCCACAGGTTCATTCAATGCAGCTCCAATCTCTTGTAAATGCTGGATAGCAAGCTTGACTTGCGTGACTTCTTCACGATTGCTCTAACTTTCGCGATCATTGAGCGATATCCTCGAACGTCTGCACGGTTGCATCACAGATTCTGGCTCCCGTGTGCGGGTGCAAAAGACGGTCAATGTCTAGAACAATCGAGCGCAACTGCCTTGAGTATGGAGAGGCTTCTATTAAGCTCCCTAATGGAACCAAGCTACGCATTTCGGAATGTATGTATGCTCCAAAAGCCAGGCGAGATCTGATTAGCGCCAAAGACGTCAGAGACAACGAACTTCATTTCCGTTCTGGAAATGAAGCCGATGGCTCTGAGATGATCGTTCTCACAAAGAACGGATCCGACGTCGAGTATTTTAGGTCTCTAAGGGCAGTGGGCAGTGACTCCATGGAAAGGGATGTTAGCTGAGGATGTCCAGCCATCCAGTGTTATCGACATCTTCCCACTGTGTTGTGCAAAAATCGCCTTCACCCCCTGACGGCCAGCTTGAAATGCATTCAGTAGCTGGTTCTTGACAGTATTTCGAACTGGCAGAGACACAGAAGCGTTCAGGAAACGAAAAATGGCCAGAAAGCCAGTGGACTCCACGGCTGACAGTGGCAATGCGTCTGATACAATCCACTTCAAAGTAAGCTTCTGAAGCTGCTTCAGCTGTGCGGGTGCAAGATTGACGCCTCCCACATTTGGTCCTTGGAAAGACAGCAGGATTTGGATAGTGCCCGTGGATTCATGGGATTTGACATGCTTCCAGAGGTTACCTAGGTGCAGACGATGCGTACTGAGCCGAGCCGCGAGCCGTCATACTTGAGCCCGGCTGGAGCCGGAGCCGTTTTATTAGTGGCTTATAGCCAGCCGTTTGCCATCAACCTTTAAGTGAAACAACAAGTAAGAACGAGACTAAGTGAAGTTCATTTTTCCAGCGCTTTCAGATGTACTACGGGTGAGTAGAACTTCAAATCAAAAGTCTCCAGGCCTTTCTAAGGAGCCCACCACAAGCAAGTGGAGGGCACCAGCACGGAGAGTGCTCCGGTCGCAACCACCGCAACCACGACTACTCGAAGAGTGCATACTCATTCGTATGGACTTGTGGCGACGTGAGCGCGTTGTCGCTCGGCGCGATCACCCCCAACATCTTCCCCTCCAACGTGTTCAATGCCATCGGCGTAATCCGAGGCTGGCGAGCATGGGCCATGCACAGGACAGGGGGCGCACCGCATGACCCCCAACGGCCACTGCTTGCTGTCAGCTACGTACATATACGCCGTCATGTTCAAGGAGGCTGGACGGTGCTTCTGTAGGAGGAGTAGGATTGGGGTGAGGAAGGCCGAGTGCGTTTCTGTCCGCACATGAGAAGCCCGGTACAGTGCTCGCAACCCGTCGATTCCACATCCACCGTCTCCTATCATCATTCAACAGAGCAAGAAGCACGCAATCAATGTAATCAGAGCAATGTAAGAGTACCCAAGATTCAGTTTATTCCACTTGCAGAAATTCCCAGCTATATATGATATGTACAATATCTACAATTATGACAACTATGACAACCTACTGCCTCGGCTGCCCCTCAAACCCCGGCCCAGCCGCCCCAACCAGAACCGGTCTGAACACGCCCGTCGTGATGGCGATAGCCGCATTCACCTCCTCAACCGAGACCGCCCTCCCGCTCGCCTTCAACGCGCCCAGCTTGTCCAATTTGCCCTTGATCTGGGTACTAGCCGCGGGACATTTGAACGTCTGCAGGGTGGCGAGGGTCTGCTGGAACCGGATGAGGGTCGAGTCGAGGTCGGGGCCGGTGGGGAGATTGGGGTTTTGTTGGAAGACGGCGGCGGAGAGTTGGGCGTCTGTGACTGGGCATCGACAGGGGATTCGGACGCCGTTGACTGGGCCGACGGAGTCACCCTGGCATGCAGGGTTGCCGGGAACGACGTTTGTTGCGGGAATGAGAGATGAGGGCGCCCCGCCAGTCGCGGGAGGAGGAGCTTGCGGGGCCGGCGCTGGGGCAGCAGGAGGTGCACTTGCCGGAGGTGCTGGTGCATTATTGGCGCCAGGCCCTTGTTGAATCCTGTTGTTGACGCAGTGGTACAGTCCTTCCGATGGTTTGAAGCAGTCTGGGCCGCAAGGTGTCAGACTGGATGAAATATCAACAGTGATTTAGTAACAAGTACCGGACTTGAATATGATGATGGTTTGTTGAGCGCTGATTACATACCCAGCACCGCATAGAGTAGCGGGAGCCGCGAGTGCGGAAGTAGCAAAAAGAAGCGATGCGAGGAAGGAGATGTGCATTTTTTGATCGTCGTTGTGGGTGGATTTGGAAGATGTGTGTGAGTGTGAAGGGGGGGAGTAGCCACCACCAAGTCGTTTTATACCGGACCCTAACCCACATTGCGATTCCCTGCATACATGCATAGAGTGCGTAGATGGATGTGAGATTGACGGGAGGAAAGGGGAATGAACGGTGGGAGGCTTCTCTTGGGGGAGAAACGCGTTTCATGCGGGCATTATTGAGTACGTAAGTCAGCCGCAAGCATTTGGAAACGCGTTTGACAAGCGACGCGCTCGTTCGTGCCAACCCTCCCCAGTGTCCCAACGCCGGCTTCCGTTCTCGTGCACTCCCACCCTGCAATGAATACACATGTGTTGGATCAGACGTGTATTGGGTTGAAGACCTCACGTTCCCCTGCCTTAAAGGTGTGGGTGGGTGGGTTTCAAATAGATGTACTTACAACGACGACGGTGAAAGATGAAAGAAAAGGGGAAAGAGAAGAGGCGATGGGAAGGACATATCTAATCCTCTAATAAACCTCCTACTGATCACGTGCCTGTACCACTCAGCCGACTTTTACACCAAGGTGAATCCGATCATCACTGGAACCTCATAAACGAACGCTCCAACTTGAGCGATCCATGAAATTCAATGGGCTACTACAACGGCAAGGCTGCGTGATGTTTCGACCTCGAATCATACCAGCGGACCGCTTGGGACGCTTCTCGAGAGATTGCAATCAAAAGACAGTATGTGACACTCCGTATGCAGTCAGTCCTTCGAATTCGGCAGCTGGATACGTGCGCCGACGGCAATCCGAGCGTTTGGACCGCTGTATGCCCTCACGGTCTTCTTCTGCCGCCAGTCCCAGTGGTACTGATGCCAAACCGTATCCCTCCTCAGTCTCCTTCCGTGAACAAAGCAGAGACTCCATTCACTAACGAGGAAGAGTGGAATATGGTGCAGTGCCCAAGGCTGGCTTGCTTGGTTCTTTCCCCAATGTCGCTCAAATCATCATCTGCTAGTGATCCCACACAGATACGCCCTTCGTTGGTAATTTTCAGGGTATCGTGCTAATCACTCAACTCTCCCTCTTCCTTTTCGCTTAACGTGCTTGCGTCTCGAGAGGAGATGCTGACGCCGGCTTCTTGCCCCCCCCCCCCCCCCCCCCCGCCCCCCCCCGCGTAGGGTGATAGGGTCGCTGTCGAAGCCCGCAACGTCCATCAACCCGTGTGTGTACGTCTGATATCTACTGCAATGCATGGATCGTCACCCAAAGACCGCCACCGTTACCTCTGATAACTCACCACAGATGTGATCCCCTCTCCTACTCCCGCAAAGCGCTTCCTATTGTGGGGTCGAACGTGTCTCGTACCTGCGCAAACCCCCAGACCGGACCCATCGTATCCCGGGACAAATAGTGTTCAATCCTCCTCCCACAGCAGGCCTCCTCAGCGTCACTTGCCTGCAGGCTTCCAGTTCAGGGAGGTAAATGCTCAAGCTGTTTATGGCTTATTTGGGGTTTTGGCTAGGACCTACCCATCTTTTACATTGGGATTACTACATACCGAATACTCTTGAATTACTCCAGACGACTGCCGTCCGGGAGACTTCACTGTATCGTCCCCAGCTGGAGTCCAGAGAACTGCACCGGGGTCCCAATCAGACAGCGTGGGAAGTGTTCCGCAGTGAAGGTTTCTTTCGGAGCATTCGCAACCCCTTTCGTCCCTGTTGCGGGTGCCGTGGGGGCGGGTGTGGGACCGTCGTTAGAGTGCCGACTCCGCCTTTATACGCGGAATCAGGCGCTCGGCAGGCCCGCTGGGCGGAATCGCTGGTGTGAGAGAGTGCTGACGGTGCCAAACGAGGAGCTTCGTACTGTATCTGTGCGATGGACTGTATATATATGTATGTTGTTGCGCCCGAGCCTCACCTGTGCGAGCAAACGCTCATCCCGCGTGATTCCCGACGAGTCCCAACCCAGACGTCCCAGCAGACGCTGAGCAAAAGTCCCAACTCTTAGCATTCTGACATTCGGCACATCTCATACCCACCCACATCCTTCCACCCTACCCCAAAGATGCTAATAAAGTCATTCTCCGTCCGCTCGCTAACCCGCAACCTCGCTGTCGGCAACGGGTCGCAGACCAAACTGCCCACGCTCCAGACAATCGCCGTCACATTCGGGAACGACGCATGTCCCGCAAAGGGGGGGTTGAGGTGCGTTTTGACATGCCTTCTGGGGGGAAATGTGGTGGCAGTGGATGGATGTGCACTGGTGACCGGAGCGAGCTAGGAGTGTCATTCACTCCATGTACTGACCTCGCTCCCTCGCTCAATAGTTCGCTCTACGTGAACGAGCTCCCCCGCCTGCACGCCGCCAACCCGCACATCACATTCACGACCGCCGAGGAGGAAGCTGATCACTGCTCTATAGAGCTCATGTCCTGTACGTTGGTTTCGTTTCCCCGTTGGGACCGCCCCGTTGATTTCAGTCTGACTCACCAATGCAATTGGTCTTTTTGTAGCGGGCAAGGACCCCGTAACGCTGGATTTGCGGCAGTGCACGTCGGCTGGGTCGATGTATAAGCGGATCTTGGTGGAGGTTGGGGAGCCGGTGGCGTAGTAGGAGCATACCGAGAGATGTGGGCGCAGGGGAGGATGGTAGATGTATATATATAGGTGGGGTGTAATTTATGGAATAGAAGAATGAAAGTGATTCTGAGGGATGAAATGGGTATACGGGGTTCTGGGATGAGCCTCGTCGATTCGTGGCCGTATGCAGCCACCGTCATCGATGCATTCTAGAAACCGAGCACTCGATGCTCTGCATTCATATCCACCTCTCCATATGGCTGCGATGTCGACGGTGCATCTGTTATTCTTGGCGAAACGTCCGTGGTCTTCGAAATGACGGCGAGACAGAGAGCGTGGTGAACATGCGCGGGGCCAACGAGACCAAGCGCTGGGAACGCCCGCGAATATCAGCGTCAGCTTGCCCGGGAGACCCTAGTCGATACACAGCGAATCGAATGTGTTCCACCCGAAACAGAGCATGTCCTGGCACAGGAGGGGTTTTTTCATCAACGATCCTACACCAGCGCGGTGAGATTCCGAACCCCAAGCCAAGGCGTCCTTCCAGGACACGTCGCACACGCAGTGGCGTCGAGCTTCAGTGCTTTTCGGATTCGACGGCTGGCAATGGCCATGATGTAACATTATCTCTTCCAAGTTCATTCCCCATGTCTTCATCATCTTTGAAAAAGCGCTTCCTTTCCCTTCACCACACGTTCCACATATTTCACCCAGTGCCGAGGACTTCCTATGCTTTTCGCACCCGCGCGGTGTAAAGAACATCGCACACATCGCGAAGAACTCGGCCGTCCGCGTTCGTGTTCCTCCAGTACGGACACAAACACATAGACCACATCCGGTTCCTCCGCGCAGTCGGTGCCCGCCCTCCAGCGCTTCATAATATCATCCAAGCCGTGTATTTTGATATGTCTCGACGTCCAGGTGGCAAGTTCCAAGTTCGCGCAATGTTAAGCACTCGAAAGATGGCCAAATGACTCCAAATCTCTTTGCCGTTTTGGAGGCGTTTTTCCTCCCTCTTGGGACATGGTGTTTTACATGCCATCCTGTCTAGCTGCTTTCTTCATGTTCAGACTTGATGTTGCAGTTTGTTCGATCTCAATTGTTGGTGAGATGTCCCGTTCTTCTTTTCCTCGTTCCAGGATAACCCGCCATTGGCTTGGTGCTTTCCTTCCATGACCTGCTCGTAGCCATCATCGGCTGCGGAGGCGTGAGCACGTTGCGGGGGATTGAAGATTTTCAGATTTATGGCGCTTCGAGGTTGGGACAGCCCACACCCATGTGGCATTCCACCTCCAATATGAGATCCCTTCCTGTCGCGTGTCGCTTCTTGGCTCGGGAGTTCTTCCCATATCGCGGCATCCCATGGAATAGATTATGACATCCGCATTGCAGCGCTTGTTACCTATTCGGTCTTAACCCTAGGCTTCCGCTGCTGTGTCCGGAAAGATCATCCATCTGAAGAGACGAATCGCTGTTGCGGCACTCATTCGGTGATACATTGTTGCCCATGTCCTAGGCCGATGACGGACAAAAGAGCGCGGCCCTACCACATCGTCCCCCTTGCCGCGCTTCATGCATCGGTGGCAAGCAAGAATCTCTCCGTATGAACCAATTCCCAAACGCCAGAGGTTCCACTCCCCAGGCATCAATGAGTCAAGCTTGGCGAGCTCAGATTTCTGCGCGACCCAACTTCGCCGAAACTTACCGTCACGGAGTAGGGTACGGCTCGTTGGGGCCACCTCGGTAGCAGAACGTCAAACACTCTGAAATGCAAACTCCCCGCCATTCTCATAGTTTGCCCTAACCCCAGCATCGCTGGCCTCAACGCCGGGCCCATTCGGAATCGCATTAGTCAATCGAACTCAACGAGAGGAGACGAAACGTGAGCCAGACAATTGAGATTAAGCGAGGAATCCAAAAGTGCGTGATGAGCCAAAGCCGTGCGTGACCGGTCCCTTCTGCGTCGTGAGTTTAATCACGCTGCTCGGCTTTGCGAGTGACTAAAGAGGAAACGGACTCTTGGTTGGCTTCACTGTTCATCCTATGGATCTATGAAACTGTCGCTGCATCTGGCGGTGTGGGTCGTCCTGCAAAATGTGGATATCCGAAGCTTTCGCAGGACTCGATGCTTTTCAGACGACCACTCCGGAATACCCTACGTTCGCTCTAATCTTTCCGTAACGTCGTCCGCCTCGGATTTTAAGCGGACGAGGGCATCGGCAGCCGAGGAAGGGGAAGCCTCAGGCTGGCATTTGGATCTTGAGATCCCTGCCCAAAGGGTTGACTTTCTCTGCGAATCCCGTTCCATCAATATTGCTCAAGCCGTCGGCGTCTCGAAGAGAGCAGAGCCACCACCGTCATGTACGTCCCGCGCAACGGTCACCATCAGCGCAACGAAAAAATCGACGTAAGAGCTCTGACCGTTTGGGGAGCGGAAACACTGCTTCCGCATCCTTTCCTGCCATCAGGCAGTGAAGTAAAACGACCGCATGGCAGACGGCGGTGCACAATCCAACGGTAAGAGAGGGGTGGAATCGCTTATAGGGCAGCTTTCGATGCGTCGACGTGCCCACCTTGACGCTTCAACCATTCGATAAAGCGCTCGTGTTGCATGCATCGTCCGCGTGAGGACAAAAGCGCCCCCCCGTACAAGCTGTGATGCCTACGTGATCTATGGTGCTATTGCCGGCTTTCGCTGTTGGGCGGTCCACTCCGTGAACCAGCTACTGTATGTTTGCGGTAGGTTCCATCTTCCAAGATGTGGTTGGGGACGCGTTGCGTTTGGTGACGACGGAAGAGGGCTCGTACAAGTTGCACAGTAGTTGCTGCGGTATGAGGCCCGAGGTTTAGAGCGTTACTGCTCACTTTATGTTCTTTCGTTGTCGCTGTGCGTGTTTTCGGAAGTGTGTTCTTTTGAAGATGGGTGGACCGGGTTTCGGGAATGGGTCGCTTCGACGTCGAGCTTTGAACTGGAGCAGAAACAGAGGCTTCTGCCGTGCTCGAGGAGGGTCCTCTGACCTGGTACTGTACGTGCGGCGGATGAGTGTGCTCTTGTTGTGCTGCATGATGATGAGGGCCTTTGGAGGTTTCTGATTCAGACGGAAGAACAGGTACCTATTTAACTAGGGAGGTTCATTTGTTTGTAAGCTGTTGCGAACGTCAACAAACAGCCACGTTTGGATGACGCAACCCCTTTATTAGTACTCACAGGAACGCGGGCTTGTTCTCGTCAGATGATATGATGACTGTGGGACCCGTCACTTTATGTCAAACCAAAACTTCCAAGTCTCTAATCGTCTCTGATTAGCAACACGGCACTTGCCAACCTCCACTGATTAGCCGCACTCTGTCTAAACAATCTATAGTCGACCGCAGGCACCACCAGCTCAGCAGCAACAAAGACCAGAACAGAACGTCAAGACCAACCTCGACCATCAAAGGAGGATTAACCGACCCCTCTCGCCCGTCCCCTACCACCCGCCCACTGAGAAGAGGTGCGTTTGGATGCAACCGATGGATGGATGAATGTTTGGATTCACGAGTATGGATGGATGGATGGATGGATGGATGGATGGAGCGGTGGACAAGTTGGGGTCATTTCGAGGCGCAAGATCGCGGAGATCACGGGCGAGCATCATACTGGAAATGGAGAGGCTAGCGAGAGTGCCTGGAGCAAGACAGTTATAGGGACATGTTGGACTATGGGCTTCTTCCGGCGGAATGCGATCCGGCACGCGGAGTGCATCTTGACAGTGATCTTGAAGCATTGTAGGGAGATCATCCACCTGTGGTAGAGATTACTCCCACCACACGAAATATCCCCACTCGCAACGCACGATTCGCATACCCGTACTGACTCTCAACGACCCTCATTACAGAAGATCAGCCCCGCAAAAATGGCCAACGAAACCGAAGTCAAAAAGCCCACCCAGGACGATCTCGTCGACGGACTCCAAAACCTCTCCGTCAACGACTCGCCAGCGACTGGCGCCGAAGGTGGCGAAAAGACAAAGAAGCCCAGAAAGAGGACCAACAAGAAAAAGACAACAAACACCGATGTAAAGACCGAAGCTGAGGAGGGTGTTACTGCGACTGCGACCACCAATGGAGATGAGAATGGCGATGGAGATGTGACGTCCCCGGCTTCCACGGCACCGAAATATGATAACACTGCCAAGGTTTTTGTCGGGAACTTGCCGTTCCAGGTTACGAAGGAGGAGTTGGAGGTGGCTTTCGGTAATGCTGGTGCAATGTAGGTTTTGAAAAGGGACGATTTTGACAGAGGAGTGTGATTTGGGCGACGCGAGCGTCAGCGAGCGGATGATTTTTGCAAGGGACGCGAGGCGTCAGCGAGCGGTTGATTCGCGGAAGGAGCCTGTGACCTGGAGCGAATGCGGACTGGGCCGAGCGAAGCGAAGAGCAGAAATGCTTGAGGCAGGCGAGCCCTAGGCGAGATCGAGCGTCAGCGAGGTCGCCCAGACTGAACGCCTTTGCGAGCGACAGCGAGCGCGACCAGAGCGAGCCTACCTTGTGCCAGAGGCGCAATGCTTCCCCCAACCACGGTTCTTAGCGAGCCGAAGCGAGCTACGCTCCGCCCACCGCCCCCAACATCCTCGTCGCGAGCGGAGAGAGCAGGGTGTCGGGTCAACGATCGACCAGCCATCCAACCATCGCTTCGCCCGTCTGACATGAAAGGATCTCTAACCACTTTTTACGGTTTCCTCCTTACAGCGCTGAAGTGAACGTCATCACCCGGGGCGACCGCTCCATGGGCTTCGGCTTCATCTCCTTTGAGCGGGACGAAGACGCTGACAAGGCTGTCCAGCTCTTGAACGCGACAGACATCGGTGGCCGAACGATCAGTGTGGAACGGGCTCAGGACAAGGATCCCAACGAACCTCGCCGACGAAGAGGCGGGTTCAGGGGTCGTGGGCGTGGGGTTGGACGTGGACGTGGAAGGGGCGGACGGGGCGCGTTCCGTGGGAGGGGACGTGGAAGCTTTGTAAGTTTTGGACGCTGGAGAGGGATCTTTACTCGATCCACGCTCCTGGAATATGCACTAAATTTTCCATGACAATCCCCGCAGAGCGAGGAAGGAGGTGCTCGGGTCGACCAAGAAGAGCACGAATACACAGAGGGTACCGAAGGCCACGACGGCGAAGCTGGCTCACGCAGCCGGGGCCGTGGTCGCGGCAGCCGAGGAGGCCGAGGCCGCGGAGCCAGCCGCACCCCCCGATCCCCCCGCGACACCACAGGCGAAACCAGCAAGACGACAATCTTTGTCGCAAACCTCCCCTTCAAAGTCGACGACGAAGACCTGGCCTCGATCTTCAAGGGCTACTCCGTCGCGTCCGTCCACGTCGTCAAGCTCCGTAACGGCCGCTCGAAGGGTTTTGGATTCGTCGAGCTCGCGAATGAAGCGGAGCAGCACAAGGTGTTGCAGGAGTTGAAGAATATTGTGGTGGATGGGAGGGAGTTGGTTATCAAGGTTGCTATGGCGTACCAGACCCCGCCGAGCAAGGAGGAGGAGGTTAAGGAGGAAGCGGAGCAGGAATAGGGCGAGCGCAGGCGAGGTTGATGAACCGTTTGCAAATCTCTCTTTCCGCTGTGTGGTGTGTGCCGCTCGCAGTCTCTGTCCCGTATCCCATTTTTGTTTATCCCCCCGCGAATCCCCCTGTACTATGTCACACCCGATTCCAAAACATCCCCCAACAACGCACGCTCGGATCAAAACATGATCTCTTCTCGCTTATACTCTCTCTCGTTCCGTGCCTCACGTACAAAAATATAAAACATTGGTCATGGCAACAAACACATCCCTCTTTGCTATGTGAAATCTTGCCATATCTGAGTGTCGGGCGACGGGGTTGGTTGGGGAATATCGGGACCGGAGGGCATGGACATTCACACTTCATCCATGTCGTTGAAGTATGAAGTCGACGCACGTAGGGAGGGAGCGCATATGTTTTTGTCGTCGACTCACTTCCAAGCATCCGGAAGGCAAGCAAGGCCACACAATTCCTAAGGCCCTTCCTCGGCGGCATCCATCACCTTGCCCAACCCGTCCGGCATCTACGCGGATTCAGATGCTATCATTCGCACATTTTGCGGGGGATTCACTGGGCGGTCTTTCGTTGACGAGACTCGATCAGTGTACGCGTACGTCCTTGAAAATAATATCACGGACCCGACCGATTGTCATGTTGAGAGGGGGTGAGGTTCAATGAAGTGTAGGGATGATGGCTGTTGGAGACTGTCAATCGTTGTCTTTTTCGGGACTGGTACGTACTACGTAAAGCGTCGTTGGGTCACTCATCGTCCATCCGAGCTGAATTCAGACAGGTGCCAAATTGACAGGTTGGCGACAACAAACAACGACCGTCACTCCCTCATTGTTCGGAGGGGCTTTTTTAGCAGTCGGAATGCACCAATAGCGCTGCTTGCCAACACTCGTTCCTGTGGTGAGTTTGAAATGAAACGTTGTCCGGCTTTTCGGCGTGGCGATTATGCCGGGTTCTATTGTACCGTCCACGAACTTGCGCACGCCCCGTCCCCAGCGGTACCAACAATCATTCCAGCCGCACACCGTTTTAGTTTAAGTGGCGAAAAACTTCACGCGGTCAAATGAGATGGAAATTTTTTGATCAACATCAGGGTTCAGCGGCGGCGTTGCGTTTGGGAACGTTTTTCGCAGACTTTCCTGTGCCCCGGGCGGCGGGCCATGTCTCTGCCCGAGCGAATGGGCACCACCCATGTCGAGGGGGCGCGTGGTATCGTTGCTTTTCCCATATCAAACTCCGGCTACAACATGTGGGCGGTGATAACCATAACGGGCGGTGATATGAGAGCAATGCCTCGCCCCGCCCGCCCCCCTCGTAAGATTATCTTCATAAAGGCTCGTCAGTACCACCACCCCGCCCGCTCGCCGCTTCCATACCCCATACCCCCCCCTCTTACTCGTTTTTTCGTTACCCCTCCTATGTACGGAAAGACCACCCTCGCCTTCGCGGCGCTGCTCGCGGTCTCCAGTGTCGTCGTCGATGCCGCCACGCCCCCCTCGTTCCCGCCGCCTGTGCCGGCGGAGTTCCCGGACTGGGACGAGGCAAACGTTATCCCTGCCAAGTTCTTGAAGGAGAAGCTTGTTACTGAGGCTGTTGCTTGTAAGTTGTAGTAACTTCCCTCCCACCCGCATACTACGGACGTTGCGCTAAACTGGTGTACATTGATATCGCTTCGCAGGGGTCAACGAAGTCGTCCCCGCAAAGTTCCTCAATCTCAAACCCTCGATCGGCAACGACCCCGCATCCCTGCAATACCGCGAAGACCCCGTCAAAGCCCACTTCTGGGCCACCACGCACGTCATCCAGAGCAAAGATGTCGACCGGTGCCCCGGCGCCAACACCTGGGGTCTCACCTTTGACGACGGGCCGTACACGCCGGACCCCACCGCCGACGCCAAGGACACCCTCTCCTCCCTCGACGTGTACAACGCGCTCAAGAAGACGGGGATCAAAGCTACGTTCTTCATCAAGGGTGGACCGGCGGTGTTCAACCCTGACCCGCTGAACGCTGCCGTGAAAGACGGAAACGAGTTGGCGATCCATACCTACAACCACCACCCCATGACGTCCCTGAGCAACGAGCAGATCGTTGCCGAGCTCAAGTACACTGAAGCCATCATCTTCAAACACACGGGTCTGGTCCCCAAGTTCTGGCGGCCGCCGTACGGTGTCATGGACGACCGTGTGCGCTACATCGCCGAAGCGTTGGGATACACCGCGATCGTGTGGACGGACACGCCGGACATGGACGCGCACGAGTCGGAAGTGGTTGGGGATGGCAGTTTGACGTTTGATCAGAAGGTGGCGAAATTGGTCAAGACCGAGGAGAGCTGGATGAAGAAACAGGCTGGGTTCATTAGCTTGATGCATGACCATGGCCCGCAGAGCATGAATGCGAATTTGAAGACGATTGAGACGATTGGGAAGAGGATGAAGGCGGGAACGTTGGGGTTGACTGTGAAGCCCGTAGGCCAGTGTTTGGGGACGGAGGTTTATAGGAAGAAGGGCGTGGAGCCTGTTGGTGGCACATCCTCGACCAAGGCGGTTACCACTTCCTCCACCAAGGCGGCTACCACCTCATCTACTCGCACGACCTCCACACGCGCGACCTCCACCGTCAAGACGACCACCTCAGCCATCGAGACTGTCACCAGCGACCCGCCGACCATCACCACTTCCTCAACCACTACCTCAGCCGTTGAGACTGTCACCCTCGACCCGCCTACCACCATCACCACCCCTTCGAAGCCCACCAGCGAGCCTACCGACGTCCCCTCGAACCCTACTACCCCCGTTGCCGAACCTACGGAAACCACCTCCACCGAGGCCTGCGATGACGAGGAGACGACCACGACCACCGTGGAGGAGACCAGTACCGTTGAGGCCCCTCCTACCGAGACCGAGACGTGCACCGATGAGCCGGAGCCTACCGAGACAGAGACATGCACGGACGAACCCACCGCGGAACCCACCGACGTCTTCACCACAGACATCCCCATCGCCGACCCCGTCACGTACACGTACACCTCAACCCCAACCTCAACCCCAACCGACGAGCCCGTCTCCTCCGCCACCACCGTGCGCTCCGCAGGTGTCGCGGCCGCCCTCATCGCGGCCGTTGCGGCGTTCTTTTAGATTCTTTTTTGTAGAGTACGTATAGCGGCCTCGTGGATATATATCCCACATATATACGTTTTCTTTTTTCTTTAGATGTTTTTGTAGATTACCACACCCGTCCCGACTTTTGGCGTAGGAGATAGGCATTTTTTTTTTTTCCTGTTTGTGTTTTTGAGAAATGTGAAGTGATACGGCGTACGCTATCAATCATACCGTGGATGGACCTCTGAAAACGGTGTTCGAATGTTCTGTCGATTTGGACAGTCTCGCACACGAAATTCGGTTCAATTCGTATCTCATTAGGGAAAAAAAAAACAGCTCGCACGCATATCCCACCCCCCCATGTCTGTCCCTCGCTAACTGTCCACGCTACAACACTCGCTACACTACCCCCCCACCTCTAAACCCCTCCCGCCCAACTGCAATACCCGTCAGCAACTCTACCCTACTCCAGCTGAATTCCACTTCACTAGAACCATGAGGCTAGATGAACCCCATCGCAGCGCGTCCCCCGCGCTGCACGCGGTCAAAGTCTTCCAGACAGGCGCGCGTGTCGATCGCGTAGGGCCGGTCGCCGTGGAAGAGGTAACTGGCATCCAAAAAAAGCAGAAAAAGGTTAATGAAGGGCGTCGCTATGATCGTGCGGGGCGATGAGAGTAAACGGCCTTACCTGGGAACTGTGAGATACACACGGGGGACAACGAGATATGAGGGAGGGTGGTGGTTAACGGCGGGAAGAAAAGGGGGAAGACGGGGAAGAGGAAGCACGTACTGTGGCCCCGGTACCCCGCGATGGGCCTGCTCTCGACCAACGCCAGATGGTCCGTGGTGCCGAGGGCTAGTTTCGCTGCCGAGGCCGAGGGCTTGGTTCCTCGTCTGCTTTTTGTTTTTCCGAAAAAGAAAAAAAAAACACAAATCAAAAAAAGGCATTTCTCGAACATGTTACCGGAACTCTGAGACTACTGACCCCTCCTTATCGGCGTTGAAGACGGCATAGGCGACCTCGGCGGTCTGCCCGAACGTCTGCGCGTACTGGCTGCGGCTGCCGGGGATGAAGCCGGTGAAGCCCGGGATGGGGCGGACGGAGTGCGGGGTTGGCGTTGTTGTCGTTGTTGTGTATGCTTGGTGGGTGTACGGGTGGCTGGAGGCGGACGCGGCGCGGGAGGTGTCGGCGGTGAAGTCGTCGAGGGCTTTGCGGACGTTGTCGGGGTACGTCTGTGGGCGTGTAGATGTCAGAGAGGAAGATGGGGAGAAAACGCAAGGATTTTCATCAGCAATGCCAAACTGGAGGAATCCACAGAACCCGCTCCCCCTCCCCCGGAAGTAAAAGAGAGACATTTACCTCCCCAAAATGATTCTGCAACCTCGGCACAAACCCGGTATACCCGCCGACAAAGGTCTTACTGGGATGACCCCTCGGCATCTTATACGGACTCGCGTCGTCCATCGGGCTCGGCGGCACCACCACCTCGCGGCCCTCGACGACCGCGCACCTCGGGCCCACGCCCAGCATGTCCGCCGAGTACGTGAAGGACGGGTGCGGGCCGCCGCGGGCTGTTGTCGCGGCGACTTTCCGGACGCCCGAGACGGGGGCGTAGTCGGAGGCCCCCGAAGCGTTCCCGCACGCAAAGCCGCCGGGTGGGGCGGGTGTACCGCGTTTTGTGGAGGCCAGGACGGGGCGGTAGGGTGAGTTTGCTAGATTGTTCTGCGATGTAGATGTGGTTGTGGGGTGGCGTTTGTAGGTCCCGTTGGCGCGGTCGGCGACGATGGCCTTGATGCGGACCGGAAGCTGTTTTTTGGCGTCCAGCATGGAGTGGAAGTCGGAGAGCGAGGATTGCGTGGTTTCGACGTACGGGTGGCCGAAGTGTTCTTGGGCGCGCGGGATGTAGCCTAGTCCATAACGTGGGAGATGTGATGTTGAGCATTGTGTTATGTTACAGCTTCTTGGCCAATGCCATGGGGCTGATTTGGCAAACTCAGTTGAAACTCACCAGTGTACCCCGGCACCGGCGGGAACGAAAACCGATCATCGCCCGTCGCCCTCTTCAACCCCACCGCTCTCTCCCCTTCCTTCCCCCTCTCCCCTCCCCTCCCATTGCCTCCATCTCCCCCAGGCCCCGCCACCCCACCCCTGTGCCCACCCACCCCCGCCGTCTCCCTGCCCTCCCCCCTCCTCCTCGCAACCTCCCTCTGCAACACGCCCGCCTTGATCGTCGGATCCATCCTCAGTATATGCCGCGTGGCGTTCCCGTACGTCTGCCCGTACTGGTGCTTGAGGTTAGGCACGAATCCGGCGTAAGCGGGGGTGGCGATGATGGTGGTCCCGCCGATGACGGTGTCGATTGTCGACATCTTTACCGTTTTATTCGAAAAATGTGCTGTGCAGGAGTATTCTACGGTGTTTGGGCGGAGAATGGGCGTGGCGCCGCGCTGTCGAATTATCCGTCACTTCTCTGGCAATCAGCAGATTCAGAACACGGGGAGTGCGACAACACAACCCCCGACGAAGACATCGCAACCCACCCATCAACACAATAAGAACCCACCTCGTCAACGCTCGATGGGATGTTCGGAACCGGGCGATGTGACGAACGTAGCCAACTATGCGATCGTATATCTATCTGTTCAAAGGTGTATCTATCGGGTCTCCAACCTTCTGCCGCGAAACGAACGTAGGAGAAGTCACAGAGAAGGGTGATGAGAGATTTTTGGAGAGTCTTCCTTGTCAGACGAGGCGTCTGCACAGAAATCGTCGGGAAGGGGAGATCCAAAGGGGCATGGATGCTGTAAGCCGAACCAGAAATTGTAAGCTTAAAACGTGAACTCGGACATTTTTCGTGTCCCGTCATTGAGCGTCCTTTATGTATTTTGAGTTATGTTTAACGAAGGACTAGCGGACGGTGTATGTAGCATTGGTGATGTAACGGGCAGCGAATGTATGTATACTAAATGGAGGTGTGAGGGTATATTGAGCTTTTTCTACATACATGGGATGGTGTGGTAATGGTCCTGCAGCTGGGGCATATGTTTGCAAATGTGGGATGCATTTGCTATGTGGCTAGAGAAGGGGCTAAATGTGGGATGCAGGCTGGCGTGTGCAGACATCGGCAGCACAGGGTTTGTACGATCCTCCCCTCAAAGCCCCTTCCCCTCAACAAGCCTCTTCAGCGTTACCCTAGCACCCTCCACAATCAACCGATGTTCAACCTCATGGATCCTCTCCTCTAGCGTCTCCAACGTGTCCGTGTCCAAGATCTTCACCGTCTCCTGCAAGACGACATCCCCCCTATCCACCTCCGGGATGACTTTATGGATCATGACGCCCGTGTGGGTGATGGATTTCGCTTGAAAAGCATGGAACGCGCGTTCTACGGCGTCTATGCCGTCGAATGTGCCGGGGAGCGCTGGGTGGAGGTTGATGATGGCGTGGCGGGGTGGTGGGAACTGGTTGATGAAGTCGGAGGAGAGGATGTGCATGAAGCCGGCGAGCACGATCAGGTAGGGCTCGTTGTCGGCCGTTGGCCGTCCTTCGGCGAGTTTTGTTTTGATGGTTTCTGCGAGGGCGAGATCAAAATCGACGCGGGTTTTGCCGGCGTCTTTGAACTTTTTGAGGGAGAGGGTTGCGGTGGGTATGCCGGCCTTTTCGGCGCGGGAGAGCCCGAAAGCGGCTTTGCGGTTCGAGATGACGAGGGCAACTTCGCCGTTCAACTGTCCGTTCTGTGTGGCGTCTATTATGGCCTGCAGGTTTGAGCCATTACCGGATATCAGGACGACGATGCGGAGATTCCGTAATGGCGTTGTTGAGTCGCCCATGGTTGCTTTCTTTTCGCCGGCCGGTTTTGCGACCGAGAGATCACGGGGACTGGCTTTCGTTCGGTAGTTTACTGGGTCTCTTCCTTTCGCCGCTGCTGCGGAGAGAGAGGACGGCTTTGAAAGGACAGTATTTGGTGGTGGGTGGTAGGTGATGCTGAGCTGGAGAGCTTGAGGGTTTCGTTGGAAGAGAAGAGGCCAGAATATAAATGGAGGGTGCGGTCACGTGGGAGCAATGCGGTTTAAACAGCCCGTTCTTCTTCATGTGGACTTCGACTTCACACTCGACGGGGTGGTGTGGAGACCCTTTCAACCAGAAGACATCCCACACCAGGAGTTGGTGTGACGGCCCTTTTCCTCACAACGCAAGACCTAAACAATCATCGTTCCAGTCTACATTTCCATTCCATCCCATTGCATTTACAAATACCTAAAAAGTCATATCCCAACCCATCCTCCGTCTCCCGCCCTGCCGTGAATACGCCGAACCCCACCCTCGCTCTTCACCACGCCGTTCTCGCCGCTTCCTCACTCCTCCCCCCGCCGTTCGGTGTTCGCGTGGCCGCCGCGTGGGCATCATGCATGCCGTCTTGACCGCGATCGTGATTGTGAGCGTCGCCGGTCTTTGGCCGCGGACGACGATGAAGATCTAGACCTGCTGCGCCGTCTTTTGTCGCGGTGGTGCCGACCATGGTCAGATGCATGACGGTGACGGTGACGGTGCCGGGTACGGTCCGTGGTAGTTGCATCACGACTACGGCTGCGACTGCGACTGCGGCGTCGTCGTTTGGCGGGGCGAGTTGGGCTGGGACTCCGAGTGTGGTGATGGTGGCGGGATGTGCGAGAGTCGCGGCTGGGGTTCCGGTTAGGGTGACGGGATCTGCGTGAGTTTGAGTTCGAGCGTTGGGTCGGGGTGGGGCTTCGGGTACGGTGGCGGGATTTGGGTGGTCTTGAGGATTGTGTGGGGTTGGGGCTCCGGGTATGGTGACGAGATTTCCGCGGTTTCGAACTCTCGGTTGGGGTGGGACTTTGACTCCGATCACGCATGCGGCGAGGACTGCGACTCTGGTCGGGCTTGCTGCTCTTCATCCGTATCTCAGTCCCCGCCTCAACAGCATAGTCCTCACCCCCACTCGCCCCCCTCACATCCCCTCCAGCGTCCGACGACAAAGATACACCTTTTACTTCCCCTCCTGGCGATTTGAGTTGAGCTCTCGCCTCCGGAGGAGGGCCTTTGCGTCCCTGCAATTTCAGCCCGCGGACTTTATCCAGCGCCGCCCTCGCCTGCGCACGTTTCGCCGCCTTCCGCTCTTCGTCGGTCGATCCCGCGTCGGTGTCCGCCATTTGTATCGTCACCGACGTATCCGCGGTCTCAGCAGGTGGTCCAAGAACCGCGGCAGCCCCCACTCCACCCCCAATCTCCCCAGCCCCACCACCATCAACCGTATTCCCGGCAACCCTATCCCTCGCCTGATCCCTCACAGCAACATAATATGCATGCCACGGGTTCCAAGGCACCAGGAACGCGAACCGCGGGTCGCCGCGGTGTTTGGCTTTGACTTTTTGTTCGAGGTCCGGGCCGGCGCGGGCGACGAAGGTGGCGAGCTTTTGGATCACTGTTTGCAGGTCGGGGGGTGGTGAAGTTGGGTCGATTGGTGTCGGCGGTGGTGGTTCAGGCGCGGCGGGGGTGGGGAAGGATTTTAGTGTGGCGGTGGTATGAGCGGTATCTCCCACTTCCCCAGTGGGCACTAACCCCTTAGCCGGCCCCTCTCCTGCCGGTATGATGGGATCGGGCGCCGTCGCCACATCCTCCTCGCCACCTTCGCTTTCGCTCCCACTCCCACTCCCATACCCAGCAAACAGCCCCACGAGCCCACTCTTCATAACCCCCCTCACATGCACATAATACGCGTTTAGCTCATGCCCCACTTGCAAAAAATCAAATTCGGGATTGCTCGCCTGCTTCGCTTTCACCATAAACTCCGTTTGCGGGTTGGTGCTCTCCGCGATGAATTTCGCCGTCTTCTCGATGATCGACGCGAGTCGTAGTGTTGAGGGGGCGCGCATGCCTGCGAGTGGTGGGTAGGGGAGGTCGGAGGGTTGGACGGTGTCTTCCTCGGGTGGGTGGGTATCAGGGTGGGGTTTTTCGTAGCCTACGCCTTCTTCGGAGGAGGGGGAGGAGGACCCGTATCGATGCGCCCATCGTTTCCCATCGGCTTCCATACGGCGCATTCGGCGTTTGTTTTGCACGTAGAGGTCACGCTCGTCTTCGGACATGTCGAAGAGGGTTTCTTCCTCGGAGTCGAGGTCTTGGTATCGCTCGTGATCTAGCTCCTTGTCGGTGCCGGTCTGGGGATCGACGGTGTCTGTGTTTTCGTCATCACTGTCATCATGAACCTCGATGACGATGGGAGGACTCGGTTCCCGAGGACTTTGGAACTGGCCCGTGATGTCAAGGTCGTCGTCTGGAAACGATGATAGATCATCGAGCAGATTTCGTACATCATACCTACGGAGCAGAAGATGCTCGATAAGCGGACGATCAAGCAAGGTATAACGTTCGCCTGTCCGGGATGGGACATATCTCCTGCAGCACAGATGTCGCCCCGCTGCCAACCGCCAATAATGAATCGGAGGGTTGACAGCAGAGGAGTTCCACGCGCTGAAGGCGCTCCGAGCTCATTTACCTACGGCAGTAAGTAAGGGAATTGGCGGATGGCGGAACTCTCGGGTCCCCGTCTCCCGAAACAGAAAATCTGGCATACATCTCAGACCGACAGACCGTGCGCGGCAGGTGCGTACGCCGAACAGCATTATCTCCAAATTGCGTTCACTCTCGACGGGCCGGCGCTGCTCAACCATAATATCTACACAAATCTTGATATCGAACACTCAGTGCAGTCCCTTCAAATACTATACCTATCAATCATCACCCTCCCCTCCCCAACCGTCCCGCGCCACGCCTGCAGCATATCGCCGCGCTCGATGCTGCCCGCGAGCGCGTCATCGCGGAACAGGCGGCAGCCGTAGCCGAAGATTAGAAACTCCTTGTCGATGGTGGTGCGCGGGGCTCGGCCGCCTCGTCGGTGGGGGCCGCTGCCACGGGGACGGCGGGAGTCGGTGTACATGACAAAAGAGCTGGAGTGAGGGGCCCCCGGCTGGTGCTGGCCTTGCGAATGATGTACCTTTGCCGTTTCCAAGGCGCCGTGGTTGCTGATAAGCAGATAGGCCTCTATGCGGGCGCTGGGTGTGGGGTGAGCAGCCTGTTCGAGTTTTGCGGGTGCGACAGGGCAAGTGAGATAAACTCCCCACACGCGTTACTCGGAAGGTCACGTGAACGGTGCCGCATTCATTCCTTCTTCGGACAGGCGCTCAACTGGTAAAAGGGCAGAGTTGTTTAGAGTGCATGCGACGGCAAACTTCGCATGCATCCCCTACCCTCTCTGCAAACTCGGCTGTGAATTCCGAGGGGGGTCTGCGTGAACACCCTCCAATCCTCCCCTTTCAGTGCAAAACCGGTCGTCGCGGGCTCTTCCACGCGTCGCCGCAAAAACACGTCCGTAACGCGTCGTCCCGCTCGTTTCCTCGATCTGGACGGAAAACGCAGACCGAACCACACCCGGACGAACTCACAGGTTACTCAGCAGCACCACACCTCCCACCCCTCTCAAAATGGCAACATCCTTCTTCTCCGTCCTCATCAACGGTCAAATCGAGTCCGGTCACGTATGTGTGTTTGTTCCCTGCACCTGCATATCCCGAGAGAACGCCATAATCCGCCTCTCACGAACATCTCGTCTCCGTTTAGTTCGCATCGTACGACAACATCTACCTCAAATTCTCCTTCGTGCACGGTCCGGACTGGGCCGTCGTCGCGGGCGTCGAGGAAGGCATCACCCAACAATCGCTCTCCAACCTCTTCTTCTCCCGCGGCGACCCGCGCAAGGCCGGCTGTGTGTGGAACTTCCCCATCGACCTCGCGTTCAAATCTACCAACGCTTACGGTATGCCTGTGCAACATCATGGTCCACGCATGTCGCCAGTTGGGATGGAAAAAGGGGGCGTGATACTGATCGGTGATGAACGGGCTTAGGGTGGCCGCAGATGCTGATGACGGTATACGGCCCGGATTTGTTGGGGAGGGATGTGGTTAGGGGCTATGGGGTGGTGAGGGTGCCGAGGGTTCCTGGGATGTAAGTCCTGCACTCTTCGCCCCCTCCGCATTCAGCCCCAATCCTCTTTTGCAGTAACACCCTCTCGTTGGTTGATAGACATACATTGGAGGTCCCAATGTTCGTCCCCCTCGCCTCAACAACCCTAAACGGATTCCTGTCGTGGGCGAGCGGCCGGCTGCCTGAGTTTCGGGATGTGCGGTTTATTGCCGGGAATGAGGGGCGGGAAGGTTGGCAAAAAAAAACGCAAACATCATATGCGAGGGTCTTTTTTGAGTCGCACGTTATTGATGAACGCACTTGTGTTTTTTTGGTAGTGACGACGGTACGCAGCCAGGGGATCGTGAAGGTGACGTTGAATGTGGGGACGAAGGATATGGAAAGGTTTGGGTATGTCGTGCGGAGTTTGACCGGGAAGTGAAGTGATACTGTTCGGGGGGATTGTAACGTGTCGTGTGGGTTGTAAGAGTGTGTACATACAGAATGAAAAAGAATGGGGGCGTCTATCCTCCTACCTATCTACAAACAAGACGCTCGCAACGGGGGCTAGCTCACTTGTCTTCCTCCTCGTCACTCTCATCCACCGGCACCTGATACTCCCAACTAACATCCCACCGACTGCCGGGCGCCGCGGCACTCACATACTTTACAAACCGCATCAACCCCTCATCCCTCACCACAATCGTCAACACATTCCACCCCGCACTGACCGTCAACAGCGCGCCTTCATCCTGCACGGTGCGGTACACCGCCGCGTCCATATCGCCGTCATCAGGGGCCATGTAAGCTTCATACCCGCCCATTTCATCCGATTCCCAGAGGGTGGGGTTTGAGGGGGTGAGGCAGAGGGTGGCATCGAGGAGACGCGTGGGGGAGGACCAGGCGAGGGTGTAGTCGAGCCCCGGGCGGAAGCGGCGGGCGAGGCCGCGGTGGTGGGTGGGCGGGAGTTGGGTGAGGAGGGCGAGCCAGCGGCGGAAGGCGGGGGTGGGGAAGAGGTGGGTTGTTAGGGTGTGGAAGACGGTTGTTGGTGTTGGTTGGGTTTGGGTGGTGGTGGTGGTGGATGAGGAGGGTTGGGAAGGGCGAAGGGCGAGGTATCGCAGTTTGTGAGGTGGGCCATCGACTTTCCAATCCCCTGCAACGCCCGTGCCATGTTTCGGCATCACCGGTTTATCGAACCCGCACGCAGCATCGTCGGCAGTTGTCGCGACTCTGATTTGTTCCGCCAGCTCGTCGTTTAGGAATTCCGCGAGCTGGATGCTCGACTCCTCCAGGAACCGTTCCGACACCTGCGCGAGGACGCTCATGTTGAGGTAGCGCGGGTTCAGCCATTTCGCCAGTTCCGTGATATCCTCCTCGCTCAACCCCTCCATGGCGTCGGGGTCTACCTCGCCCTCAAACTCCACAAACGGTTCCGACAGCCCCTGCTGCAATTGGTCCAACGACGGTGCAGCAGCTGCGTCCTCCTCCGCATTCTCGCTGTACCCTTCCTCGCCTTCCTGCGGCACATGGAACCACCCGGAGATGCTCAACCGCGACTTATCCACCACTACCTCCTCCACGGAATGGAACGAGTGGCCCGGCTGCACCGTGAACATAACAAACTGGTTCCATTTCGGCGGGATGGACACCGTCGGCGCGACATCAGGTGTCCCCTTCGTCACCACGGGATAGAGTTCCAGGGCGCCGCCGTAACTAGGCAGCCAGGCCTCGTCGGGGCTGGGTAGGTACAGGATGTAGCTCACCCTGCGTGTGCCGATGACGTCGTCGTGGTTGAGGAGGTGGCAGCCATTGAGGTAGTTGTTAATGCTCATGTCTGTTTTGGTGCCCGAGAGAGGGCCGCAGCCCGTGACGTCGCGGATGAATTGGCGGAAGGTGGGCGAGTAGAGGGCGTTGCGGAGTTGGAAGAGGGAGGAGAGCTGTTGGAGTTCGTGGGCGGGGAGGCCGTCGAGGTTGGCGAGATCGCCTGTTTGGTGGACCTGCATACACCAACAGTCAACGATTAATCATCATCGACCTTCGATCATCAACCATCAACCAGCGATAAACAAGGAAAAAGCAATAAGAACTCCCGTTCGCCGTCGCTAACCAAAAGGGGCCAGGGGAGGCCCCACGTCATAATAAGAACGACCGTTCGCAGTCGCCACCGGTATTGCGGCTGGCGGGGCCGCTCGCCTGCCTCGCATCGCTCGGTCTTGCCGCACGTCGCCGCAGTACACCACCATCCCTCGCTTCCCTCCCGCTCCGCCCCGCCCCACCTCCTCACCTTATAAATATCCGTCTCCTTAACCGTAAAATGCAAACTCGCCATAATCTCCTTCCTAACCCTCCTCAACAATTCCTCATCACACAGCTCATTGATGGCGCAGTGCAAATACGGCGTGGACGTCTTGAATTGCTCAGCAAGAGTCGTGCGGGTGGACTCGGATAGGAGACCGGGGCGGAAGGCGGCGACATGGTCGGCGGTGGTGGGGGTGGTGGGAGTGGTGCGGGGTCGCTTTGAGGGCGAGGAGGTGGCGGTGTCTTCTAGAGAGCGACGGACCATGGTTGGGAGTTGACCTATGTAGTTAGCGAGGTGTGCTTTTTGTGAAATGGGGAGCCTTTTTGCGAGGACGGTTTTCCGTGTGGGAAAAAAAAGGGCAGCCGGGGCGAACGGACGCGCGTGTTGAAAACGCTGTCAAGGAGACTCGGACGGCCAAACAACCACGGACCCTCGTCAGAGTGCGCCAACAACAAACAAGCGACGGGGGGGCCGGAGGCGCTATGAGTTTACGTCCAGTATGAAGATGTACGCCGTATCTCACTGGCTCTTGCAGGTGCATGCTTCTACTCGGGTATATATCCATTCCGGCCGTTTTCAAAGATGCAGCTTTCCCACATACTCCCCGCAAGCCCATACGCCTTCATCCTGTCATCATCCCCCTTGCCCCCAACTAATCCCACCCCCCAACGTCCCACAATCAGAACTTGCACGTTTCCAAAAATGCTATACACACCTAACAAACCCACCACACATCAAAACAACCTCCCCGCAACCCCCTTCGGCCCAAGCGCCGCCGGATCCCGTTTATACCGCCGATACGCCTCGCGGATATGGTCTGGCCGGATCGCACCCGTGTCGTTCCAGTCTTCCATTACTTCTCGTGCTGCCAACCATCATCGTATGTATCAGTGGGGGATGAAGGCGAGAGGGTTACATAGTATCAGAGACCCCAAAGGGGAGACGGAAGAGGGATGGGGTAGAATGCTTACCACGCTCAGTCATTTCCCCCACGAACAACTTCGCAACGCCCGCGACGACGGTGGCGGAGGATTCGGGGATGGTGTGGCCGCAGAGGGTTGAGATGTGCTGAACATCATCGCACACGAGTCCCATGAGTCCCAATGTGATTCACGGGACAGACTGAGATCAGAGGGGTGTGGGGCTTACCTTCCGCATACTCCCCTTCTGGATCTTCGCCCTCCGAAACACCTCGTACCGTGCTTGTTCTTCCGGTGTGAATGTCGCAAACAGCGCGCTGAAAAAAAAGATCCCCCTAATCAACATTCCAACTTTCTCCCAGAGTCCCCCCCTTCCCATCCACAGGGAATGTGAAAGCCAGAACATACCGCTCAGCAACCTTATTCACCAAACTCCGTGTGAACGTAAATTCCTCAAACGAATCCTCTTCCTCCTCCTCTTCCTCCGCCCCTGCATCCTTCTTCTGCCCCTTCTCTCCCTCCCCCTCCGCCACCCCCGTCGCCTCGCCTTTAGCTGTTACTATATCGTTTTGCCCTGTGGATATCGATGCTGGTGCTACGGCGGAGGTGGAGCTGGGAATGGGATTGGCGTTGTCTGGGATGGGTGTCACCCCCCGGCCGGCTTTGGCACGGGGCGTGGCGGTTGTTTTGCGCCGCTTTTTGGGGGTTGGGTCGTCCATTCTGAGGAGAGACGTGAGGAGGGTGGAGGTTCTTTCGACTGTTTATCTCTCGTTACTGAACCTGGACAGGCCTGTGTTTGTGTGATTTGCGAAGAGTCGAAGATTGCAGTCCTCTGAGAGTTCCTCCCCGGAGTGAGAAGTTCGCGCGAACCTCAGAAAGCGCGTTTTCCCCAATCTCCACCTACGTAGACCTACACTACGTACAGAACAGTACTAGTCCGCACAGATTCAAAAATGACGCTAACGAGCTCCTTCTCAGTACGCTGCCTTAATCGTAACCTCACCATCGGCTGTGATTCATGGGTGGAATGGGTGATTTCAGGTGGTTTGGAAGGGTATCAACGAGGTTCACAAAATGATACTGTGCTCTTCACATTCATGAAACATGTAGTCGTATGTAGTTCTCAACGGCCCACAGAAGAAGTTCGCTCTCCCAACCCCCCTTGTCTACCCCTTATGCTCCACACAAGTAGTATTCAACTTCCCCTCCCTAACCACCGTCTTAAACTGCTCCGACACGGGAAGCTCACTAAACTCCCCCTTATGCTCCCCACTGGTCTGCTGCACACACACATTCACCTCGCCACTCTTGCCAGTGAGGATCTCGACGCTGTCGGCGCACTCGGCGGAGAGGTACAGTTGCAGACCGTCGGTTTTGTCGATTGCGACGGTCGGGACGGTGCCGGTGACTTGCACTTGGACGGATTTGGAGTTGACGATGTCCACGGTTGAGACGGCGCTGTCTAGGACCAGGCCGGTTTTTTTGCAGTTGTCTGTGGGATTGAGGAGAAAGTGTGTGAGACGGGAAATGACGATGCAATAACGATAATGGAGAGACGTCACATACCCAAAGTCACAGCGTTGATCTTGCCCTTGATGTGGATAGTCGAGTTCTGGCAGTTGTAAATATAGACAACGTGTCGCAGCTCGGTTTGCTCAATCACGATATCGTTGTTGTTGTTGTGGTTTTCCTGTGGTTTCACAGAAGAAAATGAGCACCCTCGTTTCGTTGCAAGTACCGTAAAGGATCACCGAGGTACGTACAACGACCCATTTACTACCCTCCAACGAAGTCTTCGGGGGCGCCTTGGGTGCTGCTGCGGACGCCTTAGGTGCAGAGCCTATAGCCAAAAAGAGGAAGGCGAATTCAGAGATTGTCATCGAGGCGAGAACACCGCCACCACCCCCTTACCAGCAGCGGGCGTAGGGGCCTTAACAACACTTCCAGCCCTGAGTTCCGGATTCTTATGCGTCATCTCCGATTTGTCCACCTTCCGCAAGCCTAGAAAGAGACATGATGGATTCAGATGGGCCGTCCACCGCACATCCGGACTGCGTTGCTTGTTAGAACTCACCGCTTGTCAACCCATCCTTGTTCAACGCGCTGAACAATGCCGAGGCATCAGGCGCGGGGCTCTTAGACGACGAGGTGGGCTCAATGCCGACTGCAGGCGCGGGAGGTGGTGGGGGCGGTCCGCCCGCTGATGGCGCTGCTGCGGGTGCGGCGGGGGCTGCGCTGCCTAAAAGAGATCGCATGAAAATTATTAGAACGCGAAATGGACAGCCGAAGGAATCAGTTTTGTGCATCGTTTCCTACCATTGGCAGACTTGGCGTCTCCACCACGAGGGTTCCAGGCCAGACCGGTCGTGTGGTGCTTCTTAACGTAAGCCTGCAGTTCGGCAAGAAAGTTGACGAAGGTGCTTGCCCAGTCTGCCTGGTTCTTGTCCCTGGATGATGAAATCCCGAAATCAGTGAGAACGGGAGTCGTGGGAATATGAAGACTTGCTTCGTCAACTTACTTGTCCTTGAATTCCTTGATGACCCGGTTGCCCCAAAATTGCGAGGACTCTTTCATCTCTCCGACGAAGGGGCCGGGTGTAGGTTCCTGGATGGCAAGTCAATAGACATATCAGTGGATATCGCTTGGAACTGTCGCTAAGAGCCATGGTGGGGAGAGTATTGCGCCCCTCCCGCGCTCGCTATCGCTTGGCCTCCCATCGCAAAGCAGCGCTCGAGCTATCTATCCCCTTTACTATCCCTCGCGTTAACTCACCACAACAACCCAACCAAGAGCCGGGATCCCCTCGCTAACCGTCGACAAATGGTTATACTGCTGACTAGCTCTATTCTTCTCCCTCAACTCCGTAATCTTCATAATCGCCCCCTGCGTCGGCTTCAACAGGTCCTGCAACGTCGGCAAGTCCGGCTTCTTCGACAGCACCGCGACCTGGATGAGTGCGCGCTGAGCCGCCAGTGCTTCCTTCACATGACCCGCCTGCTGCTGAACGAGATCGCCAAGGGCGTTGCTGGCGGTGAGGTAGGCGGCGAAGGGACCGGAGACGAGGTCGTCGAAGGCGGTGATGGCGGCATGGCTGCCACCTGCTGGGGCACCCGAAGAGGAATCGGTGGAAGATGAGGTTGTTGGATGGGCTTTTGGAGGGCGTGCGGCGACCTCCTCGAGACGCTGGGTGGCAGTTTCGAGACGCTTGATGAGAGAAGCGAGCGTAACTTCTGTCGACATGGTGAAGGGATGAAGGGTTTGTTGCTGGGCTCTGGGGTTATGGCGGAAGACGCTGCTGATGGGTAAGATGGTGCCCGAGTTGAAGTTGCAGGTGGAAAGCGCACACCATCCTCCGCCACATGGAAGGTTTGGAAGGTTGGGCCGGTTAGGGTTGCGCGCGCTCTTCTATCGGCGTCAACAACCTGTAAGGCGTCCTATCGCACACCACAGCTTGGCTAGCGAAATCAGCCCTCGGGACTTGTCTTGGACTCTGAGAAATAAGTCCTCGGCCTTGGCTAACAATCGGACCGAAAGCAACCGCCTGGTTTATGTTATGGACGTGCTTGTAATAGTCACATCAGGAGGCCTTGAACAATATCCCTCGGGTATGTCATACACCAACCTCCTGCATTTCTGTATCGGCAGCTGTATTGCTATCTCGACGGTCTGTCCAGTCGTTCAGAATTATCCGATTGATTCGCTCACAAGGGCGGAATCACTCATCGCTGGACTGTGCCTTGGTTGTGTGTGTGGGCTGCGCGAATGGATTTGGTCTTCTGCTCTCCCCACTTTCCCGCTTTGGTCCCAATCGGAGGTACGAAGCCGGCCTTGCGAGATGAGATTGCACATCGCCTTCGGGATTCTGACAAGCTCAGTGTCGGCAAATGATAAACCGACCTGCGAGAGTTGAGCACTGCAAGCAGCCCGAGGAGACGATGTGTGCTCATCTGCTACTTCGCCTCCCGATGATCCGAAGATGCTTGGGCCTTACACTTTGCTACCGACGTAAGTATATCTGCAGCCGCTTCAAAACAAGCAGGTCCTCTGGCTGTTGTTACGCTGGTTTCGAAAACAGAAGGTGAGTAAGATGTAGCGTTGGGAGCGGTCGACGGTGGCGGAGGTGCTCTCGCAGAGGCAGTCTGTCGCACTCAAAACTGTCGGGAGCTATGGTGCTCTCGAGACTTGATGTGCAATTGCTCGATCCTTCACTGGCTTAGCGGATCTTTGCGCCGTCCAGGGTTCTGACGGCGTATGAACGCATGCATACCCGGCGAGAGTGCGGAGCCGCGGAGGCCGCGGGGGGCCGACAATTTCACAACCTTTGCAGTCCTACTGCCACTCCGAAACGTTTGCCAGTGGGGGTTTCAGGCCGTCCGAACTAGCTTGAAGGCTCGTCTATGTATGATATCTACCGTACACTCCCAACGATGGGGACGATATCCGTCGGCGGACGATATCCGTCGGCACGTTTTATAAGATGTATTTTGTCGGTCTCCAGCCTCTCCTCCACGTTTGTGCTGCGGGCATACCAATTTGGCATCCCAGGCCCGTCATTGGTGTGCGGATTCGCAGTACCCGCCTTGTCAACCATCATGGAAAGCCGGAATCACGGCCGCTGCTTATTGCGCAAAGCACTGCGTCCCAACTCCGCACATGCAAGGAGGCATGAAAAGGCATCTTTGCATCACACAAGATCACAGCACCCTGTTTTTTCAAGCGTCAGAAAAAAAAAAGGTGTTTAGGCGGCGGCTTCACGGAGGGCTCTGCCGAGTCGCCCTTCGTTATCAAGTTATCAAACTTTATATACGCAATTTCCGGGGTGGCGATCAAAGGCAGATTAGTGTGGGCAGCGGGATCCTGTCGAATCTGGAAATTTTGTCCCAAGTCCAAAGTCCAACAAGCCGCCATCGTCGGATCCCGTCCTGATCAAGTCCCGCTAGCCGACGCCGCGGTCAGAAACAAGGTGCTCCGATGGACGGAACGCCGTTCAGTCGTTAACAAAATCGTATGACGCCGTCGGCAGACTGTGTAGTGATCGCCGTGGGTTATGAAAGGGTACTATTTTGAGGTACTCCTGCTAATGGGGTGCCCGCCCACGTGCCGGCAGCGGGGGTCGGTGCGACTTGTGGGTGGCGGCTTTTAGAAATGGGAAAGTCGGCAGGTTTCTCAAGTGATCGTCGAATTCCTAAACAATGGGCTAATCTGGCGGCCCGATTGTTTTGCAGCCATGGTTGGATTGAGCGAGGCCTCCCTGTTGCAAGAGCAATAATAAGGGAATCCACGGCGGGTGGGGCTGCTGTCCGTGTTCCCCGTGCGCGTCCACGTTCGGCCGTGGCAGAGGCCTCTTTTCCCTCCTAAAAGAAAGGCAACACCCAGCCCCGCAAACTCATTACGCTCAGCACTCCACTCCGACACCAGCACAGCCCGACTGTATCGGTATATACTCGCTGGGTGGTGAGCTATCGAAACCTGAGTCAAACTCACACCGAAAAGAAGAAGTTGTTTTGGTCAGAGAAAGCAAGATCGTCTATCGCCACTTTTGTCCTGGGAAAACTTCACACTCCGCCGCAACTGGAAAGACACTCATTGGGGGCCGAAGAGAAGCGGTATCCTTTTCCTCAGCGCATTAAGAGCGATTCCAGACGCATACCAGTCCCTATCACTGTCACAAACAGCCGAACGAGGGAATGTCCTCACACGGGGCTCCTGCCGTCATGTACACCAACCAGCGTTTCTCGTCGCATCCCGAAGCCCCCAGATACCCCACCTCCAAACCACCACCGTCCCACCCGCTACCGGCACCTCCTGCGGGGTTCGCCGAAACAAGCCCTGTCGAACCACAACGGCGGGCGGACTCTGGAATAGCTGAGATGGAGGAGGAGAAGCTGCCGGAGATGTTGCGCGGCGGCCGCAAGTCGTCATACGGAGCAACTACGTCTCCCACTGCTTATGGCCAGCAACAGCAAGTACCATCCGTAGTGCAAAAAGGAGACCCTAGCGCCATGTCTCTTGCGCTAGATCTCCTGTTGACAGATCTGGAGGGGACGATAGACTCGTTAACAAAGGATCAGTATGGCAGACCACTGCAGCAGCAGGAGCCCGGTTCTGCCTCAATGTCGCCACGCCCTCGCCGTCAAACGAACCCGTCCATCCCCAGGAGAAACGATACCCCACCGTTCAACGCGGACGAATACGCAGAAGAACGACGACACCTGTCAACCCCTGACACTATCATGTCGGAGGAACCGGCGGGCTTCACGCATCCGGCCTCTGGCCAGCAGTATTACATGGGGACGGGCGCTACACCCCCTCGACATCAATTGCAAAGGCTTCCAGTGAACGGGCTGAGTCAGATGTCTGGTCGAACATCTACTTTGAGCGGCAACAGCGATGGGACGCAATTGGCTTCCGCGAATTCTCAAAACCAGTATTCGACAAGCGTGGGTAGCAGCACGGCGTACACGCACCGCCCACGAATGAACTCAGTCTCCAACGTCAGCGCGCACTCACACGGGTCCGGCGGTCTCTCCTACACCAGCACTCAAAGTCGCGCGTCCACACCCTCCCTCTGCTCCGGGTCCGAGTCACTCCCCTTCTGGGCCGCACCCCCCGTCACATCCTCCGCCAACGCCTCCTCCTCCAATACCCCCTTCAGCTCGCCCAAAACCCTCGGCTCCCTGATGCGTCTCCCCGGCGCCAAGCACGGCCAGCTGATGGTCATGTCCGCCGGCGGTATATTCGGCAAACAGAGCTGGAAACCGCGCTACTACGTGCTGGCCAACTACCGCCTCTACTCCTTCAAATCCAACGACGAGAAGCAGCAGACCGCTACGCAGGGCACCTATCTGCAGTTCACCCCCAACTCGCAGGCAGCCGTCTCTGAAAAGGGATTCGGCGTCGTCGAGGTGACCGGCCAAACATGGATGGGCGACGGCGCCATGGTCCCGCGCACCTGCGTCGACACCGTCTGGGCCCTCCAATCCTCCGGGCAGGAAGAGATGATGGACTGGCTCAACGCGTTCCGATTCACCATCTCCAGCCTCGCGAGCATGGTCCGCGGCGACGGCGAGTACATGTACCCTGAAAACCATCACCACCCGCAGGAGATGCTCGAACAGTCGTACTACCCGCCGTCGTCCCGACAAAGCGTGCCTGCGCGCCCACACGCGGAGAAGAAGAGCGAGTGGCCGACCTCGGCGTCCGCGGAGAAGAAGAGCGAGTGGCCCACCAGTTCGAACAAGAAGAGCGAGTGGCCGACCTCGTCGAATAAGAAGAAGGAGAAGAAAGCGTTGCCCGCGGGCGGCATGCTGCCGTATGGGAGTGTTTACTTCTAGGGGGAGGTTTTTGGAAGCATTTGCCGTAGTTTACACTAGCTTCTTGACGGCGTACTCGTTAGTGGACCCGCAAATGTTGTAGGCTTCGTAGCATTTCATCCGAACCCTTTTGCTGGATTCCCCCACATCACTGTTTATAGTCTTTCCCCCGCTATCTGCAGCACATCACTTCCCCCCCCTCACATTTGTATATATGCCCGCCTCTACCCATAGAGATACCACTGAATCATAGTCACTTATTTCACTTTGCCATCTATTGCTTGCCGTTTGCGTATCCTATGCTCAGGAACCACACCAACAAAAAGCCAGACTCGAAGATGAAACTCGTATATAATGAGGGGGTATAAACAATCACAAAGAGATGCTAAAAAAAAAAAGAACTCTCATCTCTATGCAACGCCAACGAACACACGTCCAACCAACGGCTCATAGATTCCCGACTTTCACACAGGATCCGGCCTCGGCTTCTTAACCTTCCTCCCACTCCTCGTCAACACCGTCGCCTCATTCCCTTCATTCATCTCGGGCGTACGTTCCCTCCTCCTCCCCTTCTCCTCCGTCTTCTTCCTCGCACTATCCGCAGCCGCCGCCCCACTCGTCCGTCTAGGCGTCGTGGCCACTTTCCGGTTGACCCCGATCTCCGGCGTCTTTTCCCTCGACTTGGTGGCGGCGCTCGATCGCCGACGTGAAGGTGTGTTGGCCGCCGAAGCGGTGTCCTCGTGTTCGGGATCTTTTCTGGAGGCTTGTCGTGCGCTGCGGCGTGTGGGGGTGTATGCGAGGTCGAGGTCGGGGGTTTTGGGGCGGTTGGTGGTGGGGTGGTGGTTTGTTGTTGCGCGGGTGGTGCGTTTTGGTGGGGTTGTTTGCGGGTGTGGTTTGACGTTCTCAGGGGACGAGGAGGAGGGGGAGGTGGGGGGTTCCAATTTGGTGCGCGGGGACGGGACGGTGTCCTGCGACGTGCCGACTAGTGGCCCGCTGGGCGAGGAGTGGAGGTCGGCGGGCTTTCCGGCTGCGTTGTTTTCACGTTTCACAACTGTCTCTTCTTTCACTTCTGCCCTTTTCGCATCCTCGTCCCTCTTCACCTCCACTTTCACCTCCTCCTCCTTCTCGTCCTTCACACTCCTAGTCCTCGGCCGCTTCTCACCCGCCATAACATCCTCCTCCTCCTTCACCGCCTTCCGCTTCCGATTCGGCGTGACGACCGTATCCCCGCGCCTAAAACTCGGTCTCGACACGGGAGACAACGGCGGCGCGTGGTTACGGATCCACGGGTGATCGAGGGCTTGGTGGACGGTGAGGCGCTTGCTGGGGTCGACTGTTAGAAGGCCTTTTATAAGGTCGATTGCTGCGTGCGAGAATGGGGGTTACGTGAGAATGGAGTGTCATTCAGGTGTTTAAAAATGAAGAGGGACGTTACCATCACGGGAGATTTTATCCCACCACGGACTCCGGAACTCGTATTTGCCTTGTCGGATTTGATCGGCCATGGGAGGTGGGGCGAGCTCTTCGCTGAACGGTGGGAATCCACACAAACTGCCAATAGAGAAGGAGGTGAGAACCCCGGACGCAATCGCAAACTCTTCCGGTGCCGCCCGCATACCATATGTACAATACAACCCCACAACTCCACAAATCCACCGCCTTGGTGTACTTCCGCCCGTTCTTCCTCATATCCAGCACCTCGGGCGCCACGTAATTCGGGGTCCCGCACAGCGTGCCCATGAAGGAGGTCTCGCTGGCGAGTTTCGCGAGGCCGAAATCGGAGATTTTTATGGTAATGTGCTCGGTGGACTCGGTGAAGGGGTCCGCGAGGAGGATGTTTTCGGGCTTGAGGTCGCGGTGGGAGATGTCGCGCTCGTGGAGATACTGGGGATTGAAGTGATGGAGTTAGTGGTGATTGGCTGAGGGATGCTGTGCGTGTGGGTACAAACTTTTAGGGCTTCGAAAAGTTGTCGCATCATCTCCCTCGTCATGTCCTCGGAGAACTTTTGTCGTGCAATGATGGCGTCGAAGAGTTCTCCTCCTCGTACGCTGCCGAAGGCCAAGTCTGTAGGTCAGCATATTGTATTCACTTCACAGCTGCACTTGAGTAAAGCCGGCACTTTAAACTCACAGCTCGAGCACAATATAAACAAACTCCTCTTCCCAAAAGGCGCCCAGAATGGAGATGACATTCGGCTACAGCATCGAAGAAAAGAACATGTCAATAGGCGAACGTCAAGATTGCATCACCTTCAAGAGAACACGTAGCGTACATGATCAAGTCCCATCAGAATGGAAATCTCCTGTTTCAAGTTCTCGAGAAACTTTGGCTTGAACTGGATCAGGCTCTTTGCGATACATTTGATGGCGACCTTTTCGCCTGTCTCTCGGTCGGTGGCGAGCTTCACCGTGGCGAAGTTTCCGCTGAGAAGGGACGGCGTCAACGTGGCGTGACAAAACGATCGACGTCTAACTCTCGACACTTACGTTCCGAGCTCCTTCCCAAAATGGTATTTCTTATGGATCCCCTATGCGAGAGAAGCAGATATTATTAGACACTTTGGTCATTGGGTAGCCTCGTGCACGACAGGAACTTACCCCAGAGTTGGCGTTCGAAGGCTTTGGCAAGTGTAAACTGTAGACTGAAGGCAGAATCGGAGAGAATCAGCACACGGCCCAGATTGACAGTAAGCCGCGCAATGGTCGTATGCTCCCTTCGTCACCGCTTCACGTCTTTCCCAACACGATACTCACATTTTTCATGTGCAAACTGAATCTTGTCGCCAGTATGCAACCGATGTTGCCGACCCTTCTGCAACTTTTTGTCATTGACCCACGTTCCGTTCGAGCTAAAAGTGATAGTGAGACATAGGTGTCAGCATACTTTTTGGCGGTTCTGGAAGCTTGTCTCACGTGATCTGCTTGCCTGAGGTCTTCTATGAAGGTAACTTCCTCATTCCAGTTCTTGTCGTCATTCCATACGGTTTCCTATGTAAAAGGTCGCGGGATGTCCGTCAGAGCCCACACCCGAACGGCCATCTCATCCAAGAACAAACCCACTTGGAAAATGACGCAGTGACGATTGGACACGACCGGGTTCGCCACACGAACATCGCACTCCCTATGCCTCCCGATCACATATCCCGTTGCCGCGTTGGCAGATCTACCGCCTTCCTGGCTCTTCGCGTCCGATGCAGACTTGCGACGCAGTTTGACGGTCGGGTGGTCATCCGGGTTCAATGTCTGCAAGACAGCCCAGACCCTATTATCCTCCTCCGTCTCGACGCTTTCCGGCTCGGCGCGCTGGGACATAGGTTGCGTCAAGCTCTGCTTCGTGTCGCCCGAGAGAGTGGACATTTGGGGCGTTAGAGGAGCTGGACTGGCGGGAAAAAAGCCGTTTACGTCTTGGCTTGTGCTGTCGCCCACTATGCTTCCGGATGTTGCTATTGAGGACATTCTATCGATAGCGTCCGTTGCCGCCGAACTCTGCCGAGACGGCGTCGCCGTCGGGTCCGTGAGGTCAGTCATCCCTTCTTTTACCATGAGGTTCGCGGTACGGATTCACAGAGGCCTCGATGAACTGCAGATGCATTTGAAATTGAGACCTCTCCAAACCTCACAACAGAAGTTGCGAAAGCCACAGTATTATGCACTTACACGAAATTCGCGCTGACTTCACACTTCGCCCCCACGATGACTGTGACGAAGATCAGGTGTGTCGCGGGCTGTGTCGACTAGAACACAGTTGGACGTGAAAGCAGGCCTTATGGGTTGAATGTCAGGGTGTCGCCCGTTGCCCTATCGCAGTAGCTTTTGCAGGGCCAGGTCCAAAGGCCAAGTGCAAATCCTGGACATGGACTGGACATGGACATGGAGGACCAGACGGAGAAGTAACGGCGCGTCAGGACTCAGTGCGGCGGCTTTTGGCCCATTCCCACGCATTCTTATACGCACTAGATAGATCACCTCAGCCATGCCAGTCACATACCACCTGGACAAGATAGCATACCTCAAGCTGGTCTTGCACGCCACAAAGTACGCCGTCAGCGGCGTCACTGGCGTCTTGATAGGCACGAAGGCCGCCGACGACAACATTGAGGTCACCGACGCTATCCCGCTGTTCCATTCCCATCCACTCGCACCGACGCTGGAGGTTGCTTTGCAGCAGGTAGGGGGGATGGCAGAGCATACGGTAGCAAGGGTCGCAAGTCATATCTCATACGCTTTTTTGTGGCAGATACAAATACATTGCAACCAACTGTCCTTAGCGGTCGTCGGGTTTTACTGTGCGAATCAACTCGAAAGCGATAAGGAGGTGTCGCCCGTAGTGGCCAAGATAGCAACGAAGATTGATGACAATCTGGGAGGAGGAGCGCTGTTGTTAGTGGTGTGTGCGGCCATTTGAGTTTCCGCATGCGTGAAACGGAAGGGCGGACTAACGCGAGGTGTTCGCCCGCGCACAGTGGGATTCTGCAAAGTTCAGGAGCGAGAAGTCTTTTGCCGTAACGGTAAGCAGACTGTTTCCTCCTTCGGCGAGATTGGATACATGGACTGACAATACCTCTTCCACGCCGTACAGCCTCGCACACTGACCAGCGGAGGTTCATGGACACTACTGCAATCCAACTAGTAAGCCGCACATCTCCCGCATCTCACTCTCCATCTCACATATCTTATCAATCTTTCCACCCCTTCGAATCATAGCCTCCTACCCGCAACACCATCGATCGACGTGTCCCCCTTTATCAAACAGCGGCTATACGAACACATCGCGGATTTCGACAACCATTTGGATGACACAAAGTTGGATTGGTTGAGGAACGAGAAGGTTGTTGAGATTGCTGGTCGGTAGAATGGATGTGTCTGGGTGTAAAAGGCGACTAGAACAGAGTTAGTGAAGTCATCATTGCGCGAGATCATTCGATGTGTTGGAGTTGGGCGAGTGAGCCGACGCAGTCTGCATTACCTGCCGGGCCCGAGCGATCACTTCAGCTCCGTTGAGCACACGGGCGACCTTGTGAACGGAACCTTACGCACCTTCATTCCGCAATGTAGACCGAACCCCTCCATACTCCTTTCCACTCTCGCGCTGGTCAGAACGGGGAGAAACAGGACTAAAGAAGTGATAAGGTAGAACTCGGAAAACCCCTGTCCTCGGACTGAATCGGGGAACCAGGTGTCTTTCATCCAGGCGAATTGGGCCAATGATATATTTCACAGGACATTGCCAGATCCTCCCAAATCCTCCAGATCTGCAGCTGGATGCGGCTAAGGCTCCGAAGTGTTAAGCCCCGAAAGAAGAGAAAGAAGAGACATTGAACGCGAGGTTTTTCAGAAAACGAAACTGGTATTGTATTACTGGGTATCGCTCGACCGCAGCCGAGCTACAATGGTTTATAGTGTACATTTGAAGCACCCTTTGTGACTCCTCACATTCCCCGAGACTCTCTAATCCCTTCCCTTCCTCATTTGTTCAATGAGCGTCTGATGTGATTTTCGCTGTGCGTATTTTTTTTCGGTTTTCGTTGGTTTTGAAATGTTTTTGGTGTTTTTCGGTGCTTTTTGGGGGGTGCCCGTGTGTTCATGGCTGGCTGGGCGTCTATGGCGGTGGGTGTATTGGCTTGATGGGCCGTCTATGGCGGTGGGTATCTGTCAGGCCCGTCCTTGTGTCGCTGTCCCTAGGTAAGGGCTGGCTGGCCGTCTCTGGCGGTGGGTATGAGTGGGTATATTTTCTTGCGGGCCGTCTAGATTGGTAGGTACGTCGTTTGCCGGACCTCTATGGCGTAGATACATGGCTTGCCGGACCGTCTATGGGGTAGGTACATGGCTAAGTGATGTCGCGAAGCCGTCTATGGCGGTAGGTACATGGTTTCCCGGATCGTCTTTGGCGTGCATTAGTTGTTTTGAGAACTCATATTCCTCTTCTTTAGGTACAAGGCTTACCGTCTTGTGTTGATATATACATTGCCGAGGCCGTCTACTCTTCGGCCTGGGTGTCCTGCAGGATAGCCTTCCTGAGGTACTTCACTCCGCACTGGTGGAGATGCAAGGAAGGGAGGAAAGGAAGTGATTAGTAGACTGCCAACGACGATGTTTGGACGAACGACATACGAAGGGATGAGCGACTTACCTTGTTGCACAGATCTTTGTGCGATGCCGGGCCGTGTCTCCACATCGGGGTGGAATCGGCCCCGCAGTAGTGGCACACCCTGGGGTCATCAGAGGCCGTCCTCGATGCCCCACCAGCCGCCGCACCCCGACCTCTTCCACCAGAGCGCGGCGGGGTCGCGGGCGCAGCCGGTGCTGTGGGTGGCGTTGACGGCATTGGTGCTCTCTTGGTGCGAGCTCTCTTTGTGGGTCTGGGCGTCCCCGACCCGGCCGCAGGCGATGACGGGCCGGCAGCTGGTGGCGGGGACTCTTCAGTGCTTGTTGGCGCGGCACGCTTGCGCTTGTTGGGTGTGATGGCGGGTGTTTGCGGCGACTGGGGACTCGTCGCTGCTTTCGATGGTCGAGTCGACGGTCCCGCCGGCGCCGCCTTCTTTGGTGTGGAGGCTTTCGTAGAGGAGCGGGTGGTCGGCTTGCGGGCGGGGGCGCGGGCCCTTGGAGATGGAGCCTTCGGGTTGCATTTCTGTCGCTTACGCTCTTGTTCCTCTTTGGCTTTATCAGTGGGCTTGCGGGAACGATGCGACTTCCGTTTAAGGTTCACCACGAGCGGCTCGCGGCTGTGGTGAAACTCCTTAGAGGCCAGGTAGTCACCGAGGTCCGTCCAGCCCGGCGGCAGAATGACTTCGTCTTCGCTGCTGTCTGATTCGTCGCCGCTGGATCTGCGTCGCTTGTAACTACCGCGTGGTTGAATCGGATGTTCTCGTTTGTGTTCGTAGGGGTTCCAGCTGCGTGCCGACCTGGGACGCTGGGCGTTTTCAATGAAGCTACGTTCCAGCACATCGTTTTCCGAGTCAGTGGTTCCCCCGCTTGCGTCGGAGTCAACGGCTTCGTCACTGCTGCTGCTCACGACGTCGACGGTCTTGCTATCTTCGGTGGTGCATTCGGTTTCGTGTTCATTATAGCGTTGGTGTTCATCTTCATCATCGGAACTCTCTTCATCGGATTGACCTTGGAAGTCCTCAGCAGAGGCAGCGACATGAGAGCCAGTGTTTTTTACGACGACGCCCGTCGAATGGTCATAACTGGCAATACGTGCACCGCCGCTGAAGATCTTGTTGCCGATGCGAGGGTTTTTGATGTTCAAGAGTAGTTCGGCAGCCATAAGCTGTTCGGGATCAATGCCCTGCAAAGCACTGTGATCGTTGCGAAGCGCGATAGCGTGCTCCGGAACATCATCAACGATGATGATCTCGTCGCTATCGACCGGGATAGGCTGGTCAATCAGGACCGGGACCGGGAGGTCCATCAGTCCCACGGAGGCCGGAGACTGGGTCCTGGGCGAACGAATTTCGAACATGGGCAAAGCGAATTCCGGCAACAAAAGAATGAGGGAGTCGTCGGAACTAGAGGTAGGCGACAGAGACTCAAGCCTTGGCTGGGGCTGGCCGTGAAGCTCTAACAGAGCGCTGGCGCTTTCAAGAGTGGTAGATGCCGAGACAGCACCATCGTCGATGAGGTGATGGTACACACGAAGAAGCTCGTCGATATCAAGGTGGTAGCTGGCCGGGTTAGTGGTTTCGGCGGAGGTGGGCTCGGAGGAGCTGGAGGAGATCAGAGTCTCCGAGGAGAAAAGAGTAGGCTCAAGGCCAATTGTGCGGATAATTGCCGACATCTTGTATGTTTCAATGAAATGAAAGATGTGTGAATGCTGATTACGGGGTCGAGTCCGAAATCAGTCTGAGTAACGAGAAATTTGATGATATCGGGGTTGACTCGGATTTCCGTTCTGAAGTACGAGGATCGTAAAAAGACAGAGGGTTCCAATTGAGCAGAAGCTGACAGCGTATGGTACCGAAGTATGCGGCGTATCGAGCTGAACGTGCAGAGAGGAAGCGAAGTTGGATGTGTGCGAGTACGGTTGTGAATGTAAGCGAAGCTTGATCGAGGCAAGTAGAACGTGCGAAGAATAAGCTGCCGAGAAACTGTTCTGAGATGAGTGGAAAGGAAGAGTGGGGACGGGCTCTGCTGCTCTTTTATATTCCGTCCAGTGTGCATGCGCCCCAAACAGATTCCAGCTTAGAAGAAATGATCTGAGCTTATCTCAGTGCCATGCATCTGTGGCTATCCCATAGTGAATGCCAGGAGCGGAGTTGCTGACGACATCCGTCAAATGCGTGAAGGCTCGAGGTATAATCCCATGACCGTCCCTATTTCTATTCCCGCAGTTCAGGATTCCGCGAAGCTTAACCATTTTCTGAGTTAGAAGCATCGAGCGTACAATGCCTTGAATCGTGCTGAGGATCCCGCGCCTCGCAATTCGCAATCACGCCATTCACCTGTCATTTGGTCGCATTCTAGAAATTGTTCGGAAGGGCATTCTCCATTGGCCCGCCGGCAGCCAAGGCTGTGGAACGACCATGGATTCCCAGGGCAGATTTCAATCAAAGTCATTTTAGGATTCATAGCAAGACCCAAGGGTTCGCGAATTACAAATGCGGACCCACGGAGTGGAGATGCAACCTGTAAAGAGAAGCCCCATTGCATCTCGGCCACGGCAAAACGTTGATACGAAAGCCTTCTTAACACTTAAAGCATATCAAAAGTATTTTCCTTCGTGAAGTAGGCCCGACCAAACCTCCTCGCAGAGTGTCTCTTTGATCCAACTCAGTGGTCTCGCATTTGGGGCTCGACTCAGCCATTCCCCTTTGCTCGAAATTGAGCGGAGATTTCGATTACATGAAGCGTGAAAGTGTCGAAATTACCCGTCAAAAAGGGTACTGTCAGAAATATCGACAGTTCTTAACCGTGGGTATGATGAGGACTCAGAGATGGAAGGACCTGTGATAATTGAAAATCAATAGATGGTGCTGTGCACGGGTTGGACGTAGGTCGTCACGAGCGCCTTTTTTAGATGAAATGATATAGCGTACAGTCATTCTTATGGATCTCATGAATGGGCTGGAGTCAAGAAAGTTGAGCGAATACCTCTATAAAGCACGCGGTCGTGTAGCCTGGCCCGTTTCCGTTCCGCTCCATCTTGCGCGAAAGGGCTTGACTGGGCAGTGTTTTTCCACGTGCAGTCCAAGATCGGCATTCTCGCCGCGCCGGTAGCTGTCCTTGTTCGTGGGCGGTAATGGCGGCATCCGCTCTCTCTCCGCTTTCCATGCGATAAAGAGGTTTTGGCCCCGTGGGTTTGGAAGAAGGGCATGCTTGCGACTGGAAGGATTACCGCAAGATCGCCCCCCGTTCCCTTTTGCCCCCCTCCCTTCTTAGTATGGTGCATGGACCCGTTCTTTGTGTGGGCCATGGACGCTCGAGGCAAAAAAGCTCGCCGGGTCTGGTGGACAAGCAAAGCATCCATTCTGTTGTGTCACTACAGAAGTTCCCACCATGATTCAACAATGACATTCAAAAATCTGGTTCTTCCCCGAAAGGGCTGCCCCTTTGTTGGGGGGGTCCAGCTCTTTGGGACCGAATCTAGACGAGTCGGAGTTGCGGTCCGAGCCCGTTTTTCGGACCCCTGGTGGCCATGTGCGAACAAGCATGTGCACATCTCCGTTGAATGTGCCCACATCCAATCAAGTGTCGGCATGGAGGACGAGACGATGAAACATTCCCATATTTCACCCCGCATGTGCATATTCTCTTCGCCGAACAGAATGTCAGTAAGATCTTCCCCCATTTCTCAGAACGGTTGGACCTTCGCCTTGCCGCGTCCCCTAGGCGCAAGATGTGAGATGGATTGTTCTGCGGCTCTTGGGATGCACCGCTCTACGCTCGACATTCCATCCGCCGTTTCACAGGATCGATGTGAAACCGCCCGTCATGACTTGTGCGTAAATCAGATGCAGCAAGCGAGGGAGGCTGTCGCGGATCTACTGTTTGGATGCGCTGACGTAGCAAGAGAGTCCTCGAGTACCTGCTTCATCCCCATCGGCGGACTCTGTATCGCCCCCGAACAATATCATGCACGGGGATCGGATACAGCTCCTACGGAAAAACGTGCGCATAGCATGGGTTTCCCAAAACGTGGGCAGCTCTGCGCCGGCCACTATACCATCGAGGGGTTCCAGACCACATATCTCATCCCATCCCACGCGCGCGGGTGGGGTGAGGCCTTCCGTCGACGTCGCCAAGAATGCTGACCAGCAACTTGTCCGATTTCCAGTTTGGGGAACCGGGAAATGTGTGGGAGTATAGATAGATCCCAGCCTCTTCCATGACGCCGAAGTGACTCTTGATGTCCGTGACGGTGAGTTGCTTCCCGCCCTTCGAATGGAGGATTTGTCCGGCCGGCTCTTTGGTCCTGTGAGTCTTCTTCGTCGGGAAAGCATTTATCACCTTGATGGTTTCAGCTACTGCCAAGTCGCGCCTTCAAATAAACAAGGCCGCAGAATCTCCCGGCTGCCAGTACCTCGTCAACGACATGCAGTAAAGCCGGGCTCCCTGACTGCGTATATATAATGTCCCTGCCGTCCCATGATCTTGTTTGGGGAAGGCCATATGATTGTGGAGCCTAGTGTATCGGGTCCGGCCGCTCAGGACTTGAATAGGCCGAATCGGAACCGGTATGCCCGACGACATGCAGTAGAACGTTGTCCGGCTTGACGCTTCTGTGTTTGATAGGCGGGTCGTCCGGTTCCATGGCAGCCGATGCCTAAGAGTTTGCACGGTCGCCCCTTCCGACCGCCAAACCATGTCGCTGTTTGGCTTTGCTAAAGCGTCACAGCGGTCTCGTCCGCACTCTCTCCGATGTCGGTATGTTGTTCCACCGTGAACAAGGGTGGATAATGTGCAATTCCTCCGAGCCGACCGTAGCGTGCTGAGTTGAAGAAATCCGTGATGCTCTCCTGACCCGTGCAAACCCATCCGCGAGGCGCTCTGTCTCGTCGCGACAACTCCGAAGATCGCAGCTGAAGGCTCAGGCAGTTCAGCGCACTCGACGAGGGCCATGTAGCGTTGAAAGCGTCGAATGCGTTGGACTGCCAATCACTCCTCTTAAAGCGTGCTCCATCTTGAAGTAGAACGAGAGGACTGTCCCACCTGCCGCTCCATGTTCGTCTGTTCGTTGCCGAGTTTGACGTTCTGCTGGCTTGTCAGATCGGTTTTCACGAGCAGCCGTGCCGTCGCCGTGCGCGTTTGGGATCCTTCCCGGTCCATCAACGCTCCTAGCCATGCCCCTCGCCTCACCTCCACGTTGGAGAAGTTGGTGCGGCTGGCATGGGGCTCCCCGTTCCTCCCCACTCGCCCTGTGGGTCTTCCTCTTCGTCCCGGTTCGTCGCCAAGAAAGCCAGGCCCTCTTTGACGCTTTCGACGCGTCTCCTTTGTCTTCCGGTGTCGGGCAAAACAAGCTCCGCAATCGTGCCAGGGGCATATGTATGTACAGTACATACTGTACGGAGCGTGACGACATCACCGCCACCCAAGACAAATACCTCGCCCAGCTGCCTTGAGCGTATTCCACGATTGCAGCGGTTAGCCGAAAAAGTCTTTCCGCGAAACTTCTTCGCGTGCGAGACGAAACCTACCTTCAAAGATGGCCGATTTCAACAACCATCCGACTGCAGGGCCGGGGCTACCGACTCCTGCGACGAGTGGGGTGACGCATGGTGGTGGATATTCGTAAGTTCTGGGTGTGTGTGTGTGGATGGCCTTTTCGGGTGGATTTGGTGGTCGACTTGAAATGGCTGGGGAAAAAGGATGAAGTGCAAGGGTTTGGGTTGTTGTGGTGGTGGTGTGGCCAACGAAGAGCATACTTTAAATGTACTCCATCCCCACCTCAACTCTCTCGCATCCCCAGCTCCGAGCCCGCCTCACTCCTCACCAGCCTCCGCACCCCTTCCACCCTCCTCCGGATCCTCGAATGGTTCCTCTCCCTAATCGCCTTCAGCACGGCCGCCTCCTACGGCGACATCACCTCCGCCTCGCGTTTCATCATCTTCACCGGCGTTCTCGCCTGGCTTCTCTCCTCGCTGTTCCTTTACGCTGCGATATTGCGACCCGCGAGACTTGTAGGCACGAGGGCGTATCATTATGGGGAGTGCGCTGTTAGCGGGATTTGGACGTTGTTTTGGTTTTGTGGGAGTGTGGCGTTTGCGGCGGAGGGGTGTGCTGTTGGGGGGCAGTGTGGGGAGAGGGGCGCTTCAATTGCTTTTGGGTAGGTTGACCAGCGGAGGGAGCGTTGCGAGCGCAAGGGAGCTTTGGGGGGATTGTGCGATCCCAATGGAGCTGCGAACGAGCGAGCGAGCGATCTGCTGCTCCTTAGCAGGGCCTCGCTGCGTACTTTTGCGCGATGTTTCCGTCGCTTCGCTCGCTCGCCGCAGCATCCCTTTTCATATGTCGTCTCACATCTCATTTTGGCTGCTCCCTCCCCTTCTTGAACAGATTCTTCAGCCTCTTCTCATGGGCCGCGAGCACATGGTTCGCCTATCACGAGCTGCGGCAGTCATAGTTCCCCTCCAACCGAGGCGGAAAGTCATCGAGATGCTATCCTCCTCTGACTAGATTAGTCTTGCAATAGCCGACCGGACTGGCTGCATGTACTGTAGTTTGCGGCCACCTCCTCTCGTTACATTCTCAAGAGTATGGACCCTTGGGCGATTTTCAGAGAGTATTATACTGTACTGTATGTACGTAGCTATCCTCGCTGCGGACCCATGAAGACATGAAGGACACCCTTTATTACAGTACGTAGTACAGTATGTACTGTAGGGTTAATGTGCGAAGAAGGATAGGCCGGGCTCTGTCCCGTTTCCATGGCCCATGGAATGCGCGCGTGGTTGGCACACGGTACTAGCGAGCAAGCCACATGGCTCCACATAGTGGATCGTAGGGATCTGCGTGCGAGTTGGGGAAGCTGAGCGAGAGGATCGGCGGCAAATTGGGGCCAAATGGGTCTCGAAGAGTCGACATGCGCATGATGTCAGCTCGCAGCAACTGCACTATCATTGAGAGGAGAGGCGAACGACAAAGAGGGGTGGGTCCGCAGCGACAGTTGACCTGCACATGGCCACTCGACCAAGTATCAAACCCGTATCGTGGGTTCCGACGTACTGTATCTCGAGGACCAAAACGGTGTGCCTGCCGTCGGCAGTCAACACTTCTCTTCGCATCCCGGTCGACCGCCAGCCAAGCTCACCGTAGACCATACAATTGGGACCCACGCAGCACAACTTATTCACAAAAGGGGTCTACAACAACCAAGGGACTGGGCTTTCCCACCCCACCCAGCCAACGCTCCCCACTTAGCGGTCCCCACATTCCTTCGCCATGACAGCCCCCAACGGCCGGAAAGACTCATGCGGTCCCGCAAAACTATCCCACGTCCTAGATAGCCTCGCGGGCCACTCAGCAATGGGCGAACTCGTCCGGCGGAAGGATTGGGGTGCGACTGCGTTGGGGCCCATAGGTACAATAATCAATCGCTTTCACTGCAAAGTGTATACTCGACTCATCGTTTTATGATTATTGATTATCTGATTTTGATGGTAGAACAATGGCCACAGTCGCTACTCACGGCAGTCAGTTTCATGCTGAATTCCAGTTTTCCGTTTGTGCTGTTTTGGGGGGATAGTCATTCTATACTTTATAATGATAGGTATGGGATCTGTTGTCTATCGTCAAGAAAAAGAGTTTCTGCAAACAGACCGCTCATTCTACCACCCTCCTTCAATCAACAACAGATACATTCCAATATTCGGCGGGAAGCATCCAACACACCTAGGAAGACCCGGCTGCGAGCCCTGGGCCGAAATCTGGGACGTCATCAAACCCATGCTCGACTCAGCCCGCGAGGGCGTCGCCACATGGTCCGAGGACCAGTTCCTCGAAGTCAACCGGCACGGCTACCTTGAAGAATGCTACTTCACCTTCTCCTACTCCCCCATACGCGTCGAAGACGGGTCCGTCGGTGGTATCATGACGCCCGTGACAGAGACGACACAGCGCGTGCTGGGCGAGCGGAGACTGAGATTGCTCAGGGAACTGTCGGCGCAGACAGGAGATGTGCAGTCGGAGGCCGAAGCGTGCGATATCTCCGCAAAGATGTTCACGGAGCATTGTACGGATGTGACGTTTGCGCTTATCTATATGGTGGATGCGACGGGGAAACGGTTGGAGTTGAAGGGGAAGGCGAATGTGGAGGATGAACATCCGGCGGCGGTTGCGATGGTGTCGTTGGAGGGGGATGAAAACCTTGGGTGGCCGGTTGCGGAGGTGATGAAACAGCGGGCGGCTTTTGAGGTGAATGGGCTTGGGGAAAAGTTTGGTCGTTTACATGGTATGGCAATCAGAGTTCTGGGAGCGTCCATTTGAACCGTGGGGATTGTTCTGATCATTCGCTAATTAAACCATCGTGCGAAACAGGCGGCACATGCGAACATATGCCAACTCAAAATGCAATCTGCATGCCTCTTGAAGGGTCATCCTCACAAGAACCGATCGGGGTCGTCATATTTGGGCTGAACCCGCGTCGGAGACTCGATGCCGAATACAAGTTCGTAGAGCTCACGCTATCTTGTCATTTGAGCAGATCTGGTTATTGACGCGCGCGATACGTTTTATCGCTTTCACAGAGGCTTTCTGGAACTGACGACGACACAGCTGACGTCTGCCATATTGCGTGGGAAGGGAGTCATGGAGGAACGGAAGCGCCTGGAAGCGTTGGCCGCTATGGATCGGGCGAAATCCGTGTTCTTCAGGTATCATCTCAAAGGCTTTGAGTCGGTCCCAGAGGCGCTCGAACTCACAGTCTTTCTCTGCAGCAACATCTCCCACGAATACCGCACACCTCTAACCCTCATCCTCGGCCCCGTCACCGAACTCCTCAACGACAGCTCGCTAACCCAATCCCAGCTCGACAAAGTCCGCCTAATCGAACGCAACGGACAACGGCTCCACAAACTCGTCAACGCCGTACTCGATTTCTCCAAACTCGAGGCGGGCCGCATGGACGCTACCTACCGCCCCACGGATATCAGCCAGGTCACAGCGAATGTTGCGTCCATGTTCCGTAGTGCGATGGAGAAGGGCGGGCTGACGTACACGGTTGACGCACCGGCGCTGGGCGAGATGGTGTACATTGATGTGGACATGTGGGAGAAGGTGCTGTTCAACCTCCTGAGCAATGCGTTCAAATTCTCGACGAAGGGAGGCGTCAGTATACGGTTGTACAAGAACAAGACCTCGGTGGTGCTGCAGGTCTCGGACACGGGGTGTGGCGTTCCGCCAGAGGAGGTGCCGCGGTTGTTTGAGCGCTTTCATCGGTGCGATACGTCCCACGGGCGGTCAATGGAAGGCACGGGTATCGGACTCTCGTTGGTCAACGAGCTCGTGAAACTGCACGGGGGGACCATCTCCGCCGAAAGCGAGTTGAATGTGGGTACTACGTTTACAGTAACCATCCCTCTCGGCAAAGCCCACCTCTCCTCCAAAAACGTCGTCCATGAGCATTTCCCGAGCCAAGACGACCCCTTGAAACCAGGCGGGCCAGGATCCGCCGTGAAAGGCGAGTCCTCCATCGGCCGCGCCTTCGTGCAGGAAAGTCTCCGCTGGACCAACGCGGACAGCAGCAACAAAACCCCCTCGCTCCCACGCGCCAGCGGGGCGGCCGCCTCCGTAAGCAACAGCGACCTCGCCGCCGACGAGCGAAGCGTCTACTCCGACGAGATGACCAACGACAAATCCGGGTCGTCGGAAAACCTCAAGGGCCCCGCGCAGAACGGCAAGTTGGCCCGGATCGTCCTTGCCGACGACAATGCGGACATGCGCGAATACGTCAGCAGCCTCCTCGCCAAGTTCGCCATCGTCCACGTCATGCACGACGGCCTCCAAGCCTACCGCAGCATCATGGATAACCCACCGGACCTGATCCTCTCCGACGTGATGATGCCCAAAATGGGCGGCTTCGAACTGCTCAAAAAAGTCAAATCCCACCCCCGCACAAAACATATCCCTTTCGTCCTCCTCTCGGCCCGCGCGGGCGAGGAGGCGCAGGTCGAGGGCCTCCAGGCCGGCGCGGACGATTACCTCGTTAAACCGTTCTCGGCGAAAGAGCTCCGGGCGAGGGTGAAGACGCAGTTGGCGATGGGATCGATGCGCGGGGAGCTGGAGCGGATGGTGCAGGTGCGCACGAGGGATTTGAGCGAGTTGACACGGCAGTATGAGTTGTTGGCTACGACGACGCCGGTGGGGATCTGTCGGTCGGATATTAATGGGGATATTGTGTATGTGAATAAGATGTGGTGGAAGATGTTGAGGAGGTATAGCGATCTTGCTGCTGTCTTTTGGGGGTGGGGTGGTTGATCCGCTGGGGTGCTTACAAGCTTCTTTTCGATTTGCGTACCACAACAGAGACCCTGAAATTGACAGCACCACCGAATGGAACACCTGGCTTGCCGAGCACAACCGAGAGGTGACATTAGAACGTCTCGGTCAAACAATCGTCGACCGCCAACCCCTGCGAATCGACGTCGACTTCAAAACCCGCGACGGCGAGGTCTTCACCCTCCTCCTCACCAGCGTCTTCGACCCCGGCAACGAACAATCCGAAGTCGGCGAGATCAAGAACCCCGGCGGCTTCTACAGCGCGCTAGTAGACGTCTCCGAAGAACGGCGCCTGGAAAAGGAACGCCACATAACCCTCCAATCTCTCGCGGAAGAACAACGGCGGCGGGCCGAAGAAGCCGACGAAAACCGCCAACAACAAGAGTTGTTCGTCGACACCATCTGCCACGAGATCCGCAACCCGCTCTCCGGAATCGTCAACAACAACGACCTGCTTAAAATGAACCTCAAGAAACGCTGGTCCGTCCTCCGCAACGTCGTCTCCGCTGTCACCACCTGGAAAGCCATGTTCGGGCTCCACACCTCCTCCTCCACCACCGCCCCCGGCCTCATGCGCACCCCCAGCAACAACCCGCGCGACTTTGATATGGCGGGTTTTATGAAGTACCTGGACGAGCAGGTGATCCCCGCCTCGCGCACGACGTGGCTGGAGGACCAGGAGGCGAGCGATGCGATCGCGATGTGTACGAGCCATCAGAGCGTGATTACGGACGATGTGTTGTTGTTGAGTAAGATGAAGCATAATAAGGTGTCGGTGAACCCGATCATCTGTGCGCCTGAGGTCGTTATTTCGAGGGTTTTGAAGATGTTTAGGTAAAGTGCGATCTGTCTATTAGGCAGTGAGACGTGACGTCCTCCGGTTGTTGTTCCGCACCGCTGATTTATTTTCTCGGAATCAATCATCTCTTTCTCGGTTTGTAGAACGGAACTACAAAAGAAGAAAATGGAATGGGACCTCCTCCTCAGCGTCGAAGATCTCGGCGACGTCAGCGCCGTCTCCTGCCCCCCCAAAACAACCGACCCGCGCCAGAAGGTGCTGATACCGTTCCGAGACCGCCGCAGCGCCGATTTGCTGATCGCGGACCCGGATAGGATTGCGCAGATTATATTTAATTTGCTTTCGGTAAGGGAACCCCCTCTTTTTTTTTTCTTGCATCCCCGTCATTCTGTCTTTGGGGGGACGCCCCATTATTCACTGTTGGCGATGCCGGTGTTTCAGAACGCGGTCAAATTCACCGAAAAATCCTCCAAGAAGATGAAAATCACGGTCTTGCTCGAACTCACCAAGTTTGTGACCGAAGACACCGCCCCGACGACCGATGATGAGGACGCGCCACGGAAGCCGCGGAGACGGAATGTTGCGGATATGTGTGTTACTGTTCGGGATACTGGGTGAGTTTTGTGTAGCGGGGGGGAAGGGGAGGTTGGAGGTTCTGACTGATGTGTTTTGGATTGGGTGGTAGGATTGGAATGACGGAGGATGAGCAGCAGAAGTTGTTTCAGGTAAGTCTCGCGAATTCTCGGCATCGTGGCAACGCGCAGCGAAGGGAGTAGTTGACGTCTATTTTTTTTGTTGGCGCACACAGCGATTCGGCCAAGCCACCGTGAAAACCTACAGCACCTACGGCGGCAGCGGGCTCGGCCTTCATATCAGCCGGCAGCTCGTCGACATCATGGGCGGGACGATGGGTCTCCGCAGCCAAAAGGGCGTTGGGACCGAGTTTTTCTTCAAGATCCGATGCGACCTGCCCACCGACGAGCGGGTGCGCGAGATCCGGCGGATCGTCGCGGGCGAGGAGGCGCGGCGGGGGACGCCGGCGGATACCCACGAGCTGCTCCTGAATTGCAGTTCTAGCGAAGGCAGCGGCGGCGATAGGCATGATAGTATTGGCAGCATGCCATCGTTTACGGAGACGACGTTGCTGAGACGACTGGGAACTCCGGGATACAACGACTCGTCGTCACCCCTTCCGCCGGATCCGGATACCCTCGACGACCTGAGCCCGACGAAGGACTTGGCGGACAACGAGCATATCATTTTCAAATCCACGATGGACATCTTCACCACCCCTGACTCGCAGGCTGCGAGCTCGCAGGAATTGAACAGCCCTGCAGCCTCGCCAACCAGCCACAACCACGTGTCGTCATCATCGCCGACACGCCCGCGACCTACCCCTAACGAACACGAACGACAGCTGTACATGGAACGCCGCGACGGCCTGTTACGGCTCGAAGACCTCTCCGTCCTCATCGTCGAAGACAACGTCATCAACCAAAAAGTCCTCAAGAAACAACTGGAGAACGCAGCGATCAAAACCGAGCTGGCCAACAACGGCGTCGAAGCCGTGAATCTATTCAAAAAGGGCTCGTTCCACGTCATCATCATGGACGTCGAGATGCCCCTCATGAACGGCCTCCAAGCCACGCAAGAGATCCGCAGCCTCGAACGCGCGTCCCGATCCACACCCGCTTCCCCATCCCCATCCCTATCCGACAAATCCACCACCCGCCGCGGATCACTCCCGTCAACCATCGCCGAACCCTCCATCACGCCCTCGTCCCACTCCGCCTCCTCCCTTGTCCCGCCATCACCGTCGCCCTCGTCCCCGCCGTCGCCGCAGCCGCTCACGCCGCAGCGACCGGTCGCGATTCTGGGTCTCTCGGGGAACGCAAGAGATGTGTTTCGGGAACGCGCGCTGGCGGCGGGGATGAATAGGTACCTGATCAAACCGTACAGTAAAGGCGACCTGTTGAGGCATATACTGGAGCTGGCGAATGAGAAAGGGGAAGACGCGGGGGGGTGAAGTGATGTGAGGCCGGTGGAGGCCAGTCGGCCATAGCGACCCTTCTTACTTCACCGTTCCGGACGGGCGTGCCAGGGGGCACATGGGGGTCCGCACTATGCCCCCTTCAGGTGCGGTGGTGAACGCGGAATCGGGATCGAAACGTGCTACGCGGGGCTCAGAGCAGAAACGGCGTCACACACACCGTCCACACACGCACGCAAAACACACGCCTACATCAGCATCCTTACATACATCCCGAAAACCATCCCATCTCTCCACCGGCCCCCCCCCCCCCCCCCCCGCCCCCTCTGACCTTCCTCCAAATTGCAAATGGAGACAGAAACCCTCTCGATCTGGCATCCAGGGGGTCATCCATCACATTGTATCTATCTTACATATCCGCCTTATTCTGCTTAGTGTTTACATGTATGTAGGGAACAGTGTGGTTCTTTTTTTTTTTGGTGGGGGAAGGGTTGGATTGGATGGTGGGGGAATCTTTGTGCGTTTGTACATATGTGGATTTCTTTTTCGGATGGGAAGGGGATACATAGATGAAAGGCGACGTTGCGGATGCAGCTTGCCATGCGAATGCACCACCTCTAGCTCCCTAGACAGAAGTAAGTGTTCCCGCTCACCGTCCATGTCGAGAATGTGGCCCCTTGCTCTACCTTGATGACAACGGGAGTTTTTATTGGTGCTCTCAGAGGGATAGTCACGTGCTCGTGCCTTGGTTAAATGCACGCGTTTTTATTGCTCCCGTCAAAACGGATGCCGCCTCTGAGCTTCCTTCCATCTGCGTTCTCCCACCAGTTCTCGCAAGCACAGCACAGCGGCACTGAGCTGCCTTTCTTCTCGCCAGGACGGCAGAACTCCTTCCTATTCAGCAGCCAAGGCGGTCGGTCCCAGCTCTGGGATAGAGAGAGCTAGCTACGTTTGTTGACAACCCGCGGGGCAGTTCGTTCTCATTCCAAAGATATTGACGGCGTCGTCTACCATTTCCAGTAGGTCCATGCATCTGCTCCAATCTGCCATCTACGCGATCGTCCAGGCATAGCCAGCCGCTCGGAAGCATTTAAAAAGCATCTCGTCTCTGGTGTCATCCGTCAAGCAGCAGTAAGTTTGGTGGCCGTGCCCCGCATTCTTATCCTCACATGTGCTGACGGCTCAGTCGTGCCATCCGCGCATTCAAATTCCCACAACTCCGCTCGCAGTCGCAGTCACTACGTACAGCCAAGATGCCATCTTCCAAGCCGGGAAAAGCTACCAAGGTAGCGGGAGCAAGGGCAAACAAGGTCGTCGAGGCGAAACTGAGAGCAAAGGTCAAGACCAAGGCCCTCCACAAGGCTCAGCCCAAGCTAACCCTTCCGCTCGAGCTGATTCCAAATGTATTCCGCTTTGCTTGGCCCTCCGTCCGCTACAAGATGATTTTAGTCTCTCGCCCCTGGCATGATATGCTCATCAAGCTCTTTTACTCCGAGATTTTCGTTGTGTTCGAGAGCGACTTCCACTTGCTTTTCAGGACGCTCAACGACAATCTCGAGCGCTTTCGCTGGATCACAAGCTTTGAAGTGTATGCGCATAGCGATTCAGAAGAGGACTACACTGCGCCCTGGAGCCCAGACAGCTTCGTCAAGCTCAGCACTCTACTCACGATCTCGCACCCCGATCGAGTCTCCTTCACGTTCTCCAGCTTGGAACCTGAATGTCCTTGCTTGTATACGCTTGGATGGAGCAAGGGCGAGTTGACTTTCGATACGGGCGCCGAAGTCGAAGAAATCGAAGATGAGGTCCATCATCTGGCACAGACTCTCTGCTGGATCTATGCGGACGAAGCCAAGAGTCTCAAGAGCTTCGGCGGCTATACCCCCAACGTGCCTACATTCAAGGGTTTGCGAACAATCGCCCTACGCCGTGACCAGATCATTGCCGGCGACCGAACGTGGTACCCGCCCAGAAACCTCGACCAATGGAGGCTGGAAGTACTCGACCCCTACGATCGGACGCGCATCGTCAGCCAGATTCCGCGATGGACCCGCTCCTTCGACGTCGACTTTCTCACGCCGCCCATGATGCTCCCTCGCTGGCCGGCCCCCAAGACTCCCATCCCATCACGCGTACTCAGATATGCTCCGCCACGCAAGCCGTACGCCTTTGACAAATCCGTGAAGAACGATTGGCGCAGCGAACTCGCCGCTTACAAAGGAGGAGGCGCTTTGGAGATCATGTTCCGCAATGGTGTGTTGTGGAACGCCTATTATGAGACCATCGAGGTGTACATCGAGATGGCTGTCGAGAGCAAGAAATTCCCCGATGGAGTCCGACGTGTTCGCATCCCGGACGCCAAGCGCGGCTTGCTCCATGTGGATCCACTCCCGCTGCTCGACATCCAGGTTCCGGACGTCGAATATGAGACGGAGGGAGGTTGCAATTGCCCGTATCATTAGATGCCCCTATTTCAGTGTCGGAGTAGATATAGGAGAATCATGCGCTTCAGAAGCGTCGAGGCTGTAGGCGAGGGTGAGAGTTAGGGAGTTTGGCGACACATCATTGTACATAAGCATTCCTGCCTTCCGCTGTATCATCGTGTCGTAGAGCAGCATTGTACATTTGTATATAACATTGACAATCACATCCATGTTGCTTCATATCTCTTCTCTCATGAGTAGTATGGGAAAAACACAACCATGTATTCATTCCGGGGGGGAAAAGAAATAAAAAAGAGAGACAATTTCTACAAGCTGGCTTGGGGTCTATGTACTGAAGAGTTGGCGAGTCCGATTGTTCGTTGTGTCGTAGGGAACACCGAGAAGGAGAGGCTCTAGATCTATGTAACGCCTCATCTATGTTCTACTGTACACATACGTCTGTCGGACTATATAATACGATGCGTCTGTGCGATGCCAAGTCCCCCTCTCAGTGAAGGTTACAGAACCTGGTAGCGCTCGCCGTATCGTACTTCTCGTTGTCGACCAAGTCAAGCAAGCAAGCCTTGACGGCCTCCGGCGACGGGGCCGGGAAGGCCGCCCCGACCGCCGCCGGGCCCTGGTCTTCCCACGGCAGGTGCTTGCCATGCTTATGTGCGAGGTCGACCAACTTATCCCATGCCTTCTCGAGGCACGGCAGGCACGAGATGACGGCGCCTTCACCCGCGGCCGCGCAGCCGAGGTAGGCGGCGAAGGCGGCGCCGGCGGTGGCGAAGGTGCCGAGGGCGACGGTGGCGAAGCAGCCCGCGGTGGCGGCGACCATCACGGCGCAGTGGATGCCTTCCTTGACGCCGCATGTCGAGTCGCGCGTCGTGAGGTCCCGGCGGGGGAGGGTGAAGTCGAGCCCGTTCCAGGTGACTGTTTCGGGGACGGCGGCGGCGAGCGCGCTGGGGAGGACGACCATGGCGGCGACGGCGAGGACCGCGGCGGAGAATGAGAAACGCATTTTTGGTGTTTGATTTGGGGTGGGTGGGAGGAGAGCTGGTCGGCTGTTGCTGCTTTTGCTGCGGGGGTGGTTGGATGGTGAGGAAGGAAGGGGATTCGGGCCGACCCTGCCCCTTTTATACACAACATCCGCTTCCAACCCGCAGGTTCAAACCCTACAACTGTCTACCCCTCTTCCATGTCCATGTGCCATGTGCGAAGGAAGAGCCCCGACTCCAACTTGAACGGGTGTAGAGAGAGACAGCGGTCGATTGACAGGAAACTGACAGCATGATGCCGCGAGCGACAATTTTTAGAGAAACCCGTTTCCGAGTCGGGGCCTTTCATACAAATCACCTTATCAGCCCTGGGGTTGTTCGTCCTGCTAGTGACATCGGCTTCGAGTCATTCGACACTCGTATATCTCGCTGCACACTTTGCTCACTCGGTCCGTCTCCGCACACTTCGAACGAAAGTGTCTAGGGCGGGGTCCGGGAATGCTTTAAATGTGGAGGGTGGTATCCAGCTCCTCGTCAGCAACAATGATATCCCGCTTCCGATCCCCTATCGAAAAAAAAATGGACCGCTGAATGCATGAGCCGGCTCGGTCAATTACCCCACTGCCAGATCGTAACCCCACACTTCTCTCGCTCGGGGGCCGCCTCCCTATCGATGAGAGAAGAAAAAAAACCGCCTTAGATCGGGGATTGTTCCATACCAAGACGCACTATTTGTTGAGGTTTTCGAACAGGCGCCGGCCGCATCCTCGACCGCGAACGGGTCGTTTTGCGTTGGCTCCCCGGGAGATGGAGTCCGTGTCACGTATCATCCATCCCACAGGCCGCTTTGCCTACCCCACACCGCACGATTCGACAAAGAAGAAAGGGGTCCCGGACATCTGCAGCTACAACCGCCTTGGCCGTGTCATTTGCGATGACTCGCAGAGAGATGAGCAAGCTTCTACCCAGGTTGGAAAGCGGATGCGGTGACACATCCCCCGACAACGGCCGGCCCTTACTTCGTTTGAATGCCGGCCTGAAATGACAGATCTCCCGAGCCACGCAGCGGGGCCCAACGAGCCAAATTTCTTGAGTTGTGCGGCCGGCATTGCTTGCATATAGGCCTTCATTGAACGTCACCGCAACGACGTCCCGAAATCGGACAATGACCCCTCCACCCGGGCTCGGTGTACTCTGTGCACCATTGATACGGAGATATCACATCTGGCCCAGAAATCGCTTGATGGCTCGTCTCCCACATCCGCTTGATATCATGCCCGTTGTCAGTCTGAGGACACATGGTGCAGCCATCAAACCAGTTTCCGTGAATTGAATAACCGGACTGACACGCACTTTAAGCGGGCATGATACCCCGGTATGTTCGTTTTTAGTTTCAGCGAGGGATAGAATGATCATTGATGATAGACGTCGATGGACATGGGCATGGGATGGTGAACACATATGCATCTCAGATGTAACATCTCGAAGCAATAGCACGGGGCCAAACTGGAGTCTGAGACAACAACGAAAGGGCCAGAGTATGGAGCGATGACTCGACTACTCGAATAGTATTTGCATGAATGTAGTATGAGTTGATGATAGATGTTGGGGGTACACTTCCTTCGTGATCCGTGCTTTTGATCATCCGAGAGAAGGATGGTTTGGTATCATAGATACAGACTTCCATCGAAACCCCCCCCCCCCCTCCCCCTCCCCCCCCCCTCCTCAATGCCTTCTGGCAACCTTCGCCATAACATCAATCACATCTTCCTCCGCCCTCGACCGTTTCCTCATCGCCCCATAACCCCCACCCCCACCCCCATAAGCGCGTTGTTGCATCCCCATATTCAACGGCGGCGGGATGGGCGGGAGGGCCGTATTCGCTTGTGGTCGTTGTTGTTGTTGTTGTCCTCCCATTGGGCGTCGACGCTGTTGTTGCTGTTGCATTTGATGTTGAGGGTGCTGGTGCATACCCATACCCATGTGATGCGGCATCATCATCGGGTCCATGGGGTATCCGCCGCGTTGTTGTGGCGGGTAGTCCGGCCATGCGTTGGGGTGCGGGGGGTAGGGCATGTTCATGGGGGGTGGGTACATGCCGTAGCCGCCGCGCATGTGGGGTGGGAGGGCGTCCCAGCCGGGTTCGTAGTCGGCGAATGGGTGGGGTGGGTAGGGTTGTTGATGCTGAGGGTGGCCGCGGGAGAGGATGGGACTTTGGCCCCAGGAATCGTCTTGTTGTCGGTCGCGTGGGTTGTGGGAGGAGGAGGATGAGTTTCGTCGGGCGGTCTGGAAAAAAAATTGAAGGGGGTCCCATGTAACAGAGGAGTGAGTCAGTTCGACCATTCATGCACCATCGAATGAGAATCACGACAACGTTCACGTACCCCATCCATTCTCCGAATTGCACCACCATCATGCCCACCCGGAGACGCATGACGCCCCGCCGCCGGCCCGGGTCCCACAACTTTATACGGCTTCTCCTTCTCCTGTCCCGTGGAAGCCGACAATAATGCTTGTGCATTGTTTGGAGCAGCGGCGTTCGTGTTTGCTGTCGTAGCTGCAGGAGATCCGGCGGGAGTTGTAGCAGGCTTGCTGATGATTTTGTACGGTTTCTCGGCGGCTGGTTTGCGCTGGATTATGGGGAGTGCGGAGGTTGGTGTTGCGGTGGTGGTCGTTGCATTGGTTGCGGTCACAGCCGGCGTCGTATTCGCAGCAGCGACACTTGCCGGTTTCGTGGCAGGTGCTTGTGAACTCCCCGCTACAGCACTAGCATCCCCCGGCGGTCTCCCCGCCGGAACCTGCGGAGAGGCCGTCGCCGCCTTTGCAGTACTAGAATTCGCACTACGCCTCGCGGACGCAAACTCCTTGATATGCAGCTCAACGGCCTGCCGGAGGGACTTGTTGGGTATGAGGTGGTCCGGACTTTGATCGGAGTGGCAGTTTGGGCATTTGAGCCGTTGAGCGGGGTCTTCGTTGTCGAGGAGGTGGGTGCGGATGCCTAAGAAAGGAGAAAAGAAATCGTTAGACGGATGTGAGCGGGGTTGGGATGCGGTGGGATGAAGAAAGACGCAGAAGCGGGAACATACACTCATCACAATAACTCGTCCCACAACACGGAATCAGCACAGCATCACGAAGCAATTTCTTGCAGATCGGACACGCCAACTCGTCAGGCACGGGCGCCATCTCGTACACGTCGCCGGCGTCGATGTAATTCTTGTTCCGGGCTGCCACGTCCGCCCATGCTTGACTGGGCAAATTGAAACAGAACACAGGTCAGCACCCGTCCAAAACTCAAACGCAGTTTGCTCAGATGATGAGATAGAAACCACCGAAGACGTACTCGTTAGGCTGCGCAATAACCAACTCCCCACTCTGCGTAACCATAACCCCACCCCCTGCCGCCGTCTTATCATCCACCACTTTCAAGAAAATCTTCGGTATCCCCGTCGTCCTTCTCAACTTCGGGCGGTCAAAGGTCTGGTCGCCGATCGTCGGGCATTGATTGATGAAATGGCCTTTTTGGCCGCATCGGTAGCAGATGTAGCCGGGTGGGGGCGCTTTGGCCGGGTATTGTTGGTGGTGGTGCCAGCCGCCCCCGCCTTGGGGGTGTTCGTGGTTGTTGGGGCCGTTGGAGGATGTGGAGTCAGGGTTGGTGGATGACTGGTCAGCTCCAGCGGCGCCACCGCCTCGGCCACGCCAACTGCCCCGGGTGCCGCCGTAGGGGCGGTAGATGGGTTTTTGCCTAAAAATGGGAATCGGAAACATCCGAGATTAGGAATGCACATTCGCCCGCAAGTGGAGGATAGTTTGTTCGCAAAGAAAGAAACTTAGGAAACTTACATAGCCATCCGATCCTGCGCATGATCCCACTGCTCCGTCTGCAGCTTGAACATATTCGCAATCCGCTCTTCCTCCGTCTCGCCCGTGATCTCTCCAGGTGCTAGTCCACCCATTCCGTCCGCTGCTGGTCCGCCTCCTCCCGGGCCGCCTCCTGCGCTCGAGCCGCCCCCGCCTGGTCCGTCTGTGGTGCGTTGCCTGTGATCAATGATTTCGTCAGTTAGCATGATAGATGAACCTTGAAATCGCTGCATGACGGGGCCCATTTCCTTCCTCAAAACAAAAGAAAAGAACCCACTCACACTGGCGCCCGATTATTCAAAGAATGATGCTTCACTCCCATCCCCGCGGCACTCGCTTGCGAAAACGCGCCCATCGGCGTCGACACGACCCGCGACCCGCCAGTCATGGCGGCGGTCGGCATCGCGGAGGCGAGGTAGCGTTGCGCGGTGCCTTTGCCTGGTTTGATGGCGGGTTGCCGCGAGACGAGGATGGAGGTGTTGCGCGGGACATGGTACATGTCGTCTTTGAACTCTGTAAGGGAAGATAGGGGTTAGATTGGGTTTGAGGGTAGAGGTTGGATATGGGCAGGTAACGGGACCGGGGTGTAAAATGTGCCGATGAGTGTCCCTCCCATCGCAGATGGAGCTGATGTGCTCGAACTCGGGATTCCAGTTGCCGCCGCTTTCTTCCCTCGCCTTTCCCGGCTCCTTCTGAAGCTTTTTCGACGCGTGTCCGCCACCCTCTGTTTCTCTGTGTCCCTCCCCCGTCTCCGTGGCCTGCAATAGTCCTTCTAAATATGCCGATGAGTTTCGCCGAGCGCCCTGATGTTCAAATGGTTCACGCTCCGTCTCTGCTCCCTTTCACGCCACTTCCGTCCGTGATGACGCCGCCTCCCAACAGCAGTGGCGAGACAACCGGTTAGTGCGAAAGGAGTGCTTCGGCGAATCTACCCGTGTCGAATGCGTGGGGTAGAAGGGAAAGGTCGTACACCGAAGTCGCCCGCAAACAGGAAGATTTGAACAGCTCGTCCTCCATCGCCCGGTGAAGTAGTGATATCGCAATATTGCGATGGGGCGAAGAAATAGCGCAGGGGGAACTCCCAAAAGAAACACGATCTCTCTTTTCTCAAATTCGACATTCACTTTTGTCCAAATTTCTCATCTTTTTTTCCCTCATTCAAATCGAGATATCCTTTTCTACTTCGTCTGTTCCATCCCTTCTTCTCGTCCTCAACTCCCCAACAACCCGGGACAAGGCAAAGCTAACGATGGCTAAACTACGTTGTGAAGGGGAATTCGTCGGTAGGGAAGGGTAGCAGGTATGGATGATTGAGGGAAGGATGGGTAGGAGAACAAACGCAGAGCGGTAGAGAAGATGCGACGGCATCATTGTCCGACGAGAGACAACGGTACACACTCGACCCAAGAGACGAAATCCCGAATCGAGGGTGGTCGAAGGGAGACGGAGAGGAGACGAGACAGCCGAAGAGAATCGCGAGACAGAAGGGCGTGGAGAGACGTCCGCTATCTGGACCCACAGGATCCAAAACAGGGACTGCCGAACTGGCGACGTCCACGACCAGTCCGAAAGAAGCTACTCCAATCGTCCAGGCACCCCAACTCCCTCCACCATCCCCATCATGGTGGCCCACCACTCCTACTTCTCGCAGAAGCCTCACTTACCCTCATTGGTCTGGGCGTTGTAAACCGCCAAGTCGAAATCCGTTCCCTTCCCGAGCTTCTTGGCCGTGAGAATTTCCCGCTTGAGGTCAAACACGGTGATATGCGGCCCGTCGAATGTGCAAGTGTCGTAGTCCTTTGCCGACTTGAACTTGTAAAAGACGACAGACATGACGGGCGAGATGACGAGTGTCTCCTCGAACTAAGTCGTTGTTCGTTTTCGATAATGTTTTGTTGTCCAAGCCGGTCGAGTCGATATGTCAAAGTGCGCCTGAGTAGTCGCTTGCGCTAAGTGATGAGGGCAGGACTGCATGAGAAGTTTGTATGTAGTCGTCAAGGCGGCTCTGTGGCGCTGCAAGATGGCCGGTCTAGATTGGGCGTGGGAAAGTCGGAAATGCTCCCAGAGAGAGAGAGTTGCGCCGCATGCCCCTAGAGAGGAGCAGAGAGAGACGGCGCAATAAACAGCGCAGAGTCACGTGGAGTCACTTGACTGCACAATTCAACACCGCCCCGAGTCTTCCCCTCCTGCGCTTCAAACCCAGCCAACTCTGCTTTTGCGAGACGACAACTAGTACAACCCCCAACGCACATCCCCCGGAAACAGAGTAAGTGTCTGTCTGGCCTCAGGTCGCAGGCCGCACGTACTGCAGCTCCGCCCGACAGTAGTTCGGAATAAGTACCGCTTCGCTATATGTTAGAACGCGAAAAGTGTCCAGACCGGATCTCACACGAAAAACCCAAATCTCTGTCTCACCCCCCGCATCTCCTTTCCCTTCCGGCGCATCCTACAGTGAGCATCGACGACTACAAAATGGACGACCGCGAGCGACCCCACAGCGACGACCGGGAACACATCCCCGTCGACGACCGAGCTGACCGCCCACCCCGATCTGCTGAAGAAAGGGACAGGGCGAGATCGCGTTCCCCGGCTGCAAGGTCGCCCAACCGTGGTGGTTCTCCTCGCCGTGGTGGTTCCCCGCCCCCGCGCAGCTACGACGATAGGAGGGATGACGGTAGAAGGGAACGTTCCGACCGGTGAGTTTGGTTTGCGACAGGGGCCGGAGCGGAGCGAGAAACGACAGCGAATGGTCGTGGATCTAACGCGAGCAAACCGAACCTCTGTTTTCAACTATGCCATTAACTTTTGTGTGCAACGAAGTCGATTTCTTGAAATTTGTGCTTACTCTTTTATATCCTTTCCTTTCTGCAGTGGTGACGACGGTGAAGTCAACCCCGGCAGTAACCTTTACGTTGCCAATCTCAGTCTGCGCACACGTGAGAGGGACCTTGAGAAGCTTTTCCAAGAGTACGGCAAGGTAATTTTGAATTCAATCATGGTCGTTGACGGCAAACGTTCCATGTATTCATTACGTATGTCCGAATATCTCGTTGTAGGTCTCCAAGACCGAAGTCATGTACGACCCTCACAGCAAGGAATCCCGCGGTTTCGCTTTTGTCTGTTTTGCCAACGCTCAGGATGCCGACAACGCTCGTGCCGCTTTGAGCGGGAAGGTCGAGCTCGACGGAAAAGTGATCACTGTCGAATTGGTAATATTTCGCTAAAACCGCCATGTGCGATTCTTTCGACTTCACCGTTCTTACGGATACCCTCATCGCATTCGCAGGCCAAGCGTGGTAGCGCCCGGACCCCTACCCCAGGCCGTTACTACGGACCTCCCTACCGACGTGAGTGTATGTGCAATCCCCCTGCCGAGCACAGGGCCATTGCGCGAACCAGTCTTCTGTGAACACAGAACAATCTTTCTCCTGCGTTCTTCATGCTTACCTCTCTCTCCTACTTTTCCAGACGACGACAGGGACCGCCGTGGCGGAGGTGACAGGTACAGGTCCGACCGCTACGACGACCGTCGAGGAGGAGGCGACCGATTCCGCTCCGATAGGTACGACGACCGTCGCCGCGACCGCTACGACGACCGCGGTGCCGACCGATACAGGTCCGACCGCTACGACGACCGGCGCGACCGGGACCGCCGCTACTAAGCGCGTCAGTGTTCCGAGGTCTAGATCGCCAGCCCGTTCTCAGCCCTTCAGACCCTTCCACCCTGGTCCTATCAACTGGCGTCTGCTTGACCCCATCTCCTCTACCTTTTTATGTACAAAATCCGTTGTGTCTTGTAAAAAGGGCTCGCCCAACCCGCCCTCCCGACTGTTAAAAACCGGTGCTCAGTGTTTGGTCCTCTCTCCGACATGTGTTCGTCGTCGTAATCGTTCTCGGCCCAGTACCTACTACTTCTACTACTACTACACAACCGTTACCACAATATTTACCTATGGGCGGCGCTCTACACAACCAGTTCGCATCAGTTCAGTTCAGCTCAGTTTCAGCAGTTCAGTGCAGTTCGGTTTCAGTGCGTGGGGAAATTGAGGGACCAGTCAGCGTCCGCCTCAGCTTCGGCTTCGGCTTCGGATTCATCCGCTCAGTTCGACTATCAGTCATCTCAGCGCCCAGCTTCCACCTTAGCGCCAATTCTTACCTCAGCCCAGTCTCGCTGTTTTCCCTCCGGCGCTCCGCCTTGCAGTTCAGTTTATCAGCCCCGATATTCATCTTATTTCATCATCAGCCCGCAGCCGCATCGAAAAACGGCTCGAAGGTCTCTGATGACAAGCATCGTAGTTCCTCGCGAAACGGAGGATTTGCAGCACATATGCCACACAAGGAAGGCTTGGTATGTACCGAAGAAAACTTTGACCCTTCTCACGCACTCTGTAGACTCCGTTAGATGGTATCGTCACAACGCCGGCACACACGTGGGGCGGACTTCTCCCCCAAATCAGTGTCGAAAGTCTCGGCGTCGCAGACATTCGGGCATATTCTCGCCTCGGAACCGGCGTTTGCTCTCCGGGTGGGTGATCAATGTAGGACTTGATATGCAAGTGGTCTACTGAACGGATAATCTACAGCGGTCTCTCGATGCCGTACCCGATGCAAATATGCGCGCTTGAACGTCACATCCGCCGCCTAAGGATCCGAAGAATGCGTTGCTTTCGTTTTCCAGCTTCTACGTCAAGTTGGAACACCGCCGGATGAGCTGTGCTCCGTGCTTAGCCGCGGCGGATGGGTAGGTTACTTTTGCTGCAATTGGCTACGGTACCCGTCTGCGAGGAGTCGGAGCCAACCACTCCCGTCGGACATGTATATCTACTTCTCCATGCGTTTTCGCTCTTCTTTCTTGGATGTATGTCTTGTCTGAATATGATATGCATTGAACAGCCCCACTGCTACACACACGGATTCAATGACCTTCTTTGGATATGATAGATTGTGATATATCCGCAGGTTGCAGACCCGACATACCCGTTGATGCATCCGGGACATATGCGATTCCCTAACGCAGGTTGTTATTGTGTGAACTTGATAAGCGGCAATAGCCGACACAGGTTGACAGAAATGGAGTCCGAAGTCGCAGAACGGTGAGTACCGATCAGCCCCACCAAGAGCGGTGTTTCGGTCCACCTCGTTCAAGAGGGCGCTCTCTCCTTGCAGATTGATCCCATCTTTGGAACAAAGCGATATACTGAGATCATCTCAGATGTATGAACAGCACAAAAACACCCGGAAACCAAAAATCCAGCTCGGTCCAACAAAGGGGCCCCGAGAACAAAACCTCACAGGCCCATCTCCCTGACTTCACCAACCACCCCGCAAACTACCCACCCATCACCCCAGAACACCCTCCCCCTCCCTCCCCGTCCTCTCCTTCGTCTTCTCTCCCGCCTCCCCACCCTTCTCCTCCCCCTGCGTAGACCGCGGCGTCGCCTTCTCCCCACCGCCCCCGGCAGCGGTGGTGTACGCGGCGCCACCGACGAGGCTGGGCAACGAGTTGGCGGGCGTGACCTGCACCCGTTTGGTGGAGAGGATGGTGGGGGTGATTGTGATGCGTGCGGGGGCGGTCGTCGTCGTCGTCGTGTCGGCCGTGGGTTGGTGGGGTGCAGCAGCGTTCCGACTGGCACCCGAGTCGGCGGTGCGATCGGAGTAGTCGACCAACGCCATGGCGGCAGCCTGCACGCCCTCCAGCGAGTTCCGCGCTTTCTGCAGACTCGTGCGGTGGTCCGGCTTGGTCGCGCTGACAGCCTGCGGCGTGTCCGGCGCGGGTGTTTTGGGCGCGGGGATGGAGGGGATGGAGGGGCGGTTTTGGAGGGGTGGTGGGGCGGGTTTGGTGGTGATTGCGGGTGCGGGTGGGGTGGACGGCGCCTGGGTGGGCGGTTTGGGCGGGGTGCGGCGGGGTGGGGGGATTGCGGGGGTGAATGTCGATGAGGGCGGTTGGGGTGGGGTCGATGTTGGGGGTGCGGCGGCAGCTGCCGGTGCAGGTACGGGTGCAGGTACAGGCCCGGGCGATTTCCTTCCAACCGCTGGTTTTCCCACCTCCACCGCACTGCCAGCCGCCGCCTTAGTCGTCGCGCTAACCGTATCAAACAACGCAAACATCTCATCCGCGAACGACGACGAAGTGATGTTCGGCGTGTTGGGCACCGTTTCCGCGTTCGGGGAGGACAACAGCTGCAATGTGTGCCCCTTCTGTGTCCGAGTCTGCGCGGCGGCGGTGGTGGTGGTGGTGGTGGTGGTGGCGGCCGGTTTCCCGTGCGATTTCCCAGACGGTGCCGGCGGCGCAGGACTCCCCGGCGCCGACGCAATATTCACCAACGCCGGGTACAACGGGCCCAGATCAAACAACCCCTCACCCGCACCCGCATTGTTAGCAGCCCCGGGAGCGGTGGTGGTGAGGTACGACAAAGGCGCCGGCATCAACTCCTGCGACGTCGCCGGGTGCAAATGCGTCTTCGCCACCCCAGCACTCCCCGCGATCTCCCCACCAGCCCCCTCCGGCGCTATAAACGGCGGCAAATTGGTAACATGCTGTGCGAAGAACTCCCGTCCAGCTTTGATATCCGCCTCCCGATCCAGCACAGCCGTGGTCGCGTCCCACGGGTTACGCAGGATGTGTTTGGCGGGATCGGTGGGGTCTGGAATCGGGAGGGTGAAAGCTGGCTCGTTCTCCTTGTTCTTTTTCGAAGCAGTCTTGCCGGAGGGGCTGGTCTTTGCGGGCGGCGTGGGTTTGGCTGGCCCGTTGATGATTTCGAGGACCATGGGTTGCTTGGTGGAGTCGTCGTCGACGGGGTCGGAGAGGGATTGGCGGGAGTTCCATTCGGCGAGCATGGCGCGGGAGATGGATAGTGGTTGGTCGCCGGCGGGTTGGGGCGGGGAGGTGTTGGAGGCGCTGTTGCGGTTTTCGTGGTCGTTATCGTCGTTGTTGGCGGTTGACTATGGAAACCAGTAAGTGAACGACAGAGTTAGTTGATTTGGTGTCAAGGTTGGTTGGGAGAACCCGACGAGCAGCTTGAATCAGGCACCGCCCATCGTTGAGTTGTTTCCCCGACAATCGCCCCCACCCGGACCTAGTCTCCGAATCATTTCCCCCAACCCAAGAATCGCCCTTGACCTCCATCTACACCCAAGAGGACCGTAACTTACCTGCCGAGAAGCAGCCATCTCAGCAGCCGGCGAGCGCGGCGGGGCGTCGGGCAGCATCGATTTGGTTTTCGCGTGCTCCATTCCACCGTTTGTGCCTGACCTCAAGACGTTGGATGCGCTGAGGCGTGCGTAGTAGGATGTTGAAGATACCAAGGCACGAGTTTCTATGAAGTGGGAAAGCTGTGGGTGAATCTGCTGTGGCGGTTTTGAGGGCTGAAGTTGTGTTTTAGGGCCCAGGCGAAGAGCGTCAAGAGTCGCGGCGCGCTGATATAAGCTCTTTCGACAGCGCGTCCCATCCTCAACTGACAGGTACAGGTAAACAAACACACGCTTATTGCCTGAACTTAGTATGGTGTATCACCGGGTAGTGTGAACAATTGATGGATGGTGCTGATGAAGGGATGACTTAAGAATTACAGTTGATATTGACCCCAGCAACATCTGACACCCAACAACATCTGCTCCCTCACCATCACGTTCGATGCCTACGCAGCGCTGAGCGGGGTCTACCTCTGGCGTGCCCAAAGGTCTCGAAGCCCTGCCGGGTTCCTGATCTCCCACGCCACGGTCTCCACGTTGCACCTCATGGACTGCAACCTCACGGAGTCCACCGCGGGGCTTCTGGCGAGGATATGTCGCGAGGCGGGGGGTATGAGGGTGCTTTGTGCGGATCATAACCCGTTGGGGGAGGAGGGGGTTTGGGTGGTTTTTGAGGGGATTAGGGAGGGTGGACGGGACGGCCAGGGGTTGGTGGGGGTGAGTTTTAACTATTGTGAGGCTGGGGCTGGGGCGGCAGAGATGGTGGGGGAGGTACTGGGGGGTGTAAGGGGTTGATGTGAGTACTCGTCTCGAGGGAGGTGGGGTGGACCATTGAATGAGGTAGGGGATCTAACGAACGGGGCCGCTTCTCAACCCCAATTTCGTTGTTCATGTAGAGACCTCAACCTCGAAGGCAACCTCCTCAGCGACGCCGGCCACCTCGCCCTTGCCCACGCAACACGACGCTGAACTCACTCAGCCCTCACCACCATCCAGATCATCAACCGCGATATCTCGCTTCCGCTGCCCACCTTCACCAGCAGCACCCGCCCGCGGTGCTCCAACTCTGTCACCAGCCCTGCCCCCCGCTACCCACACCCACCTCCCCGCCCAACCCCGCTGTCAACCCTCACAACCGCCCTGGCCACCCAAAACACAACCCTACCCTTCCTCGATTTCCACGGCAAACCACATCGGCACCCCCGGCGACCTCCTTGTTCTCCACATGCTCACATCGCGGAAAGCGCTCGTGGGGCAGAAGCAGGTGGAGGGGTTGGTGGAGGGGTGAGCGGATGAGCGAGGAGGTGTTTGAGGGGGTGTGGGAGTGTGATGAGGCGATGATGGGGAGTGGGGGGAAGAAGGGGAAGAAGGGGAAGAAGAAGTGGGTGGGGTGCAGTGATGGGGTGATTTTGTTTTGTAGCTGTAGCTGGGAGCTTTTTCCGTAGACTTTTGGGGTAGACGGGGAGTGGGTTGGTTTCGCTTTGCTGAGGGTAATGTACTGTATTTATGGGATGATCTTGGGAGGGAACAGAAACAGGATCCGAAATAGAACAGAGATTGATTGACAGTGCGATCGATTGATAGATTGCTACCATGTCCATCCACCGGCATCCTCGAATTTTTCCGATTTCCCCAGAAGCAGCTACCGATCCCTACATACACATCCCTACAAATCTACCTCGACCCTGCAGTTCACCCTCACTCTACTCCTTCTTGAGCGCCTTCCTCCTCGCCGCAAGCTTGGTGGTGACGTTGATGTAGGTGCCGAACACGAAGCCAACGAGATTGAAGAAGGGCATCCACAGCTCTTGTCGGACGTATTTGAGGGCGAAGATTTGGACGGCTGGGAAGACGATCCTGTAAAAGATCCGAAGAGTGTTAACGGGATGATAAATAAAAATCATGCGCGCGGATGAAAACAAAAGAATGCTACGAAAGCATCGCTGCGAGGTTCGTAGTGTCGGCAGAAGATCCGAACGCTCGCCGACAATCCCTGCCCGCTTCGCTCGCGAATGCGTTCGCTCTGGCCTCACCACAAATCACCCCCTCCTTCAACATCCCCATACTCACCAAGTCAACTTCAAAACACTAACCAACCTCCCCCTAACCGTCCCCACAACGCCCCTAACCCCCGCGCCCGCAATCCCAGCCATGGCCGCCAAATAGACCGCGCTCTGAATCGGGGCAATCACCAGATTCCCAAACAACAACTTCCCCACCGCCGCTCCCGTCCCCGTGCGGTTATGAAACACCTTCTCCATCCATTTGTACAGGACGTGGCCGAGGGGGCCCGCGACGAGGCCTCCGTACGCGGCCATGGCGGCTGCTTTGCGGTATGCGAGGGCGCGATCATGGGTGGTGTTGGCGGAGGGGCTGGGGGAGATGGAGGAGGCGGCGAGCTCTTGGAGGGCGTTGAGGGTTGCGGCGGTGCCGGATTTGGTGAGGATGGGGTGTTCGGCGAGGGCGACCAGGTAGTAGATCCACAGGGTGCGGGGGAAGGAGGCGATGGGGGGGTGGGGCATTTTCGTGACGGGTGTCATCTTGCAGGTGCGTTGTTGGGGGTTGAGTGCAGGACGGTTGGCGGGTGAGGGTAGATGCAGCCCTACTTTTATCCCGTTGCCGATGGGGGGTGAATGAAGTGACGGTGGGTGGGGAGACGAGCAACCCGCCGTGACACCATCCGCAAGAAGTACTGTATGACTGTCCCTCTCGAGTCTTCATAGCGCCGCTTGGCCGCTTTTCCCGCGAGGTTGTCACACAACGACCCGCAGTGTTCATCACACCACTGCCCTTCCAGGCAAGTTCCAGCATATCATATGCAGACGTCCGACAGACGAGAGAGCAAGACAAAAGGGGCAATGCGCTATACATTTCACATTCATTCACATCACAGAAAATGAGAGCATCACGGAGGGAGACAGAACCCGTTCAAACAAAGAAGAACACCCCACGCCCGTATCCCGCTCTCTATAAGTACAATCCCTCGGGCGTGCCCTTGGTCTTGCGGTACAGCACCTTCTCCTTGGCCTTGCGCAGATCGTCCGCGACTACGCGCATGCGCCGTTTGCGGAGGGCAAGGAGACCGGCTTCCGTGCAGATGGCCTGTGGATATCAAAGAGTTACGTGAGCAATGAAATCGATAGAAAATGATACAGAGGGGGGGGCGACGATCCTACCTTGATATCAGGCCCACTCAAGTCATCCTTCGCCATCACAAACTCCTCCAAATCCCACATCATCCCTCCCCCAACGTCATCCGACTCGTATGAATCCCAGGCCTCATCAACGCCGGGTCCAGGCTTCTCGATCTTGTTCGTGGCCATGATGACTTTGACATCCCCGCGGGAATCAAACCCATCCGGTTGGTTGAGGGAGTTGCAACATGGTGCGTTGGATGTCGACACGAATCCGTCCGTAAACGCAAACGCGAGTGTTCTAAACACGAGGAAACCACAAGCGTCCTCAACACGCGCTGACTGTGCAAACCCACGTGCATTCAACCGACATAAACGCGCCACGTGGGCGCACGCTTCCCCCTGCTACGTCACGCGCCCAGGAGTCCAAACCCCCCCCCCCCCCCCCCTTCCCAAACGTCAATCACAAACCCTCGTGACAAGCCAGCAGCCATGACAATCCTTGCACAACATCCATCAGCTGGGCGCGTATTAAAGAAAGAACGAGATGATCCCAAGGAAACCCCTGCAGGACACGAGTAGCGTTAACCTTGCCATATGAACGGACCCCCCCATCACCCATCACGAGGGGCGCATTGTCTCAACACTATGGTCACAACGTTTATACTCAAGTTGTGTTGGTGTCACGCACCTCTTCCAAAGTAAATATGGCGGTGATGAGGGTTACAAGCCTTGTTCAGCGCTATGGGTCGCCAATCCCAATCGTTACCCTGTTCCTTCTCTCAGGCTGCTGCCCCAAATATGTGTTGTGCGTGCGTATGGAGTCGTTTTGGGCGGCATATATGATATCCCCCCCGTCAAGCAACGTTAAGAGAAAGTCCATCGGGAAAAGTCTAACCCGGCACCCCTACAATCCTGTCGCCCCCATAACAGCGTTTTCTTCTCTCTCGCCTTCACGCATTTGGTATAACGAGACAGGAGAGCATAGCATACAATCGAAGCAGAAGAATACATCACAGGCAGCAATACACTTTTTCTCTTGTCCCCCACCGCACGTCCATTCCAGTCAGCCCCGGCGCAGCCCGCCCCTCCCAGGTTCTTGAAGAGAAAGCTTAGATCTGTACGATTTTTTTCGCTCGAGATCCCAGCGCAGGACGTTGGCTATACTACGTACGCACCCGGGACGAAACGGGGGGAAACGGAACGGGGGCAGGATCTGGATGCGGGAGCTGCACACAGCATAGTTAGATTCTACACAAAAACAGCATCAAGGGAACGTTGCAATAACATCCCATAGCACCCCCCACCCCCCAACACGAATGGCAGCCCAACCCTTCTGGTCGTCCGTCCTCCGCGTCACCCGTCTCGGTGGGGGGAGCAGCACGGCCACCACCACCACCACCACTACCAACACCGCGGGGACCCGGCCTGCGACATCCACCTCCATGGCATCGTCATCATCCTCATCGAGTAAACAATCGCCTCGATCCGCCGGATTGGTCGCGGCGGCGGCTGCGAAGGGGGCGGGGAAGACCCAGGCCGGGGGGAGTGCGTTGGCAGCTGAACCGGCGTCGGGGGATGATGTCAATGGAGGTGGGAATGGAAACGTTGGCGTGAATGGGACCACCACCACCAGCACCACCACCCCACCCCGCCGCGCAACGCCGCTAGCAGCCCCCGCGCGCAAGATGGGTCTCGGGGTGATCGAGACCGACGAAGGCGACCTGACGCGGCTCGGGCGGGCGTTGAAGAAGAGCGTGCAGGCGGTGGCAAGGGGGGGTGCGGGTAGCAGCAGCAGCAGCAGCGGTGGCAGTCCGACCAACGCAGCCGATTCGGACGATGCGTTGGTTGTGGATGATGTGTTTGGGGGTTACGCCGCCGCGGGGGCTGCTGAACCCGCCGAGTTCACCGCCGATGCCAAACCGGGGTCGTCGCCCGTGACGGCTATCAAGACCACGACACCGCCATCAAGCACCCCCTCGTTGACCTCCCTCCTCTCCTCCTCGCCCTCGCAAATACAAAGTCCCTCCACGCCAACCTCACACCCCTACCAGCTCCTCCGCCGCCACAATGGCACCTCCCCGACATCCCCGGCTTCCATGAGCAGCTGCAGTTTCGGGAACAGCGTGACCTCCTCCTCGTCGACGGGGCTATGCCGACGCCGCGTCTCGTTTGCGCCCAACCCGGCGGCGGTTGTGATTGAGTTTGACCAGACGGCGCCGGCTACGCGGTGTTTGGGGAGGGTCGAGAGGGCGGGGAGTGGGTCTGTGGGTCCCACTGCATCTCCAACAACGGTGGGGGAAACCACACCCAAGCTTGTGAGTGAGGGGTCGGATCTGACCCTGGGCGGTGCAGCTGCGTTCGACGGCGGGGTCTTACCTCCCTCCCCGCCAAAAGAAGGGTCGCGACACGCCCCACCGGGTCCGATCACCACAGCCGTCGAGATCGGATCCAAACCCGGCTGGACAAACACATCGGGAGCCTCACTACTACCCAGCCCCTCCTCATTGGACAACTCCACCGACTCCGCACACTCCCTCTCCCCGACCCCGACCACCATCTTCGACAGCAGCCCGGACGGGTCCACCGCTGTCCTCTCAGACACAGACGCCGACACGCCCGTCCTGACGTTAACAGAACACGCGGCCCACGAAGCGCACGACCTCGCCCTCGCCACCAAAATCCGTGCCAAACAGGTCCGTGCGCTCCAAGCCGCGCGCGAATTGACCGCGGCGGCCGCGTTGCGGGAGCACGAGGCGCGGTTGAGGGAGGCGGCGGCGAAGAGTGGGGGGACGGGGAGGAGGAGGGGGAGCTGGGCGACGGCGATGATGAGTGCGGGGATGGGGCCGGTTTTCCCTTTTTAGTGCTGCGGAGGGGAGGGGAGGGGAGGGGAGGGGAGGGGAGGGGAGGGAGGGGTATACCCCGCGTCGGGCCTGAATGCACATTGCACGTTTGTGTGGGAATGGGGCGTCCAGGCCCGACCCGATACCTTCGTAGGAGGGTTTCTGTTTGCTGTCTCTTTCTTTTGTGGAAGCCATGGCCCTCGTCGATAGGATGGGGAGGCGAGATGCATCGTTCTTTTGCGGTCTCACTTTTTTTTCTTGTATCTTGCTTTCGTTCAATGATATCAATTTTGGCGCATGTCTTTCTGTTGCGTCTGGCGCTTTTCTGTAGACATCGAGATGGATGTCTCGAACGCGAGGGGGAGCTGTCAATTCGCCATTGACGGGGGGAATTACCACGTGACCTGCGAATACAACTCGATGATCCGCCCCGCCCGACTGACCACCGACTGACGCACTGCCCTCCCTAACGAGAAGGAAGGGGGAACCCATTACAGAAACGCATTTCTTATAGCAAGAGAGCAAGGGACCCCTGAGGACGGACGACCACTTCAGCTCCTCCTAGCGTACGCCGCCGGACGTCCAGAACGCTAGCCTACTCGCCACCTCACACTGACAACTCTCCCCACCCCACAAACTCACGACCGGGAAAGCCTCGCGTGGCCTCGACGACGACAACAATAGACTATTCCTGGACAGTCAATACAGTACTGGTCTCTTCAAGACACATTCCCAGGTCATTAGCCCCTCCCAACCCCCTCTCTGACTCGAAAGGGAACGGGGAGGACGGGCACTGAGAGATTGGAGATTTTACTTCACTATCTGCAAACGAGAATCCCTCGTAGAATACGGAACCATGTTCCGGACACGACAGATTGCACCCGCAGCCGAGCATGTCACACTAAAAGTAGATAGTTTGCGCCCTGGGTGCGCAGAGTTGGTGGATCGGAAAGTTCTGCTCAAAGTCAACGGAGAGGCTGACCAAAATGCTTTGAAACGACGCAATACTCGAGACAGCGCCATATCGATCTCATCTTTCCATGCGCCTCAGCCACAAAGGCAGATCCCAGCGGATTTGGCAGGGAGCGGACCTCCCTCGTCGGTTGGGCGAACGTCCCTCCAAATGGACTCGGAAGACCCGAATCAGGACGACAAGACGATAGTGCGACGCCCTTCCCTCTCCGAAAACCCCTCGAATTTTGCTCCAGACACTTCCAATTCACCTATACCCGACCCTAGCACATCACCCTCAACGCCCGCAAACTCACCGCCCGGGACCGATCCCGAACCAACAGACCGCGACCACGAAGTCATCCGCGGACCGTGGAAGAAAGGCAACATGCAGAACGCATGGAATGCATTAAGCGACGACGATGTCTACGCATCGCTGAACGACTGGCGGGATCCCGCTGAAGCTGCTGACGGTGAGCCAAACAGCACCTTCAGCATGCAGACCGTGAATCCCCGCACGCGGCGATGGGGCCGGACACCTCGGGTCGGGCCGTTATCCTCAGCGAGGTCGAAATTCAGGAGGAGTCCGTTCAGAAGAGCATGTCTGATCGCCACCTTTGGCCTGATGGTTGTGTTGACGGCGGTGGTGGTGGTTATCGTCACTATCAAGCAGAACAAAAAGGACACCTTTGATCCGAACGCTGGACCGAGAGGACAGCTGCCGTCGGCCCCGCCGGGGCCACCATTACCGGTCATAAACCTACTAGGAAACCGCACAAACCCGGATATGTTCCCAAACACCGTCTACTTCGGCGCCAGCATCGACTGGTCCCAAGAAGACCCGCAAAGCTTCAACGCAGCCCTAGGTCGTAACGCGGCCATTATCGACGGCTACTACAACATCGGCGGGACCCTCGAACTAGCCAACATAGTCAACTCCTCCGGCTTCATCCACCCCGTCTCCGACTACTTCAACTGGACCGCGGGCCTGGTCGGCGGAACAGGCGCCATTATGGGCATGACCGTGATGCCCTACCAAGGCCTCGCAAACGTCTCGCTGGACGCCATCACCCAACTCGGGCTTAAATGCGCAGAGATCAACCAGGTCGGCATCCCCATTATGCTCCGCTTCGCGCCCGAGATGAACGGGAACTGGTACCCGTGGGGTCAGAGCCCTTCTTTGTACAAGCGCGTGTTTCAGCAGATTGCTACTATCGTGCGAAATGCGACCAACCAGACGGTTATGGCGTCGCCGAATGTGACGCAGGCGAGGACCGCGATGGTGTGGTCGCCGGTTCCGGGGTTGGGTTACCCGTTTGTGAATGGCAATGATAGGAATTTCACGTTTACGCCGCTAAGGAATACGACGAGGTGGGCGGAGTTGGATACCAATAATGATACCAGGGTGGATGAAAAGGTATGTGTTTGCGGATTGACATGAGGGAACTTCTGATCATCGAGTAGAAATTGACTTACTCTCTTGCATTTCAGGACGACCCGTACCTTCCATACTACCCTGGAGACGAGTTCGTAGACTGGATAGGCGTCACCGCCCTCTTCAACACCAGCCTCGGCGGCAGTGCCAGCATTACCAGCTCAAGGTCCCCCTCCGCCTCATCCGACATCTCAATCATAGTCCCACCAGGCTCGCGCAACGCAACCCTCGCCACAAACACAACCCTCATCACACTCCCATCCAACAACACCTCCTCCAACAACACCCTCACCCTCCCAACCCTCTCCCCCCGCTACAACGTCATCCCCCCTACGGGCAACACAACCGTAAACGCAACAGGTTTCTCCGTCGAACAGATCCTCCGCGGCGGCAAATTCTCCATCTACCGGTTCGCCGAGCGCCGCGAGAAACCGTTTGTTATTGGCGAGACGGGTATCGGGTATCTGAGCGGCGGCAGAGAGGTAGGAGCGGAGAAGGGACCGACGGAGCTGGATGTCAAGAGCGCGTGGTGGGCGCAGCTGTTCAACAAAACGTTCTTGGACCGCCATCCGCTTGTGAGGGCGGTGGTTTGGTATGATTATGTGCTGAGTGTGCCTGTTACGGTGTATTCTCCTACTGGAGGACAACAACAACAATCGAATGGCACGACATCGGCCACCACCGACCCGCAACCCACGGGAATGACACCCAACGTCACAACAAACGCAACGAACACGACAACAACAAACCAAACCACCCTCTCCCCCTGGGCAGCACACGCCAGGATCCACACATACACCCTCGACTACTCCCTCTCCCGCTCGGACACCCTCATGCGAGCGTTCACAAACTTCACGGATTCAACCCTGCCCCGCGGTCTGCTGGTGTTTGCGAACGAAAGCAGCCCCGTGTTTGCCAACACCAGTGCGTTGGGACTGACCGTCAAGGGCCCCCCGACGACGCCTTCCACGGGGACCATGATTGGCAGCGGGGCGAGGTTGGGCGGGCGGAACGGCACGAATACACGGAATAACACGGCGAGACCGACGGGAGGGGGATCACCCCCACCACCACCACCACCCCCGCCGCAGCGACCGCAAACGCAGGTCATCAACCCAGCGGCCGCGCAACCGAACGTGAACGCGGCGGACGCGGCGGTGGCGATTGCTCATGCGATTGCGGCGGCGAATGCGGCCGCTTCGTCGATCATGGCCGCGGGCCCCGTGACTGCTACGAGCGGGTGAGATGTGCTGGGCTAGATTGGCCGGTATCTCTGACGGCCACCCTTTCAGGGCGATCGGACCCACCCGGTTTTGCTCCTCATCCCATCCCCCCAAAAAAACGGCGTGGAAATACCTTCACTTACCCCCTCCCGCCCCCTTTCTCGGTCGCAATCACGGCGTTCCCCCCTGTTTTTTGCAACCCCACCCCGTATTCGTCCGTCGTCTACATTATGTATACAGAATCCAAGTTCGCTGTTCACCCCATGTAGTTAAGAGTCACGCGCCCCGCAGTAACCCCCCCCCCCCCCCATTTTTGTACCGTTTTTGTATGTATACATAAGAATGTCGTGTATTTTCTTGTCGCAGTGTCAAAACTCTGTGGAAACAGTCGCTTTGAAAATGTTTGGGGGCGTCACGATTCTGGTCACATATCATATCGCGGGTTGCGTGATTGCACCCGTAAGTGCAACAGCGCATTCATCCGCCATCTACCCCGCATTCATTCACATTTTCCACATACAACAGGATACCATTTGAAGGAGAGAGACAGGCCACCGTCTGGTGATCCGCAGGGGGGGCACGCTCGTAGGCAGTGAGTGTCCACTGCAGGACATAACGTATTTACACCTCCCTCCTCCTGCGCAAACTCCGCCACACCGCCGGCGTCCCAGTCTTCCGGAGCCCGTCAAGCCTCGCGAGCGCGGTCTGGAGTTCGAGCTCGACTTCGCGCCATTTGAGGCGTTCCCAGTCTTCGTGGAGCGGGCATTTGCCTGTGTGGGTGCACAGGGGTGGTGGGGGTTGATCGTGTTGGGGCGACGGGTCGGCGGGGGATGTAGGCATATCGGATGGGTGGTGAGAAAGGGAGGGTGGGTGGCTGGGGCCGGAGACGAGCGCCTCGTGTTGTTTATCTGCGGAGGGAATGGCTTCACTCCCGTTCTTGTCCGGACCGTCGTGCGACGTGCCCTCCACGAGTGGCTTATCCGGTGCAACGATGTCCATTGGGTCGGTTTCCGACGGAGACGTCTGCGCGTGCACGACCTTGTCTTCCGCAGAACTCCGCGCAACAATCTGTAGTGAATCTGAGGATGGCTGAAGCGTAGCGTCCCCATTGCCCAATGCCACGTCATGTCCCGATATGGGTTGATGTGCGTCTGCGCTCACCACATGGGACGGTAGGTTCATTTTGCCCGCTTCCTCTGCCAAAGCAGTTCCGTCCACCGCCATACCATCACCTTCACGTTCCCGTTCGCTTGCCGGCGTCTGATGTGCTGGCAGGTCACCTGTGACAGACCGGCTTCCATCATCACACTCGACCGGTTGGGCCGCCACGCACTTTGTGGAGATGACTCCATTCGCGACGGAGGGTGATGGTCGATGAATGGCGATGGCATCTCCTTCGTGTGCGTCGCCATCCTGAGATTTCTCTTTATCGGCGCCAGACCTAATGCTGGATTCGGCGCTGGTATCAATGAGCATTGCGTCGCTAGCGTCACCATTACTATGTTGTACGATTTCAGCACGAAACGGGCGAGATTTTGCTGATTCCGGCGTATCGATATCTCTGGCACGATCCGGGGCCACCGCACGGTGATCTTGACCCTGCACCTCTGACACCCGTACTTCATCCAGCGGAGCTTCCCCATCGTGCCCATTCACCATCGAAGGTTTCTCCTTCCAACTATCGTCCGTCTTCACCTTGCTCCACTCCTCATCGCAACCCTCATCCCCATGATCCGGTTCATCCACGACCCACTCGGCCACGATCCGCGCATCAAATCCACAGATCCTGTCTTCCGGTGCCACCGTGATATTATACGTGCCAGCTTGCCCCCCGCCTTCGTGGTCCACTTGCCCATCATCCCCCTTGTGCATGTCCTCCTCACTCACACCGTTCAAGGCCAGGCACGCCGCGATCGCCTCTCGGATCCTCCGCCGCCGGAGTTCCAGAGCATGAACCCAGCGTTTGACGCTAGCCTTTTCGCTTTGCAATTTGTCCAGTTTTGCTCGATCGATGACTTCGGCGGCTTGCACGGCTTGCCAGGTGGAGAGACGGGCAAACATGTTGGCGTTGATGGTTTCCTCGGTTGGTGGCGGCCGGGGCCGGGTGGGGATTTGAATGGTGTTGCGGATGGCTTTTGCGGCACGACGGCCGCAGGTGGAGGAGCAGTACCGTCGTGGCAGATTCTCAAATTTGGATGCGAGGGGTAGCGGCGCATCGTCTCCTGCCCCGTTTGGTACATCCGCCAAAGGGTCCTCAACCTCTACTTCCGCCCAACCGTCGCACCCATCCGCTCGGCACATGAGTTTCCACGAACTTCTCTCGCCCTTCGCAAAGCAGGCGCTGCACACCCACTTCGCGTATGCATCAGCCGTAGGTGCATCCGGCACACCGACGCACCGTCCATGGAACCACACGTCGCATCCCTCACACCCAATGCAGAACTCGTTCTCCCTCGCGCCAACCCCTGTAGTAGGCTCACCGCATGCGCAAGTTGGCATGGTGCTTTTCGTCGAGCGGGGTTGTGCCACTCCCGCCCGCCCGTTCAGTGGTGTCGCCAGGCCGTCCGGAGACGCTCGGCTGCTCCTGCCTCGCGAGTCGGACTTTCTGCCATTTCCGTCGATACCCACATCGCGGGCCTTTTCTGCCCGCCCAATTCCTTTCGACATTGCGGCATAGTCGATTCGCTTTCGCTTGCGAGCCCACATTTGCAGGTCGTCGGTGGCATAGAGCATCTCGGGCTTGAAATCGTCGGGCATCGCCTTTTCGGTGGACACCGAGGCTTTTCGTGGCTGTTTCGGTCGTTTCGCAGACTTGGCTTCTGAGACCTTTCTTTTTTTTGGAGCACACGATTTGGAAGGCAATTTGCAGTCTGCGGCTTTCTCATACTCATGCCGGGCCGGAGCAGCAGACACTTCGGAGTATTTCGGGCGTCCCCCAAACACATCAAAAGCGTTCTCTTTCTCCTTCGTCAGAGCCTCCTCATCCGTATCCCCAGCTGCATCGACATCGTTTCCCACATCCGACATCCGGTGGAGTGGAGTAGAATTTCCGGTAATGTCCACGTCGCTATCATTGTCTGACGCTGATTCCATACGAGCATCGTCGTCCATCGCAATATCATCGGATTCCACCGCTGGCAGGTTGTTGCCGACGACAGAGGAGAACGTATCTGCCGCAAAGGAGGACGCATCACTAGAACTAATCTCAGCTTGCAGCCTGGCGTACAGATTCGGTGGATCTTTCTCGTGTGGGTGGTAAACCGCTTTCCCCTCCCCCCGATTTTGCCCTCCAAACTGCTTGCTTCGAGAGTGGGTCACGTCGTATCTGTGATCGCCGCTCCGAGATCGTTCACCTTCGCCGCTGTAGTAAGAGTGCTCCGAAGTTGTCCTACTTTGATTTGCGTAGGACGAGTGCTGTGCAGGCGGCTGATAGCGCTCTGGTGCACTCGGTGTACTTTGCGCGTTCCGCGCAGAAACTACGGCTGCGCAAGCGCTTGACCATATAGACGTATCCGACGTTGGTATAGAATGTGGCCGGGGCGGTATATACCCATTCTGCGAACTACCTTGATGGAAGGCTCCAGCATCCGAATGGTGTTGTGGGCCCGCCCGGTTATGGATGCCTTCATTTGACCGCGAGGGTGGCCGTGGAGGGCCATATGGTGGATAAGGTTCCGGTATTTGAGTGGGATATTGATATGAATTCGTCAGTGGGGGTGGGGGATGGGGTTGAGGGGGATAAGTAGGGACTTCGTAGGAAGAGTTGCGGCTATGAGGGTGGGCTGGTATTGGTGGCTGATGCTGAGGGTATACAGGCGGAAACGCGTACTGCGATCCACCATATTGAGCGTTGGGATATGGCGCATGCGGTGAGGGCTGTGAGGGCTGGTTGTAATTTGCTTGCTGGGTCAGAGAAAGGAGGACAAAACGAAAGAATAAGCGCTGCCCTTCGACGACCGTCCGGAGTTTTCCGAAGTAACTGCTCACCCTGCTCACCTACCTCACCGGCAACCCAGCTTTGCCTAGGATCTGGGGGTGCTCCTATTGGTCCATGTTGCTGCGGCGGTCCCGTGGCCTGATTATGCTGATATGGATATCCCGATTGACCTTGGTTCAATCCCAAGTGGGGAGCAATGGGGTGTGGAGGTGGGGCCCGATATGGTTGTTGTTGGCGATAGTCATATTTCTGAGCGTGGACATTGGGATGGGGAGGACGCTGCTGCTGCTGCTGCTGCTGATACTGATGCTCGTGATGGTGACGTCCTTGCTGGTACTGCGGTGCCTGCTGGTGAGGTTGATAAGCCTGCTGATGTTGGTGCTGGTGGTGAGGGTAATGGTGCTGCTGCTGCTGTAGATGGTATGGGCGATCCTGTGGGTGTTGCGGCGGGAGCGGATAGCTGCTAGTCATTGGAGCTTTCCTTTTCCTGCGAGGCTGTCTGTTCTGGGGGTATCCTGGCCTGCCTCCTCGTCGTAGCCTGTGTGTTATGGGAGAGATCCTGCGAATGTCGGCAGGGAACCGGGAAGGGATCAGCGCGAGGCTTTTTCGTGTCCGAAGGCAACTCTCTAATCGCAGCATTCGCACACTGACAGACAGACGCTTCAGATTCAGGTCGTCCTGCTACCGAGCTGACGGGCATTGTGCATAGCTATAGACTACCTAGACTTCTTGTGTGAGTCAATATTGCAATAGTGGAAACATGCTGGGTTCGGGACGACGGAAGCTCGGGGCATTCCTTTGCCACCGCTGCGGTAGCAGGTTACTCGTCCCTCGCCCTTTCCATAGCCCTGCTAGCAATAGCCGCCGAGTCTTCTCTCAGCGGGACTCACTTCTCCGGAAAGATGTCCCGCCATCCATATCTATCCTTCCACGGTCTTTTCCATATCAGCCCATAAGAGGCGTTGCAACCTCACCTACCGACCCTCTGCCACCACCAGCAGCTACAGGCACCGACGCATCCATAACGAGCGACGACCAGAGGACTGTAACAGGGCTACTCGAACGAATAGGTGGGCGGCGAGACTGGGCGCAGCTCAGCAAGGAACGGGAGGAGCTTCAGCAGAAGGTGCAGTCCAACACGCTCTGGGAGGACAACGCCAACGAGGCGATAGCCTACCAAAAGCGGCTTTCCAAACTAGACGACCAACTGAACGAGTACAATGGGTTTCGCGAAAAGGAGGCGGAGATCGCAGAGCTGCTGTCACTAGCCCAGGAAGAGAACGACGCCGGGCTTTTAGAAGAAGTCGGCGCCGAGCTGACTAGCTTACGAGCCAATCTGGAAGCATACTCCCTTCGCCTGATGATGTGCGAAGAGGCGGACGAAGCCGGCTGCTTCATCGAACTCCGCGCGGGGGCAGGGGGCGCCGAAGCGTGTGATTGGGTTTCGATGCTGTCGCGGATGTATCAGCGCTGGGCGGATACGTCGTCGCCCACAGGAACCCGGCAGGAATTCGAATGCCGGCTTATCGACGAAGTGAAGGGGGAGATTGCAGGCAACAAGTCGGTCGTGCTGCAGATCGTGGGGAGCTATGCGTACGGGTGGTGCAAGCATGAAGCTGGCGTTCACAGATTTGTGCGGATAAGCCCTTTCGACTCGACGAATCGACGACATACTTCGTTTGTGTCGGTCAACGTCTTTCCGTCAAGCGGTGGGGGTGGCGAAGAGAGCAGTGCCAAAAATATTGAGCTCAACCCTGGGGATATGAAGGTTGAAACCATGCGGGCGCAGGGTGCTGGAGGCCAGCATGTCAATACCACCGACAGCGCTGTGCGGATCACGCATTTGCCCACTGGAATCGTCGTTGCGGTATGTGGTGCACCACTTCTTTTGACTCCGACACGTTCACATTCTGAGATCCTCCATCTTGCCTTCCCTACCTCAGTGCCAAAGTCAACGATCCCAACACCAAAACAAAGCCGTCGCACTCGACATGCTCCGCGCAAAACTCTACGAGCGGGAGCTACGCGCAAAGTAAGTCCCTTGCTTCCTCCTCACCCTATCTCTCACTACCACTCCCTGATCTGATCCCCCTTACCCATCCAGAGAACAAGCCAAAGCCGACCAACACGCCGAACTCACCGACGCAGCATGGGGCTCCCAGATCCGCTCATACGTCCTGCACCCGTACAAGATGATCAAAGACTTGCGCACGGGGTATGAGCGGCGGGATGTCGATCGGGTGCTGGATGGGGATGTTGATTCGTAAGTTTAACCTTCCTTGTACGGCGGTTATATGGGCGATGTCCCTGATACTGATGCATGATTTTGATGCTGAAATAGGTTCATGGAACAGGCCTTGCTTCAATTGGGCAAGAAATGAGGATAGAGGCGGGTCAATATTCTGCCCAATGGACGTGGACGCAGACTCCGGGTCAGGAAGCCGGTTGGTCTTCACCATTCACATGAAGGAGCGACATGCCTTATAGTCCACTCCCCGGTCACCCCATACCACTGCGGAGAAAAAGCGACCTTGGGCCGTCGTCTCCTGGAAAGCTTGCGATCTGGGCATGCGCCAGTAGGCGTATGAGGACGTTGCGAAATATCGTCTTTACATTGGGTTGTGCCCGTCTTCCAAACCCGTCGAGGACATTGGATCAGGAGCGTTGTAGAAGACCGGTGGGTAGAATAGCGTTAGATAGATTGGGTGTGCGGAGGAGCTGGGTTTTAGAGGTAAAGTATCGTTTCCTAGACTGTTTTGGTGGGTTAGGAGGTATTTTCGAACCCCAATATCGATCTGAAGAGCGTTTATTTCGATGCTGCACCACTTTATGAGCGCGAATCTGTCTCAACGCGGTTGCTGCATTGCACGGCGATGGCGTTTATTCGGCACAAGACCTAAACCGAGAACAAAAGCCTTCAATATAGTGGGTTTCACCCCCACATTCACATTCACACGCCATCTCGGTCCCCCACAAACAGCCTGAAGAGACATTTCAACACGGAAAAAGACTCTGCACATTTTATCTCGTTTCTTGCATGGTATGCACAAAGCGGTTTTCTACATGCATAAGCAGCATCAAACAAGTAACAGCGCAGCTGTATCCCAAACCCTACAAAACGACGCCATTCCGGAGTGGAAAGCGCGCTGATATAGGGGATCCCGCGATAACCGGCCGGGAGAACGACCGCGAGAAAATAAAACCAAACCTTTCCCAAAGTGGGGAGGAGCTCAAGCTCAACCCTCATGTTTGACATGCGGGGATCCAGAGCGGCGAGCTGATCCGGAGGCACTCCCGCGACGATGATCGTCGTACCGACGCGGGGCGGGGGAGCGGGATCGGTCGCGGGAGTCGGAGCGGTACTTTGAGCGGGACGAGTTGGAGTAACGGCCGCTGTCGCCGCCGCGACGGGGAGAGCGGTCGCGGGATCGGCTGCGGCTGCGGGTGCGGGACCGGCGACGACGACGGGGAGAGCTGGTAATAGATGGAGCAACGTCAATGCGGGCTCGTGATAGATGGTGGAGGCCCATCGAAAGACTGCTTGAATACATACCGGTCGTTCGGCCTGTAGCTGTCACCGGGAGATCGACGGCTATATTCCACCGAGAGAAGGGAAGCGAGGTCAGAGTGATGAGTGCAACGCATTCCTCACTTGAAGAGAACCGAGGTTCCTTGAAAACTTGGGCAAGAGACTTGTGCTTTGAGGGCTTGAGTCTTGGCTTATCCAGATCCTTACCGGGGCCTATCGTTGTTCCGAGGACCGCGTCCACGCATTTCTCCGGGTGCTAATTTGAGTGAGTAATTGAGCACCAGTCAGTTTTGTTGAAAACATTTCCAGGGACGACTTGCGAGAAAAGCATACTCTTTCGTCGTCCAGCAGCCCATTCGACCGTCAGAGTTCGTCCACTAATAGTGATGTACTCAATCTTCGTGAACGCAATGTTCGCTTGTTCCTGATCAGCAAACCTGTTTTTTTTGGCCGATCGCGCAGTGTGAATAGACCTTGCATGGATTTCAATCACGGTCTTGGACAGAGCGATTCGTACTGGATGTAGGCAAAACCGCGGCTTTTCCCGGTGTAGTAGTCCACGGGCAGGTAGCAGTCAATGACATCGCCATAGGCCTGTGAAATATAGGGTGAGTTTCGGAACGACTCGATTTAGGCAAATCATATGAAAAGCTTACCTTGAAAGCCTGGATCAAATCTTCAGATCTGCAGAAAGCGATTCGAAGCCGGCAGTCAGCTCATGTTCACCAAACTAATCGCATGAGTATCTTCCCATCCCTCCATACCTCGTCCCATCAGCAAGGCCACGAACGAAGAGGGAGCGAACTTCGTCGTCGCCACCACCACCACCCCCACCGTTCCTTCCGCGACCACCGCGACCGTTACGATCACCTCCATCCCTTCTGTCGTCACTACGGTCCCGTCCACCACGCTCTCGCCCCCTGCCCCTGTCACCATCTCGTTCCCGTCCGGGACTCCTTTCCCGCTCACGCTCGCCGCTGCGGTCCCTGCGTCTGCTGTCGCCATCCCGGAGCTGCTCGTCCTCCGTGTGCTCGTTCGCGTCGTTGGACATTCTGAGAAGATTAGAGAGCGCCTCCGCGAAAGCTATTCAATTCCAATATGCCTTAAGTAGAGCAAGGTATGGAGACTGCTCCGGCTGTGATGGTGGATCAGAGCTCCCTTCTCCCAAAGCCAAATCACCGTCCTAGGTCTTCGCACTCGGACGATGCGACGATTTCCAAGCGGATGAACAGTCACGTGAGGGCGGATTAAGTTTCGACGCGGGTCATGTGACTTCATGTGCCTGAGTCGCTTCTTCGCATATTCCCTTGCCTCGGGCTTTCGCCCTTTTTTTTCCCAACGTCTTTGCCTTGCTGCTACAGTGCATTGACAGTTCTCCCACCAACCCGCAGGCCTTGTCGTATACTTTGGACGTATTTAAGGGACCTGTACATAGAAGCGGACGAGAACAAGGTCTCGCACGAAATATAATAAGCGGCAGGCAGGCAGGCAGGCAGGAGTTATGAGCGTCGATACCGCCGAAGAGGGCACTGGCCGGCCCTTCCGGATCCACAGGTGTAAAGCTGTGAAGTACAACCCCGCCGGTGTGGTCAGCTTGTCCGTGGTGCCAGAAACAGTTCCGTCCAACTCGCAGGGCGGCCGAATCAGTCGAAAGGACAACCTCGTCGCTTGTGCGAGGACTAATGGGGATATCGAACTGTGGAACCCAAGAGGGAAAGGGTGGTTCTTGGAGAGGGTATGTCAAATGATGAAGTAGTTCATGAGCTCTTTCAGAGAACTCTTTGTTATTTTAACACAATCTCGGAACTCTGCAGACCATTCCAGGATCGAAATCATCACCGATAGAAGCAGTTGTGTGGGTCCACCAAAACAACGCCGTCGACGACTCGGACTTTGACACCCCCGAGGAACGGAAAGCATACCTAAAGTCCTTGAGGCAAGCTCAGCCACGACTCATATCGGCCGGACTCGATGGTCGGATAGTAGAATGGGATACCACCACGTTGAAGCCTCACCGCGTAGCAGAAGTGGGTGGTGGTGCGATCTGGTGTGCGGCGCCCAACACGTCTCACACCCGCCTAGCTGTTGGATGCGAGGACGGGCATGTGCGGGTTCTCGACATTAGCGATGACCAGCTCGTATTGCACCGACTGCTTGAGAAAAGCCCGACGAGGATCATGTCCATCGCATGGCACCCTAACGGCCAGTTCCTCGTTGCGGGTGGGGCAGATAGCAGTATTCGCAAGATCGATGTAAAAACGGGGAGGACGGTGCAGAGAATGACGACAGCCACGGTACCCGGGGAGGAAACGATCGTTTGGGACCTGAAAGTTCTAAAGGATGGAACTGTTGTCACTGGAGACTCCATGGGCCACGTGACATACTGGGACTGGCAATCGGGAACTGCTTCAAATTCGACCCGTGCTCATGAAGCAGATGTGTTGTGCCTGGCTGTCAACAAGGCAGGCACTAAAGTATGGTCTTCCGGTGTGGACCGGAGAGTGGTGCAGTTCTCGCTGGTAGACTCATCCACGCAGCCTTCGGGAGAACACAAGGAGAAGCGCAAGGGCAGCAAGAGCCACGATCACCGACCAGGCGCAAAGCACTGGATTCTATCCGGCGAGAAACGATACCATTCACACGACGTCCGCGCGCTGGCCCTCCTCGAAGGTCGACCGCACGACGCCCTCATCTCCGGTGGTCTTGACACCACTTTGATCGTGTCCAGCCCACTCACCGAGTTCCCCTTCCTGAAACAATACCGCATGGCGTCCTTTCCCCATCGACCAATCGTACAGATCACAAAGAGCGGATCGAAACTCATGCTGGCGCGGTTCCAGGATCACATCAAGGTCTGGCGGTTAGGCGAGGCGCTGGCGCCAGCGAAGGTGACTGCACAGCTGCCGACGTATGCGAAAGTGGATCATCAACGTCCAACCTACTTGTTTACAATCAAACCGAAATTCGCGACGAATCTCACTGCTGCCGCCATCTCAGAGGACGGGGAATGGGTGGCAGTGTCCGATATGAACTCTGTGAAACTCTTCCGGGTGGTGAAACCAGCCGGGAATGGGCAAGCGCGACAGGATGAATTCAAAATCAAGAGGGTAAAGGCATTCGAACTGAGGGTCAGCAATGTCATCAAGGGAGCACACAACTTTGTTTTCACGCCGGATTCGCTCCGTCTCATCGTGGCGGGAGCGGACTCTATCGTCTACGTCGTGGACCTCACGGCCGCGTCCGAAGATGTTTACAGTATAGTCAAGCAATTCGAAGCTCATAGGGGGGACGAGGGGAGTGACCACGGCGATGAAGACGCAATGGAGATCGAAGGCGTGGATAGCGCACCCGTCGCGGCGTCCAAAAAGCTAGTGACGAAAGGAGGGAGGGAAATGGTCGTCACGTTGTCTGTGAGTGGGGATGGGCAGTGGTTGGCGAGTGGGGATATGCTGAATCGGATCCACGTGTTCAATCTGGACTCGTTGAAGGTATGAAGGATGCAGTGTGGATGATAATGCGTATGCGCGAGAACACGACGACTAAAGCGCCATATCCTTGATTTTTCTCCAAAATAGCATCACGCCACTCTTCCTATTTTCTCAACGCTCCACACCACCCTCACCTTCCACCCCACCTCACCCACACTCATCACCACCACCGCATCGAACGAGTTCTACCTCTACGACTGCGAAGAGGCACGTCTAACGGACTGGTCCCGCGAGTACTCCCAGCGCCTCCCATTACGCTGGCTGAACCGTAAAGAAGTTGTGCTCGGCGTCGCGTTCGACCCGTTGCGGCCAGCGGGCATGATCCTATGGGCTGCCAACCACTTCACCTTCATCGATCTGGAGCAACCGCTCGGTCCGCGAGACGCGCTCATCAGCGCCGAGAAGCGGAGAAGGGTTTTGCAGAGGAAGGCGAGGAAGGCTGCTAAATGGGCGCGGATGAAGCGTGCTCAGCCGCAGGCTGATGAGCAGACCCATGTGAATGGGACAGTGGCTATGAACGGAACACCGGCGTCGATCAGACGGAAGGGCGTTAACGGCCAGCCTAACGGGCATCACGTCATTGACGCCGATGGCGCTATCGTTATCGATTCGAGCGACGACGAGGACCTCGAAGACGACACGGACCCGCTCGACGCACACGACCTCCTCCTCCACGCTGGCGAAACCAACGGCGTCTCCCATGCCGACACAGACGACGACGACGACATTGACGAAACGACACGGGCAGGTACCAAACGCCCACACACCGACGACGCCGACTCGGACGCCGAGCCGCCCTCCACGCCCGCCTCAAAACCAATACCACGCGGGCAACGCGTCAACGGCATCCTCAAAACGCCGACACCGGTAGACGCCGCCAAGTACAACACCACCCTGACCTTCTCCCCCGCGTTCAACATGGAGCACCGGTACGGACCCATCATGGGCCTGGCGTTTGTGTCGGAGCATGATCTGGCGGTTGTCGAGTTGCCGGCGTTGGCGGTTATGAATGGTGTTGCCGAAGGCGCGTTCCAGAAGCATACTTATGGAACGTAGGGGGGACTTGGGGGGCAAGGACGTGGAGTTGGAGCGGGGGAGGGCTTCGAAAGCATCGGGAAGCAGGCCCATCCATCCATCCATCAGTGTATCATAAATCATTCCTTTCGCCCATCTTTTTTTTATTATCATTATTATCACTCGACTGTTACCATTTGGCCCATCCGTCAATGATGTATCCTCTTTCCTGCATTGAGCTGATGAAGCACTGTTTATGATGTGACTTGGAAGCGGATATCAAAAGTACGGTTACAGAAAGAAGGGCCCACGCGCATGAGCGCCATACGCCGTCATCTTCTGTCAAATGGGCAAAGGAGTCGCGAGGCTACCTGATCTACAGTACATCTACATCTACGAGGTCCAGCCTCATGGGGTTCGCCGCTTTCAACTTCTCATGGAATCTCGCTCCGTCTGTATATGTGGTTTGCGTGGGCGATAGCGCCGATGTGACCATTCCCGATGGCCAACAGCCGAGCATAGAGCTCCCTAGATGTACTACATCTACCGCCTCAGATTCACTGCTTGCAACCGATCAAGGTCATTCCGCCGCCCGAAGTCGTCATCACTATCCGAATCCTCCGACGAGTCATTCCGCTGAACATCGTCGTCACTATCCGGCGGCGGCTCCTTCCCATACTCCTGTTTGGAAAGCCATTCTTTGATTGCAGCACCCGACGTTTGGGTGACAACGAGGTCCAGCTGCAAGCGCTCCCGGGTGTATCCCTCCGTTCGATGCGTGAACAGCCACTGCACCATTTCGAGGCGTCCGCTACGGATCGCGGAGTTCAGGGCCTCCACTGTGCATCCCTCGTGTCGATGGATATGCAGGAATCTGACAACTTCAAGGTGACCCGCTGACGCAGCATAGTCCATTGCCCGTGTCGTGCATCCCTCCTTGCGGTGGGTGTGGAGGTACTCGACTATGGCAAGGTGACCCATTGATGCAGCATCGTCCATTGCCCGTGCCGTACATCCCTCGTGTCGATGGATATGCAGGAATTTGACAACTTCGAGGTGACCCGCCGATGCAGCATCGTCCATTGCCCGTGTCGTGCATCCCTCCTTGCGGTTTCCGTGCAGCCATTCAACCACAGGATGGAGGCCTTTCCGAGCAGCGTCGTTCATCGCTGCCGTAGTGCACCCTTCCGATCTGTTCTCGTGGAGCCACTGCACGACCGCCAGATGCCCGTTGGCGGCCGCTTCGTCCATGGCAGCCACGGTGCACCCCTCCGATCTGTTTTCATGGAGCCATTGGACTACCGCGAGGTCTCCCTCTGCCGCTGCCAAATCCATCGCGTTTGGGGTCGCCATCTCGTCCGGCCCGCGTTCGTGAAGCCATTGAATCACTGCAAGCTGGCCCTGCTCGGCTGCGACGTCCAGCGCATGGTACAGGTCGTCGCTGTACCCTGAGTCCCCGTCCGTGACGAGCGTACGCGTGACGAAGCGTGTGACGAGCGTACGCAATGCATCCGGGTACTTGTCGTGAAGCCATTGCGCTACATCGAGATCGCCGCAATCTAAAGCCATATGAAGGGCGGTGACTTCGTCGCATCCTGAGACGTTGTACTTGCACAACCAACGCAGTGCCTCCATGTTGCCTGAACACCAAAGCTCCGGGCAAGCCACCAGGGGCAGGAGCTTTCTTTTCACCGTTTCTCGCTTGAAACTGATGGCGAACTTCACGGGGAGATAGAGGAAGATGTTGTCGACGACCTCGACGGGTAACGGCGGGAGGATCAGACTATCGGCGCTGGGTTCGACGTCATCGGGCGGTGAACCTAGACGGGCCTGGTGACAGGCCAGCATCTCCGTACGAAGGGAAGAGTGTGGATTTGGGTTGGACGTGATGATGCCCCAAGCGAGGCGAGGCGACGGAGGCGGTGCCCAGTGGCGCGGCGGGACCAGAGGACGAACGTGAACGTGTATGTAGAAAAAAGCGGTTGCACCAAGAGACGCCTGGAGGTCAGACAACGGACCGATTGTCCACCACGCGCATTTCACTGTACCTACTATGTACAGTACTACGTATTTATAAGGACATCCTGGGGGTGCCGTTGTATGTAGAGGGACCGCATTCAGAGCGGCCCAAAAGGTGCGTGGGTGCAAGAGGAACCTAATAACTCTGTCTGCTAGTCACATGACTATGTAAAATCGATGAGAGAGGTCCCGGATCGATCGCGTACTGTACGTACACAGAGCGTGCGTTTGCGCCCAGGGTGCTGCTTTGGCCATGTGAAAGTGCCCAAAGCTGCAGTGTTTTTTATGCCTGGTGTTGAATCTTTGATCCCTGATGATTGCGGCGATGTGCGACATATTGCGAAGCATGCAAGCTGCTGCTGATGATCACCACCTGGGCCCGCGTTTAACCGTTCTCGTGCAGGAACGTGGTCCCTCGCCCACTGCTTTGTAACGGGCAGCCGTGTGCGATAACCGGTAGATGACGGTGCCAGAGCCATTCTGCACAGTCGGTCACTGCAGTCATCACCCTGTGCCATTTCCATCAGAGCGGGCCTCTTTCCGCAGCTGAAAGTCTGGCTTTTTTCCTGCAACCAACCCCCACCCCACTGCCAAACAACAACAACACCACAAAAAAGGCAGAGATCACTCTTGCCAGAGGGGACCCATTCCACCTTCACATAACAGGGGTTGCTCGCCATAACTATAGTGCCCTGCCCCCGCCGACCGTTCTTGTATTGTTGTGCGCTCCGCCAATTGGGACAGCCCTTATCGCCAAACTTCCCCCTCGTGGGAACGCGGGAAACGGCAACCCCCCCAGTTCCCAATTAACACATTTGCCCCCACCCGCTGAGCGTTGCCTTTCTCCTGTAACACGACGACCCACCAGCGCGAAACCACTTCTTCCGATACCCATCGCCGGCTCCCTGCCCTTGTCTCGCTATCCGAAATGACCTCCACAAACAATTCATCCATACCAACGAGGCAGCAGCTCGCGGCCTCCACAAAAGCCTTGGTACCGCTGGTCAAGCCAGAGCGGAGCCTGTCAGTCGCTTCTCTACTCGACCGGTTTGCAGCGCTCACTCTGCCGTTGACTATGCCGCAGGAGGTCCGTAACAGCGAGCCGCACAAAATGTGGTCATTCGCCGCAAAGGCAAAGTCCGGCCTTCCGCAGGGGCGAAGGCTCGAGAACTTGGCATGGAGGTTACTGCATCTGTCCTTCAAGGAAAAGGAAGAAGCATTGCAGAACTTGAACGGTGGAATAAGCAAAGCGAGTACTTCACAGAATACTGGAAATCAGACCGAAGGGTCTGAAATGATGGTGGACAGCACTTCATCGCCAATGGACACGGCGACATCGCTGCCGCAACCCATTCCAGGAGCTGGCTCAGAGCCTCAACAGTCCGCAGGCGCCTCGACATCCGATGGTCGCTCACAACAAACAGAACCGTACTCCACATCGAGCCGGTCAATAGGAAAGATCAGCGATGCGCACACGAGTATAAGTCGAGATAACAGGACCCTGGGTGGACCAGGTGGATCTGCGGATACCACAAATGGTGAGTTGACGTAGTTGATAGCGTTCAACGACCCTCGATGCGAATTCATCGGGTTCTGCTGCGAGATTTACCGTTTTCCAACATCCACTCACCCATCACCAAAAATCAAATGTTCCGCTATAGCACATTCGATTGTAACATCTTTGCCGAAAACTTCTGGGGCGATGCTCGAAAAGAGCGCTGGCTCCGATTCCGGTATCGGCCTTAGCGCGATGGACCAAAGTCAGGCCATGTCAGGCGTCGAATCCCAAAATGGGAATGCCGATGATCGTAAGGCAGCCCCCTCGTCAGCTAGTGAGACAGCCGCGCCACGAATGCACACTGCTCCCACGCCAGTGTGCTATAACTGCGGGGTCACGAAAACCCCCTTGTGGCGCCGTGACGAGAACGGCAAACATCTCTGCAATGCTTGTGGTCTTTTCGCGAGACTGCACGGATATAAGCGACCGATTGATCTGAAAACGAAAGGGATCCGGAAAATCAAAAGGAAAACCAAAGATCAGAGAAACGCTCTGGCGAATCAGCAAATGCCGTCAACCAATCCGAATGAAGGACCTTGGTTCAATGTGCCGGGTGTGCCCAATGGGGCGCTGGCTTTCGCCTCATCCTTCCCTCCAGAGTTTGTCCCCGAGTACAACATGACGATGCCTTTCGATTCGGTTATAGGGCCGCAGATGATTGGGCCCGGAGATGCGACATACATAACCGATTTGGCCGGCGCACATCAACAGGACGCGGATGCGATGTTGAATCAGTTGCCGTATCAGCCTTTCCGCATCTCCAGCACCTCATCGATGCCTATCATGCATACGAATCTGGCCTACGGGAACGTAGGGAGTGTAGTGGCGACTGTCCCGACAATAGCACCCGCAGCAGTATCGCCGGACCCCACCACGACCTCCTCCGCGCCGTCCGGGCCGGCGCTGGTGCCACCTGCACCGCAACCTGAATTCGGCGCGCCTCAGGACGGTCCCTCTTCCGTCCACATTGGCAAACGACGCAGAGTGGAAGACACGCCCAACCAGCCGGTCTACACCCGCATCGAGGTTGTGCCCTACATGCCAACCCTCCCGGTTTCAACAGCAATATATCCACCCTACCAACAAACTGTTGCCACCTACTCGGAGGACCTCATGACCACGGATATGTCTACTGACGCTTCCATCGGTATCGCGCCCGGCTACATGTCAGCCCAGAACGTGGAACCCGATCGGATCCGCGGGCTCTTGCAGGAGTTTCTAGCAAAGGAGAAATTGTCCGGCACGCTCCCGCCTGGGCTCGACATGGCGACTTTACTCAAAGGCCTCGGCAGAACCTCCGATGACGGAGGAGACACCACATCCAACTCGGACACGGTTTCACCGCATGTGCCGCCGCTGGAGTCAGCTGTGGCCGTCCCGCATCAACAGACAGCGTCCGCCACCCCTTCGCCTTGGTCTGCCCTCAACACATCTCATATCGCCATTCCGGCCATGCCCGCAGCCACCGCCGCCGTCAGCCCGCCCAATCCGAGCGCAACGGCGTTTACCCCGCACTACCAGCCAAACAACCCAGCCTACATGCCCGAATTTGCGCCGAACCGCTATCAAACCAACGCTGACGCCGTGACCCACACGACACCGATCGCCATGCCCTCGCGCACCAAAACGGTCTTCACCCACCAGAACGGACATCAGTACATCAACAACAACAACAACCAACAATATAACCCATACAACAACCCGCACAATCCCTACGCATATAACCAGAACATCGCTGCTTCGCCCGCGTACAACTCGGACGACGTCATGACGGTCGGGAGGATGTGGCACACGGAGGAGCCGGCGGGGGTTGCGAGTGAGGAGTTGGTGGATCGGTTGTTGGGTTTTTGTGGGTGATTTGGACCGAGGAGGGGAAGTGGAAGGGATCCTTGAAATTGTTGTTTTTCTGTCGGGCTGAAGAATGGGAGGGTAGGGTAGGGGCAGACGGTGTGGAAACAATCCCAACATTGCGCGGGCCGCATTGAGGAAAAACAAAAACGGGTAAACTGCGATCGAAAAAATAGCGGCTTGTTGGTGGGGATGTGCGTTGGCATGTTGCGATATCGGGGAAAGGAATGCAAACACGGACATCCGCAAAAACCCCGGCGATGGGGGTTTCAAGCATCGACGCAAGGGCGGGAAGACCGGGGGACTTGCTTGTGTAGGGGATTGGGTAGAAACAAACACCCCATGTATATGTATGTATTCAGTGCGAAATAAAGGTTGGGGCGTGCCAGAACATTTACCCTGCGATGATACCGGTCTTTACCGAGCTGGCCGAAGCGCATATGGACCTGTCTGTCCCGGTCGCGTGATGGGAAACTGTAACATCAATCCTCACCTCAGACCGTATGTACACCACTGCAAAAGACCCCATGTCAGTCACATAGATGGGATATTCGCCAATGGAAGCCGAACACGTATAGGGTTTCTGGCGGGCGCGGCGATATCCCTGCGTGTACAGGCGCAAGAACAGAAACCAGGCGAGTTTGGTTATTGCCGTGCGCAGCTTCCGCTCCGATCCACTCGCGAACATCACAGCCGATGATGATGAAAGCCGAACTGACATTTGTCGGAGACTACAGTAGTATGGACTACCTGAAATGAAGGGGTACGAAAAAAAATGGGGTGTAATGCTATGCTATCCTACCCAAATGCACAAATACATAGACTGTCGTGTCCACCCGCGCCGGTGCACCCGCTTAATGCTGCGTCGGCATGTTGACAGCCGCCTCGGTGGTCGTCGCGTCCTCATGCCTCCACAGCTGGGTGACGGTCTTGATGGAGGTGTAGAACTGGACGCCCGACTTGCCGTAGAAGTTGAGGTCGCCGATAATGGAGCCGCGGGAGCCGGTGAAGGAGAACATGGGGAGGGGGACGGGGATCGGGACGTTGACGCTGGGGCGGGAGGCGGCGGGGTGGTTAGTGGGGTGGTGCAAAAGATGGGTGGTGCACCGTCCATTTGCAGCGGACGGGTACCGGAAACGGGGGTATAGGTATGCGAAGTGACACCACAGGACCCAGAAAACCACCCCCAGAAATGGGGCAAAAAGGGGGTAACTCACCCAACTTGGCCAACATCAATCTCCTCGGTGAACTTCCTCGCGACCGCGCCCGAGTTTGTGAAAATCGCCGTTCCATTCCCATACGGGTTTCCATTGATGATCCTGATCGCGTCGTCGAGTGTATCGGCAAACAGCGCAACGAGGACAGGGCCAAAGATCTCCTCAGTGTAGCAGCGCATCGAAGGGGTCACGTTGCCGAGGATGGTGGGGCCGATGAAGTTGCCGGCCTGGTATTTGTGCGGGAGGGTGGGGTTGCGCCCGTCGAGGAGGAGGGTGGCGCCTTCGTCGATGCCTGGGGTGGGAGGGGGGGAAAGTGGGTTTTGCGTTAGTTCCGGTTTTTTGACGTGATTGCCCGGGGAGGCGCGAATACTTTGGACTTACCGGACTGGATAAGCTCGAGACACCTATGTTTAGCCTGCGGGGTGATAAGCGGGCCCAAATCGGCGCCGTCCTCAAACCCGCCCGTGACCTTCAACGCCTTGGCACGCTCCACAAGCTCCGGCATCCACTCCTTCGCCTTCCCCACAAACACAACGGTGGAAAGCGCCATGCACCGCTGTCCAGCAGCTCCGAATGCAGCGCCGACCAGCTGGTTCAGGGTGTGGTTCTTGTTGGCGTCCGGCATGATCACGCCGTGGTTCTTGGCGCCGAGGTTGGCTTGCACCCGCTTACCGTTGGCGGTTCCGCGGGCGAAGATGTACCGGCCGGCTTTGTCGCCGCCGACGAACGAGAGGGCGCGGATGGCCGGGTCGTCGCACATGAAGTTTACCGTGTCCTTTCCTGTAGTCGAGGATATTGAACTGAGTGGATGCTTCTCCCCGCGCTTTGAGATATACCGAGTGCATCACATACCACCGTGAACGACGTTAAGCACACCTTTGGGCAAACCAGCCTCCTCAGCCAGCTTCGCCAGCAACATCATGGCTCCCGGATCCCGCTCAGAGGGCTTCATGATGCAGGTGTTTCCGGTAGCGACGGCCAATGGAAACATCCACTACGGACAGCAAATTGCACGTATTAGATATGGAAATATTTGGCGTGTGGACTGAAGTCTTGAGAAAGCTTACCAAGGGAATCATAGCAGGGAAGTTGAAGGGCGCAATCCCACCCACAACCCCAAGCGGTTCACGGATTGTGAACGTGTCCATGTCGGTGGCCACAGGCAACTTCTCGCCCATGAGGAGGGAGGGTATACCACAGGCGTTCTCAACACTTTGAAACCGCAATGGGGGGTCAGTAACTTCGCCAATATCTTTCGATTTCGCATATCCCCCGCCTCAATGCAGTCTCAAACTCACACTTGCAACCCACGCAGCACATCCCCCTTCGCATCCGGGAACGTCTTTCCCTGCTCGGTCGTGATGGACGTCGCAAGCGCATCCTAAACACACATATCGGCAAAACATCGCCCCAATTAGTCCCCTCCGCCATCCACCCAACCCCCCACATCAACGCTACGAAGCCCACTCCCTCGATGCGCATACCATGTTATCCCTAACAAGCAGCTGCAAATTCATCATGACCCTCTGCCTCGCCAACACGCTCGTCTTCTTCCACGTCTTGAACGCCTCTGCCGCCGTGCGGGACGCGTACTCGAGCTCCTTTGGGGTCGCTTGCGGGACCATCGTTACGAGCTCTTGGGTTGCCTTGGGGGGTAGGTGGTGTCAGTCTGACACACTGGAGATCATGTTTACGTCCCGGCAAAAGAGTCAATTTTTTTTTTTGTCAACTTCGTATACATACCGGGTTCCGTAGTTCAAACCACTGATCGGCCTGACTTTCAAAGAACTCTCCATTGACGTACAGCTGGGTGTTGGGCACCTTCTTGTCGGCCGTGGTGGTGGATGGTTTGGCGGCGGCGGACGCGGCGGAGGCGAGTGTGCATCGTTGCTGCTGGAAGCGGGCTAGAGGCTGGTAGCGGACCGGAGCGGAGGAAGGTGAGTATGGACTTTGGGAGGAAGAGAAAGTAAAGTGTAAACAAATCGGGAATGGGAGTGAACACACTAAGCATACCCGGGCAGCGAGGGCCCGCGAGGCGGCGAGACAGGTCCTGAAGTGCATTGCGAGGAGGGTGTTGTGGGAGGATAAGGGGGGTATGCGGAACTGCTGGGAGGAGGAAGCCGGGGGCTGCAGGACTGGAGTGGAGTGGTGCTTTTCAACCTGGTGGACGAAGCAAGGAGAAAAAAAGGCTTCTTCTGAACGAACCCGCTTGAGAGGAACACAGGGGGAGCACCAGCAGGTCATCAATGCATGTCGCGTGCCCTCTCGACGCGTATTCTTCTTATGATCCCGCCTGCCTCCATTGGCCGTCGGCGAGCGTTCGCAATCATATGAGACGGACAACAGCGAGATGAACAGGACAACGCTTATACATAAGAAGAACATAGGGAAAGAAGAGAGCACGAAAGAAAACTACACCTAGATACATATGACGAGACAAGAAGGGGATGGATAAAACTGTACTTTCTATGCGCGGTATGTTGTGTACGGAGAAAAGAGAGAGAGTCTGTCTACAAATGATGGGCTATATGAAAACGGAGGAAATTTGAAAAAGAGGTGGAAAAAGGAACGACGAAGACCAACCAAGCTGTGATGAAATCTCGAAGCAATCGGAGTAAAGTGACAGATGCCAAGACGTCTCTAAGCCGCAATCTTAACCTTGCCCAAGCTAATAAGCCCCCTCGGCACGCCCCCCCGTTCCAACATCTGCTGATACGTCGCCCGCACCCAATTCTTCGTCGCGCCATACCTCCACGTCATCCGCCACACAGACCTCAACCAAGTGCTCTCAACCCGTCCCCACCCGCCCTCCGCGCGCGCCTCGGTTATGATCGTGTTGCACACCAGCACGCGCTGCTCGTCGAAGGTGCGGGCAAGCTCGCCGAGCTGGTTTTCGAGCTGTTGTTGGGGGGACATGGTGATCACCGTCGAGTCCTGGCGGGAGAGGGTCGCTGCTGGCACGGGGGCGGGGGCGATGTCGGCGGGGTTGGGAGCGCCGGGCATCAAGGGGTGTGCGGATCCGGGGGCCGCGGACGAACTGTCGAGCGAGATGTGCGCCGGCGGGGTGTGGAGGAAAGGGATGGAGGCAATGTTCTGGGCGGATGTGGCTGCAGCGGCCGCGGCGGTGCGTTGGTGGTGCGGGGCGAGGTGCTTGGCGATCAGCTTGGCGAGCAGGCACGCGTCGGCGATGGCGAGGCCGCCGCCAAGGGATCCGAGGGCGTTGGTGGCGACCGGGTGGGCGGCGTCGCCGATGGCGATGATGCGCCCGGGGTGGAAGTTGGGCGAGGTGTAGCTCTTCATGTACTCGTCGGCCAGGTCGAGGATGTCCATTGCGTGGGTCAGGGACGGGTCGGCGCGGTCGATAAGCGCCAAGAAGGTGGTGGGGATGGAGGCGTGGCGCGCGGCGAGAGATGCGGCCAGCTCCTTGGCGTTTCGGCCCGACATATGAGTGGTGGGATCCTCTGTCGTAGCTCCGCTCGTTCCAAAGGCGGCAGCGTCTTCAGCCGCGTTCTTGACAGCAAGAATGTCCTCGCGCTGCAGACGCAATTGTCGCTCAAACGCCGTCTCAATACGGTTGCTCCGACGCGGACGGTTGGACGAGACGGAAGACACCGATCCGGAAGGAGAAGGGGGTGCGGACGCGGAAGCAAGGCCACCGTTCAAGGTCAAACTGCCCAAAGCATTCGACACGGGGTCAGTGAGCGTATCGATGCTGCCAACGCTACGAGCAGGCGAGACGCCTCCGGGAGGGGGATCCGGCAAGCTTCCCTCGGTGACACCGTCGCTGGTGACGTGTTCGACCTGAAAGTACGAGGAGGACGATCGTGGCTTGGGAAAAGGAGAGGACGGTCCTGGCGATCCAGACCGCAAGTCCTCAGCTTCCGCCTCCGCCTTGGCCTTTGCCTGTTTCTCCGCCGCGAACTGGGTGGTATGGAAGTGAGGAGTAGGCTGAGCGACCACGAGGTTCCACCCGAGCATGCCGTTTCCAATGTTGTTGATCCCCATTGCGAACCCGCGCCCGACAAGGGAAACAGCGTTGCCGTCTGGGCACAATCGGAGAATGTCTTCCGTGCGCACGGGACTGACCAGGCTGCCGGTATGGTCAGCGTCATCATAGCTGTTGTCCAATCGCGTAATACCGTGAATGACGGCGGCACCAGCGTGCTGAATCGGGGTACTGAAACGACGAGTCCCGAGCAGCTCTCGCACCTTGGAGTGCGTTCCGTCCGCTCCAATGATCATAAAACCGTACTCGACGGCGCCATTCATGAACCTGGCGGTGACGTTGCCGGAGTTGGCAGAAACCATGAAGGAGTCCAACTCGTAGCCCAGCATCAGGTCGGGGATGAGCTCAGCATACCCTTCGTCGGCAAACCAGGTGGGCGTCTGGGCGATATCCGACTGCGCGCCTTCCGAATCCGTGTCCGGCACAGAAGGAACGAACTTGTCGCCGTCAATCAAGTCCTCACGGATGCCACCCAGAGCCTGGAGTAGCAGACGGGTGAGATCCATCTTCCTCAGACCAATCATGGGTGGCGCTCCGGAGTTGTTCGTGGGGCGATGGCCCATCTCGGGATCCTGTTGCATGTGGAACATCCAAGTTAACAAAACCTGTCGCTATTCTTCCTTACCAACCGTATATCAATTACGAATATTGAGCTCGCACTCTTCCTCACCTGAGCACCGCCGCCCACCTCCTCATCATCCGGCGGGTACGCCACCAGCGTCTCCCTCGTATCCGCATCAATACTCCTCGTCGCATGGATCGCACTCGCAATTTTGCTCAAGCGTCCCCCCAACTCCAGCTCCAGCAACAAATCATACGCCCACTTCCACAAGATCCAATGCTGGGCCATGTTGGTCGTGTACGCCGTCTCGGCGGGGTCCGCTTCGAAGATGATGGGACGCAGGTTGAGACCCGTGGCTGCGGCGATACGCTTGATGGCGAGCGCGGTGGTGAGACCGGCTACACCGCCGCCGATGATCAGGATGCGGAGCTCTTCTTCCTGTTGGAAGGTCGAGGTATTGATTCCGTCTACTTCTTCCATCTTGACGGGTGTAATTGGGGTAATGGAATCGATGTCTGTGCAGAAAACGGTGGGTAAGTTCGAGTACAGCACAGCGAGGAGCTGAGGAAAGGGAACAAGAAACCCTCCACCGCTGGACATACCTCTCTACTGATATATACTTGAGCTCTCGAAGCTCAATTGTTCCCACGGAATGTGCAGTCACCGCCACAGACAAGTCGCGGTCGTTGGGATGAAGGCTGAGTTCACAGAATGTTCCTCAACCGCAGTAGTAAAAGGAAAGAGCCTCCGGAATATAGACGACACAGCAGTAAGTGAAGGATGACAAGTGTCAGCGCAATGACGGAGGGTGTCTTCTTCTATTCTGTTAGGGAGTTCAGCGGGAGTGGTGGTGTTGTTTCCCTTTCGCAGTTTCAGAAAGGGAGCTCCTGCCTGTGTGCGTGCGTGCAGGCCGTCCGCTTGAAGATGAATTCATGGATGTCTTCCTGATGATGATGATTGTGCGGCATTCTTCCCCCCGTGGGCGCGTCTACCGATGACTCCCAAGTGGAAAGCCTCACATAAAAAGCCTCGCTCCCAACTGTCAGAGTCCAACTCCAAATGTCGGAGTTGGCGCCCCTCCCCCCCCCCCCCTGCGAAAGTATTCCCTCGAAGTTCAGACGGTACTCCGTATGCTGACATCTCAATAATTCTTCACGACATGACAGAAGACACATAGCAAAAACGGACGACCAATCATCCAAATGTTTCACGTTATCCTACTCCATCGTTGAGGTGCATTCTACTGCACACCCAGCCTCGTTCATCTCCCGCTCGGCAAGGACCAGTCCGTGCCCCCCAGGATCCACCCCATCAACGGTCCCGCAAAGGGAGCATTTCGCCCCCGTCTCTCATCACCTCCTGCCCGAACCCCTCGACGCCGTATCCCCCCACCCTCAGCTCCCCGCGCGCTGATCGTAGTAGATGCACCCCACGCTACAGCCTTCCCTGCGGTGACGACACCACGGTTCTGGACAGCGGCTCTGCCTCTGCCGCAGCACACCGCGTTGGTATCCGTCGTTGCCGGTTCGTCGGAACCCCGTTGTGGGGGGGTATGCGGGGGCGTCGTTGGCCGACGTTGTCTCTGCCTTTCCTCCAGAGTCGTAACACCCGACAGGATCTTGCGGATGGCCACGGTCGGCTTCTGATTGAGACCCGGCAGCGGGGGCGCTTTGCTCCGGTAGGTGTGTGGGAGCCTCGTCGTGCGGCTGCGGGATCGTCGTGCCGCCCGTCGGCTGCTTGGGCTGCAGTGTCGCTCCCTGACGGCCTCCATGATGGGAGACCGTGATCGTCGGCTCCTCGAACATGGGTTGGGACCTCGTGGACTCGCGGGGCACGATTGCCCATCCAAACGACAACGAGTTGGGGCCTCGACTGTCCATTGTAGTGAATCCCATCGCCATGGGAGGTGTCAGCATAAGGGGTTTCCTTTAATTTTTCACAGCGTGTATATGCATGGGTACATGGAAACAGACGACAAAACTGAAAATGGGCATCCACACCCTACCTCAAAAAAAACGATGCTTCCATCACACCACCGTAGTCACACCCCTCCCCGCCCAAAAAAAAAGAAGCATGGAAATATACATCCACGAAGACCCTCAGAGATTCGCGACGTTTCTTCACCGCCCCTTACTCCTCAACTTCTCGCCAACCTTATGCAACAGCGCCTTCACCAGCATCGAGTGGCGCGTGCGTTTGGATTTGAGGTCGATCGTCACCTGCCCCTTCTCCGTCTTCGCTCCCTCTCGCTTCTCGCGAGGCGCCGGGCCCACTTTCACGGACCCATTCGCAGGCTGTTTGGGGGGCTGTTTGCTGATCTCGCTCTCGATATGCATCATCCTGAACTGTTTCAAAAGCGCGTCGGTGCCGTCGGCGGGTTTGGTTGTTGAGGGGGTGCGGGTGGTGCGGGTGGGTTGAGGTGGTGCAGCGCGCGGGGTCGCTGTCGGTGTCGGTGTACCTGTTGCTGTGGCAGTGGCAGTGGCAGTGGGCGTCGGCTGGGCAGGTTCAGGCGCCGCCTGCTGCAACGGGATGGTGAGCAACACCGGCAGATGCAGTGCGCCAAAGTGTTCCATTTCCGGTGGGTAGTAGGGGTACGTTTGCTGTTGTTGTTCTTGTGGCAGGACCGTGGGGGTTGGCGCCGCGGGCATCGCTGTTGACGATAAGGACCGTGAAACTGGCTGCTGTCTCGGCACGACGTTCCCAGCCCGCATCGTTGGCGCTGGTGTAGGCTGCGGGGCAGTGAACGTGAAGTTACCCGTCGGCGCAGGCGTGAATTGGGTCGCCATGAACGGCTGTTGTATCCCGGACTGTGGTTGCGTAAACCCGTTCGCGGTGGGTGTGGGTCGCGCGAAAGAGTTGATGTTCGAGTTTGTGATGGGTTGGAAATCGTTGATGGGGTAGGTGGGCACGGGACCCGGGCCGAAGTTTTCAGGAGGGGTGGTTGGCGGCTGCTGGTAGGTGGATGCCGCCATCTGTAGTTTGGATAGGTCGTCGGTGGCGTACAGCTGCGGGTTGTACGCGGCCATCGTCGATGATACGTCTCCACCCAGCGAGCCGTTGGGCAGGTACCCGGCTCCACCATTCGCAATCCCATCCAAATCCAACCCCGCCGCAGGATCAAACCCGTCCGCCACCCCCAATCCCGGATAATAACTCGAATCATCAATCTCACTCGACAACTGCAACAAGAACTGATTCAGCTCATCCAGATCCTCCACAGGGTGCGCATCCAGCGAATTGAACTGCGGCTGGCCAGTGGGCTCCTCAAAAAGTAAGGCCGCAATCTCGTCCAGTTTCTGCGCAAGCACCGGGTCATTCGGGTTGTTTGATTTCTTCTTTTTGTAGTCCATCATGAAATCGTCGACGAGGTCGTAGCCGCGTTTGTTGGTGCGGGGGTAGGAATCGTTGACGCCGGTTGGGTCGAGTTCCAGGCCGGTGGAGGGGTTCAGGGGGGGACTGAAATCGGAAGCGAATAGGCCGTCGATTGCGCCGGATGTGAAGGCGGGGTCAATGTCGAAGAAGCTGCGGTCGAAGGACGCGTCTGTGCCTTCAGAGACGAAGCTTTCTCCGGGGTTCAAGGGATTCTGAGAGTTTGAGAATAAGAATCGATCGACGGGCGCCGTCGCAGGAGGCGGGGAAATGTCGGAGAAGAACTGTTGATTCTGTGATGCATCTGTAGCGGGGGGGAAATGTTAGCACCTTGCCATATTACTCGGGAGGAAACACAGAGAACATACCTGGAGACTCCTCAGTGGCCCACCCGGACCCCACATCCGAATACGACGGGTCCGATGAATATGGCGAAAAGTCCCCCTGCGCGCCCGGCACAAGGTAATCAGGTAACGGCGTCGTGGCATGAACAGGTGAACGGCCGTCGGGTTGAGTGAACCCGGACGCGGCGGACGAGAACGATGCTGATCGCTCGCTCTTCACAGTGGCTGTGGATTTCGCGGCACTGCTTCGTCGTCTGGTTTGCGCGATGGGGCGAGGGACTCGCAGTGTGGAGTTGTCATTGCCGTCTGCGGCATCGGCTTCGTCTTGATGTAGTTTGTCGTGTTTCTTTTTGTCTTGAGGGCGTTTGAACGCTCTTCCACAGATCTATTATGAGAGAGAGTAAGTCTTTAGATTCAAATGCGTGCAGGACGGCAATATGGATCAGGGGGTTACGATACCTCACAGACATGTGGTTTAAAGGGCACATGAATCCGAATATGGCTCGTAACATGATCCCGCTTATTGAACGGATGCGCAGTACATCCCTCCCACGCACACTCGAGCGACAGATTATTCGTCGTCTTTCTGCCGATATGGGCGTTGGTGATGTGTTCGTAGAGCAACTCCGCGTCGGAGAACAATTCAGAACACCGTTCTGGTTTGAGCCACTGACATTGGTAGAGGTCGGCGGAGGTCGTAGACGGTGAGCGGGACGCTCTGTCGAGGGCTGGCGCTGAACTTTGGCCGCCGTCTGCTAGTGACGAGGGGGCTGCCATTTTTTTTTCAGATGTGACGAACCTTAGGTTGGAACACTGGATGGTTTTGTGAGAGTGCGAGATTTCGTTGACGCGGAGACGGAGGTTTCTGGTGGCAAGTTCTGCTGTGAAGTGGGGGACGTTCCTTTCTGCACGGACAATATAAACCCGCTCCGGCAAGTTTACGTGGCTTCCGTTGGAGATGTGCTTAGTCTTTGGCGTCGGTGTTGGGTTGGGGGGAGATGGGCAGCTGGCGACGCCAAGAAATCTCATATGGGATCCGAGGGGAGCCAAGTTGTGATGAGGGAGTCTGTTGGGGGGGGGGAGTCGGGGCTTGTTGCGCCGCACCGCCGATCCCCTCTCTCCGCTCCCCTCCCCTGAGTCAGTCCGGACTCCGGCTGGTCTGGTTCATGAGGACTCTCACAGTCACGTGCGCTCAGGCAGGCCGCGCATTTCAAAGTGACCTCCACGTGAGGAGAAGAATTCACTCGCGCCCCCGCGTGCGCACCTCGCAGTCGCGACTCCCCTGGGTGCGCCGGATCGTGCCGTGCACCCCCGCTCTGGCACCATATGCGAATTCGCTTCCCAACACCCACATTGCTCTCTCTTTCGCCTGCCTTTCGGTTGCATCGTATAGCACACTCAGCAATCATGGCTCAGATCAGCAAGAAGAGAAAGGTAATGCATCCACTCGCCACCACCTGCCACCACACTACCCCGCACCATCACGCACGGACGATTTCGGTGGATGGATGGATGGATGGATGGATGAAGGAGTGGATCGGATGGATGGATGCTTTTATGGACTCGAGTGGGGAATTCGGAATGTTGAACGACGCATGCGGAAGCGACCTATGCTCGGATGTTGAACTAGGGACAGCAAGGGACGGCTAGGTCTTGGCCGCTGTTGGAGAGGCATAGACAAGGGGCTATTGGAGGATTCCATTGTCGTTGGAATGCAATTGGATGGAGACGATGTTGGGAATTTTGGACGGGTGATCGATCACATACGACCTGCGGGAAGGCATTCGAAATGAGAGTTGACGGCTGACGAATCGACTCTCCTCTACCCTCTCCCGAATCCCACAGTTCGTTGCCGACGGTGTGTTCTTCGCCGAGCTCAACGAGTTCCTTACTCGTGAGTTGGCCGAGGAGGGTTACTCTGGCGTCGAAGTCCGTGTGACCCCCGCCCGCACGGAAATCATCATCCGCGCCACCCGCACCCAGAACGTTCTCGGAGAGAAGGGTCGCCGCATCCGCGAGCTCACCTCCGTCGTCCAGAAGAGGTTCAACTTCCCCGAAAACACCGTCGAGCTGTACGCTGAGAAGGTCAACAACCGCGGTCTCTGCTCCATCGCTCAGGCCGAGTCTCTTCGTTACAAGCTTCTCGGTGGTCTGGCCGTCAGGAGGTGCGTTTGGCGGAAAGAGAGAAATGCATTTGGAGACAGATGGGGCGAAAGTTTGGGGGCGGTGGAACTTATCGATGTTCCATAATATAGGGCGTGCTACGGTGTCGTCCGTTTCATCATGGAGTCTGGCGCCAAGGGATGCGAAGTTGTCGTCTCTGGCAAGCTCCGTGGTGCTCGTGCAAAGTCCATGAAGTTCGTTGACGGATTCATGGTATGTAAAGGGGAAAGCGGCTACGAAAAAATAATCGAATGTGGCGACTTGCGTGGGGAGAATCTCAACCTACGACATATTCCTCTAGATCCACTCTGGACAACCCACCCGCGACTACATTGACGAGGCTGTCCGTCACGTCCTTCTCCGTCAAGGTGTGTTGGGTATCCGCGTCAAGATCATGTTGGACTGGGACCCTACCGGAAAGACCGGCCCCAAGAAGCCCCTTCCCGACATGGTCACCATCCTCGAGGTATGAACACCGTTTTTCCTTTTGCGCCATGTCTCAAATGCGAACATTTCATTGACTTGAACTTTTCTACCAATCCCACAGCCCAAGGAAGAGGAGCCCATCCCCGCCCCCATTGCTGTCCCCACCGCCGCCCCCGTCGAAACCCCCGCCGCCGCTCCCTCGGAGCAGGCGCCCGTCGAAGCCTCTGCATAAATATAATCCCCTCCAACCTTCGCATGCCACCACCCACCACTCCCACTTCATATCCGATGCAGCATTTGACGTGCAGGGTTTGCAGACTGCTGGTGTTTATTTGTGTATACACGCTTCAATAAGAAATGAAAACGCGAAAAAAAAACACCTTCGAGGGCAGCAATACGAGCTGTGAGGGATCTCCTGTTCGGGTAGTGTCTGGCAAACGCTCTGTCTATCGTTGGCATTTTGCTACGGATTACACAATTTGCCCCGGCAGCGACGTGCGTCGAACTCGGGGCATATGTCGGGCTTGCAGGTGGACGTAGGCGCTTTCGGTGGTCTTTGTCCTCGTAACGAATGTAGGCTGCGTCCCGCTGAGGGGAACTCCAATGTCGTCTTCTTGAATGCATCTATGAAGGACACACATTCCAGAAGAAACCTCGCTGATGATACGACTGAGCAGGCACCTCGAGGCGAAATGCCGTGTGCCATGTCCCTAACCCTAATACCATACCTGGAGGGGACCATGTCCCTAACCCTAATAACCATACCTGGAGGGGAGTCAAGCCCTGAACCACGATCCACCATAATGGAAGCCCCAAGTCTGTCTTGCGGTGAGCCGCAAATCTCGCCAATTTGAACAAGACCCCAATTCGGCAACTCGACGCGCCGATCCCGTCCGTAAATAGACTCGAGTCAAAGCCTCACTTGACTCCTGCCCCAGCCGCCAAACAAAAACCTTATAAAACGGCTCGACATCCCGATCTCCACCACCTCAACCAGAATCACCTCCTCTCCAGAATTATATACCAAAACAAATGCGCGACAAATTCAAACCCATAGTCGGCTGCATGGCCCTCGTCGGCACCATCAGCGCCTTCTTCCTCCTCTCCGACTTTTCCGAACCGGGGCGATGGACCTACACCCGTTCGCACACCCCGCCACCGGTGCCAGTCGTCGGCAACTCGCAGGCCAAAGCCGTCGTAACGTCTCCGGTGGCTGCAGGCAATGATAGCAATGTGGATGCGTATGTGAAATGTTTGACGGACGTGAAGGGGAATAGGGATATGTATGATGTGGAGAAGTGTATCAGTGATATCCGACAGTGAGTTCCGACTACCGGCACCTATCACCGTGGACGGAAAATAAGGCTGACCATGTGATTGTCACTTTTAGTGGAGAGCAGCTCCGCCTCATGGACAAGATCCTCGAGCTCCCGCGGGATAAGCTGAGCCGGTACACGGGAACGGGCGCCTACGCCTACGTGTCGAGGTGGAAGATATTTGATCTGTTCAAGCCAGTGTATGAGTGTAATGCGTTGGATTTGTTGAGGATTGGGGCGCCGTCGAAGGTTTCTGATACTGGGAAGTGGTTGTGGTAAGTCTTGGGGGGATTTCGAATTGATGGGGGGAAAAAACGACCAGGGAATCTGATTTCTACGTATCTCCCTTCGATACCCCAGCTCCGACAAGCTCACCTTCGGCAAAGACAACAAATGCGTCATATACTCCCTCGGCTCCAACAACCAATTCGATTTCGAACAAGAGATGAAACGCCTCTTTCCCAAATGCACCATCCACACCTTCGACTGCACGGGCGACTGGAAGGATCCCTCAACGACCTACCATAAATGGTGCATTGGCGCTAAAGATGAAGTGGACAGCCTCGGCCGGCAGTTCAAGCGCGTGTCGACGATTAGCAAGGAGTTGGGGGTTGAGACCGTGAGCCTTTTGAAGATGGATATCGAAAAGTACGTGTTCAATCTCTCAAGTGTTGCGATCGGTTCGATACTCTCGTCGCTAACGATATACTTTTCCTCTCAGCTTCGAATGGGGTTTCTTCCTCGACCTTCTCAACGAGCCCGCCGAAGACCGCCCGAAACAGGTCCTCGTCGAGTTCCACGGCGGCATGCCGATCGACAAGGTGCCCGTGCCATGGAAGATTGCGCCAAGTTTCTTTGAGGGGTGGAACGATAACTGGGCGATCCCGGTCGCGAGGATGGTTAAGTTGTTTGGACAGTTGGGGTATCGGATTGCGTTCCAGGAGAGGTAAACTGCCTGCGGGTATGGTCAGCCTGTCGTTTGTGTGCGGAGTCTTACGATTTCTTTCTATGATGGCTCGTTAGGAACCGATGGGGAGATTTCGCAACGGAGATCATCCTCCTCCACGAGACCGCGCTGTAGGTCTCGAGGCGTTACACCTCACGCTTCAACAACCGGACGGCCTATTACGTCGACTTCCGACATTCATACAAGTATCGGGCGGGAGCGTTTCCGGCTGCCGTCTCGGCGTAATGTAACACCATTAGGACATGGCCAGCATAGTTATCATAGAGACACAATACCTTCTAGTGGAGGCGATGGAGGCCGATGGGCTCACTGAGCGTAAGAGCGATGGATACTGGTTTAATCACGTATTGTAGCAGTGGTTGTATGGCGAGCACTCGTAGACGCCGATAGGGCTTGCGAATCAGGATGGAATCGCTGTGCTCATGGTTACGGCATGGGAGGATGCAAATCCATGCGTTCAAATAGAGACTTTTACCCGCATTTTGGGATGTTCGATGTCTGTTTGGTTTTCAGTACTTGGACCCTTCGTTGCCCCGATGAATGGAACACCTTTTGCTTGTTCACCTCGCTTGAGTTCGAGGCGTCCGTCTGACTGACGGGAAACGTGGCTGCTGCAGTACTGTCAAAGCGCGACGTGTTCTCCAGCTCCCCTCCTGGATCCAAAGCTCAGAATAGTCGGAGCACATTTGCGACATCCGCCCATGTCGCGAAGGGACCCGCACGATCTGGCGTCACCTCCAAGCAGGGAGCGCCGTACCTTTCCCATCACAGGTCCCATTTCCCTACTCACGACTCCCTCCCCACCCCCTTATCCTCCAAAATGGATTCAGAAACATTTGTAACCATCGGCACCCCGCAACCGGAGGACGCCAAAGACGTGGGCGCAAAAGATCGCAACAAAGTCCTGCCGATCCATCTCCAGGAACCCCGCGATGAGCAAGGGCGGAAAAGGTTCCATGGCGCGTTCACGGGCGGGTTCTCGGCGGGGTATTTCAACACGGTGGGTTCCAAAGAAGGTCAGGATTTGATTTGCGGTCACGGAATATTGCGGGGGGGCGGGGCGGGAGGGAGTGTATGCAAAGCTGACCCTTTTCGTTTTTGTGGTTTTGGGCTTTTGCAGGATGGACACCATCCCAGTTCGTCTCGAGCCGGTCCTCCCGTCCCGAAGCGCGCAATGCGTCCCAACGCCCCGAAGACTTCATGGACGAAGAGGACATGGCATCCCTCACCGCCAACCAGCAAATCGCGGCAACGGAGGAATTCGACATCCTGGGCGGCACCGCGCGGGAACTGGCACGGCGCAAAGCGACGGTGAATGCTGTGGAGAGGGATGGCAGCGCCGCGCCGATGGCGTTACCGGCGGCGCTTGTGGAGGATCTGATTGGTCCGTCGAAGGACCCGATTGGGAAGAAGCTGTTGAGGCAGATGGGGTGGAGGGAGGGGCATGGGGTTGGGCCGAGGGCGAGGCGGAGGAGGAGGGGTGATGGTGAGAGCCATATCCGATGTTTGGGGGACCACTGCGCGGAGTATGCTGACACGGTGATGTTGTAGGGAAAGAGGATATCTACGCGACGGAGCACCTATTTGCACCCAAGGACGTGACGGTCGACACGCTGAAGCCGAAAGCAGATCACTACGGGATCGGGTTCGATCCGTACGAAAACGCGCCCGAATTCGCACACCTCAAAAAGAGCGCGGCCACGAAGCCGAGCAGCGAGGCCAAACCCGCAAAACGGAGCGGGTTCGGCGTCGGCGTGTTCGAGGACGAGACGGAGGATCTGGATGTCTATGGGTCGTCGGGGATGGCGACGTATGATATGATTATTGATGATGATGAGGACGAGCGGGTGTTTATGAGGCAGAAGTTTGGCGCTGCAAGGACAAGCGATGGTGGGAGTGGAGATGCGCCATCACGGAAGACGACGGGGCTGAATACGGAGTTTTTGGATATTTATTCGGGACTGTGTAATGATGGGAGACCACCGCTGGAGGGGTTTGTGTTGGCGAAAAAGGCGCCACCGAAGACTAAGTGGTGGGTGGAATGCCGCTGCGTCAGCGGTTTCGCCCGGTGGCCATGCTAACACCCTGGTTTTTGCAGGTATGCCCCTCCTGACGTGCCAGCCGACTTTGTCCCATTACACAAGTTCCCACCTCCATCCGCGACACAACCTGCCGCACCAACAAGCACAACCGAGTGGCAGGGACGCCAGCAATCCCAAACACACAGCGCATTATCCGCCGACGCCCGTCGCGACCTCCTCGGCGAAGAAGCCCTAAAAGCGCCTCAACGGTCGGTTTTCGCGTACTTACCCCTAAAAGAGCAGGACCGGCTTCAGGAATACATCAACAAAGCGAACAGGGGACGCGAAGAGCTCGCGAAACGGGAGACTGCGCAGAATGCACCAGCGCCTAATGAACCGAAGCTGGATAAACAGACCGCGGAGGCTGCATTGAAGGGGTTTATGCCGTTTGGGAACGATCCGCCGAAGCAGGGGAGGTATAGACGGTTTTTGGAGGTGGCGGCGGGGATGGCGACGGAGTATGCCACCGTGCCAAAGGTGAGTGGATATACTGCATCCCGTGTTTGTGTCAGCTGAGCGCACTCATTGACCCTGCCATCTTGTTTGCAGCATCTAACAGCGCAAGATATATCCCACGAACGCCTCGAATTCTCCAAAGCAGCCCAAATCTTCAAACCCCTCTCCTCCATGATGGCCTCCCGCTTCACCTCCGCCACCCACACCATCGAACCCGGTTTCGCCCCCTCCTCCAAAAACCTCACCACGCCCCAACCTAACGACACCCACCTCCAAAAAGAAGCAGCAGACCTTAACATGTACGGCCGCCTAACCCGCTCCGTAAAAGAGTGGCGACCCGAGAAGCTGCTCTGCAAACGCTTCGGCGTCCCCGACCCGTACATGAACGCGAAAAAGAAGGAGAAAGTAGAGGATGAGAAGAATGAGGTTGCGGTCGCGGAGGGGAAACGGATCCATCAGCGGGAGGCGGTTAATGAGCAGGTTATGAGTGAGTTGTTGGTCGAGCGGGATCGGTTGGTTGCGCGAGGTGGGCTGGGGATGGGGATGGATCCGGGGCGGGCGGCGCTGATTGGGGCTGCGTCTGATGGGTCTAGCGAGAAAGTATCTGCGACGCCGGAAACTGAGGCGAAGGAGACATCTGCTTCGGCCGGGGAAGACGAGTATGAGCGGCCGCCGATGGATATTTTCAAGGCTATTTTTGCGGACTCGGATGATGAGGTGGAGGAGGAGAGTGATGAGGAGCGGGAGGGGTCGCGGGGCAATAGTGCGCTTGTGGAAAAGGCGGGGGATAAGCCGGCGAATGGGAAACCGAGAGCTGTTATCCTACCCCCGCCACAGGAGGACGACCCTGCGGCGAAGTTACCGCCGCCGACGTTCCGCCCGATGTTTCGAAAGAAGCAGGATCGGGGGAAGAAGATTGTTGAGGCGCAGGTCGAGGCGGCTTCCGCGACCACGACGACGACACCGGAAGGTGTCGAGAATAAGGTTGCGCCCAATGAAGATGGTGGGCAGACGAACGGACAGTCTGCCACTGCCTGGGCACCTGCGGCGCCACAACCGTTCGTACATCCGGCCCGACAAGCGCTCTCCGCAGCGCTGGCCGACGCTGAACCCAACTCAGTGCCTACCAAACCGCCTCCTGCACCAGTATCATCTTCATCGGATCTCGTACACCCCACGCCAGCCAGCGCGCCCTCACACCACGCTAAAACCCTCGAACTAGCCTCAGAACCCCGCTCCCCCGACTCGAAAGATCGAAAACGCAGCCACAAAAAACGCAAAGACTCCGACCGCGACGATCGACGCGCGAGTATCGGGTCCAGCTCGAAGAGAAAGAAACGGGACCGCGATGAAGATTCAGACGACCATACCGACCATGACCGATCGAAACGAAAACGGAGAAAATCGTCCGAGAAAGACCGTGGACGAGATCGGGATCAGAGTAGGGAGACCAAACGGCGGAAGCGGCACCGTGAGGATGTGTCGGAGGTGGAGGAGGAGGAGGAGATGTGGGTTGAGAAGCCGGTTGTGGTTGTTTCACCACCATCAAAAGCGCGGTCGCATGGTGATAAGGGTGGGGATCGGGAGGCACGGGGTGAAGTGTTGCAAGGGGCGAAGGATGCGAGTAGGGGGGCGAGGGGACGGAGTAGACCTTCAGCGGCGGATTTCATGTGATGGGGCATTACGTTTTCTGGATTGTACATAAATACGTTCATACCATTACTTGGCACCGTTCTCTCCCTTGTGTCTTTGCAAGTGGAGCGCGCGAGACATGCTTGCTAATTGCCCCAGTAGACGGAACATGTTTGCCCCTCTCTCATGATATATAAAGCGAAGTGTTCCATTAGCGCGGCTTAGATCAATACACGTGGGTACGTTGTACTTTCGCATTGCCATAGCGTCGCCCCCACCCACTGTACGCTGTCTCATCTACCCCGCCTCTTCAGGAAGGATTGTCGCGTGGACAGACACGGAAGATAGCCGTAAACTACTCGTCAGGGGGATCTGACCATGAATGATGAAAGAATGTCCACGAGCCGGCAGAAAAAACTTCCTGTTTGACTGGTTCGGCTATGAGATCTTTCGCCCGGGGTGCAAAAGTCCGAGCTTCACTGATTCCCCATGTTATCTTCGGATTTACAAATGCCCAAATACCTTGGAGATTTGGACGAAGTGTTGACCTCCCCAGGTCGCATCATTCGTCCGCCCTCAAAAACGATGCTATGGATTCGATATTTGTTTGTACTCGAAGCCAGTGTACAGGCTCCCATCGAACTTCACCCCGGTCGGTCAGTTGGATGTTTCATCTCAGCCATTCCATTCGGATTGGTTATATTATGTGAGAGGAAAGGGGCCGCAGATGTGCATGTATGTACATAGTATCGATCGGAAGGTCGACCGTCTGCGTCGGCCTTGGCAGTTGTCGGAGTCGGCACTTGGAAATTGACAGTGGGGCAAAACGACAGGACGCAAGCCACGTCCCAGTCAAGCTCGGGTCCATAGCAGCACTATTCAAGCTGTCTGAAACTCCTCTCACATAATCGTCGTCGGTCTCAGCAAATCGACTTTAGTATCTCCTTTCCATCAGGAAGCATGCTGTGATCAAGGAGGTGCTACATTCTTGGCTCAGAAGATGACTACTATCCCGTTGGACACAAGAGTAGGACCGCACAGTATTCAAGAACGAAGGCACTCAGGCTTCGTTCAGGATGTTTCTGCACCTCCCCGCTCTGCACCTGCAATTTTGGCGCCTGTTCCATTACCTCTCAGTTCATAAACAGGGCGGGCCGGTGGGGCGGGAGAAGCAGCAAAGTGGGGCAGCGTTGAGGGGCAGTCGGAGTTTGACCGTGCCACCCGCAATCCGCCTCCCCGCTCTCAGAGCACTCCCAAAGTTCGCGGGTATAAAAGCGGGACACCCGGTCCTCAACCTTTGACTTTTTCTCTATCCTTGCGCGGGAGCAAATCTGCAGCTGTGAAGTCTCAAACTGAGCTCAGATCGTTCGCTAGTTGAAAACTACATCTGAACCCCCGATACGTCCCAGTGGCTCATCGGAATTTTTGAAACCCTTCTTTTCTCAAACTTTGAGAAAAACCTATAAAGAAAAAGGCGGAAACCTCGTGTTTTATGAATCGATGTGGTCCAGGAGGATGTGTGTGCAGAGTCTTGATCGAGTGAGGTCCTCACCATGCCCCAACAGCATGCGAAATCCGGGCGACTTCCCGCGTACTCGGGAACGCGCAGGGCGGAGATTTTCCAGACCTTCGCTCTGCCGCCATCCACTTTACAAAAAGGGCCATTCTTGTAAACAAATTTTTATGGAAATTTCTCAAAACTGATCATATAACACGAGGTGGCCAAGTGGGAGGGATGCCTGAGCGGCAGGAGCCTCCTAGAATGAACACTCAGAAGGGGAGATGGGGATTTGTAAAGCTGTAACGACATAACGAAAACGAAACCAAAAGGGCAACGACGAATACCGCATATGTTATGCGATCTTGCAAGAAATACGCCGACTGAGTGTAGACCGAATAGAGATAACATTCCGGGCGTAGAAGTTCAGCGAATCCCGAGAGTCGATACAAATATGTGTTCTGAGGATTGGCGATGAACGAAAGTGACCCGACGAATAGTTTGAACGTGGTGGAAAGGACAGAGTTACAGAGGAACTGTGTGTTGCAGACTGAGCGGATGCGAGGGGGTAGAGTTTCAACGGAAGCGAGACATCACGCCGACGGCACCGAGTGTGAATCAAACATACGCGAGTCGCTGCCTCGCCCTAGCAAAGGCCATTGCCATTTTGTCGCTCCACATCCTGGGGTTCTCAGCCATCATGTTTTTGAACTTTTCCATCCTCTCCCTCATCGTCTTCTTTGAGACGCCATGTGAAACCTTTCTCCAGGGAGCCCAACCCCATTTTGCTTTCCAGTCATCCGAAGTGCGTTCGGAGGACTGGTTCCTGATGCCGTCTACCCAGCCCCAGACAGCGGCGCGGAACTTGTTGGCGCCACGGTTCCAGCGTGCAATCAATGCGGTGTAGAGTGCGTGCGTGCGGTGGAGAGCGATGGATGGCAGATTCTGCAGTGTTTGCACGTTGATGATCATCGGATATGCTCCAGGGGAATCCTCGTTGATGCTGGTGGCGGGCTCAGTAACCTGCACGGAAGAAGTCGGTATGATGGCTGTGAGCTCAGCATCCGGAACGTCGGTTCCATGAACTGTTGGAATGCCTTCTTGAGCAACCGGGGTCGGAAGGATCTCCTTGCTCGCTAGAGGCTGGACGCTCGATGTAACGGCGATGCGCTCAGGCGGGGTAAGAATAGGCGCTGCAGTGCTTGTAACTTGCGATGCAGTGGGCGACTTCTCTTCATGGGGTCGGCCTGAAAGACGTTCAAAAGGAAGGTAGGAGGAGTGAGAGAGAGAGGTACATGATGAAAAGGATGTCGAGCAGAGCAGCGCAACACATACCTTTATGCAAATCCGCAGTGGAGCGCCCGAACAATCCCACTTCGGTATATCTATCTCGCACCATAACATCGCTTGTTGGCCTCGCCAGCGCGATCGAGGTAATGGTTGTCACCATCGCTCCCGCATCGGCAGCAGCCGGCTTCTCCGAAGCCGAGATCGACGCCACCGCCGTCGGAGTGGTCGAGGTATTGCCGTCGAGCGCCGTAGTCGGCTCGGGCACGCTAGCAAACGGGATGCTCTCACATCGGATCTCATGAGGGTACAAGCACACCGTGTATTGATAGATGGTGCATCCAAGCATCCATCCGACGAAAAGCGCGGCAAGCAGGATGGGAGGCACGACTTTGAAATACTTGGACCTAGCCGACCACCACTTGACAAGGTGCTCAACCCCGGTTCCTAGCACGGACGGCTCATGATGATCGACAAAGTCATCGCCGAGAAGCTTTCGAACATCTTTCTTGCGGAACTTGGCCATTTCCTCGACGGTCCACACGCCGTGCTTGCCGCCGGGGATGTACTTGACATGCGTGAGCGACAGCAACCGGCGGACATGCGCGACTTCTTTCTTCTCGCAGACGGGGAGGAATGTCGGTTTTTCTTCCAATTCGTGTTCGAGCGAGTCTTGTTGTTTGTCTTCTCCTTGGTAGTCCTTACTTGCTCCCGCCGAAACGATGGTGGACGACGACGATGAAGAAGAGAGGAAAGACGAACTTTCATCAGTGAAGGTTCCGGCCATGACCGAGTGATAGAGCGCCTGGAAATCTGTGGCATGAACGACGAGTGTAGGGCGCTGTCCAACCGGAAGCGTACCGGGCGTGTAACAAATGCAGTAGGGCGTGAACGGGACGGTAATCCGAGAATGCAGATCGGTCAGACCCGTAAACAACGCCACAGGCTTGCATTGCTCTTGAGTCTGCTGCTTGCGTTGGAGATCATCTTCGATGAGCACGTTGGACTGCACTACAGAAGAGGGGTAGCTCAGAGACTTGCTATTGGTTGAGGGTCCCATGTCATCCGGCTCCGAGTCAATGTCGGGGATGTCATCGTGAACGGGCATATGCTCGACGACTGTGTTTGACTTTTGGTCATTGATCTTGCGTCCGTTATGCTTCTTGGCATGCATCCCAAATTGCTGGGCATCATTCTCCTGCATATCAGGGATCGCGCCTTGGATCTCTCGAGAGATGTTTTGCACCGAGCTTGCGGTTAAAGAATGATGTTCGACGACCTTCACTTGCTTCCGGTCGCAGGAGCTGATGGCCTGGCTGTCGCTGACTGGACGGTTCTCGTACTCGGAGTCCGAGTCCTCGAGGATCAGCGTGCCATCTTCAGGTGCCCAGTTGATCTATCAAAGAAATGGATATACATCAAGTGTGAGACGGGAACGTCGTAAACGTTTTGCTTAACACGGCTCGACCCTCTCAACTTCGTAGCATTGCGTACAAAAGCTGTTTCACGACGAAACTTACTTTAACCATGCCCTGAAGAATCTCAAATCGCAGTTCTCCATCGATATCCCCCATGATGTAAGACGAGATCGACGATGACAAGCTCGCAGATTCAGTCAGGCAAGGAGGTTTGAAAGCGAGATCAGCGCCAAATCTCTCGAAAGCCGTAACCGAACGAGGCGCCGCAAAGGCACACAAAAAATGGGCGAATCGGCGTAGTGCGACAGACGACGCCTACAAGGGCAGGTAATGGAACCAAACGGCCGCAAACGCAAAAGTAGGAGAGGGAGAGTAAAAAGACAGTGGGTGTCCCGAACGAGGACGTTCCAAAAACCCGTCAGCTAGTGTGGCGTCGCTGCTAACGGGGTCACGATCACTGGCACTACTACGATGCGAAGAGTAGCTCGGTCTTGCTGCTCCTTTGGATGCGTGGTATAACCGCTTGAGCGCCGTCCACCAGGCCAGCTTGATATGTCCACTGATACACATACTCACCTAGATTTTTACACCGTTGGGCGACGGTGCCAGGAGCCGTTTGGGCTTCGGTGAGGCTTTCGGGTTCGTTTGCCGTTTGGAGGCAAAAGACGGTGTGAAACTCGTTGCCTCTGGCTCCAGAAGGGAGTTTGCGGTGGTTGAGAGCGAGGAAGTTTTGACGTGAGCGCCTACTTTTGGATGGGGAACGATGTTTCGGATCTTCGTTTGTGACACACAAGGACAACTGTGGAGGGTCGCCCAACGGGCGAATATGCGGAAGGGGATTTTCCTAAGCGATAATGTGTGTGTCCGTGACTAGTCTCCACATCTCTGGTCTTTGGCGTCCCACTGACTCCAGCAGCCAATATCTCGCGCGACCTCCGGCCTCTCAGAATATGATACCCTGCCACGTCACTGACAGGACACGGAAAACGAGGGATCTTGCCCAGCATTCTTCCATGGCATCTCTGCGACCTCGACTTGAACATAACAAAGTCTCCATCTAAAAATGGTTCCCAGTTGTCCTCGTGTTCAGTGGGTGCTCCTATACTCAATTACCCCGCAACGCAACCGAAACGTTTTGTCTATGTGTGGAGGCTGTCAGTCGGGGCATGCCGTTGACAGGTTCGCGCTGTCGAATCTCGGCTAAGCGGCCGGGGAATGTCAGATGAGCGAAGGAGATCTCATCCGCCACTCCCCGTTCACCTTCCGCATTCTTCCTACATACGCGCTACTGGAGTGCTCTCCGCTTCTCGATTCCCTGCGACGGCCATGTGAAGTGTCACCGTGTGCGGGTTGGAAGCGTGATGAGGCGCCCGTCATCATCGACATCTCCGAAACTTCCATCCAGCATGGAACCATCAGCCTCACCAGCCCTTGCTCGGACGGAGAAGCCCTGGGGCCGAAGTCCACGGACCCCTTGGTTCCTGATGACCCTCTGGGTTAAACTAATACGACTAGCTATCTACCTCGCTCCTCGTGCGGCGACCCGGAACAGGCCATCATTGGCGGTGCAGACCGGGGATGCTGTGCCTGTCTCGATTGCTGCGAAAACACGTCCAGTATATGCCCTCAGCATGCGAAGTCAATGCGATCTGTATTTTTTGGTATTACGGAACATGCCAGAGAAAACAGCAGATGTAATATAAAGTTCGCCAGCCACATACACAGAGAAAACGCATGCCCATCTACACCCTCGGCGGCCGATAAAGTTTCAACGCCAAACTACTAACCACCACACAAACACTACTCCCTGCCATCGCAATCCCCGCCATCCACGGCGCCAACCCCCACTGCCCGACCGGATAAAACACCCCCGCCGCAACCGGTATACACAACACATTATACCCAAACGCCCAGCCAAAATTGATCAAAATGCGGTTGAACGTCACCCGCGACAGGTCAAGTAGGATGAGCACATCCCTTAGATCGGATTTCATCAACACGGCCTGCGCGGACTCGATGGCCACGTCGGAGCCGGCGCCGAGTGCGATCCCGACATCGGATTGGGCGAGGGCGATGGAGTCGTTGATTCCGTCGCCGGTCATGGCGACTTTGTTGCGGGTGGAGGACTTGAGTGTGGATTGGAGGTATTTGATCTTATCCGCTTTTTCGTGGGGGAGGACTTGGGCGAGGATGTGAGTGCGGGGGATGCCGAGGAGGGCGCCGGTGGCGTGTGCGGTGGCGGGGTTGTCGCCTGTGAGCATGTAGACGGCGATGGAGCGGGAGTGGAGGGCGCGTATGACGGAGGGGGCTTCGGGGCGGAGGGTGTCGGAGATGGCGAGGAGGGCGTGGATTGTGCCGCGGGGTCGTGGTGGGGCGAGGGGTGCATCCGCGGAGGGGACTGATATTGGCTGCATACCGACCACTACGACTGATTTACCGTCGTTTTGCCACTTGTCGATGGACGTCTGCGCGTCGGTGGCAATAGACGGCAGCAAGTCACACGCCGCGGAAACGTGCCGCTGGCTTCCGATATACACCTTCATCGTAGCTGTGGTATCCGCCCCTTGGACGGTGACGGTACTCTCGAGTCCCAGCCCGGGAACCTCCTTGAGCGCATCGACCGTGAACCGGCGGTGTTGCGATAACACATCCCGATTCGGCGCCGCTCCGGTCTTTTCAACTCCAAAGTCCACAATCGCTTTCGCCAACGGATGATTGCTCGAATTCTCCAGCGCAACAATCAACTGCCAGATATCCGTTTGCGACAACGCAACCCCATTACTGGCGTCCGATTCACTAAGAATCGAAACCCCCGTAACAACCGGCTTCCCCGTCGTCAACGTCCCCGTCTTATCAAACGCAATCGCGCCAACCCTACACGCCGACTCCAACGCCTTCCCACCCCCCTTCACCATAATGCCATACTTCGCCGCAACCCCGGTGCCCACCATAACCGCCGTCGGCGTGCCCAGTCCCAGTGCACACGGGCACGCAATAACGACCACCGCAATCCCGAAATTCAACGCGAGTAAACCCCCGCTCTGCCCGTTTTTCAGCCATGCATCGGGTACCGCGCCGCTCCGGACCGCTACGAGCCACGCGAGGAACGTGAGCACCGCAAGCACAATCACCACGGGGACGAAATAATGCGCAATCCGGTCCGCGACGGCTTGGATAGGCGCCTTTGACGTCTGCGCCTCCTCCACAAGGCGAATGATACGCGACAAAGTTGTATCCGAGCCGATTTTGTTGGCTTTGATGAGGATGGGGGAGGTGTTGTTGACGGTGCCGCCGAGGACGGGGTCGAGGGGGTGTTTGGGGACGGGGCGGGATTCGCCGGTGAGCATGGATTCGTCGATGTAGGTTGTGCCGTGGTGGAGGAGGCCGTCGCAGGGGATGCGCGCGCCGGGTGCTACTTTTAGGATGTCGTTCACTGGGGGGGAGTAGACATATATGAGTTTTTGTGGACTTTGGATGAAGAGTCGGCACACACTCACCTTGCACCAACGCGATATCAACCACCTCCTCCTTCACCACCCTCCCACTCCCCTCCTCCAAAGTCACCAACGTCGCAGTATTGGGCGCAAGCGACATCAACTTGGTGATAGCCTCGGATGTCTTGCCCTTTGCAAACGCCTCGAGGTATTTGCCCAGCAGGATGAAAAAAATGAGGAGCACCGAGGTCTCGAAATAAATTTCGGCGGTGGCTGTGTTCTTGGAGACCATGTCGACGATGATGGCGTAGAGGGAGTAGAGGTAGGCCGCGGAGGTGCCGAGGGCTACGAGGACGTCCATCTAAGGGTTCGGGAATACATCAGCTCGCGTTCGAAACCCAGAGTCGGGCGAACGTTTGCAAAAAGGGGGAGACTCACGTTGGCAGAATGGGTATACCGCACGGCCTTCCACCCCCTCTGATAAAACCCCCACCCCAGCCCGACCTGCACCGGCGTCGCGATACAAAACATCACCAGGCCCACAACCGACAACCCCGGCACCACCTCCATCATCATCGCCATCCGGACCCCGCTCTCTTCGGGTAACGCCATCATGAAGATCATCGAGAAAATGACAGTCGGCAGCGCAGCAAGAAAAGCGAGAAAGACTAGCCGGCGCTGATGTGTAAGTTCCTCCCGCGACCGTTGCCGGGCTAGCGCATCCCGCGAAGTCTGCGGGGCCAGGGTGGCGGTGTACCCGAGGTCGGAGACGGTGGCGAGGAGGTCGCGGATGCCCGTGGAGGCTTGGATGTGTTTCACGGTTGCCAGCCCGGTGAGGAGGTTGACGGCGACGGAGTGGACGCCCGGTTTGCTTTTGATTGCGTCCTCGACGGCTTTGACGCAGGATCCGCAGCTCATTCCGTCGATTGCTACTTTCGTCGTCACCACAGTCGCCTCCTCATCGCCGACACCGCCAAGAACAACCTCCACAATCCCATCATCGCTCTCCTTCTTCTCCTTCTTCTCCTTTACACCCACAACCGCAACATCAAGCACCTCAAACCCCAACCCCTCAATCTCCCTCTGCAACTCCGCGCTCTCAACCACACGTGGGTCGTGGGTGACGATAGCGCGCTGCGGGAGAAGGATGACGGAGACGGCGTGCACGCCGGGGATGGATTCGAGGGCGGCGGTGACGGACCCGACGCAGGAGGCGCAGGAGAGGCCGTGCAGAGCCATGTCGGTTTTGAGCAGGTGGGCTGAAGAGAGAGAGAGAGGGTGAGTTGTGGGATGGTTATAAGAAGGAGAGGTTTGGAGTACATACCTTGCTCATGACGAGGCACCGAGACAACGACTTTATCCAAATCGTCCGGAACAGCTGTTTGCTGTTCCGTCAACGGTGCTGGCATAACCTCCACCACGCCCTCGCTTATCTTCTCCCCACCCGCCTCCACACGGTAACAGCAGTCAGGGCATCGACACACGACGCATTTGCAACCCGTCTCGTCACCCACGCAGAACACCACTCCAGAGTCTCCTGCTCCCATATCGACCAACGGTGGTGAAACTATGGTGTGTTCGCGTTTCAATTGAATGTACGCTCTACGCAGTGTGCGTCTCACTCAATTCCAGTTGCTCAATTGCAGTCTACACTACACTATGATACAAACGTGGCGGAAGCATGCCAAAGCCTCCGCCTTATATAACCCTTCACGGCAGCCGCTAGCGGTGTTTTAGCCATGTTTGTTGCCCTTCTGTGGAGTCCTATTGCCCAGTGGTTGAGGGGTGAGGCCTTTTCCCGCACTTGGGGGTTGCGAGTGAGTGGAAATGCCGCACCACTCGCGAGAGCCATTTCCGCGCGCCTTGCTGACTAAGCACTACGCACACCCGTCCATTTCCACCACCAGAAAGCAACTCGCAAAAGAAGGTTGGCCTTCTGCAACCAACGTGCGTACCGCACTACTCTCTACTCATGGAATTCCTCAACTACTAAACGATCACAGCGACAGCATTAATAACATAGATTCAGCCATCATTCAAAGCACAACCGTTCAAAAAAGGCAAGAGGAACATTCAATCGACACGCTACAGCCCTTCCCCTAAAACTCCTCAGTTCCAGCCCTCGGTTCCCTCCCCTCATCAACTTCCATATCCTCATACATCCTCCCCTCTCCATGCTGCCCGCCCTCTCTTTCATCCCGCGACGGCATGTACCGCGACTGCTGGAACTGATACTTCTTCCAAGGCATCGCTTCGCTTCCTTCAGTTCCCATTGGCTCCCCTCCGCGGGCCGCGTAGTCAGATGACCCGCCGTTGGACGAGTCGGAGGAGTAGTGATGGACGAGGGAGTGAGGGTGGGCAGCTTCGCGATTATGTTGCGGTTCGTGTCGTTGTTCGTGGTTGTTATGATGTGATGACGAATGGTGATGGTTATTCGAATGCACCCGGGACCGCTCAGCCGATGCTTCAGGCCGTCTCTCATGCTGCCGTAACCGTTCTTCATCAAAACCCATCCCGAACCCCCGTGCATCTGCTTCCTCATCATCGAAATGGTCCTCAGTGTCCATATCGTCCGTTTCCGCGGGGGGGATGTTGTTTTCCCGATCGCTCGTTTCTGGTTTATGATGATTTTCCGGTGGGCTGCTGGGTAGCTCCAAGGGTGGGTTGGGAATGGTGGTCATAGCTGAGGTTGTCGTATGGGTGTGGTTGGGTTCCGACCCCCCGGTGGGGACCGGTGCGGCATCGTCGTGCAGCTCAGATTTGTGGTCAGAGTCGGTCGGTAGCAGCGGTGGTGCCGTGCCGCTGTATTCCTCCATTTCGCGGTCATAGCGTTTTACTTCTGTTAGGAACCTTGCGCGCCAATCTATCATGAATAAGAGAGGGGAGAGAGTGGATCAGAACCATGACCCACCATCTTTTCCACTCAGAATAATCTGGTACATACCCGACCGCTCACGCTCATTCAAACTCTTCCACCTCGCCCCCAAAGCCTTCGTCAAATTCGACAACCCCTTCTCCTCAATCTCCGCCCCCTTCATCTCATTCCGTTCCTTCCTCAACCCCTCACGAGTCTCATCGCAGAAGAACATGAAAGCGTTGGTAGGGCGTTTAGGCGCGTTGGGGTCATATGGTTTCTTGATGCGCTCTTTTTTCGGTTTTTTGGTGGGGGGTTGGTGCTGCTCGGCGCCGGCTTCGTGGGCGTCGCGTTTGCGGCCGCGTTTCGAGGCGCGGCCCCTGGGTGGGGGCGAAGTCGGGCGGAAGGGGGGTGGGGATCGGTGCCGGCCTATGTCTGACGCCTAATGGGAGAGAACGTTAAGAAATTAGCACAGGCTCAAGATGAATATGCGATCGTCCGGGCAAGTAGCGCCTTACCTCCGTATCGGTATGTCCGTCAGTGTGATTCTCAACGGAAACTTCTTGTAGGCGATCATAGAGCAGGCTGCCGCAGTAACATAGTTGAGTGAGGAGGATGTTCCCTGCATGACCAAATGGGCACCCGACGACGTACCCTTTCTCGAATTTCAGTCTATGTAACCGTTTTTTCGCAACCTCATACTCCTCCCGTATCCGATCGGTATCCTGTACAATCCATCATCGTAAGCCTTGCATCCCATATCCTCCTCAAGTTTGCAAACAAAGCCGAAAGAATATCTTACCTCCTCGATTTCACTAATCTTCCTCTTCAGCTCTTTATACTTCTTCCTTGACTTCATATCATTATAGGTCGCATTTTTATCCCCCGACTTCGATTTCGATTTCCGGCTCTGCGACCGCCAGCTTTCCCGGTCGTCCTCGTCGTCATCAGAGTAGTGGCGGATGGGTGAACTCCGGGCAGAGTCCTGCGAGTGCGTATAGATACTCAATAAGTGCATGGCCGGCTAAAATGCTAATGAGTGAATGTGAGCATACCCTGATATCATGCTCCCAGTCGCGCGACCCGCCGATATCATCAGAAGGCAGGCCTTTCGACGCGACTTTTTTCCGCGAGCTTTTGCTTTCTGAGGGGTGTGATCGACTGCTGTATGCTGGGTTCAGTTTCGAGTACGTTGGTGGGGAGGCGTTGGGGGTTTCGGCGACCGGGAGGGGTTTGCCTCTGTTGTGTGGTTTGCTGGAGGGGAGAATGATGTCAATATCGGCTGGCGAGAAGGAACGGGCGGGAAGGAATTGGGTTTACCTTCCGGATCGCGTGAAGTTGGTGCAAAGCTTGCAGGGACAGTTCTTGTGATCATGAGTGTCGTCTGTGACGAGCCACTCGAGATGTGGCGTAAACTCGTTGGTCGATCGGTATTTTGAACCACTGGAGTTGAAGGAGTCCGTTAGCTTCTTGTAATCAAACCATCTACCATCAACCATCAACGAACTATCAACCGCGATGCGCGAGGGATAAAAACGACCGTTCGCTGTCGCTCAACGTTGAGGACAGGGGCTCGCTTCCCTCGCTTAAAAGCCGCGACGGCTCGCTGTCGCTCACAACTTCGCTCGCTGGAATTGCGCGTCCGACGCGGAACTCGCTCCGCTCGCCAACCTACCTGGGATGTCCAAAAATGAAAGCGTCCGCCCTAAATCTACTCTCTCCCTTTGGCGTTTTCGCCTGCTTCCCATCACCGTCACCCTGCTCAAGCTTTGTCAGAACAGCATCGCTCTCCGGATCCTCCCCGGCTCCCTCCTTCGGCCCCAACATCGGCGACTCGCCGCCACCAGGCGTGCCGACTCCCGGAGTCTCACCGCCACCCAACCCCTCGGGCTTCTTGCTCTCAAACATCTTATAGTTCTTCGGAAACTCCAACAAGCCTGAATTCCCACGGAAGACAATCGACTCGCCGGCCCTCAACAGTTCTGGCTGAATTCCTGGGATTTTCGTTGGATTGCGGATGTAGATGTCCTTCAAGGATGCGCTGAGACGGTCGAGGTACTTTCGTACGCGAGATGGGTGGCATTCTACATAGCCTCCGGCGGGCGCTCGGGCTGCTTTGTAGACTGTGGGATAGTATTGTGTGACGCCGTCCGAGTATCTCGGCGTGGGAACATCGGAAAGGACGAGGGGCATTTTTGAGGTCGACTGCCGTGTTTGGTCCAGGTTTTCAACGGACAACAAGGATTCAGCGGAAGGAAGAAAAAAACAGTAGTTTCCTTCTCAGTGTCGCCTGCGCAAGTGGTGGATGGAGGAACAAATAGCGCTAATCCTGTGTGGGTAGTGGCTACGGATATGGGGCTTCAGAGCCTTGCAGGTGACGATGTACAGTACAGTCCGCCTCCTTCTCTACGGTAGTTCACCCACTGTCACAGGTTGTGGGGGGGGGGGGGGGAGGGGGAGGGTGTCTAATGTTCCGGGGCGGTTCCCGTTTATAAATAAATAGGCAGGAGGCGCTGCGTCAACTGTGTGTGGGTGGGTGGCTGGCTGTTCGTCTCATATCGTCATATGGGGGAGGGTTTCCTCTTTCTTTTCCCGTGCTCGGCGGCGGCGTGTGTTGAGCTGGCTGGCCACTTGAAAGCAACCTGCACGAAGAAGCAAGCAAGTGCGATGAAATCAGAGGGAGACGCGCAGACAGACGCGCAGTCCGCACAAGGGGACATGTCCGCTTTTCGTAACCTGCCCAACAGCGTGGTGACAGTCAGACAACTACAGTATGTCCCCACGCAACTACATCCGTCTAAGTCCAGGAGAAGAAGCTCGCCTCAAGCACGACGAAAACAGGAAACAAAAACTCGCCCGCTTGCAGCAGGTACAACTCAAAGTGCTTGCAGCATTGTCTATTCTTGTCCAATTGCTCACACTTCATCTCAGGTCCGAGAGCAGGAACGAATATTGGCATCCGAGCGTCGGAAACTATACCAAACCGTCGCTGAATCGGAGCTTGGGCATGTGCTCAACCTATTAGAGGTGGGTTGGCCATTCGCTGTGTGAAAACGACCCTCTTGCTGATCTTCAACGTGTTTCAGAAAGATTGGACAGCCAGCAGGCGGCAGAAGATAAATCAACTCAAGAATGTACAGGATAAACACAAACAGCTGCTGGGGCAGGCCCACAGGACGGCTGAGCAGGTTGCTGCAGATGAGGTAGGCAGTCCCATATTGGTCCACTCACGTCCATCATTGTGGCTAAACGTTGGGTATTCACAGAAAGCACACAACGAAAGTCTCTACTCCACAACATTAGATCGAATCAAGTTAGATGTGCTCAGAGGCCAAGAAGCATTGGCTGAGGTTTGCTCTCGTTGCCCCATGTTCAACTATCACAACATGCAGGCATACTCATCCAAACCTCTTTCAACCCCCAGGCCCTCCTAGAAACAGCCACCCGCCGCGCCCATACAGAAGTAAAACGCCTCCTCCTCGAACGAACCCGCGAAAAAGAGAACCTCCGCGCCCTCTACATCGCCGAATCCCAGCGAGAAAAAGCAGCCAACACCGCACCCGATTTCGAGATTCCCTCTGCACCATTGGCTCGACCGCTGCAACGGCGGTATGACCATTTTGAGAGTACCGCGAATCATAGGCATAATCCAGTTGTGAGATGTGATACAAATGTGAAGACGAGTGATGCATGGGATGAGGCTGTTGGGGCAAGTGAGGAGAAGACGAAGGCCAATGCGGCCCGGCGGGAACGGCTGGATTACCTGCTTGCAAAGACTCAGCAGCGATCCGAGAGGGCTGGACATGATGTTTATATGGGGAAGGTATGCACGCCAATGATCAATGTTCTCTGGTATTTGCCAACACCACACTAACATTCCAATCACATATTTACAGCAACGGGGTATACTCTACAAAGCACTGGATGACCTGTATGTTGAGGATCGTCAGAGAAAGATCCAGATTGTGTCACAGGACGCCTCACGCCCGACGCGGATGAACTCAGATGTGCTGGCACGGCGGTTTGAGCAGCTGTTTGATCTTGAGCAGGCTGCAGCATCGACGACGGGAGGGTGAAGCTTGTGGTCCTGGGGAGGGGCACAATGACGGCGCTCTCGCCGGTGTATGTACATATCTATATCGCGGAAATCGATGTAATGGATGTCATAGATGTACATGAAATGCCGGTCAAGTCACTTATAATAAGACGAACTTCTTTGGTACATGCGATGGGTTGTTTAACCCTGGGGGAAGCGGCTATGAATCTATGTGCCGAGACCATATCAGCCTCTTGTGTTTGGCTCCACAGTTGAAGTTGGACGGACGGGGAGGGATCGAGTGCAAGCACGCGTTGGGTTCTGTCGATGTTGAGACGGTCCAAGATGTGCAAGATGTCGTCGCTCCCTTCCTCGCTCGACGCAAAAGAATCTCCGTCTCTGTCACAACGGGGTGGACGAGGGGAAAAGGAAGTCGTCGCTTAGCGGAGGGTCAGACAAGTCCCCACTGCGAACAGGTTAACCTTATCCTTACTTCATCCGGAGATTCCGGCACCCCTTTTTTTGAGCTCGCCAAAAGTTTAGAGAACAAGATGTAATCATCGCTGTATTCCGTAGGGTAGTCATCATGCTGTCCCAAATCCCCTCTGTACCACCCCAACCAATCACCATAACAGCCTCCCAAATCTTCTGGGACCTTCTCGATCGAACAACCGGCATACGGCCCGGCGCGCACCCGCCATCTTCGGACGAAGACACGAACGACACCGGACCTGACGATGACCATCTCATCATAAGCCCCGTGCAGCCATGGCCCAAAACAGCGGGAAATCTCGGCGGGAGTTTGGCGAATGGGATGGGGGGACTTGCGCGCTCGGTTAGCGCGACGAGACTGAGGGTTAAGCTGCCGCCGCTGCCGATGAGGAGAGGCGAGGTGGAGTACCATAGTGATGCTGTGGTGGATGTTTGGGAGAGAGGTAGAGTGGGACTCCGTCCATCGATGTTTTGCATGTCGATATTTATGCTGACCGTCTCCAATGATGTGAATGGATCTTAGAACCAACGGCTTGGTCAAGCGACCTCACCTCCCTCAAACATCTAGCCGCCACAGTTACCGACCCGATCCTGGCGCCGCCGCAATCATCCAGACGCCGCAACAAAAGATCGACTCAAAAACCACGCACGTCGCTCACAAAAGACCAAATCCAATCCCATTTCCGCACTCTCTTTTTGCACGATTGCGAGATCAGCCAACTCGATGAGGAGTTTCGGAGCGGATTTAGGAATCTGGACGCGTTGAGCCTCACGGGGAATCGGATCGAGTGGGGGGGTGATGAGGCGGTGGGCGAGGGTGGTGCTGGCGACGGAGAGGGGCATGTTGAGAGAGCGAAAGGAGCGAAGGTTGGGAACGTTTTGAGAGGAGTGCCGCCTAGCATCACGATTCTGACGTTGAACGCCAATCTGTGAGTGATGTAAGCCATGGCTTGTGAGAATCGTGGATTCGTGCCAGGCATCAAACTGATACTTTTGTATCGCTTTCTGCGCGCAATCACATTCGCAGAATAAAGTCCCCCCCGCCAATCAGCCATCTCCGACACCTTGTCCACCTTGGCTTAAGCCACAACACCATCCATCATCTACACGTCCCGAACCCGAAACGAGCAGGCAGTCGGAACGACCTAGCATCTCAGTCCGACGAGCGGCAGACAATCCCCTGGTCAGCGCCGCCCACCCTCATATCCTTAGACTTGAGTTGGAACAGGATATCGGATCTCCGCAGCGCACTGGATGTGCTGAAACGGTGGAATAAGCTCAGGAGCTTGGTGATGATGGGCAACCCGGTCTATCTGTTGCCGTCCTACAAACCGCTGACGCTGTCGAGTCTGCCGACCCTCATTTCGCTCGATGACAATCCCGTCGCGAAGCAAAAGCCATCGCAGCAGGCTGCATCGGCGCCGCCTATATCGCGGCTCGACCTCGCTGTCCATCAACTCATCGACCCGCCACTCCCGCCTAATGCTGCAGGAAGTAGCCTGGACAAATCTGCCGCTATCGCAAGTTTCCGGTCAAGCGGCCCATCAATGTCGACCATCCCCATACCCACATTCGTGATCGACCCAGCCAACCCCCCACCCCCCGACGAGTACACGTACGCAGTACGCATAACGCTCTCCGAATCACAGAAACTATGGACCGGCAAAACAAACGAGGTTAACGCCGCCCCCGTCGTCGAAGGCGCGGACGGGGAAGGTGGTGGCGGGAAGGAGACGACTGCTGCTGCAAAGAAGAAAGAGGCGGCGAATACCAAGGAGGCGGCGAAAGAGGCGGCGAAGAAAAAGAAGGGGGGGAAGGGGGCTGAGGTTGTGACCACTGATGAGGAGACGGCTGCCGCGCCTGTTGTGAGGAGGGTGGATGTGGGATATGTTGGGGTGATGGAGAAACAGGCTGATTGGGGGCTCGCTAATGCCTTTATTGGTATGTGACCCATCTACCCATGGCAGACCTTATTGACGTTTGTGTTCCTGGTATCTAACGCACGCCGTTCATGTAGACGGCCTGGCACTGACGCTAACGCTCAGCCGACACACATTCATCCCGGCCAACCCACCGGACGCTCCACCCCCTGCGAGCGCAGCCAGCAGCCGTCCTACGAGCTCGCATAAACGCGGTGCAGCGGCGCCGGCGAAGGGCGCCAAGAAGCTGGGGAAAGGGAAAACTTCGAATGCGAATTTGTTGAAGGAGCAGATGGGTATGTTGCGTGGGTCAGTCACGGCACTGGCGTCGGAGTGAGAGCTGACGTATTCAACTTCCAGAGCAATGGAAGAGGCTCCCAGCCGACTCCATTGATATTGGGTCAGTCACCATTCCGATGAAGCCGTTTTTGGAGGGAACCGTATGTGAAGCGACCATCGTTGTTGTGAAGTTTTCCAACCCTCTGGCAAGTGTTCTCATACATCTCTTTTTTCACTCCCTTACAGACCGCTGTAGACGCCGAATACACCTTTCAGCCCTTTCAAGCCGAACAGCCATCCAAAGACGCCGCTACACGTCCACCCGCACCACCATCGACCGCCGACGGCAAAACCAAACGAACTACTGACGACGCGGACAGTGGCAGTGCGAAACCCCTAAGCGTGGGGTCGGTGATTGTGTCGATACGATTGAATGCCGCGGCGGTGGAGAGCCCGCCTGTGCTCGTTCCGGGGAATATGGGCGCTCTGGGGGGGAATGGAGGGATGGGATATTCGGATGATGGGGTACAGGTGTAGATTATGGGACGCGGGTAGCGCTTTCATGCAATATAGGAAATTCTTCTGCCTGTAATATCTGTAATATTCCGGGATGTTGCCGATAGGTTGGATGCACATCAGGAATCGACTGTAACCGCTCTGTGGACTCCGAGGGCTTGTTCGACCGAACGAGTTGAAGATCTATTTACGAGCGGCGCCGTTGCAAAGACGGCGCCGCCGGACCAAACATTCTGCTTACGCCTCGATATCTCTATTGCAAGAAAAATGCTTATGTACAATCCCCTCTTCCCCCATCATCTCTTGATTCCCGTCTTCACCACGCCCGCCGCAGCTGCATTGCTAACACTCGTCAGCTCATAAGGCATCAAACAATGAAAGATCGCCATCCCGCCCCCAGTCAGGCTAGCCCCCGAACGTCCCACATTCAACGGCGGCAGTTTCCTCGGTCTGCTCCCGCGCTGCCGTTTTGCCGACTGTTTCCCCGCAGCAAACTGCGAGTTGGCGTACCAGGTCGAGTACGTCGGCGGGGGCACGGACGCCATATCGTACGACGAGGGCTGGGAGGTGAGTTCCGCGGGCTGGGTTGAGTTCGATAGGGCGAAACTGGAGGTTCGATTGGGGCGGAGGCCGCCGGACGCTGCGGTGCGGGCGTTGCGGCTGTCGGATTGGCTGGTGAACCCTTTGGCGGGACTGTGGCCGAGCGCGTCTTCAGCTTCCTCCTCGAAAATGTTCTCTTTCTCAGTTTCGCTGTTGTCGACTTCGAATTGGAGGATCTCGGGCGGCTTGGACACGGCGAACGTCGAGGGGTTGCTGACGTCCCAGGCTGCGATTTGACCGAATGTGCCGATGTAGCCGCCCGCGAGCTGCGATTGCCATGAGAATTTAGCACTCACATTGCCAGAGAGAGATCTCAATAATCTGCGAACATGTTGCTCCACTCACCGTCCACATCCTCACAGTCCTGTCCGTACTAGCACTAACCAGAGACCCACCATCCGTCATATCCAAACTCGTGACACTCCTCAGATGCGCCCTAAACACCTTCACCAAAGCCATCCGTTTATGCCGTTTGGCCATGCACGTATCCTTGACATCCCACACCGAGATGTAACCACCCGCGTCACCGGTGACTAGGACGGTGTTTTGGGAGTTTAAGCACATGGAGAAGACGCCCTCGTGCCGGCCCAGCGTGGCATCTTGTTCGTGGACGAGGAGGGTCTCGTGGGTGTTCCACCAGCGGACGATGCCGTCGCTGCCGGAGGAGATGAGGTTGGCGCGTGAGTCGGGGTCCTGGGCGCGGCGGTGGAGGAACAAGACTGGGGGAGGCAGAGTTGGAGTTAGCTCATCAATCTATCAGCCCAAGAACGCAAGCTCCAACCGACAAGGACCCACTTTTATCAACACTAACTCTCCGATCATCCGGATCATCCACCTTGACCCTCCCAACAATCGTCCCTGCCCCACCAACATTGACAAAGATGATCTCCCCATCGTAGCTTCCGGTAGCCAGCAAGTCCGGCGGCGAAAACGCCATGGTCAGCACATCATCCTTATGTGCCGAGGGCATCGTCACCGTCGGCTGGACTTTCAAGGATTCACTGTCGGCAGGGAAGAGTTGAATGAGCCGGTTCCAGCCGGTTGCGACCATGTATGGTGTGGATTTGATCTCTATGTACTGATCGCCGGCGTAGATTAGTTCCGAGGAAAGGGGGGGGCTGAACATCAGAGATAAGTGGTATTTACCAATATACTGGTGACTTCGGCATTGTCACCCTTCATAAGCTCCTGTATGAGCTGCCCGTTGTTGAAGTTCCACACTTTTATACTGCCGTCTGGTGAAAAGGATGCTTAGCCGCATGGTAAGAACGTAGTCTCCTTTCAAGCATACCTCTTCCGCCAGTGATAAGCCTCCGACAAGCGTTGTCAAACGTCATCGCCGTAATCTCCGCCTTCCCATGCAAATGCGCAAAGCGAAAGGTTTTCTGCCCCGTCGTCGCATCCCAAACATTTACAACACTCGCATCGCACCCACTAACAACCTGTCCAAAGACCGGGTTCCACAGGGCAGTGCTAACCGGCGCCTCATGGCTCCTGACGTTGCCCCTCTGCTGGACTTTATCCACCAACCCATAAACTACAACGACGTTGCTCGCGGCGATCAATTTGCCACCGTTGAACGTGTCGAAGAAAATTGATGTCAGCGTCATGTCCGGGCGGGCTTCTTTGAATTCGGGGACGATGGATTGCAGGCAGGATTGTTTTCGGATGTCCCAGATTTTGATAGTTCGGTCGAAGGAGAGGGATATCACCTGGCCCGAGAAGGGGTTGACCGTGATTGACATAATGGGGGAAAGATGGCCACCGAACGAGGCGGTTGGACGATTCAAACGGTGCGGATTCCATATCCTGAGTAGGCGATCTGTTGCATGGTGATGAGTCAACCCTTGTTCAGATATCGTATTGCTGTAGTTACATCCTCATACCTGTGCCACCGGTAACGAGCGCCAATGGAAATTTACTATATGCGAACGTATTGACCCCCTTCCTAACGGCCGCCGCACTGACACGCCACTTCTTCGTCCCCGTCTGCATGGCGGTAACAATACTCTCCCTCGGGTTCGAGCTGCAGCTGACAATCGTCTTCAGATCGTTGAGGTACTCGATCTGCAACGTCCAGTCTCTATGCGCTTTTCGCTTCCACAGCGTCGTGCCGGGCAATTTGCAGGCTGCGTCGATCAGCATTGTAGGTGTTTCCGTGGTGGGTGGCGGATTTGGCGGGAAGAAGACTGAGTTGGAGAAGGACAGGACGCAGCATTGTCCGGAATCTGTGCCGTAAAGAAGCATGGTGGAATCTGAGTCGGGGTCTGCTGCGTCGAAGTAGACTGAGAGGCTTAGAGCGACCGTATCATGAAGGTCTAAACGAAGCTGGGCCTCCATGGACGTCAGGTCTAGAGACGATAGTGTGAGATGGTCAAACCCATAATGAAGCTGAAAACGACTCCTTATTTTCGTCGTACCATAGAAGGTGATAGCATGGTCGTCGCTCGACATTGCAAGCTTATTGGTGTTGGCCAAGAACACGCAGTCATGGATCCACGGTGATTGCCGTTTCGAGAAGTCTCCGGAAGCATGATGGCTTGGTCTAAGTTGTAGCGCGACAGCCATCACTACCCTTGCCCAACCATCCACCTCACAGACGGGAAAAAGAAATCTCTGCCCACCCACCCAACGGTCGAAATCGATCTCTGGATCTTCCACCGGTCGCTCCAAAAGCACACGATCCCGTCCCTCCCACACGTCAAATACTTGCTCACTTTCTCCAGCCACCGAATGCGAATGACCACATCCTTATGCGGTGAGTTGAACAACATCCTCGGATGTTGATCGTTGAACAGCTGTGTTTCGGCCTGCTCGCGCATCTGCGATTGCCCTTCGGCGCGGAGGAGCATGAATGTGCTGAACTCGTCCCAGTCGACGGCTTCGTCCATGTTTGCGTCGACTTGGCAGAAGAGAAGACCCATTTGATTGTCCGTCAGGCCGTCGCCCAGGACGCTGGCGAAGGCTTGTTTGAACTCGGGCAGTTTCAATTTGCCATCGCCGTTCACTGATGCTGTCTGCGGTAAAGTAAGGTGTCGAGTAAGCGACCCCGATCTTGCGCTCTCCATTCACTCCCCAATGGGCCCTCAATCGATATGCCACATGCGCCAATCCTGAACCCGCGCATTACTTCTCCGCCCCCATCAAGTCAATTTCACACCATACCATACCTTAAAAAGACTCATCAACTCCCTAAAATCCGCCAAATTCATCTCCTTCTCACTCCTATAACTTGCATTATCCTTCCTCGTATTCGTGCGTTCACTCGTCAACGCTTCCGGCTTAGTCGTCCGCAGCGCAATCTCCCCAGCTTTGGCCTTCTCCAATACATGCTCGGCTTCCCTATAGAAGCTCCTCAGCTCTTTCTTTTGGTCCTTTGGTGGTGGTTTGGAGAAAGGGATGGCGCGCAGGGCCGTGTCGCCTGGTCGGAGTCCTGGGATGTGTGGGAGTGACATTTTGCCTCCGATGGTGGCCTGCAATTGTGCGGGTCGGTTTTCGAGGATGTACCGTCATCTGTGGCGTTCATCTTTTTGGCCATGCCGTCAAGGGGAAGTGCGTTCGTTCCGGAAGAGCTTTGTTCTAGTTAAGCCTATCGAAGATTGACTTCTTCTCTCGCGATAAGTTGGGAGGGGGGGCGCCATGGAGAATCAGGTTCCTCTGCCTGGTGGAAACGCGTGCCCGAAAACTCAGATCACCGTCACCCTCGTCACCACCTTTGCCGGTCCTGTTTGCCGTCCCGAAAGTGAGAACCTCACACGCTGGAGGAAAGGAGGAACTTCGCCTGCCCTTCCGTGGCATCAGTGTCTGTCTTTTTGCGATGGCCAGCAACGCCGCAATACAACCCAGGCTCCAACGCCCAACTAAGACCTTTCGGCATGCTGGCGCTCGATATGTGACCAACGCCCCCATGACACGAGGCAGCCCTCCGTTCGAGTATCGGATGAGCATGCCAGCGTCCTGTTGGAGAGGGTATTACAGCTTTCTGCTGCCGCTTTGAGATGCCCCAGAGACGTGCATAAAACCTCCGGGAAGTGATGCGACGGGATGACAGAGCCATGACCTTGTTCTGAACGGCCTTGTGGGGCACGGCGTTGCAAGTTCGTGCGAAAGGCCTCACCCGTGGACGACGGTCACTCCTTTTTGCTGCCCGCGGCACTGCTGACCTCTGCGATGGGGATGCGGCGGTCGTCCTGGAAGCGGCCATGGTGTCCGCTACGCATTAGGATCTCTTCCTTCCATGCGTGGCGGAAGCACGGGTTCGCTGACATTCACCAGCATCAGTTCCGGAAAGTGCGTCACGAAAAAACAAAAACAAAACTAGAGCGTCGTAGGATGAAGCGATCAAGTTCTCCACCGCGGTTATGGATTGCCGAGGTTCGTAAGGGCAATTGGATCCCGGTAACATCTAGGGACTGTTATGGTTGTCCTTCCCGGCCCGGCCATCTGCTTACGGCGTCCCGGACGAGCGTCTCAGTGTTCCAGCCGGCGGCTGATGAGGAGGTGGCAGGTAACCTTCAGACGAGACTAGCCAGCAGGAATTAGACTCTACACCCCAATAACTCCGGTTGAGGTACCGTTCTTCAGACATGTTGCCCGGCACAGCGAGTTGGGACAGTCGCCAATCAAGATGTGGTCGCTGAGAGTTCTGAAAGCATGTCAAGGTCCGCAACGCAGGCCCGGCATCTCCCAGACCTCACCATCTCGATTTCGTGGTCTTTCCCTGACTTCAATCAATACCGCAAGTTCATTTGCCAAGCGCGCCTTTGGAGGACTAAAAGATGATGTTTTACGAAATTTCTAGATATACAGATGAAATGGTAGTAGGGAAAAGAGATATGTGTTAAGTACACTTGGAGACAGTATATGCTATATATTATGCACAGTTCTCACGCCATGGCGAGAGCGGCCAAGGGCAGGGCGAGAGCGGCAAGGGCGGGGAGGTTGGCAGAGCCAGAGTTCTTGGCGGCCGTTCCAGTGGCGGCGGCACCAGCAGCGCTGGTGGCGCTGGACACTGCTCCACCGACAGCGGAAGTGATGGACGCGATGGCGGAGCTGGCGGAGGCGGTGATGGAAGCGACAGCGGAAGAAGTTCCAGCAGTTGGGGTGGTGCCCGCTACCGTGCCAGTCTGAGTGGTGTTGGAACCAGCCGGGGTGGTAGGGGTAGTGCTGTTGCCACCGTTTCCACCGGTAAGCACGAAGGGTTCAGAGTAGACGGTGACGGTTCCAGAGGTGATCGCGAAAGTGAATCTAGGACCGGGGGCAATGTTGGGGATGGTGATCTTTCCCTTTAGGGCGGAGAAGGTGCTGGAGAGGACGGGGGGCTCGATGGCGGTACCCGTGTTGGGGCCGTTGCGCTGGTCCTGAGGAGAGGGGGGGGGGGGGGGGTGAGCATATTTGATTTGGAAAGAAAACAACACACGCTCGTTTAACGTAGCAGGAACTCTGAACGTACCACGAGCTTGAGAGTGAAAGGAGCGTCCGTGTTGCCAGGGAAAGGCTCGGGTCGGTTGGGGTCGTAGGTCCAGTCGACGTCGTAAGTCTGACCGACAGCGTAGGTAGCACCAGCAACGTTGGAGAAGTTGATGGCTGAGAGGGACAGAGTAAGGTCGACGGTAAGTTTCGAGGTCCGGATCACCGACTAGAATCTCGTAGCGGGAACATTTTCCCACGCTCCCAGTGTGATGGTGAATTCAGCTATGACGACGTACCGTTTGCAGAGACGGAGGCCACGAGGGCGAAGAGAGCGAGGGCCTTGGTGAACATAGCTGGTGGTTGTGTTGGGGAAGGTTACGGGATGAGAAGTGTGTTGACGTTTGAGTTGAGCGTAAAGTTTGAAATGAGGAAGGGCGGCTGGGGTCCAGTTCTTTTTATGCTGAGCGGCCGAGGGAAAGCGGGCGGGGCCGCAAGACTTCTTCGGTTGTTGCCCATTAGCCAAGACCTTTCCCCCTTTCCTTTTGGTTGAAAAGTGGCTGTTAGTAAGTTGGTGCCCCCCCGACGCGGATGGATTGGCTGATCAACTCGTAATGCCAATTTTCCCCGCTAATATTGGTGACCTCATGGATCAATTTGCACACCGATAGCGGTCCAAACCGAAAGCCCCTAGCGCTCCCCCTTCCATATCGAACACGAACGAAAACGTAAGCAGGACGCGTCAGAGACACAGAAGGGATGTTGAATAAATGAGTCACCTGATCACTCCTTTTCCGACCGCTGCCCAATCCGGTGCCCATCGAGCGGCCAATAAATAGTACGGAGTTCGCCCCATCTCCGTCCGGTTCGACAATCTCCGTTCAGACTCCGCAAAACCAAGGATTCGAAATGGCAGAAACAGCTTCCGTCCAGGTTGCGCGCCACGCCAACTGGAACAACTTCCTCCTGGGTGCCGTCGCCCAGTTTACGGCGCTTTCCGTCGTGCGCCGCGGCGCGAGCTTAGTGCTGCCTTCCACTGAGCACTTTGCCGTTACATCGCCCTCCGTCTTCACCTTCGGATACTCCTCAGCGAGCGTCTACAGCGCCTTGGACCCTCTTGGCGGCGTTTCACGTGTTCTCCTTATCACCTTGGCCCTTGTGAACTTTGGGTAAGGCGGACTTCAACGCTGCGGCCGGATCTTGAGACGCTGGGATCTAACTCCATCTTTTCTTTCCCATGAATGGAAACAGTTTGATCGCCGCAAATGCCTTCAATCTCTCAGTCCTCATTACTCTTGGTCTGAAGACCGTCGGCTTGTCGAAGCAGCCCGTTTCGCAGCTGAATCTGCTGCCCCTCGCCGCCGCCGCCCTGCACGCGATAGAGAATGTTCTCTTCCTCCTCGTGGTCAGCATACCCGCCCACAGTACCTTCCTAGCTGGCCTAGCTGGTACTTTCGGTCTCTTCAAGGACATAATTGGACTCGGCGCCGTCGCCGTCGTTGCTGCTACTCTTCCCGTCATGGTGTTTGAGTGGGTCAAGGCGATTGGAAACGACGGCAGGCAACGGGTGGAGATTAAGAGTCAGTAGATTTCAAACATTAGTCCTTTATGTATTTCTAGAGGATGTTGAAGAGGTGTCAGCAGAGAGTCTATTGACTCAGGGAGCTGCCCTTTCTTCTTTTTGGGCAAATATCACTTGCTAAATTATCCGCTCAGAGTTTTGAAATGTGTGATGAATTGACCGAGGCCGCCGAGAATGGCAAGGGACGAAATCAGGCTGGGAATTTACGTATCCGTATACATAGCTAGGGACCGACTGACGGGTTATTCCATGGCCTAGGATCAGTTGTATTCTGTTGTGCGGACTTTCGAGCCCAAAAAAACCGATTATCCATTCAACATGCGTCAGTCCAACATAGTTGCATGTCCAAAACTGGTCCTATGAGTACCTAATACTGTTCTATGACTAGAAAGTCGCAGCGGGGGGTATCAATCACAGATGCAACCGAGCGACCAAAAGGTCCTACCTCTACTCCGGGAGGTGCTAAAAAATTGCAAATTTCGCCACAATAATCGCAGGCACCAGCATAACCAGCGCCGGCGATGCAGCCAGGGCCATCTTCGCATAGGTAACAGCCGTGGGGGTATCATCGACATATGTTTGCTGCGCATTCTTCCAATACGCGGCAAACGGCGACGTATCCGTGACCGTCCCCTCCCCCGTGGTCGTCGAGTCCAGCACAGTCAGGTTAGTCTTCAGACCCACCCCTCGCGCGGCGTCGGCGAACCCGGTGCGGTTTGTTCCCCAGTCGAAGACGGTGTAGAATTTTCTCAGGAACCCGTTGCCGAGAATCGCCGAGACGGGTGGCATCTCCGGGAAAAATTGGGTTTTGATATCATCGTTGCCGATGAATACGCTTTGAAGCATGTTTCCGTAGTTTTGCGAGTTGATTAGGTAGTCGTTTGGGCCGATGGTCAGGTGGACGGGCTGGCCGCCGCTGCCGACGAAGGAGAGGGTAATGTCCCCGCATTGTGATAGCGATGACTTGTCCACGAAATAGTAGGTGCTTCCGTCCCTTTGGTTGACTATCCGCTGCGCATGCGGTAGGTATTGGTGCAGGTCGTCGGCGAGATCGATGGGTAGAATCCCGTATGATGTCCCCTACATAAGTAGCAAGCAGATGGTCAGATATACGCCACCCCCTGATACGTCTTTATCCAGAAAACAGGCAGAGAATTCCTACCGTGTCAAACACCGAGAGGAATTTCTCCGGCCACGCGGCGGCATATGTGCTCGTCGAGTTCTTATAATTGGCACCGATAGTCAACCCTTGAAACCACATATTCGGCAGCCCCCCCGATCCATCCCGCGCAAGCCCAAAGGTAGGAATCCACTGCAGCGCTCCAGAAAACCGATTGGTGTCCACTCCGCCCATCGTGATGGCGCCTTTTGTGCTTTGCGCATCGATGTAGTAACCCATAGATGGACTGCTGATCCCTTTTGACCACACCAGGGATTGGAAGAAGGTGGTTGGATATCCCTGTTGAGGGTAGCTGATGGGATTCCCAGGCACGGATGAGTAGTGAGTCTTCCTGGTGAGCAAAACCACAAACTTGCACAGCATTAGGCACCGTGCATACCTGCATCCCATAATACCTTGCAGTCCGCTGGTATCACTTGTAGCTGTCACCTCCATGAATTTGAGGTTGGAAACGGAAAGACCTGCGATGGTCACTTTATCCTTCGCATACGTCCCATTGGTCTGGGTGCCATCAGCATACGACGCCGTGGGTGCCTTGACGTTTAGATCCGTATACGTGGAAGACCTTACACCGTTGAATTTGGGTATGGACGAACTGCACCCTGTGCATTTTGTGGATCGCACCCATAGCTGGTATGACCCGGTATCAAACTGATAGCATCTGATTGCGTCAGAAAGCCTTCCCTTCGTTGGACCCGAACCATCTTCGCTTCCACACGCTCACCAGCAATGAGAAATTCTGTGCAGTTGACGGACTCGAGCTCGTCCCGAAGGTCACAGTCCCGTAATACGAGAATATCGGATCCAATCCCCCTGAGATGTCCTCGCTAATCATTTGCCGTCTCTGAAGGTAATCGTGGTCCAACGGGTGGGGGAAGGTGAGGTTTTTGAGATTCCGGTGATACCGTGGTAATATTGGGTTGTCCAAGGGTATACTACGGAGGCCGATGAAAAGGTCGTTAGGAGATGGGTGTTGAGCCGCATATGGACGCGTACAACTTACTTGAACGGGACCGCATTAGCCGGCGGCACGGACCCCGCTCCTACAACTGCCGCTGCCCATAGACACACCGAGGATATCAGGAGGACGAAGGACCGCGGTATTGTCATGTTTGGCGATGTCTTTCAGATTGTCTCCAGCACAGCGTGGGAATGTGGTTACCGCGCCGAGATTTTGTACTTGGCACTTCACTTCGAAGACTATCCATCTTAGCGAGTGTTGAGGCTGATAGTCCCAGGTGGTAGTTGGCAGTGCCTTGAAAGGGTGCTTTGAACGGCTCATATGCGCCTTTGCGCCTAGAAGCCTTGTTTGGCTTGGCGAACAAGGTGTTTGTTCAAGGTTCACCCGAAAATAGTAAGTTCTCCATCGAAATCTAGGTGCGCAGAACGGTAGGTCGGTGGCCAAGGCTCGCGTTTACGTTCCAAGCTATCCACTGCATCTTACCTGAAGCACACAGGAGACGAAGGATAGGAGGAGACACACCCATCTCTAGATCAGGTCGGTATGTCTACGGGCTCGCCGGAACTGAGACCGGTGAGCGGGACGTCGAGACGCGTGAGGTCACCACACTCACGGACGGAGTTCTGACAGCTCCGCCGTGCGCTGGACAGTCTTTAACCAACAAGAAAGGCAGCCACCCCTACTGTACGAGGCTTGGCCGAGTTGGCACAACGCGCTCGTGTTGCTGATATTGCTGGCAACAGCAGCTCCAAACGCCCTTGCCAGACCCCCTTGCCCGCCTACCGAATCTTCCTCGACCACTGACAGCGGCACGCCTAAAGGAACCGCAACATTAAGATTCTGGCCGTACGACCGGTCGCAGGCTGATTATATGCAGATAGCCACTACCGGATCTCTCTTCTTCGTCGTACCGCGCGGAAATCATTGTTGATGGGGAGTCTATTGCTAGCTTCGCCGGTGGCTTTTGTACCGTATCGCCCATCGTAACCGTCCCACCGTTAAGCTTATGACCATCAACTTCACCTGTCAGAACTTTTTCAAGAACTGCCGTTTCAATATGTGGGCAAATATTTGGCCTGTCGTATACCGCCCATACAGATTCGACAATTGCCAGAGGTGCGAGTTTCGGACCCAGCAAAGGCTCGATGGGGTGGCTTTTTGCATCAGTAGCGTAGGCTACCCGTACTATGGCCCGTACTGCCATGAATGCCAACCGTGGTGGGTAACCAGGCCCGCTACACCATCACCTGACGTACCCCGCCTAAGCCTGCCACCCAGCGTCTCGCCGTCGAAGTTCTCGGACGTGTGAGGTCACCGCTGTCCATAGAGCGACCGGACAGTGGACAGCTCGTTTCGCACGAATGAGATGTAAGCCTCCTTTCCCAAAATTGACTTTTCATTCATGTATATGCATCAGTTATGCATTGCCATGACCGGTATGCAATTTGTTGTCCGTCACTCCACCACTAAAAGTCCAAAGCACTCGGTTTTTTGGACCGAGCTTGCTACCGCGCAGAGGTACGATTTCGCTCGCTTTCCTCTTCCATCAACATCTTGGCCTTGATCTTCTCTTCGTTCACTTGTACCTTTGATGCGAGAGATGAAAGGGTTAATATGTCACTGAAGATGAGAAGTTCCAGTTGGCCTATTTCAGTCGTCCGCCTTACATTTTGTGAATATTTGACAAACTTGCGGTTGGTTTCCCGCCTCCTCACTGCTTTCAGGTACTTTTCTCGAAAGTACAGCACCGTGTCTACGTGGGTTTTGTACTTGACGGCTAGTTCCAATGCCCTGGAGAAGTTTTGCGTACATCAGTTTCTGCGTATGCCTTCATCCCAGACGGTAAGGCCTCACCTCTCCCAATCGAATAATGCAATCCACATCTTGATAGCTCGGTACGTCATGTTCGCCGAGAGCAATATATTCTCCGCTTCCGTCGGCCGCCTCCTCAGCAACGCCAGCTCAGCCGCCCTCCCTTCCGCGGTCGGAATGTCGCGTATGTACACAATATACCGCACTTTGGAAACCTCGTCAATCGCAGCATAGGCCACTTCCGCGGTGTTCAAATCCTGTCCATTCACCGCCATCGCGGCAAGACAACTCCAAAGCTCCTTCGTGTTTGCATATCGACACAACCGCAGCGCCTCCTCCCACTGCTTCTTGCGAACATGCTCCTGCAGCACCGCGGGTAACGGCGTGATGTTGCTCACAGTGACCAACGTCCCGTCCGCGCGTCGCAGGGTACACTGCGTCCCATGAAAGCTGACAATCTGCGCATCCTTCCCGAACGCGCTTCCATCCTTCTCAAACTTGGTAAGCGGGGCGATATCCTCGTCGACAAACACGACGTTGGGGTAGAACCACACGACGAATTTGTAGTCCATCATGGCGACAAGAAGGTCTGCTTCGGAGTTCCAGGCGAAACTTTCGATCATTGTCCCGAGCTTCTTGAAGTCGGCGCGAACGACGGTTGTGATGAACATGTCGCGGTTTCTGTCGACGAGGACTAGTTGACGGGTTCCGGCGGATGAGGATTGGTTCAGGCCGATTTCGGCAATATCGACGTGGTGTTTGACGCTGCCTTGACCCAAGGGTCGACCGGAGTGGGTTTCGAATAGGAACACAGCTGGAAGGGATGCCACTGATTAGCTTCGTTTCGTAACACCCAACGGCGGACTTGCATGTAACCAACTCTTCTCATCGGCCTTATCACGAATCGCCAACACATCCGTAGATATGGAAAGAGTCTGCGGCGTCACGCATTCAGCTCGCAACCCAGGGTATTTTGGCTGACTGATCAGACGCCCTTCATATGAGAAAATCTGTATGCCAGTGACCGTATCAATCAATGCAAAGGATCTACAGACGGAGCGGGTTTGGCGTTAGAATGACCACACCCAGCATCACGACCCGCAAAGGGTTGGGTGCTTACTGAAGGCATTGCTGAAGGCAAGTCACTCGACCGCCACTTGACAAATCGATGATGGCCGGCGTGTTCCAGTTGCGCTCACTATAGATGTGGCATTGCGTCGATGTTGCCACAATCAAATGGCCGTAGCCTAACACTGCCTTTACAACCCGATCCCGGAATTCTACAGATTGAGGAGGTTGATAATAGTTCATCTGCATCTATCTCTTGTTTGACTACTTACCGAGGTTCTCAGAGGTCCCCTGTACAACGTCATGCACGAGCAGCCGGTGATCATCTAGGATTGTAGCTTCGTAGTTCTTCCATTCAAACCGCCTAAAAGAAGGCGTGCTCAGGGACATGTACTTGATTGCCTGCTTTGCGAGCCGACATCACTTACCGATTGATGACATGCCCAAATACTACCGCCCCCGAACCCCCAGCACAAGCCATCTGCGTGCCATCTGGCGTCCATGCAATGCCAAATATTGATCCGCTTTCTGGCTTTTCCATAGCATACGACCACTGGACGGAACCGAGATATCAGCACTCGCTCTCGTTGCCGGAAAAGTTTGCCCTCCGCGGCTTACCCCCAACTTGTCGCAGACACGTATCATATTATACGACCCAACTGCAAACATCTCGCCGCTGGGATTCCACGCGATCGATGTGATGGGATGGTCGTGGGCGCTGCTCGAGTATAGCTGCCGGCCAAACGCATCCCACACCTGATGAACCAATGTCAGATCAGCAGCTGCGCCTCCTGTCCTTTCACTAGCATCGACCAGTGTGTGCTTACCTTGTACTTCCGGTCTTCCCCCGCTGATAGGATAAGCCCGTTTACCAGGCTCCAGTCAACCTTCAATATGACACCTTCGTGGGCTTTCCACTGTTCCAACGTGAGAAACGGAACTGCCGAGTGCGAGAGCCTGGGCAACATATCTTACCTGCTGAGGCTTACTCCCAGCCTGAAGTGACTTGATGATCAGATTTCGTCCGTTGGTCAACAGGAGCTGGTCATTGTCGGGCGACCAGGCTACGGAGTATATCGGATAACTCGTTTGTATGATGGCGGATCGCAGCATGCCGCCTCTGGACCAGATCTTTGCATGGCCATCTTCACCGACTATATATTGCAAGCGGTTTTCGTAAGCTCGTCATCCCTCCCTCGTCCCCGCTATGGCTGCCACCTTCAACCTCTCACGGGCGACCTACTAACCTGTTACCAGCGCGGACCCCTCATAGTTCCATCGCAGTGATAATATAGCGCCGGTATGTGCTTCAACGACCTTTTCCACGCGTCCATTCTTTGAGCAAAAGTAGAATTTGCCTAGGAAGCCCACCGCTTTTGAGTTCCCATGCCTTCCAATGACGTCCCTTAGCGAAAGGCCAACCCACCATCTGTTCCAGCCAGGGCAAAGCTCTCCGCAGTCGTTTGGCCGCCCTTCCCTGGCGCTGCCGGAACCCAGTGTATCTCACTAGCGTGCACTTCCTGGCCCGACGTTTGCCCATCGAAGACGGCCAAACTCTGCTGACCGACAAAATCTCCATCTCCCGACCATCGCAACACCTGCCGATCGTCCCTAAACATCAAAATGTCATTCGGCTTATTCGACGATATTACAACGGGCATAGAGTCAGCATAGCATACCCTATTGAGAATAGCTCGTTGTTGCCTGTCCAATTGACTGATGTGACGATGTCGAAATCTAAATTCCCAACGAATAAGAGAAGAGCTTAGTGAGCGAGAGTACATGATGGCGTCCCGTTGCAACAAATAAAATCGACTCACGCCTGTTGGTCTGCTCTTGATGGATTTTTAACTTCATCGCGCCCGACGGTGTACGTTTGCCGCCCTCCTTTCTCCCAACTATAATCCTATTTCTCGGTGTCTTGCTTCGTAGGTCTGGCCAGTATCAGAGACTCTTGAATGAGCCGAGCCACAGCTGATGCTTGTCGGTCCGCCTCAGGCTCCGGGGACTTGCCAAAGATGACGGGGCCAAAAAGGCAAGCTACAGAATATAGGGAGGGCTTTCTTTCCAACCGGAAGTCACAAGCTTGGATACTAGACAGTGGATGAACCGGCGTTCCTGTATAGCTTCGTCAGGCGCTGCTCACTCCGGAAGCCACTTCCCAGCTGTGCGGATGGTGCAGAACCGAGAGCGCGAAAGCGCGTCGAAGGGAGAAGCTTACCTAACGCACAGAAACGCGGAACGCGTCCGTCAAGACGAAGGCACATCGTCTTGTTCAATGAACACTTCTCAGATTAACACACTTTGGGCTGGAACATTCTCCTCGTCCAGAGCATATGTTTAACTACCCACGCCCACCAGCTCAGCTGAGTCATCCTGGATATCAGCGCCACATGCTCACGTAATGCAACGCGACATGTCCGAAGATACTCGGCGCAGATTCGATCTCCGCTGCGTTCCTGCTTTTGCACAAGCTTGGGGTCGAATCTTTGTATTACCGGCAGCTAGCGCAGCCTCCCATCTCTATTTACATGCACGGAGAGGGTGGGTGGGTAAACGAATCTATGGCTTACGCTGAGCGGGATGGGAGCGAAGAGAGAAGAGGGAGAACGAGGAAGGAGCTATTTAGGGCCTTTTCCCTCATAAGGTGGCGCAGTCACGGCTTACGATCGATGCCCTTCACTGCATGAATGGAAACGATCTCCGCTGCGTTCCTGCTTTTGCACAAGCTTGGGGTCGAATCTTTGTATTACCGGCAGCTAGCGCAGCCTCCCATCTGTGCTGCCGGTCGTTCCTAGAAACTGAGGCCCCAAGCGGGTAGTAAGCGTGGCAACGGGGTAGCAGGTGGCAGCGGGTAGCGAGCGTGGCAACAGGGTAGCAGGTGGCAGGGTAGCAGGTGGCAGCGGGTAGTGAGCGTGGCAACAGGGTAGCAGGTGGCAGAGTGCGGCAAGCATTGTAGCGTGGCGAGCGTGGCCTGTGGCGATGAGGCACTTCTATTGATAAAAGGTGAGCATGGGTAGCGTGGCGGGCGAGCGTGGCATGGCAGTAGCAATGAGGAAAAAGCTCTGTTGATAAATATGATACAATCGCGCGGTAGCTACCCTAGTTCCCGTACACAGCAGCTGCGAATAATAGGGCGGGGTGAGCCCGGATATACCTCTCGAATGCATCGCTTGACCATCGGCCGAGTTGCTGAATTGTTTGGAATCTGAAGCCCGAGAAAGCAAGCTGCGTCGCTCCCCCAGCCCGAAAGCTACTCGCTCCCGTCCCAGGGCCACACACATGGTTCCAGATCGTCATGAACCACTGTGTCGTCGGTATTGTGCCATCCTCCAGGATCCAAAGGGGTTCCTCCGGTGCCGCTCGTTCCCTAGCTCGTAGTACTGCTTCCAGCGCCTTCACCGCACATGTTGGCGAGCCTGGTACCGGGCGAAGAATTAGATGCTGCGCGTGTATGGTGTATACCTTGGGCTTCGGTACTCGGATTGCGAATCCCTCCGCCCCTGGTAAGCTGATCCGTTGAACATGGGAAATGCGAAGCATTTCCGCCGTCGTTTTCTGAGTTCCATCCGTAATCACTTCCCGGCGGCGCGCCAGTCCCCAAAAGGCAGCGCAAGCGATGGCTCGAGCGACGAGGAAGTTGTGCGTAGCGGGCAGGGTGTTGACAAAGTGAGTGAGCATATGAAGAGTGACCTCGGGGTCCTGGCGGGTTGTTTCTGGTGGTGCCTGACGGCGGGTCATCGAGAGACGTCGGTTAACGAATTCGTTTTTGTAGAGGTGGTCGAAGGAGTGGCCGAGAGCGGTGTGCATATCTTTGAGGGCGCTGAAGTATTTTCTGAGAGTGTGGGCCTTGATTTCGCCGCAAAAGACTCGGTCGAGTTGAAAAGAAAGGTATAAATCGAAATTGATAGCGTTGATAGGAAAGAACGAACCATCATCATTCCGCCAATGATGATGCTCCGCAAGGCGAACGTACGCGGCGCAAATGGCGCTGTACGACGCGTTACGTGGGATGGCTTCGTTAAACATGGGCTTGGTTAAGGTGAGCGGGGTTGACGCAGAACTGGGGCGGAGTCAGCTCTGTCCGGGCCACCCATGGGGGTGCCTGGAGGTCGATTGGTTGTTTGTCGGGGAAGCGGGCAGCAAATTCGGCGTGTTTCCCGCGAGTGAGGCTATCCGTGGAGGGTAGTTCGGTTCTGGGAACGTGCGCGATGCGTAGCATGAATTGGAACTGTGTGGCGAGCGTGTGTATGTTGCGTAGAATCCGATTGTACATGGGGTCACTCGAGGTGCCGCTGGCCCAGATCGCGATGTTGGCGGCGTTATCGGAGAACCATAGGACGCATCGTCCGGATAGCTGCGGTCCCAGTGTTTGTAGGCCGATCAGGATGGTAAGGAATTCGAATGTGCCTGATAGGGAGTTGTCGTAGCACGCGGGACACCAAGTCGCAAAGCCGTAGAGGGATGGTGTGACGACGGCAAGGCCTCCGACGCCCGAATCGCTGACGATATTGAACGTCGGTTCCGTTTCCCAGCGGTGCTCGATAAGGAGGGATGTGCCTGACCATTGGGCAATGGTGTCGAAGAACCATTTGCAGTCTGCTGTAATTTGCGCGGAGAGTTTGGGCTTGCGAATGGCTTTATCGCGGACGACTGCTTGATATGCCCACATGGCTCGGAGATACGTGCGGGCGTATAGGAGGATCTGGGTTATCCACGTCAGAAGGCCCACGAGCTTGTCATATTCTTTGGCGTTAATGGATTGGAGCGCAGTCGGTGTGAGCATCGCGAGGATAGTCAGACGCTTATCGTTGGGTATGGAAATGGTCATTTCGGTTGAGTCGACGAGGAACCCAATGAGCTTGCCGCAAGTGCCGACGAACTCCTGTCCCGTATCCAGCGGGAGCCCGATGATATTGAAGATGCGTTTAACTTGGGCTAGTACGTGAGGGAGAGTGGTGAGAGCAGCCGGTCCGAAATGGTTGTCGCTGTAATGGAGGGCGTCTTTTACTCCGTAGTTCCGAAGCGCCCAACAGATCAGATCGCCGACGATGCAGCAGTATGTGCCTGCGGAACGGACGCCAAACATGGTTGCGTGATCGATGTAAAACCGGGCGTCCCAGTAAAGGAGTTGGAGCATCTGGTCCGTGACGCGTGTGGGCTGTTGGCGGTAGGCGGCTACCATGTCGACCATCCAAAACCCAGCAGGGATTCCACGGCGCTTGAGGCTAGTGAGCGCGGTGATGAACACGCCGATGCGGTCGAGATGCAGATCGGGGAACGGGAGGATCCCATCGTTGACGGAGCGTGAGCGAGGGGAGGAAGCGTCGTGAACGATACGGTATTTGCCGGGCTTGTTCGCTTTTGGTACGGTGGCTAAAGGGCTCCCCATAAAATACGGGAGTTTCGCGAGGTGTTCGGGGGGTAATTCGGATCGTCGCCCGGCGCATATTTCGGCATGCATGTTGTCGGACACATGCTGCGCTTGAGCGGATGCGCTGGGATGGTTCTTTGGGATGTATTTGGTGCGAGTCCCCTGGAACATGATGGGGAACCCGGTGGCGAAATGTCGGAGCACTGATTCGAGCAATGGGCGGTTGGGGAAGTCGGTCATGATGCGGCGGAAAGCGTGAATATTAAAGGTCGTCGGTAGGCGTGCGATATTACAGTCCAGAGCGGTATGGAGGGCTTGAATTTCTATCTCGGTAAGCGGTGGGTCGGGGAAGGGAGGTCGCAAAATGGATTGTTGGGCTGTGGGTAACGGGGTTTGTTGCGTGGGGAAGGTATGACGAAATTCGCGTGGGACGATCTGAAGGTGCGGTGGAGCCCGGTCCCGCGTTTCGGAGTACTTTGCTTCGGCCAGGCGCTCTTCAAGCAGGGGTGAGGTTGTTGTCGTTTGATTGTCTGGGCGGTTCGGATGCAGCTGCTCGCCCGCCGCGGCAGGCATGAGCCGGGTGATTTCCCTTGCAGCGGGCGCAGTGGTGCTTGTAGACGCAATGGTCCCGGTGGCACCCGCGGGGCGTCTGGTAATCGCCGCAATGGTCGGATCGCGTTCCACCACGAGATTCCCTTCCTCGTCGATCATAAGGGTTCCAACGATCGCTGCTGCTTTTAGCATTTGCCACGTAGCTCGGCTTGGAGTAGAGGTACTGTGCCTTGAGCTCTTGAATTTCTTCCGATAGGGGCTGAACCACGTTGTTCGAGGCGTGCTTGCGGCGGGCTTTGTCGTACTGATAGACCGTGGACCAGACCCAAGCTTGCGAAAGCGTGATGATTTGGGCCTGGTAACGCTCCAGGTCGGGGACGCGAGACGGGTAAATAAAGGTATGAACAAGCTTGTATACCGCCCAGGCCTCGATCCAGAAGGCGAGTGAGTTGATGCCTTGCGCTTGGCCTCGCTCGTTGATTTCGAGCTTGTTAGCCTCCGAAAGCAATAGATCATAGCGTTGGGACGACGACAGCTGAGCCTTTGGGTGTATCTTTTCGAGTTCGACGAAGCGCAGGTGGATGACATCCTCGAGGACCTTGGGGGGTAACGTTGGGCAGGAGCTATTCTCGAGGTTTTGCTTGAGGGCGCTTGCGTTCGCAATGTTGTGCGCGCGGCGTTGTAGCATTTGGTTAATGGCAGGGTCGATCGAGACGGCCTGCGCTGCGGCATACGGCCCGACAGGTCGACTGCCAAAATACGCGGCCACGCCCAACTCTTCTGGAGTAAACGGCAAATGGACCCCTCCGGGCAGGGCTTGAAGTTCCGCGGAGGGCGCGGCTTGATAACCTTGTCCCGGAGGCACAAGAAAGTACCCGGGGTGCATGGGCAACGGCTGGCCGAGCGAAGGCAATGGCTGGCTGAGCGTGGGAAAATGAGGTGCAGGCGCGAAAAAATGAGGTGCGGGCGCCCCGAATGTCCACGGATTGCCAGCCCCAGCGGGAGGAAGCCCCAGCATGGGCCCGCCCGTAATGGTGGTGAGGATTGGCCCCCCAGGTAGACTTCCCGGAACTTGCTCGGTCGTGGGAACTCCCGATGGCTGAGCGCCCGAGTCGACGCTCGTGGGAACTCCAGAGGGCACAGCAGAGGTCGAATCCCCCACGCCGCCCGGCATTGGCTCAGAAGCTCCAGCGCCTTCTTGGGAGGTCGTTGCGGTGGCACGAGGGGGAAGCTTGTCACGGAGGTATGCAAAGGCGTCCGAAGCCGCTGCGAAGCGAAGGCCGGAAGTGGTCGCAACGAGGGTACTCGGGAGAGCTTGAGTCTTGTCATTGCCGGCCATTCTTATGAACGAAAGGTAGTCTCTATGCTCTACTGAAAGGTCGCTTGCGAATGTCCTGTAAGGTCCCAAACGAAGTAAACGAATCTATGGCTTACGCTGAGCGGGATGGGAGCGAAGAGAGAAGAGGGAGAACGAGGAAGGAGCTATTTAGGGCCTTTTCCCTCATAAGGTGGCGCAGTCACGGCTTACGATCGATGCCCTTCACTGCATGAATGGAAATCACGCGCGATTTCCTGCCGCTCCAAATAGGTCTGACCTTGTTTCGCGAGTGGCCGGTGGTCGCTGCATCGGCATCCGGGAGGTCCTTGGACCGGTGAATGTTCAGCATGATTGCGCTCACGGCGCACTGCCATGTGTTGCAGAGGCACGAGCAGGAGAGTTTGTTGAAAGGGAGCAGGATCTGGAAAAACGCCAGGACGTCGTTATACACCAGGATCACGGGATGGTGTTGCTCAACATCTTCTGCATGCGGACTGCCTGGGTCCTAGATGAGGGATACGAACTCCGAATTCCAAACGTCAACGTGCAGCAAGTAGGGCGGGACGCATAAGAAGAATACGCTTACGGCAGAGAGGAACGCATTTGCATTCGCGATAACGTCTACAGCAACCGATCCGAACGCGAGAGTGCACCATCGCCGGAACCGCCGTCGGTAACGTGCAATGGTTCGCACATGGCGGATGGATATTGAGCAAGCGCGTTAGCTTCGATGGTGAAGTCGAGCCGGGGTCGAGGAGCCCTGCCGTGCGGATCAGCTATGATGGGCGCGACGAGGAGGACGGCAACCCGAACGAGCAAGAGTACGAACACGGCAACAGGGAACACGTTGAAGCTCGCCCGTCGTCGTTTAGCCATGGAATGTCCGACTCGTCCACTGGATGCGCTAAACATGAGTGCTTCTGTTAAGACCCACCCAGTCCACACTGGACATTGCCCACCTATTGCACAACATTACATCTTAGAGCAATTTTCATAGATAGGGTATGTACGGTACGTAGACGACGAATTGTTCACAGGGCGTTCCTCATGGTTCCTCACGTCAAGGCGACGCGTCGTCTAAAAGCGTGTAAAGCGTCTAACAGGTAAACTTTAATGACTACCTGCGGCTTGTCCATATAAAACTGGAGGTCAACTTCAGCGAGTATAGGTACCGTACAGTACGTAGCATAACGCTTCTGGGCAGGAGCACTGAATCTTCAAACCTCAGTACAACGAACGAAAGCACTCAATATGGCTGACAAGGAGATAGGTAGGTGGCTGGTGCATATGCGGCCTTACCTCCTGATAGGGATGACCGTGATCTTTGACCCATTGCACTCTCGGCTACCTCACCGTCCGCAGAGCTCCTGGAGGGTGTCGAACTGCGTTTCGCCGTCGCAGACACTAAGGAGCGCTTCGAAAAGGCGGTTGGGACTTTCTTGACCCCGGTCCTTATCAAATTGAACTCGCCGCATAAAGTTGTGCAGACACAGGTAGTCTCCGTTTGGAAGAGTGGGAGACGCGAGCGGTCGATACTCCTTGAGGGATAGACCGGAGGGAAAGAGAGAGTGCTTCAGAGAACCAAGCAAACATGGACTCACAGGTGCGAACTTGCAGGTCATGAGTTTGTGCAGTCACGTCAGCAAAAGGTTCAAATCGGATCCGACACTGTCCCTTCCCATGTCCGCGCTGTTCGATCTGTGGGAGGCTGAAAGCACAACTATGATAGTGCGGAACTTCTGTTTGATCTATCTTGAGATCGGCTTCAACCGAATCACGGACGAGGTAACTAGTATGTTTGATGTCCATCGTAGTCCATCCCTGTTTAATCACCGTCTGAACAGGAAAAAATCAAATGTCTTCCTCGTTTACTACGGAATATCTCTCGCTGCATGCCAGCGCAACAAGCTGCCATCATGCAAATGGCCCTTCACATCATCGGAACTCTGACACGCACGAGAAACCCTGTATTAGACCCTAGTGTTGACTGGCACATTCCTCCCGCCGACATTCGCTTCTTTCTGGAGAAGCTCGCAGATCTGATGCTGTACGCACCTGCTCCCAAAACGACCGCGGTGACACTTGGCAATAGGTAAGACATGTAGTCTTTGGCTCAAGTGATCTCAAATTAACGACACTGTCAGCAAAGGCCACCAAATGCGCCGCCCCTCGACGTGCCGCCAACGTTCGTTCCACCAGCGATGAGCAAAGAGGAGATCACCTTCATCACAAACAACAACAAGGCGAGCTGGACTTCCTCATTGACGGAATCGAATAATATGAAGCTTTCTGTCTTGCGTTTCCTCGCATTGCCCGGATTGATCCCTCAAGACGAGTTTCACTGGGAGCGGTATCACGTGTACCTGGCCGCGGCGGGCGACGCAAATCACGAGCTGATCAGTGCTGGGGAAGATGGAATGAAGCGATATGCTCAGCCAGATTTGGAAAATGCGAATGTTGTTCGGGCATTGTATGCGATGTACCAAGGAAAACCGTCGAACAACCCTGATAGCCACCGAAGTCCCGCAACGCCTTCTCTAAAGAACAGGATCTTGAGGGTTTTGCTCAAGTCTGCGACAGCGGCAAATACCTTCCCGAACATGATTCAGGTTGCTTTCGACGCTCTGAACGGTGAAACGACCACTCCGAAACTGCGGGCTTCAGGGATGTCGTTCGTCCAGTGGATCGCCAGAATGACGAAAGACGAGACCATCAAACCCATCGCCCCTATCCTTTTGACGGCACTGCTGCAGTTCATCGAGCGGACGAAATCTGGTTCCCCCTCCGCCGAGAATGATTCGCTACGGGGCTTCGCGTTCGAAGCCGTCGGATTAGTCGCCAAGCGTGCACCTGACGTTTTCGACGTTTCCGTCCTTCGAGAATTGTTCGCATCTTTGATGGTGGAGTCGGCCAGTGTCCAAGTCTCGGTTTTGGATGCGCTTTCAAACATGAGCAACGCCTACCAGAAGATGCTCTCACAAGACCCGAGCAAAGAGACTGAATTCAAAGAGCTGCTGTTAGGGAACGTCTCGAACACCAACCACCGCTCGCGATACATCACAGCCAAATACGCCAATGCGCTCTTCCCATATAAAAGCGCATTGGCGCGGTACATTGACGTTATTCTCAGCCAAGATTCCAAACCCGAAGTTCGCGACGAATCACTGAAGGGTCTCGTGTTCCCGGAAGCCGACAACTGCGCGAGCGACGATCTTCCCGTCTTTGGCGATGTCCTGGCACTGGTTTCCTCGAATATTGAAAAGAATCCGAAAAGCTTCGCACAGAAAGCTCATGTGAGACAGGACGGGACGCTACACCCTGTCGTTCTGGCTGACTTTTTGAAGTACTTCCGGCATCTTCTCATCCTCCGCGCGAACCCGAAATGTGTGCTGGGGAGGAAAGGGCTGGATGACTTTGAGGATATTGCGGATGTGGAGACTAGAGATGCGCTCGTCGCGGTGTTGGCGCAAATGAGCGCGGACACGGAGACGTCGGGGTTGCGAGCGTACACAGACCTGCTCACGTTTGCGCTGCAAGTTGACTCTGGGGAGCTTCAAGCGGCGGCATCGTATTGCTTGTTGGAGTTGATTTCCTTTGGCCCGCCGGCGATCGGGGCAACTTACATTAGCCAGATTGAGTGGATCAAGGTATTTTCGACGCCTTTCAGTATGAGACCTCGCTCTGTGATGGTTCATCTGACATGTGTCCACAGTCCTTTATTGTCGCAACCAGAGCAGAGACGAGGATCTCCATGTCCCACGTACTCGGTCTCGTGGTCACGACTCAACTCGACGATCCGATGCAAGTAAAATTCGTGTCAGAACTCTTGGTAGAGTTTCAGAAGACGGCACAGGACAAGCAGACTTCCCCAGAACAAAGGCATGGCGCAACCCTGGCCCTCGGCTACATCGTCGGACGATCCTCCTATCGGTACTCGAAATCTCCCCTCCCATCGGACATCCTTTCACGAAGTCTCGAAGTTATAGTCAAACAACTAGATGCGGGCACAAATCTCGAGATTCTGGGAGCATGCGAAGCCTTGTCTGAGGCTGGTCGGTACTCCGCACTACCGCGATCGTCCACGCTAGCCCCTGATGAAGTCATCAGAAAGCTGATCGCGTTGATGAGCAAATCATCGTCGAACAACGACACGAAGATCCACGAACAAGCGATATCCGCCATGGGACAGCTAGCCAACGGCGACCATGGTCTGTCAAAGCAGGTGTTTGATCACATCTACACTCTGGCCTCGTCGCATTCGAAACAGACGGAGGTTCATTTTACCATCGGAGAAGCCATCACTGCCGCAACGTGCGGTTTTGTTGCCACCCACATGCAGAAATATTTGGACATTCCGACCGTGACTGTGGAATCCAAAGCTCCAGCGGAAACCGTCCAGGAAGTCATCAACACGTTACTGGAGAAGATAGCGCCCGGCAGCGCCCCGGTGGTTCGGAAGAATCTTGCGATTTGGTTACTGTGCATCATCAGATTGGGTGGGAAGCATCCGGTCGTCAAAGCAAATGCGCTGAGGTTGCAGTCGGCGTTCGCTGGGCTCCTCGGAGAAACGGACGAGTTCACTCAGGAGGTGGCGTCGAGGGGAATGGGATTGGTGTTTGAGCTTGGTGATGAGGCGGTGAGGTCTCAGTTGGTCGGGTCCCTGGTCTCGACATTGACAGAAGGGAAGAAGATCGCCCCGCAAAGTGTCACCGGCGAGACCCAGCTCTTCCGAGACAACGCCCTCGGCTCTGCGCCGGAAGGCGGCCAAGTCTCTGGCACGTACCAATCCATCCTCTCCCTCGCCTCGGACATGAACCAGCCCGATCTCGTGTACAAGTTTATGTCCCTAGCAGCGCACAATGCTGTCTGGAACTCCCGGAGAGGCGCCAGCATGGGCTTCAGCACTATCGCGACACAGGCCACCAAGGAACTGGAGCCTCACCTGCCCGCCATCATCCCGAAACTGTACCGCTTCCAGTTCGACCCGAACCCTAAAGTAGCCGAAAGCATGAAGAACATCTGGCAGACATTGATTAAGGAGCCCAGCAAGACCCTCGACGATTATTTCGAGACGATCATGAAGGATCTCTTGGCGGGCTTGGGCGATCGGCAATGGAGGCTGAGAGAAGCAAGTTGTCTGGCGCTGGCGGACTTGACGTCGTCCAGGGAGATGAAGCAGCTCGAACCGCATTTGGAGGAAATGTGGCTGATGTGTTTCAGGGCGTTGGATGATATCAAGGAGAGTGTGAGGACCGCGGCGTTTAGGACGTGCAAGGCGTTGACGAACAAGACGGTGCGATACTGTGATCCGACAACGGAAGCTGTTGATGAAGGGAGGAAGGTGATGAGGATCGTGGTGCCCTTCTTCTTGACGAAGGGGCTGCAATCATCGGCTGAAGACGTGCGCAACTTTTCTTTGGCGACAATCCTTAAGATCTGCAAGAAGGGAGGATTCTTGTTGAAGCCTCACGTCACGGAGCTCGTTGCGACTCTGCTAGAGTGCCTGGCTACCATGGAACCCCAAGTCCTGAACTACCTCACCTTCCACACCGACAAGTACAACATCAGCCAGGAGCAGCTCGAAAACTCTCGGTTGAGCGCTGTACGAAGCTCGCCAATCATGGACGCGATTGAATCGTGTATCGATCAAGTCGACGGTGAAGTCCTAAAAGCCCTCATCCCGCGTCTCAACGGGCTCATCCGAAAGGGAGTCGGGTTGCCAACCAAAGCTGGCAGCGCCCGCATCGTGTACAGTCTCGTCCAACGCGCACCGAACGACCTTAAGGAGCACGCAGACAGTCTCCTGAAAGCGCTGAAATCAGCCATCTTTGATCGTTCGATAGTTGTGCAGAAGGCGTTCGCGAGCGCCATTGGCCACCTGGCCAAAGTGTGCAGCGATGGCGCGGTCGAACAACTGTTGACATCCATGATCGACATATACCTGCAGACCGATGATCCGGACAAGCGACCCATCCCTGGTTACATTTTCCTGGAATTCGCCAAGAAATCCTCGGACAAGGCCAAGGAGTTCCAGGGCAGAGTTCTGCCAATCGCCTACCTTGGCGCTCGCGATGACACCGATGCAATCAAGCTCGTCTGGGTCGATGTCTGGGAGGAAATGACCGGCGGGTCTGCAGGAGCCATCCGGTTATGGATGAAGGAGATGATGGGCATGATGGATGGTCTTTTGGCGTCCACGCCGTCCTGGAGTGTCAAGAAGCAGGTTGCGATGGCGTTGGGGGATATGGCGAAGGCGCTGAGGGAGAACTTCAGTCCGTATATGAACGAGGTGGTGGATATGCTGATTAGCGCGCTAGCGGGACGGACGTGGGAAGGGAAGGAGGCTATTGTCAATTCTTTGGCTACCGTGATTGTGGAGAACAAAGGCTGGTTCGCAACGCCGGAGGGCGCCGCGAAAGTCGATAAGATAACTCAGGTAAGGTGATGGAGTTCTTCACCGATCCGTGATTCAAATGGAGATATTAACAATTGTTTCCGCTCTAGATCCTCATCCAAGAAGCAAAGAAAAACAACAAACCATACAAGCGCCATAGCATAGACAGTCTCGGAAAGGCATTTGACGCTCTGAACATCGACAAATATGCCGATTTGTACGACTATCTCGCCGAGCTGGCAGCTCCGGAGGCCAGCGATGATATGGAGGTCGACGATGAGGACGACCAGAGGCAGAAGACCCTTGGGTTGTTGATTCGAGCCACGAGTTTCAAGACTCTTGCGCTATGTTTCCCCAGGAACAGCCCCGAGACACAAGGTATGCTTTCTCCTCTTGACGTCGTTGACGTTTTGAAGGCCATAAGTTGATTCTTCATCGTTGCAGCCAAATATGCAGTTCCACTGTGTACGCTCCTGACCAAGAACCTAGATGGCAATGTGTGGAACGTGCGCCTGGCTGTGATCGAAGCTTTTGAGACATTTTTGGACAAACTTAGCTCTCCTTCGGAGCTCCTGACTCCTCAAGTTGTCAGTGAAGCCATAAATCAAACAATAAATTGTCTGGAGGACGGAAAGGTGAGGCAGAACGTTCATTTTCGCCTAGTCTGTTACGCTCTGAACTAAATCGCTCTCTCGCAGTATACATCCGTTCGAACAGCCGCAGCTCGCATGCTCCATAAACTCGCCACGACGACTTTACCGCTGTTACCCGACTCTGTTCGCTTAGAAGCAGTCACAAAGTTGGACGGTTTGACGGGTAAAGAGCTCGTTCCGCTGGTCGCAGAAGAGATCAAGAAAGCACGGAAAGTGCTCGCTGCAATGGATGCGAGCTAGATCTGAAGCACCCGGGGTCGTCCCAAGTCTTCTTTAAATATCATCCCCGCGTAATGACATTTTTATCATATAGCATATCGAGTCCAGTCTACACATGACAACCTCCACGGGAAAAGGAGAGAAGATGCTCTAGTGGACTTGCTTTTTTCTTCGGAACCTTGGAATCGTGAAAGAATGCGATAGAGTTGAATTTTGCGCATTAACACACTGTAAAGGCCGTAGTGAAAAGCGAAAAGCACCAAGCTTTGTTGTCCCTCTGGTGTCTGGATGGCCATGACACAGCTGCCCGCCTATTCGGCGAGCGCCTGAGCAAGTGCTACTAGAGACGAGCGCGGCAACAAGCATGGTGGTAGTGTTGCGTTTCCGACTGGAATGCAGGGGGATAAGGATTGCGTGGAAGCTCGGCGAGCAAGGTCGGCTAGAAGGTCGGCGAGGCTCAAGAAAATCGCACATGCGCCACTTTCTGCGCCCCCTGCCTTGGTTACCGAGGGCTTGGCGCCGCGATTGACGGCGGAGTTCATCAACTGACAGTTGGTAGCGCACTGTCCATCCAGACAAAAGCATACCGAGACGGATTGTGCTCGTTGGGCGACATTTGTCTCTCGCCTCGCGAATATCCAAAGGCCTCGACCATGGGTGCTCAGCTATGCAACGAATACCGATGGTGCAAAGGCGGAGCGGCAGTTGGGTCGGGTCGCAAATCACCGTTTTCCCATCTGACACCGATCGGTCGTTTTGATTTGAATAGGCTTATTTTTAGCATACATATAAGCAACACAATGGGTACCCGACTAGTAAGGACCGCAGTCAGACAAAGATAGGCAATGACCGCAGACCGTAAATAAGACACCCATACCAAAGCCGAACACTTGATAAACTAGACCCTTCCCTCCAAACTTACCGTCCTCTCTGCAAAAATCATATATACTTTGACACCGGCAGAGTAGCACACATAACTAGTCACACCAACGTAAAGATGATGAGCAGTTCGGTGTCTTGCGGCCTCGACGCAATCCGCTCGCTGGACGGCTACACAGCAGATCATTGGACGTTCCTGACTTCTATGTGCATCAGCAATCGACTAGTGTTAGCTCTTTCAATACCAAGCGCACTGTTGTCGTTATGCGTCGCCTTGTCGATGCTGTTCTTACTGGCGAGGGATTACAAGCTCACAGGGCCAACGATGACTATGAGTAAGATATTTTTCGTAAGTCCGAACATTAATGTCTCCAATCGACTGCACTAGTTACTGACCCGTGTAGCATTCAAATAGATCTGTTCGGCAATCACGTCAACGGGCTTAATGTTGGGAGCCATGGGCTTTTTGGCGTCCGGATCGGGCATGGTAATCTTGAGCACATGCACATTCCTGGTGGGGTCTCAAGGTAGGGGTCCGAATGTGCGCGACGACGGATTGTTTTTTGTCCGGCTTACTCATATTGAAGTCCCTCCGTCCATCTACCAGGCCTCATCGGTGGGGCGTATTCGACGTTATTTCAGTGGTAAGGGATATTCGGAAAGGTGCTGGCATGCAGCAATGCTCATCCACCACTTGCTCATAGGATCACCGTGACAACTAAGATGCTCGACTTGCAGGATGAGGAATGGTTGACGCTTCGGGTTCATGCGCTGCGCAGGACACTGCTTGTCCCTACGTACATCGTGTTTTCAATCTGCATGCCCGTCTGCGCGATCCGAGCCGCCTCCAACAACCACACGACAATGTACAATGTGGTTTCCTTCCTTTACTTTGGGTTAATGATGCCGTGGTTCGTGAATTGGTGCGCCTGCGCCAGCCAGTTCTCGGTGCACTTTGCGCGCCTGATCGAAGCGACCGTGGACGGGACTAAGGAATTCCATTTTTCGATACAAAGATCGGCCGGTGGAGCCAAGGCGATTACGCACATGGCGACACCAACCATCGGAACCGTTACGTTCAATCCGTCTGGCCTGAGCAACCCGGCAAAGGACCGAGCGGCGGAGATGCTAGCTGTGGCCAAGCGAGTGCGGCTTGTAGGGGCCTTGATTGCTGGCGACAAAGTGCTTTTCATCCTCTTGTACGTCGTTATTATGATCCACGGGCTCCTAGCATGGCAACGGCCAGACTTGAGCACTGTGCCCTTTGGGCTCTACGCTGTCATGGTCTGTGGGATCCCGGGGTAAGTGTGAACGACTTGAGGAGAGACCCCGCTGTTCAACCAACTGACCTCTGTATTGTCGTAGTGCAAACTTTCTGGTCTGTGCCATGGCGTACTACCACGTCTCTACGGGGCCTAGCAGATCATCCTAATATCGAAAGAAGTTGGTAGTAGTAGGAGCTCCTGCTCTCGGAGCCGTTGGTACATACCCAATCTATACCTAGTAATCTCCCCTTCCTACCGCATGTTGTGCTGTTTGCTGTCTCCACAGGACTTTTCACATCACACCTATCTTCACAACTGACTGTGCCCGCATGTCCGTCGAAGGAAGGTTTCACCTTGACGCAGATGTCCATCTCCTTCAAAGCGGACTGCGGTCATCAATTACAACACTGGAGAATAAGTATATACCATGCCACGTCCATTCGAGCGTTCCGATTGACAGTACCTTGAGCTGTCAAAAAAGCAAGGCAGTCTGAACCTTCATGGTGGCGACGTGTTCCACCGTTACGCGCACACAGAGGCGTCACAGGCTGTCACCATCCCCCTTGGCATGATGAGTTCATGAAATGATTGGAAGCGGCTTGGTCGCGAACTTGACGCCCAGAAGAATTTGGAAGCAGGGCTTGGCAAGCGGCAATCGGAAGAACATTCCGGCGTCCTGCGCTGATGCGATAGCAGCGAGGTGGCTTCCTTGGCGAGAAAATCGGGAGCCCCGCAGCTTTGGCCTTGGAGAGTCCCCCACATGCATTGCATAGTATGGGGCATACGGGTGACACATGATCTGGAAGGGCTCGGCATGGCTCGGAAAAGGCAATTCAGGTCAGAGGTCATAAAAAACAACAAAGGTGCAGGGCCGTGGCTGTCTGTACAGTAAGTCTCATTATTCGTGGCTCGGGATGACCTTTGAGGCTTTGCTCTGGCTCGCCTCGCACAGAGCACGTCATCACTCATATGTCGTGCACTTCTCGATTTCGGAATGCGGCCCTCTCCACAGTGTTCCACACCCCGGATCCCCCCCGGAAACGTGGTCGCCTGCACTGCCGCTACGCTCTGCAGGTCTGAGCCCGAGGACCCCGGATCGGCTATAAAAGGAGCTCGCAACATCCTCCCCGCTCCTTCAAAACGAACTTCCTCAAACGCACAATATATTCCACTTCTTCAAACCAAACACATATATCAAACATGCCTCTCCGTGTTCGCGTTGTTTCCGTTGCCGGAGTCCAGGACGAAGATGGTATGGTACCTTGGCAATCCCATCTGCATACCACTTCTGCTGCCCCTGACAGTCACTTTCTCTTGTTCGATATAGACTTTGGTTCCAACGACCTTTACGTTACTCTCACCACCGGCGGTCAGACGGAGAAGGTAATGTAGCAATACCTACGGTTTCGCTGATCTCTGTTCTTTGGGCACACGATCTGATATCAATTTCGACGTTTCCGCGATGTAATAGACCACCGTGAAGAAGGTAAGCACTTGTTGTCATTTGCTCAAAAATCATAATCCCGGCTGACGGATCCGTCTGCATTCTAGGGAGCTGGTCGCCAAGCTATCTGGGATGAGGCCTTTGTGTTCCCCAATTGGACCCCTGGAAGCCCCATCGAGATTGAGGTGAAGGACAAGGACCCCTTGAAGGACGACAAGCTCGGCAAGGTCAAGGTATGTCATCGTCGATGCAGGTCTGGTAGACTTCCAATATGTTCATCGTGCTCATGACTCTCGTGTGTGCAAACCCAGATCACCCCCGAGATCAGCGGTCCTGGTGAGAAGGAAGTCGTTGCGGAGCTCCACCACGGCCTCCTCCACAAGAAGGTAAGCGGCACAAACAGCATCGAGCGTCGCAAACATTAGCAAATTCATTGACACCGGCCTCGCTTACCCTCCCATCTAGCGTGGTGTTATCAACTTGATTGTCTCTGCCCAGTAAATGATACCCTGCACCCATTCGCAAACATGTCTGAGTCTTGTATATCCTGCATCATGATACCTTTTGGAAATAGTTTCGGGCAACTGCTTTTGAATCAAAAAATCTACACATCTTTCACACTTTCTCAATGCAAATGTGGCTGGCGCAACTGCACATTTATTCCCATTTGACGGTGGGCATAATGTGCTTTCCAGTATATCCGTTGGCGTAGCGCCCATAACCGAGCGGACGAGCCGAGCTCGTGCCCCTAACCTCCCTGAGCCCTATCTCGCTCCTCCGGCGAAAGCACGTCCGCAGAGTGTCACCGTGTCTTGCCCACGCGTTTCATCAGAATCCAACGATTCAGTGTGAGGTTCGATTTCAAGCCACGACTCGCTTTTTCGCCCTCCATATTCTCTCTTTTTCTTGGCACATTTTGAATACAGGAGCTGCTTTGACCATCCAAACAGTGGCTCTGGGTCCTGCTCGCATACTTGTCTGTTCGTCAGTCTGTCGGTTGTCTCTGGGAACAAAAGCAAGAAGACTCCGGCGAAGGCCTGGCCGAGTCAGCAATGAACAGAATGAGACCCTCTTTGGAAAGCGATCACGTTCCGCTGCTCGACGAGCAAGGGCAGCCCCAACTCGGAGAAAGGGTGTATATCGTCTCTCCGCAGCATGGAAGAGAAAACAGTATCGCCCAGAGAGCATGGGCAGCCTTGAAGAGCATGTTCACGGAGTCCACAGTCAAAGCTACCGCTACCTACCTTCTTGCCACCAGTGCGATGCTTCCCGAGTTCACGAACAGCAGGCTGCAGGGGTCCAGCTACCTACTGAGCACGGCAGTCATTTATTTTCATCCGGCTCGCACCGTTGGTGCTATGATAGAGGCGATGATATGTTGTATTGTTGGATTGGGCCTGGGGTTCGTCATCGCTTCTGGCTGCACGCAAGTTGCCATTCATTACCAGGTGGGAAGCGTTGATTGATGGAACACGGCAGAGGAACTCTCTGCGAAAGATAAGGCCGAAGATCACACCTTACGTACGACTGAACCAATTCCTCCATTTGGCAACCAGGAGGGAGAGCAAAACGAGGTCGAGGCGCACGCCATAGCGTTAGGGGTGCTTTTCTTGACTACTTTAGCGACGGCATTCACACGTGCTAAATACGCAGTGAGGCGACCTGCGATAGCTACAGGCATGTTCCAATGGGACTGGAATCGCTACCTATGCAACATCTTCAAGCTTCGGGCTAATGACCCATCTTCCAGGCTGTGCCATGACGCATATCTTGACATTCGTGACGATTACACAGATTTCTACCGAGGAATCTTTGAATCACTTGCAGGGCAACATCTATCGAACCGCGATTGCCTTGTCGGCCGGCACTCTAATCAGCTTCCTGGGATGTTGCTTAATCCGACCGCAGACTGCGGCATCTGTCCTCAGGTATGACAGCCTTGGACGTTGACAACATTCGTGCGGGTATCAAGCGGATTAAAAGCTTTTGGTAGATCGGACATTGCGAAAGGCTTCAACACGATGCGATCGTTTTTCGAAGCTCTGTCTCACACGTTCTCATTGGATGCGGAGTCGAGACTGGAAGCCTTCGTGGATTCCCCTGCTCCTGGAACCCCGTCTGCTTCCCATGACGACGTTGCGATCGACCTTCAATCCCTCACATCAAAGCACGATCAACTGGAAAAGTCGCTGAAAGACAATCAGGAGATGCTACTGCGACTAAGCAAATCTCGATTCGAAGTGAACTTTGAGCCCACGACGAGCGTGTTCTTGCACAGGCATCAGTTTCGTTCCATCTTTGACTCCTCGGAGCGACTCTGCCAGCATTTGGGTGGTCTGCAGGCGAGCATCACCGAGGTTGACCGGATAATAGCGCAGCAGGAGGACAATGAGGCATTAGTCCAGTTCATGACGGCAATGGGGAAGTCTCTGCGTCAACTTGTGGTGACCTGCAAGCAGAGTCTTGCTTTTTTGGAGACGATATTCAGCAGCCCGTCGCGGAACGCCCGTGACGCTGACTATGTGCTGCCCGCACTGGAGAATCTGTTCGAGAAGCTTGGAGCTGCCCTTGACGAGTTCGACGAGAATCAGAGACGCGTACTGGTTCACATCTACCAAAATGTGCATGGTGAGGAAGTGCGAGCAGATTTCGCGCGCATTCACTACGCACGGAGCGCTGACTTCTATCTCTTTCCGTAGAGGACGTCTTCCTCCTCTTTTTCTTCGTCTTTGAACTGATGGAGGTCGGCAAAGAGCTGGCGCGGCTAGTCGTAGCTGTCGAGGAGCTCAAGCGCGAAGTGCTCGACCGACGGCGGATGGGAAAAATGCGCTGGTTGTTTCGCTCGGTGTGGATTCATTGGAAGGACAAAGAGGTCAAAAAGGCACCACGACAGCAGTGAGTGAAGCGTGTGCTTTCCTGCAGTATCGTGTTGATCCAACCCCCCTCTCCTCAGATTATACGACCGCCCAACAAAACGATCTGGCAAGGAGGGCAGAAGGATCTCTCGTGGGTTCTCCATGCCAGCCGCTCTCACCCTCGATGACGACGAAGATCAGTCCGAAAAGAAACCGTTGGCGCTACGAATTTGGACGCTCTTCTCTTCTTTCAAAGACTTCGAAGCAAAGTTTGCACTCAAGACCGCATTGGTCGTGTCTCTACTTTCCGTACCTGCCTTCATAGACAGCACACAGCCTACTTTCTACGAGTGAGTCGTCGATGCTTTCAGCGTATCGAATCACGACTTTCTCATCCCTGCTTCATTAGTTTCCGAATGCACTGGGCCCTGGTTTCATTCGTCACAGTCATGACACCATCCGTTGGCGGGACCAACGCCGCAGGATTATGGCGCCTAGCCGGGACGTTCGGTGGGATCGCAGCTGCGATAATATCAGGGATGCTGTTTCACGATAATGCGATAGGGATGCTGTTGATGAGCGCTTTTTTTGGATTCATCGGGATGTACGTCTTTCTGGAGACGGCGTATCCCAGAATCGGCCAGGTGCGTTCGATACTCAGCGTTGGTGTTGTTTTTATGCGACCTGGGATAACTGAATGACGCCGTCTCCTTCATCCAGATCTTTCTCTTTACTTTCAACATCATTCTGCTCAATGATTTCACGGGACAAGTAGACCCCGTTTCCGGAAAAGAGTGAGTGTCAATCGCAAAACCTGGCCATTTGAAGGGTGCTAACCTGTCCCGCACGTTTCATAGTTACACCATATATGAGATTGCACTACGTCGGGGCTTCTCAGTAACGATCGGCATTCTGATCGGACTGTTTGTGTCTTACTACATCTGGCCGTTCACGTAAGGCGCCCTCGAGACTCCCCTTTCGGGCACGGGCAAACTAACTTCTGTCGTCACAGGGCAAGGAAGGCCTTACGGATTGGGCTGTCAAATGTAAGACGGATGTTGTGCTCCAGATATCGTGACTGACTCATCACCCAACGTTTCTACTCAATCTTCAACACTAGACGATTTTCGACATTGGATCCTTATATTCTCGTCTGATTGGCTTATTCAACTCCTCGGCACTTCCATCACGGACAGATCTACACGAGTTCCTCGAAGAAGAATTTGCGCTTCGCGTGTCGCTTGCGGAGTTGCGTACCTTTCTGCAGGATGCGGTACATGAGCCAAGATTGAAAGGCGCCTTTCCCAAAGAGCAATATGGACAAATGATCGATTCCTGCACACGGGTCCTGGATCGACTTGTTTCCATGCGGTTTGGTTTGTAAGTGAGGCGGTTTTCCCAACGTCCCTAATGTGTGGTTATAATACCTGCTCGCTGATCTCACATTAACGCTTATGCGGAATGTCTAAATAGAACGAAAGCAGGATTCACTTCAATCCGTGCCAGCTTCATCGCACCCGTCCAGGAGAAGCGACAGCGCATGATCGGCACAATCCTTCTCTACTTCTACCTAATCTCCGGCGCCCTCCTCCTCCGCTTCCCGTTGCCACCACAACTCCCCGACGCCCGCGGAGACCGCGAAGCTCTCATCAACGCGATTCGAACACTACCGGCCGTGCAGCCGCGCGTCGTGGCAGAGGTGGAAGATCCGGCGTACATTTATTATTATGCGTATGTGATGGGGATGGATGATGTGGTGAGGGAGCTGGAGAATCTGGGTCGGGTGTGTTGTCAGTTGTTTGGGGTTATGGCGCTGGGAGGGCCGAATGCGGATTCCGAGGAGGCGGCGAAGGAGTGGGATACGGAGGATTGAGTCAGCATTCACGTTTTTGCACAAGGGTGGGGTACCGCGTTAGGGAAGTGAAGAGCTTAGACATTGCGAGGGATGAGAGCAAGCAACCATACAAATAGCAACTGATAGCTTCTGATCATGATAATGTAGAAATACATAGCTCGACGAGCAGAAAAAGAAGCAACGTCACTTGTAGTTGATTTACGAGTGCGTCATGGAATCTTGAGAAGCGGCTCTCCGAGAAAGCCCCTGCCCAGCTTCCGTCTCAGACCCCACCGTCACCGATCCTTCGACCAAGCCGAACGCTCCGAAAGGGCTCATAGGGCTCATAGGGCTCGTGGGTGTTCCGTGCACAAACTTTGAAATATCCTGGCGTAGCGGGGACGACTTCGGTAGCGCTGGGTCGGAATCGAAGGCTTCTGGCGTTGAGGATTGTGCCGGCGTGCCCAAATCGGCGCATAGGGTGCGACCACCGGGGGAGAGGTTGTCTTCGCCTGCCAATGTCATACGGTCGGACTCGGATATGCTGATAACGGATGTTCAGTGTTAAGTATCCATCAGTGGGATGTCCCCACAAAGCGACATGGTATGCATACCTCGACAACGCAGAGAGCGTATAGTCACTCCCTGGCCCACTTAGCCTGTTTTCAGGCGGGTAAACGGGTGCGGGCAATGTGATGATGGGCGTCGGGGCTGGTTTCCTATCCACGATGTTGATCACAGGCGCTGGGGTCTCCGTTTTTACTGTTGCAGCAGCTGATGAGTTTTTGGAGGAGAACGTCAGTGGCGAAGCTCCGGTGGGACAGTGAAGACGGTGCATACATACCTGTGCCATCGCTTTCGGTGTCCTCTGCCCCTACGAATGCATCTACAGCCACAAGAGGTTTTTCAAACAACAGATGAGATTGGAACGTGAAAACAGTACATTTACAGAAGATGCATCCGTACGTATGACCGAAACGATGCTGCTCAGCTCGACCGATTCCGATTTTGCATCCGTCAATGGGTTTCCCGCGAAAGAGATTCCTGGACAGGATGTTGAGCTCCATGCCTTCGAGAACGCATGTCAACATCCTCGCCGTCTCTTACCTGAAAGCGACGGGAGCTGAGCGACGACCTTGTTTATGGTTTTCAACTGGTTGTTATTCATGCCGAGGAATTGCTTTTGGCACATCACCGGAAGATCTCCTTCTAAGCATAAAGCGTTTCTTACAGGCCCGTTGATTAAGCAAGGTTACTTACCAGCTGTTTCAGTTTGATAATCTCATCAGGAATACTCCCAATCGCATTCCCTCCAAGGGCCAAATGCACCAACGTATCGATCTCACATATCGATTTCGGAACCTCATCAAGCAAATTGTTCGTCAGGTTCAGTCGCGCCAGTCCGCCCAGTTTGTCCAACGAAGCAGCTTCGATCGCTGATGTCGTCAGGCGATTTCCGCCGAGTGACAGAACCTCGAGGAGATAGAGCTGCGCGAAGGTGGGAGCGAGACTCGTGAGGTTGTTGAAGCTGACAGGGGTGGAGGTTTTGAATCGGTAAAGATTTGTGCTATGAAGCCGCAATGCGAGCGGAGATGCCCTCACCTTAAATGGAGAATACGCAACCCTTTCAGATATCCGATTTCCGAAGGGAGAGTGGTCAGGTTGTTGTTGCTGGATCAGAACCCAGTCCAGAGGTTTCAGGGGGCATTCTGTCGGATAATTGCAAGCAACTTCTTTCTGCCTCGTTTACTCGATCTACCTCAAATTCAGAACTACCAAGTTTCTGGCGCCAAGGATACTCTGCGGAATAGCCTGAAGCTCCTGATGCCGTATGGACACGATCTGCAAGCGATTGGGTTGGATCTCCGATGATGGAAACTTTTACTGAGAGCTCGTTGTATTCCACCTACGTCTCCGCCTGCGGCCTTTAGTTCATCCTCACGTTTCTTTGGCTTCATCAACACCATTTTGGAATGTTTCACGGCTTGGAGTAACGGTATATAACTGTATGGTCCAATTAGTTTCGTGTAAACGCACTTCGGCACTGGCAAAATGTGCCTCAACTTCGAAATTCCGACAACAAACGCGGTGTCGAAATTCGCGGAAGGTGTGGCAATTGCACCCGTCCATGTCCACTCGTGGACATGCGATGTTTGAGGAAACGCTGAATGAAGCACCTGAGGAAACCTATCGGCTAATGCCATTGCCAGCTGCAGTCTATTTCGCGAGGCATGTCACCAACATTGTTCATTCAAGATACAAAGTAGACTAAGCACCCTATTTCCAGCCATCGCATTGAAGCTTGCAAACCGCTGGATAGTACGAATTGATGGGAAGGCTTTGGAGGAACCAACTCCGAGAGACGCCGGCAACGCGAAATAGGATGCTGCAGTACTTCGAACCATGCATTACGCAATCAGATGGTGATGACTTCCTATATCCGTCATGCGCATCAAGGGTTCAAAGTTCGCTCCGAGTTGAGGTAAGGCATTTGATCCAGTTGGAAGTCTTTCGGTACGCCGCATCCTGTTTCGGTCACCGCAAGGGCTTGCCCTCTGTGCCGGCCAAGGTAAGCACACATGAGATGCAGAGCAGGTGCTCAGCGAAGAAGGTCGGTAGAAGGACGAGGTGGTATATCCGATGTTTATCTGCATCCCTCACTTAACGGTCAACGTAACAGTTAGCACCTTATCCCCGCGATGAAACTGCGCGCCGCCTTCCGCGACATCGATCGGGTGCGGAAGATCGATGTCCAGGGCGAAGTGGTTGGGGATGTGCAGGAGTAGGCGGGATTGTTCAATGTCGAGCGTTGTTGTTTTCATTGTTGGCTGTTATCAGAGATCGGGTGTCAGTGTATAGGAGGGATGACGAGAAGATGAGTCGTAACGCTACTTACGACGCCAGGGAGCTGAATTTCCACGATCAAGAACTCAGGCGTGCTCGTTGGTGGTTCGCGGACAATGTCATACTTGGGACGTGGTAGGTGCAGTGTCTTCATCGCCGTCGGTTTCAATTGTGTCGGGGCGGTTGATTTCGCTGCAGATTTCGATCCATTTGGTCTATCCACCTCGGCGATAATCGGTCGTTTGGCTCGTCGGATGATGTGTTTCGATAAGCGACCTTTTGATGCCATCTTCGGAAGTGTGAATTCTGCATCATCCCGAGGAGAAGTCAGCAACAATTCTCCAGTGTCCCTCTCAGCCTACCAAAAAACCTGACCACGCACCTCGACTGAGCTGCAACTTATACTTCTCTTCCACCCACTCCAACGCCAGCTCAATCAAGAACAGCTTGAAGTCTCCGTCTTCAGCGGCCTTATCCAGTGGATCCGTGTTGACGCATGCATCGAACACCAAGCACGTTTTGCCCGCTGTGTCAGAAACCCTGAATTAGTTATTCTTCGATGTTCATCATCCGTGCCTCAAGTGACCACGTACATTTATCCCGATCAGGCCTAGGTGAGCTCAAACTCAATGGGACCTTATACGCCGCATTATCTTCCGCATTCAGTGCTTTCACGATCTCCTCTTTTGTTGCTGGGGGCGGGGCAGGGATGTTTGGGCTGTGGCAGATGTTGATGAACACCTATTTTTGACACAATCAATACCAGTTCGTCTTCATCCATGGGCCCGCTGCTTCCCAGACGCCTGCCCAGGCTTTCTGACAAGTACCTTCAACCCTACTCCCCAGTCGTCCACCTTCACCGTATTGTGCGTCTTCACCACGAACCCCGGCTCAGGCATAACTTCATGCATCGGCGACGGTGCCGATCCGTCCCCCGTAAGTTTCAGTCCCTTCCCTCCAGCCCCAACACCGTCCTGATCTGTCGCAGCGCCGACCCGTTTCGATAGCTCGGACATGAGCTTGCTGAGCTCGGCGTCATTTTGGGAGAGCAGTTTGACGAGTTCAGGGTCATCGGAGTCGGTTCGGTTGGGGTGAGAGTCTGCCACGCTGCTGCCGGTTGAACCGCCTGAGGGCGACGTGATGCTCGCTAGGAGGGATTCGATTGTCATTGTCGATTTTGTGTTACGAGGTTGAATTCGTATCAATGTCGTCTTCCAACCCCAGAAAGCCCCTTCATATGACGCGCAACTCGATGGACAAACTGGTCTTCGCGTTCTCGCTTAGCAGGAAGTCCAAAACATCCAGCTCATCCAGCTCGCAAACTGCCCCATCTTCGAAAGATCAGGCCACTGCTCGCGAAGAGAAGCCTCGTCCGCAGTTCTTCAACTTCGCGCGCAGAGTCTTCATAACTCTGTTCCGTCGCCGTCGTGGGAGATTCCCTGAGAAGCCACCGGTAGAAGAGGTCGAAATCGTCCAGGATTTGGAAGCCCCACTTCTGACAGAACCCGAGGCCGAAGAAGAACCAGAAGTTGAAGTTGAAACCGAACCAACAGCGCAAACCGATTCACACGCAGAAGTCATGGGTATCGAAGTAATGGACATCGACCGGGACGTCACGGCGTTCTTGTCTGCTGAGCAGCAGAAGGTGCCAGCGCAATTGCGGGACTATTACGTCCGGTTTATTGATCTTTACGACAAGAAGTAAGCTGGACTCGTTCAAACGATGCTGAAACCCCCATAACTGACTTGGATTCCTACTCTAGGCTATGGCATCAGTTGACGTTAGCCCTGGAGGCGTTCATTGCCCAACCGGGGTCTGGGCCACACCTGATTCCCTTGTACGAGCACTTCATTATCGATTGGGAGAAGAAGATGAACAAGCTGAGTCTGGTGAAATTCCTGACGAAAGCCAGCAGAGAATTGAAGGGTGTGTAGATGAGATACCGGACAGGAAGCCTATAGACGTTCGAAAATTGACGTTTCGGACATAGATTCGAAGGCCGCACTGGAGTTCCTCGACCGCCAAGTTGAAAAGCTGAAGGACAAACCAGAGAGCCGCGATGCGTACACTCTGGCGCGCATGGAGGCAGCGTGGTACAAGTTGGTTGCAGAAGATTTGGAAGGATGTAAAACCGCCATCGATGAATGCGAGAAGATTTTGGACGACTTGCCTGGAACGGAGCCTGTCATAAATGCTAGCTTCTACCGCGTTGCTGCCGCTTACTACAAGGTAGTCAACCATGGATGGGACTAGGTTTGGCAGGTCATCGGCTTACTTCGTGATTTTGTTTCTAGGCGAAGGCGCAGTATCCCCAGTATTACCACAACGCGCTACTCTACTTGTCGTCCATCTCCTTGGACGAACTGAGCCCGATCGACAAGCAGGAGAGGGCGTATGAACTTGCTATCAGTGCGCTGCTTGGAGAGGGCCTGTACAACTTTGGAGAATTGGTGGGTACCAAGCATTAAGTGTTGAACGAGAGCAATCCGGATGCTGTTACAATCAGGCTGGGGCTAAATGTCTAGCGCACATGCAGCTGCAACATTCCATCCTGGACTCTCTCAAGGGCACCACCTACGGCTGGCTCCGAGACATGCTCTTCTGCTTCAACAGCGGCGACATGGACGCATTCGACAAACTGAGCCGCAGCGGTGACTTCCTGAAACAGGTATCTACCCCACTCCCACAACCATCTCTACTAAACCCGCAAATACCGTATCTCACTTTACATCCCCTTCTTAGCCCCTCCTAGTAAATTCCGTCCCGTTCCTCCGCCAAAAGCTGTGCCTCATGACCCTGATAGAAGCAGTCTTCAAGCGCAGCAAAGAGTCCAGGGGCCGCATGACCTTTGGCGAGATCTCGAAAGAGACGAGGGTGCTGAATGAGGAGGCTGAGCATTTGGTTATGAAGGCGTTGAGTTTGGGACTGATCAAGGGGAAGATTGATGAGGTTGATCAGGTGGTTATGGTACGTTTACAGGCTTCAGATTTCGTGCCGGCTCACACAGGAAGGTTCAGCGGACTGAAGAATGATGCTTTTGGCAGGTCACTTGGGTCCAACCCCGCGTCCTGGACAGGAATCAGATTGAGAGCATCCGTGACCGTCTTACGGACTGGTCTGCCAAAGTCCGGGAGCGGGTGCTGATTTCCGAGGAAGGCGCGGCGGACATGTTTGCTCAATAGATAGCAACCTTGTTGTTTTCGTCACCTGCCGAGTACCCTTTCTGACCAATGCGTAATGATGGATTGTACAAAATATAAATATCCAATCGATCCGCGCATCATTTCCGTCCGATGGCTGACGACCTGGCTCATCGAGCAATCATGCATTCACGGGAACGCCCACTCCAACTGAAATGCACATAAATACTGTACAATCCCCTATCGTCGCCGGTGATCCCTATCCCTATCCCAATCCCGCCGATCGGGGCTCCGTCTACCCCTGTCTCTCCGGTCTGGGCTCCTACTCCTGCTCCGTCTCCTATATCCACTCCTACTCCCCTCACCTCCACTCCGCCTCCTATCCTCTCTCTCCCTATCACTCTCCCTAGCCCTTCCCACCCTGTCCCTATACGTCACCTCCTCACGCCGTCTATCCATCTCAGGTTTCTGGTTCGCGCGCTCGTCAGGCCGACTTCGGGATCCCCCGTTTTTCTTTTGTTTCTCGCCTTCGAGATCGCCGGCATGCTCGAATACGAGGTCGTACGACTCGTCGCCGTGGCCGTCGCCGCCTCGGTAGCGGGTGCGGCGTTCGAGGGCGGGACCGCCAAAGTCTGTGTTGAATTTGGTGCGTTTCCCCACTGGAGATTGGTGAAGAGAAACGTGGTTAGACGGAAGGGAGCTGGGTGGAAGGTAAAGTATCGGGGGGCGGAACTTACTCAAAAAGTCGGTGTGGAGTTTGGAAACGCTTTGTGAGAAATCAACGTGGATTCGGCGGTCGTCTATCAAGACGTTGTCCATTTTGACGTAGGCCTATGGGATTGCTGCATGTCAATACCGTTCCGCCATCTTGAGGCTCCACAGTCCATCGTTCGCCCGTACCTCTTCACAGGATTCCTTGTTATCAAACTCGATAAAGGAGTAGCACAAAGAGTCTCCCGTCTTCTTATCGCGCACCACTTCGCAACTGAATATACGATGCAAATCAGCCTTTTCTACGAAATCCACGAAGCAAAACCGGTCTTTCAACAGCGTCAACACCCACCTCAAAATAGTCCCAAACCGCGAAAAAATCAGCTCCAAATCCTCATCCCTCGTCACCGGATTCAGCTTACACACAAACAACACGTTCTCCGGCGGCTTAATCTCCGCAAACGGCAAATCCCCAACCATCTCCAACGTCAACGCCCGCGCCGCCGCCTCCTCCTGCCGTTCCCGCCGCTCCAGCTCCTCGGGGGGTAAGTCGGGGACCAGTTCCTCGTCCTCGCCGATCCGGCCGGATTTCAACATCTCTTCGGTGGGCACGGGGGAGCGGTCCGGGATGATTAGCCCCGGTGGGTCCGGGAAGGGATCGTCGAGGACGATGGTGTGTTTGATTCGGATGTCGCGGTAGGGTCGGCCGTCTTCGTCGGCTATTGCGGCGTTGATTTGGTCGAGGACATCGAGGCCTTCGACGACCCGCCCAAAGACTGCATGCTTGCCGTCGAGGTAGTCGAGGTGGTTTTCGGAGAGGGTGATGAAGAACTGGGACCCGGCGACGGCTGCCCCGCTTGCGTCGGATTCGGTTGTGGCGAACGAGACGGTGCCTTTTCGCTTGTGTTTGAGTTTTGGGTGGACTTCTGGTGTGAAGTATCTTCGAGACGGGCCCTGTATCACACTGGGAAAAAGGAGAGACCGTTCAACCTCCATTCAAAAACATGCAATTGCCCTTTGAAACGATCCTACTCACCCCCACACAGACTCACCGCCTTTCCCCGTGCCCAGTGGGTCCCCAGTCTGCGCCGTGAAGTTCTTTTGCACAGAGTGGAACAAGACAAAGTTGTAGTACTTGATTTTGCACAGTTTGAGGAAGTTCGTCGATGCTTTCGGGGCTTTGTCGACTTCGAGGTCAATGACGATCTCCCCTAGCGAAGTTTCCAGTAAGACCGACATTTCTTCTTTCCGGCGACGGCGGAGGGTCGGAACAAGAGGAGGGGAGCTTCAGTGGGTATGTGTATTATGTACAGGCGTTTCTTGAATAGAATAGCGTAGGGGATGCCTTCCGGGGTTTAACCAAAAGTGTGTTTTCGAACCCATTTCGAACCACGGTGGAGAGGGATGCAGGAGCACCTAGAGGAGCACGCGTTCCAGAGGCTCGCGTTTCCTGCCCGTCTTCCCCGCTGCTCACGATTTACAACCTATCGCCGGCGGGCTCAAGCTTCCGCCCCGACCCCTCCTGGCTCCCGGCAAGCTTAGAACAACCGTTCCACTGAGGTAAAGCACAGCAATCAGAAGAAAACTTCTCCAGAAGATCGAAAAAAAAATCTGATTTTCAGGCAGATATGCCTTTCTATATACAAAGACGACCGGAGCAGGCAGTGAAACCCATGCACGTCCTTTGACCACGAGCTCTAGCCACCCAGGCATCACCTTATGGGTTCCCTCACAACACAAGGCATCACTGCATCCCCGCAAAAAAGCCAGAAAAGCACGCCTCAATCCGACGCACCAAAAAGGTCAGGCTTGCCAACAGCGATCAGCATAACGACGTTGAGTCCAGTGATGATGAGCCCGCAGAGGGTAGCGATAGCGATCGTGAAGTAGTTGTTTGCGTAGTTGTGCGTCGTGGGTTCGTTTCTGCTGTCCGCTTGGAATTTGACTGTCATGTAGGCTGTGAAATGTGAAGAGTTGCTTTCGTCAGTATGTCGTGTCAAGTCGAATGGAATAAATCCAGGATGACCCCTCACCTTTGCGAGACGTGAACCAGATCAACGGCCATATAGAAAACGGAAGCTGGACGCTCAAGATGACTTGACTAACGACCAGAAGCTCATCAAGGCCGTTCGACCCTTTAACGAGGACGACAACCAGAGCGGGGATAAGCGCCAAGCCCCGCGAGACAAGGCGGCGGACCCACGGCTTAACCCTGAACCGCGAGCCCAAGAACCCCGACATGACAACCTGTCCCGCGATCGTCCCCGTGATAGTGGAGCTTTGCCCCGATGCCAAAAGCGCGATTCCAAAAATGACGGCAAATGCCGGTGAAAGCAGCTTGCCAAGCAGATCGTAAGCGTCGTGGAGGGTGGCGATTTGCGTGTTGCCGGTGGTGTAGAAGGCTGCTCCGGCGACGATGAGGATGGCGGAGTTAATGAAGAGGGCGTAGGTCAGGGAGAGGATGCAGTCGATTGTGGTGTATTTGATTGTCTTTGGGAGGAGTTTCATGTGGTGTCGCGCTAAGGGGGCGTCGGCCTTCTCAAAGGCCTCGGGAACGATGGTTCCGGTGGGCAGTAGAGTGGCTGGTGCTGTTTGACTGTAGCGGTATTGGATCAAGTGAGTGTGCAGGAACAGGTTGTGCGGCATAATCTAGAATGACAGACGCGGTTAAGTCTCCTGGAGAAGGATTGCAAGATTTTGGATAACGGAACTAACCGTGGCGCCAACGATTCCCATGAAGATCCATAGCTGGTCACCGTTAGTGAACAGCTCCCTATGCGGGATGTAGCCCTCAAAGACGTCTCCCCAGTTGGGTCCGACCTTAATCAGCAATGCAACGAAGCACACACCGATAATCCCAACCAGCGCCATGATTCCGAATTCGAACCACCGCAAGTATTTCGGCCCAAAGCCAAACAAGATGATCAACACGTCCAAACCGGTGATAGCCACAGCCCACGGTAGAGGGCATTTGAACAAGAGGTTCAGCGCTATCGCGGCGCCAATGACTTCGGCAAGATCGGTGGCGATAATCGCGGCCTCCGCGGTCAGGTAAAGAAAGAAGTTCGCCCAAGGATTGAAACTGTGCCTGCACAGCTCCGCGAGGTCTTTACCGGTCACGAGGCCAGCCTTCACCGCTAGGGACTGCAGGAGCATGGCTACGGTGCTTGCGAAGAGAATCGCAAACAAGGGATTATAGTAGAACTGGGAACCACCGCTCAGGTCGGTGGCCCAGTTTCCGGGGTCCATGTAGCCGACGGCAATCATGGACCCCGGACCAATGAATCTTAGGAGAGTTCGGTACCAAGGGGTCTCGGGAGCGCCGCCAAGCGAAGCGACGAATGGCGAAGGAAGTCCCGGGCCATGAATCATGATTTCTTTGAGTCCAGGATCTTCCATGCTGCCTTCCTTGCATGTGCGTGTGCGAATATTCTCAAGATCCCCATCCTCCTCCACCACGACAAAGTCTTCAGCAGTAGTGGCGACTCCGGTGCCTCCGCCTACTTGGTTTGCGTCGCGTAGTGCCCTCGCGCCTAGCGCAGCTTCTGCGTGACGAGGACTTGTTACGTCTAGAGACGACGGCTGAGAGGGCTGGGATTCCTCGCCGGAGGCGGATGGGGGCGGTACTATACTTGGTTTGTTCATGGCTTTTCAACCGCACTGGGGGGTTGGTGGGAAGTTCAGGTTTAGGGGTCGGTTGGATAGTGCTGCTGGGCGCTTGGAAGTGCTCGTTCCGCAGGCGGATAGGTTTCAGGTAACTCTTACGGCTTGTCTGTGGCGACGACCGAGATCGCTTCTTGGCATATACGGGTTCTCGTGGGAAACTGGGAAAAGTGCAGCACTGCCCGTGGGGAATGACGAGTTGGAGTTGGGGGGGGGGTTGCGCGTATTTATGGTTTCTGGCGCATCGGAGGAAACCGGAGCACGTCGGCGGAGAACAGGAGAACGAGGGACGTGTTTTGGAATTGAATCCATTCGAGAACGCGCGGAGAGGGCCCCATTACGCACCCGTTAGGAATGTGGTGGGTGGATAAGTAACACTGGCTGCATTGACGCCTTGGGTAATACTAGTACTAGAGAGAGAGGAAAGGGACGCGTTTGATTAGCGGCCTGCCCTCTTCGCACCGCGCAAGAAAGCCCCTCTCCGGAAAAAGTGGTCAGAGAACTCTCAGAGAACTCTCGCCAACCACCACTCCCACACCCCCCCCCCCCCCCCCCCCGCTCCCCTCAGTCTCACACCTACCTCTCAATCAACCTACCCAGAGAAAACTATGGTCTCCCAGACGTTCGAGTGGAAAGAGGGCGGTCATAACGTACGTGTTCGTCCTCACTGGGAACGTGAAGGGCCAGTGGGACAGACAGCAATGGAGCGTGATCGTGGAAACAAAACCTGCCCACAGACGTGCTAACGGATCGTTCTCTTCTCCCATTCTGTGCGCATCAACCCATGACAGGTCGTGCTTACTGGCGACTTTATCGACTGGTCCCAGGACCTCGTCGCTGAGAAGGTGGGTTGGGTGTTCAGTCACGGAAAGCCATTTGAAAGTCCGCGCCCGCGATCTGCTCTTTTGACGTGTTGCAACACAGGGCGAGGACGGTGTGTTTCGCGCTAAACTTGAGCGCGCTCCGGGAACAAAAATCGTCTTCAAGTTTGTCGTCGACGGTGACTGGAGGAACGCTACAAACTACCCCACTGAGGCGGATGAGTCGGTGAGTTGCGCGAGCGGAGCGAGCCGTGATATTGACTGCGAGCCGCGAGCTACAGCGAAGCGCAAGCGGAGCGAGCCACGTTGCGCCAAAGGCGCAATCCTCCCCTAACCACGGTTCCCAGCGGGCCTCAGCGAGCGTCAGATCTTGTGCGAGCGAAGCGAGCACCACATTGCGTCAAAGGCGCAAGACTCCCCTAACCACGTAGCCCAACCTCCTCGTCGCGAGCGGAGCGAGCAGGGTATCGTTTCAACCACCCATACACTCAACCACCCAACCAACCTTCACTTCGCTTCGGACATGCGACGTGAGACTTGGTGATGACGAGCAACTAATCCATACTGTCGGTTCATAGGGCAACCAAAACAACTTCTTTGTTTTCCCGGAAGACGTGATTGTCGATGACGTTCCCGCCCATGTCGTCTCTGCCGGTTCCATCCCTGACGTGATCTCCAACAGCGCCGGTATCGTTATTCAGCCCCAGGAGGAACCCGTCGTCGTTCCAGAACCTACCAGCGTTGAGGCCCCCGGAGAACATCACGCTGAAGTCGCAAAGACCGAGGAACCTGTCGTGGCAGCACCCGAGGAGGTTGCCCACCCGCACCCCGTTGACGAGCCCAGCATCGCCACCGTCGATGAGGTCCAGGGCCACGTGGAAACTGTGGATTCTACCCCCGAGAAGGTCGTAGAGCGTGAGGAGCCCGTGCAACCTACGCACATCGAAACGGAGGCCGTGCAGGACGCAGCCCCCGTCGTCGCCGCTCACGAGCCCAAAGTCATCGACCTCGCCACCGCAGAGGTCCTCGCTCCCGCGCCCCTCCCCGTCGCTGAAACTGTGCCCGAACCCAAACTGGAGCACGTCACGACCTCCGTCAACACCACCACCTCTGCTGCCCCCATGCTCGACACCCCCGAGATCGAACCGTTCACCGTCCCATTCACCACAACCTCTTCGGACGGCGCCATCGTTGACGAGCCGGGAGATGTGCACGTGATCACGAAGGAGGTCAAGACGACCATCATTGAAGCGGAGACTATTGAAGAGGCTGTCAAGGCGTTCGACCAGGATGTACCCGCGACCTCCACACTGGCGGTTGAGAACCCCGTGGTTGAGTCCACCCGCGAATCGTCCGTCGCGTCCCTGCCGGCTGTGGAACCTACCCTCGCCCTTCCCCCCGTTGATGCCGCTCCTGCCGCTGTTCTGCAAGCCCCGGTTGAGGAATACAAGCCGGTCGTTGAAGAACCTACCCCCGTCGTCGCGCCCACACCCGCTGCTGAAATCAAAACCCCCGAACTTGTCCCCGAAACCCCTGCTACCGAGTCCAAACCCGCCGCTGTTGAGCCCGCCGCTGTTGAGCCCATTGAACCCGCACATACCACTACCGCCGCCGCCGCACCCGTCGAACCTGCAGTCCCAGCTCAGGAACCGGAAACGCCCGCCCCTGCGGCGCCTGAACGCACGACGTCGGTAGTGGAGGAGGCTAAGCTGGAAACACCCAAGCCTAGCATTGAGACAACTCACGTAAGAAACACCATAATGATTTTGAAGCCTGTGAAAGACTCCCTATCTGACTAACGGTCTAATGTTCCTATGCCCGCCCACAGTCCAACACGTCCGCGTCGAAGGTAACCTCCCCATCGGCGGCGAGCCCCAGTAAGAAGCCCGGGTTCTGGAAAAAGGTACGTTCTCGGACCTATCCTCGTAGCTCTCGAGTTTACGCCTGGAAAGCCCCCAATCTAACATCCCCCTCGCTCCCACCCCCCTCTCAGTTCAAGACCATGTTCAAATAACGCATTCCCTCCGACCACCCAAACATGAATTCTCGCTCGCTTCTTCGGGACAAACCGACCACCAAATCCATATCCCCAACACATTCCCCACCCCCGTCTCACACCCTTCGAAACAACACCCAACACCCCCCAAAAAACGACTCTGTGGACCGCTAATACCCGGCCACCCCCCTTAATCCTCATGGAACTCTTTCCCACTACCCCTGCTTATTGTATCACAAAGTACTACTCTCTCTGGGATTCGGGTTTTGTCAAACTCGAATCCCATGTGGCAGTGTCCCTTTTCACCCCCCCCCCCCCCCCAAAACCTCTTTTTGTACTTTTCTTCTTGTGTGTCTCTTTTACCCTTATAGAAATTTGGAAATGATATGAAAATACGTTTGTTTGGATGAGATGGTTCCGTGGGACTTTTGGGTGTGGTTGGATATGTGTACAGGCGTCTAAGATGGCTTTTCAGAATGTCTCATGGTTGCCGATATCATCAGGCAGCTTTCGTTCCCCGCTCGCGGCTCATACGGCCTGGCAAAGAGCAAATCGAGTTGGAGCGGGTGGGCAGGGCGGGTGAGAGATTGAGGCAGTTGGTGTATAATAAAAATCATGTCTATATATCGATCGACGACAACAGGCACTCAGTCAGGCCAAGAGGGATCAGATCAGTTTCTGTTGGGCGCGTCGAGAAGAGATGTAGTCAGATTTCGAGTACACTGAAATGATGCAGCGCGGGATGCAGGAAGCCATCGTCTGATTGGCGTCTTACGAACCTTTGCCTGGAAGTAGCTCCTCAGATATGCAATCTGCCAGACTCCCGATGCGACAAGGGTGATGATTGTGAACGTGTTGAACCATTTCACTCGCGAGTTTGTCGATTCTGTAAGCAACAATGGAGTCGGTACATATCAGCCCAGGCGCGCATCGCATTGAATGGAGATCATGAGCCCAAGACCCATAGGTGTCCCGCCACACACGCACGCACGCACACACTCACCATTAACATCCCTCAAAGCGGACTCCCTCCCCTTATACTCCTCCATCTGATCAATAACATCATGCAACAGCGCCTCCAACCTCATCAGCTCAAGCTCCACCGGCTTCAGTTTCTTATTCTTCAACTCATCACTCATATCCAGCGCCTCAGCGCCCGTGTCGACGTGCAGGGCGATGGACCGTTTCAGCTCCTGCGTGACCTTGATCCCGGGGCTGACGGTGTTGGTGAAGCAGAATTGCACGTCGGCTTCGTCGTGCGTTGTGAAGGCGAATTTTTGGTCGTCGGTTATGTCGAGTTTGTGCCTGGGATGGGGGGATGGGGGGTGGTGAGGTGGAAAAAGGATGTGAGAGAGATGGGGGGGGGGGGGGGGGGGGGGGATCTTACCAGTATTTGTTTGCGTGGGGGCCTTCGTCGAAAACCTGTGGAAGATGGCGCAATGGTGAGTGCATGCCTCAAACATTTGTTCTTCCCACTCGCAGCTCTGGCAACACTCTCTAATAATCACACCTCTCCTCTCTGCCTTCACACCATCCCTCCCCTGCCCACTCTCTTTCCCACCCACACTGCCCAGCACACTCCTTTATCATACCTCCAAATCAACCTTCTGGTGATCCCCGTGCGGCACCGACACAGTAACGACCACCAGCTGCTTCTCCCTGATATTCTGCGAGATACATCTCTGCGTCCCTGGCTGGTGTGATGCGGTTAGGTCGAACTTTAGCGCTTGGGATGGTGATGTGAGGAGGAGGAGGGCGGCAGCGAGGACGAGGAGGATTTGGGACGCGAGTGGCTGGGTGGGTCTTGACATTATAGCGGTTGTCGGGGGCGGTATGCGGGGAGGGCAAGTGGTGTGAAGCAAGGGTTATCTGGGTGGCCGGTCGCCGGAGTGCAGTCCTTTGCGTTACGACGAGACCGCTGGCAATCTTGCGCAAATGCAAAGGCAGCCGCACGAGAAAGCGAGACGCCCCACAGGAAGACAACGCGTCCACGGCCTTTCCCCTTTTTCCCTGCCTTTTTCCCAAACTGCCGTCGCATTCCTATGTCCCCCCTAGTCTTGAACAACTCCCTATATCGAAAACCCATACTCCTAGGAATTCCCTCCTCCTCAATTAACTTCGCAGTAGCAGTGTTTTTCCGTTGCTACCAGGCACCCGCTTCGAAAAAAGTCTCAGAATGCCCACGCCTCTCACAAAAACACCGGCCTCCTCGGCAACACCTTCTTCTTCCACTGCCGCACAGGCACCACCACCACCAAAACGAAAAAGCACCAGCGAAATCGACGATATCTTTAGCGGCAAGAAACCGAAAACAGAAATAGACGCCGACGGGTTCGCTATCCCCGCCCTGCCAGTCCCATCGAAACTAAGCAGAAATCAGAAGAAAAGGCTAAAGGAGAAAGAGAAAGGGAAGGCGGCTGAAAGCGCGGATACGGTTTCAAGTGCTGGGAAAGCGGTAGCGCCATTGATAGCAGACTCAAAGAAAAAAGAAGGGGATCCACAGGAGGAGGATGATGATGATAGTGGTGCGGAAAGCGAGGACGGGCCTGACGACGACGAGGTGTTTGAAAACATCACGGACGAGAAGGAGATCCGGGCGCGGGTCGCTGAAGCGCGAACGACGCGACCCAAACCTGTCGTTGAGACGATCGAGTTCAAAGACCCGACGTTTAGTAGTGGGAGTGGGAGTGGGGCCTTTGTGAAGCCGCCGAATGATGCGTTTGGTGATTCTCGGGGGTTGATTGCAACAAGTACGTGTCTCCTAACTTTTAAAATGGCTTGCTTGGAGCTTGATGCTGACGCTGCTTACACTACAGGACGGACAGATGATGGGTTTGGAGTGTTCACCACCGATGAATTGGCCATTGGGAAAGGCGGAGGTGAGTGCCAGGTCATTTCCTCTTGAAGATAATCACAAACGTCTTGCTAATACCTCCGCCCCCTCAGATACTCCACAATGTCCCTTCGACTGCTGGTGCTGCTACTGAGCGCAAAGCCCTCGCATGCATGGGTGCTTCTCTTCCCGACTCCGAGGCCAATACGCTTTTGAACGTGCGACTATACCCGAATGGATCGGTTTGCGAAAACGATTGATTTTCCAGCTCGATGATATCGCTCGTGCATGAGGAGCTGTATATTCATTCGATTCATGCCATTCGAAAGCCACGAAACCTGCCGGAATGGTCGGGGACACTCGCTCAGGCGACGGAGAGGAGACGCACACGTGCAGGCCCGCAGCGGCCGTGGCTTTTGCGATAATTCAGGCTGTGGCTATTGCGATGATTCCAACTCTACGTAGAGTAATATAGACTCTAGACACAGCATCACAAAAAATCATGATGCCACCGATTTTGCACGTTTACGAAACGGGTCAATTCTTTCTGCTGCCGTCCATCCAAAGTGCATGTAGCGAGGGAGTTAGGGTTAAGGATTATTAGTTTGGGAGACTAGGGTTAGGGACAGGGTTTATGGTTGTGGGGAGGGTTAGGGTTATGACAACTGACATTAGGGTTGAGAGTGAAAGGTTGGGTTAGGGTTACCTGCGGGTTGGAGTAAAAAGGGTTAAGGATTCCAGGCCGTTGCGTCATGATCGGCCAAGGTCCTCGTACTCCACAATTTTTTTCCCCAAAGTTTTCCTTTCTCTCTTCGACTTTCTGCACATGCAGCTGTCCAAGAGCTTTTGCTAGGTTCACGCCATGATTGGTTGGCAAGCGGCGTCCCGTTCACTATGGGCGAAAGTATTAGAGGACGGATGATGTATTGCCGCACCGGCGCCGATACATCCCGAATGTATCAAAACTTTCGAGCGAACGTCTTCTCAGGAATGCATCATGCGCTCCAAAAACAACAAACGCAGGGAGCTTGCAATGGACATTTTATTATCCCGAACAACATGGGCATGATGAAAAAAGCGTCATGACAATTTTTATCGCCTGTCAGAAGGTGTTCGGGAGTGCCGTCATCTCAAGTTAGAAACCCCTGCGTATCGTCCCGCCAACTACCAGCTCTTTCACGGCATGGCGCTGACCATGAACCGGAAGCATTCGCATCCGGTCAAGAAATACCAATCGTTTTCGAGCAGGAAAAGACAAACCTAATACATATACAAATTTGCTTTTGGTGACATCTCAACGCGTGGCTCACGCGAAAACATCCCAAACATCCTGCTCTGCACGCGCTAGGCTACGTCAGCCAGTTGTCACGGACGGAGGACTTTGCCGAACTTTGCAAGTTGTTTTTCGCTGCATATAGGACATGGAGCGCGTGCGTAGGATCTGGAGAGTGGGCAAATCTGCGGGGCGATGGATATTTGGTTGCGGGACAGCCCGTCGGCTCGCTTTTTCTTTCCCGAGGGTGACGCAAGAAGGGTGTGGGATAAAGTGCGAGATGGTCGAGACGGGCAGCTTCCGAAGTATAAAAGACCGTAAGGTATGCCGCTCCTCCTCGAGATCCAGCACAGCTCTCGCACCCCTCCTCCCCCCTCATCGCAAGCGGCAACCAAGCAAAGATGGTCTCCAACATCCTGCACACTGTCCTCCTAGCAGCGAGCCTCCTCCCCCTCGCGCACGCGGCGCCCGCCGACACCTGCAAGTACAAGGGCGCCCTCGTCAACTGGCAGCTCTTCAAGACCTGCAATCATGTCTGCAACCTCTACACGCCCACCACCGTCGCGGAGGCCCAGGCGATCGTGCGCAACTCCCTCGCCCTCGGCCGCGGAGTGAAAGCTGTCGGCGCAAGACACTCGTACACTGATAACCTGTGCAAGGAGAACGCTGATTTCATCGACATGACCAAGTTGCATAACATCATTTCGATCAACAAGGACGAGGGGTGGGCATACTTCGAGGCTGGGACGACCTTTGGGGCGCTCGAGATTGCGTTGAAGAAGGAGGGTATGACATATGGGTTTGCGGCGCCCGCGTGGCCGCTCATCACCGTCGGCGGCGCGCTGGCGAACAGTGCGCACGGGAGTGGGTGGACGACCGGAGGCCCCATCACTGTGCCCGCCGCGACGTTGGCCGTGGACATCATCAACCCTCAGGGAGAACTGGAGACAATCACGGATGGCGACAAACTCGCTGCAATTAAGACCAACCTCGGCCTTCTCGGCGTTGTGGTCCGCATCAAGTACGCCGTGCACCCCTCCCGCAAGATGCGATACAGTCTCGAAGTCGTCTCCGACAAAGACGCCATCGCCGACGGCCTCCTGTCAATCGTCGAGAAACAAGCCGGGACGATCGGGTGGTACATCCCCTCCTTCCAGACCATCGCGCTTGCCAAGATGTCCCACGCCGACGACTACAGCGGTCCGCTGGCCTCCGGATCCGCTATCACCAACACCATGCAGACTTTCCGCCGCAATGTGCTCAGCAAGGCTATCGCGTGCAAGCTTGCCCTCTGCCCGTCACCCATCTCCAACAGCTCCGTCGTCCCCGTCGTCGGGTTGGAAGAGGACGTGATTGGCGGCGTTTCGGCCGTGTATGGCGATATTCTCAGCGTTATGGGCAAATTCGGGATCGTGCTCCCCATCGGTGTTGGCGACGACGAGTACGCGCTGCCCATTTCGCGTCACCAGGAGGCCATCGCGGCGGTAAAGGCCACGTTCAAGGAATACCACGACATCGACATCAGCATCAAGGGCGTGTCGGCGGCCCTGCCCTTCGTGGAGATCCGCTTTGCGCCCGCGGAGGACACCGCGTACCTCGCGCTCAACACCGACTCGGACCCGGCCGTGTGGGGACAGGGTACCGTGTGGATCGAGGTATGGTTCTTGACCTCCGAAGCAAACGAGAACCAGATTGGGAAGTTCAGGAATGCGCTCCAGGCCCGTTTGTTGGCGCTTGGCGCTCGCCCGCATTGGGGAAAGACCAGGGAGGTTACCTTCCAGGGCGGGGTTAGGGACCGTTATAACGGCAACTTCGCCAAGTTTGAGGCGGTTCGTCATGCTATGGACTCCAAAAACACCTTCATGAACGAGTTCGCTACTCGTGCTGGTATTCAGTAGATTGGATCAAAAGCATATTTAGATTGTATCTCATCGTTGCGTACGTAGAGAACATAGAATGTTACAATAATGGACATAATACAGATACATTGTCCTCACGTCCTATCTCGCTGTCCCACTGTTTTCCATCCCAGTATGTAAAGCAAAACCAGATTTTTGGTGCCCAATGGAAAGTTCATATGAATCTCGCATAAAGAAACCAAGAACAACTATGTTTCGAAGTATGAGGGGTATGATCAAGCCCGAAAATGGTTTTCTCCGAGATAAATAGACGTACAAAATTTGGGGAAACGGAAGACTGACATTGAACAGCTTAACAAGAGGTTGGCAGCTCTACAGTGGCCCGTCCCACAGGGAAGGAAGGACAAACTCACACAGGATGGTGTGAACCCATCACGGATTTTGTCAAGCCACCTGCCCGGCAGCGTCCATGCCCATTGCCCACCCAAGCGACGCTTTGAACTCTATGAAAGCCTCGTTGAACCCGTACTGCCCTTGAACCTCCGTAGAATGCTTGTGCAGATTCTTCGCCCACTCCGCAACCGGGGTGGCGCCAAAGATCTTCCCCTCCCTCGTCCTTCGGGCCACCTCCGACACAGCCATCCTCCAGCCCTGCCCCAATCTTCTGTACAGATGACCTCGTGCCACGTCGTCGTGAGCTGGGTCTTGCCAGACTGGAAGTCTGTGCACAAGCGTTGTCGCGATGTCCAGGTAGCCGAACGAGCTTGCGGGGTATTCGTGTTGAAACTCGATCGGATATGCGTTTGGCAGGACGAAGAAATCGAGGAAGTACAGCAGGACTTCCTTCAGCTCTTCCAATTGCGGTCGTACGCGGTGGAAAGAGTAACTCGTAGTTGATGGTCCGTCTTTGTGGTATGGGAAAGCGTCTGGTGGAAGAAAAGGATTAGGCAAGAGCGACATAGAGGAGAATTCCCAACAGGCATTCCACACGCCTCGAGACTCGTTGATTACCTATCAGAGCCTTTTGTGATCTTTCGAGCAAGGAGCTCGCAGTGGTCAAAGAGGGTCGGGGTATTAAACCAAGGACTTCGGAATGCTGCTGCGGGTGTCGTTCGACTAGGGAGCAAATAATTCCAGCCAGCTGGTCGTTCGGCAGCATGGAGAGGAGTTTCCTTATTGGCGGTTGCGAGAGGGAGGATGTATGGGCTTCCTGTAGGCGTTGCAGTAGCTCGGGGTTCACTCCACCGCTCCTCATTCGTTTTGGTGAAGCGAACGGGCTGGACGGGTCGATAAAGCCGGAGGGCTGAATGTCGTCGTTTGCTCTCCGTTTCCGGCTAAGCGGCCTTGCTGGCGAGTGCTGGAGCATCATGTCCGCCATTATGCTTTTTGGCTGGGGGTGTTGCTGCTGTTGCTGCTGTCAGTGGAGGCCTGCTGAGAGCGTCCGCAATTTCGTCGTCGTGGGAAAGACGCCTGAACGTCTCGCGCAAGGAATGGTTTTATGTTGTTGCGTTGTAGTTAGACGTTCAGCAAGAGGTAAAGCCACCTAAGTATAGACAGGTTGCGCAGAGTAGTTGGTTAAGCGTCTACGAAGGGCTGTTGATAGCGCTTGTGATGCTGCTTCTTAGCCAGCGCCGAATCCGTCGTTCTTGCGTTTTGAGGGCCATTACTTAGCCAGCACTTGGTTTGCTTGGCTTTACGAGTGGGGCGGATGTGCTCTGTGTATGTAATCAATCAATCAATGTGGACACGCCACTGGAGAACACGCAGAAATGCATACGCGTGAGTCAACCACCAAACGCGTGCTCTACGCCTTCCCATCACTCAAGTGTTCTTCGTATGTACCAACAAGTCAGGTGCAAAGGTATCTGAGAGATTCTGGCATGTCAGAAAAAGCCAAAATGCGGAATGAATATTGAAAGTCTGTACAGTTTCATAGGGAAGGAAACCGCTCGCTGGTTCTGCCCATCTTTGGTCGCTCTAACTCCGAAAGTCCGCCTTGGATTGCCAATTACTGTTCGATCCACCATCATTGAAGATCCTGTGATTTTGCAAGCTAGCCAAATCCCAGGTCTTTGATCTTACTTGCCTGGACTCGCGTTAGCGCAGGGCTGCTGGGCTTTCTGGTTGGGATCGAAGTTGACTCAAGAGCTTTGAAGAACCACGGACACGACAGAAGTGAGCCATCCATCCCCAATGATGTCGGGTCAGGACGACGCCGAATCATATCAGCTCAAAAAGTGAGTGGTTGCCAAACTGGACAGAGTACCGCGGCAATGCAGCTGGAAGAAGGATCTGTGAGAAATGGAGAGATCAGGCATGGATGTTGCCGAACCCCAACGTACATGGGTCCGGTCCGAGGGCGTCGGTTGTGGTGGATGGAATTAGATGCGCAATGAGCGGCGAAAGGAGATGAAAGGGATGGGATGAGAATCACCGATAGAGGGCGAAGAAACTGAACGGTATTTCTGGACGTGTTCCTCGCACTAACAATCCATATCATCTCGGCATCACAGAAAAGTGATACCCGGACATATCGACGTCCATCCAACCGACAACGCCATCATCGTCAACTACACCGTGCAAGCCAGCATCCTCGGAGAAAGCGGACAACCTGTGGCTGGCGATCGGAAGAATCTCCAGAAGATGTAGGTGGGAAACGTGCCAAAGTACGGCTCTACGGCAAACGTGCTCTGGACCGACTCGCAAAACACACTGCTTATCAGTTTGACGCTTTCCATCACAAGAATACGGGTCAAGACCTTGACACCGAGCTCAAATCTGACAGCGATTGCGCATGAGGTTGTGGATAAATGCAAACTTATACATCCGTCGAAGGTGGTGGAGGTGGAGCAGGTGTTGTACTATTTGCTGCAACGGAAAGGAAGTCAGGACGATGGTATGCCTGAGAACTCACAATCGGCGCAAGCAAGCGGGGCTGTACGGTCGCATTGATGGCCAAGTATTGACAATCTCAATACATCTCTTGTTTCCAGATGGGATCTCGGATCGAGAATGGTTGCGAAAGCAACTTGAAGAGCAGAAAAGAGAGGAAGACCACCCCCAGCTGGCCCAGACCAAGGTGCGTTAGCGAGCGATGGAACCAGATGAGACCGGGCCAAGCGACTGTGAAGAGCCGAGGATACATGGCAGAGAACATTACATGCTCAAACATCATCCTGATCGAATCATAGCAAGAAGCCTCATCAATGTCCAACATCGACTCGTACATAGAAGGTCTCTACGAGGAGATACCCGAAAAAACCATCGCCACCCGCAACGTCATGGAGCTCTCGCGAGACCCGCAAAACTTGGAAGCACTAGCGAGCAATGGTCAGTCAATCCCTGTCATTCGCACTGTCGCAGGAATCTGCTGATGCTGAGCAATACCATCCCGACTATTCCAGATGCTCTAATCTCAGCCCTCTCCCGCGTCCTCCGCGAAGACGGACGAAAGTCCATCGCACTAAACACCAACATCATCAGCGTCTTCTACGCTTTCTCTCAGTACCCGCAATATCACCCGATCATCACGACTCATAAAGTCGGGGATATGTGTCTGAGGGTCGTTGAGATGGAGATTCGGCGGTTTAGTATCTGGATTGAGGATGTTCGGGCTGTGGAGAAGAAAGGTACGGGGGGATGCTTTGCGGCGAAAGGGGAGTTCGTGTTCTGATTAGCGTGGCGTTGTCGATGGACGTTTTTGCAAACAGTGGCGGATAAGCCAGGCGATAAGACTCTAGTAGCAGAGCTAGATCAGGAGAATCGCAAGTTTCAAGCAATGTTGCAGAAACAGGATCAGCTACTGCTAGGTATGCAGACGCACCGTTCATTGGAATTATCCCCTGTGGTACCCAAACTCATACAGCCGAACACCAGTCTCATTCCATCTACTACTCAACCTCGCCAACGATCTCACTATTGAACCGAAGATGGTCAAACGCGGGATCATTAGGCATCTGGTGGAGATGCTAGGCAGGCAGACGCCTGAGCTGGTCACTGTGGTCATTACGTTCTTGAAGAAGCTGAGCATTGTCGCTGAAAACAAGGAGGAGATCATCGAGGTTTGTTATTTTGGCGATAATTTTGTCAGGAAGTTCATGATTGTGATGTACTGATGCTATGCACCGTTATGCTGCGACGCAGTTGGAAGATAGTTTTCTGCCGAGACTGGACCAGCTCATGCCCAGCGAGCATCATGTACGTCTCTCGTCCATCCTTCTAGTCTCATCCATCGCACTCATCCGCATCTTTACTTCTCCCACAGGCTCTACAACATTCCCTCCTCCGGTTTCTCCTCAACCTCTCCCACGATGTCCGCTTTCGCACGCAACTCCACAGACATCACTTTGTGCCCAGGTTGTTCTCCGTCCTTCAGGCCACGTCGACTGGTACCAGCATGGCGCTAAAACGGCAGATGACACCGACGTTGCTGTTGCTGTATATGATGACGTTGGAGGATAAGGGGCGGGTGGCGTTTGCGGATAGTGAGAAGACACGGCTGGTGAGTGGAGATGTCTTTCGGTTTGTCAGCAGTGATATACTTTTGCATTCACCTTTCAGCTTGATATCTGGCTGATGAACGGAACCCTCCTGGATCGGATTATACGCAGATTCTCCAACTCCTGCTTTCCCAACCAACGGGCCCAAACGCACCCGACCGACTCCCACTCATGGCGCTATCCATCAACCTCGCCTATCAACCACGCACTGCACCGTTCTTGATGGCCGACAAGAGCCTGAAGTTCCTGATGAAGCGATTAATGAAGACAAGGGATCCGTTGATGTGGAAGCTGTTGCGAGCAATGGCTTCGTCGTGTGGGAACGAGGGAAGGATGGCATTCCTGGTAAGCCACTTAAGCCCCAGAATGCCCGACCTTTATCAATGATCGTGACTAATCTTCCCCACAACAAGGACTACATCGACGACATAATGCACCTCCTCTTCAAATCCACAACGCAACCCGACTCCCTGGTCGAGATCCTCGGCCTCCTCGCTTCCCTCACCATCCCCGACTTCGACTTTACCAAACTCGCCGAAGCCTACAACCTGCTCGGGTTCATCCAGACGCGGCTGCAGAGCGCCATCAACGACGTCGCCAACGCCGCGAACGCTGAACCGAATGTCGACGCGGAAATGCTGGGCGCGGGGCTGAGCGAGGATGATGATATTACGCTTGAGGTGGTCAATTTGCTGGGAACGATGGCGAGCGATGAGAATATTGGGCCGGTGGTGGCCAAGACGCATATTCCGCAGACTCTGATGGAGCTTATGATTGGTAGGGGGGTTTCATAGCATTGATTGGGAGGGACGGCAACGGCCGTTCTGATATTTTTATTCTCTGAATTGCAGCAAAAGAAGACGATGACGAGATGATTCTGCAAATCATCTATTGTGCATACCAGTTCCTATTGATCGAAAGCACACGGATTGTGTTTCTGGATGAGACCCGTAAGTTGCTTTCTACTTAAGCCGCCTTATAATCCCGAACTCCCATCTGACGCTCTAAAATCTTTCTGGAATCGCGCGCGCGACGCAGAGATCGTCTCATACCTGATCGATTTGCTTTACGACCGTAACGTCGAGATCAGACGGATGTGCGATGTGTGTCTGGACATCATATCGGTAAGCCCATCCCTCAGCTCCCAATCCACAACGAATAGTACCGCAAATCTAACCCTCCATCACCTGCCATACAGGAAACCGACGAAGAATACCTCGTCAAAATCCGGCACCAAAAATTCCACTACCACAACTCCGAATGGATGCACCGCATGGCGCAAAGCACAGCCTCGGCATCGCAGCACGGGTTGTTCCTGGAGACCGCCGGGTTCGAGCACCAGGAGCAGCTGCGGAAATACGTTGGCGAGCGTCGTGGGGCGATCTTTGAGACGAATGAGGGCGGGTGGAGCGATTCGGATAGCGATGGGGACGATCAGGATGATTTTGGGATGGTTGGCGGGAATAATGCTTTGTTGGATGGGTTTTGAGGGGTGGTTCATGAGGAGGGGTGGCATTGATATTATTACTACTTATCATGTCATCTACGCCAAAATCCAAAGAATAAAAGGCGATATGAGAAGTTCACGAAGGCGTTTGAGGCCGCACATCCAGGCGTGATCGCGGATTTGATGAAGAAAGCTGACATGCGTGATGCACCGAAGTCATCCACGGATGAATACCTAAACCGTCGTCGCTTTGGAGTATCATGAATGAGCCGGAAGGCGAAAGCGCTACGCTCTTTAGCTTTGGTGGTGATGATTGAGCTGTCGTTGGGATGGACCATCATGCAGTTCGTATCGTGGGGAAGAACCATATCTTTAAACTAGACTAGATGGTAGAAGCCGTAGACTCTCTAGATACAATACGCCTTGCATAGTATTCAGTAGCAAGCTTTTTGCTCCAACTCTTCAGCCTTTCTTATGGTGCCAACTTCGAAGTGCGGACGATGCTGCATACACTGCATAAAGCCGCAGGAAGAGACGACACTCAAGGTAACATCTGCCAAATCCAACCAGCTTTCATTTGCAGAGTGCGACGATGGATATATCAATCTCCGATTCAACCCACAATCGCGCGTGAGAAGCACACTTCTCGACCGTCCTCAAAAAATCTGATCGACGATAGACAAGCACACAGTTCAAGTCAGACAAAGAAATGACGATTGATGATGAAGCAAATACACTAAGAACAATGAGGTGGGCCAGCTAACGATGTAACAATATCAACTCTACACTAATGTTCACGGTGGTCGGCGCAAAAACCAATCGCTTATTCCCTGAAAATGCAGAAAAAAAAGCAAGTCAGTAAACGAACGACGACGACGACGAGAACAACGACAAACGCAGGATTTCGATTCGCACTTGAACTCTACACTCACGACCTTGCCAAGCATGACAGCGGAGTTACCTAGAAGGGGAGAAGGTAGAGTGAGAAGCTGAACGAAAACAAGGAAACGATCGCACAAAAAGATCTTTACCGTCGAGGAAAGCGATACGAGAGAGACCCTCGCAGTTCTTGAAGGAGTCGACAACGAGGGGCTGGATGGGCTCCATGACGACCTCAGCGGCTTCGTTGGCCTTGAGAGAGTGGGCACCCTCGAGCTTCTTCATACCGGTCTCCTTGCCCATCTTCCAGTTGATAGCCTTCAAACGGCAAGCGGAACGACCACATCGGACGAAACCGATGGGAGAGTATCCAGGCTTGACTTCACCAGGGATGTCAAGAGTCTGGATCTGGGCGACGAAGGACTTGACGGGCTTCAAGGACTTGTCCTCCTTGTAGATCATAATGTCACCGGCGCGGGGCATGTTGTTCTTGTCAAGACCCTTGATGTTCATACCGATGTTGTCTCCGGCCTGACCCTTCTCGACCTTCTTGTGGTGCATCTCGACGGTGAACACCTTTCCAGCGCAAGCGTTGGCGGTGGTGTGGGTAGGAACGAAAATGACATCCTTGTTGGGAAGGACGGCACCTTGCTCGACACGTCCGGCGAGGACATCACCGACACCCTTGATCTTGTAGATACCGGAGATGGGAACGCGCATGGGAGCATCGTTCTTGCGCTCGGGCATCTCGGCGAAGTCGTTGAGAGCGTCGAGGAGAGTGTGCACCTTGACCTTCTTGCCGGACTGAGTGGCAACTTCTTGGCCAGAGTACCAGCTCATGTTGGCAGACTTCTTCAACAAGTTGTCTCCTTGCCAGCCGGAAATGGGGATGACAGGGACGTTGCCCATGACGAAGTCCTTCTTCCAGCCAGTGCGGATCAACATGTTGCGCATCTCGTTGGCGATTTCGTCGTAACGTTCCTTCTTGTAAGGACCAGCGGGGTCAGAGTCCATCTTGTTCACACCAATGACGAGCTGCTTGACTCCCAACAAGTTGAGGAGACGAGCGTGCTGGCGAGTCTGGCCTTGAATTTCACCAGCCTTGTGGTCACCCTTCTGGATGGCGGTGGTGAAGTTACCATCGGCCGGGACCATGAGGAGACCGACATCAGCCTGGGCCTGCAAGTTTGTGAGGAAGGCAGAAGAGAGAGAGGGGGGCGAGAGTGAGTATGAGAGGGCACAAGGGCTAATCGAACGTCAGGATGTCACCGCGATCAGTACTTACGGCACCAGAGATCATGTTCTTGATGAAATCTCTGTGTCCGGGGGCATCGATGATGGTGTAGTGGTAGTTGGTGGTGAAGAACTCCTTGGTGGTGCAAGCAATGGTCACACCACGAGCACGCTCCTCCTTCTGACGGTCCATGTAGAAAGCGAAAGCGAACGAAGACTTCCCGAGGTGTTCGGCCTCCTGACGGAGCTTCTCCATCTCACGCTCGGGGATACCGCCGAGCTCGAAGAGAAGACGACCGGTAGTGGTCGACTTTCCAGAGTCGACGTGTCCACAGATGACTGTTGAAGGAAGGAGAGAAACGGAAAAGCGTTCAGTTCATCGACTCAAGACCACGAACCCATGTCAAGCGGGTGATCTGCCGTTCGAGCGACCATAGTGTGAATGGCCCGAAATCAACCCGGCACAGCGCACACTTACCAATGGACAAGTGGGGAAGTTCCTTGGTGGCCATTTTGACGAAGGTTTGCGTAAGTCAAGTCCGAGAAATGGAGGTGAGATTTGACGCAAGAGTGCGAGGGGGGGGGGGGGGGGGGAAAGGAGGGAAGAAAAGCAACGGCGACGGGCGAGCTCCTCTTGTCTTCGCCGGATACTCGCACGCCCTCGTCCAAATTGCCTTTTTTTCCGTGGGACAAAGTAGCACAAGTTTACGTAAGCGCTTTATGAATTGATTTTCACCAACGTTGAAGATGAGAAGCGCAGACGAAGCCTTTGCACGACCTGCGGAAACGGAGAAGTGGACAACTCGATTTACAGTGCAACTCCAAATCCACGACCGGACACTGGAATGGCGCTCAAAGACGTTGGCCAGATGATTTATCCCACTTCTACAGTTATGAAGCGCCTTCATTCCCTTCTTTCGGGCGGAGGGTGTCGGCATTCCACACCGTCACGGTATGAGAGACGGGGCATTATAGCGCGCTCGCATCGCAGTTCAACATTGCTTCCGTCCTACTCCCGACCCTCCATCCCCATCGACGCCCAAGTCCCATCATCAAGCCAAAACTTCCATCTCCAAATCATTTCCTCCAAATCATGTCCCAAAGCCATTTGGAAACAAAATTGTGCGACCATCATTGTTGAGAACAAAAAGGATATATTACATTGTACCCAGCACCTATTCGTTCTCCTGTATGATGAGAAAAGAGGAAATATTATATGAGAATCAGAGTTCGAAGTCATCGTTCAGGTTTTCGTATGAAGAGACTTACAGCAGTGCGCAGGCGACCAGCGGCGTTGGTGACCTTAACGTTCAGCTGGGCAGCGCGCTCGACGATAGCAACACGCTTCCGGGAAGAAACGTTGTGGGCGATCTCGGCCGCAAAGACGCGGTTGTGCATCAACAGAAGCTCAAGGTCACGGACGTTGTTAACCAGGAACTTCTTGAAGCCGTTGGGCAAAAGGTGACGGGTCTTGGAGTTAGATCCGTATCCGATCTTGGGCATACTGAAATATCACGAAAGGGTTGTGATGAGCGCTTTAGTCTACTGAATCCTTCCCCATCCAAAACAGAGCCCACTTTCATTACTTACGCAATCTGGCCCTTGAATCGCCTCCTGACACGGTTGTCGATACCCTTGGGCTTCCTCCATGATTCCTATTCCACCAAAAAGTATCGCACCCCGTTAGGCTTCAATCCTCCTCCCCCGAATATTCGCAAATCCACCAAAGTCATACGCACATCAACTTTCTTGTAACGGTCAGATTGATGGCGCTTGAACTTCTTCGTGCGCTTCTTGATGATGGTACGCTTAACCAAAGGGGCGACCATTTTGACTGAGAGAAATGGGTTGGGTGGAATCAGCATTCAACCTCCACATCTCCACGCCCAGCTCCGTGCTCGCCCAGTCCCAGAAAGCCAGTGAATGTCGAACCCCGCACTCCTTCTAGAGACTATCCCGGTAACGTCAAAAATCTTCAAGTGCCCGGTCGCTCATAACCCGAAAGTCGAGCAACGAAATGAAATGACTTCCTTATACTGATCTGCATTTCGACAGAGCTTCTCCCTTCGGACCGACACCCTTCGCCTCCTCCTCCACTCGGGTCTTCGCCAATCCTCGCCAATTCCACATTCGCCTCTTTCCCGACATGTTCGAAATGCCCTCGCCGATCCCAACTCCGCGATTTCCCCCTTCTGTCGCCGACGTCAATTCCTGGACGATAGATTCTCCCTGCACCCTGTCGTTCAATGGATTGATGGATGGAAGCTCTCACTCACCTATATCCTCCCGCTGGGTTAACGAGAATAGATGGATGGATGGGTCAGAATTCACTATACTATCCCGTTCGCCGCTTTCGCTGTATGATCAGACATGAATTCACACGCGTTTCGATTATCACGTGGGATGTTAAACCGGGTTTAAGGAAAAACGTTTTGATTTCAAGATCTACTCAACATCCCGGCCACCGTCTAATCGCCATAATGCCAAAAGTAAGCCCCGCATAACAAAATGGGTATACATGAATCCAAAAAAAAGCACTGATTATAGGATGGAGGAGCGAGGGAAGAACAACAGGGGAGCGGTGGCCCAGGGCGACGGGCGAAGCTGAGCAGGACTTGGCTCGAACCTTGTGAGAGGAGTTCCACAGTGTGGTCTAGAAACCACCAACCTGGCCCCCCTCGATTTGCCTGATGCGGTATGATCGTGCCATGCCAGACTCTCAAGGCGCCGATAACCCGAGGTATTCGAAACTGCCCGGTGGTCTGGTGTGCGAGGGTAGACGAGTTGCTACAGAATGCCTATTTCCACAGCCATCACATTAACCCTACGGCAAGGTGGACAGTTGTCTAGTTCGGGGAGTACTTGGCGTCCCTCATCAGGAGTACACATACCTGTATCTGCAATGTTGCTACGCACTATGATACCCCGAACGACTTCCAATATGACCTTCATGTGTTTAGTGTCCGTTCCCGTCGTGTAGTGCGAATATATCCGCTTCTCTCCGTTCGACGTATCCAGTTTCATGAACTGTGTCCGAATAAACGCGGCTGCTGGTTTGAACTCGTTGACCCCTGAAGTAAATCCACCGATATAATATGAGTGCAAAGCTTCACTTGATGTGATGGGAAGCTTATGCGACAGGCAGGCTTAACGCACCTCGATAGTCCGGAAATGTGTTCGCCAGTGGCGTCCGCTTCAGCTTCTTCTCAAAAATATCCGCTTTGTTCAAGAACAACACCACACTGATCTTCCTCAGCAGCGGGTTATTAATCACTGAATCAAACACTATAAGCGAATCGGACATTCGATTGACGGTAGGGTCCTCGACAAGCTTTTGGTCGTAAGCTGCCAGTGATGCGACAAAGAGAATGGCGTGCACTTTGTCTTGGAAATAGGGCGCCCAAAATGCTCTTTGATTCCGTTGACCCCCGACGTCGTATATGAGGAATGGGATTTGATCGATCGTCAGCCGTGTTTCTGACACTCCCGTCGTTGGGAACCGCGTGTGCAATATATCTGCGTTTTCGTCGAAAGGTTCAGTGACAATGCTTTCCCTTTCGAGCTGCCCCGATGGTACGCCTGTCACGTACCTTGGTCATTGGGCAAGTAATTTGGTTCACAGAACTTCTCCACTCGATCCATGAAGCTGCGAGTTCCCGGCAAAGTTACGACCGGGTCATCACGCAAATTCCCACAAGCTTGCTGGATTTCAGAAAATGACCACATACTAGCTGGCTGTGTCCTGTATCAGAAACTCGTTCGATCGCTTCCAACATTCCCGAATCCCCCGGTCATTCCATAACGCTTTGATGGCGTTAAACACCTCCTTCTTCAATGGATCTGCTGCCGTTATGTGTTCTGCGTAATCGCGCACAGCCTTGGCGTTCAACTATAGACCCCCAACAAGAACTGTCAGCAGGCCATGCACTTGTTCCAGAGACATGAAGACAAACGCCATCGCACCTCATTCGCGGTGTCCGATAAAGAAATCGACAACGTTTCCAAAGCCCCCACAAGCGCTTTCCCCGACTCGAGGATATTGCGTTGGATAGTAGCTTTGAAGTCCACGCGTTCCTGGTCGTTAAAACCGGTCCCATGGATGATGCGCATTTGCTTTAGCACCGTTGTCTTCCCCGAATCCCCAGCACCCAGAAGCATAAGTTTCAGCGTCTTCCGGTCGAAATCCCGCATTTCACTTGCTTCGGATTTCAGCTGCGCGTCGATTTTGGCAGAGACTTGTCTCGCGAGTTTCCTGAGAGGCCGGGAAAGGATGAGCGAGGTTCGGCGGAAGCGACCGCTCAAGCGGTGGCAATGTATGAAATCGCCCCTGGGACCGCCGATAAAGGACTGCAAATACTTCCTTGGGACGCGCTCAACAAAGGGCGTTCCTCTGAACCCTCACATACCTCTGCTCTGGTGTATCCTGGTCACTCATTTTCAGCGACCTTCGGAGAGAATAACGTGAGTGACTGTTCACGGGAATGTGGAGACGATGAGCGAAGGTGTTCCACGCAGCACGGTGGTGGTGGGTGCGTTCTTGCCGTGAGCAGCAGTGAGCTTTTCCAAAGTCGATTCCGGAGCGCGAAACTGCGCGAAATCTCCTGGGAAGTTCTCGAGACCTGGCCTACGCGACAAAGCGCCTCCGCAGGAACTTCACCTTTACAAACCGATACGTGTGAAGGACTTTATTCCCTATTAGAGCGCCGTCCCTATTGCTCCAGCAACGGCAGATGACGTTGTGATGGGTTCATAGCATGTGCCTTCGATACTCTTCATCGAAGGATAGCCTTTACACTTTATGGGAGCTGCGATACATTTCCAGTTTTGCAAAACGGATTGGTCCTTCTCCGTCCGTCTCCCTCCTCTCTCAACTCCCGCCGCCGCGCATCAAACATGCTGATCCATAGCTGCAATGGTATAGGGGCGCTGCTTCCGCCATGCCCGACGCTTCAACAGTTGTAAAAAGACTTCATCCTGCAATGCTTGTTTTGCCTAACTATATACAGTTGCTTATGGATATCTGCCAAAATGTACGCTCCCATGTGCTGCTATCGCACATGGGCGCAGGACCAACAAGCGGTTTAGCTTGTTCGTCCGATTGAATTGGGGGATGGCGTCCAGCCGAACAGAAATCTACGCATCGGCAGCCCACTCATTTTCCCTGGAAATGGAAAGTTTGGTCCATTAGTCCCCGCAACTAGATCCTAATGTCTCACAGTCAAGCCCTACCTCCTAATTTGGTCCTCCTCTTCGGGTGTGAAATCATTCTCAATGTTGAACATTTCTCTAATCTGCTCCGGAGTCTATGATTGCGTGGACGTTAGTTGTCAGTTAACTCGCAAAAAACACTAAAATAAATGGCAAGACCCACCTTGCCCTTAAGCATATTCGCCACCGTTTTGCATCCCAGGTCCAACAGACTCTTGATATCCAGGTAGTTTGCGGCAAGGATGATGTCAAACAGCTCGTCATTTGTCCCCTTGATAAAGTTCGCATCCCACTCGTCAATATCCTCTGGCTTCTTCCGCGACGACTCGAAAGCGTCCTTATCGTCCTCTGTAGCTGCCACGGGGTCGTCCTTATGGTGCGTGCAGTAGTCTATGACTCTCTTGAGGATGGAGCTGGAGACATTGGGGAGTGGTATAGGCTCGCTGGCGTCTCCGACGTCTTCCAGCATGTTCTTGAGTAGAACAGACCGTTCGGCTACGACCTTCTCGATCGTGAACTGCTGGTTGTCCGACGCTTCGAGTATGACGGACATGTTGTATTGATATCTGCCGAAATTGAGACTCTGTTCTACCGGAACCTTCTTTAGGAGACCTACTGCTGCTCTATGTTTTTCAGGGACGCTTCTCTCGACCTCCTGTGTGCGGTATTGGCGGCGGATCAGTCCAGTCTACCTGACCGGGTCTGAGCAATGAGGAACAAAGTCGTAGCGGCGAGCAGGGGGCATCCGCGCGTCACACTCGGACGACATGAAATCAGTCCTGAAATCGAGGACTACAAATCTGACTACAAATTCGAATCAATTCTGAGACAAGACGTTGCCAACTCCGGTGCTTTAGCTTTCGACCAGATCCGACTCCATCCCTCTGCCACGGAGGCGGTCAGAGCAAGGTAAAGATGCTGGCAACGACGGGCAAAAAGGCGCTCTTGCCGGCATGGCGAAGTGCCCGCACATCTCCCTCCGTCCGTATTGCGACGCTTCCTTGCGACATACGGAGACTTGGGACTACTTCAACACCAAATTCGCTTGCGGCTCGGTCCCTTGCAGCTGCTTCCTTCGGTGCTTCGAAGGTGCGCTCCACTCTGACGACGGGCCGGTTCGAACTCTCGAAAAGACACGGATTCGCTTCAGCAGCGGTGGCCGAGGCCGTCGAAGAACCGACCTACGCTGCCCCGAAGACTCCAGGCAGTTCTCTGGAAGATCTGCGCTACTTCCTCAAGCTAGTGGCAGAGCAACAGATTGAGGTTGGGGAACGGGACGCGGCTTGGTTGACTAGAACGGCTGCTGCGTTGGGGGACGACACTTTACGGATTGCGTTCGTAGGAGAGCATAGTGCAGACGTTATCAATCTTGTCGGAGCAGTTCTGGAAACGTCTCTTGGTGGAGTTGCACCAGTAGGCCAAATCCAGCGCATCTCTTTTGGTTCAGGCAACGCTCCCGCCTCGGGATCTGACTTGACGAGTCCAACTCCCTGGCTGGCTAAAAACCGCGCCGAAGTCCTTGCAGTGCCGGGATTTGACAAGATCGATGCATCCCAGCTAGAGGATGTAATCCATCAAAGCGATCTTGTCGTCCTCGCGACTCGAGTTGCGAATCGGTTAACCAGTCCGCGCGAAACGGAGTTCCTGTCAAAGTACATCGCGAGTGGCAAGTCGAACGTCATCGTCACGGTTGACGGCTTGCAACAGGAAGGATCGGAGACCTTGAACGCGCTGGAGAGCGTCAGGGAGCGACTCAACTTCTTCGCACCAAAGTCTTCTCCGGGTCAGCCACCTTTAGCGATAGTCCCTGTCGATACACACAAAGCATTGGAAGCACGCCGTTTATTGAAGAGTTTGAACCCTGCTGGACCCACCCCATCAGTGTTCCTGAAGGATCTGGAGTCTTCCGGGGTCCGTGATGTTGAGCTATCGATTGTGTCGCATATCGATACGCCAGCTGATCGCGTCGAGTTGAAGCGAGAATCCGCCATCTTCACTGCCACACAAGCTTTGACACGCCTCCAGAACACCCTACAATCCGCAGATACCGCCCTGCAACAGGCGCTCGACGACTTGGACTCGTCGATTGCACGCGTACTGAAAACGAAGGAACGGCTCGTTCGCGATTTCCGCGGCGAGGATTTGGCTGTAGTCAATGGCAGCACAACGGCTTTGCGGGCAGCTGTCCGTGAGTACTTCACTAAAGTCCCCTTCTGGAAGCTAGTCTGGCGCAATGACTTTGTGGCGGATGACCTGAAGGTCAGGATGCGGGAGCACACGCTGCTACAAGCAGAATACCAGATGGTGTATGCGATGGGAAAGTTGAACGAAGGCGCACGATCGCTACGCGAAACAGTCCTGGAACAAGTGGACGCTGTATTGGACCCGAAGTCACATATCAGCGCTGCGTCCAACGTGAACGCCATCAAGGACCTCCTACTGGAATTAGAGCGCACCCGTATCCTCATTATCCGGCAAGGTGCTGCTCGACCTCTTGGACCAAGCACATCCGAAGCCAAATCCACACCTGAGTCGGGATCACTTATCTTCACCCCCGCCGACCCTTTCCTTCTCCGGAACCGCATTGCGACATTCGATGCCACTCGCCACTGTGATGATCTTCAACGTGATGCACAGAAGCTAGTTGTGAGGCAGGCCCTTTTCCAAGGCGCTCTCTATACCACTTTGCTCCTTGTCACCCACTTTGGAGTGCCGTTGATCTCCGTCGGGCTGCCAGTTGCACTCATTTCCTCCGGCGCCGGACTGGCTTGGATGAGGCTGCGATGGCGGTTGCTGGAGCAGAGGTTCTGGGGTCGGGTGAGCAACGGTCACGACACGCTCAAGGAAGATATTTTGGTAAGTCACCACTGTTATGGACGCATCCATTCCTATATTACGATATTCATGGCGAAAACATCCTATAGACTGCATTTGAGCAGACCACAGATCAGCATCTCGTCGAGCCGGTAGCAGGTATCGTGAAAGTCATCCGCGATGCGGTTGACGAGCGTAGACACAAGGTAGTGGACCTCCAAGCAGCCGTCGATGCGGGGTTGACCCGGGCTCGCGAGCTCCGAAAGTAACTCTAGATCTAAAGCATGCGTCGTTTGTCTCCTCATATTGGACAAGGATCCCCCTGCAAGCTTGCATTTCTCCCTCCCGTTTCCTTCACACATGTATCTATCTACCTCACTCGGAATATACCGCTGCTACTTCGGTCGCCTTAACTCAGACAACGACATATGCCACAGCTGCATGAGCGCATGGCGGGACGTACATGAGCCTGACTATAAATTTGTAGCGTCACGCCGTTTCGTAAATCTGCGGGTGCTTCGTCAAAGTCGGCCCCGGGTCAAGAGAGCGTGGGAGGTCGTAAATCCCGGGACCGTGGCGGAAACGGTTTCTTCCAGTTGAACCGTGGCGGAAGTCGGGCAAGAACCTTATCCGAACATGCAATCCCATTGCTTAAACCGCAGGCGTGGAATTTCGTGCCTTCCCCTCCCGCTCCAACTCCTCCAGCTGCTTCAGCGCCGATTCAAGCTCCATACGCTCTGTTGCCGTTTTCCGTGCTTCTGAGTAACGCATAATGTCGTCTGCAATCATCACCCGAGTCAGCACACGGAAACGAAATCGGCAGTCCAATGAAGGTCTGCACTCACAATAACCACTCTTAATCATCCCAAACTCCAGTGATGCCCCGATGGTGAAACCCACAGCGCATGCGATGGCGTAGAAGGACCATGGCGCTTTTCGCGGCGGCTAGACAAGAATGCGGGAAAATTGAGTTGATAGGTGCGATATCAGCGGCAAGTGGAGCGTTTGCGTACCCTGAAGAAGTTCTCCGCTGGGTTACGGGTTGGTATAGGGGCTCTTACTGGTCGTTGAGCGCTCATTTATGTTCGTTTTGCCGACGGAAGTCTTGTCAGTTTCAACGCAATATCGGTGGTCGAAATCGAAATACAGTAACTTCTCGTTTATTTCAATTCCGGTTACTTCAACTTTCGCTTATTTCAACGGTCAGAGGGTTAGGGTTAGGGTTCGGGTTCGGGTTACATTGACTTTGACAACACTGAGAGCACAAGGCTTGAGCACACTGAAGAGTTCATTGCTCGCCAGATTCTTAGTGAGGAAGGGTTGGAGGTTATGGGGTTAGCCTAGGGAGTGCCTGTTAACCGAGCTTAGCGTACGTTTTAGTTGCGCACCTGTTTGTATACCCTTAGTATGAGGAGGATTTTAGATATTTCAACTTTTGCTTATTTCAAGGGTCAACGGTGTTGAAATAAACGAGAAGTTACTGTATTTGAACATAAACCCCTCTTCAAAACCGTCTGAGTGCATCGCGTTGATATAGATACTGAAATGTTCCTACTTCTTACCCTAACCCTAAACCTAACACTAAGTCCTCCCGTAGTCGGGCATCTCGTGTACACATTTTTCTGTTACCGTTCCCAATGGATTCCGTTCGAAGGTTGTGCTTGCTAAGCTTCTTTTCTTTTGACTCGAGCGTGTACAGTATAAATACATCCACATCCCTACCCCATCCTCATCCCTATCTCCTTTTTGTTCGAGCAAATACACCTAAGGATCATCGGATGCACAATGTCCTACTCCAGACTAAGCATTTGCTCTCAATCCTTTTACAATTCGTCTCTACTCACAGAGAATTTCTCTGCCTTCAGAATCCCTTACAAATACATGGTACGGGCAACGCCGGAAGCAGCATTTGAAAGGGTTTTCACCCAGAGTGCACTAGTCACTTCGTGAGTGTTATGGACGACGCGCCCATACTATAATCTTACCTACTGACAGCCTCCAATGTCAAACGCCAATGTCAAACGCCAATGCCAATGTCAATGCCAATGTCAATGCCACTCCCCCTCTCTCCTCTCATTTCGCCAATCCTCCCGCAATATCGCCACTCCTCCTCTCCCCTCTCATTTCACCAATCCTCCCGCAATATCACCACTCCTCCTCTCCCCTCTCATTTCGCCAATCCCCCATTCGCCGCTCCTCCTCTACCCCGCTCATCTGTGAGCCAATCTCCGGCCATTTGTCAACCCCCCCAGTACTTCTCCACAGCCAGCAGCTGTAGCTTGCTCTCTACGCCTGCTACGCTTGCTCTAGGCTAGGGAGCAGAGCTGTCGCTCACTCAGTCCCCTCTTGTTGTTGTCTTTGGTCTGCCGGGTTGTTTATCTATAAATAGCCGCCCCCTCTTCATCCATTCCCTTCCTCCCCAGCAGATCAACACCAGTTCTTCTCATCTCTTGTTCTAGTCCTTGTCCCTGTCTCGCCAATACAATCTCTTGTCGCCCGTCGCTCTCGCCTTGTCTTCTCTACTTTGCTTCCGCCTCAGTTGTCGAGATCATAACAGTGAGAAGCATTGAGCCTAACAACCTGATATCATTCTCAGTCCAATCCCCAACACAATGTTGGAAGCTCAAAGCTCGTCGGAACCGTCGACCAACCTCGACCAGTTCGTTCAGGAAATTGCCACAAAGCTGGCTGAAAACCTCGCCGCTGCAGAACAAGAGGGCATCTGCCTCGCCCGGGAAGAGGTGAATATCCTCGCCTTAGAGACAGAGCGCCTCAAAACAAGAATGCTCGCCGCCGCAATTTACTTGCATGTTGTCATGAGCAGCTTGCTCAAACCTTGCCTGCCTTGACGCCGGACGACAGCGCCCAAAACGGTATGCCCCTCGCCTCTCCCGTCGCGGGCAAAGACATGGTTTATGATCACTTGGCCCGTAAATGCACCAAGGTCATTCTCCAACCCGGTCAGGACATCCCCATGCGCAAGAAACGACGCGCCATCGCCAACCTCATCACTGACGACGGGGTTATCTTCAAGATAGCGCCCCCAAAGCCCCTTCCCTCGCTCCAGGAGCTAAAAGTCGCATGCCGCACCGAGCGCGCTGTAGTAGTGCGCTTCGAACTGCGCATGAAATCGATAATATTTCGATGCCGATTATACGCCTAGAATCTTCGATGAGCAAATGAAATCACCTACATATGACAACGTCAAAAACCGTCAAAACTTTCAACAATAAATCGACACACTCGCGTTCCCGACACTCCGACGATTACCAAATGCAACTACCTTTACCGAAACCTTGCTTCACAACGACGTTTTGTCCTCGGATACGACTGACATGCGAAAAATGTAGGCGTTGTAGGGACGGTCCTCCTCACATGCCCGCAAACATGCACGACGCACGAACATTTGGCCCCTTACGCTGGGTGGCCAAAAGTCTGAGTAAAACGCCCCAAGGACACATCATTCAGATCATATCCACCAGCAGAAGTCGCCGGCCTGCGTGCACACTAGGTGGCCAAAAGTCTACAACGTCCCAAGGACATATCATTCCGATCATAGCCACCAGCAGAAGTCGCCGGCCTGCCTGCACACCTGAAGAAGTACAAAATTGACAGCAGCTGGTCGTCAACGCGTGGGTACCGCTTGGGCTTCTGCCTGGGTACTCAGACTTTTGGGTTGCACAAACAAGGTGCAGAACCCATCGCACCCAGACTTCGGGCCACCTACTGTAGAGTCTGCGGAACACGACTTTGGGCCTCGGTGAACTATGTTGATATTTAGTGCAGTACGACAGCGGTGCCCTACCAACATCTCTTTTCACGAGATGTTTGCCCGGCGAATGGCGCCGCCGATAGAACGTACCTGGGCACGGCGCCGTCAGGTGCAGTCCGGGAAGGTGTAACATCAAAGGAAACATAGACGATATTGGGCCCTTCCGAGAGGGCTGAGAGCAGTGTATTGTAGTGAAAAAAAAGTGAGAAGCTCTTCGCAGCGGGCGCTTGACTGACAGCTTTATATATGGGCTGCCAGTGGGGCTTGCGTGGCTTCAGTGAGGCTTGGCGCCTTATGTGATGTATCACCGAGAGCTCGGGTGGCCAGCCCGGGTCTCGGATCAAGTAGAAGTAAAGAGATATAATATGAAATACAAGTGAAGATGAGATATCCCCGACAGAAGGCCATAGGACACAGTGTCAATGCGGTCTCGTGCGTAGCTCGGGGCATTTGGGGCGTGGGTGTAAAACTTGCGGTCAGTGTGAATCGGGTCCCATCTTTCCTTTTGACACGAAGCTGAACACGTCTGGAAAATTGACTTACCCGAGTACCTGGGTTGGGAGGGCGGGACGCGTCGCGTACCGCCGGTACTCGTACCCTAACTTCTCGCACCCCCCACTCTCTTTGTAATGAGGTGCTGCAGGTGTCACCTTAGTGCGGGGAAGCGCGTAGGGCATGAGATCACGTGTAGCATAGATTATATTGGAGTCCTACGCTCTGGGTGACTCCCGAAGGGAAGAAAAGCCTTCGGGCGGCGCCCCGGGAGGTAGAAACTCTAGAATTCTTTCAATACATCGAAGCGGAGACAGAGCCTCTGGCAACGGCCCCAGCAATATTACACTCTTCTTCTCTCATCCCGAGCCATTGCAACACACATATGTACACTGCTTCCCTTCCCCAAGCCCATCGTTTCTCACCTCCTTATCCACATACTCGGTGCATTGCTTCGCTCCTATTGCCCATCATCCAGGGCATCAATCGCTGTGCTAATCCATCAAGCAACCGCTCATCGCGCTGACATCGCCTCGTTCGCGAAAGGAAGCTTTGAGTTGAAAGATACCCATGCATGCGATGACCACAATCTGGCTTCGCTTTCGATATCTTCTGACTTCAAAACAAGGAAGGAGGTTCATTCCATTTGAGGCGTGCCCTTGTTTTCACCTGAAAAAGCGATAGCTTATGGGATCACTTACCTCCGCATGCCACCTTCCAAGATCCCACGGTCCTTACCATCTCTTGTACAGCATCATTTGCACTCCCTACCAGCCTCACAGTCACAAGTATCGCGTATGTATCCGATTCTGACCCGCCGTCTGTCTGTCCGTTGATTGAAATGGCTGACCATTGAGCGCCGGATTGGAAAGCCATGCGACGCGACTGTCAGAAACGCCATCAACGCCGTACGGCCGACCGCACACCGCTAACCTTTCACATTCGACTTCACAACGACGTACGCACTGATGCCTTACCACACAAGCTTGCCTCCTTCTCTTCCTTTGCCTTCTCTTGCGATACAATGTGATGGCGGAGCCTGAATATAAAAAGGGGGTTTCCGCCTGAGTACCACCCATTCGCCTGCATCAAACATCCTCATTCCATAGCATCCGATCCGGGCATACCCACATTAGTCGAACATAATCAAATTTAGACCTCCCGCCCAACAAAATGTCGATCCTCTCCCAGCGCAGGAAACCCTCAGCCTCATCACAGGAACAGTCGGCGCCTTAGCCTTCATTGCCCTCGTCCTCAGCCTCGGCTTCACCAACCTCCAAAAATCCGATTCCGCCGCTTCAGCTGTCCCGACCTGACGTCCAACGGCCTCGAGTACCCTGGCACCGTTGCCCCTGACGATGCGGCGCTCAACATCCTCTACACGGTGGGCAAGTTGGATCCAGTCACCGACGAGACTGCCAAAGTGTTTATAGGAATTTACCCCGTGGGGAGGTTGTCGCCGGTCAATACGACTGATCTCGAGCAATGGTTTTCCGAGATTTTGGAAGCGAGGATTACCGCTCCGTTCACTATTTCGACATCGTACAAGACGTTTAGTTTCAAAGCGGGCGACCGCGTGCAGCTGCAGGAGCAACTCATGCCCATCAACGACGCAGAACGCTACCCGCTCGACGACCACTCCCTCACCGATAGCATTACGGCCACCTGGATCGACCCCGCGACAAACACCTCCGCCGTCCTCCCCGTCACCGTCATCGACAATTCAATGCAACAAGGCTGGACCTTCCTCCTTGATCCGTCCGACTCAACCACCATCTCCTCAATCCTCGACGAAAACAACAAAAACACCAACCTCCCCCTCGTCCCACAACCTGCGTGGAATTACGCCGTCACCGCCCACCGCAGCACAACCACAAAAGTTATCTCGTTCGGAATCATCGCCCTCATGTGGACACTCTCTCTCACCTACTTCATCGTCGGCGTCCTCGTCGTCTCCGCCGATCGCAAGGTAGCTCTCACCGTCGCGGCCCTCGGCGCAATCCTCATGTTTGGCATGAACGCGCTGAGAAGCGTGCAGCCAGGGGTGCCCTTGACCGGATGTATTGCAGACACGTTTGGGTATATGTGGAATATGAGTATTCTGGCTGTGTGTTGTGTTCTGGCCGTTGGGCACTACTTGGTCAGAGTCAATCGCCTGCCGAGGGTGCCGGCAGCCGTGGAGGAACATAAGGTGTGAGGCAGGACCAAACCCGTGAGATGGAGAACTATCCTCTACTACAACAGTCGAATGTCATCTATTCAGTGTGGACGTGCTTCTTGCGTATACCCCAATATCTATGTAGATCCACATAATGTGTCTAACTGTCCAACGAAGGGCGGCGTAATAAGGATACCTTTGCTATACCCCCCTAAATCTGAGTCCTCGCTCACAAGAGTTAAGCTCAGGGCTTGCATGGTGATCCCGTGGGATGTGGGAAAGGAAGAAGTGCCCGTACTGTACAGCGTTGAGCCAATAATGCAGAAAGAGAGTCGCTGGAGAACTCTTTCCAAAACCGGAGACATCTGTTGTGGAACTCGTTACTTTATTCCCCTTCACACACACCACTCGTTTTATAGACATTCGATCGGACGGTCTGCACACACACACAACCAGCTCTCTATCTGCAGAGAAGAAAAAGGGGGGGTACGGTAACTATAAAAAGGAAGCTGTGGCTGAAACTGGTTGTTTACAACAACATCAACGCGTTTGTTTCTTCGGCCCTCTTGTTTTCTGAATTGGAGGATTGATCAACACGCTCTTCCGCCTCGCACCGTCAGCCGTGCGCCATTGCACACTCTTCCGCCATTGCACCACCAACCCATAAACTGCATCGCGAAGATGAAGCTACCCATCGTCCCTACCCACGGAAGATCGTTGAGCAGAACAAAACGTTCCCCGAGCTTGCCCAGGACGGTCAGTCTTGCGCCGCGGAGCTAGGAAAGACTGATCGCATCGCCCTTCGACCAAACCAACGACAGTTCGACGCGCGCACCAGGCATCTACAAAAGGAACTGTCTGTCGTATGTTCCATCGTCTGCGTTCGGAGACTTGCCTCGTAACTGTGGTGCTTTGTTGGGGTGGGAAGTAAGTAACCAACAATCTTTCTATGCAGGCCAAAAACACTTACGACGATGCCATGGGCACTTTGATAGAGGCCGCTGTGCGCGCCCGAGCGAAGATTTCGAGAAAACGCGATGTCCAGCGTTTTGATGGTTACCAAAATATTGGCAAAGTACGCAAACAAGTCCTTGAGCAGTCTGCCAGCCGTGTCGCTCTGCAGCCCTGCCAGCTGCGTGGTCATCATGTCCTCGTCTTCACTTTCATCATTGCTAAAGCGGTCAGCCGCAGCATGCACAAAGGATACGTTCGCTCGTCCATGTGGGCCAAGGTGGAACTCATCTCGCGTTTCAGCGCGCGAGGCACCGTGTTCCATTACGACCTGAAGGTCACTGCTTGCATTGCTATCCATTTCGGGTTCGGCGGAGGTTACAGAGGAGGTTACGGCGGAGATTACGGTGGTGGCGGTTACGGTGGCGGTTACGGAGGTGGCTGCTCGAAAACGCGAATATCTTGCGACGATCGAAACGTTGGCGAACATCACTTGTGCAGTCAAGAACGGGGAGGCGAGGCATCTCGCAATCCTTGCCGACCGATGGCACGTCTGGGACTCTGCGCTGATGGGGCTGCCTTCTCCGACAAGGTGCGTGAAGGGAATGGTTCTCGACCGGCGAATCATGACCGTACTGGGGGCATTGCCCGGTCTTGTGGAGCACAACCTGGCCTTCAAAACCGTTATCGCCAGTGGCCGCATCAGGTCCACCCAGTCGGTATACTTGGCCATTCCAAAGCGCATGCAATGCGGTTCTCGGTTGTGACGGCGTTGTCTCGCTGATGATGGCGCTGGCGGTTGACGATACCACCGCTGCCATCCCTAGAGTCGAGGCGACATCAAACCCACTCATCGCCCAGATCATTGGAAACACGGTCGCGCAGACCTCACCTACGCTCCAGGTGCGCCACGAATCTTTGCACGAGTCTTCGGAAAGTGCCACGAGTGGAAACGGCCGGAGCGACATGGCGATTTGCGGTCCCTTCTCGCCGTGAAGCCGTGGGTATATTGATCTGCGAATATGCCTCCAATCGTGCATCCGTCGGCAAGGAGTTTTTGAGGTCGGGCCGGCAGAGGCAGTGCTTGAAAGCAGAAAGATTTTACGGTACTGTGAAGCGAAGGACGTCCGAGAGGGGACGGTACACGTTGCCTTTATTATGTGGGGAGTCAGAATCATTTCTATTGTGCATTTCTGGAGCCTACCCAGCTCAATATAGGATCCAGAAATGTGCATTAGCAATTATCATCTGCCTTACGATACGGAGTACACGGAGCAGCTTCTCGTATTCTAGATCAGAGTTGATTATTTAGTGAGGATCGCCCGATCATGTTCCTCCAACGGCATCATCTGGGTACTACAGGAGCTTCTCACCGTGGGTACTACGGAGTGCAGGTTGCCCCCCGAGGAGTTGTGGTCAGTGGCCGACACTCATGTCATGGCCAGTCAACCTTCTATCAAATACACCATTAAAATACTGGAGCGAATGTAAGGCACAATTCACCTGTTTCGCAACGTTTTCTCACTCTGACATTTTCTTCGAAGTGCGTTCTTGGTTGACGCAAAGACAACCGACGCACCGAACTGATATTTTGCGACCAGTTTCTCGTTAGAGACGCCTTCGATGTGCTTTTGGATGGCATACCAGTTGTAAGGTTCTTCTTGAACTTCTACAACAAAATTTCTCACAATAACAGCAAATTTCTTCACCCAGCGGAGAGGTAGAATCGCGCGCGTCGCGAGAGCGCAGAGTAGCCAGCGCCCAGATCTCAAACTACAATGCGAGCAGTCTCTCACGAGTGTCAGGCGCCCACTGTGACTTTATGCTTTGCGTAAGTGGAGGCTGAAGGGAACGACTTGCAGGAGATCGCATTCAATCTGATCCCCTTTTACGTTTTAAAGGATACAAGTCTTTCCCCGTCAGTAGGCTGGGGTGTAGAGTTTGGGGCAGCGGCAAACGTGGGGCCCGCCAAGACGATACAGGATAAAAACGGACTGATCACCCTTCTCCGAGACACGGAAATCCTACGTAGTCGGAAAGGGTCGTCTACCAATATGCCGGACGCCCTGATTATTCTGAGGTTCTGCGACACCGTGCTTTCGTCACTGCCGCAGCTCAATCCCTCTCTCCGTCCACAAATCCCTTTGCATCCCGCTAACAGCTGCGTGCAAATAGTTTCAGCAGCCTGGAGCACGTTCCTGGGTTCGACGTTTCGTTCTCGACCGAAAAACTGGAGGAGGTCGAGCCGGTGACCGACGCGCGTTTGTTGTTGAGAAGCGAGCTGGATGCTGAAGACTTGGATTAGGTCTGGGTCCGCCGCTGTCCCCCACTATCCTCCTATTGGTGCTGTACGCAATGAAAGCATTTTTGGTCTTTGGCGGTTGATACATCGTGAATTCACCGGCGGTCCCACCCTCTGCGTCGTCTGGTAGATCGGTGGTCCTTCTCCCTCTCCCTGTTCGCCCTGCTAGTATTCTACATGTAGCCAGTGTCCCCCGTAGCTATATCGTGAAGCTTTGATGATAGAAGCACGCATACATGTAGAGGCCGTGTCCCATGAAACTTAGTCTTGACCTTCCATACGGCAACATTCTTTCCCGCATTGTCGACAGAGGTCGTCCACTGCCCGAGTAACTTGTTCGAAGAAGGACTGGTTTTGCAAGCTCAAGGGCATGAACGGGCATCACGGACGCTGACATTGTGAAGGCAGTTACAATTAGTTCCGTCGTTAAGGACCAGCGAAGCCGCGTCAGGCAAGCGCGGGCGAGTCATAAATCGTGGATGACGAGGTTCTCCTCACCCGACTAAGTTCCAACTTCCTCTCTATCTCCCGTTCATCCTCCCATCCTTCTAGTTCTAAACTCTCGCCAAAAGTCTCATATCCTACACCGTCTTCGTCCGTGTCCTCAAACAAGTCTTTGCTCTCTCCAGCTGCTCTGACGTTGTGCAGCACTGCTTGTTTGAACTGCTCCATGACCACGTCCCGATGGGGGAATAAGTCCCTATAAAAAGAAGGCGGCTTATGGCGGTCGTTTAGCATGGGTACGATAATCTCGCTCCCATGGACAAGATCCGCCATGGGCCTGAAAGCGTGTACAAAAAACTGCTGAAGAATGACGCTCAGCGGAAGACAAGTGAAAGCCCGTGCAAACAACTCGGAAAATACCTTCTCTCCCTTGGCATAAATGGAAAACCGAAATGCATCAAAGTTCTCATGGAGATCCGCACGAAGCATGATACCATTACGAACGTCCATCGATGGCGAATAGCGCGACGCAACCACAGGGACACCTGCCTGCAAACTCCAGTCGGAACGTTCCGCAAACTGCCGTGAATTGAATTTCAGCACAAAAAATAAGGAAACATACAAAACACACAGCAAAACATACCCATTCTTCTCCGTACTCAGGAGTCAAAATATGGGCACATTTCAGCGAGTCATCCGTGGTCTCCCCCGATACCACGCATACTTGATCTCTACGATGGCACCAGGACCTCATTGCGCCTTGTAGCCCCTGCCGCAATTGCGCGGAGGTCACTGTGTTTACGACCCTGTTGACTTCTTCGGCCGTCGGAGGGTTAGCCGCAGCAGCGGTTGGAGAATTGGTGGGCGAGCCCCTGGAAGAGGTTTTTCTGGCTTTCCGGAGTGGGGAGCTTTCACCCGATTGTGGCCGGGAGCGGGACCGCAACATCCGAGAGTCCCCTTTGCGAAGCTCCCCCCTTTCCACATCCAATTGGATTTCGCCAGGTGCGTGAAGTATTATGGTACTTCCTCGGGCCGGAAACAATTCTGGACCGTACGCAAGACACTGTCCATCGGTGCAGACAACAGACAACGCAAACGGAACATGCTCGAGGTTGGGCAAAACGATACTGGTTATTTCCTTCAAAAGGTCAGCTGGTGGGGCAATGACGAAGGGAAAACTGAAAATGGGACGCTTGGCGACGTCCCGAATCGTTAAGAAGGAAGAAGCCATTGGTGTCGCAAGCGGGGGCTGGTGGGTGGTGAACGGGGCGTCAGAAGAGGTCTGGGCTTGAATTTTGGAGAAGAACGAAAAGCTGGAGGGAGAAGAAAGCTGAAGAAAGACACGGTCACTTGAAACCCGACTTGAAACCGTATGAAGGCTATTGAGGCTTTTGCACTTTTTGCAGGGGCATTGCCAACGAATCGACCCCACCATCTCAGTTTCACCCAGAGTTTCACCTCCGGGTTTCTGTGGACCTTGCAATCAGATTCGCAAACGTTCCAGCCGCCAACACATCATCAGTACAGTACGAAACCATCATCAGTACAGTATGTATGTAGGTGTTTCAAAGCCCCAATTACAGTCCCACCCCGGTCCATCCGCTCGCCCCTCTCATCCAGTCCGCCTTCAAATGACAGCCGGAAAACACTCCTAACCCCATCCAGATTCCCCCGTCGAAATCCCAAACATGATTCGGTCCTCCATAACCTCAGCGTTATTCCTAACAACCCTGGGTGTCTTGAACCTCTGGGACCCAACCATCTACATTTCAATGTACGATATCTACCTGGAAAGAGGAAATATCGCCGGCAAATCCGAAATCCGCGCCGCACTCGGCGGCCTCCTTATCGGTCTCGGGTTCGCACTGTACAAGGCGCAGACGTGGGATCGGGTTCGCGACGGGGTGGTGTATACTGTGATGTGTGTCGCGCTCGGGTCGGTGATGGGAAGGCTTTTGAATGTGGTGGTTGAGGGGGAGGTCGGCGGCTGGGTGAATGTTTTGGCGACGGTGTTTGAAGTTTACACTGCCCGGGGGTTGTATCTGGAGTTTATACGGACAGGGTGAAAACAGGAATAACCTCAAGCACCAATCCCCCAATCGTTCGTAGACTATTCCTCAAAGGTTTTCACATCCCATCGGTCGAAAACGACTTCTGTCACCCTTCACATCAGATGGGCCTGACGAAACGCTCGATCAGCATTGAACTCCACCTGTAACTCTGATTGATATCAGATTAAGGGTGATGGATGCGGACTTCGAAAGTCAATAGTAGCAGAAGCATGAGCAGTTTGGCACGGTCAATCTTAAGAGAATAACAATCGATCTCATCTCGTTCATTTAGGACTGTGGTGACGTCTATGCTGGCGCTTTAATCCTCCATGATGTCTTCCACTCCGGCATGTTTGGTTCAGCATTTCGGGACTCCCCCGCTCATCGCATTCCAGATGGGCCATCTCTACTTGTTGAATGAAGCCGACTGATTTGAGAACGATGAGAGGAGTAATACACATCAGGGAGCTTCACCGTTGACAAGCATCACCTCTTTTTTCTCAACCACTGGCGCAACAGCTGCCACCCTGTTTGGATCATTTCCTTCGTGAAGATCCCTGCCTGGTATGTGTCCATAGCATGGGATGGGGCAAATGCCACACGAAATTCTCAGCCATCTGAGGTGGGAGCAGCAAGGTCAATCATTCTGATCCCCCACGAGCAACTCTCGAGCGATCGTTTCCGAAATTCGTTGTTAGATGCGGTCCCTTCTCGTTGCGTGGAGGCCCGCCAGCCCGCACATCACGCTGACTGGCCCAAGATCCGCTCTACCTCTAATTGGGTAATCCAAATCGATTCTCGGTCGTTGAGAGTAGACCTCAACTATAACAGCGCGCAGCTCGTAATCGTGGAGAAGGGCAATACCTCCCAGAACTGCCGTCTTTGGCGGACATTATGATGTGATGAAATTGACGCATTCTGTGAAAGTGATCAGGCTGACGGCGCACAAGGAGATGGGGAGATGCAAGGGAAGATTAGTACTTGTGCGCGCGTGACCAGGCGTGATCAGTAGTAGGATAGAGACACACCCCCTTCCCCCCCACTATAAAAAGGACGACACTGGCGTAGATTGCTTGGGGAGCATCTTGCCGGCTACAGACTAGACCCTAAGTTTGTACCATAAGTGCCCAATTGACCCAACAGACTAGCGTACCTACGCCTAGCAGTCCAGGGTTGCCAATATACGGAGTACGCCCAAGCGTGTCTACTTGTGTGGTGAGAATAGGGATTTAGTTGGTCTCTACCTTTTACCTTGCACTCTCCACGAGTAGATTACCTCCACCCGCGAACAACCCGATTTAGGACCTATCCCAGGGAATAATCGACCACTTTCACATTTTGCGGCAGCAAGAGGATTTGAGCGAGCCCACTGGAAGTTGAAGAATGACATCTCGGCGAGATTCAAAGGCAAGCCGGGCGTGGATGCATACGCATTCCTGGAGAGGCTGAGACAAGAAGCTCAAAGGGCCGTAGACCAAAGTACTTCGAAAATCTCGACGACATGGTGCCCAAGTTTGGTCCCCTCTTCAAGGATGGAGCGAAGAAATGGGGGAGCAGCCTGTCGTCGACCAAGATTCCATTTGAGCAATTCAAGGAACAATTCATGGCTCAATACGACGAGAACATACCCCCTATCTACCGCTCGGCGAAAGTAGCCAGTATGAAGAAGCTCAAGAAGGAAACGTCGCGCGACTTTGCTATTCGGATCAAGGAAGCCAATTCCCGTCTTGGCACCAACCCCCTAGACCTAGGCCAGCCCAAGTATGCCTTCTATCAAGATCACAAGCCTCGCGAGCAAGACAAGATTGAGGAAGTCAAGATCGGGGGCAAGGACTGGTACGACGGGGCGGTGACCTTCGACCAATTTGCGGAAGAAGCGTACCAAAGAATCGACAAGAAATGGTTACGAAGCCGGCGCCGCGCCTGTAGCTTCTCCTCATCCTCCTCGGACTCGGAGTCGAGCTCTAGTGGCTCCTCCTCTGCTTCTTCCTCAGAAGAATAACACAGCCGTCGTTGCCGGAACAAGAAAACAACATGAGGTTCCGGCCCCAGCGACGAGGATCCCCGTCGCCCATTCTGAAGACGGCCGTCCAAATTGCCCCGCCAAGTCCCATGCCTACCACCGACATCGAGAAGCTAGCTAAACAGGCGGCGGAGAAGGAGATAACCAAGTTCAAAGAGGAACTCCGCTTGACCGGTAGCTGACGCGGACAAATGGGACGGGCCGTACACTTGACGGAATTCGACGACGACCGGGGTGATTACTCCGGTTACAAGGCGTACATGATGGACCAACGACAAGGTCCATACCCCCGTCAGCCGTACCCGCGCAAGGATTACGGCCAGCAGAGGCAGAACGACCTCAGTACGCAAGTACAGGAAGTTGTCAAGAAAGCGGTTGTCAAAATTGCCGCGCAAATGGCCAAAGTGCAGATTAACAATGGCCAGTCCTCGGGAGGACCACCAAGGATTGGAGACGGAAAGTGTTACGCCTGCGGAGGCGACCACTTCAAGGATGATGTGGACCGCGAGACGGGGAGACCAGTATGCCCCAAGAAACAAAGCCCTGAGGCAGGAAATGCCAATGCTGAGAAGCGGCATTTTCCCCGCCAGGGCTAGGAGCTGAGAGCCTCCTAGTCTTGGAACCAACGGCTCTTGAGCAGGAAGACCCCGGAGAATCGCTGCCTCAAGACCAGGATGAAAGCCTGACCTTTCCTGCTCGGTCACCATCAGAACCGAGAAGAGGCAGTGATTCCGACTCCAAAAGCGACTGGGGGACGCGCGGAGGAATAACGACAGCTGACGAATTGTTACAACCCCAACACCTGTCCAAGTCGGGAGAAGAAAAACCCGACTCGGAGGACCCTGACCAAACACGCTACCCGTCTCCGCCACCCGAAAAGGAACTCTACTTGATCAACCTGGTTGACAAGAACGATTGGCAATTGCACCCGGACATCTTCCAGCAACTCGATGACGGACCCTGGGGAGGCCCACACAGCCACACCGTGGACTTCTTCGCCACGATGCAGAACGCTCAAGTTCCAAGGTACTGCTCGGTCGACCAGAAGGACATCAATGCAATTGCCCATGACGCCTTCAAGATTCGCTGGGACGCTGAGAATGGCTGGGCCAATCCCCCTTGGCTTGCCATTCAACAAGTGCTCGACAAGGTCGTCACGGACGGAGCGACCATTACGCTGATTACCCCCGTATGGCGAGAAGCTCCGTGGTACCTTCAGCTCCTCACGCTCCTCATTGACTATCCAAAACTGCTGAACCACGAACGAGACCTCTTCGCCAAGGGCGGCTTCAGTGAACAAGATGAAGGTGTTTACGGGCTCCCACCCTGGGAACACACCGCGGCATGGAGAATCTCCAGTGACTCTGCTGCCATTCACCACTTCCGAGACCGGTTGCGCCAAGCTTGGACTTTCAAGACCGGCCCCCGCCATGTCAAGCGCCTGCCATTCCAAGACTGCTACGCAGGGACTCTGTCCTTTCTACGCATTCCGTTCCGGACAATCCTCTCCATCCGTCGGCGCCCACCAGCGACAGCGGACAAAAAAGGGGAGGAGGACGCCAAGGCGGTGGCAATTGACACGGCCATATTGGAAGCACACGAGAAGGGTGCACTGGAAGAGATAATGCTTCTGGAGAAGACGGTCAAGCCACGGAAACGCAAGGCATTGAAGAGAGAATTCCTCGACAGCCTTGTCTGGAAACAAGTCGGAACGGACGAGTACGATCCCAAGGCGCAATTCTTCCTGAAAGACTTGACGATAGTCACGGGAGAATTGCTGAGCAAGGCAAGACGGTACCTCGACGTCCGAGAAAAGTACAAGATCACCGCGCATCCTGGGGACGACCTACCCACCCAGGACACGTGGATTGCTCCGGTGGCTGGAAATGAAGAAAGATTCCACGCCTGGAAAGAAGCCCAAGAGCTGTACCTCACGCACGACCGCATGGTCATTCCTCCCGATGAAGGAAAAGAGGACACCCTCCTTGATTCCCTTCATGCCCACGTTGAAAAGGACACGACAAGTAGTCCTGACCTACGCAAGATGTACACCATTGCGCAAATCTACGGGAAGATTGAGGACACGCCTCTCGATGAGCTCGTTGTCGACACTGCAGCGAGTCTCAACGGCATGGACGCTACGTTCTACATGATGCTGAAGACCAAGCACGGCTCGAAGATCAAGGCCACCAAGTACGAGCGCAAGCTGTCGGGAATTGGCGAAGGCCGTTCAATAGGCCACCTTGAATTGAGAGTCAAGCCCGGCGTCAATGGAAGGCACAGTTACAAGTTGAAGTTCAACATCATACCCAACTTGTGACGACCAATGCTTATCGGCATCCCAGGGCTCGACGCAATGGGGGCAGTCATGGACATGGAGAAGAGATCATTCGCCTTCCGACTACCGACCGAAGAGCAAATGACCACGCCCATGAAGATAACGCTAGAAGACCATCCCCTTCACACCCACCTCCCGACGGTCGCTCCGCTAGGGCCATCACGCTACAACGTAGTCATCAAGCAAGACCGAGTGGTGTTGAAGCCAATGGCGGTGACGCACGTACGGGTCGGCGGAACGAACCAAGGAATCCCCGGAACGACATACCTCGTCGAAGGCAACAAGGCGTTAGGCGAGTCAGGCATATGGTGTGCGAACCAACTCGGAAAGGCCGACGAGAACGGAGAATGGCTGTACCCAGTCGCGAATCTCACGCCCAGGAAGCGCATCCTTCGGAAGAATCATGTTGTCGGAACGACCGTGCATCTCCCCATCGACGTCCTAGAGAATGTTGTTGAGTTCCTCCCGCCGCTGCAACGTATTCGGGTGGCGATCGGCCTTCGCTTGATATACCTACGTAACAAGACCCTTCCGCTACGCTTTCTGGAACGGCAACACAATGGCACAACCGACCCTCATCAATCCCTCAACTGCAACAAAAGCCATAGCGGTGCGTTATACCCTCAGCATCCCTGACGCAAGCTTCGTCAAAAGGGCAAATAGATCTTTTGGACGTTTGGAGAAACACACCGACGCATCCGCGAACGATCATGTCGCCGTCCTCCAGTGGTGGGCAACCGAGGGCGTTGCAAACGGCTTGGAGTGCAAATACAACCTTCGCAGCCGAGCAAGGGCATGTCGCGGTCCTTCAGTGGTGGGCAACGGAGGGCGTCGCGAACGGGTTAGAGTGTCGGTATGATCCGTCAGACATAATGCTGCTAGCTTCCAACTACGATCAAGTGGACATAGTTGGAAGCTAGCGGCATCCGGCCCGGTCCTCCTACCCAGGCCGGTGGGAGGAATATACACTTGACCGGGGAGGGGCAAGGACAATCAAGAGGGGTGGCAATGATTTGTGCACACTTCCAGGATATGAGTACGTGAATTGTTTTCTTATAGAGAGATGTACAACAGTAATACACTGACCAGTAATGGTTCTACTCTTCATCGGCTACTTCCAATTAAAGCACAAGAAAACCCGTGGCCGGGAAACCCTTCAGGGTCCACCACGACCACCTGCTCGTAAACGTCTTCCCAGGCTCCTCAGTTTTGAATTGTAAGCAGGGTGGGAGTGAGCGAGAGAAGCAAGTGAAGGATTATGGAAGTAGCCGTTCATCATATGCTCGGCCTAATCATGCCAGTTTGAAGGGGAGACTTAGGGGCCTCTTTCCTCGTGCGGAACTGAAAGCGGCGCCTAGTCATACCCTCTTAAAAAGGACCTCCAACTTTCGGCCATGTGGACTTCTACCTCATTATTAGTTACTCATGTCAATTTTAAAAGCCCGCACCTCATAATAAGGTGAGAAGGTCGGACTTGGGTTACACGCGTAGGTGTTTATTTGTCGCGTCACGATATGAATTCGACTGTGGAAAAGGATACTGTACGTACTACATATACAGTACGAGTTGGTATGGGAGCCGACTCTGCGGCTCTGCGGGCAAAGGTCTTTCGGCCGCAGCGCCCTATCACACAACTTGCCACTAAACATAAGTTCAGGTTCTGCCGCCGCGGGCGATGGCTCATAATCTCTTTGCAATGCCGCTAGGTGCATGGCCTAGATCTACGTTACTCTCTCTCCCACCCCAGTGTGCGGGCACCTCCGCTCGGTGCAACAAACGATGGGGTGCGCACCCAGCAGGCAAATGGGTGAGAACCCCCGAGACAGCAACAAAGCGAAAGAGGACAGGGACACCTCACCGCTGTCCAATATCAAGATGGACGTGGACGTAGTCAGTTCACCTCTCCCCGTGCTTCCATCGACGACGACGATCGCCAAAGCGGAGAAAGTCTTGGATAAAGTCGATCTCATCTCTGGAGTTGTCGAGGCTAACGCTGCCGTGACCATTTATAACAAAGCTCAGGCAGTCCTTGGAAAGTTCCCGGAAGGGCTCTTCAGTCTTCCCGAAGATTCAAGAGGGGTGCAGATCATCGACATGATCATGGGTGCAATGGATAATCTGACGAAGGTTTGAGTGCACTCAGGACATGAATATCGCTGCGTCAACGATATCTCACTTTCGTCCATTCGGAACTTTAGGTTCATCCCGCCGCCCGGATAGCGTGGGGCTTCATATCCGCCGCATACGATGTAAACTGTTGAAACATTTGACTTTTGGCATTTTTTCGTTTGCTTACCTCTTATCGAAAACCTGCAGCTTTTCAAGGGCCAAGCCAAGCTGGAACGTAACATCATTGCCCTGTACGGGACCTTGGATCATCTTCTGAAGTCTCTACTCTTGATGTACAACGCCATGCATGCAAATTCGGAAAGCCGTAGCCAATCCGATGTCCCCCAAGCTCTTGAAACTACACTCCAGGACCTGTTTGAGGAAATGCGGAGCTTTACGGAATGGTTCGAACGGTACATCGAGAATCTTTCTGCAACGGGATTCGTCGGTAAGGATTTTCTATTACTGTCCCAGACGCGAGCTGTCTTGGCGATCATTTGATTTCTCCGGTTGCGTTCATTCCAGGGCGAACATTAGAAGAAACATTCCAGGGCAAGGGCCAAAGCCGCTTGGAACAGTTTCAGGCAAAGTTCGAGGCATTGGACAAGCAGCTCAGCCGCGACACTCTTCTTCGACAGTTTGTTGATATTCAGCATATCAAGCGTACGGTCGATAACGTCAGCATGAAAGTGGAGAAAATGGAGAATACGTTGGAGATGGTTTCTGTCGCAAGCAGTGGCAATCACGATTTGCATTTTCAACTTTTCTTGACAACGGTTCAAGCCAATAATGTTGATTTACTTCTGCGCTGGTTGAAGGACAAACACCCTCCGCTGGTTAGTCGGTTGGCCCTTACTGCTAAAGGTACTGATAATGTGTTAACCCACAAATACATTCAATAGTCGACTCGTGATCATAAAGGTTGCTCCTTTATATGGCACGCCACCAAATGTAATGCGGAACAGTGTCTTGAAATCTTATTGAAAGAAATTCCTGCGAACTCGAACACAATCGTCGACGCTGATGGGGAAGCAAGCCTTACGCCGTTGCATATCGCGGCATGGCATGGTTATGAGGGTTGCTTGCGATTGTTACTCAGCCATGTCAATGGCCGGGGTCTGTTACAGTTGACCGATGGCAACGGTCAAACACCGTTGCATATCGCGGCATTACATGGGCATGAGGGTTGCCTACGCTTGTTGCTCAACCACGTCGATGACGCGGATCTTTCGAAATTGAAAGATAATTCCAAGCGAACTCCTCCCGATTTGGCGGCAACGAATGGAAAAGTGGGCTGCCTTTCGTTGCTACTCGAGCACCAAGGGGAACGCCTTCGTCCCGTGCTACATGACTTGATTGATCAAGCCGGCGAGCATTCCGATTGCTCGCGATTGTTGATTCGCCACGGGAAGCCCGAAGATTTCAACTATGTTCCTGGAGTCCTTCCTTTCGAAGAATGCGCTACTCTTTTGCGTTTCAGCGTGGGTTGTCGTACGTGTCTCGATTTCTTCTTTGTCTCGGTGAAAGAGACTGGGTTAAATATTTCCTTATTCTTCCAGGATCGATACCGCCTTTGTTCTACAATTGGACACATTCTCGGCATAGGCCAAGGCTTCCTTTGACATTGGCTGGGGGGATATTGGATCAATTGAGGATACGCTGGACGGATCCCAAGGAATTGAATGATTCCCACCTCGGAAAGTTCAACGGTGTCGGGCTCGTGATTGATGTTGACTCATCCGAGGACGCAAGTGCCGAAATGAAATGTACTCGGATTGCCGAGTTCCTGAGTGGCCCGGTTAAGCAGATATGTGACAGCGGCATGGTCATGCATTTTCATTGTGAGTACGATGGTTTCCTGTGATGCAGCTGCTCTGAGACATCGACGTAAAGTATCTCACTTTTCTATATGCCGTTTACTGTATATTGCAGTTGAAATCAAGAAAGATGATTATGAGCTCCACGGTCCTCTTAGCGTGTTCAGCGACTTGCAAGACGAAGACTATTGGGGGGATATTGACAACCCCAACGCGCAACTTCTCCAGTGGATTCTTGAATTTCCGGAAATTGTCCTAGGCTACCACCAGCTCGATGGACGTCTGGCCAAAGTATGGATCAACGGGTCTCAAACTTTCCTGCTTGCCGGTACGTAAGGCCGGCGTCCCCGCTTTCTATATCTTGCGCTTTTACTCAAATTTCATGAAACAAATGCGCCCCAGACTGGTTTGACGCGAAAAAAGTGTGCGATGATTACTGGGATCCTATTCGGAGTTCGCTACTTGGGGCACTTGTCGTCGATGGCAGTGTCAAACATTTGACTCTCACGGTCTCTTATTTAGCCGGCAATCTCGCGAAATGGGCAGATGGATGGCTAAATGATCTGAGGGAGTTGCTGTCGTTTCCTAGAAGTCTGGAGACGTTAACGATAGGTAGGTTCTCTGATTGTTGCCGTATCCGCTTCCCTACTCTTGCCTCAACAGTGGCGCATTTCGTACCCCAATTGCAGTCGACCTTTCAGATGCAGCATTTCTCTTCGGAATTGATATAGAGAGGAGCGTTGGTCCTATACTCCAGTGGGTTATTGAAGCTATACTGGAAGCGATGAAAACAAATCATCGTTTCATCTTACGGCTGCCGAAGACTTGCTGGTATTGGATACCTGAGTCGGTCGATAAAGCTATAAAGAAAAGGTGCTTTTTCGGAGAGGATGTTGATCTCAGTTGGAGGTGGGAAGTCGGTGAGTTTGAAGATTCCCGTCTGAAGCGTTCGGCTGCCCTCATCGTTGACTGAAACAACATTGTTTCCAGATCAAGATTTCGATCATCTATGGGGGGAGTATCAACCTTACGACGAGGTCGAGATTCCGGATGGGAGCGACGATGACGAGGCGGCAGAGGCCACAGAAGAGGAGAAATTCGAGGAAGACGAGATCGGAGTCGCCGACGACAAAGACGAGAAATGCGGCGAGATGGACAGACAGCCTCGCCCAGGAAATGCCGAGGCTTGTGGACCGGCTCATACCCACATTACACAAAACATCTAGTCCAAACACTGCTTGTGGCACATGTATTGAAAAATCCTACATAGGGGCAAACAAAATGACTCTATAACACTGCTTTCTATAAAGTAGGGATGAGGGTTCGACGGGGATACTCTTGCAAAGGTACGCCTAGTCAACTGGTCACGTCGCAGGCGAAGACTACTGGGGGGTAGCATTCGTTACACACGGCGGCGGCACACTCGTTACCTATTGAGGATGTGCATGGGATGGGGCTAGCACAGTAGGCGGAGGTCCCTGTTGCCAGAAGTGCCACACTTGTCGCTGTGGGCGGGAGAGACGTGTTGGTGGGAGAAACTGCACACGTTGCGCCGGTTGCCCAGCAGAGGAGGGCGACCAGGACAGCGGCTGCGGCCGTTGCCCGCATCAGGGTGGGCGGAAAGACATAGAGGCCAGGGCGTTGTGTGCAAGCGAGCAGAGCGTTGCCGAGAAGTCCTGGATGTGAAATGGGGATGCAGGAGGCTCCAGAGACTTGAAAACTGGCCATATATCCACTGCTACTCCCGAGGTCACTGTCAGTAGCATCCTACCCTAAAGAACCCACCCTAAAGAACCCTAAAGAACTGAACAAAAGCATCGGGGTCCATGGCGATTCGGGCATCGGCAGCGCTACTAACGATCGAGCAGGTGAATGACTTGCCTCCATTTAAGTCGCCAATGGGTGACACTATCATCAACTCCGGGGCTTTCATACGCTCAGACACGTACAGTACCCTGGCAAAAGTTTTGGGAACGCACGCGTTTCAATTATAAACAATTAGAATAATCGCTTACCGAAGGGCTCTAATTGACAACCATGCATACTGGACTTTAGCGCATGGGAGTGATACGGTCGGATTGTCCAGAAGCAGGAGCATACTCAATCTACATAGTAGTCAAGTCTGAAAACAATCTACATAGTAGTCAAGTCTGAAAACTGTCTGGTTGTCAACTTATTGTCCGTTGAAGTCGGAAGAGCCGTCCTCCCATAATTGATTTTCAGGTCCAATTAGAGAAAAAACTTAAACCAATCTTCTCCATGGTATCCTGCCCAAACCTACTTGACAAAGCGCATGGCCAGTTATAAGGAAAACAAGCGGATCAACAGGAAGCTTATATTTGTCTCTATGGGCGGATTTAAGTTTAGTGCATAATTGTGAACTTTACCCAGTAGCAAAAGAAGACGGATTTTCTAATTGTTTGTAATTGAAACGCGTGCATCCCAAAAACTTTTGTCAGGGTACTGTAATTCTCAAATTCCGCCACGGCGTCCGATTGACATTGATATACAAGCTTTGAAAGCGTCGGATTTTGAACGTCGTTGGGAGGCCCGAAGGTGAACGCTCGCGGTCCAAGATCAGATCAGCTTCGACGAGCAGCCGGAAAGCTGCGAGCGTTCTGTATGACGCAAAGTGCTCTTTGACTGTTTTCTTCCAGGTGTCAGCGACCGGACCCACCATGCGAGCAAGTCGCAAGTCAAGCAAGACCTTATCCCACTCCTCCTCGGCGCGCATATACCCTTGTCGTCCAGCTTTGGTGTCAATAAGCACACTATGTAGCGCCGCCATGGAGGAAACTTCCACCGGCAGAGCGACCAGTTCCTTCACGACCGGCAATACTCATACGGCCCTTGACGCGTATATTGGGTTACGAGTGGCAACCGGAGCCAAGATGATAGCTTCATCTGTGCAGTAGATACCCACAACCGCATCCAGTGCATGGGTTCCATTGTCCGATGTCAGAGTGGTACGATACTCGGCCAATAGAGGTGCAAGGAGGCTGCGCTCGCTAGCCTCTCCTAGCCACTTGAAGGCTACCCTTTCTTTGCTCCGCGGCCCCCATGATATCGTAGAGCTCAAATACGAACGACGTGACGTGGCTTCACAAGTGTCCCCAAATTCATTTCCCGCCCTCAGCTCGCCCCCGACAAAGTAAGCATAACCGAGAAGAGCCCACTCCCGGATTGCACAGCAGGGAACTAGAAAACTTGCCGAGCCGGTATTGGCAACAGGGCAATGACAAACCTATGGACAGTGATTAGAGTAGATGAGAGGAAACTGCTTGATAAATTTACGGTCAAAGGAAACTCGCACACACTCAGCATACCATAATAGAGCGAGGAAAAACAGCTCACTGCTCGCACATTGACGGGAGACGCGCTGTCGGAACTGATGCCGAGAGGAAGGAAGGAAGGAAGGCCGTTTTTGCCTCCTAAAGGGTATATCGCCAACGCGAGGGTGAGACCATAAACTGGATAAGCGGCAAAGTGGAACTATATATATACTGTATACAGTACGTACAGCCAATGGACATAAACCTGTGCACCCCCTCTAATCGAATTCAATGACCGTTTCACAAGCGGATGCGCGTTCCATCCAGCCTGCCTCCGGACAAGCCAGGATCTTACCGACATGCCCGCAATTGCGACCTCCATCTTCATCCCCTGCTATGGGCAAACCACTCTCCCCTCAGCAGAGGGCTGCCATAGTGGCGCTGCACAGGTCAGGCAAGAACAAGCGACAAATAGCTGCACAGGAGGGGGTTGCATTCAGGACTGTTCAGTATACTATCAAGAAGTTTGCTGCTGAATCTGCGGACAGCCCACCGTCCTATCAGTCAAAAAAGCCACCGGGAAGACCAGCTAAGTATCAACCAGAGGACGGTGACTTGGAGGAGTTCCGCAGACTTGTTCTCTCAGATATTCAGACACGAGAAAAGACATTAAAACAAATTCGGTTGGAACTCATCCCTCTTACAGGTATCACGGCATGCGAAAAGACAGTGCGTCCTTACCTTCACAAACTCCTCCATTTGACCTCCCGCTTCAAAATCCACAAGCCGTTTTTGTCTGACAAGCACAAAGCAGCACGCCTTGCGTTTGCGTTGGAACATCAGCACTGGACAGTTGCGGATTGGTCACGGGTTGTGTGGACGGATGAGACGTCTTTTGATATTGGCTGGGTTCCCAAAATGCGATGTTGGCGTCTGCGAACTGAACATTTTCACCCTGACTGTATCAGAGGCACTCGACGTAGCGGATGCAAAACATTTATGTATTGGGGAGCATTTATTGGAAACGCTGTTGGTCCGTTGACGCAGGTCCAGCCGGTTCAGCGTGAGGGCCAAGTTTGCGGTAGGGGTATCAATTCCACTGCTTACGTTCAGCATTTAACCGCTCATCTTTTGCCAATGTGGCAAAACCTTGAGATTTTTGTTCCCAACCTCCTTTTCATGCAGGACAACGCCCCTATCCACACTTCTGCCAAAACGCGCCAATTCTTTGCGGAGCATGGCATCAACATCATGCCGTAGCCAGCGCAGAGCCCCGATCTCAACCCAATTGAAAACCTCTGGGCGATTGTCAAGCGGGAGGTATCGCGGGCTAATGCAAATGCAGATGGTGTTGTGCAGCAGGTGTGGCCAACAGTGGAAAGGCATTTGGATAACCTAGTTGGATCGATGCCGACAAGGATGCAGGCAGTCATTGTTGCAAACGGAGGAACGACACGGTATTAATAAGGGTATTAGGCAGGAACCGAAGTCTAGATTTCATCTAGATTAGGTTCCTTATTGATCCCCGAGACTAAGGATGATGAGTCCGCGTCTAAATCAGTTGCGGCAACGCGACCGGTCACTGACTTAGTCTCAAGGGGTGCACAGCTTTATGTCCGTTGGCTGTACAGTGGATTTCCGAAAAGGTGGTTCAGCAGTACTGTATTGCTACCACGTACACTGGGAGCCTCTCACTGATCGCTATGTCCTTGAACTTGAAACCTACCTCACCTCGTTCCCAATGCCTGCCACTCCCACACCCCTTTGTGGGAGAATCGGAAGCTGAACTTCATAGAAATGCTGGAAAGGATGCGGGTTAGGCCTAGGGTTGGACCATGCATAAGGTTAAACCAGGTCGAGGTCGGACCAGCTCTCCGTCGGTGCTACTTACCCCAGAACGGTTAGGGTTAGGGTCAAGGACGATCGGCCTTGAATTCTCGAAGACGTGCAGATCTAGGGTTAGGGTTAGGGTTAGCTCGGCGAAAGCGTCAAGGGGAGGGGGGGTTAATTCAGTACATCAGTGGCCGGCATTGAATGCTCAAAACCGACGTCGTTCCATGTTCTCGTCAGGGTCGCGAGGTTGCGTGGTTCAGAGTGAGCTTGGAAAGACCCCTGAGTTTGTTGAACAATAACAACTACGTACAAAGGAAGTCCATTATTTTCCAATGCTCCGCGAGATGAAGGAGACCTTAACCAGGGCCCATTAGCACTGCAGTTGCAAAAATCGCATTTCCGCCGCATCAAATACTTCCTCCGATGATTCTGTGGTTCGCTCTCATTACACTTTCGGTCAAATGGACATTCTGGGCTAGATGAATACTGTGTATTGCTATTGGTTCCATTCACTTTGAATTTGAGAGGCAACTGACCGGCGTGAGGAGCGCCATGAGAACCCTGGCATTCACCAGTATTCCGTTTTTCTTCGGAAAAATATGATTCCGAACGCCAAAGGGTTAGCTTAGCTCGGCGTGAGAGGTCAGTTGAGGAAGGATGTTTATGGTCTCCGCTACTCTTTCGTGTGAAGCAAACTGTCCATGTTCGATCGAGTGCCAATCCCGCCAACAGTCAATGTGCTCTCATACGCGCCATGCCGTCACTTCCAGGGTTTCTCGCTTGGACACAACGAGATGACTGTTGATGTCGCATGCAGTCTCTACAAAACGACTCCTCACGGAATGGTCTATCCTCCTGTGCAACTACAAGCATATATTAACTTATTTCAAACGGTGTCAGTATGAGCGGTTGCGCCACAACCCTCACCGGCGGGATCGCTGTCGCAACTACCCCAACCAGCACCGCCATGCCTCCGGGGACGACCAGCTTCGGCAATGTGTTTGGGAACCTCACCCCTCGAATCTGCCAAGGCTCGTATACCTTCCAATTCTCCGTCTTGGATCAAGGCCCCTATGCGCGGTGCACCGTCGGCGTCTTCTACCGGTACGACTCGGCGACTGAATGGTGGAAGAACGCGATCCAGTTCATCCTGCCCCCCGCCACGGCCAGCGAATGCAACCTCGTCATCGGCCCGGACGACGATACCTCCAAATGGACACTGGGCGCCTGGCAGGAGACGGGATATTACTGGCAAAGTCTCAACTACGGCTTGCAACCGCAGACCAATTCTTCGATCCCGGTTTGCGTCAATACTTTACCCTCAGCCACAAACGACCCTTCCCTGACCCCGACGATGACCACGACGACGACGACGAACGGTCAACCCGACACCCAGGCATTGCTGCAGAACTCGGGAGTCGTTGTCCCTTGGACCAAGCAGGAGATATCCATCACCAAACCGGTGCTGGTGGGCGGAGTCATCGGCATCGCTCTCGGCGGCGCGGCGCTCGCCCTCCTCGGGACTACGCTCTACTGGTTCCTGAAGCGCAAAAGGAATGAAGGGGAGAGGAAGGTCGGGCCGAACATCGAGGCGCCATCATCTCCTGTGTCACACGCCCCCAAGATGCAGCGTGGAGGAGAGACGCCTCATGGAGGGGATACGGAGGAGGCTCCTGCCGTCACGGGCATGCACCCGGTGCGGGATGTTGGTGTCTGTCCTACCCCCGCCGTTGCTCATCCTTACAGCGAGAAGCAGGCGCAGGGGGAGACAGAGATGGGAAGTGGTAGAGAAGATGCAGGTGACGCTGCCCATTCTGCTTCCGGCAGGCAGGACCCTGAAATAGATCCTGAATTGGAAGAAGCTTCTGCGGAAACGGCTGGGCTTGGCCAGCGGACGTCGTTCGTCCCGCAACCCTCTGCTGCTGAACTCGAGCGCACATGATGTTGCTTCATACCGCCGCCAATCTTTAAATAAGATCTATCTGCTGTATCTATTTTTCTGCACGGTCGCCCTATGTACCATATAGAGACTAGGTTGTACAACTCAACACCCATCACGCAATGCACCCGGTGTAATACGGCTGAGGTTTCACCCTCTCCGCCACGGTCGTGACCCTCCACTCGGAATGTCTGACATGGGAACCCCGATTCCCCTGACACGTCCCCATACAACACGGCCTGTTCGACTGCCACAGATCGCAGGATACCCTCACAGGGAGCAAAGTCCGCGGCCCAAATACCATCCGCAGCCCGCAAACATGACGTCTAGGAGGACGGCCGAGCGCTTCCTGGATACCTGCTGTCCGTGCGAGAGAACAACTCCTGGCGCGTCGACCGAGCCGCGCCAGCCGAATTGGATGTTCATTGGGCCCGGAGACGCAGTTCTACAGTGTATACTAATGAGGGGCAACAAAAGGAAAAGCCGGCTGCGATTAGAAGACTAGGCAACGAGCGCGGCGGGAGAGGACAGACTTGTGTGAAAAAGCTGCTCACATCCACCAATGCGCCATGGCCGGGGCGGCATTGCATAGCCCAGATAGCCCAACGGCTCAACTGCGCGACACCGGCGGGGATGACGAAGTCGGCATGCTAGGTAACGGCCCCGCTCAGCATCTGCCACATGAGCACATGCCTCGATGTACAGTATACACAGTTGGCGCCGGCACAAGGGGTACGGGTGCTGCTGCAGAATGAACAGCGGGTCATCCCATCTCGACTCTCGCTATAAATCTCTAAGGGCCTTGGCGAGCGTCAAAGCGCATCGACTTCTCATTCGGTTGTCATCTTTGTCAAGGCGACAGCAAGCAATCCAAACGGTCGAAATACCTGGGCAAGCAAACCTGGCAGTCACAGGATGCCGCCAATGCCAACGGAGGTGTTGCGGGTGTCTATTTGGATTACTAAGGCTCGGGAACCTCCATAACCCTCACTACCGCAAGAACCTCCGTCACAATCTCGAGACCCATTGCGCGCAATGCTGGGACACAGTGAACACCACGCACTTATCAAGCGGTTGAGGAATATCCCTGGTCGCAGGACAGGGGGGACTTCGAGTTCGAAACGGAAAAATAGAGGCTGCCGACCTGCCGAGCAGTCTCTTTTTCCTTTTTCAAATGTAGTCTTCAGATTGCACGACGGGCGGAAGTGTGAAACTCTCCACGGTCGGACGCGCGTGCCTGCGTCGTGCGATGCGTCGTGCGCAGGTTTGCGGCACCGTTCAAACTCAGCTTCGCTGGAAGCCTTGGTTTGCTGGCTGAGGCACAAGACTGAGCAAGCTTGGGCGCTGGCACATCCAGGGGAGGAGACCTGGAGACGCGGACGACGAAGGACTGAAAAGGCTGTCACGAGCGCGATGGAACCGCCGGGACGACTTACATTAAGCGGTCTTTCGGGGCCGCGAACGGGAAAGACATGATCACTGGCCGATTCTTGGGGTTCGGAAGCACCTTTAGTGTGCATGAGATATTGTCGCGGACTCCGAATGGAAAGCGGTGGTTAAGCTTAGCCGGAAACGCAATACGGTCGCCGTGGACGTTGAGCCTAGGTGTTGAGCATTCCCGACGGCTTCGGAAGCGTTCAATGATTCCTTGCCGGGGTAAGTCCGGCGTGCGGATCGGTGTAGTGGTTTCTCTTCTCTGTGACCGATTGCCATCGAGTCGAGCCTCAGGTTGAGCCCCGGACAAGCTGTGATGGTTTCTCGCGGAGCATCCACGCATAGCGTCGCTGCCCCATTGTCAACGTTTTCAGTCCGGAAAAGATCTGAAGTGGTCCGCCAGTGTGCGACGAGGTGCAAGATATGTCGCGGACACAAGGGACGATGCCATACGTCGCGGACTTCGGATTTGCGACTCCCGCCTACACCCGGAATTTTGAGGATGCCAGTCCTCGCCACCCAATCTACGTATCTCCCAGGTTTCACACAGAAAATCCCATCAATTGGTCTGCGTGGATGAGTCTCTGTCGTCCTTGGCGGCGATGGCGAATACGGTGATGGGCAAACTTCCCTGGCCTGCATATGAGCAGGTGAATATGGGGCATGATCGATGGCGTGCTTCCAATTTTACGACATTTGTTGCCTCACCGACCAACGATGAGGAGGATTGTGGCGCTGCCACGAAAAAGCTTTCGGCGGCGTGACTGGGCGTTGGGTTCGCAAAGGCTTCCGTGGTGTGAGGATTGACAATTGAGGGGTGTGATCTGTGGGGTGCTTTGGGACGAACAATGTGCCCGACGAGTGGGATGGGAACATTCTTTTTGTTTCATGTAGGATTAGGGCTAATTGCAGGGCGGCGGTGGTATGTGCTTGAAGCACTTGTACGGACTACATCTGAAAACCAGTTTATATACATCTCTTTGCAAAATGTAACTAGCACACATATGAGATCATAGTCGCTTATCGTAACCGGAACCAATTACTGTTCAAGTATGCTGGGTATACGCCGATTGGGAAACAACAAGTGTGAGATGTATAAGGAAAAGGAAACGAGGGGCAACAAGTCAGGACCTACACTACCCACTGCCGAATGGTTCCATCTGTACTACTATTATACTTCGTTCTCGCATCGGCAGAGACGACGACAGCCTTGACAGCTCCGGTGTGTCCTTAGGGTTAGGGTTAGGGTTAGGGTTAGGGTTTAGGGTTAGGGTTAGGGTTAGGGTTAGGGTTAGGGTTAGGGTTAGGGTTAGGGTTAGGGTTAGGGTTAGGGTTAGGGGTTAGGGTTAGGGTTAGGGTTAGGGTTAGGGTTAGGGTTAGGGTTAGGGTTAGGGTTAGGGTTAGGGTTAGGGTTAGGGTTAGGGTTAGGGTTAGGGTTAGGTATAGGGTTAGGGTTAGGGTTAGGGTTAGGGTTAGGGTTAGGGTTAGGGTTAGGGTTAGGGTTAGGGTTAGGGTTAGGGTTACAAGACCCCCTGGGTTGGGTTTTATTTTTGGGTTGCCTGGAACCCTAGGGACTTAGAAATTTTCGGGTTTTTTGGCTTTTGGGTGTGTTCTACAGTTCAAATTCTTGACTCTGAGGGGTGTGGTGGCGGGGGGTGTTGCGCACCTAGGCAAGTCAGGGGGGACTAGGTGTGCAAGGGCAAGTGATGGGTCATATGGGTGGTGGTGCGGGTACGGGGGGGGGGGCAGGGGTGCCAATAGGGGAGGGGGGGGGGTTGATATAAAGGGGAAATATATGTTATATATACGTTATAGGACTTGTGCAAATTGGGATTTTTTTAGTGCCGATCTGGAGTTGGCGTCCTAATTAAAAGTTGGCCCCATATCATATTCTCTAATTGAAGTACTCTCGGATTGGCAATCCGTGCGGAAACGGCTTCAGAAACTTAGAAAAACGAAATTTTCACGCGACGGGGGGTAAAAAGTTGGAAAATGTGGTGATATCTCAACATCTGGCTGACTATCCAGTGGAGGGCACTTAATGAAAGTTGATTGTAGCCTATGGTTTGCATAGCTGATGTGGTAGCAAATCTTGTGTAACCTTGCTTTTGGCTGAAGAACAGGGCCCCTTTTCAATTCTCAAGTAGTGACCCCCAAGACCTCCTAACAAAAGACACGAGTACGTATGTGCAGGCAAAGGGGTTTGGCTGTGTTCTCCAGTAAACATTTTGTGATTCCGCTGTGCATCGTAGACTGTTTGTAGGACCGTTGCGGAATGTCATTTACCAAAACTGTTGAACATTTTCCGTTTAAAGCAGTGTTCTACAGTTTGTCCATGCAGGTTAGAGCACGTGACCTGGGCTTGCTTGCAGGGTATGCAGAGTGAGAGGGTTGGGGTTAGAGATTTCCCAGATCACTTATTAAATTCAGCCAAACTGTCTCTGTCATGGAACATTTAAAATGGTGGAAAGTAGTATTGCATTTATTGATTTAGAGTACATTGGAAAAGCGCACATTCAGAAAAGGGTTTTGGTGTAAAGTTATCAACGACATTCAACAGTACTAAAGGACTTCCGCAAGCATGTCACGGACTTGGTTCTGTCCAAAAGTCGTACGGCACTCAGGGTACCTGGCGCAGCGGAGACGGAAACGATGCTGACCGCCAATGCTATGAAAAGCTGAGCCTCCACAGTTGGGACATTGAAGCTGATCACGATGCTGATGGAAGAGTTCACGGATATTGCCAATGGGAGCAGCATCAGGCACTTCCCCATCCCCATGACCCCACCAAGCACGAGCAGGATCAATGACGGGTGCAATGCCTTTGAACCATCCGGGATTGAAACCAAAAGAGTTGAGAACATCTCGGAAGCGCTGACAGTCTGTCACAGTAGTCTGTCTATTGCGATCTCCTCTGAATAGAACTCTGGTGGCAGCGTCCATGATGCCATTGATGAGACTGTAGTACTCTTCCACCGGCACAAGCTTCAAGGAGTTTGCGCCCATGTGCTGGAAAATGGTCTCGATCTGGTCCAAATGGAGATTCAAAACCATCTGTTCCGCTGATTCCAACCTGGCGCACTGAACTCGCACTTCAACTCGCATGCCAGTAATGTGGAGCGGGTGACCGTTGAGCCATTGACGTAAACCTCTCAGTGTCTCACTGCGATCACCAAGGCTGGACTTGGTTTGGGGCATTCGCGAAGACAAAGTCGAAGAGTAGGCTTTGAGCGCATGAACAAGCTTTGGGTAGCAAGTAACCCGAACATTGGCGTGACCCGCAATGTCAAAGCGGGTGGACCCAAATCCCTCACCAAGGATGGTGAGCATGGGAAAGGTGGCTCCAACTCCACGTCCATTGTAGCAAACCAAAGGAATGACACCACGAGTGTTGAATGTCTGACCAATGTCCCATGTGTTGAGTGCAGCATCGGGATGGTTGCTCACTTCCTGGTCAAAGGAGTAGGCTGGCAAAGTCTGAATGCGTTGCTTCATTCCATACTGCACAATGCGTACAGAGGGTGACACAGCACCAATGATGTCCTGGAACCCAGACATCAACAGATTTTGCCGCCCAGCAATCAATCGTGAGTGATCCGTGCTTTCCCTCACGATGATCGAATGTTCATTGTGAAGTAACTCAAGAATCCTTGCCTTCGAC